GAAATCAATCAATTGCAGGCCCTGCGCCCCATTCCTAATGATAGGTGGCCAATCCCAGATTCACATCGAAAGCCACAATATGCCAAGCTCCCCTGTAGTCTCACCTGGAATAGGCAGGCGGCACATTTGACCCACAGGGCTTGTCAGGGGTATCGGTAGGATTGGGAGCCCGGATTCATGATTCCATGGGGGTTTTTTCGGGATGGAGCTGGGTGGTTCTATGTGATTCTGGAATTGGGAATATGTGGTGGGGAGGACGAATTGGAGCTATGAGCGTGGATGTATTACTTCCTACGTAGCAATGCGTACTAGGTTTCTCTATGTTCATGGTCGTGTGCAGGTAGACTGTGCACACCCTGTAGTATCTACTAGTGCCTACTACTAGGAGGGGGCAGAATCAAATCGAATAGATTTGCGTTGGAGCCAATCATTTTGGCTGGGTGATTTAAGCATAAGCGCGCTGGTAGGGAGGGATGTTGTAGGCTGGTGGGTTGGGTTGATATTAGCGTGGGATTAGGGGGTCCGGTGTGGAGCGGCTATGTATGTACATCCCTGTGGTCTACCTATTGCAGGGATGTTTTGGTGATTCTATTAGGAGCTTGTGCGGGGATTACAAAATTACTTTTGGCTAATCGGTGTGTACCATTATAATGGAGAAGGAATAGGTTCTTGTAAGGTGTGAGTTCTATTACTATGCTGTGGACTGGTGGATAGCACTTCTAATCAGCCCCCGATCTTACTGCCGGTGTTGGTAGCGATTGGCGCGGGCCGAATCCATCAGGATGAGATCGTCGGGGTTAGTACTCTATCTGACTGATACAAAGGTACAAAAGCACTTATGTGCTGTAGAGTGCAGAGCAATTGAATTTCTTAGTCAGGTCTGATCAACAACGACCCCCCAATCAGCACCGTAAGATGGAAGAAAGGACGAAGACGGAGCACAGAGCTTAGAATGTACGTGTGTACAGTGGAGACGGGGATGGGGATAGACAGTCAATGCGAGCTGACTTGAACTCAGCTGAGCAATCTACAGTCTACAGTATCCACTACCTTTTTCCCCTCTCGTTTGATCCTCATCCAACGGCCTTGAATAATGGGGACGTCCGGGTTTTGGGGTTGGATTTAACGGGCTTGTTTCAGCTTCGCTATGTAGTAGTGGGGTACGCTTGCATTTAGATGTAGATCTTTGAGCTGTTAGAACTTAGAGAGAGCAGATCTAATCCCTTGTGCTCTATGGGAGTTTGAGAGTTTGGAGTTGTACATAGATTTATTGGTAGACATTGGTGGATGAAAGGGTCCACTGTGGAGTTTGTGGCTTTTGAAATGATGGAGCTCTAAGGGTGTGGATTTTACAATTTCATTTGTATTCCGCGTGTACGAGAACGAAAGAGCGAGTTACTATCGATAAGCCGTTAGTGATCGACCGTATCATTAGATAGTGTATGGAGTATGGATACCTATGGAAATTGAAATCCACCTGCTTATAAATCTTTCAATTGTGGGGCGATCCTGTATTGAATTTGTATGTGGCGGTGCAACCTAGTGTTTGCTGTCCCTAACCTGATGACTCATCTAGACTCCGGGATCTCCGTTAGGTACGAAGTACTTCTAACTCACTCCGGAATAGCGTCTACTCGAACATTCGGTGGCTAGTGTGGTATTGCTGGCATGCATGTGGGTGTACGGAGTTAGGTACTCTACTTCGTGGATAGGATGAATGCGTGGCTTGCATGTGGCTTTGTGTTTCGTGGAATGTGTTGCACGAATGGCGTGGTAAGTTGAGACACCGGATGCTATTTGCGGAAATATATGACTGGGGCTTTCTGTGAAGGTTTTAGAGCCCATGTTGTACGTGGCTTTTGGCTTGTGATCGTGACTGGTGTATTGAAATAGAGTAGACTGGGTGGCGTGAACGCGGACAGGTGGATAGGATCGTGGCGAAGTGATATAGGCAACAGCATATCCAGGGTTATACTTGGTAGGATAGTATCAAAGGAGACTTATTGACTAGTCCAACGTTAGGGTCTCAACAACGGAGTCATTTCCTGGTCATGTTGAATAATAATCTAACGGGAGGCAATCTCGCACGTGTAGGCAACAGACTCGATAAGCATGTGAAGCCCGGCGGCATTTCTTTCGGGGACCTATGTGATCCTTGAATGGAAATACTCGGTATATTCACAGTGAAAGTGGCGGCTATCCAACGTGGCCGTTGTCTAGACCAATAAGGTTCTATACCAATGAGATGAGCGTTTACGCTTTAGAGCCGCAGAACGGTAAATCGATCATCGGTTGATGCTCAGTCGATATGATTTACAAGACATTAGGATCACGATTTGAGAGTTTTATGGTCGAGCGTGTCCAGATAGCTAAGTTGACTTGGCTTGAGGGTTGTGAACACGCCATATAATCAAGCTTCGATCTAGCTGTTTATCCTGGGGGTTGAAAATCCTTGGCATGGTGTTTTCACAAGGATTGGTAGAATTTAACCTAATTCGGGCAAATAATACAACCACTACAGTTCAAGTATCGAGGCTGTGTGCGTTTGCCTTTCGAGTCGAGAGCTTAGTATGCTATTGATGTCTGGTTTATGTCGAGTATTTCGGAATCAGGCTTGTCATTTCACGTCTTCAGATAAATATCCCCGGGAATACAAGGCACTCAGTGTGTCCCTTTGAAAGTCCAACGGGTCCTCGGTGGTGAAAGAGCTTGAAGTCGACGATGAATTATCAAGAAGGGAAATGAATCAGAAGGACGCAGTGAGATTCTGAATTCTTGGTATGTTACAGTGCCGCCCGTTATTGCCTTCCATATCTGGGAACAGCGAGATGCTCTGTCAAACCCTAATCACATGATATGCTAAACCTTATATGGAAAGGTCCGTATTTAAAGACTTGTTCCGGATTTACACGGTAACAGGGATGAAAGTATAAAACTGTATGGCCATGTACCTCTACATGTCTAAATGTCCAGAAATAACCCTTGATCCATATCCAAAAATAACCACCCCACTCACAATGTGGTCGCTCATTCACACCCCTCCCAACCTAGCAACTGTATCACCTAAACCCCTTACAAAATGGCTAGAAACATCGATTCCTGGGAGCGTAAGGTGATTATTTATATGATATGTAGCAACAATAGACTCACTACATCGCAAATAGTAAAGGTAGCCTAGTGTAGTGAGCGCTCTATCACTAACATTCGCAAGAATTTGCGGTTACTCGGTAGTGCCAGATCTCCCCCAGTCTCGGTCGGTCGATAACTAAGTATCGCCCCTGTTACAGCCAGGCGAGTTGAGGTTCAAATCGGTGCATTCAACGAAGCAACTAAATCTAGAGAGGAAAGGGAGAAGAGAAGTTCTATCTTGCCAGAAGAGATTGCCTTTATAGGGCCCTTCTCTGGTAACTCCCGTCCGTCCTGGGAAGTTCCATGTTCGCACAAACACGCATTGACCAGTTCGATCAATCTCCTTAATCCTCTAAGCCCAGTCCTTAGTCTCCGAATCGTAACAGCCCCTGTCATACTCGACGCCCTCTATGACCACCTCGCCGAAAAACCTAGCCTATACGTTGAAGAGATAGCTATCTTCCTATGGGATAAGTTTAATATATTACTATCGTTATCTAGTATTAAGCGTGCTCTTTCCTATGCTGGCTAGACAAAAAAGAAAGGATAACAGAAAGCCAAAGAACAGAACTCTTGTCAACATATAGATGTTATGGGGTTATGTGATAGAAGACCCGCTACCCCTCATCGCGTCTAGATCTTCTCTATAAGATTCTCTCGAATTGATCTTTAACGATCTCGCATTGAATTGTCTATGTAGGCAGGAGACTACGTAACACTCCGAGATACTCTCAATCTTTCATGTGATCTTTTACCATGTATCTAATGATATAAATACCGCCCTGTTTCCTAGTTAAATTGAATTAAGTTTGACATCGTTGTTGATCAAGGACAGAAATCTTCGGCACTTCTTCTGCCACTACGCCCTGTCTTGGTCGGTCATTCTTCACCTACACGATTGTGGTGCTTTGACTAGTACGCATAATCACCCTACGCGACCGTGGTGCTTTTACTAGTACGCACTGTCAAGATCCACGACTTTATGGCCACTGCCTAAAGTCCGACAACTCTTAACTACGAGATTTCTATCAGCATAAGCTATCCGAATTCCGGTCATATTATCTTGTGTTTGTCGATGAGTCTGGATGTGATAAAAGGATTAGATATAGGCGAACTGGCTGGCCACCCCTCGGTGTGAGACCGGTCCAAGTGTCGAAATTTCATCGCGGCCAACGCTTCCAGATACTACCTGCATATACTCAAGGCGGCATCATTCTGTCCCGTATTTTCAACGGTTTAACTGGGGCCACGTTCTTCGAATCTTTTCCACGAGCAGAGTAGAAAGCTAAGGACGCACGTTCGGCATAGGATAGCTTCGGTATTTCTGCTAGGCCAGAACAAATAGGGATACGGTTTTGTTTCCTTTTTCTAAGCCCAATTTCGCATCTTAGGAGAAATTTTGTTGGTTTCAAAGACGAAGACTATGTTTTAATATTATGTCTGAGGTTTGTAGTAACGTGTTACGACGGCGTATCTAACGGCGACGGTCTAGACATAATACGGTGAAGCGTACTTAAATCTTCGTAGAAGATTCCATAAAAAAAGTATCTAATTAGTACATCATAGCTAGTGAAGCAGTCTAGAAATAATCCCCACAACAGTCTCGACAACTCATATCATCACTTTCGTCCCTGATTAATTTCTACACGCTGACGCCAAGAAACACTAACATTATTTAGGTAAAGCACGTGCTATAAGCTCACTATTTCAGGGAATCACATGGTAATACTATATAGAACTTCGTAGCCTACCGTCACCTCGCAACAGAGTGCTGGTCGTACTATCACTTTTCAATAATTATTATTGAATAACAGATTGCTCAATTCAATTCCAATGTAAAAATTCAGTGTTCAATCTCGGAGTATATAGAATTAACCTCTCTCATTATTCGTATGGCTTGTACCGCTTACGCCCTCAATATGCTTATCAGTGATTTGCCGATGGAGAGGGCTTTTCTGTGGACTAGCACTCCTCCTATGTGGATCTTCGTTGGCATCCTTATTAGCATTGCTTGCGGCAGGGACAGGGGAGTAAGGTTGCGAGATGCTTTCTCGGTGGGGATGCGCTGCGCCTGTTTGAATAGAACCATTATCGGTTACACGATGAGCGGCGGAAAGAGCGAAATCTCCAGAGTCAAAGTACGTTCTTTCCTATACGATATCAGCTCGAACCGGTGTAGTGGACAATATTCTACCTACTTTGGACTTCTGAGCAAGTAAGCCTCCACCTGCTAGCTTTCCGTACTTTCCGAAGAGACGCTTGTCATTTTCGGACAGTGGCTAGGGTAATATTGTAAGAGGCTTTACTTCTAGGTATTATGGAAGGGAAGGTCATACTTCGGGGCTTTGTCCCTTGTTTCCTGGCTGCATTGTGGCAGATAAGCTATCTGTATCTTTTCTTCGACCTCGTGAGGGAGACTGTTTGTCAAGAAAAGTACTCAGAGCTGCCGAAAATATGGTGACGTTTTTGCAAGTTATGTGGCGTGATCCAGTGGTGATTAGTCATCTATCCTGTTGATAACGTAACGTAATTCCCGGTCGAGTCGGTCACCCGGTCGAGCCGGTCACTTTCCCATAGAAGAGCAATTCAAAATCGATTATCTCAACCAACACCGATTAATTTAACTAGATATAGCGATTTTTACATACATTAATCCTATGGCCAATCTCCCTGCACCCACTACACCTAGGTGGTGCCCTCTTTGCTGGCATAATTGGCTGACTAGGCAATTCAATCTCTGCATGCGAATCTACCTCATTATCTTCCTCTGGCTGGTTTAGCTGCTTAGCTAGCTGTATAGCCTCTTTAATGGTTAAACTCTCTGCGCAGGGTATCCTCCTAGTTGACCGATTGCGCTTTTTGATCATCTTCTCACTCGCTATACGTAGATTCGCATTATCCTCTGCTAGTAAAGCACCGCTGTGTAGCGCTAGCTGGAATCCCTTGATTATCTGGTCTAAGATCTCTTTTGATAGGCTCGGAGGGCTATTTGACCGCCATTTTAGTAGATCTTTTAACATAGAAGCTTGCTTGAATAGCTGAGCGGCGGTTCTAGGCGTTTGGGGTGTGAATTCGCTAGATCTGCTGTTTGGCCGGCTGCTAGGTGGTGACGGAGTACGTAGAGAGATATTAAGCTTGTTAAGCACTCTCTCGGGGTCTTATGGTACTAGACCACTAGCTACGAAGCTGTTTTTGATAGTGGGATTGGTTGATTAGAACGCTTCGAGCCGCGCGCGCTGGTAATCCACTAAGAAATCGTGCTTGTCGATATGGTTATATCCTTTACGCGTAAGATCGCTTACGAAGCGACCGTACGCGCGCTTTAGTACTGTAAAGCCCATCAAAAGGAGGGCCATGTGGGTCAAAAAAAAACTTATCCATAATAACCTTTTAGTTTTTTTTTTGCAGATGTCTCTGTGGCTCTGATTGTGGACACCATTTATTATGCTGTTATAATCGACTAGAGTGTGGTTAATGCCGAGTTTTTGGGGGTTTATCGGAGATCAGAGACTATTCGACTTGAGGCAGTTCTGATATCCCTTGATGTGAAATTTATAGGCCAGTGGAGGTAATGGCCTCGGGGGTAGCGCCGGCATTTGAGATGACTGAGTTTGAGTGGGCGATACGCGATTTGATTTGGATCTCAGTAGGGGTAGAGTGATCTTCGCTAACTTTCCTTGGCCTCTGATTGCAAGGACTGCATATGCTTTTAGTTTGGTACTTCGAGTCGTTAAGTGACTTGTGGATGGAATTTCCTCTCGTTTGTACTATCATCATTGCATTTAATCCGTTATCTAGGTCTGGTCTTTGAGGGGTTCATAGAAAAGCTCTCCGGGCGTGTTCTATCCCGGTTCCCATGTGCCCATGTTACTCGCGGGGCATAATGGATTCTTTATTTTATGGGATGGTAGAGACCTCTAGAATGCTACGTTATGCGATCAAGCGTGAAGAAACTATATGGAAGAACTTACATGGAGAAACTTATATACGTATTATATCTCATTCCCGGGTGTTCATGGAAGAAACAACCTCCTAGCAAAGCGTCTCCGACAACAACATTGCTCACACAACTGCCTCAGCACCGGGACATTCCCCTCTTTAAAGGCATATGTATGACTCGCCTCTTCACGAGCAATCACAACCTCACACTTCCCAAATGTATTTTCCAACCAACGATCCAGAATCGTCTTCTGGCAGGGACACATATCATCCTGGAACAGGAGTTGCGGCCACTCAGACACAATGACAAAGTCACAGCCAGACTGCTCCAGACACATAGATGCCACGCCTAGTCGCAGTGTGTCCCAGTCAATATTCGCTGGTATCCATGGTACCCCCTCGGGAAGAGGACTCTTGGTCTGTACCCAGTTCTGTCCCCATATCTCGAAATTGAGGGATCGGGCGACGGTCGTCCAGAAGACCCGGTTGTTGGGTGTAGGCATGAGAACCCCGTTCTCCGTGGCGTCGAGGAGTTGTTCCATTCTCAGGGATCCAGGCTCGACTGCTAGCTTTGTGAACGTGTATTTCTCATGGCGCACAATCTCGATCACTCCAATTGTGGACGTGGGTGTTTGTTGGGGCAGCATCTTCCTCCAGCTTGCCTCTTTGCGGAAACAGGGCTCGAAGTTTGGGTATTTACCCGGAATTATGAAGTTCCTTGACCTTAGTAGTAACTGAGGTAATACGATCTCTTCGATGAGTGGGTTTGTTGTGCAGCATTTGGCGTTGGCTTTTGCCGGTTTGAAGCAAAGTGCTTGTTGGAGTTGGATGGAGTGGGTGATTATCTGTTTCCATCGTTGACAGACTTGCTGAACTTTCAGGATGGATCTCATGTCCAGCTGGAGCATGATCGCCTCCAGGAGCTCCGTTGTACCAAGGACGGTAGCAAGAGCTGGGATCTGGAGCTCTGTGTCGCTCTGGCTGCGACGGTCCTGTACACTAAGGGTTGAACTCGAGGCATGGTTTGACAGGGTCGACCGGGCCGATTGGTGAACGAGAGATTCCCCCCCCATTTTTGTTATCTCCAGTGTGGCTGATGGTGTACCTACTCTCGGTCAGTAACTCCTATGGCCCACGCATCGAGCATCTACCCAGGTACTCACAGGTCGCGGTCGGTGGGTCTCAATTTCAATAGTCGCCAGAGTTGTTGGTCAGGGTTTGGCGTAATTATCACTAGTACCGCTCTTCGGGAGTATATTGTAGTTTATTTGGTAGGAGAAGGTAGAATGAGGGGGGTATTGCGACATGGTGGTGATGCCGTCTTATACTCTTGGGCCACAAGGTCCCTGAAGGACCATGTGCGCCATGGCCGTCTTCGGCCATCTTCTTTCGGGTTTCTTGGGGGTACTCGATCTGGTTCTCTTTAGACTCTCTTTTGTTAGTTGCCGGGCTGTCCAATTTTTCGGTTTTTCTCAATTTGTGACTGGGGATTTCCTCGGGTCGTGCCATGAGTCTGTAGGCTGGTCCTCTCTTGCATTGCAGCCTCTGGTGCGGTCAGCTAGGTCGTGGTGGTGTGAGCTGAGTTCTTTTTTTATCTTGTAGCTGTTAGATTGATATCTCTTTGCTTTGGTTAATTTCTACTTTCGTGTTCATCATTTTGTTTGGCATTTATGTTGGATGTTGAGGACGGAGGTGGTGTACTTCGAGGGTGTTCCAGTGCCAAGACAAGTTGAACCCCTGCGGTCGGGTTGAACCCCCAGTTGAACCCCAGTTGAACCCCCCTGGTCCGAGCACCTCGAAATTGAGCAATCTTTTCGCATCGTATGCACCAATTGGGGCTTTTTGTATGATTTGGCGGTCTCCATCTACATTTCTAGTGTTGAGGTTTTGTCTCCAGGCGTTTTTTACTCATATTTGACTAGTTGTGTAAGTTGGTCTACGGTAATCGTGGTTGTTCAGAGTGGTAATATATATTCATAGTATGTAATCACTCCTCTACCACACTCGAAACACCAACATACACACTTACTCAAACAACATCACCTAAACGAACAAAAATCATGGAACCGAATAAAACTTAGATACTATGTTATTACAAAGCTAGAGACAACCACCAAAAACTGCAAAATTGACAAGATCAGAATGTTGTGTTACCGGACATGGACATAGATCGAGTCCAATGCAATTGGCCATACTAGAAAACAACAAGGATCCATACTTGGAGCATTCAAATTGGCAATGATACCTATGAGCCATACAATTGATGACAGAACGGACAGAAGTACATGGGAGCTATAATGTCGATACAATCATACCAACAAGACTTGACACGCTGCGACCAAACGGGAAAGCGAACGCGTCCATACATAAACAACGCGACGATGGAACGGAATACACCAACACCCAACGAACAAAACAATACAAAGACTACGGTGATAATTCAAATTACAAAGAATAAGCATTATTGTAGTTTCCAGTTAATTGTATTCGTATCGGATCATTGATCCTTTCCACCGTTTCGAGTGGTGCCAGCCGTGATTGTAGGAGGCCGCTATGATACAGGAAAGCTCAGAGAAGGCGAACACTAGCAGACCCATAGTGGACGCGAAAAGTGGTAGTCGTTGTAATGAAAAAGCAAACCCAGAGACCCATGACGATTGTAAAATAAATCAGAGAACACCCCAACGTCCCATCATACCGTGAAACAGCCCGGAAAAGAGAAAACACATGACACGCTTAACCACCGAAACCGTAGAGGGTACCTGGAAAGAGGAAGTGTCAGAAAAAGACGCGTCAAGACAAGGACGTGACGGAAGAAACTTACGGCCCTGGCGCTTGAGAGCGTAGACGACGTCAAGAGAAGTGACGGTCTTGCGCTTGGCGTGCTCAGTGTAGGTGACGGCGTCACGGATGACACCCTCGAGGAAGGTCTTGAGGACACCGCGGGTCTCCTCGTAGATCATGGCGGAGATACGCTTGACACCACCACGACGAGCGAGACGGCGGATAGCGGGCTTGGTGATACCCTGGATGTTGTCGCGCAAGATCTTGCGGTGACGCTTGGCGCCGCCCTTGCCGAGACCCTTGCCACCCTTGCCACCTGAAGAAGGGAAGACGCGTTAGTGATTCTTGCAAGACGCGTCTTGGTAGAAGATGCGATGTGGGGGAGATGAACCCAATCGAGGGAATGGGTCTTCATCAAGAAAGAAGAGAAGACTTACGTCCAGACATGATGATATGAGGTTAGTGAAGTTTTTGAAAAAGGTTGAAAAAAGTGGAGAGACTTTGTGTTGTCGGAGTTGGATGGGGAAGAAGAGGAGGAGGGCCGAGGGGTAAAAGGATATTTGTAGCAGAAGTTGCTGCTGGGGAAGTCCGTCCCAAATCACGTCGGATCACGCGCTAGTGGGCGGATGAACCAATCAGAGCTGAGGATCCTCAGGGCCGCTGATCTGCCAGGCGGGCGGCTCACCATTGCTGCTTAGTCACCCCGTGATCCTGATCTGGTCTGATTCGTACCCTCCCCCTCCAACTATGCCAGCCCCGATCCCCTGGGATTGGAAAACTGGCCCATCCCTAAGAGTATGGCATGTAGAATACCTCCGATCATTCTAATCAACCCTGCCACCCTTTCCAGCGCGGAGATCAGAGAGTAGACAGGAATGGCATTCTAGATCAATGATCCTGCACGCTGATTGGCCGGATCACGGGCCAGACTCGCTTAGACTATCGGTTAACCAATCAGATCGCGTGATTTTGGATACTGCACAATCGCCCAGGCAAGTGATCTGCCAGCGCAATTTCTGATTGGCCCACCCGCAAACCGCCAGATCACTCACCCCCCTTGGCCACTCCTACAAATACCTTCCCCCCACCCTCCACTTCTTTCCTCCTTCATCCCTCCAACGACCTTCATCGACAACCAAACTTTTCCATCATCAACACATCCACTTTCATCATCAAAGATGGCTCGTACCAAGCAGACTGCCCGTAAGTTTATCTTGCTTCGCTTCACTTCCAGTCGCTCGCTTCTCTCGCTTCCATCTTCGTCATCGTCTCATTTGGGTTATGGCCTTGTGCCATTTCCATTTTGGGACGAGTGGAGGGGTTCCGGGACGCGACGCGTCTCATCCAAAACAACTTGCGCTAACCACCCTTCTCTTTACAGGTAAGTCCACTGGTGGCAAGGCTCCCCGTAAGCAGCTCGCCTCCAAGGCTGCCCGCAAGGCCGCCCCCTCCACCGGCGGTGTCAAGAAGCCCCACCGTTACAAGCCCGGTATGTATCCTTCAACCATCCTTGCAATACACATCGAGCATCTTGTTCTAACAAACCACCCACAGGTACCGTCGCTCTCCGTGAGATCCGTCGCTACCAGAAGTCCACTGAGCTGCTCATCCGCAAGCTCCCCTTCCAGCGTCTGGTCCGTGAGATCGCCCAGGACTTCAAGTCCGACCTCCGCTTCCAGTCTTCCGCCATCGGTGCTCTCCAGGAGTCCGTTGAGGCCTACCTCGTCTCCCTGTTCGAGGACACCAACCTGTGCGCCATCCACGCCAAGCGTGTCACCATCCAGTCCAAGGACATCCAGCTGGCCCGCCGCCTCCGTGGCGAGCGCTCTTAGATGGAACATTTCTTTATTCCACTAATCAGCTGCTTTTCTTGTCGACAAATCTTCTGGGAAGGCGATCGGGGTTCTGCTTTTTCTTTCATGACTACTGGCGATCAACATGACGGGTTTTTGCTTTCTTTCCAATATCAAATGGGCTCGGAATCAATGGGTTGTTTCTGAATTTTGCTTTTTATTATCTCGCTGAATCAATGCTACTGTCATCCTCCTCAACCTTGACTGGCTTGGGGACCGGATGGTTCAGTCATGGGCATGTACATTAAGGAATTACCTCTTAGCACGGTGTCTTAGCGCACACCATCTCATGACATAGACGCTGAAAATGCGATCTTCTATGATTCAACCCACTTCCAATTTTCCTTCCATGTAACGATGCTTTGAAATCCTGTGTTCAGCGACTGGACGCGTTGTTATTGTTTGCCGCGCTTGTGGGGCTACACTCTTGTCGCGTCGAGTGGTCTACTGCGTTGAGGCCAAAGTCTGGTCATGATACGGTGGATGTAGAAGACTCTTGACTGCGATACCCATGTGGCCTGTATCTGCACCTGATTTTTCTCTATTGTGGATGAACATGGGGCTTCTCAAATATCAAGTTCGATGTCTATCGTAGATGGTAAATTTGCAGTCAACGATGGTAACCCAAGTCTATGTCTGACAACTCTATCATCAAAGATAGTTGCCCCCGTTCAGCATCTGAGCAGTTACTGGCACCCCGTTTCCAAATAAACAAAGCACTGAAATAAAGGTTATAGGTACAGCATCAAATGGGAAATCCTTTCAATATCTACAATAGATCTACTACCCCTCCATTTAAGAATCTTCCACCCTCCCATGCGGCAATGTAGAAGGCCCCTGCTGCGCGACCGTCGCGGGGTCGACAAAGAATGCGTCTCCAGGCAGCGCCACCATGAGAATAGCGAGAAGCATACTACGCACTACAGTAGCCCTCTGCCCTTCTCGAAGATAGATTTCTCTTCTGACGAGTTCTCCTGCTCAAACCCCCGCCAAAAAACGACTCTGCGCATCTCCCTGGCCGTGTAGAGCCTGGCCCTGATCCAGGGGCTGCCTGGCGCAGCGGGTGGATAATTTTCTGCCTCAGGTATACGTCATGATGAACAAAGTCCATCGAAACGAGAGCGAAACTTGATCTTCTGATCCTGCATGATACAAGGGGTATATCCGAATAAAAATCACATTTCCATATTCTCCGAGTCGCTAGAAATTGAATGATATTATTTTTATATCCTAGATCCTTCCTAGAACCCAGATCACAGCCTTCCAATTCTACACCCTTTCCACAGTGTACATGCAACGAAGGTGGGGCAACCGAGAAGCCATGATCGAGACTTTCTATTTTGCAGCCTTAGGCAGGAAAGAAATTTCCAACATGGCCTGGCGCTTGGGTAATTTTCCGGTGGCTGCCCTGCAGCAGAATTTTCCTTCGGGGGTTCTCCTTGGGACTTGCTTGCCACCCGATTTGTGGTTTTCGGCGTTGCCGTGCCTCGGTCGGATTTGATTTGTTGGGTTGAGAACTTGAGATGCCCTGATCCAACGGTCGGGTTCCGTTGGTTCATGGCATACCTGGGGATTTGAGATTATACAAATTTGATTTAACTATGGATGCGAGGAGCTATAGAGTACATGCTGTACTGTCAAATGGCAGGGTTATATTTCAGGCGTGGTTCATCCCAGTTGTGTGTATATAGTATACACTTTGGACAATCATCATGGTTGATCTGAGTATTGGCGGCTTTTTTACACCGTTTCTCTACAAGAAGATAATTTGAGATTCTCGACAGCCCCCGTCTATTATATTTCTAACTCCCAAATAGAGATCATGATACTGGATCAACCCTGCATCTATGGCAGCCCGACGCTCCATCGGGAACTCGTAACCTTAATTTTCAGGTGTCCATCATCACCAGTGGAAATCTGCTCAAGAAATCTTCTGATCCGGCCCTCGATATTAGGTTCATCGGTGAGAAATCAATAGGATAGACTCAATCACAAACAAGCATTCCAATAGACCCATTTTAATGGCTATGGCAGTTGATCGGCATGGCCCGAAGCTCACCAGTGAGTGGGACGTGGTTGCAGAGGTATATATTGACGAACGATAATCGTCAAGCCATTTAGTCCATTGAATATTTTGATGTTTACATATCCCAAGCAGGCTACATATTCGGTATAATTGTAATCAACAAATGAAAGTGACAAATCATTATAAATCCAACATTTTGAAAGTTCAAGAAGAAGGTAGCCTATTTATGAAGAACCCTCGTATGAAGGGTCCGTCGACACAAGGCTGGCATAAATAAGGATTTCGGGGTTGATGTTTAGTGCTTATCAATTCTAGAGCAATTCGGATTTCAGACCCACCCAGTAGGGTTGGTTGCATCAGAGTATTATAAACGGAATAATAATGAACAAGATGACAGAATTATACCTAGATCGACATCAGATCTACCTGTGTTGTATTGCTGACTGCTCTACGATGCGAAGATTCGGAACCCGGAGCCCACATCCTGGGACTCATTGGGTGCGGCGTCTGTATGTGATGAAGCCATCGACGGATGTGGCCCTTGCACGATAAGAATCTGACCGAACCCTTTGACATTGAAGCTATTGTAGATGGATATGGATCGTGGTTGTTTACCCGGGAAGTTACTGTATGTGGAGATTAAAATAAATACAAGGAACAATACTATTTGAATGATTAAATATCGATGCAACTCACTTCTTAGAATTAGACCCTGAATGTTCGCGAACTCGATCACCTTCAGAAATTGACCCATCACAATGATAAACAACCCGACTGTTTCAGACTGTTAAGTCCGAGACTTGCCAAGGCCCGTGCCGAGTACCCGGCGCCCCAGCAAACGTGGCTTTGTGCCGTGCATAACCCCCGTCACGTGGCGCTGGTTGTTTGCGTCATTCTGCAATCAGACCTCGTGTATTCCTAGTTTCTCGCGCCCTTCGACACGGGCTCTTATTTTAGCCGGGTGAATTTTATCGGAATTAAGGAAGCATTCTGTGACAGCCTTGACTGTCATCGATGACTCGACTCTCATATATTTCCATCTCGAATATACTATGTACAGTACCTGAGCATAGCATAATGGGGGCCCATGGGTCGGCATTCGGTATCCACTTATTTTTTTTCTGCATCCAAGCTCGACCATTTCTAAGCAGAGCTAGTGACCAACCGTGTTTCTTGTTGCTGGGGCGTTGGTTTCCTATTCCAAGGTAGATATGCACAGTGGACATTTTTATGTAGCTTAATACCTAACACCGGTGTACATCCGTCCCTGAATCTACGGATGAATGTACGAAAAACTAGGACGCCACAAATCCTGGACCCATCGCCTGACTCGTAGCCTTGTAGGAGATTTCTATCCATTGCCATCATTCAAAAGGGGGCCCTTGGTCCTGGACCTTCTGGAAGAAGTTATTTTATTCTCTCTCTACAATTACATCTCGCTATCTACTCAACTCCTAATCTCTAATCCAGCACCGTCCCGAATCCCGTATTCCATTTCTTCCTATCGGCCTCCCCCGCAAACGGTGCATAACTAGGGTTTCCTACTATCCTCCCAAAACCAAACATAAACCGGGAAAACCCCGCGCATTATTATTTTGGTGGCATCTTTCCCCGGTCCTTATTATTTGACTATTTCTCTGCGTCATCAATATCTCCCACCTACTGCGTCTTTTCCTTCGCATCGCATCCCGTCTGCCTGACGAGCTACGCTATACTATACAACATCTCGCGAAGCCCACTCTCATACATCCGCCCACTATGGCGGGCTACGACGAGAAAAATGGATCTGAAAAGATCGAATCCACTCTCCCCACCTCTATTCCTTACTTCCGCCTGGTCTTCGATCAAGGTGTAGTCACCCAGCAGATTGTCAGCCACCCATATCCCGGCTCCGGCACTGAAGACGACCCTTATGCCGTGACATGGATCCCCGATGACCCTCGTAACCCGATGGGTTTCAGCCAGTTGAAGAAGTGGAGTTTCACTGCCGTGGTGGCTATTGCGACGCTGGCTGTTGCATTGGTCTCTTCTGCGTACACTGGTGGTGTTGAGGAGATCGAAGAGCAATTCGGCATCGGCAGCGAAGTTGCTACTCTCGGTGTCTCGCTTTTCGTCGTTGGTTTTGCTGTAAGTTGATTCCCTGCCCGGTGCAAGCTCTATTTAGCTTGCCTGAGCTTGAGCTCGAGCTTCCTATGTTGCAGGAATGACAACTAACATGTCATAGGTTGGTCCCCTGCTCTGGGCTCCTCTTAGCGAATTGTTCGGCCGTCAAATCCTCTTCACTACTACCTATGCAGCCCTCACTGCATTCAACGCTGGCTGCGCCGGTTCCAAGAATGCCTACACCCTCATCATCCTCCGTTTCTTCGCCGGTGCCTTTGGATCATCGCCCCTTACCAACGCCGGTGGTGTCATCGCCGATATGTTCTCTGCCAAGCAGCGCGGTATCGCCATGAGTCTGTTCGCTGCCGCCCCCTTCCTGGGTCCCGTTCTGGGCCCTATCATCGGTGGTTTCCTGGGTATGAACGAGGGTTGGAAGTGGGTGATGGGCTTCCTGGGTATCTTCTCCGGTGCTGTTTGGATCATGGGCTCTCTCCTTATGCCCGAGACCTATGCGCCAGTGCTGCTGCGCCGCCGTGCTGAGAAGCTCTCAAAGCTTACTGGCAAGGTCTACCGCAGTAAGATTGATATCGACCAGGGCAGACTTTCTCTGAAGGAATCTTTCAAGATTGCCTTGTCCCGTCCCTGGATCCTCCTCTTCCGCGAGCCTATCGTTTTCCTGCTATCGCTGTACATGGCTATCATCTATGGTACTCTGTACATGATGTTCGCTGCTTTCCCCATTGTTTACCAGGTCGAACGTGGCTGGAACCAGGGTATTGGTGGTCTTGCTTTCCTGGGTATCATGGTTGGCATGTTGATTGCCGTCGTCTATACCCTCTGGGATAACAAGCGCTACATCAATGTCCAAGAAAAGCACGATGGATTCGCGCCTCCCGAAGCCCGCCTGCCCCCGACCATGGTTGCTTGCATTGCTATCCCTATCGGTCTGTTCTGGTTTGCCTGGACCAACTACCCAAGCGTCCACTTCATGGTCAGTATCGCAGCCGGTGTGCCCTTCGGTTTCGGTATGGTTCTCGTCTTCCTCGGCATCATGAACTACCTAATCGACGCATACACCATCTTCGCCGCCTCCGTCTTGGCCGCAAACTCCGTTATGCGTTCCCTCTTCGGTGCTGCATTCCCTCTCTTCACCACGTACATGTACAACAACCTCGGCATCCACTGGGCGTCCTCGATCCCCGCTTTCTTGGCGCTGGCTTGCGTGCCCTTCCCCTTCCTGTTCTACAAGTATGGTGCCGCCATCCGTACTCGCTGCAAGTTCGCTGCCCAGTCCGAGGCCTTCATGCGCAAGATCCAGGAACAGGCTACTGCCATTCCTAGCGAGGAAGAAGAGGAGAAACTCGAGTTCGACCGCACCGAGGCTCCCGCCCCGCACGAGCCTTCTCTGTCTAGCTCCTCCTCCCACGCCGAAGATGAGCCCATTGCGGCTCAACGTACCCGCAGCCGAGCCCACTCAACCGCGTCGGCTCGCACTATGGGCTCGCTGGCTCGCGTACCTACCTACGAAGGAAACCCATACGTTGTTGACCGTATCAACACCCGCGAATCCTTCAAGGCTTAAAGAAGCACTCTCACAATTCCCCACTCCCTTCTCTACCATCTTTCCAACTCTCGCCTCTCGCACTATACACAAGTGCCTTCCTCTATCCTAATCCTAGTGTCTACCTGCTCTCTCCCTCGTCACTTTTTCTACCAAAAAGCTTCCTCCTCACTTGTCTTTTGCATTGTGCGGTGACTATACTCCCGCCTGTTCTTGCATTTTTTTGTTTGGATTGTTTGATACCTTATTTCCCCATGTGTATACACTCGGGAACGACCTCATGTATTTACGGGCTTCATTATTACCCTGCATATAGATCTGGAGTTGGTTTTGGATATAGCGTGATTCATTTTGAATGAATATTTTCTGAAAAAAAACCGTTATATTGTAAATTATAGACTGTAGGTTGATATACGAAGTATACACTTCTTCTCTAGATTCTTTCGTTGTAGTGACTCCAAGATCGTAATCTCTCGGCGATCTGATCTCATTTCTACTGGTAGTTCCGCCCGGGAATAACTTTTATCGGAGAATCACGGCATTTCCGCGGGCCGACTTCCGAATCCTGGTAACAGCTGACTCTGATTTTTAATCTCACTCTCTTCCTTCTATCGAAAAGACACCTCTTTTGTTTTTTTGTTGACTCACCTTCTTTTTCAGCATATACCCAATAGACCATTATTTACTTGTTTATTCTTTGACTCCTCCCGCTCGGAAACACCTTCCGTTATCGGTACTTTTCGTTTCTCCCTTATCGCCACAATCGGACTTAGCCCCCCCCCCCCCGTGTATGCCTGAGTCACCCCGGATTTTTTTTCTTGTTCACTGTGGTCATATCTGGTCGTTACCCACTGTGTATGACGAGTATCTGAATACCCAGAGATGAGTCTCTTCCAAAGGGGACTCGGTGCCCAAGCATCGGCGTTTGCGACTCGTCCTCGCCCGATCAACCCCAATATTCGAGCACCGCTACGACGGGTGCGCCAGCCGCGACGACACAAATCCTCCGATGCCCCGACGACGCCTGAGACACCTGCAGAGCGCAAGATTGGCGGTGATGGAGTGACCGCGAATGCGCCTCCAAAGAATACCCCGTCAAATGCCCCGTCTCCGTCCCCAGCCCAGCCTGTGAATACCGCCGCGGCAGTGACAGCCGCCGGCGCAGCGACGGCTCCGGGTGCTGCGAATGCGGTGGTGAAGTCTAAAGGACTGCGCGAGATTATAAAGGCCGGTCCGCTGGGACAGCTGGGCAGGTGGTACTCGCGTGTGCAGGAGCGGAAGCCGTATGCGACGCAGTTCTACAGCTCTATTGTTATTTATTTGTGTGGAGACTTGAGCGCACAGTTGATGTTTCCGTCGGAGGCTCCTCAGCCTGCAAAGTCCGCGGATAATGATGCTAAGGCATTGGAGGGTGAGGATGAGAAGGAGGTTAGTCGTGGGGGTGGATATGATCCGTGGCGGACGGTGCGACACTTGATTGTGGGCGCTGGATCAAGTATCCCGTCATATAACTGGTAAGTACCTGCACGTGCAAGCTCGATCAGGACACTTCTGTGAAGACTCGAAAGACTAACCTCGAATTCTAGGTTCATGTTCCTCCACAATCACTTTAACTACTCCTCCAAAATCCTCTCTGTCCTGACAAAAGTCGTTGTTCAACAAATCTGCTTCACTCCCGTCTTCAACACCTACTTCTTCAGCGTGCACTCCCTCCTCGCGGGTGCCTCTCTCGAGGAAACATGGGAGCGCCTCAAGAAGGCTCTCCCCGTCAGCGTGACCAATAGCGTCAAGCTCTGGCCCGCCGTCACTGCCTTCAGCTTCATGTACGTCCCGGCGCAGTTCCGGAACGTATTCTCGGGTGTCATTGCCGTTGGTTGGCAGACGTACTTGAGCTGGCTGAATCAGAAGGCTGCTCGTGAGGTGCTGGCGGAAGAGAACAAGGCTTTGAATGTACAAGTGATGGCTGAGAGCTTGGCTCCTGCAACTGCTGCTGCGTAGGATGAAGCTTGTTTAGAGTTTCTGATGTTGGGCATTTGTATAGATTTCATGTCCTGTCATTTGCGGGCGTTTGATTCATTGGTGGCTTTTGGAGCGATGCATTGCATTTTTGTCATTGGATAGATACCAAGCTTCGATCATAGATATAGACTTTTCTTTCTGTTGTTTCTCAGTCAACTATCATTTTGACAAAAGAATATTCTGCATAAAGTAATAGCTCGCTGAAAGCGTCGAGAAATCAACTTGATCGCTGTTTGTCAAACCTGAATTCCAAATGTAGTTTACCTCCTCGGAGCCTTCCGCGATGACGTTCGCGCCTCAACCTTCTCTTCCTTCAACTCTTACATCCCACACAGGACATGACCCCCCTCAACAGTCGCAGGCATGTCCTGCCCACCGCAAATATCGCGGCCTGAAGTCTCCGATTCCAGCGACTACGGATCCGACTTTACCCCAGATGAAGAGGAGCTACTGAACGAGCTAGTCACCACAGCTGCCGCGGAACACGCGACCGTCCAACGCGACGCCACCCCAGTGTCAACACCAACACCAAATCATATCTCCGAAGACACAATCACTACGCCAGTCGCGGCAACACTTGAAGATCTCGACTCCCTTCAACCGGCGACTATAGCGGCGCTAGTCGCAGATATCGAAGATGCTGTCACGAATGCCCCGGGCGTCCGCCTGCCGAAGGTATTGGGCCGAGAGAAGCCTGGTTCACCATGGAGACGTTCGAGCCAGCGACTTTGGCCTGGGCCGACGAGCCCACGGAGCCCTATGGCAAGCCAGGGCTCAAACAACAGTCGTTCCCAGATTGGTATGAGAGTGTCTGGTTTCATTATCTTTGAGGGATCTATGGATTGCTCTCCATCGTCCTGAGTTAGGCTAACACGTAGATCTCCGAAGCGTTTAGTGGAGCATCCTGGATCAACCGAAGGACGAGAACGAGAACGAGAGCGCAGTGCAGTGCGCGAGCTTGAATGGACGCGAGAGACCCAACTAGCCCCGACGCTGGAAACGAGGACCCCCGTGGAGCGGTTTCGACGGCCGCCGAATAAGGCGTTCTCGGTTACTGATTTGGTTTCCCCTGCTTGGTGTGAGCTGCAGTATTGGTATACCCTGACCAAGCATGGGCGGAAGAGAAGGACGCCTGCTATGAAGAAGGGGAGCGTCGTGCATAAGACGCTTGAGGATGAGATATACACTACGGTCCCGGTGGAGATTAAGACTAAGGAGGATGCGTGGGCACTGCGGATTTGGAATGTTATACAGGGTCTGCGGATGTTGAGGGAATATGGCATCACGCGTGAGCTGGAGATTTGGGGCGTTGTTGATGGGGAGTTGGTCAATGGGGTTATTGACCAGCTTTCTTACGAATGTCCCGACTCCGAGCTTGAGGCTACGGCTGCTGGATACTATGAGGATGCGGGAAAGTCACGGGCTGCTTTGCCTGAATATCAGATGTCGTTATCTGATTTCCTGTTGTCTTCTGCTCAGGGTGGAAAACGAATTTCAGATCTCGCTGACCTGGGAGCTCCCGGGGAAGTGCCTCCTCCCATTGAAGATAACCCGGCGGTTTATGGGTTGCCACGGATATACATGACGGATGTCAAGACAAAAGCCGGTGGCTCTGTCCCGACAGTCAAGAGCACATCTTTCCGACCGACTTTACTCCAACTACAACTCTATTACCACATGCTGAGCCGTCTTATCACGAGCGACGATGTCACAATGGATGTGCTCGCAGCGCGCTACAATCTCGACCCTGAGAAACCATTCACTGATGCATTTATATCAGAGGTTGGCGGCTTGAACGATGAATTCTTCGATGCCGTCTCATCACAGGAATTCGATTTAGATGATGTTCCTACACCCGAAGAGGCGGTGCAAGCCTCTCATGGCTTTGGCCCAGCTTCCAGTCCTCCCCATGCCAGTCAGGACTCGACGAGTATTCTCCTGACTCATGGAACCCTTCACCGTCTATGGAGATACATGAAAGAGCAACTTCGCCTTACCTTCATCCCCACGTTCTCGCCACATGAAGAGTCCGTGGCACCATCTATCCCCTCGTTGACACAGCCAACGATGCTCGAAGACTATCCTACTCTCCTCTCCCCAGTCCTTACGGCCCGTTTCCTCTCGTCAGCTCCTACGACTGATCTCCACCCAAAACTCCTGGGAAGCAGGTCTTTCCTATTCGACCCGAACACGATGTCATCCTATCTCACTGACCAGATGGAGTGGTGGCGCGGCCAGCGCAATCCCCAAGGTGTTGGGATCGTGGAAGCTTGGAAATGCCGGATCTGCGAGTTTCGTGATGAGTGTTCATGGCGACAGGAACGTGAGCTGGATTATGCCACTCGAAATCGGAGACGAAGAGCAGGTTCCTTGGCAGATATCTGAGATACAAAGAAAGACTGCTTACCACAATTAAGAACGACAAAAACCTACTAATTACTTTCAGAACATGAGCCACAGCATCATGAATAGCAATGAAGAATCTGCCATGACTATCTCCATGCCCTATAAAGGATAACTCCGCACCTCATCCTCCTTCTCCACCTCCAAACCCGCCTTGACCTGCTCCTCATGCTTAGCATCCAAATACTCCAATAACACCTCCTCATACTTCTCCTTCCCCTTATACCTTGAAACATCATCCCCCCAACTCCGAATCGCAGAAGCCAACCGTCCCGGAACATACGGCTCCTTAACAATTTCGGTAATGGGCTCAAAATACGTCCGAATAGTAAACACCACCGCACCCGATCTAGGCAACCTCCTTAACGACTGTCTCTCGGACCTGAAAAAATGATGCTCAATAGCCTTATTCTTCGCTGCCGTATTCCACGACACCGTCTCCGCATCCTCAGACCCAATACTATGCGACCACGCCAGACTATCATCCACCTGAATGAAATAGTTGTTTCTCAGCACGGGCTCTTCGGGTCGTAGTCGGCGGAAGAAATTCATCATGCCGCGCTGCAGCTTTTCGCGGAATTGGGGGACGTCCCCCGAGGTGTGGATTTCGGATAATGGCATCCCGAATTTATCGCTTAGACGCCAGAATCCGGCGAGTAGGATTGCGCCGGCTAGGAGGTAGTATTCGCCATCGGGCCGTTCGAACATTAGGGCTAGGTCGTCTTGGACTAGGCGGGCTGCTGTGGCCATGGGGTCTTCTGGGAGGGGACGTTGGGTTATGTTGAAGGTTTCGTTGGTGATGGTGTTTGTGATGCCTGTCGGGGTCTTTTGGAACATTGTTGGGTATCGTTCGGGGAGGTAGTCGCATCTTGAGGGATGGTTAGTATGTATGGTTTTTTGGGGATCATGATTAATGGTATAGATCTGGTTGTAGATAGGAGGGGCATACAGTTCTTCGAGAAGCTCGATTGCTCCGTCCATTGCTTCTGGTGCGGTGCCGTAGCATTTCTCGCCACGCTCTTCGATACGCTTCTTTTTATCGGCGTGGTATTTGAGGTAGTGATTGTCGAGTTCTATGTGGATGAGGAATATAATGTTAGTATAGTGCAATACAAGCGTTACGGATTCCTTACCAATCCATTCGTCCCACTTCATACTCCGCAAACCCATCGTGACAAAGTATTTCCTGCACATGCGAGTCAGCGATATATCAGACTGACCCAAATCCATTCCACTTACGGGCCATATCGAAAAGGCCGATACGGAATCGGCTTCGAGGTATGAACGTCCCAGTCTGGCAAAGGTGTTGCCGTAGGCCTCTTGAAATCCGACGGCTTCCACTCTACAAACAAAATGATCAGAGAGACGCAAGGATCAGCCCGCGAGGATGTCACATACCGCCAAATTCCCGTGTTAACTTCTCTCGACTGTTGAATCTTGCCGCTGGCTTCTCCAGGTCTGGGGTAGCAGGTCTAGCGGTGTGATGGGAAGAGGACTTCCATTTCCGGCCTACGAAGACCACGACACAGGCGCAAAGATTGAGAGCTATGAAGACGCCCACGAGGTCTTTGACCGGGAATATTGAGGAGATCGACCCCCGAAGGAAATCGATTGACATGGTTTGTGAGTATGGGTCGTGAATTGTGGGGAATAAGATGTAGAAGGACCTCTAGTAGTATTTCATATGCATAATTTTCTGTGTATATCGGAACCAGATAGCAGAAAGTATAACAGCAGATAAAGTATATACGTAGCAATGTAAGTCCTATTATAAGCTTATCAAAATAGTGACATCAGATAGATACCAGTTGTCATCTCCTACCAGCTGCCATTCCTGTTAATCGGATGCGAGGAGGACAGAATCAATATCAATAGGCTGGGCCGGGGTCATGTACGCCTCGGGGTGAACAAAAGAGGGGCTACATTTTGTCTCAAGCCTGCTTTCAGCCGTTAGATCCGAGCCTGCAGAGGGGGTGGGCCTATGATAGCTCTCTGGGTGCGACGAGTAGAGTTATGGTTTATCTATGGAGAGGGGGTGCTCTTATCATCCGTTTGGTTGCGCCAAAGAGGGGATCTCTTCTCCCGATCGGGTAAAGCGATCACTTAATGATAACCTTTGAACGCCGGATTTTCTATTCGCAACGTGAGGGGGTCATGGGATACTCGGATATCAGTATTAGTGACATTAAATTGATCTTTGCTTCGATTGAGTGAGGACTCGGACGAGGGCTGTCTCTACTCGAAGATGGGGCATGTCTGGGCGTGTATTTCTGAATACCGGGGTATACTAGAGTGTCTAAGGGAATATCGGGTGAATATGTAATAAAACAGTAATACACGTACCATATTGTCTTGAGAGAGGAAACCATTGGCTGCAACTTTTCCTGATAGATTTGATTTCAACCGAATTTCCAATACCATCAATCACCAATCAGCCGACTGCTATGATATTCTACAATAGTCCTGTGGCATGAGAAATAGACTGACGTATTTTTCCACCATGGTAGTCGCAGCCCTGGCAACGAAAGAGAAAGCATTACATAGTATGGCTCAAAGTCTTGTGGCGTCTTAAAAGTAATGGATTTGGTGATATTCCAAGAGTATCCTATCTATACAATCCTGTCACCATCACGACGCTGCAAGAGACAATACTGTCCGTATTTGCGTCGGAGCTGTTCCGGGACGAATGGCAGATCCGGAACCCAAACGAGTCGTCCTACCAGTGCAGTCTGGGAGGCATCCAGGAACCTTTCACAGGAGAGAGACTCCCATTGTGACTCGTCCTGCACATAGTGAGGTTCCAGTTCAGTCGCCTCATGACCGGGGAAGTAGGAGTCAACCAAGTATGAACATTGAGAAATATCGACCTATGAGTTTAGATAAGTATGATAAACAGGTAAGTGAATGCCGATCTCGAGTTCTTACATATTTGCTTGGGTCCTCAATGTTGAGATCATTCATCCCCGAGGGAATCTTTGACGCACCCTCAATCCGCCCAAAGGGACTGGGAGCGTCGGGGAACTCACCCGGGAGCAGGCCCTTGAACTCACTCCGGATGAATTTGGCCCGCATATCATGCGGAAGGAAATAAGACGAAGGGAAGCGGTACCACTCCTTGCCAAGGCATACAGAAGCTCCAGCCTGTGAGATATCCGCCTGCCGCAACGGTTCGAGCACCTTCAAAGGGGCATTATATGCTGTCACCATTCCTAGGATTCGCAGCATACCGGCATTGATGGCCACCATGACGACTGTCAGAACGGCGACTAGCTTCAGCTTGGCGGGTACACGACCGATGATCTCCTTTGGATTGCTGGATCCAATATACGTCAAGATCAGATGGAACGCAAGAGCGGCATTGAGGGCGAGGAATGGGTACGCTGGGTACATGAATCGTTCCTCTTTGTGAGGTTGGATCGTGAAGATGCCGAACCACATGTAGAAAGGTGCAACCAAGGTGATGGAGCGCATGAGTGTTTGAATCGAGGTGCCCTGGGAGCGGAAGATGGCCTGTACGAGGAGGATCGGAGCAGACAGCATTGCCAAAACGAACCAAACGTTGAAGTTTAGCAGGAGATTCCGAATGTAGAATGTCCATGGTTCGGTGCCGAAGATTTCGGGGCCTCTTCCTTGACCGCCGAAAATGTTGTATGCAACAATGTTCCAAGGCACCAGGGCAATCTTGCGGAAGAAAGCGTAGTCAACCGCCACTTCTAGGGCCTGTAATATGAAGCCTGTCTTAGCAAAGAGAACGCGACAGAATGTTTCGTGTCGACTTACCATGATGCCGAGACACCGAAGGGCGCCATCAAATACTGCATAGAACAGAGAGCCGACGTTCTGAGAGAAGATGCTAATGATGAATTCCTCGAACAGAAGAGGCACGATCAGAGCACCGGCAAATGGCCAGCCAACGATTGACCCAAGGCCGAACCACATGATCCCCTGGGCAATCTTCGGCCCGCCCTTCAAGTCTAGGAATGCAGCTAGCCCAAGCATAGATGTATACATGGTAAACGTAGACGGCAGGAAAGCGGTTGACGCATGGAACATGCCCGGGCTGAACAAGGCGATCACGAGGAATAGGAGACCGATACGGGGATTAAGGGTTCGGCAGATAGATGAGTATAGCCTTGTCTGACAAGCGGCGCAGAATACGGCTAGGACGAAGCGAATAAAGTAGAACTCGGCTGACTTGCTGTGGACAACCAAGGATCCAAGCTTGCCGACTGCGGCATGAAGCGACACGTAGAGCCAGCTTCGAATTGAGTACACTGGCGAGTACTCCCATGTCTGAAGTCCATAGCCGTGGTCGAGATAGTGTGCAGGTTCCCAGAAGTTGAAAACTTCATCGCAATCTTGAATAGGCGAGTATAGAGCTGCTAGGCCGTTGGCAATGATACATAGGTACAAGGTGGCGTTTAGAGGGAGATAGAAAGGTGGGGGTGGAGGGCTGCGAGAGGTGAATCTGTTAGCTCAATTCTATTAATTGATAATTTGCTGGAATAGTTCCAAGATATACCGTGCTTTTGTTCGAGGAGCTTGGGCCGCGCCCGAATCAGCTCTGTCGGACTTGGCCATCTTGTCGCGGTACTTGGATGTGTCGAAGGTTGACGCGGCGATAAAAGTGATAACCGGCCCGATAAGCGCGATAACGAGCTTGTCCGGCGACCGCCACGGCAACTTTGGCAGATCCGCAAAAAAAGTTCCCGCGACTTTTTTTTTGCGCTGATCTTTGTCGCAACACTCGCTGTGGCAATTTTTGAATTTGAAATTTGTTCAAAGATGAGTGAACAGCAGCATATGCCGGTCGAGTCTGTGGGTATGGGCGACTGCCCTCCTGCGAAACGACCCTGCACTATCGACACACCCCCAGTTGCAGGAACACCCGACGATGGCAGCGATTTCTACAACACACCGTTGGGTGCAGAGACTCCGGTGACCAACACGGGACTTAAAAAGTCTGAGCTTGTTACCGAGTCCTCTATGACTTCCCAACCGGCTCCTATGATCCCTGGATTGGGCTTCATCAACACCAGCGAACAATCCGCAACCAACGAGCCCTCCCAGTCTACCGCCGCAGCGAAACAAGAACAAAATGCCCCGAGTGATTCACAAGTGGTGGCTGATGCTATTAACCCAGAGGGCCGAGAACCTGCTGTTCAAACAAACGGCCAGCAGGAAGGTTCTGGGGATGCGATGGAAGTTGACCAGAAGCCCTTGGCTACCACCCAGGAAAATACCCATGGAGCGTCGACGGAGCAGCAAAACAATGAGGAGCAGGAGCAGGAAGAAGAGCACCCCGAATGGGAGGTCGACTCAGATCCTTACGAGTCTTCATCCGACAGTTCATCATCATCCGATTCCTCTGACAGTGACGACGACGAGGACTACCCGATCCTTAGCCCCGAAGAACAAGCCCGAATCCTGATGCTTGCCGAAGGTGGATCGGACGATGAAGGAGGCGATAAGGGGAAATCAGGAGGAAAAATTCGGTCGACCAACGAGATCGAGGAGGACGTCTTGCCGATTCCCGACATCCAGATTACACCCGAGATGAAGATTGTGCTGCTGGGCAGGGTCCAGACGGCCATCGAGAATGCGGTCCTCATTGAGGCCAGCACCTCTGGAGAATACCAAGTCCTTGAGTCGGGCTCCTTGCTGTGCTCGGAAGATCGCAAGGTCCTGGGTGTGGTGTCGGAGACCCTTGGTAGAGTGGAGAACCCGCTGTATACCGTTATGTATAAGACGACCGAGGAAGCACAGGAGAGGGGTATGGTGAAGGACCTGCCGGTCTTCTACGTTGAGGCGCACTCCACTTTCGTGTTCACTCAACCGCTGAAGGGCATGAAGGGTAGCGATGCCTCCAACTTCCACGATGAAGAGGTCGCCGAAGATGAGATTGAGTTCTCAGATGATGAAGCAGAGGCTGAATATAAGCGGAAGTTGAAGCAAAAACGCCAGGAAAGAAAGGAGGCTAAGGAAGGCGGTGCTGCTCGAGGCAAGAAGGGACCTCCCGGTCCCTCAAAACTGAGCCAGACTGAGCTCAACTACGATGACGGGGCAGCCGAGGATGGATACACACCTCTGGCCCGCCCCAAGAACCTGCACGAGATGATGGGTGCCCGCGAGGCGCCCATCGAAGGCACCGAGCGACCAGGACCCGGCTTCCGTGGCGGCCGTGGACGCGGCCGAGGCGCTGATCGTGGTGGCCGTGGAGGTCGTGGTAGAGGCGGCGGTGGTCGAGGAGGAGGATCATGGGACAGAGACCAAGACCATCGTCCTCACCACCAGCAAAATGGCAGCACCTCACAGTATGGACAGCAGGCTGCACCCCCACAGACCCAACCTCCGGCACCATATGGCCAACCCGCATACCAGCAACAACAACCTGCCTACGGTATGCCTCAACCATTTGCTGGATATCCGCAGTATCCCCAGCCGCAACAACCTCAGTTTGGTCAAGGTCAAGCTCCCGCGCCATTCCCCTTCCAATTCCCCTTCCAGCAACCGTTTGCGCAGCCGAACGCTTTCCAGGCCGTTCCACCAGGCGCACACATCAACCCTCTTTTCCTGGCTGCACTGCAACAGCAGCAGCAGCAGCAGCAGCAATACCAACAGCCGCCACAACAATATCAGCAGCCCCAACAAGCTCCTGGTCAGGCACAGCCACAAAACCCTGCGGCCATGAACTTTGATCAGGTCAAAGCTCAGTTGGACCTGCTACGCCAGTTGAGCAATGGCAACCAGGGACCTCCTCCTTCTTAACGTTGATTGTTTCAGTCGGACTATTTCCTCTTGACGATTTGACATCGATACCAAAATATTTTGCATTAGGGTCGGAGTTATTGTGTTATAAGTCTGGGATCGCGTGAAAAGGGTCATGATAGTCCGGTTCTGAGATTCTCGGGCTGCTCATGTATCAAGGAAAGAGCACATACTAAAAGTATAGCATTTGATGATTCACCTTAAGATTTCCGAGAATAAACCTCTGCGTAGCTTCCTGCTGCCCGTAAGAGGATCAGTCGTAGTTCGAACCTCCCGAAGTAACTGTACTCAAGAAATGGATCGGCTTCTTACCCTAGCAGGTCTTCTCTACCTGCTTATTCCGCATCTTTTACGTGACTTTTCTCCGCTAATGGTCTCTTTGATATGTGAAAAAGCATGTTCAAAATATCTAGTTGACTCGTGGTCGGGGGTGTCAAGAATTTAGAATGCCGTTTAAAATACATGATTGTTGCTCAAAAGGTATGAAACACATTAGATCTCAAGCAGGAGACCCAGCGCTGGTTTGAGGAAAGGCCTTCAAGAATGCTGTAATCCTCGTGGCAGAAGCTAGACCAGCGATCAACTCATCAAAATTCAGCTGGTTTGGCGCTCTTTGCCAAAGTCCAGAAGTTCTCCATCTTTGAGCGGGTCAGAACGTCTTTGGCCGCGGAATCGGACTCGCAGATTCTGGCACCCAGCCATTTCCTAAACACCCGGGTTTTTGCTTGACCTTCCCAGAGAAGTGTGCAAGTGTTGTTACCAAAATCGCGTAGTTCGCCCCTTTCATCTTCCGTAGACAGCCAAATAGGTTGACCTTCATCTTTTCCATCCGAAGTTCCTGGACCAGGGTTGTCGGTCCAATCAATTCGATTGAGCATCAGTTTTCGGTAATTATTGATGGAGTGTTTGCCACCTTCCACAATCACCAAGTTGAGTTTCGGATGCATGACACAAATTCCAGTCAAAGCATTCTGCTCGGCGTTCTTATTGACCTTGAAACGGTTCCGGCCGCTCGCAAGGCTGTCGATCCGGTAGACGGAGACATAGATGCCCAATTCGGCATCCTTCTCCTGCTGAGACGCCAGCTTCTCACGTCGTTGATCTTGAGTCAACTTGCGTTCCTCATTCATCGTCTCATGGGCCTCTTTTCGCTCTGCAATCTCCCTGTTCACTCGGGCCTCCACGGCCGTAGGATCTTTAACCGCCTGTTCACCCAGAACTCGCATAAGATTGGACTTTTTGACTTTGGGGGCTGGTGCTGGCTCCAAACCTAGCCTAATCTTTGCTTGTTGTTCCTTCAAATCGGCCATGCGGCGCTGTCGACGGATCTTCGCTTGTTCCTTCGGCGTGAGATGCATGGGCTTCTGAGCAGGCATATGCTTCTCCTGTGGTGGTTCGAGGAGGATAGGGTGTTGGACATAGCGGGTAATGATAGTGTCGGCGGTCTCGACTTTGAGGTTCGCTGGATCATCAATGGCGGCATAGTCGCTACCGTTGACCAAACCTTCATCCCACCACTCCAAAGCTGGAGGAGCTGGGACCAAGTATGACTTCTCCACATCCAAATCTTCATCAATACCAGCTTGTCTTGCTTTCTCCGCGATCCGCTTTTTCATAGCCTCCAACTGCGCCTGTCGGCGCAGCGCAGCTGCCTGCTGGATATATTTGCCTTTCTCATTGAATATGAGTTGTCGCGCCTGGCGTGGTTTTGCCATCGTTGCCTTTGGACCAAGGCTTGGATCGAAGTAAGGTTGGTTCTTGATTTCCTCGATCGATGGGCCGGACAAGTCGAGCTGCTTATTGGGATCCAGGCGTCGATTTCCGGTCTTAGTCTGCTGGCGACCCTTGGCCCCACGGAAGCTCGGCGTCGTGTCGGAGAGTAGAGCTGGGTGGAGGCCGACATCCAGACCACCGCGAGCCTTCGAGAGGCCTTCATCGTCGAGCACTGGAGGTTGGTAGGAAGGTGCTGGGGCATTCGTTCGCTGTTGGGACGCCGCTGCGCCGGCCCTACTCGTAGCTGCTGCTACTCTCGCTTTCATCTGTTCCAACCTAGACATAGCGGGGCTCATAGTCGGTGGTGCAGGGCTGGGACTGGACTCTGTTGAAGGCACTGTAGGTGATGGGCCGCCTCGAGCGGCCTGTAGACGAGCCCGCACAGCTTCAGCTTTGGCTCGTGCCTCAGCGACCATCTTCTCGATATCGACCTTCCCAGAAATAGGACCTCCTTGACCAGGTGCCGGAGACCCATTGTTTGATCGGGTCCTTTTCTGGGTGTTGCTGCCGTCATCCTCGGGGTGAGGCCGCTTCAGCGCGTTGCCTGAATGGTCAGCCATGTTGAAGCGTGTGAGTAAGATCTCACGTGGCCTGACAGTCAAGGACAACCCGATCAAAGGAGGTGTAAAAGGTTGCGAAATGTCTCTTCAGCAACTGACAGCAGAAGCTAGACCGCGCCGAACGACTGGTCGCGGATGCTCAAAACGGGGTGAGCGGTGGGGCGGGGCAGAAAAAAAAGATGCTCAAAGGTTTCGCTCATTCCGCATTTCGCATTTGAAGATCTTCTTCGGAAGCCCAATTCGACTTTGCACCGCCAGCGTTCTCTGTTGCTCCTTAGAGCTGCAGGTCACAATGGCGACCTTTGCACGCCCAGTCGCCTCGAGCATTGCCGGGGTCGACTTCACCGTTTATTCCGATGAAGAGATCAAAAAGCTCTCAGTAAAAAGAATTCACAATACTCCAACTTTGGATTCGTTCAACAACCCCGTTCCAGGTGGTCTCTATGACCCTGCTATGGGCGCATGGGGCGATCATGTGTATGTCACTATCTATACCTCGTGAAAACCTCTCAATTTGCTGATCAGGGCGATTCGGGAAATTTTCTAGGTGTACTACATGTCGTCAGAACTCTTGGTCGTGCACCGGTCATGCCGGCCACATCGAGCTTCCTGTCCCGCTCTATAATGTTACCTTTTTCGACCATATTTACCGCCTCCTCCGTGCGCAGTGTGTCTATTGCCATCGCCTGCAAATGTCCCGCGATCAGGTCAACATGTACACCTGTAAACTGCGCCTTTTGCAGTATGGTCTGACCGACGAAGTCGCCAAGGTTGATGCCATGGGAGCTATCAAAGGTGTTAAATCGAAAGCTGCGAAGGCCACCGGTGATGAATCAGAGGATGAGGATGACGATGCCGATTCTATCATGGAAAAGCGGAACGCCTACGTCACCCGTTGCATCAAGGAAGCCAAGAAAGATGGCAGGTTGGAAGGTCTGATGGCAGGCGCAAAGAACCCAATCGCCGCCGAGGCCAGGCGGGAACTGGTTAAGACTTTCTTAAAGGATATCAACAGCAACCGGAAGTGTTCGAACTGTAGTGGTATCTCTCCTTCATATCGCAAGGACCGCTACAACAAAATTTTCCGGAAGCAGCTCCCGGAGAAGTCCAAGCTTGCGATGCTTCACGGAGGATTCCAGGCGGCGAACACCTTGATTCTCCTCGACCAAGAAAAGAAGGCAAATTCCAAGGAGAATGGCACTTTGGCCAATGGCGTCTCTGATACCGTGACTGAATTGCACGGTGCCGAGGAGGAAATACTTCGCGGAGCCGCAGTTACAGCCCAGGCCTCACAACCTGGATCGACTGGCCAGGAGTTCATGCCTTCCTCCGAGGTCTACGCTGCCATGAGCCTCCTTTTCGAGAAGGACGGTGAGGTTTTGCAGCTTGTCTACAACTCCCGCCCTGTTCCGAAGGGAGCCAAAATCATCAACGCAGACATGTTCTTCATCAAGAGCCTTCTCATTCCACCAAACAAATATCGCCCTGCTGCCCAACAAGGCCCCGGCGAGATTATGGAAGCCGCGCAAAACACGCCATTCAACAACATTCTCAAGCAGACAGACGTCATCAACCAGATCAAAAAGGAGATGCAGAATGAGAATGAGAAGATTATGAGCCGCGCCCGCAATCTCAGTGATCTTCTCCAGGCTATTGTTGCGCTCCAGGACTTCGTTAACGGTCTCATCGATCGTGAACGTACTTCGGTGACTGGTTCGGCCATCGCCCAACTTCCTAATGGTATCAAGCAGCTGCTCGAGAAGAAGGAGGGTCTTTTCCGAAAGAACATGATGGGTAAGCGTGTCAACTTCGCTGCCCGTAGTGTTATTTCGCCCGATCCCAACCTCGAAACCAACGAGATCGGTGTGCCCATGGTGTTTGCCAAGAAGTTGACCTTCCCGGAGCCTGTCACCAACCACAACTTCTGGGAATTGAAGGAAGCCGTTATCAATGGACCCGATAAGTACCCCGGCGCCGCTGCGATCGAGAACGAGAACGGTCAAGTGGTCAACTTGAAGTTCAAGAGTTTGGACGAGCGTACCGCACTTGCCAACCAGTTGCTTGCACCATCCAACTGGCGGCTGAAGGGAACACGGAACAAGAAGGTTTACCGCCATCTGACTACTGGTGATTATGTCTTGATGAACCGGTACGTGGACACAGGTACCTCGCTTCGGTGCTTTATCTCGATGCTAATTTTCAAAACAGACAACCGACTCTCCACAAACCGTCCATCATGGGCCACAAGGCACGTGTTCTTCCCAATGAGCGCACCATCCGCATGCACTACGCCAACTGTAACACTTACAACGCCGATTTCGATGGTGACGAGATGAACATGCACTTCCCTCAGAATGAACTTGCCCAAGCCGAGGCTCGCATGCTGGCTGATGCTGACCACCAGTACCTGGTTGCCACATCCGGCAAGCCTTTGCGAGGTCTGATTCAGGATCACATTTCTATGGGTGTCTGGTTCACATGTCGTGATGCTTTCTTCGATGAAGAAGACTACCACCAGCTTCTGTACAGTTGCTTGCGGCCGGAGAACTCTCACATCGTTGGCGACCGCATTCAAATGGTTGAGCCTGCTTTCCGGAAGCCTAAGTTCCTCTGGACTGGCAAGCAAGTCATCACAACAATCCTCAAGAACATCAAGCCCGAAAACAGCGGCGGTCTCACACTCAAGGGCAAGTCTTCTACTCCTGGTGACCGTTGGGGCAAGGGCAACGAAGAGGATACCGTCATCTTCGATGATGGAGAGTACCTGTGCGGTATCCTCGATAAGAAGCAGCTCGGTCCCACCGCTGGAGGTCTGATCGATGCTGTCCACGAAGTGTACGGTCACACCATTGCTGGAAAGCTGATGAGTATTCTGGGACGACTTTTGACCCGATTCCTGAACATGCGGGCTTTCACTTGTGGTATTGACGATCTGCGCTTGACCAAGGAGGGTGACCGCATCCGCAAGGAGAAGCTGAGCACTGCCGCGGAGATGGGTCGCCAGGTTGCCCTCAAGTACGTGACCCTGGACCAGGCTAATGTGCCTGACCAGGATGCCGAGCTGAACCGCCGCTTGGAAGATGTGCTTCGTGATGATGACAAGCAGAGTGGATTAGATAGCGTTTCTAACGCCCGATCTGCCAAGCTCTCCTCCGAGATCACAAGCGCTTGTCTCCCTCACGGTCTTGCTAAGCCCTTCCCGTGGAACCAGATGCAGTCGATGACTATCTCTGGTGCCAAGGGTTCTGGTGTCAACGCCAACCTGATTTCCTGCAACCTTGGACAGCAGGTTCTGGAGGGTCGTCGTGTTCCAGTCATGATTAGTGGTAAGACGCTACCGTCTTTCCGAGCTTTCGAAACCCACCCTGTCGCTGGTGGTTACGTGTCAGGTCGTTTCTTGACTGGTATCAAGCCCCAAGAGTACTACTTCCACGCCATGGCCGGTCGTGAGGGTCTGATTGATACCGCCGTCAAGACTTCCCGCTCTGGTTACTTGCAGCGTTGCTTGATCAAGGGTATGGAGGGTCTGAGAGCTGAATACGACTCCTCCGTTCGCGAGGCGTCCGATGGCTCTATCGTCCAGTTCTTGTACGGAGAGGATGGTCTCGATATCACCAAGCAGGTTCACCTCAAGGATTTCAAGTTCCTTGCCGAGAACCACCGTTCTGTTTCTAGACAAGTCCAAGCCAGCCATTATCGCGATCTTGTCAACACAGAGGCAATGGCGTGGAACAAGGACGCACAGAAGGCAGTACGCAAGGCTCATGACTTGGCTGCTATGGATCCTGCTCTGTCTAAGTTCCACCCTGGTGGTAACTTGGGCAGTACTTCAGAAGAATTCGCCCAAGCACTCAAGAAGGTGAGTTTAAATTCCCGAGACTCTCGCTACATGAATCCAGCTTTAAACTGACAATCTTTCCGTATAGTTCTCGTCCGACAACTCTGATATGTTCAAAGACAAGAAGGATGATGCTGATGTTAAGATTAACAAGAAGTCATTCGAGGCTTTGATGAACATGAAGTATATGAAGTCTGTTATTGATCCTGGTGAAGCAGTTGGTATTATGGCCGGTCAGAGTGAGTTTCCCGAACCTAGTCTACCTGTGTGACAAGCAAAATTCTAACTCTACTATAGGTGTTGGCGAGCCCAGTACTCAGATGACACTGAACACTTTCCACTTGGCTGGTCACTCGGCAAAGAACGTCACACTGGGTATTCCCCGTCTTCGTGAAATTGTCATGACTGCTAGTGCCACGATCATGACACCCACTATGACGCTTTATCCTGTCAAGGAGCTTTCCAAGGAGCAGGGCGAGAGATTCGCCAAGGGTCTCAGTAAGCTCAGCATTGCTGAGGTTGTTGACAAGGTGCAAATTAAAGAGCGCATTGGCGCCGGTGTCGGCTACGCGAAGGCTAAGATCTACGATATTGAGATTGACTTCTTCCCCGCTGAGGAGTATATCAAGGAATACAGTATCCAGGTCGCGGACATTTCCCGTTCTCTGGAGAACAAGTTCATTCCTCGCCTGGTGAAGCTCATCAGGACCGAGCTCAAGAAGCGCAAGGAGGACAAGACTGGCACGAAAACGTCGACTGCCCAGCCCGAGATCGGTGTCTCGGTTGGTAGGGTTGCCGAGGGTCCCAGTGGCCCTGATCGTGCAGCGGAGCCTGCGGATGACGACAACGAAGATGACGAGGATGATGCCAAGCGGGCTCGTGGCGGCCAAAACCGCAGCAACCAGGTGTCTTATGAAGGACCTGATGACGATGAGCAGGATATCATCCGCGGGCAAGACGAGGCCGAAGATGAAGATGAGAACGAGGAGCTTGGTGATGCCTCTGACGACGATTCCGATGATGACTCGGACGATGACAAGGCGCAGGAGCAGAAGTTGCGTGAGGAGAATGTTAAGAGCAAGTTCTCTGAGATCACTAAGTTCGAATTCGACATGAAGAAGGGCACCTCGTGTACCATCCAACTCGAGTACGACATTGAGACCCCCAAGCTGCTTCTGCTTCCCCTGGTTGAGAGTACCTGTCATTTCGCAGTCATCCAGCAGGTCGTGAACCTTGGCAGCTGTGTCTACGTTGAAGGAGATGAGATTAAGGACGAGCCCCCGTGCATCATGACCGATGGTGTCAACCTGCTCGCCATGCGTGATCACCAGGACGCTATCAACCCGCACTCGCTCTACACCAACTCAATCCACGATATGCTCAACCTGTACGGTGTCGAAGCTGCCCGTGCCACCATCATTCGCGAAATGGATTCCGTTTTCAAGGGTCACAGTATCTCCGTCGACAACCGCCATCTGAACTTGATCGGTGATGTGATGACCCAGTCCGGTGGTTTCAAGGCCTTCAGCCGTAACGGCTTGGTCAAGGACTCTACCTCGCCCTTCGCCCGGATGTCTTTCGAGACCACCGTCGGCGCTCTCAAGGACGCTGTTGTTGAGCGTGACTTTGACAACCTCAAGGGCCCAAGTAGCAGAATTGTCGTCGGTCGCTCCGGTACTGTCGGAACCGGTGCGTTTGACATTCTTGCTCCTGTAGCATAGTCGTGTGTTGATTGGGTTGTTTCGCATTGTGCCTTTCTCTGCCGTTTGTTTCCTGACCTGTATACTCTGCACTATTCGTGCATCCTGTGCTATTTCTGTTGCCATCTTGACGCGTCGATGATCCGGAGTTCTTCTGTTCAGCGGAACACAAAAGTGCCTGTCCCTGTTCATATTAGCATATTTCTCAGTTGAATAGAATCTTCACCAAGTGTGTATTGAATTCCTACTGCCTCGGTAGTCGAGACGTCTTTACAAGCCGACCACTCGCCCTCTTCAGCATGTGCAAGAAGTGGCTCTAACTAGTCACCTAAATGCAGTACTTGTTTTAGACCGATATTGCTTCCATGTAGTATCTTAAATTCATAAGCTATGTCCTTTTCACGCCATGATTGACGCTGACATCTATAACGTGACACTGGGGCCTATGGCACTTGGTGAAAGCCACATGCTCGGCTTATGACCCGATTACCGCGTTTATGAGACGTTGAATCTCTTGGCAGGCTAGGATGTTGAATTCTTTAATTTGAAAGTCCTTTCTTCACTGAGCACGTCTATTTTCTCTCTCTTGTCTCCACTTCTCGCCCCATTTCCACTCGACCCAAATCAATGGAGCAAACAGTAATACCACCCCGCTCACAACGAAGAAGGCTTTCATTGCCTTCAAGGCACCAATTAATGGCTGGATAACACTAACACCCGCAGCTCCAAGTAAGCATCGACACAAATTATTGAGTGCTGTCGCGCTGGCAGGTCGCTCCGGGAAGCAATCAATCAGCACAGTCGAATTAATGTTGAAGATAGCAGTCGCTGAAAAAGCAATCAGGAATTGGAGAATGAGTGGCGCAGCCAAGTTTGGTCCAAAATGCTTCCGCAAATCATTGAACTCAAAGCTTGGCCCGTATAGTGCCAGGGAGATCACGAGTAAGATGCTGAAGATAGGCATGAGGCGAAGACGGGCCTGCACGTATGGGAAGTCGCGGCTATGATCAACATTTTCGTCTGCCGGGATGCCGTGTTCAACCTTATATCGCTCTTGAGCACGATTGAAGCCCTGGTCCAGTATCCAGCCTGTGCTGAGCGAGCTGATAATGCATCCTAGTCCGTTTGGGAGGAAACATAGCCCCAATTGCCACTCTGTCAAAAGAGGGAAGCCGAGCAGCAGCATTGTTGTGGTAGAAGATGTCACCATGCTCCATGCAGTATAAGCTACAGCGCCCCAAGCTAAGAGTGCTGCGATGTCTTTCTCAAGGATATAAGCCAGTGGACTGAACGCTTTCTTAAACGTAATTAGTGATCGAGGCACCGGGGCGGTTGTTTCAGCGCTTTTGGACCAGGCTGACGGTGGTCTGATATAATAGATAAACGGCTTTTGGAAACCAGAGACAACGTTGGTGCCATTGCCTGCTATACTGCGCTGTGTTTCCGGAAGGAAGATTAGGAGCGCGCCCAGGACAACAATGCTCGTGACGAAAAGTAGCCAAAAAATGCTCCGAAAGCCCCATTGGCTGTTCAATAAACCCCCAATGATTGGACCGATTGCTTGCCCCGTCATACTATGAGAATATTAATGGCCAGGAGTCTCCCTGCGAGTGACAGTCTCTAACATACCGAATGCCAGCATTTGTCCCTATGAAACGACCGCGTTCTTGTGGGTAAGCAATATCAGCGATGACACCGGCGCTGATACTAATAGTCGCTGCAGATCCTGCGGCTTGAAAGCCGCGCAGTACCATCAGCATCGCATAGTTGGAGGTGAATGCCAAGGCAAGATTGGCCGCAGTGTATATGGTAAGAGTGATTGCGAAAGTGAGGCGACGGCCATAGGTCTCCGAGAATGCTCCTAAGAGTGACGGAGCAATACCCTGAACAACCATATACACCGTGATCGTAAGAGCGATAAGGGACGCATTTACACCGAGGTCCCTGGATATGGCGTCAATTGCAGGAAAGTAGATGTTCGAAGATAGCGGCGAGAAAGAAGCTGCCAAGGAGACGAAAATGACAAGGTTCCATTTTTGCTTGTAAGACAGGATATGATAGGGAGGCCGAGGGTCTGACTGGCCAACTGGCTCAGGCAAAGATTCAGAATCACTTTTTGACATATGTGCGCTCATTGGGTCTACCTAATCTATGAGTTTGGCATCTTTAATACTGCGAATTGAGGGGCAAGGGAAACTTGTTCATAGACTTACCTGGGCAATAATAACCGGTTGCTTCAGAAATAATCTAAATATGTGACGCTGCGATAAAAGTGAACGAAAAGGCAATTTAAAAGTAACTCTAAAATATGAATGGACTGCTAGGCCAGGCTAAGCTAGGACCTTTGAATCTCCTTGATAAATACTAGTCGCAGTGGAACTTCTGTGTCTCAATTAAAAGACGCACAGAAGGGGGAATAATGTGCCCCTATCAAATTGGCTGCGCCTTGTCTTGCTGCAGCTAAACTCACATACAAAGTTGTAAACTCAATTGGGTCGCTCAATCTTGAGACAAAATATGCTCCTGGGTGACGAGTCTACTGCAGTACCCCCAGAGCGGCACGCGCGTAGTATATCCCTTTGCTTTTCCCCTAGGCGTTGCTTAGGATGATATTACGATATTATTATTATGCTCGTCGCGCGAATGGGCGCATAGGGGAGCTTGAGATTGGTCGACCTAGTTGAAATCTGGAAGGCAGCAACATTCGAGGGCTCGATATTGACATTTTTAAGCTTAGAAATCCGATCGGCTCCAGAGTATGTATCATCGCAGATCACAACCATGAATATAAGGGTGCCAGCGAATGAATCGTGTGTGATCGCCCGAGATTTCTACCCTGCATTGATCGGATAGGCAGGAGACGTCATCAGTGGAGCCGGACGCGGGCATAATCCAAATAATGGCACAAGAGAGGTTCAATAGTTAACTAGCTAACTCTTAAAAGGTGGCAGCCTGGGCCTGTAATTGAAAGTCCGAAGGCTGTGTCACCTTCGTAGCTTTTAACTAGGGAGCGGTGACCATCGTGTAGGTCGAAGACAGATACGCGGGTGCCTTGATCTAAATAGCGTATCAGATTCAGGGGTCTATTTGGCCTAGTTTTACGAATCATTCCCATTAATGTGAGCTGTCAATCACAGCGGCAGAGAACGTGCACAAAAAGCTTGACCTTCACTTGGCGCTGATAATAAAAATAGCGGATTGAATTGACCATCGATTGTGCATGGAGTAAATACTGTTACAATATCGAACACCCGCGCTCAATTCTCAACGCGACTCGCTGGCAATTAGGCTAACATATTTACACTAGATCAGCTACTATTTGCAGCAGGCAAGAAAGTTGTTGAATGCAAGGGGTTAAACCTACGCTCCCATTGCGCGTCTTGAACTTAAAAAGGACGCGTCCTTCCAAAGTGGTACATCAGTCGGATATCTGTCTTTTAAGGTGTTTAGCTCAAAAGAATTAAAACCTACCATGGACATAGTTCACGCAAAGTTGAAGGCTCAAGTTCGGTTAGCTCACACGGGATGTAGAAGATATCGGATTGAAGTACGATCTTTCTGTGTTATCTCTGTTGTGTATGCGTAAATGGACTCGCCAATCCCATAAATAACAATTTTGGCCTAATGTAAACGCCGCCAATGCTATGATATTTCCGTGACCTGATCAAAGAACGCCTCAGATGTCCGTTTCGAGTCTATCGGGGGACCTCGTCACTGCCCTGAAAAGACGCCGGCGCATAAAAAGAATAAAAGAAAAAGAAAAACTATTGGGCATCAAGCATCATAAGGTCTTCATCGATGTCGTCGTCATATTCATCCTCGACAATCTGCATCATGGATGTGGCACCGTTCATCTGGTGCACAGGAGGGGCCTCCTCGTTCATCAAACGTGCCTGCTCAGCCTTGCGTTTCGCCTCGTGACGCTCGATATCAGCCAGACTCCAGGTAGAAATTCCTTCTTGATCTCTGGATTTGAATGGCTGTGCCATCGTTCGCAGGAAGTTCTTAGCATTCGCGACGGCCATATCAGTGCTGAGATTTGTTTCGCTGTCTAGCATTGCCTGGTTGATCCACTTCGGAAGTTGCGGCCGCTTTCTTTCGAAACGACGGTCTGCCAGAACCATGACTCCGTAATCGTCTTTACCACGGAGTACACGGCCCAAGCACTGCGCGGCATGTCGCATCGCATCGAAGGAAAGAAAGTCGTTCTCTCGAATCCGATAATTCTCTCGCAAGAATTCAAGTCGGGCCTTCAGGATACGGGACTCCGTGTACTGGAAAGGCACACCAATGCACAGCACAGCGCGGCCGTAATGGTGATCAAAATCGATACCCTCAGATACCTTGCCTCGAGCGACACAAAACAAGATTGCACCGCGTCCATTGCAGCAAGCAGTCCGATATGTCTCCAGAGCTAACGATGACTCTTGCGCGTCAGGAGTTTCGACGAGGATCAATTTGTAGTTCCAGATTTGATCCAAAATTCCCATACCTTGCCACATGCTGATGATCGACTCCATATAGAGGTATGAAGGGAAGAAGACGACCACGCCATCCGGCGTGATACGAGCAAACTCGGTGACAAGCGTACCGTAATTTCGAACCACACCTGGATCATTGCGAATACCAAAGGATGATGAAACTTGTGCCTGATCTGAGCCACGGGTGACGATCATGGGCAAGAAGGAACGGCGAGCCAGGGTCATACTGTATGACTCTTGCATGACCGTGGTGAAGCCGAGCATTTTGGGGTACATCTCCAACGGCGAAAGGGTACCGGAAGTGATAATGACGGAGCTGAAACGATCGAAGACGGGCTTGATTGCGATGGCAGCATCCAAACAGGTGAAATGCAGAATCGGGTTGGGTACCGTGGCTGCTTCGGACTCGAACGGCTCGAGAATAAGAACGAATCCCTTATCATAGGTTGCGACCAGAGTAGCAAACGTGGCTACTTCCTGCAGAGGTTGATAGTCTTCAATATTGACAAGCTCTAGAGTCCGCACGAGTGATGTTAGACGTTCTGCGCAGAATCTCAATGGCTTTCGCTCAATGTATGTGAGATCTTTCAAATGAGTTAGGAAAGAAGGTGGGGTTTCCGAGATGGTGTGTGTGACTTTCATCCGAGTCTTCAGGTATTCGATGAATCTCTTCAGGAAAGAAACGAAGTGCTCAGCACGACGAATGTTGCCAGGAACTGCCTCCTTCAACAAGTCATCTGGCAATACGGGATTTGAGATGAACTGATCCTCCTCCCGGGCCTGTTCTGCCTGTTGCAAACCCTCCACAAGTTTTGAGTATTCATTTTGAAGCTTTTCGGCATCCGTGCTCTTCATTTCTTCAATCTTACGCTCCAAATTCGTAGCGCCTCTCGTGGCTTTGCGAAGTGAATCCTCGCTCAGATCGATACTGAGGGACTCAATGCAGACATTGTCGATATTGTGCGCCTCGTCAAAAACGACGATGCAATCCTTCGATAGTTCTCGAGAAACGCGTTCGGCAATCTTCGGATCGAGGAGGTAGTGGTAGGAGTAGATGATGATATTACACCAAGGCATCTAAAGGCCACCCGGATGTTAGTGAGTTCTCTTCCAAAAGATGCACATCAAGTAAAAGAGCCATACCATGCGCCGAGCAGAGAAGTAGGGACATTGTTTGTGCTCTTCTCCATAGCGAGTCAGACCATCGAGAGTGAAGACACCGGGCGGGACGAGATTATGCGGCTCGAGGAGGTCGAGATTCTTTGATACCCAGTCAGATGAAAGTCATAGTCTAGCAGAATCAAATAGACAAACCTCGTGATATATGCATAGATCGACTTCCTCGCCACGTTCCTTTTTTTCTTTGACAAATCCCGCGGTCAAGCTTCGGCACCTTGCATCGACAACGGTACCACTTTTCTCCCGTTTCACCGAAGGATGGAGACACAAGTTTTTCCGACTGGTGAGCCCAAGAGCACGGAAATCTTCTTCGAAACCGAGTTCCTGTGACCGGTATTTCATCAACCCCTTCAGCTCTGCCAACGCCTTCTCGATCTCGGACATGGTTCGTGAGCAGTAAATCAGCTTCCTGTGTTCCGGATAATGCTGCTGGTACGCCACGATCAGCGACAGGAGAGAAATTGTCTTGCCTGTACCAGACGGCATCTCCAGAACACAGTGACCCCCGGCATCGAGGGTCTTCTTGAGATCGCACATGTATGCATACTGCTCGGGGTAGACCCGAGGGTACGGGAACAGCACCGGAAGATCACTAAAATGAAGAGCATATCAGCAGCGAGACTAGAATAAGGTGAAACCAAAGGAAATGTAGCATACTCAATGAAGAACTTCATTGTGGCCGAGTTCCCGACGCTGTTGGAGAAGAGGAAAAGAAGACAGCCTGCGGCGAAGCTCAGCGAGTCTTTTCCCGTTTGGGATAGCAACGGCCTGACACGTGACTTCCCGATCGGGTGGCCGCCCGCTTGATATCATCGTCTTTCTTCGTTTCTCTCAGCACCCATTGCGACTCGAGGGACGAAAAGGAGGTTTCAGATTTTATTTCCAGAACCACGGGACTCATACCGGTCGCTTTGTGCTTGCAATTCGCGCCGGACCTGCAGCAGTGCAGCTTCGAGCCACCACCCCGCCATTCCCGCTGACCTCATACCCCACATGAGCAAAAAGTTCAAGTCGCAGGCCTCCAGCAGTCGCGCTGCGGCCGGTGCATTTGGGGGGTTTGGAGGATTCTCAAATGCCTTTGATAGTGGTGGCCGGGAGCCTTCGGCATTGACATACATTACGGAGCCGCCAGACCTTTCTCGCATCTGGGATCAGCAACTCGTGATTGCATATAAGAACTTGCTGAAGAAAGATGAAATTACGCGCACCAAGGCTTTAGAAGAGCTGAAGGAATACATTTCTTCAGTGGAAGGCAAGAATGGAACTGTTGATGAGGGCTTTTTAGAAGCATGGGTATGTTCATTTTCCCAATCTATAGAAGGAAGAAAGGCCATTGGTTGACCATTTAAATCACAGGTCAAAGTCTACCCTCGGGCTTCAATTGATCTGTCCCGACGAGTGAGACAACTAGCACATACGATTATGGGCTCTGTCGCCGGTGTCGTCGGGAAGAGAATTGCACCATATCTGTCCAAGGTTGTTGGGGCTTGGCTGGCTGGCCTCTACGACAGCGACCGGCCAGTTCATCGCTCCGCCCTCGATTCTCTTACCACGGTCTTTTCCACAGAAGCCAAAAGGAACAGCTTGTGGAAAATCTACCAGGCCTCCATATTGGACTTCGTGGAGGACGTTCTTCTCCACCAAAAACCATTAACTTTGAGTGACGAGCGGACGGTCAAGCGCGATGACGCCGAGGCAAAGTATGCGCGAGTTGTTGGTGCTGCTCTTCTGCTGTTCAATCGCATTCTAGGTATGTGCAATAAGCCCTGCCCCCCTGTTCCTCAATGCCTTCCACAAGGTCTCATTATTGATTGCAAATAGGAAATTCACCCGACGAGGATCTCCGAAAAAACCTCCCAGAAATCGAGGCACTTCTCGGGAACAAGTCTTTGTGGGCTTTCTGTACCCACGATGACCCGTTTGTTCGGCGTTCTGTATACGTGCTTTTGCGTTCAGTCATATCTCGTGAGCCAGCATGGGTTGACTGGAAAGTCCTGAGTTCGGCCATCATTGGAAAATCGCTATCTAGCCCACAGCTAGGATCCGCTTCAGAACTCTCCGAGTGTGTTCTCCTCTTGACATCATCACGACCGCAGGTATGGACAGACGACTATACAGGCAAGACTTCTGCGTCCAAAAGGCTGCGCCAGTACATTCAGAAAGGGTCACAGGGCGGCCATGGAAATTTCTGGTCAAACCTTGATCAGGTGCTTCGCATCATTCCCCAGGGTGTGCTTGCGGGTACCGACAAAACATCAACTGATGGAGCCGTCACTATTTCAAGCGCATCTGCTTTAACCGAGGCTTTCCAGGAAGGCCTTAATTCTCGAGAAGAGCCACGTCAAAATCTCAACATTGGTTGGAAAACCTATGTCAGGACTGGGGGCTGGCTCTCGACTGTTGTGCCCGGGGAACAGAAACTCGAGTTCATTCAGACTAGACTATTTCCACTAGTGGTGAACTACGTGCAGCCTAACCTTGAGCAGCCCCAGTGGGCCCTTCCTCCACAGTTGGCTGAAGAGGTTTGTACCGAGTGCATCGCTACGCTTGTTTCAAACGGGCAGCACGACGAGCTCCAATCCCTATGGGTACAGCTTGCCAATGTTTTGCTGGAGGCTGTCAAATTGTCATCTCCAGAACAATCGAAGGATTTCCGCTTATCTCAAGATTCAATCTGTTCCCAAGCGAAACGACTCTTTGCATTGGTACCCGCTGTCCTTTCACGTGCACCGGGTGCCGAGAGTGAAGCAACCGTACAGACAATCTTCGAACAGTCAACCTCGCTTCTTCTCGAAGGTTGTTTACAAGTGCTTCGTTCGCGCAATGGCAAGCCTTATGGCGCTGCTGGGGTCGTTGAAGAATGTGTTCGCAGCACGCCTCCGGTGGCAAAGCGCTCTCAGGACCTCCTCAAATTCATCCAAAATGATGCGCCTGGGCTTCTCTTCTCCCCATCGGGTGATCGCCTCATCGCAATTATTTTGGCATGCCGAGAATGGGATGGTTTCTCCTCCAGTTTCGAGAATGTTGTTGAAAGTGCAATGGAGTTGGAGCCCGAGCAGTCCAACGCCCACATCCTCCAAAGCCTACTCTTGAACCTCGACTTCAATGAGGTTGGGGATAAAGCCAAGTTATCCTCCTTAATCATGCGGGCTCTGGGAAAGTCCTTGCAAGGAAGTCACTCTCACTGGGCTATTGTTATCTCGGTTTTCCGAAACCAGTCCTCCCAAGGTCAATTGAGAGATCAAATATTCTTGTCGATAATCGATGCGTTGTCTCAGGATGATAAGGTCTTTGCTGCTTTGCATGGCCTCTCTCATCTTGGACAAGCTGTCCCGTCAGCAGTTCGTGAGTTTCAGTCTGGATCTCATGGCTCAAAGTTAACAGCGAAGCTACTCTATTTGACGGAGTCCCCGTCAGAGGAGGTTGCAAGCCTGGCAGAGTCGCTGATGAAGACTTTCAAGGAGACCGTGGTCGGAGATACGAGTACCAAGTCTAAGATTGAAATCCTTCACAGTGGGTTCACTCATGCTAACGAAGAATCATTGTCGTAAGTAATACAAATCCTTTTGTTTCTTATGAACCGTCTAACATGTGCCTAGAATTGAGTCTCTCTATGCTATTGCAGAGGAGCTTTTGTACGGCCTCACAGCGGATCAGTCTGACTATGCAATCAAGGACATCTTGCCTTCTTCTGATGCATGGGAGAATGCCATGGGTCCCTTCCTTCAGCTACCGCCGCGCGTCTCAGCAGCCATTACCGGCCCACTTGGGGGCATTGTCCATCTGATCCATCGCGATATTTCGGATTCATTCAAGGCATTGTGGCTTGCCATACCCCGTGACTCTAGCCGTTGTTCTGCTGCTTTCCGCCTGGCAAGCTTCACAATTCAAGTTTTGTCCTCCTTTGAAGTGATAAAGCATCTTACCAGCGACGACCTAGAGACTCTCATCTACTATCTACCACTAGCCGTTCAGTTGATCGACGACGACCTAAGCATCGAGCATTGCAACGGCATTACTGGGCTGAACCTGGCTAATCAGCGTGAAGACTACCTGGAAATAGTCTTCAAAGGGCGGCAGATCATTAGTAACTGGATCCACGCTAAGGAACCCCTGAAGTCTTCACCGAGTGTTACAATCTCGTCTTCGTTGACTACTTTCTGGGAGAATAAATTGGAGACGCTGAGCGGAAATTCGCCTGTCGATTACCGCATTGGAGAGGCTTTCACCAAAATCATGACCTCTATAGACGTTGTGGAGCATCCCAAATCGGCGGATGAAGTTGCGAAGATTTGTCGAGAGGCAAGAAGCGCGAACGCTATTCGTTCAGCATCGTGGTTTGCTGTCTTACGAAGCTCGATTCTCTCAAGCCCTGTCGGAAACAGAGTTTGTAACGAGTTGGTGGCAGAGTCTACAGGACTCAAGCCCCTTGATCCCTCCTCCGATGGTATGTTTTAGAAAAAACCCGAAGTTTCGCTTATCTCTAACAATGGATTAGGACTGCGAAAACTTGCATTGCTCAACATCTTACTCTCTGGGGAGGAAAATTTTGTATCGACTATTCCTACGCAAAGATTGGTCTTCTTAGCCAAGCATCTGATTGAATGCCTTCACTCGGACGTGAAATTCCTTGGGCTGCGAGCTGAAATTCTGCGGACATTGACATTCATCATCCCAGGTCTCGCCGAAATCTATGGCTCACACTGGGAGGAGAGCATGGACATCCTCAGCGTGATATTCAGAGAGACCAATGGAGGAGAAGAGGGACTACCACTTCTGTTCTCTTCGTTCAGATTCTTCGCACGTCTGAAGTCCATGGCTGAAGGAGACAGCAATGATGATCTTCAAGATGCTTGGTCAGAGCGAAAGACTGGATTGTTCAATGAGGTGGCTTCTACCATCGGAAATTTCGGTATGTATCGAAGGATTCTCATTAGGGGGTCATTTATAGGAGAGTCCAAGCTTACCCAGAAATTAGATTCCGCAACTACCTTCCACCAACCGCGTGACGTTGCCGTCGAGCTTTTGCGACGTCTGATTAAATCCATACCCATTGAGAAGCTTGAGGACGTCAGTGGGGTCTTTGGCCTCCTAACTGCGCACAGCCGCTCTGTCCAGCGCACTGCTTACACAATCCTCCACCGGTTTATTCCTCAAGCACAAGAACAAGTCTCATTTGATTTAGCGCTGTCTAAAACATCCGTCAGCCTCCCAGATGAGCTTATATCCTTGTTGCTGGAGACACCGACAATGCAAATGGTCGACGAGGCTTATGGAGATGACAGGATGTGGACCACCGTACGGGCTTACCTCTTGAGTTGGAAAGTGGTGTTTGATCATTTCACCAACGCGGTATGTTATAAATGAGCGGGCTGTCACTTTCCGTCAAGCTCCTTTGCTAATAGTATCGATAGTCGCTCCCCGTCCAAGAGTTCTACACGACAAACATCAAGGAAAACGAAGTTTTGATTCCATTGTTGGAATTCACTTTCGACTTCCTTCAAAAGTATCACGGCAAGATCGTTGATGCATCCAAGTTCGATGTACAAAACTTTGAACCCGATCAGTCTGAGACCCCCGAAAAGGAGACACAATGGCTTTTGATACATTTGTACTACCTCTGCCTCCGCCACTTGGCGAACATGACCAAGAATTGGTGGATAGATACCAAGAAACGAATCAAGGGCCCAGTGGAATCATGGACAGAGAAACATGTAAGTGGATTCGAGCCTCGGGCTGCCCCGACAAGCCACAATATCAGGAAATCGTCTAACCACGGTTATAGATCTCCCCACTCGTGTCCGCAGATTCCTTCCAAGGTGTTGAAGACTGGATCTCCACGCAAGATCCCAACGAGGAGCGAGCACTGAGCGTGAAAATTGCGCCCAAGACGGCAGAGATCATCGCCAGCATCCCCGTCGATGAGGAATCACCCCCAGTCTCCATTTCGATTTCTCTCCCACCTGCATACCCACTTCACCCCGCACTGGTAGTTGGCCGTAGCCGAGTGCTTGTGGACGAGAAGAAGTGGAAGAACTGGCTCCTCACAATTCAGGGTGTTATCATGTTCGCCAACGGTAACCTGGTTGATGGCCTCCTGGCCTTCCGCCGGAACGTGCAGGGTGCTCTGAAGGGACAGAGCGAGTGTGCCATCTGCTACTCGGTCATATCGACTGATATGCAGACGCCGAATAAGCGATGTGCCACCTGCAAGAACACTTTCCACTCCGTTTGCCTGTTCCGATGGTTCAAGAGCAGCAACCAAAGCACCTGTCCCCTTTGCCGCAACAACTTTGTATATGTTTGACGTGATGAACTCGAGAAATAGATAGACGATAGATGTGGAAATGAAAAGTGCATGACTTTACGTGAAATATTGGACTCTAGAAGTATAGGCATATTGAAAGATGTAAGTGTTGTTTTTGCAAGATTTAGCCCAACCCACCAACCCGCCAGTGACGCTATTCCCGCCCCGCCAGTTCCCCACCGCGTCCGAGCTCCAAGCTTCCTCCACCTTTCCCCTCCTCCATGGCCGCGTCACAGATTCCAAACCTCAACCTTCTTCGTCGAGGCCGAGGCCGAGGGCGTGGAGGTATTCGTGGAGTTGAAGATGGTCACGGTTCTCGGGCGTCTGGTAAAGACCGCGTCGTACAGGGTACTGACAATGACGCGAGTGTTTCTCGTCTGAGCGCCGTCGAGCTGGGTTATCTCGTTGACCCCTACGCGACAGCATTGACGCCGCCTGGCTCTGCGACGAGAAGGTTCCCAATTATCAATAGAGGTATGTTTTCTCATATTTTGCTACGCGAAAATCGAAACTGACGAGAATTTCCAGGGACCTACGTCCGCACCACCGCAATTGACCAGCTTGTCGCGCACTTCCTCGGTCCATACTCCCCCGAGACTCAGCACAAGAAGAAACAAATCATTTCGCTAGGTGCTGGGTCAGATACACGTGTTTTTCGCCTCTTTACCTCCAGAAGACCGCCCGATGTCATTTACCACGAAATTGATTTTGCGGTCAACACGGCTACGAAGATTCGTGCGATTCGATCAACGCCGAACTTACAAAAGGCGCTGGGCATTGATCCGTCGAGCAACGATGTGACCGTTTCAGAAGCAGGCGATGCACTACATACACCCTCATATCATATCCATCCGTGCGACCTACGATCGCTGTCGGTGAACCTCTCCCTCGCCGAAGCTCTCCCCGGCGTAGACAGGAGCCTACCGACATTGCTGATATCGGAGTGCTGCCTGATATATCTTTCTCCATCGGAGGCCGCCCAGGTGGTCACTTTCTTCACCGAACATGTTTTTGGTCCTACGCATGCACCATCCGAGGGCAGTGAAAAGCTGCAAAGCTCGCCGACTGTCCCTCCTCTCGGACTGGTTTTATACGAACCCATTCGACCACACGACCCATTCGGACGGACCATGGTGTCTAATCTAGCGACTCGAGGAATCCAACTCCAAACACTCAATAAGTATGCGTCTTTGGAGGCCCAGCGGGCTCGATTGCTTGAGCAAGGATTTGAGACTGGTCAAGCTGCCGCTGATATTGATTTCATCTGGGAGCGCTGGGTGAAGGAGGAAGAAAAGGAGCGGGTCGCCAGTCTTGAGTTCCTGGATGAGATGGAAGAGTGGCGATTACTTGCTCGGCATTACTGTATCTCATGGGGATGGAGGAATGGTGACGATGCCGCGGCATTTAGTGGGTGGACGACTCTGCAAGCCCAACCGGCGGAGTGATATCTCAAGTATGTTAATTGGCTATACTGCCAAATGAAGATCACGAATTCTTGTGTAACTACATGACGGCCAATACCAAATATACCAAAAAGCCTCAAAGTTTGTCAACGAGGCCAGCTTGTCCATAACCTTGTTCATGCCTGGGGCGTGCTGGGACTTGGTATCAAGGGCTTTTCTTGTTTTTGCAATCCCCATTCACCCTCTCCAATCCGTTTCCCACGATATTTCACCAAGTTTCCCACAATGACAGGGCCAATGATGGTATTGAGAAGGATAGCCCACACTGCGGTGATGAAGCCGTCTTGACTCACATAGCTCGTTTCATTATACCCAACTTCTATGATGAGAAGGCCGATCTCACCTCGTGCTACCATCGCCGAGCCAAGTAGTAGACCAGCAAGCGATGCAGGTCGATATCCAGTTCTTTCGTTGTTGGCTGTTGGCGACTCGAGGACTGCACGAGAATGACCTTTCGACGGACCCAAGAACTTCCAAAATGGAATCCACAGGCCGACGATGAACTACTTGAACGATTAGGCTGTCCCCGACGATCATTTAGATAGGAGCTGGAGTCTTCTTACTTTTGCAATGGCCATGATTAATGTGAACACGATTCCTCTCCAGATCCGTTCTCCCGTCCAGAGTTCCACGAAAGGAATTGCAAATCCAATGCTGGCAAAGAAGAGTGGCTCCATGAGATATTTTTGAGTATCCAAAAGATACAACTCGAACGTGTGAATGAACTTCGGGCTTTTATCGGCATTTCGCTCGCCTTCTTCCCGGCTCATCACGACAAATGGACCATCTGGATGCTTGCTCGGCAAGTATGTGAGAAACGTGCCAGCCAGAAACGCACCAAACAAGACCGACGTGCCTGCATATGCGGCGATACTAATGAATGCGGATAAGACCAAGACCATCAAGAGGATGTTTGAAACGTGATCGAACTTTGCGAATTTATGTTCGATCCAGCGTCGGAAAATCGGTGCAAAGATCCACTTGGTAAAAATTGGGGTGAGAATTGCCATGGCCGCAGAGGCTACGATCGGTCGACCGATGATCCAGCCAAGATTGACATGGCCAGCATCGGGACCAGAAAGCTCTCTCAAATCTCCGATGACGCTATTAGTGTTGTGTCAGCGTCAGATTCCACAGGATCGGGGGCAATACCTCTTACCTAGACAACACAAGGCCGACCACATCATCGATCACAGCAGCACTCACAAGAACAGAGCCAACTCGAGTTTGAGAAAGGTCTATTGCACTTGCGGCGGATGATATGACGGAAAAGGTAGTGCCCAAAGAAGTCGCCGATAGTGCGGCTCCAATGATAAAAGTTTCAACTGCACCTTCGGGATATTAGTCGCGAAAATATCCAAGTGGAACACATTAGGTCAGCATACCGTATCCATAGCCCAAGTACAACAGCAGATATGAAAACCCAATTGGGAAGCAGACACCTGTAGCTGCCGCGAGGACGCTAAGAAGAAAGTTTTGCTTCAATAGATCGAGTCTGACTTGCAAGCCACCTGTTCATCTTTATGATCAGCATCGATACCAATCAAGCACGCGGAGTTCTGATACCTTCAAATATGATCAAAATCAAGCCAACATACCCAATGGCAAGGAAAGTCTGCTGCCACGGGTATTCCAAGATATTGGCCAACGGTTTTCCATAGATAATCCCAACGGCAATTTGACCAATAATACCGGCACGAATGATCTTAGTCGAAATCCATTCCGCTAATGACAGAAGGAAAAAGAAGGATATGATGATCAAGATTTCGACAACTGCAGATCGTTAGCCCGAGCCTTGATGAACGGAGAATGGCAAGTACTACTTACTACCAGGTTCGTGGTATGCAAGAAAACCAGCCATCACAAAACCACCTGGTTACAACTTATTATACTGTAGGTACAATCAGAGTGATTCAAAAGGAAAACAGGGTTTTAAGCCAGAAAATCCTTTTAAACAGTCAGTCTGGGCATTTTCTTGGGCTTCTTGGCTTTGCGACTTCATCGATGGTACGTCACGTGCTGCCACCATTTTGGTGACATCAGCACTTGGGTAAATAAGAATATCTGGATCTGGGGTAATTTCATTTGTATTCAACCATGGAAAACATAGTGGTAGTCTAGATAGTATAGTACAAAGCCTACGATGTACGGAATCTGCCCGATCGTCGCTCAGGTCTTCCGCTCAAGTATGACATCCAACGCCGGGATCTCGACACTAAGAACCTTGCCCTCGGAATTCAGAGTGAAAACAAATTCATCCAGCCCACGTCCAGCATACTGTAACCTGTCGATATTCATCCACGAAACACAGGTTGCTGTCTCGGCATCTGCAAGCTCAGTCTTGTCTTGGAAAACGGCTCTGAACACCTGTTTGGATCCAGACCCTTTCTGTTGAATAAGCTGGGTCGGATACAGACGAATGCTCAGATCCGTCGCATCACTAACACCACTGAGGCTTGCCAATGTCTCATGGAAGTCAGTGCCGTTGCTGATAAAGCTATCGATAAATAAACCCGGAAGTTCGTCATACTCGACGGCGATGGACGAGTTCAAGTTAGAAGCCGCATATGCACCACCAAAGTTTTGCGCAGCCTGTTTCAAGGATGACTTTATTATACCTTCAAGCACAACTTCCATGTAGTCTGCGTGGGCATTCAGATCCGCAGGACTGACAGTATCAGCGGAAAGAATCACATAGCCAACGCCGTAGTCTGGGACCAAGCCAAGATACGAGCTGTAAAGGCCCTCGTTGCTCCCTTCATTGCTGAGTATGCTATACACATCAATCATAGAGGTCTTAGGGTAGTCGCCGTCGCTGTAGATAATCCACGGCGCGCCAAGAGAGTTAGCGGGGTTGGAGGTGTGCGAAACAGGCTTTAGCCAGCGATGCGTTTGGGCCGAAGAGAGAAGAGTTGAATTGAGAATAGCTTTTCCGGCGATTGCAAGGTCTTTGATGCTTGAGAACATGGATATCGATCTGGTATAAACACAGTTAGACGTGATATAGATTGGGATCAAAAAGAAGGACTTACGCTTCGGATCCCGTTGTTCGAGCCGACCATGCACTGACTGTCTCATTCACCGGAATCACGCCCATATTCGAGTCGCCGGGGGCGAAGACAGTGGTTTCATTCATTCCCAAAGGGTTAAGGATCCGTTGTTGAACGACTTCTGCGAAGGACATTCTAGCACGCTCCTCGATAATGTATCCCAGAAGCTGGAATGCCATGTTTGAATAACTTGGGGTCACACCAGCAGGAGCTACAGGCACCCTGGTAGCCAGGTGCTGAATGAATTCTAGATAAAGGTCAGATTCGAGAAATTCTTAGCTGCCGGATTCTGAGATCTCGTACCACTGGAGCTGCATCGTGGTCCTTCGGCACAGCACGGTAGTTGACCATCCTGGTATGCCGGCAAGCCTGCCCTAACGATATTATCCTGGGAGGCCAAATCGCTGAAACAATCTATTTACAGACTATTAGAGTGTGTCTCAGATAGATACTTAATTTGCAAGCGGCGCACTAACAGTCTCGGGCAATACCACTCATATGGCTTGCGAGCTGGCCGACGGTGACATCCGGCCATTGGACCTGGTCTATAGCGTCTCGCTGTCCCTGTGAGGTATTTGCAAGTTCAGGCAGATATTTGATAACCGGGTCGTTGAAGATTTGATCGCCCTCCACCAAAAGGAGACTCCACACAGTGAAAAGTTCAGTAAGTCCCCCGATGCGATAGATGCTGTCCTTAGTGACATTGCGAGAGAGATGGTTTGTCTTTTTCAAAACTGGAGCTGTATGATGGTACTCCCAGAAGAATGGTTCGTTCTCAGTGGTGCCCTTGTTAGCCGAGAACAATGCAATACTGAAGGTAGTGTTCGGTGAGGCGTCCCCGTTAGGGCCAGTACCCGTCTCAATGAGCTGGTCAAATTTTGCAGTGAGATTTTCGAGTGCACTCCCGACTATCATATCATTTGTGTTTAGGATGAAAGGAGGATATGCAGGCCCTAGTAGTGGACATGGCGTGAATGAGAGCGCTGAAGAGAGCAGCAGAGAAAGTGAGATATAACGAGCGAGTGGCGAGACCATACTTGACGATAAATAACCAAATTGATTCTATAATTTCATCATGTCATGATTTCAAAGTGCATACATTTATACTAGTCCGGATCGGAGATGGTTGGAGGCCTATAATATCCGTCGGCTCGGGGATAGCGGTCGGCGATGCTAGGTATAAGCTTGGTTCATATTGAGCAATTAATAAGCGCCCAGTATTAACCAGGTATTCGCTGATGGATTACATGACGACACTTTCAGGCCCTTCGAGTTCCCAGGGAGTTTCTGATACTAGGATTTGGGTCAGTCACTCGTTGAGTCACGAGTGGATCCGGGATAGGTGAGGCTCAGCCGGAGATGGTACTAGAGGATATAGATAATCTCGAAGGCACTGCTACCTGCATATTTCTCACTAAACAAATATTCCAAATACTAGGATTTTTTGTCCCTCCTCTAATCAAAGTCGATTATGATCCGGCCTCTGCCTAAAAGTATTCGAACAAGACACACTAACAACGGTTTCAACCATAGATATCAGATCCAATTACCCATGATCTGCTCCACAGAAGCCTCAAACAGATAATTAGACGAGAAATCAACGTGCATCAAGAGATCCTCCGGAACTAGACTACCCAAACCCAACGAGTCATCCTCAAGCGGGTCGGAGATGTTGACAGACACATTCATTCCAGCTCCAGGAATTGATGAGCCGTCTTGACCGATGTCTTTCGGTGAATTGTCTAGCAACGCTTTAATCTGAGTAACTCGTCTCGTGAATCCAAAGAAAGTATCACGATCTCCATTCGAGTCCACCTCAGGAGTCGACAAGGCGCCCACGCGCAACTGTAGCTGGTTTAACAGCGTAAGGAATGCTGCTGTCTGAGTTGGATTGGATTTGGCAGTATGCCGGTATAGGATGACCATGGCAAAAGCCATTTGCACCCATTGCGTGTTTGTAAACCCTAATTCGGTGCCAGGTGAAAGCGAGAGGTATAGATTTAGTATGCATTCTGAGGCACTAATCGCTGCACACGACATCTCATTCCAGTCAGGCTGGAGAGCCGTTACCTGGGATCCAGATTGGGGGTTGATCGTAGTGAGAGCGAGTTGATATAGAGATAGAGCAGTTGCGTAAAATTGAATGGCAAGAAATGCTTCATGAAAAGTCAGTAGGGGCAATATCGCGACCGGCGGTTGATAAATACTCACGAGCATCGTAGATATTGAATGGTAGTCGATTTTGAAATCCCTCCAAGTCTGATCTGAGGCTTGTCACATAAAGTGCGGAGCCCGAACCGGGTGTCATGGGCTCGTGTCTGGGATTTGTAGATAGTCGATCTATTTTTTCTGCGATGTGTTGCAACTGGACGAGTGCAGTGATGTGCTGATCATGAGGATACTCTTTCCCATCCTGAAGCGACTGGCAGCACTCTTCAAGGTACGGAATATAGGAAAAGGTAGCCTGCTTCTGAAGAAGAATAGAGATCCTAGCAGAGAAAAAAAATGAGTATATCGTGCTTCAGAATGTGCGAACTAGGAGGCTTACGCCGACGATAGATAGTAACAGCCAATAACAGCTCTTTCCTCATCACTACCCCATGATGATCGATCCCATGTCTGTTCATCTACCAGAGCTTGTTTTTCAAAGTGGAGCTTAGTTTTCCACGTCTTTGTTTGTGACGGTCGGTCCAATCGCAAGTCTATAATGATGCTTACAGCCAACTGGAGAAACTGGGTATAGCGCTGTGGCTTCGTGTAATAATGCGACCTGTTCAAGCAATTATTAGATGCGTGCTGGCCCACAGATGCAATATTGAGACGCGAGTGGCATATGCATACCAAGCCAGAAACACCAGTAGCCCTTGCAGCAAGTCGAATGACACTTCTCCATTGAGAATGATACGAGAGGCAACAGCTCTCTTGACTTCGGCACCTAGTAATCTCTGCAATGGCATATTATCGTATGATGCTGAGGCCATGATGGCAAGGAACAGAAACGGCTTTTCCTGTCGCAACTCGACGGAAGAGACATGATGAGGGATAACCACGAAGGGAAAGTGTGGTGTCAAAGTTGACTTGAATGCCTTGAGATAGTTCTCCGCAGCCTCTATGCTTAGAAAGCCCTGGTCAATGATATCCTTGTCGCCGTCGTCGCTTTCGGTCACAGATGTGCTTCGTGTTCTAGGCGCTGTCTCCGGAGTTGCTTGTAATGACTGCGCTGCATTTTGGTCGGTCATCAATTCCCTGACCTTGGATTCAAGAGCTTCAATCTTTCTAACCATATGTCAATAAGGCCTGTCAGAGGTTTTCCGAGCGGGTAAAGATGAGTGCTACTCACCGATCTTTCTGGAAGCCGTTGAAGCGACGGCCCGTTTGCCTATAGAGGCATTCTCTGCCTAGGCGCAGGCATCTACGCGTCAATGGGTCAATCCTGCCTCTTCATTACTTTGATTGCTTGCTGTCTAATTTACCTTTTGCAAACGTGAGGATTCTCGGAAGTTCGAATACATCGGACCTTGGAATTCGCACAGCCTTGGCAGGTCTTGGACACGGGAGGCATGGCGCTCTTCGGTATACAGTTGGTGCTGTTTTAGTTGTGTTAATTGGAATGGAACTTCATAACGCCTTTGAAGGGCAAAACAGTGCACTTAATTGAAATAATGAACGATGACTATCAGCAGATTTTCTTCGATATCTGACAGGAATTGTCAGATGAGGCTGTGCATCTTTATTTAGCTTACCTAGTTAACTAACTAGTTAACTAACTAACGTAATTCCCGGCTACCCTGGCCACCTCCCCCCATTCAAAATTTTCAAAATCGATTATCTCAACCAACGCCAATAAATTTACCTAAATATAGCGATTTTTACATACATTAATCCTGTGACCAATCTCCCTGCACCCACTACACCTAGGCGGGGCCCTAGTACGTGGGGGATCTGCCTGAATAGGCAATTCGCCCTGAGTATGCGATACTACCTCATCAGATTCTTCCTCCTGATTTAGCTGCTTAGCTAGCTGTATAGCCTCTTCAATGGTTAAGCCCTCTGCGTAGGGTATCCTTCTAGTTGACCGATTGCGCTTTTTGATCATCTTCTCATTTGCAATGCGTAAATTCGCATTATCCTCTGCGAGTAAAGCACCGCTTTGCTAGCTGGAATCCCTTAATTATCTAGTCTAAGATCTCTTTTGATGGGCTCGGAGGGCTATTTGACCGCCGTTTTAGTAGATCTTTTAACATAGAAGCTTGCTTGAATAGCTGAGCGGCGGTTTTAGGCGTTTGTGGTGTGAATTCGCTAGATCTGCTGATTGGCCGGCTGCTTGGTGGCGACGGAGTACGTAGAGAGATATTAAGCTTGTTAAGCACTCTCTCGGGGTCTAATGGTACTAGACCACTAGCTACGAAGCTATTTTTGATAGTGGGATTGGTTGATTGGAAGGCTTCTAGCCGCGCGTGCTAGTAATCCACTAAGAAATCGTGCTTGTCGATATAGTTATATCCTCTACGCGTAAGATCGCTAACGAACCGACCGTACGCGCGCTTAACCACTATAAAACACCCAATATCTAGTGGCTATAGTAGATGCGATGAATGCGTAGGCATACAAAGTGGTATAATATCGTTTTCTGCGCAGATTCGGTCGAATTGGGGTGTAAGATAGCTACCATGGCCATCAAGAATCAATAGTCGAAATCGCCCACGTACACGCGAATTCGTATATAGGATAAAGTGCTTTTGTAACCAGCGTAGACCAATCTCATCGGTAGTCCAGCCATTCTTTAAGACCTCGATTCGCCAGTCTTTCGGTAGGTTTTCGTTAAACCATCCTTCAATAGCTACTTTGCCTTTGAAGATAATACATGGCGGTAGTGAATAGCTATCTGCGTAGATTGCCTCGATTGCAGTAACCCATTCGCGATTTCCTGGTTGTAGAAGAGATCTCCGACCGTAGTATTCGGCGCGGGTAACTACCTTCTGCGAAGATATAAGACCCATTGCGAAGCCTGTCTCATCAAAGTTATAGATATCCTCTGGTTGTATACCGTTCTCGTCAATCACACTTTGTACGGTCGCGAACCACTGCCGAATCGATTTCGGATCTTCGTTTAGGGCTCTTTAGTAATCGTATCTTCGCGAGAAGCGTGTACGAAGCTCAGGACGGCGGTTGATGAAGGTTGATGACCAATTCTTTCCAACGGTAGACGGAGGGTAGCTACCGCGCGCGGCGAGTAGGATATTAGCCATTTCGGCTACAGTAGCCGGCCTAGGGGCTGCTCCACGCGTATCCATAGAGAGTATCCATTCAGTAAGCGAATCTTCTTCTAATTGTGTAAGTTTATGGCGTGGGTGGCGTCTCTCTGTCATAGAAACAACACCATGAGCGCGTGTTTGTAGTGTAGCGCGTGGTATAGCGTATAGCCTTGCTGCTTCGCGTATGGATTTCACACGACCATCTTTAATATCAGAAAGGGCTAATGAGATCTTGCCCTCTTGATTGGCCGATTTCTGCCGAGATTCAGAGCGAATTGGCGGCATGGTAGGTGGTTGAATTAAGTAGGTTGGTAGGAAGACGCGATTTTGGATGGGGTGGCCAGGGTAAGCGGGTGGTCAGGGTAGCCGGGAATTACGTTACCTACCAACCAAGGTCGCTGACTAAATGCCAAGCCTTCCACAGCCCTGGAGCCCCTGCCGGGGGCCAGGGCTGCCGCAGCTCCATGGGCATGGAGCCACTGGAGGTTCACCATTTCGAAGAATACCAAACTTGGGGAGAATCATGTTTGAAGAATATGTATAGGATTATGTCACCTCCGCGAGCCCATATCGCTTTGCTCAGGGATTTCACCACAAATCACGTTTACAAAGTAAGAATACCAGACTCGAGTAAAATTATTTACGAAGATATGTTGAGTATGTAGTCCAGCCGCACTGTACCATTTGAATTGCTCCAATTTATGGGGTCAAACATAGAGTCATGATCAGCGAGAAATATATTTTTGTAGCTCGAATAAGAGATGGTGGCCATTGAGTGTGAAGACGTGTGTCTCCAGGCTATAAGAAACAACAACTTCAGAGGTTGAGGTTGAGGGAACAACATGGAATCGGATATCTCCTCCTTCGCGTCTAATATCCAACTTCAGGCTCCCTCTGAGACCTAGACTAGTCTAAGGTGGAGAGGAAAGTTTTTGCCTCGTCAGGAGCGGGCTGTGTGCGCCTCAATTGAGGTCCCTGGGTGATTTTGACATAAAACGAAACCAGTTGTAGCCATCAAGACAGCATTCTCATTCCGCAGCTTGTCAATTCCATGCTCGCAGTGGAACAATTGTGAAACATCTTGCCCCCAGTTTCATGGCCAAGCTTTGGACAAGCTCGGAGCCCACAACGTTGCGATGTTCATCGCGGACCGCGCTCGGCATTCGAGAGTCTTGGCTGAACGGAAGGATGTCCGTAGACTCCGTCGACACGAGGTCCAGCTATTCCAGATTCGTCCCTGAGGGCATGGAAGCCCTAGCCGGGGCACACACGATGGTCCCATTGGACGGAATACGAGGCCTTCGAGATCCGGCTTCTGTCGTGATCAACAAGCCTAGATCACGAACGACCTGATGATTTTCATTGGGATAGACTGGCCATAGAAGATGGGAGGAGATGAAGCCCCGTTTTGCCGAAGCTGGATTCATGTGGTCTTTTGGAGAAGAGGGGCACCGCAGTGGGGGCGCCAATCATTTTATCATCATCAGGTCTCATTTGCTTTTTGAGTGTTGAATAATGATGAAGATCGGATGGTTTATTATCTTGCTGGAATAATTGGAAGGAAGATGAATTGCTGGTCGAGTGAAGTGGAAAGTACGGAGAACAATGTCGTGGTCAGGTGGTTTGTCGGTTTCTTCCCCTTCCACTTCCATTCGCCTCGACTTCCGCAACCCGCCGTTTTCCCTGCAACGAGAGAGCGATGATGAAGGGTTCATGCCCCACTGGATGCAATTTCTATAAGGTTATTGGCCTGCCTCCACTTGCCAAGCAGGAACCGCCGGGGTATCAAGACTTACCATTGGACAATAGTGGCACTACCCCTGACGCTAAACGACTAGTGGCCTCAACTAGCGGACTCATGTGGCTGCCCGCTAGTGGAGTTTTTTGCTCAGGGGGCAGCTGGCCAACTCGTTTGGTCCCTGAGGGTCTTTGGTGCCTTTGATTACCCCCAGAGAGAACTCTGAGAGACCCCCAAAATGTGCCCCCGAGGCATCGCGGAGAGTTCCTGAATGGGTAAAGTCGGCTCCATCAGGTTTGTACCCTGGGGCCAGTCAGGGTCTCTGCCTATCCACCAAACCCTGAACGGGGCTGCTCTTCTGCGATTCCATCCTAGATCGAGTTAGTGTCGTCACTCGTTGCTGGCCCAGTCACCCAGCACCGTGGTCGGGGCCTTTTTGGCCCTTTTTTTCCATGTTGTGCCTGTGGGCGCAGCGCGCGCTCTGTCCCTTTTCTGGTTGATCTGCCCATCTCATCCTGGCTCTCTCTTCCTCTCCTTTGACCTCATTCTCTGCGAGCTTCTGTGTCCCCTACACTCGGCCTTGGGCCATATTCCGTTCATTCACTCGTTTGATAACGCTTACATTCGTTTATTCACTCATTCTTGCGCCTCTGATTTCTGCGAACAAAAAACCCCCGAAAAGCTTCCCCATCTAGACATCATGAAGTTCGAGATTACTCCTGCCCGCGCGGCCGCGCTTGTCGCCCTCATTGCCAGCGTTGAAGCTGCGCACCACGCTCATTCCCACCACCATGGACACGCCCACGAAGCCCGCACTCTTCCGGAGACCAATACTCTTGAGAAGAAGAGTGGCCAGTGCCAGTTCCCCAGCGATGCTGGTCTGGTTGCTGTCACCCCCAGTGAGCAGAACGCGGGTTGGGCCATGAGCCCTAACCAGCCCTGCAAGCCTGGCAACTACTGTCCCTACGCCTGCCCTCCCGGTCAGGTCTCCATGCAATGGGATCCCGAGGCTACCTCTTACAGCTACCCCATGTCGATGGTAAGTTTTTGTACTACTGGATCCACCTGTCATATGCAAGGGGTGAAACGAGGGGGACATCATCGACTGACAGCCCTATAGAACGGTGGTCTTTACTGTGATGAGAGTGGTGAGATCCAGAAGCCTTTCCCCAGCAAGCCCTATTGTCAGGATGGTACCGGTTCTGTGCAGGCCCAGAACAAGGCTAGCAAGTCTGTGGCTTTCTGCCAGACTGTCTTGCCCGGTAACGAGGCCATGCTGATCCCAACCCTGGTCGAGGAGCTGTCCACTCTCGCCGTCCCCGGCATGTCCTACTGGTGCGAGACTGCTGCTCAGTACTACGTCAACGCTCCTGGTGTTGCTATTGAGGAGGCTTGTATTTGGGGCACTAGCGCCAACCCCGTCGGTAACTGGTCTCCCTACACTGCCGGCGCCAACACCGTTTCCAATGGCGATACCTACCTCAAGATCGGCTGGAACCCTATCTACCTGGAGCCCGCAACTCCCTTCCGTGATGTTAAGCCCGAGTTTGGTATTGAGATCCTGTGCGATGGCGATGGCTGCAATGGCCTTCCCTGCCGTATCGACCCTGCCACCATGGCGGTCAACGAGATGGATGCCCCTGATGTCTTCACCGGCGCTGGCGGTGCCACTGGCTGTGTCGTTACTGTTCCCTCCGGTGCCAAGGCCAACATCGTCGTTTTCGACGTTGGTGGTAGCTCTTCCAGCGAGACTGTCTCGGTCTCTACCAGCTCGGCTAGCCACACCAGCACTAGCAGCACCGTCGCTCCTACCACTACCTCGACCACTGAGACCCCGTCCTCCACCTCTTCTGCGTCCTCTACCTCCTCCGCTGACTCCACCTCGACTGACGACCTTACCTCCTCTGCTGATTCTTCCAACACTCGCCTACCCAAGTCGAGCCCTACCATCAGCTACACCTACCGCCCTCATGTATTCACCGGTTCCGCCGAAATCTCAATGGCTTCGTCTGCTTCTTCCGATTCTTCGGCTGCTTCTGCAACTGGCTCTGCCGCCGCTGCCAGCACTTCTGCCGCTCACAACGGTGCTGCCTCCACCACTTTCTCCATCATGAGCGTGGCACTCGGTGCCGTGGCTGCCCTGGCCCTGAACTTCTAGATCAGACCTAGGATGGGCGTATCGCCGACATGAATCCTCGCAAATGTACAAATGGCTTGCGAGCGCACTCATTCACCAGAAAACGTCCTCACTGGATCTTCACAACCGCAGACATGCATCGTTTTGATTTCTCTGCACCTAATTTTTTCACTTCTAATACCCCCATTTTCTACGATTCTACCGCATTCCCGATGGGAAAGCGCACTTTTAACTCATGACGACTCTTCCACGTTGCCATTTTTTCAAGCTTTTACGACATTACACCCCCATATATCCCTTGTGGCTCCTCAGCCCTGTTTTTTTATTTCTGTTAAGTATCAGCTTTTTTGTTATCTATTTTTTCTTGTATTTTTTTTCTACCTGTGCATTGGGTCTTGTTTGGGTCTACGTTCGATGACCGGTGATGTTTTTGAGCCGAGCGAGTTCGGATGGGGTCTTTGGTTGGACATAAAGAAATAACTGGTTTTCAAATCAACTTTTCACAGTTTACAGTTCTTCCTGATGCATGTCTTTGCTGGTTTGAGCTGATACCAGATGGGATGTGTACAAGTAGATTGTACGTTTCGGTGTCTACTTTTAGGATATGGCAGTATAAATGGCAGTACACAGTTTGGCCACTGATAATAATTCAATAATTTTTATGCCTTATTCTCATTCCACGGAGATGTACGAAGTATACTGCTTTCATGTGGATACCTTGATATGATCCATCCCCCAGCCAGCGAGTCCGCTTGAGATATCCCTCAGGACTCCCCAGCAAGACCTTCAGCCTTTTCAATCTCTTCTCTACCCAAGCACCACTTGTTCTGTAAAGCAGTGTCCAGACTCATCGCATACACATCCTTGGGCCACCATTCACCCCAACTAGTGAGGAAAATCTGCTCCGGATCCGCAGGAATGTCGCTGCGAGTAAAAGCGGCAAGAAGGCTTTGAGCACCTATTCAATATGTGAGAAGTCATCTTCAGGAATAAGTCCTCGAACATGGCGCCAACAATCTCACCTTCGGGAATCGTCTTAGCATCGGGCATATCCATACTCAATCCTATGTCCGTGGCGAGCTTGGTGTCGGGAACCAGACCGGGAGAAACAGCCACGATGGTGCACTCTGGCAGATGACGACGCCAGTAGTGAGCGCCCAGCAGCTGGACGAACTTGGAGCCGCAGTAGACTACTCTTTTACCGGCGCCAGAGTTTGCCTTAAGGTCGACATCCAGTGTTTCTTGAGTTGAAACTTAGTTGGCACTCTTGACTCGGATCTGGCAAGGTAACTTACTAGGATCCTGCCCCCGCACATTGCGGATTGCCCCGGAGGAAACGAAGATAATGCGTGTCTGAGAGGCGACCAAGGTCTCACGGATCAAGTGGACCAGATAATGCTGGGCTGGTAAATTGTCAGAGACCATCCAATTCCCATGAGTGCCAGGCGATTGTAACTTACCGAGATGATTCACAACATACCCATCACACCATTGAGAACCATTCGGACCAGGCCCACTAGCATCATCATGTGTACCAGCAACCAAGAACAAATAATCAATCTTGCTCCGACCAAGCTGAGCAAGAGCCTTCTGAACGAATACCTGCACACTACGCAAATCCTTCAGATCAAGCGGCAGAATGTGAACAGAGTGCTTAGTAGAATCGAAGCTGAGCGCGTCATACGCAGCCTGAGTTCTCTTTGTATCCCGAGCACCAAGGATGAAATTGTACGGCTCGGACTTTTCAAGTAGTTGCTTGACAGATTCGAATCCCTATTGATTATATTAGACCCATGTAGAGGAGAATGACACCATCGGATGCCAATCAGAAGAGACTGCTAAGAGGGTTCGTGGGTCTTACCAGGCCTGATGAGGCACCCGTTGCGATAACGGTCTTTGTGTTGGACATTTTGTTTCTCAAGTAGAATTTGGATATATTGACAATATAATGTACACTGTACTGAAAGATGAGATTGATGCTGTTGGATTCCAGTCTGACACCGCTGCCCCTCCCCCTCGGCTTACAAAGCGATCGCGTGGGGATGCCAGGAGTGACCGAGTTGACGTCATGTAAAAGGTTGCACCTTGATAGATGAATTATAAACAATTTGAATAGCATTGATCAGTATTGGATTATATTCAACTCAAAGAAGATGTTTAAACTATTCTTCTAATTGATGTGGTGTTTGGCTAAAGAGTTGTTTCCGGTCAAAGCTTTCAGTGCCCCTCCTTGACTTTCAGCCTTATGCACATCAAGTCTATATTGAATAGCCTCGCTCTAGCGCTTTTCTGTGTCAAATAAGAACCTAAAAGCTTATGGATCCTGACCTGGTGGGGCACACATACATACCAATTAATTGCAAAATAGAATTATGCGACAATTGATTTTGTAGTGCGATTTTTTGTATTTTTCTTTGTGTTCCTTAAGACGCCTTGGTTTGCGTAGGGATTGAATTGATAGTTTTACTGAATTAATAGACAAGACCTACCTGGGGGTTTTTGGTGTATTAATGGGTCTCAACAATTCGAAGAACCTCAGATCTATCGTCTTGGCTCCTATTTCAGTCTCATCGTACGCATGGATGATCTGAGGTTGAATGATGAGGGGTACAAGATACCCATACACTATATTGGGTTGGGTGTATGAATTGATCATGTGTAGATTTAGGTAGAATCTGGATATGTCAGACCCGCCATCATGATAGGTATCTTCGGAAATGTCATATATTCAGCAATACAAAAGCCACCGTCCGAGATCTTTATAAACTCAGAGGTGAGATAGTAATATGAGACTTGCTTTCACGATGATTCTTCCGACCAATGGGACACGGAATTGAGTGACTTCACTTGGGAATTAGTCGTTATCCAAGACTAGTTGACCATCAGAAAGTAGGACGAGAAATATAATCTTAGGCACATAACCCGAAGACCACCAATCTAGACTCCGTGCTGTTGCACACGTGACAGTAGTTTGGCCCCATGGACTTATATCGGACAAACCATACACATTCGACCAGACAGAGCTTGGCAAGCAATGTATCTGGACATCGATTTGGCGGTGCCAAATCAGATTAGGTCCCAGGACCGACATCGGGGGACTAACCGCGCACTTGGTCCAATCGCCAGAGTCGTATGTCGAGTATGCAACGCAATCTTCTAGTGAGCCCCAGTCAGATTTTCCCCCAGGGGTTTTTAGACGGAGAATAGCGCATGAAATTGGAGCTATTGGAGAACGAGCCCTGTGTGTCAGCTCTAGAGTCAGCTTTGGCTGGATCTTTTCGAGAGAAACGACAGTAAGCTAGTCCCAAAGAACAACTAGCGTAGTGGAGCAAATCAGGGAACGGCGTGTTGTGGTTGGCCGGCTCGGTTTCTGACGTCACAGCTCGCAAAGAAGAGTCGCGCGATTCCTATTTGGGGTAGTATAAGGCTCTAAGTTTGGATGGATGGGTTTGTCGTTGCACTTTTATCGGCTTTGCGTGTTTCAGTACCCCAGTCCTATCTTTGGATCACACGCGAGATGCTGCGTGGGCGAGTGGAAATTAGTCTCTGTAGGGCCCCTATATAAACCGTGGTCTCGCACATTGAGGCACACTATCACTGTTGTCTCGAAGCATCAATCGCGATATCCTATACACCCTATCAAAGGCAATCAATCTATTTGAAAAAAGGCTAAAATCTAAAATGGTGGGTCTTCTCCGGTAACTGTTACGAAAATCGATTAAACTAATACCCATCGCTACTACAGGCCCCAGTCATCGCAAGCGCAATGGATGCCACAACAGAGCTCCTCAAACGTGATGCCAGTTCACCATCAAACTATCCTCTCTATATCTTCGCTATCATTGCTGGTTGCGTGGCGTTTGTCCTCATTGGGTGCGCCATCTGGACTATGTACCATGGAATAGAAGACAAAGAATTCCACGATGTCGGTTATGAACAACGGAAATATATGCGCGAAGTACGACAGAGAAACGTCAACAGTCTCGCCGTTACTGCAAAAAGGCCTGATATGATCATTCCTGTTGAGCAATTGAACTATTGAGGACCCCGCGGTTGGGTACGGGTGGATCGATGGGTTGACGTTCCTCGAAGAAACGAGCATTACAATTGGCGTTCCGGTGATTTACTTTTTTTATTTGATGAGAAGCTACATCTGAAATCTTTGGCTTTTCAAGCATTGCGGGGATTGGAAATGGAGAACACGATGGGTTTCTAGGGGTTTGCATTATGGGGTAGGATTGAGATGGCGCTTGTTATGAGCATCGAGTGCTCGGACTGGACTGGAGGACTTCAAGTCACAATTCCTGTTTCCTTTGTCTCGATTACAATACTTCTACTATATTTCTCTCTTAATTTTTTTTCCTTATTATACACTTGTTGGATCTATTTCAGTGGATTATTCTCTGTCTCTCTAGGGCCCGCACACGAGTATCTCACAGTATGAAGAACGAACTTGACATTCCACCCGATATAAGCCCACTTATTTATCAGCATTACCTTCTGAGATTGCCAGCGCATTTCTAATCCCCAGAGTTCACCATATTCTCCTTCTTCGCAAGATACTTGTGGCCGCGAATAGGAAGCCCCGCCAGTGGATCCACTTCCTCGGCTCAGTCAGCAAGACGACTCGGGCCCATCCACCATCTACACGCCTTTTACCCCATCGATTCAATGACTTGCAACTAGACACTCCATCTACGATGGATCGCAGGATTCCCAATCCATGCTATACCTGCCGCAACCGGCGCATTCAGTGCGACCAGTCCGGGGTGCCTTGTGGCAAATGCCAAAAGGCAGGGCTGGAATGTCTCGATAAACGGCCCTTCAAATGGGTCAAGGGCGTTGCGATTCGCGGGAAGTTACAGGGACACTCATACGAAAATGCGACTCCATCTTCTGCGATAGTGAAAGATAAATTTGTAGGTCCTGCGAATCCAAAGCGTGCACTGGTACAGGCCTCGGTGCGGCGCGATCGGCGGTTTGATACTCTAGGTAAGGTCAACCTTGGACTCTAATTGCTTTTCCCCACAAAGTTGGGCAATACATCTACCCAATACTTGGGATGCGTGATTAACAGAACTCTGATGCGGGTATACAGTGACCACCTCTGGCAGTAGCTCTTCGTCATCCTCACCAGGTCCCTCATTAATCATTCAAGATCCAACCTTTTCAAGTTTGGATAAGACCTCAAAATACTATATCGATTACTGTAAGCCCCTGAAATTGGGTTAACACTTGACACGATTCACTAAAGAATTACCGCAGATAATGAACGTATCTGCGAGCTTTTTATTGTATACGACACCGAGAGAAACCCTTTCCGAAGCCTCATACCCCTCGGCTTGGAAAACCCCGTCTTAATGAAAGCTCTCCTCGCCCTTGCAGCACGGCATCATGTCAACAAGGGCCAATCTTTCCATGAGCCAGAATCACCAACGTCGCCACAGCTTGTCACTGCGAACCGCCATGCGCTTGCCTTCAAGCATCAAGCCATGGAAGCACTATCAAAGTCATTGGCAGACCCCAAGATATCAAAACAGGATACCACGGTGGCCAGCATATTTCTTCTGGTATTTCTAGATCTACTAGAGTCTGGAAGTGATGGGTGGAATTTCCACTTGGAGGGCGCGAAAAATTTAATCGCATCCACTTATCCTCAAAATGATTCTCAGGCTGGCATAAATCACGGTCCGGGACAGACAGTTCAAGAAATTCGTGCTTTCATCACCAAGCAAATAAAAGTGTCAGTCCACACAAAACTCCATGCTGATTATTCTCAATTCTAACAATCTCTTTATGGCAGCATTGAAACACTTGGAGCCACCTTCTTACGCCCAAAGTTATTATCCTACTTCGCCTCCTTCGAGCAACAGGAACTCCAACTCCAAGAATCCATCGAAAGTTCTTTTGTTGGATGTCCAGAATACCTGTTGAGCGTGATGCAACTACTATCCATGCAAAGGGATATCATATCGGAACTCCGCCAACTCGGTCAAACCGCTATGGAGTCACACATCAAAGAGACAAAATCCCTGCTTGAAATGACACAGAATTTTGACTGCTATGCTTGGGCGTCTGGCCTGCAACAATCACGTACACCTTCGCCAAGCGAAATCATCAGTCTCTGCTCGCTATCTCGGTCTTATAAGCTCGGTACTTCAATCTATGGAAGACGCATTCTCGACGCTATGACTGGAGAAAAGACAGTACTTGATGACACTGTTGCTGAACTGCTGGGATTGATCGACTCATTGCAGAATGACCGCGTTATGTTCAAGTGCGTCCTCTGGCCCATCTTCGTCGCTGGTTTAGAGTGCCAATGGCAACTTCAACGAGAATTCCTTATTGCCTGCGCAGAACGATTTTGGGACATTACCAACTGTCTAAATGCAGTCAACGCTGCGAAGATCTTGCAAGAATACTGGCGTCAAGTAGATGCCTCTGGACAATCCCAGTCGCGGTGGATCTTTGATATTGGCCGTCTAGGTCGGGATTGGCTCTGGATTTAGAGGGGAAACACACATGAATCATGATTTATGACGAGATGAACTTGAAGAATTACTATATATACAGAATAAATCTACTTTTAGAACTACTGAGCACCCGCAAGGGCCTTGAATGCTCGCAACAAGTCATTCTTCAGGTCCTCCCAATTCTCCAGACCAACGCTGATCCTCAACAATTTCCGATCCACCCTGGCATCAGACAAGGCTCGCCACTCGATCAAAGACTCAACTCCACCGAGACTCGTTGCATGCTGGAAGAAATGCAGTTTGCTCGGCAGGGTGCGAGCAAACTCTTCACTATGCAAAATCACGGAGAAGACGGGACCGAACCCGTTGGGCATCTGCTTCTTCAACCACGGCTCATTCTGGAGACTGGCATGATAAATCTTCTGTAAAATAGTCTGAACAACAGCCTCGTCCGAGCCCGGTGCAGGAGAAGTAGCATTCAAAGCACCTTGGAGCCATAAAATCACCTTTGCCGAGTTCTCACTCGCCCGTTGTACACGAACCTCGAGTGTCCGCAGACTCCGTGCACCAAGCCATCCCTCCAAATTTCCCAGGACATTACCCAAAGCCATCCGGTCCTCGAAAAGCTGCTTAGCCCAGTCATCCCGCTTTACTGCAAGAACGCCACAGAGCATATCGCTGTGTCCGCCGAAATATTTCGATCCCGAATGCATGACAATATCAGCACCCCACAGGAAAGGATCTTGCAAACCCGGAGGTGCAAAAGTGCTGTCAACAATAAGGAAGGCTCCTCGGGAATGTGCCTTTTGAGCATACTCTTCGATGTTGTAGGCTGTCCCGAATGGGTTGATTGGGGTCTCGAGCAGGATGACATCGCCTTTGCTCAGACTCTCCGCGGCGCAGTCAATGGGGAGCTTCTTAAGACCCGAGAGGCGAGAGACCACGGAGATGACTTCGTGACTGCCGTGGTAGCCTTCGCCGACTGATATCTGCCGGGGGTTTAGGAGTGTCAATGCAGCGTGTAGAGCTGCTAGGCCTGTGGAATAGCTCACAGCATGGCCTTTGAGAAGAGGGGAGAGAATGGCTTCGAAGCGAGTGGCATTTGGTGCAAACTCGCGAGAGTAGACGTAGTTTTTTCCGTTGAATTCCGCCTGTTGAAGTGTCAGTCTAAGTGACTTGTGCAAGTTGCTGTATCTACGTACGACTGGGTCCTCTGATAAAACCAGCTCATCTGGGTTGTTCGAATATCTGAATGTTGTAGACAGATGGATCGGAGGTGCAACATCGGGCACCATGTTCAAGCGGTCATCTGCATGCAAGGCCTGAGTGGCCGGATGGCTATCGTTGAGGGGTGCCATTGTGCTCGGGAATTCTCGCCCGAGAGAGAATCCAGTTGAAATAATGTCAATTGAAAATGACTCAGAAGTACAGGAAAGATCTTTTGCAGTTCTTGATGGAACTATCTATATATGGCATCCCTCGTAGTGACGAGATGCCCCACTCCCGTCAAGTTCCTAAAACGGCAGTCCATCCACGATTCCGATTGGATGATGAAGATGCCCCTCGAGCCACTTGATTCTCGCCCACTTCAAAACTGTAGTCTATTCAACCATAGAAAATATAGAAGAATCTAGTCAAACTCATTTTACTTTCTAAGCTGGGTTTAGGCTATATCGAATTCTGCACGCCCTACCGGCCATACGGTTCCGCTTCCGACTAACAGTATACTGTATTTCTTGATAAGCCAAAGAGTCGTAGTGGGTCATTCGGCGAACTGGCCCAATAAGCAAGACCGAAAATCGAATCATGGTGTTCTCCGCGGGGTTTGCCTGGTATTGGTCATATCAAAATCGAAGTGTTATATAAAGACCCATACGTTGACTCACTCGTACACAATCACATTTACAGTCTGATTTTTCTCTGTTGCTCTCCTTCACCAGCACCAGCCATGTATCTCCGCGCCGTCCACGCAGAGTCCTCTACAAAGGCTCTCTTCGAATTTATCAAGGCCAATCCTCTAGGCATCATCACCACCGCCATCCCATCTTCCACCCACCACTTCATCCAATCCAGCCATGTACCCTGGGTCCTAGACGTGTACACGGATGACCCCGAAGCACCAGTCAAGGGCCGTCTACGCGGCCACATGGCCCGACAAAACCCCCAATGCAAAGCCATGATGGAAGCATGCACCGCCTCTGGCACAACAAAACTGCAACAAGACGTAATGATCCTATTCACTGGCGCTGCCCACCACTACGTGACGCCCAAGTTCTACACCGAGACGAAGCCCGATACGGGCAAGGTCGTTCCAACCTGGAACTATTCTGCGGCCCAGGTCTACGGCAAGGCTACTATTTACTTTGACTCGGCAGCCCCGGAGACATCGGAGTATCTCTCACAGCAGATTCATGATCTTTCGCAGATGTGTGAAACTTCTGTTATGGGGTATACGGGGAAGGATGGGAAGCCTGGTCCGTGGAGTGTGGCTGATGCGCCGGAGCGGTATATTGATATTATGAAGAAGAATATTATTGGGATTGAGGTTTCGATTGAGAGTATTGGGGGTAAATTCAAGATGAGTCAGGAGTTGGGACAGGGGGATCGGGAGGGAGTCATTCAGGGTTTTGGTAATCTTGGATCGGAGGTTGGGACTGAGATTGCGGAGTTGGTGAAGGAGCGTGGAGAGATGAAGGATGCTGAGAAGAATAAGCAATGATACATAGTAGCCAGTGAGAAGAACAATGCATAGACGGGGATACATTCTCCATTCTTTTGTGTTCAAAGTGTAAGTATTGACTTGTGCATGTGTCTATATATCATGACCAGAGCAACCCTAACTGCAGGTCTGCTGTACTGTCCATTGAACAAAGATTCTAGTATTCTGGTTAATTAATGAACCATTACGCACTAATGAACTATGAATAATGGTTGTATACCAGCCACACTCGTCCCCACCACTAAATCTCAGCCGTGTTCCCTTTTCACGGCAGTTACATCCCACCCTCTTCCAAGCAACCCGTACCTTCCTAAACATCTCAAATTCAATTCCTTATGCCCCCCGTTTACCATTCCCCCTTAACCAAATTGCCCCTGTGGTTGAGTGGTTAACGCATGTGTTCACCATCCGCCAACGCTCAGCCGTTGCGCCGGAGCGAATCGCGTCACTTGGCCTCTGGTATCTTGGGGCCGATCTTCGGAGGAGCTTGCTTGATATACCTCTAGGTGCACCATCCCTGGTTGTTGGGCGATTTGGTTCTTCTTTTTGTGTACTTTTTTGATTACTGATTGTCTTGTTCTTTGAAGTTGAAGGCCGAGACTTGGGGTTTGATATTGAGGGTATTCCCAGCTGAGGGAGCCGGCGAGGTCTAAACTCTGGGCGGCCGGGGTTCGAATCGGAGGATGCGCGGATGTGATACGCATGATACATTTTGGTAGTACCTTTATAAAAAAGCTTACTTGATTACAAACTGTTTTCACAATTTTTTTGAATGGGGATATACCGAAACTGACTTTGTATACTTGTGGTGGATTCAGGATTGGCTGTTTGGACCCGCAGCAGCCTAATCCCCCCATTCCCCGCCTCTCATGGACACTCTCCCTCTCACTCATTCCACCAACACCCTCCAATATGCCTCCCTCGGCGCAAACGGTAAGTGTCCAGCCAGTGCTTGCGATCATGTCATTTCTACACACATCTTCCCTCTGTACACTTCCCTCATCGCCCTCGTACTCGTGGTGTCTACCCCGCATTGTTATCATGACCCCCCTCTCTCTTGTACCACGCGTCCTCTATGAGCTCTTCGCAAGCAGCCGAGCCAAATTGACAGAGAGGAAACTAATAAAGAGCTTAACAGACCCGATTAGTTTCCACTCTACGACTCCTCATCCCACGCCTCCGCCTTCTCCAGAAGAAAGACACCGCATCCTCCGTCGTCCAACGCCGCGAACTCTCCCAGCTTCTCAGTGAGAACCGCGAGGCCTCCGCCCGCATCCGAGTCGAAAATGTGATCGCGACAGACATCGCCGTCGAGGTGATGGAGATGGTCGAACTATACTGTGAACTGCTGTTGGCGCGCGCAAATGTACTGGACCAACTAGCCTTTGGCGAGAAAGGAACGCGCGCGAGACTGCGCGCCAAGGAATTGCTCAAGAAGCAGACTCTAGCTCAGTCTGGAGAGAAAGCATCGACGACTGCTGCGCCCGAGTCCTCCGGTTCTCGCTTTGGGTTCTCGTGGTTGGGAGGGTCGCAGAAGAAGGAGGCGAGCACGGTGGCTGCGACTAGTCCTTTGGAGGGTGCTGGGGAGCTTTCGGAGGAAGAAAATGCATACATGGATACCGCGTTGGATGAAGCCGCCGTTGCGGTCTTTTATGCCTGGCATCGGTTCCCGCATGAGTTGCGCGAGCTCACTATGCTTCGCACCATGCTGGGTGAACGGTATGGCAAGGAGTTCATGACCTTGGCGCAGGATAACAAGGTGGATACGGTCAAAGTTCCAGATCGACTTCTCAAGGGACTGAGAGTGCGTCCGCCGACACAAGAATTGGTTGAAAGCTATCTGCGAGAGATTGCAAAGGCGTACGGTGTCGACTGGCCTGACGGAGAGGATCTGGACATCCAAGAAGAGCTTGGTGATGCACCGCCAGAGTTTGTTGATGATACTCAGGATGGAGATCAGGGCGGTGATTTACCTCAGACTCCAAGGAAGCAAAATGCAGACCCTGCATCAGGACCGAACCTCTCAGAGGCAAGACGGGCCTCGGAGACGAGCGAGCTGAATAAAGCGACTCCCCCACGCGGCCCTGCTGCACTGCAAGGACGCAGCCCAGTCAGTGTTGCACCGCCAGCACCAAGGACTGATAACCCGAACCCTCGGGTCAAGGTGCCGGGTTCTGAGGAAGATGGAGGGGGTGCTGCTAAGAAAGGTGGCAAGACCAACAACAGTGGAATCCCCGAGCTGGATGAGTTGACGCGAAGATTTGCGGATCTGAAGAGGAAACCTTGAGGATGCAGCCAGCCGATCAAAGTTCTAGGTGTGTTGCTCGATATCTCTTATGAGAATGTATTTCCACGGCTTCCACGTTTACTTGAGAGGACCTCGGGCTTTGTTGGCATCTCGGTCAAGGAGTTGCAGGAGTTTCTGTCATTGCAAATTTATTTACCATAGCCTCATCGGTTGTTATGCACGATTGTTTGTTTCTGAGTAAATGTTCGCCTCGGTCTACCTAGCCTTGCATGAGTTAGCTGGGTTTTAAATCGAACCTAACAGCTTCAACACAATCGTCGGCCACTTTTACCTTTACGACGGACGTTCTGATAATCGAAATGGTGGTGTGTTATGTAGGAATATATGTCTAGGCAATCCCAATTGCCAACCTTAACATTGTCTAGAAACAAACCACCCTCGATATATTTTGGATCCAGGATCTTAGATCTACTGTTGCAAGAGGGGCGATCTCAGATCGATACAATCGAGCAACCTTAAACAGCTCCCCACCCAGCCACCCGAACCCGACAACACGGATGGATCCAAAGAAGGGTCAATCTCGAAACATAGGTACCAAAATTCCAATATCTCGACCCAAGAGACAGACTAGATGCAGATGTCAAAAGTGTCAGACGCAAGTGTCAACGATAAATCGGGGCCCGTTGGAGACTAAAAGCGGGCCCCAAGCCGGAAAAGGGAAACTGCAGTGGTGCCAAAATCCGATGCATCACAGCGGACTCCTCGTAACAACAACTTTTGGAGCTGGGACCTCCTGCGCCCAACCATGTCGCAATTTTAACATGCTCTTTTTCTTCCTTCTTCTTCTCTCCTCTACAGCTACAGTCTGCGACGACATCTCCCGCGACAATCTAGCATTCCGCTAGCGCAACATCCACACCTTTTCCTTCCCCGATCTCTCCCCCGCCTCTCCTCTACACTCACCAACAATCCAAATGCCCGTGTACATGCTCCACGGCTTCCGGTGGCCCCGCGCGGGCTTCACGGGAATCCGCGTATACATCGTCCTCAATAACCTCGAAGAAGCCGCAGCAGAGTACCTCCAACAACCGCTGACAACGGAGCTCGTCACGGAATCCCTCAAGAAAACACAAGCCGACCTCATGCCCCGACTCCCAGAGCTGCAATTCATCGAGCAGTACGACCCGCAAGACGAGTCCACCAACACCGTCAGCCAGGACTATGCCTACGTCGGCGCCAAGGTGGTGACCATCCCGGATGGTGCGGGCGCGAGTCCGGGGTTGAATATGTCGGATGTCGTTGAGCAGGGGTCTGGGTTGTCGCCTGATGCGACGGAAGCGCTGGAGGCGTTGCGGGATCGGTTGGCTCCTGGTGAGAAGATCGGTTGGTTTATGGTTTATAATGGGGATCCGGATCGTTGGTTTCCGCCTTCGGAGGATGAGGATGAGTATGAGGATGAAGAGAGTTATGTGGATGAGAAGTCGGATAGCCAGACGGAGCCGAGTACGCCACAGAGTTATACGGTAGGTTCCTTGTGGGTGTGAATTCTTTCTTGGAGTACATGGACTAACTTGGCATCTTTCAGGCTCGACTGACTCGACTGTTCAATCGCATGAGCGCTTCTGCAGCCTCGTGAGCTGAAGGACTTACCCTCCACTCCTGTACCACAATTCGACCTCGATCCCAACGATAATGATCTCCAGTCATCCGACTTTCTCCGGATAGTCTGTACTCTAGCATGGAGAACGGAGACACTTTTGAGAAGTTTAACGATTCCTATGCCTTATGTCTGTCGATACTTTTGTCTGTCTGTGCGAGTTTTGTCTGCACTTTTATATATCACCTTAAAAGCGTTCCCTCCATACCTCTTTACCTGCTTATTGGAATTGTATCCTATTTAAAGTCATCTAAATTGGCGTACTTGTACTCCGGAATATTATTCTAGTGCCAAATCAATGCACCTATAAACCTCGCATGCGTTAGCCATGCATTACACTGATAGTGTCCACATAGGCGGTGAACCCCGGCAATATGGAGAGGGGGAGCTTCGCGATAACGGAACCAGCGGAGAATCCTCCCCAGCTTGCGCGCCCACAAGAAACGAGCTTCACCGATGCTGGCCAGGTGAATTCTTTTGGTCTTGCAAAATGGTTCTATCTTTCATTCTCGTGCAGAATCGCCAGTGAGTACCGACTACGAGGACTCGAGACTTGCCGTGCTGATGAGGGTATAGGGGCAAAACGCGCCTGGCGAAGTGGTACGCACCGTACAGCGTGAGTGACCACCCCATTCTCAATCAAAAAATCAACAGCTTACACTGGATTCAGGATGAAGAAAAAGTCAAATTAAAGGGCGAGGTTCGTGTCGCCGCAACGCACCCGGCTAGCTCACTCGACCGGAACACCCAACTGACTATCACCACCACAGGTGCATCGCCTCGTCGCTCCCCGAGACCAGAAATACCAGTCGAATTTCGTCGAGTTCCGCCGCAGCACAAAGATCGTGTACCGCCGATACGCCGGATTGTTCTTCTGCGTTTGCGTGGACGCTAATGACAATGAGCTTGCGTACCTGGAGGCTATCCATTTCTTCGTTGAGGTGTTGGACCAATTCTTTGGGAATGTGTGCGAGTTGGATTTAGTTTTCAACTTTTACAAGGTGCGTGCATGGGATGGGTGATTGGATGGGGGTGTCCGGATGGAAGAGTTGCGTTGAGTGATAATACTGATTCGGGAATTGTTAGGTCTACGCTATTCTGGACGAGGTCTTTCTTGCCGGCGAGATTGAGGAGACGAGTAAGCAGGTTGTGCTTACGAGACTTGAACATTTGGATAAGCTGGAATAAGGAGGCGTTGCGGCGAGTGCATGAGACCAGCTTCTCGACATCGCACATTTGGTCTTGAGATTGCATTGAGCGCATCAAGTCATGGGCATGGAGTTTTTTTGTGTTTTAATTTCCGGGATTGGCGCACTACTTACTTACTATTGGGATTGGGAACATATTGTGTTATTGCAAGTTGATTAATTTGCGAATTGTGTTATCTGGTCCATAGGCGTTCAGGAGAACCAAAATGATGCCATAGATATGGAAAAACATGCCATCACTTTGGGGTAAATGTCGAAATCACCAACCAATCTGGAGACCCTGCCAAGACCTAGACCCCTTCGTATTCTCTCCTTTGACTCTTCGTTTATCCTCCCAGGGTTCTGGGGGTCCCTGATTTTGAGGGTTCAGGTACCCGTACCCGTATAGCGCTCTCCTTCGGTTCCTCCAGGCTCCCGCGATCGATCCCCAACTGCCGATTTACAATGCCGTCGATGCACATGGCGGGGACAACGTCCCAATGGAGCGCATGGTTTAAAGGGGATTGGAGGTGGAAAGATGTTTAAATCAACCTCGTGGTTCCATCGAAAACATGACTGGTTTCCTAAACCGTCCTGGGCTCGGGGTGAGGTGATCGTGCTCATCGATGGCGAACACTACAACGTGGTCTTGGCGTTGACCATATATTGCACGCTTACCTCCCCTGATAGACTTGGGGTTGGGGTTGAGAAGAGATTTCTCTCTTATTTTGTTTATCCTCTTGGGTTGGTTGGTTGACCTTGTGGTCAAGTCAATTGAAAGAGATGATCATTATGAGGGTGCGATGACATCCAGAGACTGCCACCTAACATGAACACTTTCTACGGCTAACCACCACACGGGAACAGCAATACCTCCCTAAGGTCAACCACTAACATGCTAACCAACACACTATATCAATACTTACACACCGCTGCAATGACCAGACACCATTGATACTGATCATCCTGATCAACCAACCCACTTGCTCAATAACCATGTCCAGACTATGGAGTCTCTCTCTCATCATGAGCGAAATATGCTCCAGCACGGGATGATCAGTCCGACAAACGGAAAGACACTAACGAAAAGGAAAAAAAGCCTCATTCACACCATTTCATCTCCCAGCAGAATGCAATCTCCGACGCTTCCTCGTGGCCAGACATACGGCGCCTCATCCGCATCTCCGCGACAAATTGGGTTCACTGCCCTCCTGAACTACTCCATTTGGAGTATCTCTATCCTAGAACCTTGAACCACCGGGTTTATCCTTTCGATACAAATGAAAACACAACAAAACCATCTCGAATTGATTATCGGGTCAAGGGTATATTGGATTTGTCTTGGCAAGTGGACATTAGTTCCCCGCCCAGGCCTCGACCACGAGCAAGACCTGTCGCCGGCAATCAAACAATGGAATTTCAACCAATCTGCGGAGCCAACCGGTGGAGCACCACGAAAAACGCCACTACAGGCCTCTTTTCCGGACGGAGTCAAGTCCACGGCTGGTTTTCTGGTGGCTTTGGAACTTGGAGGTTCGGTACGCGCCCCTCCAACAGGATTAGGAAAACTATCATGTGTGATGATCGGCTGGGAACTGGGACTGAGTTTGAAGGGGAACGTGTGTTGCTATCAGTCCCGCAGTTCTTGATAACCTCTGAAGGTCACGGGCACCCGTCGGAGAACCAAACAAGAGGGTTATCAACTGGATTTCATCAATTTCCTACACCCTACGGAGTACATTGATGGGAAAATGTGACACGGATACGACCGAGACTAACACACCCAAGTGCAATGTCCAATTGCCAACACTACTCTGTCCAGCTCCTAGACTCGGGCCAGAGTTTCAGGAACCTCGCATTCCCCACTGGCCAAAGTGTACGCGTTGCCCTCTGCCGAGCCCCACCAATCAGCACGGGCAGGGGCACGGATCGTCCTCTCCAGAGCCCGGAACAAATCTCGTTTGATCGTCGATGGAGTTTGACCGGAGCAGTACACGGTCGCCCTTTGACTAGTGAGATTTAGTTTACTGGGAATTGGGGGACTTGCGACGGGGCCTACGCGGTGTATCGGGGCTTGGCATACCTGATATGAGCTCAGAGATACTCGTTCGGTACGAGTCTCGTATCGTGCTTCCATACCGAGTACATACACAGTACATACCGTATTCCGGTACACCTTTTCCCCCTCACACCAACTATGGAGTATCCTGTACATCCAGTCTGTCTCCAGCGGGTAATTGTACCAATGGTTTTATCGTATCGGTATTTACCAGCTCTTCATAACCCACAACCCCTGACTATCGCTCCCCCTCCCCCCTGCGTCAGCCTGTGACGTCTTGCCCTCTACGCCTCAATCTCGAGAACGTGGATACAGGTTTGCCGCCAGCTATTTTCGTATCATGATTACGATACACCATGGGACGATTACGAATTATCCTTTTTCAGGGTCAACGTCCACGCAATATCCCTGAAGACTGGCAAGAAATCAACAATAGTCAAGGGGGGGAAAGCTGGCAATGGCAAAGGTACGAGAACGAAAGGGAAATGATTGACAGGCGAGGCCAAGCCCGCAGTCCACAGAACGAGTGGAAACTTGCCACTCGCGGGGGCGCAAGTGCCCTTGACAATCCGTGAACGCGCTACGCTTTATTCTGATTGGCTTTGCGGCTCTGACAGATGTCCGCTTTCAATCGTTCTAAATCGATCTTTTTGGGGAAGTAGACGCTTTTGTACATTTTTATTTTCGCTTTCTTTTTATTCCTTTTCCTTTCCCTCCCCCTCCACTTCACCCCTTGTCTCCATATCAACCCCCCTTCTAGACTTCTTCTATAGTCTTGTCCCTTCGTTATTTTTTTATCCACTGCTCTCCCGCTTTTCAAGGTTCATTTTTTTTACTTTCTCTTCTACCTTAATTCTCGATATCAAAGTGATTATCTTGAGTTTTGCCTTACACAACATTCATACATCATGTCGCTCATGCTCTCCGATAACTTGGCTCCTCAGCCTTTGACCGATGTCTTCACCGACGACACATGCATTGACCGTCGCAAGTGCCACCGGACCGTGCCTATGAAGGTGCTGGCTCTCGGTGTTGGCCGTACTGGTACTGCCTGTGAGTTGATACCTACGTTATATACCCCGATAACGAAAGCAACAGTCCAAACTAACACCAATGTTCGATAGCTCTCCGCAAGGCCTTGGAGCGCCTTGGATACACCAAGTGTTACCACATGATGTGCGCCAGTGTTGAGAACCCACCCGACTGCTTGATGTGGCACGATGCCCTGAACGCCAAATACAACGGTGTCGGTGAATTCGGCCGCAAGGAATGGGACCAGCTGTTGGGCGACTGCCAGGCCGTCTGTGACTGGCCCGCCTGCGCCTTCGCAAAGGAGTTGATCGAAGCCTATCCCAACGCCAAGGTCATCCTGACCACCCGTGATGTCGACCCGTGGCACGCCTCGGTCATGAAGACCGTCCACTGGCGCGTCAGCGACCCGGAGCACAAGTTTGTCTCGCACTTCAGCTGGGCCGCGAGCATGTACTACCCCATGCTTAACAAATTCTTCGAGACCTTCTTCCGTGGAGACTTCCCCGGCAAGGGCAAGCAGGTCTACAATGAGCACGTTGCCGAGGTCCGCAGCCTGGTGCCCGCGGACCGTCTGTTGGAGTACAACATCAACGATGGCTGGGCTCCGCTCTGCGAGTTCCTTGAGGAGGAGGTCCCCGATACTCCTTTCCCCCGTGGTAACGACATGGCCGACTTCTACAAGCGCTGCAGCACTCGTAACCGTCACCAGATGATGAACGCTGCCCTCCAGGCTGTTACCATGGGTGGTACCCTCCTGGCTACTGGTTTCGCTGCTACCATGCTCTTCAAGCGCTTCTCCCGGTAAAGCAACTGAAAACAAAGAGCATACTAAAAAAAGGGTGCAAGAGAACGACCAACCTCCCTTGCATCTATACATTTTCCTTTCTCTGGCATTCTTTTTCTTGATTCGTCTCGGGGAGCAGGGAGTGCGGGCACTTCCTTGCTCCTGGGGCATGGGATCAAGAGTTGCTCCGGGGTCATCTCCACCTGGAGTTTTTCCCATCTCTTTTGTTGCAACAGTTTTCTTTAATATTCCCCACATTTTTGTTCTCTGTACGGTTACAACCCCATTCGAGGGACGGTCGTTTTTATTGCAGGTAATTTCTCTGTTAGTACATATATATCATGAACAATATTTATCCAATCTTGTGGATTCCCTGTTTTCCGAGTTGAATCTCGTTAGTACTGCAGTAGTGTAGCTCAAGGTATTCTTGGCGGTGATCGCTTCCACCCAGGAAGGTATTTGATCTGACTGTTGGAGTGGACATACAGTATACTACGACATCTGGTTTCAGAGGGAGGAATCTTTCAGTTTCACCCCTCCACTTTATAATAAGAATTTCATCATTGTGCATTCTGATGGGAGTAAGGGGGTTGATCACTTTGCAGGGCCGAAAAAGCCTCATCAACTCTTAACCTTGCTTATCGAGTTTGTAACTTCACATAGTAGGGGATAAGCAACGTAAAAGTAACATCCATCTCACTCGATCATCGAATAGCTTTCAAAATTATACTTATACAGTTGATTGTACGCAGTACTTTGTCTGCAAAATAAGAAGGAACTGTTTAGCTGTATCCTCGTGAACCAGGAATTCCAATCCCCATCAAAGCCTACTGTAATACAATAATCCAGGAGCTATCTTCACAATCCCTCTCAACCTCTATCTCACTCCTCCACGCCCATATCAGCCAAGCACCCAGGCGGAAACAACGGGAAGGGTCCCCTCGTCCACCTTTCAGGGGCTCCAGTATGAGGGGCTTCAAACCACCTACCAAGCCAAGCGCCTTTCGTACTCGTACGAATAGCCTAACCCACCTCGGGCCCTCGGGCCACGCATGCCAGGGAGATTGCTTGGCTGAGCTAGCGTCTTGGCAAGTTATGCGGCCCACTGAGCAGAGCCTAGTAAACTCAGCGCCTACAAAAGAGACAGCCCAGCTGTGGTCACGGGTCCCTCGGACCAGTCCCCTTTTTTCCAGGGTGCGGCATGCGACGTAGTCGGCTTGCGTACTGGGGCTGTAGGGTGAGACATGGTCTGAAAGGGAGATCTAGGCCGAAGTGGTGATGGAGGGCTTGTATAGATTGATACTGTTGATTTTTCGATGTATTGATCTTAATCTGATTCATTCATTCATTGTGATGCATTACGTGGGCGCTAGGTGATGACACATGCTTATCTACTGTGAAGTATCGTGACCCGGGTTGAAAGTCTCGGGATCAGCTAGATATTAGGGTTGGGAATTCCTATTTTTGCATTCTAGAGCTTAAGCTTGATTTTGAAGAACTTTCCAGGGTCGAGGGTTCAAGGTTGACCCTTGAATTCTTTCTTTTTGGATCTGGGCCGTTTGCGGTCGGAGATCTAGTGGGCTCGGAGTGTGTAATATTACAATAAATACAAGCCATCCTACAGTATGAAAATAGTTCGGTGATAGAGCGAGCGCTTAACCTGTTCTTTGCAGGATTGTTCGTGGTGTGGCGGTCCACGTAACGAAGCTACGAGGGAAGAGACGTATACAAAGAAGACCGCGCGTACACCCGAAAGCTCGAGGGGCTCTGGCGGTGATGTGGCGTATGTGGCTGCAATCGCACCGGCTTGGCAACGAAGCCAAGGATAAATCATGGAAAAAGATGATCCCGCGGCTCCTTCAGCATCAGCCACACACACGTGGTTCATGTCCACATTGGGCCCTGAATTTTGGGATTTTCAAGGGTTGGGAACAGGGACTTTACGACGAGATGTTCTTAATTTGTCGTGGATGGGTCCATCGGACCCTTCAGCGAACTGATTTGATTTAATATGGCCAGTTAACTATGTACACTCCGTGCTCGATCAGTTTCGGAGCTGGTCTGAGCACCGTCCGCTTTTGCGCGGGCATGACGTGGCCTGGGCCAGGCCGAATTACCATTACCGTACGACCGTACCGAGTCCGGTAATCAGCCAACTCTTGAACGTGACGGCGATCATTGATGGGATGGGCGAGCTATTCGATTCTTCATTCAATTGATAATTCAATATCCCTTCTACAGATGGGATATCAGGGTCCATATCACAATGCAAATACCACACAGGGAACCTTCCTCCAGCCTATCCCCGCAATCTAAAGTGCCGGATTCTTCTTGGCAGCGGCTGGCGATGAGCTAAGCACTTTATGCGGCGCCTTAATCGGCAACTTGGATGTGGCTCCGCCAATGACGACTGTCGACTCTGCCCACGTCGCTCCACCCCCTGCAACAGTCTCCGCTGCTGGGACGCGGCATGGGACTGGCTGAGAAACTTGAACGGTCTCTAAAGAAAAGAGAGAGAGAGAGAGAGAGAGACAGAGAGACGGAGACAGAGAGTGAACGAAAAAAGTGGACCACGTACTCGTACCCTTTCCCCCCCCCCTCTCCCCCATGGCGATCCCTGAGTTCTTTCCCCGTGATACTTTTTCTTCTTGGCTTCGATTCTCCTTGCATGCTTGACATCACCTCCATCCTTCCCAACCCGCCCCTTCCTTCTCCCGCGCGGAACCTGGTGCTGCTCTCGATTTTACACGCCGTGAGAGTGAGTGATGTAAAGGAGGACCCATGATCGCCACCATCTTCTCCATGAGGACGGGTCCCTCCCTCGCGCTCCTCTTCGGCCTGCTGCTATGCGCTCTGCATGCTGTTGCTGAGGAGGTCGCTTTTTACAAGTCGGTGAGTGGAAACCAAAATACTGGCTGTTGATCATGCCATTCGCCGGGTCCTTTTCGTGCAGCCCGTCATTATGCGCGTCGCAGCTTTTTTATTTTTCGTCCGGTCCTATCTAACCACCTACATTTTCTCCGCAGCGACCTGACATCTATCCCCCCGTTTTCCATATCGAGCGATCCGTACCAGAAAAGATTTCGCCGGGCTATATCTTTATCACACCCTACGAGGCCCAGAATCCGGGTCCTTATATTTTCGATAATACAGGGGTATGCTTGACAAACCATTGAGGGACACACTCCGGCGCATCGGACCCATAACTGATGGAAGATTTGAATCGTAATAGGAATTGGTATGGAGTGGATGGGGTGCTTCAGGACCGGGCAATGCCCACGGCATGCATGTGTGCAAGTATAAGGGGGCCGACCATTTGTGCTTCTTCCAGGGGAATCAACAGAAGGGGTACTGTCGCGGACATGGAGTCATCTTGGACAATTCCTATCGCATTGTACGGTCGGTGCAGCCCGGTGGAGGCATGGCGTCGAGTGATATGCACGAGTTCCTTCCGATCAATGACGGCAAGTCTGCGCTCATGACCGTTTACCAGCAGCGTCAATTCGATATGACCCCGTGGAACGTCAAGACGGGTGTTGGGTGGTTGATGGAGAGTGTCTTCCAAGAAATTGATGTTGAGACCAGTAAAGTGTTATTTGAGTGGCGCTCCTTGGACCACGTCGACCCTTCTATGAGTTATACCTGGCCGTCACATACCGATACCTCCGGCACCGGCTTGAACGTGCACGAACCTTGGGATTACTTCCATATCAACTCGGTTGATAAGAACAACGACGGCGATTATTTGATCTCCTCTCGGCACACGTGCGCCATCTACAAAATTTCCGGCAAGGATGGCTCCGTCATTTGGCGACTACACGGAGCGAAGCCGACTTTCCGCAATATCAACTTTAGTTTCTCGCAGCAACACGATGCGCGGTGGTTATACGAGAACGGCACCCACTCGGTCATCTCTCTCTATAATAATGGGTTCAATGGGTTTAATCGGACACACGCCTACTCGTCCGGCATGATTATCATTATCGACCACATCGAAAACACGGCCACGCAGATCCGCGACTATGCTCCTGCGATTTCTGATCTGGCCAGCTCTAGTCAGGGTAACCTTCAGGTTTTGCCAAACAAGAACGTCTTTATTGGATGGGGTAATAACCCATTCGTGTCGGAGCATGACGCAGCAGGCAACTTGGTACTTTGGGCGAGCTTTGCCCACGACACCGTGATGAACTACCGCGCGCAAAAGTTCGAGTGGGAGGGTAACCCCACCGACTCGCCTGCTCTGTGGTCATATTCTCGTACCCCGGAGCCGTTCTCTCCCACGAGTTTGTACGTCAGTTGGAATGGCGCCACGCGCGTCAAGACGTGGCGCTTCTTCGGCTCCCACAACATGACCGGTCCTTACATTCTGCTGGACGAGGTTCCAAAGACTGGCTTTGAGACAGAATACACTAATGCCAGCTTCTATCCTTGGACGCGGGCGGAAGCCGTTTCTGAGGATGGAGTCGTGCTTGGCATATCGGAGATCAAGTATACCTTCGTCCCGTCACCTGAGCTCCGCGAGTTCTGTCTAGACGAGACCTGTCTGGATGCTCCGGGCTATGGGTTCCCCGGCGAAGAGGCGGCTCAACCGTTCATCCCCCCGGCGGGCGTGAACACCGTGCCGTGGGTTGATCCTGAACACGACGGAGCTATCTGGACGTATCCTTCTGGCTTCCCTCATAGCGACGCAGACTCAGACACTGGCCACACGACCTACCAAAGCTATCGGCAGTCTAGACGTACGTGTTCCCCCCTACGTGACATCATTTACCAACAACTTACACATTCTGAACAGGTCTACTCGTTTGGGGCGCTACAATTGCAATCCTCATCCCTCTTATCGCCGGTGTTTACTTCGGCTACCGATATCACCTTCGACGGCAACGGCTGGATCCGTTAGAGGACGACCAAGAGTCATCCGAGCCGCTGAACGGTATGGCCGAGCGGAAAGCTCCACCAACGCGGACGCCCGATCTCCCCTGGTGGAATTGGCGTCGGTGGACCGCACAGGAAGAGACTCGTTATTTCCCGCTTGCTGATCGCAGTTTGCCGGGTCGCGAGCGGATAGAGTAAACAAAAAGTTGAGAGTCATCTCGCTGGACCGTCTTTTTTTACATTTACCTATCTTCCATCTTTTTGTATTCTTGATCTGATTTACTGTCTGCATTGCTGGGCCGTCTTTTACTTTCGTTTTTTCTTTTTCTTTTCATCCTCATATATAGGCTATGTGTTTTGGGGGTACATAACGGAGCCATTTTGCATTTGATGTCGGGAACTATGGTGATAGTTACTACTGGGTTTGGTCTCGAGGTCTAGGTCTTTTCTTCTGATTCGATTCTGGAACCCCAATATTTTACATACATGAACTGTAAACAATACAGAAATACGAATACCCGAGCATTGAACCCAGAAGTCAAGACTACTAAAAGCCGAACTACCCGGCATTGACCCCTCTGCCCTCCCATTGGATTTACCTTACCAGCGTTACGTGCAACGTACGCGTCCCTCCCCGCCTCCGCCGGACGTTCTGCGGATAGACACCCTCTACGCCCAGTGGATTTTTACATGTGTACCGGAATAGCAATCAGGGCTTGCGCACCCTGTGGAGCCACCGGTGCTCCGGTGGTAACTAGGGTTTATTGTAGTTTACAGGATGGCTTGGGGAGGGGGTAGAGGGGTGGCTGGAAAGTTTACAGATATGGAGATCGGCGATCAACCACGAGTCAAGTGAGGATGATAAGCTTTTTGGGGATGATGGTACGGTTTGGGAAGGTTCATTATTGTTGGCACGGGCTGTTGCATCCGGACGAGGGGTGAGTGATAACCAAGTTTAGTTGTCTTCTACATACTCCGTACTGTGTGTACTACAGATAGTTTCACGAGTCGAATGGTTGGGGATTGCCTTATCCCTGTCTATCATCGGATTGTCATGCTGGGCGAGTCTTGGCTTTGCCTTGTAGGGTGACATTATGTCTGCGGTTATGCTTGATGATCAATTTTGTTTGTCGGATGATGGTCCGAAATGGCTTAAAGTACTCTGTACTGTAGATCTGAGGAGACATCTCCATAGTTTAATGGATGTCTTGGGTTGATTAGTTATCCTATTTATTTTGCATTCAATGTACATACAGTAAGTATACTCCGTACTCCGCGCTGTAGCTGATACATTGATTGTGCTGGGATCTGAAACGGGTAGGAGTTTCATACTGGCGCCGGTGCAGCAGCGTCGAAACTCCGCGGTTTCGACGATCATTTTCCTCGCGAAGGGTACGAAGTACAAAGTCGGCTGATATACGATGTAGACACGTAGACACTTTGAAATCAGAATGGATTCTCCATAGTACTAAACGGAGTATAACTGCGGAGCATGTACTCTTTCGTTTGCGTAGTACCGAGGCGTGGCCATCATTTTACCATTTTGCCATAATGATTTCGATCCATCAGCCACAGGCATACGTAAAGCTCAACATGCGGGGCGCTTTTATCGATCAATCGGATCTATACGTCCATCCCCCAGAACCATAGTTACTTACTACAATATACTTCTTTCGGCGTCGACTCAGCTGATGCGGCGTTAGTGGCTGGGTCCCTCGATCGGAGGAAGCCAACCCAGATGCAGCTTCAATGACACGTTTTGTCGCGATGCGATAATGTGGTGATGTGAAGACTTTTACCCCGGGCGGCGCTAACAGAGAAGAATCCATACTACGCCTGGACTCTTCCGTCGCTTCGGAGTTTAGGTAACTTTTCGTATTTTAGTATAATACCATACATACAATACTCGGTACTGTTACTCTTGTCACCAGCGCTAATCGGCATCAAGTGTTTTGGTAATTTTAATTTCCTCTCTCCATCTCCTGAGTGGATCCTTTAGGATGACGGCGGGAAAAAGTCAAAAAGACCTTCGAGAAGACCCAAAAACTCTCCGCTTTTACTTTCTCAATCAGGGCAGGTCTTCGTCTAACCCACCGTGGTTCGTTGCGCGTATGCCAAGACTTGGTCGGAAGTTGCACGGGTGAAGCTGGCGAGTCATGGCTCAGGGCAGGGGGAGGGATAACGGTGGTCCACTGGACTCGGCAGGGCGGGTGGAGTTTGTCGTCGCAAGCCCCCGTCGTCGTGTCGATCGGACGGTAAATTAGAGAGTTGATGTTCTTATTCGGTGCGAGTGTTGTGGACAGGTACGAGATACGAGGGCGGAAATAGGGATGAGTTGGATTGTAGTAGAGGAAGATGTTGATGATGATGTATAGATAGTATGGAGTAAATGGTAGAGAAATAGAATACGACCATCTGTAAAGCTTTGGCGTTCTACTAGTAAAGGCCACATAATTACCCCGTACGTAATGTGGCTAGCCATACTACTGACTTGTGACAAGAGCTACTGTACTCCGATCCTTGATACCGGGCATTCCATTGCAATGCCTTTTAACCACCCTAGTCACTTACTAGAAGTGGACCTGTTCAATTAAGTATGGAGAACGACGCCCGTAAGACGATTTCATACGAAATTGAAGGGAAAAAAAGGGCATGCAATGAAATTATGAGAAGCCCCTACCCAAACTATGAAAAGAAGCCAAGAAGTAAAATGTAAAGGGAAAAAAAGGAGAGAGAGGAGGATCCAATTATTTCTTTGCTTTAGAATCCTAGACTATTGTTCTCCTCCTTGACTCTCTTTTTTTTCAATTGCTCCATTCTCCATCATTCCTATGACTTGGCCAAACCAATTATAGCAGACGATTCGACAGTGCCAAAAATAATAATAATAAAAAAGACGACTACCTGCAGCAGCTACAAGACCGAAACGGAAAAATTACGTGAAACCCAAGAAGCGTCGCAACCTGACGTCGTTGATTTTACAGAATCCAACCCAAACCTCCAAAAGCGTCCGGTGCTCCATCGGCGATAATTCTTGGGACCTCCTCTAATCCTCGGGCTTACATACACACATTCCTTCCCCCCATGCCTGCCAGGTCCCAGCAGAACCATAAAACGAATAATGCCCGCCACGCGCGTACGACTTCCTGGTCGAGTGGCTATCACCATCTAAACACCACCTCCTCCGGCCCCGGCGAACCCTCCGACTCTTCCCTCCCCCAACCATCTCGACGTCGCCGCGAGTCCAATCTCTCCCTCGCCAGCGTCGAAGAGGGCCCTTCCTCCCCGGACTCTCCTGATCACCACGGCCCCGATGCCCCCGACATGCTGAGGAACACCTCGATGGATCTCGATCTCGGTGGTCGCAAAAGCCAACATGTGCGCAGTCGCTCCCAGTCCCACGGCACCCCCCATATCCTGGCTCTCCACGAGTCCGAACTAAACGCCGCCAATACCCTCCCCGTCCCCGTCACGCCGCGCCCTGCCCCGGTGACATGGATGTCCCTGCCGCGAAAGGGCCAATTGGCCCTACTCGGTCTATGCCGTGTCTTTGATTTCCTCCAAATCGCCTCGCTGCAGGCCTACATGTTCTACCAGCTCAAGTCGTTTGACCCGAATCTGTCCGACTCGGACGTTGCGACTCAGGCGGGTATCCTCCAGGGTGCTTTCACTGCGGCCCAGTTCGCGACGGCGATTCCGTGGGGTCGTGTTGCGGATGCGGAATGGGGTGGTCGTCGCTTCGTGCTGCTGGTCGGCTTGGTAGGAACGGCGGTTTCGTGTTTGGGTGTTGCGTTTGCGACCTCTTTTGCGCAGGCTGTGTTCTGGCGCTCGTTTGGTGGTGCTATTAATGGTACCGTTGGTATTATTCGGACTATGATTGCCGAGAATGTCAAGGAGAAGAAGTATCATTCGCGCGCTTTCTTGATTCTGCCTATTGGCTTCAATATTGCCTCGTTGTTCGGTCCTGGTGGGTGTCCCTCAGAAAAGAGCCGGTCGTTATGCTGCGCTAGAATGTTTTGCTGACTCTGGTTTAGTTATGGGTGGTATGTTGGCTGACCCGGTCAAGAGTTATCCCCGTCTGTTCGGGCCTAACTCGTCCTTTGGCGGCGAAAACGGTGTGCAGTGGCTGGAGAAGTACCCTTATGCGTTGCCCATGCTGGCCAACTTTTGCTTCCTGTCCTTTTGCGCAGCCCTGGTTGGCTATGGTTTGGAAGAGGTAAGATTTTACATGAGGAACGGATTTGATGAAATCGAAAGCTAATTAATCGTTTCTAGACGCTGCTTGCTTGCAAGGGTAAACCTGGTCTGGGTGCCTTCGCTATGAAGCTCTTCGCTCGCAGCGTGAGATCCGTCGTTGGAACCTCTTCACCTATTTACTCGAGACTTCCCTTCCGCGACTACGACGAGGATGGTCCCCTACTGGGTCGACCCATGGACCGCTCCGAGAGCTATGAGCTTGAGGAGAAGGCTTCCAAGCCTGTTCGTGTCAAGCGCAGCCTACCCTTCCGTAGGATCTGGACGAAGAACGTTCTGTGCACTCTCGGGGCGCAAGCGTTCTTCGATTTCCAAATGGGGTAAGCAAGAACAATGTTATTCTACATGTCCGCAACGCACCTTGCTAATCTATGATGTTCAGTGCTTTCAACAATCTGTGGCTCCTCTTCCTTTCGACTCCCCGCTACGACCCCAATGACCCGGCTAGCCCCGCGCAGAGCCTGCCCTTCGTCTTCACTGGTGGCTTGGGTATGCTCCCGCAGAGCGTTGGCTTCGCGACCGCTATCCTCGGCATAATCGGAATGTTCCTCCAATTCACCATCTACCCCTCCATCAACGGCCGTCTGGGCACGGCCAAGAGCTACCAGTACTTCCTCTCCCTCTTCCCGCTTGCATACGCCCTGGCTCCATATATCTCTCTCGCGCCATCTTCAATCCCACCTCCCGGTCAGGCCAACGGGCCTTGGGTCTGGTTCTGGATCATCATCGTTCTGTTCCTGCAGGTTACCGCCCGTACCTTCACCCTCCCCACCTCAATCATCCTACTCAACAACTGCTCCCCACACCCGTCAGTCCTCGGCACCATCCACGGCATTGGCCAGTCCGTGTCATCCGCCTTCCGAACCATCGGTCCCATCTTCTCGGGCGCTTGGTACGGTTACGGGTTGGATATTGGCATGGTCGGATTTGCATGGTGGCTTATCGCTCTTGTCTCAGTGTTTGGTTGCGTAGCTGCCATCTTTGTATACGAGGGCTCTGGCCATGAGATCATGCTTCCAGGCGAGGAAGATGAGTTTGACCATGGCCACTAGGCAGTGGTGTGATGTGACACGTTGTTCTCTTTTTTACTGTTTCATACTGTACATTGCCTTGGACTCATTTTGCATGTCATTCGGAGTCGGTCTGGTCTGATTGGGTTTCTTTTTTTGGTCTGGGATCTTCGGTGGCCCTTTTTTCTGGGGTGATGAACATCTACATGAGCATCGACATCCTCTCCCTTTTGGCAGGATTTGTCGGGCCTCTGGAGAAGAAGGACAAGAAGAAAGATCTCGATCTGCATATCGACTTCTTCTCCTTGTATCACTTTCCCACCTGCATATCTCATTTTTCATTTTGTCTATCTCGTCTGGATACCATTTCCTTTTGCATCATATTTCCACAGCATTTGTCTCATTGTCTCTAATGTCTCAGTGGCGTTTCTGTTTGTCTGCCATGTTTCTTATATTTTACCTATTGCGCTCTCCTTTCTTCTGGATCCACTGCTCCTTCGGGGTTCAGCAGGGGATAGGAAGGGATTTAGAATATAGAGACTAGGTTTGACGGCTGTCAGCCTAGGCCTGTGTGGTTTTGTATGATGAGATACATCTTGATAGGGCGCTGTTGCCTTGTCCTTGTGCTATATTCCGAATACAATAGACCATTTACAGTTCGTTTTCAAGCTGGTATTTTTTCATATGCTCTATGATAGTACTATACTCCACGAATGAGGAGTCATTCTTCTAGGATGAACTTTAAGCCAAACGGTCTTGCATTCAATCAGGGCTATCGTCCTCCGTCAACCTACGTTGCGTTTGTCATCACATAGAAAACACCAGTTCAATATTGCTCAAGTTCATTCAAGATCGACCCTTAGCAGGTTTCTACCCTAGCACAGGCTGATCTGCAGTGTCCCTGCAAACTAGAAAATACAATGCAGCTTCTAAATTGTGATATCATTTCTAGGTACTCATAACACCTTACGAAGAAGCACCATAGCTCTTCGCGTAACTAGCATCAAAGGTCTCCTCATTCACAGCAAACTGCCGAATATAATCCCTCTCCAAATCATGCGTCCTCCGACCAAGCAACACAAGACTATGCAACGGAGCCCCCATCTCCACCGTACTCAGCTCCTTCAAAGTACCAACAACGAGCTTCTGGTCTGGGGCACCCACACGCGCCGCACCAATAGCCAAACTATCAGCAGTATAAACACCCTCCTGACGGGTCTCCTCAGTCTCCAGCATCTGGCTCGCGCACTGCGCAACGGTCATGTAACGTGGGGGCTCGAAAATGCGGCGTCCACGGGCAAGGTTCTCCATGGACTGCTCTTTCACCTTGATGTCGAGCAGGACCAGAGTGTGCAGGCCGATTTGCACGTTCTCGCGGACTTTGTCGTAGAAGGAGGAGGGCTTCCAGTTCTCGGTGAAGAAGACCATACTGACTGTTTGGCCGAAGTTGTAGAGTTGGAGGCCAGTGCAGCCGATGCCGGACATGATGGAGGCGTTGGGGACGACGTTTGTGGGGATGTTGAGCTCTCGTGCGCGGAGGACTAGGTCGGTGTGGGTTGTTGCGCTTGGATGGTGTTAGTTGCACTCTGTTATAATTGTGCATAGCCACTGTCTGGGAATTATGTAGAACATACCCGAATGGATCACCAACGACTAGGAAGGCAATGTCTGCCTTGTCGGCTCCAGCAAGGATCTCATCACTGCCAGTTTCCACAAGTTCACGGTCAGCCTCGATAACGGGACGACCATAGAACGCTTCCTACAAAGCCCATTGCGCAATTAGTATACCATATCCAAATGCAAGCCCGTGCAATTCTTTATCGGCATTGGAAAGATCCGGCATCTTCAAAAAAGCGCACAACTCACAAGCTTCTCCTTGTCCACCAACAAGATGGCCGTGTATGCCTCTAGATACACCCGCTCTGCCTTCTTGACAATCTCCAACCCCCGGACAGTAATGTCCTTCTCATCAGCAAGACCTAGACCCACAAGGTGCAACATGGTAGCCTCTCAAGCGCAATTGGGTTATCAATGCTAGACTGATCGAATTGGCGAGTTGCTGGAACGATTGGAAATAATTGTATGCCCCGCGGCAGAATTCGGCGCTAGTAGTACACCGCCTTTATTAGCGGGACTGGCCGTTCGTTATCGATATCGATGGGCTTCTTATCGATCCCCAGGTTTCTTCCTCTTCCTCTTTCAACTCTCCATCCATCCGTGCACCACCACCGCTGCTGTTCCCGTGCGCGCTGTATCGACAATCGTCTTGCAACGGCCCAAATTCCGAACCCCATCCGTTTATCTCCCCATCATCCCTCTTCACATCCATTGACAATCCGTGGGAGCGCGTTTCAACGCGTAGAGCTAGCGCCATGAGCTCCGATCGTCAGCCCAAGTATCGGCAGGAGATCCAGCAGGTGAGTACCACCCCCAACCCCAATTTTTCTTGGTAAGTCTTGGTCGGGTGCTCGTGTCGTCGTCTTCTGGAATACCGTGTCTCAATCTGGTCATCGCCCGTCTCTATGAATATCGTCAATGTCATGCCCTCGTTCAGGGTGCTGGGCCTACCTATATGGCTGAGCGTGGAACGAGCTGGGAGGCCGAGGTGTCGAGGGAATGCCTATATCGTGATGCACCTTCCCGGCGCCAATGAACTACCGCCTGTGGAAGGTACCGTTTACCTGGCGGCGACACGCAATGGCGAGGTGAAGGGCAAAATCAACGCAATCTCTATCTTCTTCACGACTCTCCATTCACTTCCTCCCGCCTCGCACATCGTCTACCCACATCTCTCTTTCGCTGTACGCCAGCATCAAAGTCAATCGACTGTCGAATCGTGGACTCTGAAGCCATACTCCAACTTGAACTCACTGTGAGCATCTGTCTTGCGATCCTTGCCAGACACATTGCTTCGCTCTGCGTTCGTGGCTCGTTCACCTCTCGATTCTCCCGCTTCCGTCTCTTATCACATCATTTCTTCCAAATCAGCCTGAGCACCTACTAAGGACTAAGCCTGACTGTCCTGATCGATCTTTGTCAACGATATCGATACTCACTCAGCTTGCTCCCTCCCAACTACGGCTGTTTCGCAGCGACCTGTCTCCTCGGGCATTCTTCTGGCTCCAAGCCTGGGCACTCAGGACTGCACTCTGCGAAATTCGGCCTCTTTCTGACCAAAATGTCGGACTTTATCTACAACAGTGTGTCCACCGAGGAGTATTATTTCCCTCGCCTCAGACATCTTGGAAATCTAGTCCTGAACTCTGGCAGTGATGTAGAGTCGGAGGCCGAAACCATCATTGCACCTCCCCAGACTGGCAATCACGAGGATGATGCCCGTGACATTTCGCACCATGGCGTGGACATCCCTACCCCCGTCAATTCTTCTGTTGCGCCTCACACCAGCTCTCCGTGTCCTCCAGTCATCTCTGATGAAAAGCACTTGTGTGATGCCAGTGATACGTCGAGTCTTTACGACGGTCACTACAAGCATGATGCGTTCTCCTTTCCTCGGGGTGAGAATATGACTCGGACGCTCTGCTGCAATGATGCCTGTGATGAAGGCACATTGGGGGAATACTACGACGCCGATGATGAGCTTAGCTCTGCCGACCTGATGAGCGAAGTGGACCGGATGAAAGCGAGCATCGAGCTCCCGACCAAGGCGTTTTTCCAGTACAAGATACTAACCAAACCGCTCTTGAAGATGATGTTCGTCTCTGGTGAGACCGCCGAACCATCCATCGAGACCACCACCCTGATTGAGGACATCACGCGAGAGCAAGTCCTCGAAATCGTAGGTTCATCTACCTCTTACTACTGACACTCATATCTTGTGAGATCTAACGTATCGTACAGCTCAGTCGTGGCACGACCCTGGCCGGCCGACGTGGCTCCCGCGCAATCTCGACAGATGACCTGATCTTCCTCATCCGCCACGACAAGGCCAAGGTCTCCCGTCTCCGCACCTTCCTGTCCTGGAAGGACGTTCGTAAGAACGTCAAGGACTCCGACGATAAGGGAGGTGCTGATGCGGCTGACTTTGCTGCGGATGATGCGGCTGGTGCCGTTGCCGGGCCCTCGGACGTCGCCTCGAAGCCCAAGAACAAGCGGGCCAAGGTGGGCCTTGCCTGGGACGTCCACAGCTACTTCTCGGTCCAGGTCCCCGAGCGCGACGACGAGGAGGACGAGGAGGAGGAGGAGCAGAACTATGCGACCCTCCAGCGTCTTGCCGCGGCCGATGAGCGCACGAAGAACATGACCAAGGAGGAGTACGTCTTCTGGTCGGAGTGCCGCCAGGCCTCCTTCACCTACCGCAAGAGCAAGCGGTTCCGCGAGTGGGCGGGCTTTGGAATCGTCACCGAGTCCAAGCCGAACGACGACATTGTGGACATTCTCGGGTTCCTGACCTTTGAAATTGTCCAGACCCTCACGGAGGAGGCGCTCAAGGTCAAGGAGCGAGAAGACCACGAGAAGAATCGTGGTGGGGCTGACACCACCGGCGCTGACTCTAAGAAGCGCAAGCGTGAGACCGGTCTCTTCGACCCACCGGAGGAGGGACGTACCCCCATTGAGCCTCGACACATCCGTGAGGCCTATCGCAAGCTCCAGGCCTCCCCCCAGAAGTCCATTGCCATGCTGCTGCACAATGGCCGTGTGCCCGCCAAGTTGCCCCTGAAGCTGGTAAGTACCGTGCCGTCTATGATTAGGAGTTATCGTTCTAACATTTATTATCTAGATCTAAATCGCTGGGTTTGATCTTCGTTTTTTTTCCTCGTTTAAGCATGCTCGGCGCGGGAGTTTTCTGGCAATACGGATGATACCCACATGGATTCGTTTGGGCGGCTTGAATTTTTTTGTTCCTTTCCTTTTCCTCTTTCTCTTCTGAGTCGCGTTTTTTTCCTTCTGGAGGTCGCTGGTTTTTGGTACCTGGTAGTTGGCCGGTGTTTCCTCAACAGCGTTTCTTCTTGTTTTCTTTACTTTTCTGGACCGTCGATTTCACCAGTTTCTACCCTCGGGTGCAACAGGTAGATATCACCTTTTTAATATCAATCATAATTGCACATGATATCTTAAAGTATGGAAAATCTCATTGGAAGCTATTAATACTTAATCCATAACAACAGACATGTTGTCATAGTCCCTTGCTTGGCATATCAAAAACATAGCTTATATAACCACCATCTTCCAAGTGAAGAAGCTGTATCTAGTTCTGATGGGTTCGGCGCCCTAAACCAATCTCTCGTTAGACAGAACTCGGACAGAAGCGGGGAATAGAATAGAAAACTTACACTCCGCCAACTCCGCCATACTCAACTCCCGAATACTATTGATAGCAGGAACCTCCCCCCTAACAGCCCCCTTAACAGTATCAACCGCCCTCCCCAGAATCCCCTTCTTAGCAGCAACATGCGTCGCAAGCTTCGCCTCAAGCTTAATCACACCGATACGCGGATCACTGGGCCCGCCATCGTGCACTCCGTCGCCCATATCACCGAGCCAGGCCTTCAATTGCGGGGAATAGTACTTTTGAACTGTATCCGGGTCGGAGACGATTTTCGCTGTCCCCGAGATGGACGCCCAGGCGCCGCTGACGGGGTCGAGGAAGGACATGTTTGTTTCTTGCGGGTGCACTGTTAGGTCCATTGTTTTGCTGGAGAAGAGGTTTGTGTGGAAGACTAGGTCGATGCCGCCGTGTTCCTGGGCGATTGGTATAGGTTAGTAAATTAATTTGTCTTCTTGATGTGCTTTTGATGGTGGAGATATTGCCAGGTGGGATGGATGTAGATTGTTTGATATAGAACTACGTACCGTAGCGGCGAGTGCCATGCATCGCGATGCCAAGTAATCACCCTCGGATTGCTTGGTGGTTAACATGCCAAATTTGACCTGCGTTATGAAATCGACTAAATCCTGGACTTTTTGAGGCAGTGGAGGATCTTCCGAGTTCTGGGTCTTGTAGGGATCCACGGGGTGGGTGCCCGTTGTGGTGTTGATAGTTGCGTTTTGAGACATGATGGGTTGATTCGAATGGCACAATCAAATAATTAGACGTCTTCAAGGTGGGGTGATGGTTAAATTATATAGTTTTCTTGTGCAAAAGAATCATAAATTCTTGTATGCAATCATAGCCATAGGGACGTCGTTGTGACGTCAGTGACAAGATAATCCGGATCTGAGCAGGACAAGGCGATTTGGTCGAGTTCGGAATTTGTGTGGTTTATTGCATGATGTACGTGTAGATCTTGTGTGGGTTCAGGGTGTGGTCATGGCATAAACTCGATCTGATCGATTTGCGATAGGGGTTCTAGCCATTTAGGTCTAGTTCGATATTGATACCGGGTGTTTGGTATGACCAAGCTTTGATTAAACATTAATTTAAGTAGTATACATTTGACATCATGCGCAGGCTTCAGAAGGTCTTGTCGATCTGAGACGTCTTAATAAGCCCTGTTCTCCCCGTAGGGAGTACGTGAATTACCCCGTCGGAGGTTAGGGTGGAAGACGGGGGGCAAAAGCATCACCCGTTGATCGATGGTATCGTCGCTAGAGGAATAACAGAATCCATGATAGTCGCTTCGTAAGAATGATTGCGCCAAAATCCAGAGAATAAGGTGCTGTATTATGCGTGACTTGATGCAGATGGTGGTCTTTGAAGCAGGGGTACTGCAATGTTTCAATATTGGATCAACTGGGCGCAGCATTCAGCCACTGCTCGATCTCACAAACCAATCTATGACGTGACTCCGTGCAAACTGCCATAACAGCTCCAGCAATATCGCAAAGAAGCCGATAACGAAAGCTAAATCGCACACTAGGTCAGCCCCAAGTCATCAACACATCTCGCACGAAATAACGAACCTTCACGCCCAATCATAGCCAGTGACCTTGCAATTCTTCTCGGCCCCTGTCTCTTCAACCACAACGGAACAAGATCGCTCTGACATGTCTGGCCCTCGACAACCCAGCAGCCTCCAGGGGTGCGCCGACATTCTAGATGCTGCCGACGTCGTTCCATGATACGACGTATTCGCCAGTTGCAGAATGCCTCATCGGTGCGGAAAGAGCATTTCTCCATGGGACATTCGAGCTTTCGTTCAAATCGCTCAACGAGCCAGTCCACTTTGAGGTGTACCCCCGTGTAGACCATGTAATAGAAATGGCTGCATGAATGTTTGAGTGCAAGGGCGTCGGGGTATGACAAGAATGAAGCAATTTGTATATGTAGCTCCAATGGGAGATCCATCATATTGAGCCTGGGTGTCGTTGTAGACATTTCCGTGGTGGTTGGCGAATCCATGGTGCCGGCGCTGTCGGTTGTGCTTATGTTTTGATGAGGCTTAAAATGCGGAGGGAGGCCTTCCCCTCGACCTTGGTGTGTCTTAAGTACTCCGTTAGGAACTTCCAGGGAGTATACATCAGGCAGGAGCTCGGGGAAAGTGGTTGCCTGGGGATGCATCTGCCACGTTGACATGTTTGAGATGAAGGTTCACATTGTTTAAGATATCCACCAGAAATGTCGTCCAGCTGTTAGTTGGGATAGCTATAGGGAGCTTAAGCCTCCACAAAAAGGGAGCGAGTTGCCGAGCTACGATCATTTTGGGTTAGCCAGTCTCGTATCTTGTCGCCTGGAACTCTACCAGCGACATACATTGGTCATGTGAGTTGTAAGGCAGAGCTGCAGATCTGCAGCTGTGAGTCAATATGAAACTGATACTCTAAATAGCTTCCAATAGCTGTCTAAAGGAGCATCCATGGTTTGATGGTACAGAACATGATCGGGGATTGGTCGCTTACATAATCCACTGGCCCGCCACGGGAATTGTTACACACACAGCAGCTTTTGCTAGCCGCACAGCAATTATGTAATATCCCGCATCACATAATCAATTTCGCCAAGAATCCTTACCATACATTACCGCAGCAACTGCATTACTTACCACTATAGCAACTGCATTCTATCAACTACTACTATAAGAGGCTCTCTTTCTTCTAATCAATCTTCATTCAATTGATCATTTCATATTATTTACATAGCCTATTATACCCTGCAGGAACGTATTGTATGGCCAATTTCTCCACAATTTGAGCACTTTGATGGCGCTTTCTTCTTGATAACCCGTTGGTCTGATGTTTTGTTGATTTGATATGATGTATCTTTGGTTGATTTCCTTGGTGGCAGCGGTGGTAATAGAGGATTAAGTATTGGCAGATACTCTGATTGCTCATTGCCAAGGCCAAGCCTCCAAAATTGATGTATATCGCTTAGTGGAATCGGCTGATACGTTGACAATAAGCTAGCGATTCGGTGGGCACATGGAAGGCCCATTGTCCTAGAGAATATATTAGTACAATTAGATAAAGGGGCTTCGGGAGTAGCTCTTTTAGCTATAGAAGCTTGCTTATAGATCTGGCGAAGCGAGTATTGTGATGCTCTCTTTGTAATATTCGAATAGAGAAAGTGTGAGCAAAAATTTAGCGTTTTAATCCGATCTTCTGCAAGATCGGACGAAAGGGTATAGTGCTGAGCTTCTAATGCGATATTAATTCGTTCAAAAACAAAGAGGATATCACCTGTTGATGACCCTATATACTTTTTTAAAATAGCATGAGAGCCTTCTACTCGTGAGGTTGCCCAATTACCAAGATGAAGATATTGGCCTATCCACGCCCTAACGAACATTTCTTTATAAGTTAGCCAGGTCTGTTTTATATATCGAAGAGCAGCAGGAGCAATTTGACTAAATCTAGTCTCAAACTTAGCGAGTTGATCTTCGTATTCAACTAGAGTAGATGAATTAATAAGCGATTTCCAAGACTGTATAAAAGCTTCAAATTCCTCATTCGAAGAGAAATATTGCTTTGTCTTTGCAAGCACATTCTTATTAATATGCCAAACGCATAATAAATGTGGGCTTCTTGGATAGATAGATTTAATTGCACCTACTAAAGCAAGATCTCTGTCAGTACAAAGAACTGGAGAAAAGGATAAGGGGTCTAGCCATGAGAAAAAAGTATATAAAGTCCACTTATAGCTTTCCTCCTGCTCATTTTGCATGAAGCAGAAAGCAATACTATAAGATGAATTCGATGGTGTAAGGCCGATAATATGTAAAAGGGGCATCTTATATCGATTCGTTTTATAAGTGCAGTCTAATAAAAAGACCCTATTATATTGATTAGCATACTTAATTGATGTAGGGTGAGCGAACATAAAGAATTGAACATGACCTTCAATATCTTGTTTGAATGCATATCTCCAATTATTATTTTGAAGGGTTTCCCTTAGAAATTCAAGCGGTGTAGAATTACCAAGTTTCTTTTGCCTTGATGCTATTCGAATATTATAGATATCTCTTGGCTTAATCAAGATTTTAGGATCTTTTCGCATTATACTTAGTATATATTGTGGCTTTGACCCGATATCAGTAAGATCCTGAATAGTTTGGTTTTGATCTTCGGTAAACTGCCGACGTCGTGCTATAGAGTGACCAATCATATTATCATCAGCCTCATGGTTATGAATAGGATTTCTAACCTGGATTTCCCACTGATCGCTTCTAAGCTTCTTCGCATAGAGACGAAAAGGGCAGCCAATTCGTTTTGTACTAGTTTTCCGGCGCTTCGCCCCATCTGGGGCATTGACCTGATCGTGATAGTAACCACCTCTATCACATCCAAGAGTGATGTTTCTATCTCTACTTGATGAGACAGTAGTTATCGCATATCCATGAGCAAGAGCATGCTGTTGGATAGAAGCAAGGAGCTTCTCTTTACTCTCAAAGACTTGCTCAGCTGGTGGGTTCATGATTGAATGAAGAAAGATCAATTGAATGAAGAATGATCAATTGAATGAAGATTGATTAGAAGAAAGAGAGCCTCTTATAGTAGTAGTTGATAGAATGCAGTTGCTATAGTGGTAAGTAATGCAGTTGCTGCGGTAATGTATGGTAAGGATTCTTGGCGAAATTGATTATGTGATGCGGGATATTACATAATTGCTGTGCGGCTAGCAAAAGCTGCTGTGTGTGTAACAATTCCCGCCCGCCACCTGATACTTCGATAGTCGATCTTCAAGCTCGACTTCCAGCAACAAATCTACAACCTTCCTCCAAACTCCTCTCACCTACAACATCCTCCCTAAACACAATGTCCAAACCCACCGCTGCAAGTGGCAGCTCAGACACCGCGTTCCGCAAAACCTGGGACCGCGAAGAATACACCAAAAGGGCAGCCGACGAAGAAGCCAAGCGCAAAGCCGAAGGCAAAGCCCGCTACGAAGCCAAACTCCTCGGCAAGAAATACCACGCCCCAGTCGACTATGGCTCACTCTCCGCAACAACCGCCCGCCAGGAGCGACTCAAGGTCGACTCGATGGTGGGCAAGACGACGATTGTGCCGGCGGGATCAGCGCTAGGCAAACGTGGACGTGGACCGGGATTTTACTGCGAGGACTGTGATCTCACGTTCAAGGATAATATTCAGCTGGTGGAGCACTTTAATAGCAAGCAGCATTTGATTGCTACGGGGCAGAGTGGAGAGGTTGCTCGGGCGAGTGTGCAAGATGTGCGTTTGCGGCTGAGGATGTTGGCGCATCAGAAGCGTGTCAGGGAGGAGGAAGAGCGGAGGGCCTGGCAGCTTGATCTTGGGGAGAGACTACGCGAGCGTGAGGAAATCGATGCGAAGGAGCGAGAGGAGAGGAGGCGCAAGCGGAATGAGAAGCGTCGCAAGGGTGGAGATGGGGTGAAGCAGGAGGAGGATAGCTGGGAGGGACGATTGGGAATTATTGCCTAAGCATGAAAGGGCCATCATGGTCATTCTGCTCTGAAAATCATGTACTTTATGATACCCTTGGAGTTTGGGGGCGCATTCTCGATTTTACAAGTCTTCCTATAAGGCCTCGCTGCTTTCTTGACCAGCAATACATCAGAAAGCCGAAAGAATAATTGATTCAACATATTCACAATAACAAGCTCTGACAGAGCCATTCCAGAACGCCTATGCCAAATCCCACAGTCATCTCAAGTAAAACGAAAAAAACACCGCATAATGCATAATCAGTCGATGCACTCGATGGCCTCAAGCCGCCGCATAGCACGACCACCTTCCTTCTCGAACTGACTGACAAGTCGTTCGCATTCTCGCTTCAATCTCTCCTCCCCATTCTTGGCATTCCACCTAATCCACTCCTCCACCGTCATCCTCTTCTCCGGACTGGTCAGACCTGCCTTGGCCCCGTTAAGAAGGCCGGCGAGGTCTGCATTCTCTTTGTCGCTAGCTTCCCCAAACAAAATTTCGTCAATGTCCACCGGCGTCCAGGGATGCCCGGATGCTGGGAAACCAGCATTCAAGTTTCGTTTCGAGGGTGACGGGGTACTGGCTGCAAGCGGTGTTCGAACCGTCTTCTCCCTTGGCGGTGATGAAACAATTGGCCGTTTTGACGAAGGGAGCGACGAAGGTGGTCGATTCTCCGCATCAGAGGACTGGGGTGACAAGGATGGCGTGCTCTGATGAGGTACTGGTAGCGGCGATACAGCTCGGGTGGGTGTTCGACCTCGTTGAGAGGTCCGTCGCTCATTACTTCGAGAACCGTGCGACTCGACCAGAGACTGTGCCAGGTGCTCCTCCTGAGGAATATCACTGTATCTCTTTGTCGTCTTTGGTGGCACTGGCGTCCTTTCATGGGTCTGTTGTGGCTCCGGTGACGGAGCTCGCGGTGAGGGAACCACCTGAATCTGGTCAGGAAGATCATCCGGAGTGCCGAATTCCTCGTCATCTCTCGAAGACTCGAAACCGAGTTCATCCTCAATGGGCTGTGAAGCAGGTGGAGGGGGGATGCCTCCCCTTTCTTAGTCTTTTTCGACTTCTTGGGCTTGTCTTCCTTCTTGGCTGACTTCTTCTTTGAGGGTTTCTCAGCTGGCTGTTCCACTTCTAGCTCTGGTTGAGACTCAGTTTCACGTGGGACGACTTCGACTGGGATGAATGAATCGTGATGCTCAGGATCATCCCGTTCAGATTCGTCTTCTTTGTCTTCAAACTCACGCTCCTCTTCATGCACAGGTTCTTGCTTTTTCGACTTCTTAGTCCCTTTCTTCTTGGAGCTCTTACTTGATTTCGTCTTTGGAGCTGGTGCTTCTTCTTCGTCTGTTACATCAACCACAGCCGACTCCACTGGGGCTTTTGGCTGCTCTTCAGGCAAGTCCATGTAATCCGTAAGCTCACCTTGAGGAGGTTGGGATGACTTTCCGGTTGCTTTCGACTTCTTGCCAGACTTGGTCTTCTTTGAAGCACGGGGCTTCTCGGGTTCTGGCTCGGGCTCATCTTGAAGCTCCATTTCTGGTTGGGGCTCGACCTCGGGCTCCGGTTCGGACTCCACGAGTTCGGGTTCATCGGCTTCAAGACCCGCTTCGATCTCGGCCTCCAGCTCCGAGTCTCGTGGTATGCGAGCCTTGGACCTAGATTTAGGTGCGACTGATACATCAGAAGCCTTCCTGCCCTTAGCCGCCCCCTTCTTTGATCCCTTACGAGTCTTTTTGGGCTCATCTTCCTGAGCCTCGTGCACCGAAGCGTCATCGAGGACCAAATGGTCTTGCGATTCGTACTTGTAGGTTTGAGAGACGCTGCTGTCGCGCGTTCGTGTAGCGCGGCGCTTTGCAGGTGGCTCTACCGATGGCTCGGGTTCTGCCTGTCCAACAGACTCCAAATCATCCTTGGCCATCTCTTCGCTGGCTCGTTTCTTCCCCCTTCCAGCGCGCTTGGGTTTCGCTGGCTCTGGTTGCGAAGGCTCATCGATATCCATTTCGCTTTGCAAGTCGGCGTCTTCCTTTTTGCTTTTCTTTCCCTTGCCCTTGGGGCCCCTCTTTGCCCCCTTTGGCTTCACTGTTGCTTGCGACATCATGCTTTCGTTCATTGTATCATCAATCTCCATCTCTGATACCTCAGGCGCTTCAGATGCAACAGTAGCCACGGATTGAGTTGACAGTCGAGAAGATGCTTTGGAAGTGCGGGTTTTCTTGGGTCTCCCTCTTCCCTTCTTCCCAGGGAGCTGTCCGAATACAAAGAAGGAGCAATCGGGGGAGCGGCGATGGTGTTCGTCACTAGGCACGGGCGAGGCATTAGCTTGTTGGCTCATAGGGAGGAAGGTGCAGCCATTCTACTTACAAAGGGTCGTCCTTGGGCTCCCATCCATCGAGCGACAGCTTGCAATAGGCGCAGCTAGCCAAGTCATCGCTTTCTTCGTTGGGGCAGAAGTACCATCCTGCGCTGACCATCTATCGTAACTGTGAGTATTAAGATGACAAGAGCTAGGGCGCAAGTTGTAATACCTTATCTGATTGGCAAAGCCAACCGCGTTTTCCGTCATGTGGCCATTGCGTTCCAAATGTTCCAATTCGGGCTTGGGTTATTCTCTCGCTGGTCGGGTCTTCGATTGTGGAGGGGTTGGAGCTATTCTGCTGGATGTCCATCATAATTGCCCAAGCACAGTCCGGAGAGTGCTTGAGATGCTCTGTTATGGGGTTATCTTCTTCTTCCCAGCCGTCCAGGGCTCGATTGCAATGAAAACATGTGGTGTTGTCCGGGTTCGTATCGTACGGTTTGTAGTAAAAGCCGGCATGTGCCAACTGTGAAGCAATTCTGCGTTAGCCATGTTGGTCCCAAAGACTATCCATAGGCGTGTATATACCTCAGCCGGCGATGGACTCTGGTGAGGCCATGCGATCACATCGGAGCCTTTCGTGGTTGAAGATCTCCGCTTCTCGAGCTTGAGCACGGCGTCGAAGCTGGCCAGACGGGCCGCGAATGTGTCCATTTCGGAGCCCATGGTTTCTCAGGTACTGGAAGGGACAGTAAGCCCTCGGATCGGTGTCGAGAACCGGCTCTGTATGTCGAGGTGGTGGCGTTGGTCGTTGTTGATATCGTCTGCTTGGTCTGTTTACTTTGGTTGTTATGCGACGGGACGCGACCCCACGTGATCGGTCCGGTTACCTAAGCCCGACGACGTCAGACCCGAAAGTTCCCCGAGAAGGACGGAGCCCTTTGGAGAATCTCCAGTTAATTCCTTCTTTTCCCGCCTGTTGAGTCCTGCTGTATATACTCCATGCTGCAGCGATTGGGCAATTCCTGATCTACACCTATTTGAGCCGTGTGCTCCGCTCCTTTTCAACCTCAGAATCGTGACAATGCGGCCAACCGTACGGACCCGAAAGCCGAAACTATCTACCTTGGCGGAATAGACATGCTGACGAACAACCAATATCTATAGATGATTGCCCCTCGCAGTGCTTGCGCCAGTTCTCTCTGGCGGTCTCGTGCCCGTTTATTTCCTCTTCCATGGGTGCCGACGTCGGCCCGATATATCTCGATTCAAACCCGCCCGACCCCAGACTCTCCTTTTTACCCATCTCAAGCCAGTAGCTCGACATCCCAACTATTATACAATGTCTCCTCTGGAAGGCCACCTTCATCTGCCTCATTCTCAACTTCGCCGCTTCTCTCGGAATCGGATTGGGACCATAACCCAAACCTATCTATCTCCAACTTCTCGGAGCTCCCTTCAAAGGACTTCGGTGTCAACCAACACATGATCATAAACCAGGAATTCAAAGAGGCACTACGGCAGATTCTTTGGCAATTCAGAGCACCAATCCGATATGCATTTGCGTATGGTTCTGGTGTGTTTACACAGACCGGCGCAGCCTCCGGGGGCTCAACCCACCCATCGGCACCGGCCGCCATTCAGAAAATGCAACAAGGATCCGGGAAAATGATTGATTTCATCTTTGGAGTCTCCTATTCACAACACTGGCATGATCTCAATCTTCACCAGCACCGTGATCATTACTCCGGCCTAGGCTCGCTGGGATCCTATGTGGTCTCGCAGGTACAGGACCAATTTGGGGCCGGTGTATATTTCAACACCCACATCACCGTGAATGGGACCCTTATCAAGTACGGTGTGGTCAACTTGGATACATTGTGCACAGACCTTTTACAATGGAACACATTATATCTTGCCGGCCGTTTGCATAAGCCAGTCAAGATTCTACGTGATCACCCCAAGGTGCGACTCGCGAACCAGATGAACTTGCTGTCTGCTTTGCGAGTGGCATTGCTCCTACTCCCCGAGCGGTTCAGCGAGTTTGAACTGTACAGCACTATCGCAGGTATCAGCTATATGGGCGATCTGCGGATGGTACTCCCCACGGAAGACCCTGGCAAGGTGCGCAACATCGTGTCCGGGCAGATGGCCCACTTCCGACGCCTTTATGCTCCGCTCATTAGCAATCTCCCCAACGTCACCTTCCAAGACCCGCGCTGCAGCCAGAACGACTGGATTGACGATCCGGATTCTATCTTGGCAATGGTGCAGGACATGGATCCGGTTAAGCGCGGAAACATGGTTCGACGTCTTCCGGAGTCTTTCAGACAGAAGCTTTACTTCCAGTATCAGTCCCGCTTTGCTATTCCTCGGGCTGAGTTCAATAAGATGATGGAGGAGAATGACGATAGCAAGCAAGAGGTCGTTCGGCGTCCCCAAGGAGGTCCCTTTGAACGCCGCATTGCAGACGATACTCACCTCCAAGAGGAGGTTTCAGCATCAATTTCGAAGACCATCCGCTGGCCCAGTACTGTCCAAACCATCAAGGGCACACTGACTGCCGGTGTAGGCAAGAGCGTAACGTATTTGAAGGAAAAGCGTGACAAGCACAGGAAGGCACAGGCTCACAAGGCACAATTGACCGAAAAGACACAGAGGTCTGAGAAGACTGAGACGGTTGAGAAGACCGAGGAGAAGAAAGATTAGAATACCTCTTGGAAGCATGTTTATGGCATCAACAGCATCATACGGGATTGGACGGAATCATTGAGGATCAGTTGGCATATGGAGGGCGTTGTGTGGCACAGTATCACAGCCATGTCTCTGGCATTTCTGCATTGAAAAATACATACTTTTACTACATATAGACTTGAGATCTTATTCATCATAGGGCTTCCCCAAGATATCTGGGCCGAGTCTCGGCATCCATCAGAGCACTTGGGTGTCTGAGAATCTTGTACAATAGAGTCAATACAGAATTTAGAACTTGATATCCACTTTAGTCCCAAATATATAGCCTACGATATCCCTATTTTTTATCTGCAATTGACATCGCTGTCTGAGTCATTTCACTATGTCGTGAGTCAGTCAACGGTACCTTGCGGCCCCAGGAATAAATACTTCCGCTTTCAACTCCGATAACGAACCTCCCCGCCACCCCACCAACTTTTGCTCCTCGACATCATCGAGCCCCGAAACACCAGCACACCACCCACAATGGCCCAAAGGTTATCACCATTCGATTTGCAGACATGCGCTCGGCCCAATATCTTGAAGCTGCAGCCCTACCGGTGCGCTCGCGAGTAGGTCGCCCACCTCCGATGAACGGCCCGATCCCGCGCTAATGAGTCAGTGACTACAAAGATGATGGGACGAACGTGCTTCTCGACGCCAACGAGAATGCCTATGGTCCTGGATTGGCATTGAACAATGAAGGTGCATTGCAGGCGTCGCAGACTGGTGATGCGACGGGCGCATCCAAGCCTGAGATTGATTTCTTGGGTTTGAACCGATACCCCGATCCGTAAGTACTCCCATCCACGACAGTTCCGGGCTCCGTGAGAAGTAGGAAAACGATGTTTTAACAGTCAATTGCTCGATTTAGTCACCAGATTGAGCTGAAGCAGCTTTTCTGCAACCTCCGTAATACCCACCACCACACACAAAAGACCCTCCGCCCCGAGAACATGTTTGTCGGAGTTGGATCTGACGAGGCAATCGATGCGCTGCTGCGATGCTTCTGTGTCCCCGGCAAGGACAAGATCCTCACCTGCCCGCCTACCTACGGCATGTACAGCGTGAGCGCACAGGTTAATGACATCGAGATCGTCAAGGTGCCGTTGGATGTGAACAATGGGTTCCACCTGCAGCCCGATAAGGTCAACGAGGCCCTATCGGCAGACACCTCGATTAAGCTGGCGTACATCTGCTCCCCGGGTAACCCGACGGCGAACCTGATCCGCAAGGAAGATATCCAAAAGGTGCTGGAGCACCCGACGTGGAATGGTGTCGTCATTGTGGACGAGGCATATATTGACTTTGCCCACGAGGGTGCCAGTTTGGCCGAGTGGGTGAACGACTGGCCCAACCTCGTCGTGATGCAGACCCTGAGCAAGGCCTTTGGTCTAGCGGGTATTCGACTAGGCGTTGCTTACTCCAGCCCCGAGATTGCCCAGTTGCTAAACAGCCTAAAGGCACCCTATAACATTTCCAGTCCGACAAGCGCGCTAGCCACGGCTGCGCTGACGGCCCCCAATATGGCGGTGATGCGCGAGTACCGTGAGAAGCTTGTCGCTCAGCGTGACCGGTTGCTCCGCGAGCTGCCGCAGATCCCCGGTGTGGGCCGGTTCCTGGGTGGCCAGGACTCGAACTTCTTGCTGGTGGAGATGCTCGACGCTGAAGGGCGGCCTAGCAACGTCACCGCTCTGGCGGCGTACGAATCTATGGCCGAGAAGCGTGGGGTGGTGGTGCGATTCCGGGGCAAGGAGTACGGGTGTGAGGGCTGCTTACGCATTACGGTCGGTACTGAGGCCGAGGTCACCAAGTTCTTGCAGGAGCTACGCGTGGTGTTGGAAGGAGTACGCAGCGGCGCCGGCTTCTAGTCGGTTCGGGACAGCAACGGGAGGATGCAGCGGCCGTGGTGGTTGGGTAAATGTTATCCTACGGTACACTAAAACTTGCTACTGATAGATACACGGAGAGTACTTGGGATATCTCCGTGCGGAAAAACCGGAGATGAATGCTTGGTTCTGGTCTCTATCTACGGGTTATCTAGCAAGAATCAGGGGGGATAGTATCTCATACCAGATTATCGGCGTACCGAGTATATAGAGGAATCTGATCTAGGATAGTATCCTATGGAAATGCATAGAGTTTGATCCATACATCTAGACTGGCTGGTCAGTGGTCAGCCATGTGTCTAGCTTCCTACTCGAGTAAAGTTGAGCGACGGAGTAGTCAGCCTCACGATGATAGGCAGGATTGGGCTTATCTGGCGCTGCCATTGGCGCTGCTTAGCGTGGTGGTGCCCGATCCACTTGGTGCCCCGAAGCTCTTTAGCGTTTGCCAGTGCCCAGGCAGTCATATAACTTAGTTCCTGTGGTGTTATTACTTCGAGGTTCTTCCGAACCCTAGATAATATCTTTTTTTTCAGGGTTAAATCTACGGAGTATGTAGTGAGTAGAACAAGGAACTTCTCGTATGTAATGTAATTACCATCGGCCCTCGTGCTCGTTTGGGGGAAAGTCCACGTGGAAAAGAGATCCTCTCGATAAGAATTTCCCGTTTTGCACACCTTCCCGTATCTTCAGACACGAGAGCTATCATCATCATCATCCTACATCCAAAGTACGAATACTACCCAGGGCAAAAGAAGGCGGTCTCATGTTCAGTGTTCACTGACACCATCGTCCACATAGGCTTTGTGCCCAGCCAAGGCATGATTCGCCTTGTCTCCATTCTCCTGATTCCCCCGCAAGCGTGGGCCAAAGCTCCCGGACTCCGGTGGCCCGTTTAATCCTCCTCACACCGCACGCAGATCGAGGGAGGGGCGAACCGGGGGACCACTCGATACACCGAGGCCCTGAGTGGCTGGGAAGCGCGTCAGCATGTGTGATATGTTGAACTCGATACAAATGAAAGCACCTGCAGTGCTGACGCTGAGTGGGCCAAGAGCCCTTTCTTTGCTGGCCGCAGCACAGAATGCAATAATCAATCACTAATCGTCGTTGCGGACCTTCGCCCACAAGAAAAAGCCCAGAGATTAGCGTGTTGGCTTTCACTGGTTCTCGTGTTATCATCGCCTTCGCCTCTTTCTAACTTTCTGATCCTAGTCTCTTCCCCCTCGAGGAGAACGGTGGCTCATATTTACTTCAGTAGCCTCCGGAACTCACCGAATGCGTTCTTTTTTTCGCCTTCTCCCCTCTTTGATCGGTGACGATAGAGACCCGACACGAACGCGGATTTTGAATAGCACGACTAATCCTGTTTCATTTTCTTTGTTTCCTACGACTTCTCTTTGATCCTTTTGCTCGGCCCGCTGCTTCGTCCCTGCGACGATCGTCTTCGAACTAAAGTGGCTCCCCCCGATCGACCCTTAGTGTACAGCCTCCCCACACTTCGACACCTTGAAGGTCCGCCCCCCTCACGTGCAACATGTAAAGATACGCTTGTCGCCTTCATCTATCGAATCTCTCGTGACTGAACAACACACCCACGATTTATAGCCCCTCTTCGGAGGTGGTTTCAGCTGTGGGATCAATGGAAACTGCCTCCTTGGCCACACGAGGCCTTTACCCTGCGGTGCCTCCGGCCTATGAGTCGCGAAGTGATATCAATCCGACCTTGATGATGAGCTGGTGGGCCACGGGCTTCTCTCTGGCTATTATTATCGTCCGATTATGCGGTCGCTACGTGCGAATCGAGCGTTTCTTTCCCGAGGACAAAGTCGTGATGCTCAGCGTCATCCCGCTCACCATTCGCATGGTGCTGGTTCACTTCGTATTGGTCTTCGGGACCAACAATACTCAAACGGCCGGGTTGACGCAGGACCAAATCGACAAAAGAGTGATCGGAAGTAAGCTGGTCCTGGCAGCACGCATCTTCTACGCCATCTTGTAAGACTGGTCCTAATTTCAACATTGTGTTACTCTGACCGGAGCTGTTCACTGACTTGTACTTCTTCTTCCAAATATAGTATCTGGACAGCCAAGCTTACGGTCTGCGAATTCCTGAAACGAGTCACTGGCATGGTCTGGCGTAAGTCAGTGGCTATCTTCCTGCGCTTCATCCATTTCTTCCTCATCTCTACGCTTGTCGCCGTCGTCATCGCGACCCTGGCTGAATGTCAGCCCATGGACCATTACTGGCAGGTCACACCGGACCCTGGACCTAGTTGCCGGAGCGGATATGCACAGCTCATTACGATGGGGGCTTGCGACGTCATCACCGATCTCCTTCTCGTTGCTTTCCCTGTACCCATCATCTTGATGGCCCAGATGCCAATTAAACGAAAGTTCGCCCTCGTCACTCTCTTCTGCCTTTCACTGGTTCTCGTCGCTATCACCTGCTACCGGGTACCGTCCGTGATTGAGCGTCGAGGTGCACAACCATATCGTTCTCTCGTCGCTTCATTAGAGATTCTCGCTGCGACAGCAGTCTCTAATCTCGTCGTGATCGGTTCTTTCGTCCGTGATCGCGGCGTCAAGAAACTCAAGTACAAGCGCGCGCAAGGATCAGCGTCCGTCACCGAAAGCATGGACAACAGCTATGTCCGCCGCAACACGGTCATGCAGCATCAATGGGGCAGCGACTCTGACCTTGCCGGTGATCTGGGCATCCGGCTCGATCCCAAGCTCTACTCCTCAACTCCTGGTGCTGCTATCCCTATCCCGGCTCCACCTGTACCTCTCATGGTCGCACGCACCGGCTCCCTCGATCCATCGTGGTCCTTCAACCAAAGCCACACCTCAGATGAAGAACGCGCCTCAACCTCCGACAGCCTCGACATCAAAGTCAGCCCTCGCGAATACCTCCCAACCAGCCAATCGCCTCATGACATGCCACCCTCACCCCCACAACCCCTCTCCCGTCGCGTATCTTTCTTTGATATCGGTGGTCTCCTGAGTCAGACCGAACCAGAGCCACAACCAAACTCACGACCCGCCCTCCTTTCACGCCACACAATGGCCCCCTCAACGAATACTCCTCCCATCGAACTTCAACGTCCGCGTCGTGGTAGCCGGGCTTTCCTCGAGGATCTTGGCGTCCTTGTACCTCGCACCACCGCTTCCGCACCGCCCCAATCTCAACACCCGTCACGTTTCTCATCACCACCTTCTATCAATACTACCGCTACCACGGGACAACTATCCCATACCCTCCCGCCCTACAGAGTCTCACCAGACGTCTCCCTCGACGTAGACGTCGAGCTCCAAGATGTAGGCGGCCTGCTTTTCAGAAATACCCACCGACCCTAATTTTGACACGCGATACGATTCATTTCTTTCCTGGATTTACATTGGATTTGTGATTTACCTAGGCTAGGAGGAGTTGGATATCTTTTTTGTTTCTTTCTTTGTTGTGGATCTTGGATTACGGTTTCTTTTTCTTCACGGTCATACCCCCCCGTTGTTTTTGGCTCTCCCAGCATTTGTCTTCGCCGGTCTTATGACGGTGGAATTAGCGTTGGCGTTGGTGGTTTTTCATTTCCCTCCCTCTTGGATACCAGGGAGGGAGGCACTATGTAAAACCAAACCCTCATATGGAATTGTCTGTTTTTGCTTTCTGGTTTTGTACATCATATACCACATACCACGAAGATATGAACTATACTTGACTCGTACATCTATGTAGACGTTCTTCTTTTCACCTTCCATTCATTTTCACCATTCTCTGCGACTGAGATTGTCTTAAACTCGACTTGCTACTTTTATACAGTACTCGATATGCTGGAGGAATCATTTACTCGTATATCCAGTAGACATCCAGTGTATTCATCTAGCCTGAAGCCAAAAAAGGCACAAATCACAAAATTCAATATCAGATCAGCCCCCGCCCCCCGTGGATGATGGAGAAACTTCGCCGGTACGCCTATGCTGCCCATAATACAAGGGGACTAACTTTTTTTGTGTTTGTGTGTGGTACAAGAAAAAAAAAACTCCGAGTCCAGTCCCCATCTGGTCTCGTCTGGCGCAGGCCGCCAGTTCCCTTCCTTCCTTGTAGGCGTTCAAAGCCTGAGGTGAGCGGATAGGGCGACGGGATGTTGGTAGCAGCAGAAAGAACCGAGTTGGTGAGGACTTGATGCGCGTTGGGGTATCGGTTCTCACCTCCTCTCAGAACCCGATGATCGGGCCATTAAAGGAGGAAGGAGGAGAGACCAAAGAACAAAATAAAACCGAGACCAAGCTTGTCCGGGGACCATTTAGATCACCCAGCGGTAGCTGGCGTAACGACCAGCAGTCTCACTCTTGCGAATGATCTTCACGACCTGGCCGCGACGCAGACCCAGGTATCTCGAGACAGGATCGGAGACCTGCATACGGGGCAGCTGGGACTCCTTCAGACGGTAGCGCTGCAACAGCTTGGCCTTCTCCTCGGGGCTGAGCAGGACGTGCTTGGGGACCAGCTCGTGGCGGGTGATGTTGACGAGCAGATCCTGTTCCTGGAAGGTCTCACCGATGCGGCCGGGGTTGATGTTGAGCATGCGCACGGCGGTAGGCGATAGGGGAACCTGAGTGATGAAGATGCCGCTGTGGAAGTTGTTCTCGGAAACGGCGTGGTTGAATGCGCGCACTTGCTTAGCACCAAGTCCAGAGGATTCGTGGCAGAACTCGACGTAGATGGTGCCGCAGTCGGGCTGGGGGTTCGGGTTGGATTTGGTTGGCAGCGCAGTGTATTTCATCTTCATCTCCTCGGTGGGGCGTGCTTGGATTGTCATTCTTTTCCGGCTGTAATGGAGGAAATGACGTGTTAGTGGCGTTGAGTCTCTAGAAACGACGAATAATCGCTCTTCATTGCATCCGAGGAGGAGCTGTGGGGGGATGTTTTGCATACTCGGGGTATCCCATAGGGTCTGCATATTTCCGCGCGAACTCTTCAAGAGAGACCTTCAGCTCTTCTTCTGACACCTCGTAGCCCTATTGTCAAGCGCAAAACATGGTCAGTCTCAGGCTCATGAGTATATAAATGCGAAGAACCTTGAGCGATAACTCAGGTCCCAGTAAGAAAAGCAGGGGAGCTTACTCGGTCTGCAAGCATTTCATGCACCGTCTTCCAGGTGCGCCAGAGCCGGCTCATCTCCCGACTGGCATCGGTGCTGGTGACGGGAATATCCCCATCCATGATCGGTGTATTATCGACTAATGGATGGATCTAATAAAGGGAAAGCCAAGCGCAAAGAAGAGAAAAAGTGGGCGCGCAGGAAGGTGGTCGTGAAAGATAAGGTGAAGGATCGAAAAATCGGCGGGAACTTTCTGCCAGGCGAGGCAGTTTAGTAAAGCGGAGAAACTGACCGAACCGGAGGCCCGTTTTAATTATTCGAAACGTTTCCCCTTTCCCCTCGTGGGCAACCTTCTTTCCTTCCTTTCCTTTTCATCTTGAGGAACTCTTCAACTCTCCTTTCCTCTCAACTTCCTCTGTCCCCATTGCACAATGGCTGCTCCTGCCCCTGCGGAGACCCGGGTTAAGCCCACCAAGCCAGATGAGGAGGCCTACAAGGCCAGCCTGGCCCAGGCCGAGAAGGAACACACGGCTGCACAGGAGAAGCTGGTATGTTTTGAATTACTTTTCAATTGGGATTATTTGGTTTTCATCGCGTCTTTAATTGGGAATTGATGAAAGTGTTGCGCTCCCTGTCGATGACTCCCATGGCGGGGGGTGATACCCTCGCGTGTGCCCACATGTCACATTTCCCTTCCCGAGTCCAGTCGCTAACGTGCGCAAAATTCCAGAACCAAATCAAGGCCAAGTTGGACAACGCCAAGCCCAACAACCAGGACTCCCCTGTCGTTAAGAAGCAGCAGGAGCTCCGCGCCGAACTCTCCTCCATCCGTCAGAAGCAGTCGGGCTTCAAGACCTCCCGCTCCAGCACCCTCGAGAAGGTCAATGCCATCGAGTCCACCCTCAAGGCCCGCATTGCGGAGCAGAACAACTCCCGCGGCAAGATGCCCTTCAAGAATGTCGATGAGATCGACCGGGAGATCGCCCGCCTTGAGAAGCAGGTCGATTCTGGTACCCTGCGATTGGTTGACGAGCGCAAGGCTCTTTCGGATATCTCCAACTTGCGCAAGCAGCGAAAGGGTTTCGCTGGTCTTGAGGAGGCCCAGAAGGGTATCGATGACCTGAAGGCCCAGATTGCGGAACTCAAGAAGACTCTGGACAACCCCGAGGCCAAGGCCCTGAGTGACAAGTACTCCGAGATCCAAAAGGAGCTGGATGCCATCAAGGCTGAGCAGGATGGTGTATACAAGAACCTGAACTCTCTCCGCGATGAGCGCACCAAGCTGCGCAACGACCAGCAGAAGAAGTATGCTGCTATCCGTGAGATCAAGGACAACTACTTCAAGGCTCGTCGTGCCTACAAGGAGTACGAGGATGAGGCCTGGCGCGTTCGCCGTGAGCGCCAAAAGGCCGAGCGTGATGCCTTTGAGCGCGAGAAGCGCAAGAAGGTTGCCGACAAGAAGCTCGAGGAGGCTTCTCAGCTGGCCTACACCGACGAGATCCTTACCGCTCAGGGTCTTATCCGCCACTTCGACTCTGCTTACGACTTCGCCGCCCTTGGTCTTGATGACAAGAAGGATGAGGGCAGCAAGTTCCGTGCCAATGTTGGCCGTACCGTTGACGACTCTGCACTCAAGGGTATGAAGGTTGTTCGCAAGGACGACGTTGAAGACTACTTTGTCGGCTCTGCCGGTAAGAAGGGCAAGAAGGGCAAGAAGGGCGGTGCTGCCGCTGGCGCCGAGGCTGGCAAGTTCAACATGAATGTTGGTATCATTGAGGACTTTGCCAAGGTCAAGATCGACCCTCCCATGAACCAGTCCGATGTTCCCGCTGCCGTGGAGAAGCTTGCCGCCAAGATCACTGAATGGAAGAAGAACCAGGCCAGCAAGACTGAGGAGGTGAGTTTTCCCATCTGTTCATACGATATCAAGTGATCATCGTCCACTAACATAACTACGTACAGAACATCCAGAAGGCCAAGGAGGAGATTGCCCGCCTCGAGGAGGAAGAGGCTAACGTCGCCGAGACCAACGGCCGCAGCACCGATGCTGCGAAGAAGCCCGCTCAGGCTAACGGTCTGCCCACTGCTGAGGCTGAGCTGGCCCAGGAGAAGGATGCTGCTGCTGATGCGGCGGAGGAGCTGAAGAAGGCTTCTCTCGAGGACAAGGAATAGACGAACCTCGTAAAACTTGCTGGAAGGATTGGGCCTTTGCACTTTCTACGTACATGTTTCGCAGACTAGCATTGCGGTCTTGCATTTTCCTCTCTTTTGCTCTTTTTGACCCACTTGGTCTCTTCTATTGAATGTGCATTATAATTTTGCGTTTTGATACATGGACAGCGTCCTTCTTGGTTTTTTTTTTTTTTTTTTCTTTTCTCCATGTCTATCAAAAGTCAGGAAATGAGATACCTCATCTCGAGTCGAGAGATACCCTTTCTCTTTGCTCTACAAAGTAATTCAACAACTTTCCAGTGGGCCTGCTATCTTGTTATCAATTATTAGATCCAACCTCGGTTCCTAGAGGCATCAACATTTATACTCCTTCCTGGACTGGAGCACAGCCCACGGGCTGAGTCATCCACGAAATGCCCGATCCCCGGAACTGCGCCACGCTCCACTTTCTGCAACGAGCAATCCGCTCGTTCTACAAAAAGCCTGACCACTTCTAAGCTCTTGGCTATTCGGTCTGTTACCGTTCGATTTCTTCTGCCTGTGCGCAACCATATCTTCTTCCCCTCTCCATCTCCCAATCCACCCAATCCACCGTCCAAATCCCCCCAAAACCACCCAACCCGCCATCTCCGCATCTCCCGTCTCGAACTCTCTAGCGGCTCCGCATTTAGCAAGTGCCAAAGATGTCTTACAACAAGCCCGTACGTACGCCCCTCGTATCCCCAATCCCAACGCATACCCAACAATTCCTTGGTTCCTCCAACTGGTAAACACGACAGAATCACTAACCCTCGTATCCAGACCAGCCCACCCCCTTCTTACCCAGCTCCCGTCCACGACAACGGCGGCTACCACCCTGGCTCCCCACCTCCCCAGGGCAGTGGTGCTGCCCAGGACTACTACGGAGGCCAGCAGGGTGGCCAACAATACTATCCCCAGCAACAGGGCTATCCCCCTCAGCAGCAGCAGGGTTACTATCAGCAGCAACCCCAGGGCCAGATGTACTATCCTCCGCAGCAGGGTTACCCCCCTCAGCAGCAGCAGCAGCAGCAGCAGGGTTACTATGCCGGTGACCGTGGTGGTGGCGGTGGATCCGGTGCTGGTGGTATCTGTGCTGGTATTATGGCGGCACTTGCATGCTGCTGCTGCTTGGATATTCTTTTCTAGGCCTTGAACGAAACTTGGTTATCGACAAAATTGTGCGGTGCCTTTCGACTAGACTGGTGAGTCTGCGAAAGGTTTCGGCTCGTGTGCATGTGCCCATTGGAGATAAATGTCGAGTGCATTGGAGCTCTCGACTTGATTGGCAGAATTGGGAAGCTCGACTCCGAGTACAATGTCCTGGTCTGTAGGTCGGTGTTTCCTTAAGCTGGTTCCGGAGCTTGGGATCTGGTGAGCCTGTCTGGTTTCGGGTCTTTCTTTTGGTTTCTTTTGTTAGTTGGTTTTCTTGGTCTTGGGCGGTTTCCCTTGTTTTGGTCATCGCTCGCATATATCCCCGGTTTCTATCTGTTACCACCGGCGCTAAAACAGGACACGGCGTTGAAGACTGGGTCCTTGGTGACGCTTGCTTGTCATTCTTTTTTCTTGTTTACTCTTATTCTCTCTCTAATCAATGCTTTAATACACTTTGTTCTTCTTCCTTTAGAACAAGGAATATATTATCTGATAGAATGCCTACGTGGCTAGCTGGAAGTGGATATATGTAAACATGAGATTCATTAGAGTGAATAGAATAAGATGACACATCGAGAACATGATCATAAGACATTACGTGTAATGAGAAAGGGTATCGCAACATGCAACAAATCGAAACTCCGAGTAGTCAAGCTCGAAGAGTATAGGAACCGCCAATCCCCCAAACAATCAACGATACTGACTATCCCCATCATAAGAGCTCCCACCTCCATATTCACGCGGATCAACCGTCCGATAACCCCTCCCACCAGGCCCTCCCCTCCGATGCGACGGCGAGATAGACGACAACCCCGAAGACTCCTCCTCAAGAACCTCCACAACATCCGAATTCTCCGTCAGCGACGTCCCCGTCATGGATTCCTCAACAGAAATATGATTCCTCCTCGACGCAGGTCGCCGATAACTATCGCGACGACGATCGTGCTCCTCAACGACCTCGATGACATCGCTCCGGCGCGAGGGAGAGCGCCGACTGCGCACGACGACTTCCTCGTCGACTACGGAGGCGGAACCACCCCGCGCCAGACCGCCCGGGTTCAGGGCTAGGAAGGTTAGGTAGAGGATTAGGACGACGCCGCCGACGCTGCCGAGGACGATGCCTGCGACTGTGCCCGGTGGGGGTCCGGAGTTGAGGTGGCCGTAGGTGGAGGGGATGGAGATGGTGGAGTAGCGTTTCTCCAGGTGGACGTGTAGGATGTTTTTGTTTTCGAAGGTGAGGGGGTCTGGGGCGGTTATTGGGGTCGTGTTGAGGTCGACTTCTCGTGGGAGAGGGAGGGGATCCATGGTTGTTGGTCTCAGCTTGGAGATGAGCGCGGGTGAGTTTGCGCAGCAGCAGCCGTGAGGGTTTGCGAGGTGTGGTCGAGGGAGAAGACTGAGTTTTCTAGAGCTTGGAGAGCCCGGTAATCGTCATGAGATGTGTGAGTACTCGGAGGCTGTGAGATGAAGAAAATAAAAATGATGAGACTGGAGGGCTGGTGGTGGTAAGTGGGTGGCTGGGGATCTGCGGAGGTGGAGCCGCTATCTTATCGCGGGGAGGATCTACTGTATAGACTCTCTTTCTGTTTTTGACATTGTCGGATCATTGGATGTTAATCAATTCTTTTCAACTCTCTTTCCACGCAACCAACAAGACGGAACCTACCAGACCTTCATCCCTCGCCTTTCATACTATCTCCAACCATCAAGTAAGTACTGTTCTAAGGCAAACTCGGTGCAGCTGACATGAGAGACGTCTAGACAAAAATGTGTCAACAAGTCATCCCAACAGTCGAGCATCGGTGTGGATGCAGAATCGACTCCCCGGGCACCATCATGGCGCTGGATGGCTGCGGCAATTGCGGTATCATCAAGAGAATAGAACAACTGGGCAAAACCACTAAGAGATACCCATGCCCTAATTGTATCGCCAATGGTGTATGGGTGAAGAGGAATGGAAAGTGGATGCGAGCCAATGCCTCTGCTAATAACGACAGAGAGGCCTGATCCCCCAGGCACGGAGGATTGTTTTGTTTGAGTACTCATCTCGTTATCCAGCGTCCTTCTCTCTCCTCCCCGCTTTCTTCTCTTTGCTCACCTCCCTCAACTTCTAGCAACGTATCCCTCTGCACATCTCTTCACCCCATCCTTTCCTTCCCTGATGGCGACTACCCAGCAAAAATTTCCAGACGTGCACTGGGTCTGGCAGGGAGGTATCTCCTTCGTCTATGAGGTTCATCCCAGCATCGTTGTCAAGGTTCCGAAACCTGGCGAGTTTGAAAGAGAACAATTTCAGAACGAACTCAAGGTCTACGAGATTCTTTCCCGACATACGCCCTGCCCTTCAATAGTGCAGTGTTTCCTTTACACAGACAACGGCATTTTCCTCGAGTACATGCAAGGTACGAGTCGACTCTCATCTATCTTTGACAGGGAATCTTGACTGACTACCACACCAGACGCCTCCCTCTGTTCTAGGATCCAAAAGAATCATATTTTGGACCGGCAGACTTTACGCGTCACAAAAGTAGAGAAACTGGAACCTCTCACGCTCCGAAAAGAATGGATGAATGATCTAGCCCAAGCCGTCGCTTTCCTTGAATCGCTCAATCTCGCCCATGGTGACCTACGTCCCGAAAACATCCTAATAAACGGTGACCAATTGAAACTTTCAGACTTTGATTGCACAGCGGAAATCGGGACAGATTTTGAAGCTTGTATCCCCCCATACGGAAGAATGCTCAATAGCGACGAAGAAACCCAACGAGAATGGGGATCTGGCTTACTCGGTCCTCGCACGGAACAATTCGCCCTGGGTTCGATCTTCTACTTCATCAACTATGGCTTTGCGGTTTATGGGGATACACGTCTTACTGAGGATCCTAATAAGCATGGGTGCAAGGTTGTTGAGTTACTACAGAACATGCAATTTCCGAACTTGAATGGTGATCCGTTACTTGACGACATTATCAACAAATGTTGGCACAACAAGTATGTTACCATTGCAGAGCTGGCCACTTACACGGCGAAGCTCCTTCCTGAGAGCGACCCCCCGAGAAATACTGACACCAAAGCAACATCTCCCCCTAATTGTCTTACCAACGAGGCAGCCAACCCAGAAATAACCAACCCTGGAGATCCCGGTAACGGCGACATTGACCAAAACTGCTCGCCAGAGGTCCTTTCCAAGATATCGCTCTGCGAGAGCCTGGTGGGGCGTGGACTTCTTGATATTCTTTCTTCGCGGGAACCCGAGCAACTTGGTTTCACCCTCGAGTGGTACAGATATCATACGGGTTGAAGCCAGAGCTTGATCATAGCTGCCAACGGGAGAAACCCACAATGTCGAGCACTCTTTGCTAACTCTATCATATGCCCCTATCTTTTAGTGGTCTAAACAATCTGATCATCTGTACCATGCAATCCAGTATCTCAACTGGCAGATCTTTCGTGCTTGGATTAGATCGAGTCACATAGTAGAAGCGATCGTAAATCGGTGTGGAATTCTGTGCCATGTTGTCAAGGTGTGCATTGTAGTTTGATCAAGTCCAGACTGCTTGCTTTCTACTCAAAATAAAGGTATTTGATTGTATATAAAGCCTGAACGAAACGCTTATCCCTGTAGTGTTTGCAGTACCACTTCAGCCATCATTAAAGCGCTCTCCTCCTCAAGTCGTCGGCCAACTAGCTGAAGACTGACTGGCATTCCATGGATGTTATCCGCATTAACTGTGAAATTAGTTACCATTTCATCGTCGAGGAGAATGCAATAATTACTCACAATCATTCCGTATCTGTGAATCAATTTCACTCAATGGCTCGTTGCCGTCATATGCCCCGTCGATCGTCTTGTCAGCATACATACCGCAAGGGAAGGAAACCGCAGGGTAATCGAGAACATTGAAAACACCTGTATATCCAACATAGGCGAATTTGCCATTCTCAACACCGCTATAAGGTGTAGTAGGACCTATTCACGAGCGGTTAGCGCTGAAAACCAAAAGACGGGAGGTAGACTTACAAAGTATAGCGTCGATCCCGCTTTCATTCCACTGGTCGAGATACGACTTGCACACCCCGTTACGCTCTAGTTGTAGTTGCCACATAGCGTGAACACCCATCTCCTCTGCGTCGGCATAGGCTTTCATCTCGGGACGGAAAGGTTCACCCGTGGGTTCGAGAAGATTGGCAACAGACTTTCCGCCATCTGCGACGAACATGCGTGACAAGATAGATAGCAGTCTATCGTGCCATGTTGTTTCCCAATCGACGATCTCATGGCCAGCCCCCCGCAGCTTGGCCACTGTTTCCTTCAGGGCACGGGATACTGGTGGCGTCGGAGCGACTGTACCGTCATGCCAAAGTACGGCAATCTTGAGTCTGCGCTTAGGAGTCACCGTCCTCCAAGGGATGGGAAGACACTTGGGGTCTCGGATCCAAGGCTGCTGGCTGACGATCGTTTTAGCCCAGAGAATTATTTCGGGCAGAGTCGAAGCCATGGGTCCATTGACACTGTTGACAGCCTCTTGGCCGGCGAGACCAGAGCGGGTTTGGAAATTAGGGAATCGTCCGGCGGATGGTCTGATGGTATATATACCTGTGCAAGCAGCAGGTATACGCAGAGAACCGCCTAGACTGCTTCGTTAGATCTTGTCTCCTTAATTGGAGGGAGGCAAGGACGTACCAATGTCGGTTCCTACTCCTAGCCGACTTGCTCCAAAGGCGATCAAAGCGGATTCACCACCTGAAGAGCCACCAGAGGTCAGGTTACGGTTGCGAGGGTTGACAGTACGACCGAACACATTATTGACTGACTCGGCGATCATCATAGCAGTGGGGACATTGGTCTTCACGTAAAGCACGGCTCCGGCGTCAAGCAGCAGGTCGATTAGGGTGCTGTTGTACGTAGCTGGGTCATTGACCAAGGAGGTAAAGCCGACGGTAGAATCATGGCCGATAATATTGAAGTTGTCCTTGATTGAGATTGGGAGACCGTGGAAAGGGCCCTTGGTCCTGCCGGTTGTCTCGAGATACTTGTCCAATTCGCGCGCGCGAGCGATAGCTTTATCAAACAGAATCTCTGACAGGCAGTTGGTCTGGTCAAATGAGTTAATTTCGACTAGAAAAATATACTTCTTTCTTTGCTTTCTCAGGGAATAATACCAATTGATGAGCAGCCGCGGCAGCCTTGCAGAATGCACGGGTAACTTCCTCTGACGTCCATGAGCTAGTCGCTATATTCACGAGAAGCTGGGGGGCTGGAGTCGAAGTAATCTCCAGTTCTCTTTTGGTAAACCAGCCGGATTCTTTCAGAAAGTTCGTCACGTTCAACTGACTATCAGGAGGAAGAATATCTGAAGGAATCACCCACTCCGCGGGGATCGAGGCCTTGAGGGCCTGGCGTTTCTGAGCGGCGATAGTCTCCCAAGTCATGTTGACCTACCGATAGCTCTGAGTGGTATTTCGTATCTTAGGAAAGTTAATCCAACGACGTGAGGAGCCAATTCCCGGCATATTTGTTGCATTTATCCTCGCTAGGCATGGCTTCTAGGCCGGATAATGTGCCGGGCTATCCCACGCCTTGTCCAGTCACTAATACCCCCATTGTGAAGTGCTTATCAACTAGCGAAGCGGATGATAATCGTATCGGCTGACTGGGCCTATAATAGGAAGTTAGATATCTCAGCCTGGAGCTCTGACTTGATAGGTTTCCTAGAAAGGCAGGTAATCTACTGCCGGTCACCTTGGCACTCGGCGCAAAACCCGACAGTGGAGACTTCCCCGCACTTCCCTGCACCAATCTGTGCAATAAACCTCGGATTAACACTGCGAAAGTCGAGTCGATCAAGATAATGCATCACCTGTTCATTGTTTACAACAGCCAGTCAAAGGTGGAGTTTGCGCGGATTTGGCATATCAGAGCGAGATGTTGATTAGGTAACCGCCCAACGGGGCGGTTAACTTTTGAGTCAAAAGATAAACTCTTTCTTTCCACCACGCGATAACGGCACCCGCCACATGGATGTATATAAAGTCTCTGCTATCCACCCCTTTGGCCCACTCGAGCCGTGTCCCGCCTGTGACTGACAGACACGGTGATTGACCGGCATGGCCTTCTTCGCTCGATTCAAGTCCTATATCAGGGGCCAAGAGACTGTGCCCGGTGAAGCAAAGCTGCTCCGCAAAATTGATGCATTCATCTTGTCGTTTTGTTGTCTCTGCTATTTCGCCAATTACTTGGACCGCAGTAACCTCAACAATGCATACGTCTCGGGCATGAAGGAGGAGCTCAATTTCAAAGGGAACCAGCTCAATGTTATAAATACTGTCTTCACTGTTGGGTAAGAGACGATGTCGAGTCTATTCAAATTACCTCTTGACTAACATTTCATTAGATATATTGTTGGACAGGTTCCTTCCAATCTGGCTCTGACCTATCTACGGCCGCATCTCTTCTTCCCGGCGATGATGCTAATCTGGGGTAGTCTGACCATGATCACGGCTGCAGTACATAACCCCCAGGGTATCATGGCGATCCGCTTCTTCTTGGGCTTGGCCGAGTCGAGTACTTTCGTCGGAACGCATTATATTCTCGGCTCCTGGTACACAGAGAAGGAGCTGGGCAAGCGCAGTGGAATTTTCACCGCATCAGGTCTGGCAGGAACAATGTTTGGAGGTTTCATCCAGACCGGCATTCAAAAATCCCTCAATGGTGCCCATGGACTGGCGGGTTGGCGATGGCTTTTCATTGTAAGTTCCTCATTATCCCATTGGCAAGATATGATCCACAATTAACAAGACAGATTGATGGCCTGATCACTATTCCCATCGCCATCTACGGTTTCTTATTGTTCCCCGACACACCAACCACTACGAAAGCCCCCTATTTGACCTCTGAAGAGCGGGCCATGGCCATCGCGCGAATCCCAGAGTCCGGCTCTGTCAAGGTTCCCCTGAATCTGACATTCGCCAAACGCGTCTTCACCTCTTGGCACTGGTACGGCTTTGTCATTCTCTGGATCATCGCCGGAGAGACAGAGTCATTCTCAAGCAATGCCCTGCTGGCACTCTATATGAAGTCATCCCCATCTCACAAATACACCGTCTCCCAGTTGAACGACTACCCCACGGGCGTGCCAGCAGTCGGCATCGTTTCCACGCTGTTCTGGGCTACTTTAACCGATTTCATGGGGGGCAAGCGGTATCTAGTCGGATACTTTATTGCCATCACTGGTATTGTGACATCCGCCATGATCTTAACTCAATTCGAGAAAACTGCTGTCGTGTTCGCCGCATACTACTGGGCTGGAGCGGTATATGCCTGTCAGGCAACGTTCTTTGCTTGGTGTAATGATGCCATGCGTTATCAAGATGACCGGTTCAGGTCTGTGGTCATTGCCAGCATGAACATGGGCAGTAATGCGGTGAACGCTTGGTGGATTCTGCTTTTCTACTCGGCTAATATGGCGCCTCGATTTACGAAGGGTATGTGGGCGATGATTGGATGTTCGATTGCGCTGGCGCTTTGGACGACAGGTATCATTTGGATGACTGTGCGTGAGGAGAAGAGTAGAGAAGGCCGGGAACCTCGGATTAGAGACGCCGATGTCAAGCAAATTGAGGAGACTACTAGGGAGGTTTAATTGTGGTCAATTGAACCTTAATAACGAATCATCTATTGACCATATTTGACACACTGAGATGCCCAATAATTTACTATTCAATAGTCATCCATAATATTCGCTTTTCGATATGAGAAGTGACACATTATATGAGGTCCACATACTGAAATCTCGATCTACTCTCCCGGAACGGCAACCCCAGACACATCCTTGCATGTCTTCAGTAATTCCTCCTGCTTGTTCACATTCCCAGCCCCTGGATGCGCCGACTTCGCACCGCTCGTCGTAAAGAATGTCCCACTAGGCAGGCTGGCCAACTTACCCTTTCCAACCGCCCATTCGGCCAGTGCCTTGGCAGGCTCTTCCATACCACTAGGAGCCATACTCCCTCCCATCTTAGTCCTGACCCAACCGGGATGCATGCTAACGACTTGAATATCACTTCCCCATCGCCGAGCAAAGGCATTAGCAAGCATCACATCATGAAGCTTGCTGTCACTGTATGAATGCGACTGCGTGACATTTCGCAAACTCTCATCTCCACCATAATGGCTGTCCGAACTCATATATAGCAGTCGTGATGTGGGCCTCTTCATCTGACAGGTCAGGATGTACGGTGCTAAAGTGTTGACAGCGAAGACAGCCGAGATTCTGTCTGCGGTGATCTCACGACTGGACGTTGAACCGTACCCGATGCCTGCGTTATGAATGATTGCATCGAATGTTCCATTTCCTAAGGCGTTGGCTTCTTGAGCGAGTTTCTTCGTCTCTGAGATGGATCGCAGGTCGCCGATTAGGACAGCCTCTGCTTTAGGAACTGCTTTCTGAGTTGAAGCAGCACGGTCGGCATTTCTGGCATGGAGAACGACGGAGTGTCCCTGATCTGCGAGGATTTTGGCAGCAGCTTGGCCAATGCCGTCGCTTGAACCGGTGATGAATATACGAGCCATGGTAGAGGGGATTGCGTGAATTGAGTTGTTCTTGACGCTCAACACGCTATGATTGCAGGAAGAAGTATCAAAGACGCTTGGAAGTGTGTAAATATAGCACGGATATTGTGAAAACCGGTTGGATGATATCATACAAGAGAGTACGGTTGGAGATATTCTGTCCTCGTTCCTCAGTAGTGTCTCTTGCGTGCCCAATTATATGACGTCATCTGACTACCATTCCTCCTTCGGGAAGTCTTATATTCATTGCGGAGCGAAGCGGAGCAATATATTGTCAACCTTGACGCTTGATTCGATATGATTGGTCCCCTCCGTTTTAGCAAAGCGACCTCACGTGATCCATATGGTATTTTGAGAACTTCAGAATTCAAGCATCAACATACTATTGGAAATGGGTTGCTAAGCTCATCTAGGTGCACTAATCGGATTTCAACAGGTCTGAATCACAAAGAAGCCCCTAGCTAGTTAACTAACTAACTAAAAATTAGCTTCCATAACTACCACTTGACCGGGCCACCCTACCTACATACCAACTTTAACTACCTCCATGCCACCAAGTCGCTCGGAATCCTCGCAAAAATTATCTTGGCAGTATGCCGGGAGAGTTTGGTACCACTGGCCGGACTGGAAACGAGAGACCTAGACAGGCGTTAGGCCTCCACGTTTTGCCGCTATCTCGGCATTCAAATGGACACCAGGCTTCGCTGTGATGACCACCCCGAGAAGGTAGAAGCGAGGGCTACGAAGCGGCCATCGGCTCTGCTCGCACTCACTTCCTCGACATGGGGTACAGGGACCGTCAATCTCTGCATGTATACCGAGCAATGATTGCACCCCAGATGCTTTATGGCTGCTCGGCATGGCATGTCGTTAGGAACGGCTACACAAGCAGAGGAGGCCCGTAAGAGATTGGTATGTACTCCATCATATTATCTTCAGAAACTGGTCCGTCTTACGGCTGAATCTAAAGCTTTATGTATGTCTAGACATAATATCTGTGGTACAGGTGGTAGATGACCATACAAAGTATCCAGCGTGGAGAGATGATTGCAAGAAGAATTAATATCAACAAGGTTCCTCGTCACTGACAGATTGCAAGATCCCACTTTTAAAGATATTTGCTCTCTGTCGATAGAAAAAATCTTCTTCTGTTCTTATCACGCTGTTTCATCACGTTTATTTGTTCAAGGCGAAGCTCTCGAGATCTATCGAATCTTTGTTCCAGTCGTTTGAGCTTTTTAATGAAATGGCTGGACTTTATAGCCATGACTCGCTCGTACTTTTGCTTTCTTTGGGTAACGGCAGATCTCTCTGCTTTTGTCGGCTTTCTTCAGTGGCCCTACTCTTCGGGCGATGATAAAAATATTTTTCTCAAGCGATGTCGTAATCTTGAAGAACTCTTTGACAAAAAGATAGCAAAACCATTCATTCAGCGGAATCATGACGACCGAAGGCCCGTCTTCCGCCGCATATGTTTTGCAGATATGGTGGCACGGATACCAGGGGATCTTTCAAGTACGCTATTAGCACTGTGCAGCTTCTGAATCTATTGAAAACAGTAATGCAAACCTGGCTCATACCACGCTCCAACGCAGCCAGCTTGATAGCGTACTCAAGCAAATCACACAAACTCCGCTTCGTGCTCTCGAGATTTTTGAGTTTCCGCTCATCTTGAGTTATATGATGCGCCATCTGTTTCGAATTTGTTTCGCCTTTGTCATTAACCGGCGAAGGGCTTTGAATTCACCTTCCTTCATAATTTTGGTGAGGCTGCCGTTGGGTTCCTTCAATTTTAGCCGAACAATGTCGGCTATAGCTGGCAGACCAACTGCTTGGTGGCATTGGTATCCTCTCATACCCAACCCATCTGTATCAATAATATCGCACAGAATGTACCCCAGAAATTCAAGGTCGTCAGTCGTACTTGAGTTTCAAAGCTTCTGGGTGTATCGACATTCTGAAAGCATGAATTCAATGATGCGGGATAACGCCCGCAGGACACCGCTTGGGTTCCCAGGTTCTTTTAAAAAGATGACATGGATCATGAGCTCGTCATGACTATCTTTACTAAAGTGTACCCTGTTGTTGACGTCATGACGACAACGACTTTGATCCAGATCTATTTTGCAGGCTCCATTAAAGATAGTAGAGACAGTCTGGTCACTAACGAAGTCATCCATGCGATTGACTGAATGTGTACTAGTGAAGCACTTGCTTACAGGAGTAGCCATCGCATACTGTACCTTGTGAGATAAATTACCACTTTCATCTGACATGGCATGGGGTGGTTGGTAAATTAAACCAAATCAGGACTAGGAACTCTATGGCTTCAGCGTCATGGTATAGAAGATTTTATGTATAAAACATGGAAGCCAATGTCGAACTTGATTGTATAATCTTCCAAGCATATTTTTAAGCTTACCCTGCGAGCTCGCGTTGAAGCATATGCGAGTAGAATATGGAATGTGCATCCAATTCGCAAATAGCCTAAGTGGTCATGTATCGTCTCTGGTAAACTAATGATTAATTACTGCTATCCTACCGAAGGTATTCCTGATTGTAAGGAATCTTTTGTCCCTTCTCTTCTTCAGAGGTATGATTCTATAATCAATTCATCTATACTATGATGAATTCAATCTATGCTAAATTTAGCTAGGGCGCCAGGAGGATGTGGCATATTAGGCAAACCCCTTTAGCGGCTCTAAAACTGCAACGGCGATGTTGGGGGCTATCTGTGCCCTCCAATTGAGCCCCGAACCTCGTCTCTCTTCTGATTTATTCGGGAACACCTTCACCGCTGCACCTATTTTCCCAACCACAATCGCACATCCATTTAGAGAAATAAACGAATACAATTTTATTCAAATTTGCTGCTAGAAATACTCCTGAAAACATGGAGGGCAGAATCCACCTCGCAGAAATGCTGGCTGAATTTGGGCAGAAGCTAGCTCTGATTCTCCTCCATATTGTGTACAGTATAGACCTTCAGCAATTGTTACCGTTCTTTAGGAAGATAAGATGTTCCTTGAAATATCGAAGACCCTCATTCTCAATGTAGATTGGAAAAAATTGTGATTTCACTCACTCCGAGATCAAATTTCTTATGGTCGGCATGCATGCAAGTGACGCATACACAATCTGCGAGAACTTAAGTTGCTTTTTCAGTAATATTTCTATCTTCTCGAATCTGTGTCTTGATGCGATATTTGACTGGAATTCCAATTTCTTCGATCAGGCAGTTACACTTGGCTACATATACATGAAAGTATGAAAGGAATGCATATTTTCTCAGCCTGTAATATTGATTATCTCCGTACCTGTAGTATCGCTAGATCTTGAAGATAGCTGGTGACAATGAAAGCGCAAGGGTTATTCTCACTCATGATACAGTATAGAAGATAGCGACACACTCACGTGGCAGTGCTAATAAGGGCGATAATAATCGATTTGACGGAGCGTAATAGACCTCCAGGGGTGAGAATCTGGGAAGCGAATGTCCGCACCCATAACTTGCTCCTAATAAATAGGGACTTTCGTTGTTGGGAAGGCTATCTACACTGACTACTCTGTACGGATATCGCATCGTCTCATTCTCCACTAGTGGTAAACTAGCAATCGTAACTCACCTTGCCAAGCTTGGGAGTCCATAACCCTATTGATAGTCAACCTCCCTTCTCTCAGTTTTTGTAAACCCGATTTATTTGCCTCGTTCCTTTTTCTCCACTGATCCTTATTGGTTATTTACAAACGTGGAATACAGAAGCTAGAGTCCACTACCGAGGATTTTTGAATTTTTGGCTGGCCGCAATACGCTAGTCCATTTAAGGTTTAACTGTGCACAGAACGCGTAGGGCGGGCCACGCGGTCTACCGAGCCACGCGAAAGGAGTGCGAGTGCCAAGCAATTCTACAATTGCCGAATGGCAAAATAAATCCACTTGATATAAAACTTCAGTTTTTGCTATTTTTGGAATAATTTCTGTGGCTCTCTCAAAACCGCGTCACTTTGTATACTAAGCTTGGTCAGTTGGTTTTTATCACCCTCCCAAGCGCCATTCGAACTCCACGGGTTCAATACACTTACCTGGATAACAGCGAAGTTTCAGGTCAAGTAAAGAAGAAAGGTTCATTATTGAGATCTGCGCTGAGTACCTTAGTGTTGGTGATCATGATTTATGAAACACTTTCAGAAGATTCAACCTACGAGTTGAAGGAGAACAAGATCAATAGATGACCCAAAGTCGATCTATGCCGGACCATGTAGCCTTGCTTTCTCTGTGAGATCTTCTGTTGGCGGTGCGCAGTGCGGGAAGATACAGGGTATTGTCAAATTCTTCGTGGGTTGTTCGATGTATGCTCGCTTCGAATAAGAATTCTTTGGGAACAAGGGCTCTTCATCCAGTGTTCTGCGGCGAGCATCAATACCAGCTAGCGTGCCAATTGTGACTGCCAGTGGAAGCACCAAAAGGCATACATTGACAAACGTGCCGAAGATGTACATTTTCCTGCTTTAGGTGGGGCCGGAGGGTGAGAAGACTCGAGTCTCCCGGAGGAAAAAAATATAATAAAGGCAGAGAACAAGGCTCGTGGATCCAAGTCCCTAGGTCACTGTTTCGATACAACTCAGAGACTGGGCTCTTATCAAGTAAGTACCTTAGGTGGCAACAAGCAGGGCGGGCATGCTCTGTGTGAATTGGGCGATTGAAATCATAGATAAAGAGAAAGAAAATATAGACCTGCTCGGCTAAGAGGAGCAAGCTTGATGGTTTAACAGGGAGACACCGGCGTCCCCGTCTAGCCCTTGCTAGTTCCCACGTCCTGTTCAGAAGCTACATGTTGGTTCTCTATCTTGCATTGGGGGATTCTGAATAGAGTGATGTGGGTCGAGAACGCGCAATTAAGGCAGATCAATGTCCATCGTATGGGTACCTGAAACCTCCCAACAAACCTTTCGACTATCTTATCCTTGCCCTGAAATACGTGTTTTTCCTCCCAAAGATAGTACTTTTATCACAGATTACTAAATATAGGCCATTAAAATTTAAGCCTTATTCGTCATCATCCCAGTGATTCTTTGAGCCGATGACGATTGATACCCCAATGGATCGAGAAATTCGGGCCGGTGGTTTCATCGGGGTCCATTCGGTTCATTTTACCCTTGTCTCTGATCTTCCATGGCGCGTTAGAAAGAAAAATAGTCCTTTGCTGGCTTCGCATTTTGTGCAGCTCAACATGCGCGTTAAAGCGCCCCTGCTGCTCTCTCCATCCTAAATTTTCTCGATACAATCTTGTGAAACCCGCTTTTCCTCTCAGGATGACTGAAATCACCACGGGCAGAGACGTATCTCTTGAGAATCATACTCTCGCTCATGACGAACCAAATGGCTACGAGTCAGCCGTCTCACAACGACACGAAATCTATTCAGACTTGGGCGAGTTTAATACAAGCCAAATCTCAATGGGTGCTATAGCAGCTGTGAGACCTTTCAGATCTGATCGAACGTTTTCTGGTTTCTCTGAAACGTCCAGTCGTGTGCCATCTTCCTTGACAGCTACGCCATTCGATTCTCGATCCCCATCCCCCTCTCCTTACAATGTATGTAGCTTCTTCTGATTTCCTTCTTTTCAAGTCGATGCTTGCAGCCAAAGACTAACATTCACTCTTTGCAATACAGGCTCACAGCCAACTGAGCTTGGTTCCTCTCATGAATCAGCCTGCTACACCTGGTTTTGCGAAGGAATGGGTCAAGTCTGGGTCAATTGCTCGTCTACACGATCGAGATGATGCAGATATTTGGAAGGGTTGGCGGCGACGAGTTTACCAGTTCGCTCCGTTATTCATGGTCGCCAATTCATCTTTATACGTCTTTTATCTTGCACTGCGAATCTACTGCATCATAATGGCGCAGAGAGCCGATGACATGATATTCATTGCAGCGTGGATATTTGTTGCAATCGAGCTTTGCGTCGCGGTTCCTTCCCTTTTGCAAAACGGCTGGACCGTTTTAGCATTGAAAAAAAGGGGCCGAGCGAAACTCCGTTTGGTTGGAAATGAAGTGCCAACAGTAGATGTTTTCGTGACATGCTGTGGAGAGGAAGATGAACTTGTTCTCGATACTGTCCGTGGAGCTTGTAACCAGGATTTTCCGGCTCGGCAATTTCGGGTCATTGTGCTTGATGATGGAAAATCCGCCAAACTCAAAACAAGTGTTGAGCAACTGGCATTGACGACTTATCCGAACCTATATTATGTCGCTCGGGAGAAAATACCTGGAAAGCCCCATCATTTCAAAGCCGGAAATTTGAATAATGGTCTTGAATATACAGACAAGCTGCCCGGAGGACCTGGGGAATTTATGGCTGCGTTGGATGCAGATATGGTAATCGCCCCCTCTTGTCGTCTTATTTTGCTTGGAAACAAAAATCAAGAAGCGTCGTTAAATCTTTAATACTAACTTTTTATAGATTCCAGAGCCTGACTGGCTTCGTGCTATCTTACCTCACCTCCTCGTCGATTCCAAGATGGCGCTCGCATGTCCTCCCCAGTTATTTTACAACGTTCCTGCCAGCGATCCCCTGGCACAAAGCTTAGACTTCTTTGTTCACGTTATCGAGCCGATCAAAGATGCTCTTGGTGTCGCCTGGTGTACAGGATCTGGATATATTGTCCGTCGCCAAGCGTTGGAAGATATCGGCAGGTTTCCCCTTGGTTCACTTGCTGAAGATGTCGCGACTTCTACCCTTATGCTTGGAAAGGGGTGGAAAACAGCATATATTCATGAACAGCTACAGTTTGGCACTATTCCAGAGGATTATGGTGGCCATCTCAAGCAACGTACTCGATGGGCTATTGGTACAGTTGATACTGCGTTCAAACTCAAGTTCTGCGTCTATGGTGATGCCGTTCGCCAAATGACTTTTGCACAGCGCTTTTCCGGCTTTCTCTACGCTGTTTTGAGTCTTTACACACTTGTATTAACAATTTCATTGTTCGCTGTTCCTGTGATTCTTCTATGGGGTAAGCAGCTCGTTGCTTATGCGACCGAGCAGGAGCTCCGCTGGCTGATCTGGGCTTGCTTCGCGTCGACGGTAGCGAACCGACTCTGCGAATTCACCCTATACACTCCATCCGGCTACCATACAGGTCAAAGAGGATCTCGATTCCAATTGTGGATGTCGCCTTATATTGCACTATGCATTGTTCGTTCTTTTGTCCTTCCTAGTTGGCTAGGCGGTCAAGCCCAGGCATTCAAGCCGACAGGCTCTCTTGGATCTACATTAAACGAACGGGATCCGGCTACACGAAAGAATATGTTTATGCGGCTAAGGGTGATCCTTCTCAACTATCTGGCGCTATTCCATTTTCTGTTTGTGTACACAACCCTTTGTGCCGTGGCTCTTTCCACCTACCGTTGCTTTGCATCCGAGATTGAGATGGGATTCAAAGCCGTCGTAAAATGCCTTATCACACACGCATTTTGGCCGCCCTCGGTATTCCTATTTATTTGCACATCTTTGTGGACGCCGATTTCTTATGCCATTGACCCTCCGTGCATGCCAGACCGCGAAGAATTGCTAGATCGTGATTCAAAGAGTCAGATTGCACATCCGACCCAGAAAAGCAAGGAGATTGCGTTCGGCGGCCAGGCTGCATGGTTCGAGTTTGAACACACTGTTTCTACTATCGCTACGATATTGGTGTTTTGTTTTTCATTTTATATATAATTGACAGGGGAGTCGATTGGAATATCCAAAGAAATCTTGGGTGACAATCAATCTCTCCTTTTCAAAAATGTGTTAAACCATAATATACAGTCGGTTAGTCGGTTGGTTTGTTACATTCAAGCCGGTCCCTTGCTCAAAAGCGATATTACCACTTTATATATGCTCACGTAAACAGAAGTTGATTTTTCCACTTCCTGAAGAAAACGAACTTAGGGCCTCGTCATGGTCTGCCGCTCCCCTTGCTAGGCCCCGTGGCGCGCGACTCCAAAACTGGCGTGAAACCTCAGCGAAGTCTAGAACGGCCTTGACCGTCTTCGCCCAGGAGACGGTGTCCGCTTTACCTTTCTTACCTTCTCTTAAGTCGAGACACTTCTAAATGGGCCTTCCATTTCCTTCCCTGATTCCTTCGAATTTCCCTCAAAGTTGATAGTTCACTAGCACATAAAGCCCCCTCGAGTAGGCTGCTACTAGGGTGCCGTTAATCTTCCGTCGATGAATGCCTTTTACCAGATGATCATATATCTAGTCCCACTAACTCAGGATACTAACACGTAGGGGTGTCTATGTATTAAATAGTAACCTTAACGTAATATAATATAGAGAGAAATAAACTATTGTTATAGTCTTAATATATAGAGTAAGATATAAGGATTCTTCGACTATCATATCATAATTTTATCTCCCTCAATTACTAAGTGATTTATATTTAAAGTTAGCCTACTTTTATAGATTCTAAATTCGAGGTAAGTAGAAGACTACTAACCTAAAGTATTTGTTTTCGTGATCTAAATTTTATGCTAAGTCTAATTATTTATTTTAGGGGTTTAAATCCCTAAGTATTCCAACTTCTAGTTCTACGCCCTATCCTGTAAGGGTGAATAGAAGAGTGGTTGATTCGATCTATTTATATAGACCCACTTTTGTTACGGGCCCTAAAGAGGCACAGGGACCGTACATAGCTACCTAAGGGATAAACGAGAATTAATTATCCTATAGACGCTACGGATTAGCGTTGTTACGTACGTTCCGGTATACTTAGGTATACCTAGAGGAAGCTCTAAGGTAATCTTATAAGGCCCAAAGAAACCTACCCTTACTAAGCTAGTTCGTTAACTAGTACCGACTAATTAGGGAACACAGTGGGGGCGGGGTTTACTCCAGGCCCCTAAAGTCTTCAAGAGTTTCCCATTCAACTAGAGGTACAACTTTTCCTCTTGAGACCGTTGCCTTCTGGTGCTTGTCTGCTCATTATGCATGACCGTGTTGAGCTATCTTCTTTTTTTTGCTGAAGTAATCCTCGGTGTTTTCTGCTCGCTATCTGCATTTCCCGATGCTCTACATCTTGCTGCTGCCTGCTAAAAACACCGACAGATATTCCTCGACAATGTCACTACTATCTACCACTACGTGAGTCCGAAGGCAATCCCTTGTCGACGCTATGCGCGAAAGCTTCTGGTCGATTAAGGTGGATCCCTACCCAATGAGGCTCCGACGACTCACGATTTCTTGCAAATGACCCGAAACTCTATCGTTATGGAGAAATCAGTTGGTCATTTTAATGAGACGGTCGTCGTTAAGATGATTTATAGACGTCGTGCTCGTATGTTGGCTCAATCCAGGAATTTTAATTTTTTATAACAAGCGAAACAAACAATCCCGGTGATAAGAGATTCTTCGACGGCGATCCAATAGGTCCTCCGTACTTGACGAGGTGTGAGCGTTTACAATTTATCCGAGCAGCCTACCAACTGTGGAGCCTGGTTTTGCTTGATCCTACATCAAGGGAGCTGAGAATAAGCACACTCAAGTATAAAGATGTCTACACGGTCATGGATTTGGCGCAGATTCAATTCTGGGCCGATGGGATGTTGATCTTGGACAAAGAAACCATGGATATTGAAAAGGGGGGCCAGAGACTTGTGGAACATCTTGGTTTTTATGATCTAAGAGCAGCTAGTACACACATTCTTGCAAAGTTCTATCATGAGGGGAGAAGCCATGTCTTTTGGGAAAAGGAATGTGGATGGATGGGCTGTATCTCTATTTAGGAGAATTGGATCGAAGAATTTAAAGAATCGGAGGTGGATGGGTTGAAGGGAGCTAGGGAATGTAAACCACTCTCTGAGGTTTGGTATGATACTTCTGATGAAGAGCTGATGGGGTAGTCTAATTGAGCTACAGCCTTGGAGATTTTAGTGTTAAGAACAATGATGATGCCATCAGGCCATCACGTTTTGTTATACGCAAAGCAATAGGGTTCCCAAATTTTCACGTAACTACTAAGAGTATTAATTTCTTCTAGGCTGGTCGACGAATGCCCACGGGTATAACTGCTATCTTGGTACATTTAGCGCTCTTGCTAACCTTAAAAGGTTGCATGTCTGCGTGGGCTTGTGGGGACCTTTAGTGGGTTCTTTGAGACACTTTGAAAAGACGGTTCGGTCGCAGCCTGCAGGTAACCAGTGTACATTCACGATACATGGGGAATACTCTTGTCAGCTATTGAGATTACCAGTTATTTTAACTGTACTTTTCATTGTCTCCAATAGACCTCTCTTGATACCCATGTCTACTCCGAATTTAAGTTTCGGGGTGTATACCAAGGCGCGGAGGTCGCCGAGCGCATGGTACCGAGATGGTACCAAAAGTGCATAGGATTGTACCATGGACAACAGTAAAAAGAAGGTAGGATACCTTTTCCCCTTTGCGAAAGCCTCGGTTCTGTAAAGAGATAAGCAAAAATTTAGCGTTCCCTCATCAGCCACTTAGATGGTGTGATTAGGTTGGATCTCTTATAACGCTAGCGCAGAAAGGTTTTCGAGGCTCGGATATCCCGTTTTCTGCTGTTGTTTCTTTTTTTTCCTTTCCGCCCTCTGCTTGCGTTTTGGGTAGTCAACAATAATGACTGGGTATCTTGAGACCCAGGGAGGCACAGATAAAATGGGGGGTAAACAGGTCGTGCACGACGTTGAAGATCCACCCGCAGAGTCGGTGCCCACGTTCAGGGCTGTCAGCCCCGACGATGGGCAGATCGTGACCCAACAGGAGCAACAAAATCTGATTCGAGGTCTATCGCAACGCCATGTTCAAATGATTGCGATCGCCGGTGCTATTGTAAGCAACTGCCTTCTTATTACATCGGACCAAGTTTGAGGTTGCTGACATCCGCGGGGTGATGTATAGGGAACAGGGCTGTTTCTCGGCCTCGGCGGTTCAATCGCCACGGGTGGTCCTCTAGGTGCTCTCCTTGGCTATATGTTTGTCGGAACGATCGTTTGTTCCATTCAATTTGCTCTCGGGGAGGTTTCTGCTCTGCTACCCGTGACTGGTTCATTCGTTCGTCATGCTGAGGTTCTTATCGACCCGGCTTTGGCCTTTGCGATCGGATGGAACATCGTCTACGGATGTTTCCTGAGTGTCCCCAGTGAGATCTCCGCTGCCGTAGTCCTGATCGAGTATTGGACCACCGACGTCAACCCTGCCGTGTGGGTAACTATTCTCATTGTCGTTTCCGTGGTCGTTGCCATCTCCTTCATCGGTGTTTATGGCGAGGTGGAGTTTATCTTTGCCATTTTGAAGATCCTTCTGGTCATTTTCGTGGTGATCCTGGGTCTGGTCATTGATCTAGGTGGTATCCCAGGTAAGTCTTTTGCATTCTTGTCTTCGTATTGACTCTGATACTAATCCGCACCAGGCAAGCCGCGATTGGGATTCCACTACTGGAAAAATCCAGGCCCGTTCGTTGAATACATCGCTACGGGAAATCTGGGGCGTTTCCTCGGATTCTGGGCAGTTATGACAAACGCAGTCTACTCCTTCGCTGGTGTGGAATCTCTAGCCATGGCCGCTGCGGAAACCAAGAACCCTCGTCACAACATCCCCAAGGCTTGTAAACGGGTCTTCGCACGTGTTACCATTTTCTACCTAGCAGCAGTTTTGGTGGTTGGTATGCTAGTCTCGAGCGCCGATGATAGACTCAGCGATGACTCTGGCACCGCGGCTCAGAGTCCCTTCGTGATCGCTGCTAGTGATGCTGGCATCAAAGCTATCCCTTCCATCGTCAATGCTGTCTGTCTGACATCCGCCTGGTCTGCCTCCAACCAAAGCATTCTTGCTGGAACCAGAACGCTTTATGGTCTTGCAATCAAGGGCCACGCTCCCAAGATCTTCCTCCGAACTACCAAGTGGGGAGTGCCGTACATGTGTGTGTTGCTTCAGATCGCCTTTTCTTTCCTGGCGTATATGTGTGTTTCGAACAGCGCTTTGACCGTCTTCTGGTGGTTCGTTGATCTTACTGCTGCGGGTACCTTGGTCTCTTGGATTTGTATTGCCTTGAACCATATCCGCTTGATGCAAGCGTTGAACAAACAGGGCATCTCACCGGATGCTCTGCCATGGCATAATCGGATCACAAGTCAGTATCTCTCTGCTTGGAAATATTTATCACAATTACTGACCTAGCCTAGGATACACAAGCTGGTTCGCTTTGGTCTCATGCGTCATCATTCTTCTCACGGGTGGATTTACCGTGTTCACCAAAGGCAACTGGGACCCGGCCTCTTTTGTTTCGAGCTATCTGTGAGTGTTGATCTAATTCCTTCTATTCTGTGCTCCAATGCATAGGCTAATTCTTCACTGCAGTGATATCCCGCTTGTGCTTCTTGCGTATGGAGGCTACAAGTTGATTCGTCGGACAAAGATTGTCCCTCTAGACATGGTCCCTCTGCGCCAGGCTCTTGATGAGGCCGAGAACGACCCTGAGAACGTACCTCTTAAGAAGGACGGTTTCTTATCGAAGATCAACATCTTGTGGGGCTGAGACCTTAATGAGACACGAACAAGTGCTCTATAATACAGATAATAGCATACTTAGCCACCGTATAATGTGGAATAATGACAAATTTTGTTTACTCTTTCTCGGCCGATCTGAAAGCTGACATGTTGACCTTAATGTCATCAACAAACCTTCCGCCCTTGAGTCCGAATCGTTACTCCCGACTCCCGCTGTTCGAGTTTGCAAGAGCGGGGGATAAATCCAGCTCAGTCTTTACGACTCCAATCCCGAGAGGCGCTTTAGATCTGGCACGGCTAAGATCTCAAAAAGTTCGGTTTTAAAGGTGGGGCTCCTGTCAGCGATATGCTGTGGAGCTAAATGCTGACATCGGCCCGTGGTCTTGCTTTATAGATCTAGATACGCAAGTAGGAACACAAGATAAATACTAATCAGCCTTTGATTCCGCTTTTTTCCTTTCTTTCTCAGCTTTCTAAAATATCAATACATTAAGCGCTGCCATTTCTCAGGTATGTATTCACCAAATGGCCCCCCTCCATTATACCAGAACCCTAACTTCCACAGTATCTCATACAATCCTCCCACCCAACAATGCCCGAATCGACAATCATAAAAAGCGGCCACAACCCAGACGCAAAATGTACAAAACCTACCGAAACCTTCACCGGCGACGTCTATCTTGATCCCATACACTTCGATACCGAAGCAGCAATTGCCAATGTCACATTCACCCCCTGTGCCCGAACTCACTGGCATACCCATGAGAAGGGTCAAATGATCAAAGTCGTTGCCGGCAATGGCTGGATCTGCGATAAGGGCGGTGTTCCACGGAGACTGAAGACTGGCGATGTTGTCTGGGCACCGGCTGGGACTACCCATTGGCATGGGGCTGATGAGGGTAGTATTATGACGCATTTTGTTGTTGGGCTTGGGAGGACCGTTTGGCATGAGGCTGTCAGTGATGAGGAGTATGGGAAGAAGGGTAGTAGCTAGAGAGAGATGGAATTGTTGGTCTCATTGTTTAACGAAAGTCCCTGTATAGATGGGCTTTCGGGTCTGCTTTTTTACGAAGAGGTTTTGTTTGCCCAGCACCACTATTATGTCTCCTGGAGGACCATGACTAGCTAGTCGCACCGACGGCAGGAAATAAAGCTGTGAGATTGGCAATGTATCTACACGTAATAATCTCCTATCTGCTCTGCATATACTTTTCTCAAAAAGTCTTACGGCATTCATCACTCATAACCACCAAGGGCCTAATAAGCCCCCTTCCGAGCCTGATACTTCGGCTGATCCACGGACTTAACCTCGCCCAACGAAGTGAGCACGGGAGTAGTGTTGATCAACTCGAAGCTATCCAGCTTAGCGCCAGAGTCCTGCTGAGCCCAAAGACTCAACGCAACCCAGTTGGTACCATGGTAGTTCAAGATACCCTCAGGAACAGGGAAACTAGTCTGAGGACCGATGTTGTTCACATACTTGCCGTACTGGTATCCGTTCACATACAACTGCACACGGTAATCAGCCGGGGTAGAGGTGCTATTACCAAAGTTGAAGTACAATGGGATATCGTAGCCGGAGGGCAAGTCGAGATCGAAGCTGGCACTGTAGAAGCGGATTCCTGGCTTGGTAAGACCAGTGAATGGGCTGCTAGAGTCCCACTTCTGGGTTGGTGGCTGCGGTTGGTGGAAGCCCTGGCGTTCGGCGTAAAGGCCACCCTCGTTCAGAGGACCGCGAGTAGTGTCGCGGTAGTTCTCGCCGCCCAGGTTACCGGTCAATTTCCAGGAAATGGCACTAGCTTCTTGGCCGGATAGGGAGTACCGGAGAATACCGCGGGGGTTCTTCATATCCTCTGAACCGATGGTCCAGTCCTCGTCCAGGCCCATGTTGTCAATGACCACCGTGAGGACATAGTCCTTTCCAGACTGCAGAGTGGGAAGGGTGTAGGTGGCGTTGTAGTTGGCGTCAACGCTGATTCCAGCCCAGGAGCCAAGATAGTCCTCGTTGATCCAGATCGAGTGGCCGTATGCGGTACCTCCCTGGGTCTCGATGAAGAAGGTCTTTTCCTTGCCATTAGAGGTGAAGTGACCTCGGAAGAGTAGAGCACCGGTGTGGAAGCCGTAGTCGGATGAAAACAGGGAAGTCGGGGTCTGAAGCGAGTTGGCGCTGTTGTTGGTGTAGGCATGGTCGGCAGAAACCCAGGCAGAGTCATCGTAGGAGTCCTGGACTTCGGGGAGAGTATCGATGGACTTCCACTTCAAGCTCTTGAGGCTAGGAAGTTGAACTTTGGGTGCGGTGTATGCAACGCTAGTTGACCAAATACCGTTCTTGTCGACCTTCGCTTGGGTCTTCTTGCCGTTGATGACCAGGTTCTTGGCGCCAGATGGAGCACCAACCACCTCGATCGGAGTAGTCGCGTTGAAGTCAGCCTGGATGTGCAGGTTACTACCGTCAAGGTACGCACTGCGCACGAGATAGCCAGCCTTGACAATGATGGATGAGGCAGTGGTCTCCTCGTTGCTATACCCGGGGGCTGTGCCCTTAGTGGGGAGCTGCGGCACCCAGTAGTTATAGGCAGAGTTGCGGTCTATGCATCATTTGTTAGCAAAACATTAACCGAAGAAATTCTCAGTTTGACTTACCAAGGAGGAAGACCTTCAAGTTTCCAACCTGAACGATGCGACGAGTAGTCGAGACATCCCAGGCGACAACAAGTGCCTTGCCGACCTTCTTGGACGAAATACCCGAAGAAGATCCCTCGACAACAGAGCTGGTCGATCCGCCAGAGACTGCGAACTCATGGTGCTCACCAGGGCCACCGTACAGAACAAGGACCTTCTCATTGTTGAACTTCTTCCAGGTGAAGACCTCAGCAGTAGAGTAGAGGATGTTGGTGCCGGCCACGTCATAGTCAGTAACGTGAATCTTAGAGTCACGACCGCTAAGGGTAAGGCTGCCACCGAGTTGAGGAATTGTCAGTTTACCAGAGCTGGTGGGGACGGTGAGCTTGTAATCGACTGAAGCCTGGCTAGAGTAATCGGAGTGTCGGATCACAAAGAACGAGGAAGCAGAGCTGTTGCTCCCAAGCAGAGGAGTCACAGTCAGATCGGCAGTGTTGGTATACGTGGAGGTAGTCAGGTTCCCAGGGTTAGCCACAAGATAAGCCGGAGACACTTTGGCAAAGTTTCCGAGCAGCTTCAGCTCGCTGTACTTCTCACGAGTGATGTTACGCGACTCGGAGATAGCGGAGCCATAGTCATAAGAGGTGTAGCCACCAGGGTGGCCCAGGTTACCCCAGTTGGTACCACCGAAGATCTGCAAATCATTAGACTCCTGAATTGTCAATATGATGGTTCGAAACATACCATGTACAGGTTCAGGAAGGCGACACCAAAGCTGAAATCGTTCTTGTAGAACACTCTCTCGAACTCGTGGTTCAAAAGAGCAGCACACTTTGCGAAACCAACTCCACCCCATGGGTCGAACGCGCCACCTTGGAACTAGGAGGCGTTAGTATGATACTCCATAGAGGATGAAAATGGCTAAACATACCTCAACCAGGGAGTACGGGGTACTAGGGCTCTGCTCTTCGTGGCTGGTGAAGAAGTAAGTGGGCAGATTACCACTGGGCCAAGTAGACGGATTGGCGCAATCGAAGCCTAGAGGATAGCTGTCGTGGCCGTAAATGTCGACCTCGCCCTCGCCAGTTCCGGGGGCATTGTGGCCAGCGGCCCAAGCATCGTTGCTGATGAAAGGGACGACGATACCAGCCTCACGGGCATGATCCTCAATGTATTGCATGTAGGAGCCGTCCGGGAAGTCATCGTAGCCACAGCAAGCACCGGAGTACTCGTTCTCGGGCTGGTATAGAATGACCGGACCACCATTGGTGATCTGTGCCTTGGCAATGGTGGCAGCAATGTTGGAGGCGTAGCTAAGAAAAGTTGTCAGAATTTACAAAGCCAATCATGCTCGCAATAAGGGACAATATCCATACTTATCGGTCGACTTCAAGTAGTCCTCATCGCTAGTGCGCAGGATGCCATTGACTCGCTGCAGCCAGCCAGGGAAGCCACCACCAGAGACCTCAGCATTGATATAAGGACCAGGACGGGCCAGCAAGTAGATACCGGCCTCCTTGGCTGCATCGAAGAAGGGCTGAAGGTCAAAGATTCCCTCGGCAGAGTAGTGACCCGGGTTTCCTTCCAACAAAGCCCAGTCGATGTAAAACGACACGCAATTGAATCCGAGGGCCTTGACCTTCTCAAAGATATCAATGTATAGGGAGGCCACGGGCAGACTAGATAGTTCTGTTAGAAAAGATTTTCAAGTCTCGAGGATGCTTTGAAACAATTGACAACATACCGATACGGGTGAACTTCACCGCTGAAAATCATCAATCGCTCGCCATTGATGAAGATCGAGTGCTCGTCCCAAGTAACCTACAGTCATACTTTATTAGCATTGCATCACGAGTCAGCATCGCATTAGAGACTCGAAACATACATATTTCTGCAGAAGAGCCCGTTTCGCAGGATCCGCATGCTCCCGGATGGTAAAGCCATCCAACTTATGGCTCAGAGCAGCACCAGCCGCCTGCGCAGCCAAAGCTGCGACGATCCAAGAAGTGAAAGGCTTCATGGTAAGCAAAGGCGACGATAAAAAGAATAGACGCGACCTCTGCTTTCGGAGAAGCTAATAAGTCGAATGTAGCTTTTCAGCTTCAGCGGGCTTGCATTTCACACCCTGCAAGGGATCGGCGGGCCTTCATATACAATTGTCGAGCGACGATCGACAAGCGAATCACGCTTGCTGCGGTGTCAATGCCGTGTACTCCGTCACTGCCGTACTCGCATCCTTATTCTGCACGTTACTCTCGAGCATTGGACCTCGAGGACTTGGGCCTTGGGCTAGAGCGAGATTGCAGTTGCAACCCCTCTTTCGGCAATCTCGTCATTCCATCATCGACAGGGGCATCAAGGCGGGGCGGTTGACCCTCATGGCTGGGAATGTGTGCATGGACAGTTGCAGCAGAGCACAACGTCGCAGACGAGTGGAGAGGCCACTTGTACTCGACAGGAAATTGAACCGATGATCCCCCAGTCGTGCATCTCTAATCCTGGTTTGCGGGGGTTCCACCGCCGCAATTTTTCCGCATATCGCAAGGTCACAAATAGAGGACGGTGGATTCGAGTCTCTTTTCAAGACAGGATGAGGCACTTTCCCCTGCGGAGAGTTAATTGATCGACAGGACTGCTTCATATTTGGGAGGTTGGTTGTGCACAGAAGATGGAGGAGGCGAAGAAGACTCGGGAGTCGGGAGAATCAGCGGGATGAAGCTTGTCCGTCACAACTTTGAACTCAAAATAACAGACCAGGACTTCAAGAAAAAAAAAGTACTTTGTAACTTATAGATTGGTGTTTACTATTTACAACTCGGATATTTCGGGTTATCCTCCTCCGTATCCGTGTTCTTTCGAGAATTGCCATCCTAGATGAAATTAGATCCTCAACGCTCGTCATTTCATTTAAATTGAAGACTAGTGCTGCGGGGGAAAAAGAGACCAGCTCGAATTTACCCGGTCTATTCTAAATACCGATGATTCTCCGAGGACATCTTACGATACAGTCATGTCCACCAAGCTTTCGGGTATTTCTGGCTTTCTTCTTGGGGTAGACCCTTGCACCAGGAACCGGCACGGACTACGGACTTAAGACTTTCAAGACTCATATACGAGGTAAGCCCTAAGCCTAGAAAGCATCTCATCCAAACTTAATCACGAACTCACTCTCTCTACTGTAAAAAGGATAAATCTCCATGGTATTGCTTTTTAGTACATTCGGTGAGCTCGCTCGCTCCCTGGCAAAAGAATCATGCAAACAAAAGTACTGGAAAATCAATGGTTCCGGCCGTTTTTCAAAACTAGATCCGCCTCCTAGACAGCTGAGTTGAATCGGTCCTCCTCATCGCCGGCCTTGGTATAGGTCTCCCGCGTATCCACCTGTTCTTGCTCGTCTTGACCCAGAGCAAGATTCTCCTTCTTCAGAGCATCTTCCTCGATCGCCGCAGGAGGATCGATAACATCGACGTCCTCGACGACAGGCTCAGCCTGTCTTTGCGAGGCCTTCTGGTTCTTCATAGAGTTGTTGTTGACGGGCGTGGAGTCGTTGAAGATACGGAGGAGCATGGCGCGGCGCTCTTCCTTGGGAAGCATGAGGTTGATAGAGTGCAGAGAACGCCAGAGGGGCAGGACCATGCGCTCGCTATAGCAAATAGGTTAGAATATAAGATCACGATATGTGTAGATAATAAGAGGTTGTAGGGGGAACATACGTAAGGCCATCATCCTTGCCACTGGGCTCGATGCGCAAGATACTGCAGCCCATGGGAATATCCTTCACGCGCTCACCAATCTCATCGAGCTGCTTCCAGCCATTGTCATTGACCTTCGGGAACATCTCAATGAGCAAACGACGCAGGGTCTCCCGCTGGGTCAAGGTGACGGTACGGACATCACCCAGCCAAGGCTCGATGATCTTCAGACCATCGGTCTGGATACGCCAGCGGCAGACGTTCTCCCGCTGAGCATCCTGCTTCACGAACATCTTAACACCGCAGTGGACGAACTTCATGCCGGAGCGCTCGTTCATGACAAGAATGTCCCGAGCCAGAGCGCTGGTGTAGTAAACAGTTCGCGTGGGCTGGCCCTCAGCATTACGAACCATCCATCGGTCACGAGGGAAGCGTTCTGAGAGCTCAAAGAAGTCGTAAACTGGCACCAGCTCTGGGTGGTTGGGGTCCAGATACTTGTACGGCTCTTCTTGAACAGCCTTCTTCTTGAAGCCCTGGGTCACTGGGCCTGGACCAGTGGGTGCGGGGGTAACATCAGTCGAAGTTTGAATGCTTTCGACTTCAACTGTCGGTGCAGGACGGTGGATCGGACGATCGCCGACCAGAACCTCACTGCCATTATCAAGCTTGGTCCTCTTAGCAGGAAGCTCCTCATCCAGGTCATCACCTTCGCGCTTAGCGGGCGAGGCTGGCTCTGAAGCGTCAAGAGTCACCGAGTACGGGGGCTGGTTGGAAGCCTCTGCGACCGTTGCGTTCTTAGCAATCTCAGCCTCGACCTCCGCATCAGCAGGGACAAGGTCGTCCAGAGAGTCCAACTTCTGGTAAGGCTCGCCGTTCTCGTTGTTGCGCGAGTCAAGCTCGGCAGCAAGAGCTGCAACGGTTCCCTTTGATAGGAGCGGAATAACGCTGGCCGAGTTCTCAGGCTTGGCCTTGATCTCGGAGGTCTTCTCAAGGACAGTAATGAAGAAACCACCAGTATCCTGGAGGTGAGGGTAAACACGCATGCAGCGCTCGAGTGGCAGGTTGGCAGTCTCTCCGGTAGGAGGGAACATGCCCTCAGCCAGGCGGGCGAGGCCGTTGCTGGTAGACTCCTGCTCTCTCTGCTCCTTAACGTCCTGCCAGTTGGACCAGATGCGGCCCTCGCGGTCCATCACCTTCCAGCTCTTCAGGCCAGGCCGACGCTTCAGACCGGTCAGCTCCTCGCTGCAGTCAATGATCTTCACATTGGCAGCACCACCGCAGCGCTCAATTGCGCTAGCAATGACAGCCTCGTTCTCAACAGGATTCATACTGCAAGTAGAGTAGACAACACGTCCACCAACCTTGAGCATCTGCAAAGCGCGAACCAGAATGCGAGCCTGGGTGGTGTGCAGACCCAGAGCACTGGTCGGGCTCCAATCCTTCCACACGCCAATGTTCTTGCGAGCAGTACCGTCGCCAGAGCAAGGCACATCGGCAAGAATGCGATCGAACTTCAGGTATCGGTTAAGAGGGCGCGCGCCCTCGGGAACGGGGAGAGGAGGAAGCTTGATAGATGGGTACATAGTAGCATCGTGGTTCGTCACGATAAGGTTGGGCGAGCTCAGACGCTTCATCTGGTGAATCAAGAGATGCGCGCGCTTGTAGTCACTGTCGTTGGCGATCAACAGACCAGTAGTACGACCATCATCGTTCAAGCCCTCGGGGCCAAGCGGCTCCGGCCCAGCATTGCCGTCCTTGACCTGCTTAGCGGCCTCCAGAATAGTATCCTCTTCGCCGGCATGGAGAGCCTCCATAAGCTGTGCAGACTTGCTTCCCGGGGCAGCGCACATATCCAGAACGGTCATTCCAGGGCGAATATCGATGAGGAGAGGAGGAATCATGCTGACCAGCTCCTGGCGACTGATGTTTCCGACTTCGGTCTCGGCAACGAGGAACTTTTGGAAAGAAGCGAAAGGCGCATGGCGACGAATAACCTGCTTGGGAGTGGTCATCGACCAAGCAAGCTGGTCAGGGTACCAGGACACGGGCTTGGGCGGCTCGACCGGCTGGCCCTCGTACTCAATGGAGGTAATTTCGGGGACATAGAAGTTCTTCAGGCGCTCCTGGACAGCAAGCGCATGACTTGGAGAAGTAAATGTCAGTATACAATGCCTTCCAAGACCAGATGCAGACTCGAAAAAAGCGCAGACAAACTGCGCAATCCAGAATCAAAACTCACCCACGCGAGCCAGTGAAGCGGAAGCTGTTGGGCAGATCTCTCTTGATAGCGTTCCAGAACTCCTCCTTCTCCTCCTCCGGAATGAATTCGGGCTCATTGTAGTATCTCTCAAGCTTCTCGTTGGTACGGCTGATCTCAGACCAATTGGTGGAGCGCTCTGCGCGGTGGCCGCCGCCACCTTTGCCGCCACGGTTTCCCTATAAGTACGACAGATATTAGCCTGACGAACATATCTTTAGGAGCAGATTGAAGCTTATGCTCACCTTTCTGCCGCCTCGTTTGCCCATTTTGAAGGTAACTTTTGCTTGGGTTGTCGTCCAGAATCCGCCTTCAAAAAAAAGACGGATAGAGCGCCAGATTATCTAATCACTGCCGTGGGGCGATCCCAGCTTCTGCTGCTCGTCACCGCTTTTGATACCAGACCAAAGAGGCAAGTCTCGAGAACGGGCATCCGATCCCAAGTCCGCTTAGGATGATGGCAGATAGGGCAATCATAGCTAGGAAGATGTACTTGGAACTTAGATATTAGCGATACTATACATATTTTAAGAGTAATATATCCAAAATCTGTACAAGCCATTGTTACTCGAAATTAGGACAAAAGAAACAAAGGAGATCGATTGGTCTGCCACAATCCGGGCGACAGACTATATAGTCTACTATGGCAAACCATTAACTGCTATTTCACACACAAGTCAGGGTCTAAACAGCAACCCAAGGCAATGATTGATAATACATTCAAACAAACACCCCCATCCCAAGCCCGAAGAATCCAGGATGGTTGTCTTTTAATCGCAATTGGAGACACGAGGGTAAATTTAAGACAGGTTGCGAGACATGTCGTTGCGGAGACGCTGGTAGTCGAGGATACCCTCGATGCTGCCAACGGCGCTCATGGCAAGGTCCTGGTCCCACAGCTTGCGGTTGGCGAAGTCCATAACGTCCTTCTCGGTGATGGCACCAACAACACGCTCGATATCCTCGGGGCTGAGACGGCGGCCGGTGGTGACGATCTGGCGGCCAATATCCTCAGCAACGGCGGTGGTGCCGTCGAGAGACAGGAGGATGGAAGCCTTGAGCTGGGCCTTGGCGCGCTCAACCTCGGCGGAGGAGACGTCGCGGCAGAGACGAGACCACTCGCGGAGGGTGAAGTGGATCAGGTCATCGAGGGAGGTCAGGTTCTCGGAGACAAGGTAGATACCCCAGAGACTGTGGAACAAAATGATGTTAGTAAAGAACTCGCCATTGACCTTGTGAAAAGGGAGGACTGCCGAAGAATGGGGGACTAATAATGCGGCTAGTACAGGAAACTCACCCAGTGTCGCTGTAGCTAGTGGAGAAGCTCATGAAGCTGTTGGCGAGGTGGTGGTGGCTGACGTGGGAGCTGAGCTTGCTGCCGAGGAAAGGAGACTGGCCCATGGCACGGTCCCAGTTGCCGACGATGGCCTGGGCAACGAGGGCAGTGAAGTAGTCGTCGTCCTTCCAGCTGACACCCTCAACGGCAAGAGCGATGTGGGCGGAGGGGATGGTGTCGTCACGGAGACGAACCTCAGAGCCGATGAACTCGGGGGTGCGCTTCTGCTCAGCAGTAAGGGCGAGGGCGGCGGAGGTAGGGGGCTTGCTGGGGAGGCCACCGAAGTGCTCCTCGGCCAGGCGAACGAGCTGCTCGTGGGGGACACCACCGGCACCAACGAGGACCATGCGGTCGGCAGTGTAGTTGGTCTTGATGTAGTCGGTCAGGTTCTCACGGGTGATGGTCTGGATGTTCTCCTTGGGGCCGAGGATGGTGCGACCGAGGGGCTGGCCCTGGTAAGCGGTAGCGTGCAGGTGGTCGAAGACGACCTCCTCAAGCTGCTTGTCAACCTCCTCCTGCTCGCGCAGGATCACATCACGCTCACGCTCGATGGCAGCGGGCTCGAGCTTGGAGTTCTGGAGGATATCGGAGAGGATGTCGACGGCCTTGGGGACATCGTTGTTGAAAGCCTTGGCGTAGTAGACGGTGTTCTCGCGCTGTTAATCTCAAAGTCAGTACGATTCCGCGCTTGAAATGGGTTGGCATCAGGTTTTCCGGGCGTACCGAGGTGTAGGCGTTCAGGTGAGCACCCATGTTCTCAATCTCCAACTCCAATTGGTGCTGGGAGCGCTTGTTGGTGCCCTAGAAACTGTTGTCAGAGGTATTTCGTGCGAATTGTGATCAATGAGGTCGAACCTTGAAGGCAAGGTGCTCGAGGAAGTGCGCAGTGCCGTTGGTCTTGTCAGTCTCTGACCGGGAACCGGCATCGATCCACACGCCGACGGTGGAAGTCTGAGCCCATGGCGAGTAGTCGGTGGCAATCTAAAAACACATATCAGCGATGATGCGGTGCCATTGATCGAGTATGGATGCGTGACGTACGGTGAACCCGTTGGAGAGGGTGGTGGACTGGGTGGTGGATGGCAGCGCAACGGGCGAGGCAAAGCCACGCTTCACGGGCTGGATGGACTTGAGAGCCGCACGGCTCCGGAGAGCCTGGTTAAGGTTGAGAGCCAAGCGGCGGGAAGCCATTGCGGACAGGTAGAATGGGTGGGAGGGGGGGAAGGGGGATGGAGAAAAGAGCTGGAGTCGGCCCTGAGGTTGAAGTTCGGAAGTCAAATTGTTCGCCCAGCTCGTCAGCCAATCACATGACCCGCTTTTCCAAACCGCCCTTCCCATCCCGATTACTTCCTTGCCCGCTACTATGCCTGGGTTTATGGGTGACGTTGGGAGAATTACAGTCGACGGTCTTTTATTATACACCAATTTACGTGTTTTGGGGAACTCACATAGTCCATTATTTTTTGTCCTACTAAATTATCCGACAAAACCATAACGATCGTGTCCAATTTGATCCATTGATTGGCTCCGAAGTCGCCCTACTCTGCTCCGCCCCGTCTATCATACAAATTTACTCGCAAACTGCTTAATATTCTCCGTCATAGAAATGTCCGCATGGAAACCCAACTTGAATGCGCGATCAGTGGAGAATTGAGGAGTCCACGACTGCACAATCTTGTCCGTGGCAGCATCATACTTCTCCTCAACGAGGGCCCGTCGCTCCTTACCACCAATTTCCTCAAGCGCATCCAGCATTTCCTGTACGCTAACCTTGAGGCCGGGCAAATTGACTGATCGCGACTCGCCAAATGCCTCCTTGGGCACGGTACGCGCGTGGATCAGGTTCTTGATAATGGTGTGTGGCGAGCAGATCCACATCTCGGTCTCCTTGGCTACTGGCAGGATCGCCTTCTTCCCGTGGAAGGGCTCTCGAATGATATCGCTAGCGAAGCTGCTGGCAGCCTGTGTGGGCTTTCCAGCTCGGACAGTCACAGTAGGGAGTCGCACGCTGCGTCCGTCCAAGAATCCGCGACGAGAGTAGTCCGTCACCAGGGTCTCGATGATGAGCTTTTGTGATCCGTAGGAGGACGAAGGGACAGGCGGGAAGTTGGTCTCGTCAATGATGAAGCCCGGAGGTGCTAGGCCGTAGACTGCCAATGAAGAGGTGAAGACCACCTTGACGCCCGGCATCGTCACACGTAGTCGGTCCAAAATATAACGTGTTGAGTCAAGGTTGACTTTAATGCCCAGTTCGAAGTTTGCCTCGGAGCCACTGGACATGATTCCATGCAAGATATAAACCGTCTCGTAGGGTTGGGAGGCATTGATCAGCTCGTCCACCTCCTTCGTCGAGGTTAGGTCGGCGCGAACACAAGTCAGACGGTTGGCGTACTGTGTCGCGGACTCGGGGACTGTTGGCTCGACGACATCGGTGATAGTAACAGTGGTTGAAGCTGGGGTAGTTGCAAGAAGACCAGCGGCCAGCTCTTGGCCAACGTAGCCTCCTGCACCAGTGATAAGAATCGACATGTTCGATGCGATGCGAGGCGATAGGTCTGAAAACGGTGTGGGGTATCAAGAGAAGTATAAGATGTAATTAATTAACAGGACTAATGCAGTATGAATCATGAAGTAAAGTCGCTGTCCAACCTGGCGGTCTTGCTGGCAACCTTATATAGTCGCTGGCATCAATAACCCCGCGGGGCTGTAGCGGAGTGCTTTCCTCCCCCACGCTCCGTCATCCATGGCCCCGATGTCAAGAGATTCATCCCACCAATGAGCAACATTTCCTGTTGATGGTAGCCCCTTAAACAATCCCCCACGCAACATTTCCGAGTCATTTGGGTGGGCAGAATAGTCGGCTTTTGCGTCTCGGTGAGAAATCCGATACCCGAACCAAGCGGGCTGTCGTAGAATATCGCGGGGCAAGTCCGAGATCGATGAGAACACCCACGGTGAGCAAGCCATGCGTCCATGGGAGGTAAAGCTTTATATCAGAAATTATTCATCTGTGGACTCAAGAACATTTAGACTCATATTGTATACTTTAAGTGCTGGATTATTGTCGATGGTCATAAATTTCAAAACCTAGAGCAAGGAAGATGGTACATAATTGATTAATTAGAAGCAAAGGACAACCAAAAAAAATAATAAAATTAAGGATATTGACAGGCGGATTAGCAGTGGACTTGTTAGATACGAGCATCGTGATGAAGTTCATAAAAGCCGTAGGATGGAGCATCGAGCTTCGATGAGAGGTAGTATGGTAGATAGAGGTTGAGGTCGATTCATGGAGGTGGAGTTTTAATTTTTAGAAGAACTTTTGGTGGAATTTTGGAATACTCTACTCTTAGAGTAACTCCCTTCACTTCTCAAGGAAGTCTAGATTAGGAGACAACATATTAGAAGTGAAACCGAGAGAGAAAATGTAGGAAGAAGCAAAGCAACAGTTGCTATAAGACCTCTACGAAATCTCGACCACAACGAACAGGTAGAGTACAGGTTCGAGCCAGATTGATACACTAGCCAACACTGGCCCTTTCTATCTACAATTCTACATGAGAACAAATCATTTCAGTACGTGCATTTTCCCAGAAAATTGAGACCTATTTTGTGACGCAAGCAATCGTACATGGCAGAGACAATCAAGTCCCAACGAAAAAGAGAAGCATTGGATACATCGCGGAACACAAGACGCCTGAGAGGAAGTGAAATGGAACCAGAAAAAGAAGACATGAGAAAAAAAAGCGAGAAGATTAGGACACCCCTTTTATGTAGAACGAGCATAGATACCACCAACAATGCAGTGATCACGCTCGAAGGGCTCCAGAGTCAGCTGCTCCTTGGGCTTGATCTTCTCCTCACGCATCTTCTGGACCTCACGGGTGAACACAACCTCAGCAGCGGCCGTGGAGTCGATACAGCTGGCCTTGATGGAGATCAGGACACCACCGCCCTCCTTGAGGAACATGTGAGCGTTCAGACCGACAATACGGGCCTGGTCAGGCTGGGCAACGTCGGCAAAGATGACATCGACCATGGGGACGAGCATGCGGTAGCGGAGAGGGTGACGGGCATCCTCAACGATGGGGATAACGTTGGTACGGTGAGTAGCCATGCCGATCAGGTCACGGCCGGAACGGTGGGAGAACTCAACGGCGTAGACGTTACCGGTGGGGCCGACGATATCAGCAACGTGGGAAACGGAGGTACCGCTGGCACCACCGATGTAGAGGACCTTGGAACCGGGCTTCATGTAGATGTTGTCCAGACCACCCAGAATACCGGCAGCCAGCTTGGAACGGAAGGGGTTCCAGACACGGTACTCAGTCTTGGTGACAACGCCATCATCACCGGCGGGGGACTCGACGGAGATGCGCTTCTCGCCGTAAACAGCCTCACCAGGGGTCAGGTTCTTGGTGACGAGCAGATCCTCCTTACCACCACGGGCAACGAAGACACCGGCGTGACGGTGGTTCTCCTATTTGAGAGGGAAAAGTTGCGGTCAGTGATTGAAAATCTTAAAAGGACTCTGCAAATCTGCCTTTTGGAAATACTCACAATGATAACCTTAGCACCACCACGGGCACCAGCGGCACCACCACGGCCTCCGCGAGGACCGCCGCGACCTCCACGGGGGCCACCACGACCTCCACGGCCAGGAGGACCGCCACGACCACCTCCACCACGGCCACGGCCACCACCGAAGCCACCGCCGCGACCACCACCAAAGCCGCCTGGAAAAAGAGAAGAATCCCGGTCAGCAAACTGGACATATATAGTAGGGAACAGACAAGGCACTTGGGCAGGCAAACGGAACAAGCATGAAACGCAAAGTCTCATCTCTGATTGCCCACCCATGCAGACATGTCGGTGACTTCGAATGAGCTTTGAGCACTAACCACGACCGCCGGCACCACCACGAGGAGCGCCGCCACGACCACCGCGGGGAGGACCACCGCGACCACGAGGAGTGAAGGCCATTATTGGGAGTTGTGAAGGAAAATTCCGAAGGGAAAAGGGTGTCGAAAGAGGTTGGAGTCGAGCTACAAAGTGCTCAGACCGAGTGCGAATGAAATTTGATGGGAGATCGGCCTCAAAAGGAAGAGTCGATCGAAATTGAGCAACAAGGACACAGTAATTGAAGTTACTGAGTCAAGCAGCTGGTGAAAAATTGACCGTGAGTGTTCGATCGCGTGCGGGTCAAAGCCGGTGCTGCTCGTTGATCGGTCGAGATTTTTTTGCGCCTGCTGGATCTTTCAGAAAATCAGAACTACGCTAGTCCATTTTGCGTTAGCGTGAGATGGCTGCTGGTGGCACGTGACATGGCTGTTTGCGCTCCTAAAAAGCGAGATCACGTGGTGTGGATGAGCCCTGCAGAGGCTGATGGCGTTGATGGTACAAGCGCAACGAGCTCTCGAGGGGGAGGTCGGTTGGTATAAGAGGGACAGGGAAAGATATACACCTTATACTCCTTCATTAACGCCATAGTCATCAAAGTGTAAATCTTTGAGGCTGGAAATAAATACTAATATATGGACCAGCCTAGTAATTCCTTGACAGGTATAACCACCCCGATCCGCCACCTTGTCCTATGTACAAACAAAATTCAAAGCCCATTCAACTCCCAAAGAAGTAGTAGTTTGCAGAATACTCGATCTCAAACGAAGATGGCATGTCTGTGCAATCGTCGGGTGGAGAGCCCGAAGCTGTGTCCACCCTATAGACGCCCTTGTATTTGCCAACAGTGCCATCAATGGTTGACAAGTACAGCCAAGGAACCGCACCATATTTGCCCTGAACAGCAGTGTCGGGGGCATTGATTTGGCCACCCTTCTTGGTCATGGCAATACCGAACTGCTGGGTGGCTGTGAGGTCAAGGTTGAACTCGGGAGTCGCACCAGTAAAGAAGTGATGGCCCATTAAGTCGAGGTTGGCTGGTGGGAGGGTGGCATACTCGTTGGTAGGCAGGGAAATCTTGAGGGCAATGTTGGGAAGGGACTCCAGGATATCCGGATAGTTGGCAGCCAAGCATGTCGCATTGTACAGGTTGGCGACTGCACCGATAGCCGTGGGAGTAGACGCAGATGTAGAGTCGGCACACGTGTAGTTCTATGAAAACCAGTTAGTCCTCCATATCTTTCAATCTAACAACGGGGGATACTGGTCAAAGCATACCTGCGTTCCTCTTCCAAGAGCCACATACATCGGGACCGTTTGGTTGGGAGCCGGTAGACCCAAGGCGAACGAGGGCAATTTGATCTTGGATGTATCACATGTTGCTGACGGAGTCGTGTCTTTTCTCACGCGACTGATATACTGGCTGACTTTGGCATAAAAGTCCGAAAGCTCGTCGGAGAAGTCATAGGCATCGTCGAAGTAGTTCGCAGGGGCAGCCAATGACACTGTCGCCAGCGAGAGGAGAATCGGTGCGAGACGCATGACTATATGTCTCTTGTATATCAAGACGGGAGGAGCAGTTGAGTGGAGATAGATGGGTGGTGAGCTTTCGTCGAGGAGGGTTTAAAAAAAGGTAGGTAGGAATTAAACAAAGGAAGCCCTATAGCAGCACCAGGCCGGCAGTCAGGCGAAACACACAAAGACTAGGAACAAGAAAGAAAAGGAACGACAACTGGGAGAGTAAGAGGGATTGACATGAAAAGATGATGAATTCGGCAGGCGAGGGTACATATAGAGTCGGCTTTGATTACAATAATCTTCGCTTCGGCACGCAGATCGCAAAGATAGTAACACCCGTCTAACTCGAAACAAATGGGCCCAAGTCTATAAAAAAACAAAAAGGAAATCAAATGCAGGCTGCAGGTACTAGCAGGGATCAGAAGGAGGACTGGGCCCATTCATTGGGCCGGGGAGGCGCCGAGGGCTTTTCTGGCCAGCCTCTGCGCGACGCCATTCGTGGTTGAGCTCAAACAACTTTGGCTACACCGAGATTGCAACGCGCTAAGCAAAACACCCAGTCTTTGACTGGGCGGCAAGGTGAAGGAGCTTTTCCGGTTTGCCAGGACGAAACGGAGGCCAAAGCGATGGGAGAGGGGAAGGGGAGCCAGATGCGATCCAGGGAATTCTCCGGTCAGGGCTATTAATAAATCAAGACTCCTCTTGGAGAGGCTCACTATGTGTGTGATGGGCGGTTGGATATGCAGTGTGATTGCTCCGTTCGGGTTAGTGTGCAGACTTGAAGGCTCAAGGATGCCCTCCCCTATGAGACCAGGGCGGTTGGGAGGGATCTGGCTTGTTTAGCAATGCTAGTCTTATTGGATGCAGCTGAAGCAGTAGCTGTCACGGAAAAATAAAAATGACATTCTTCAGGCAAGTATTGAATCTTGAATCTTCAAAGAGCCCAGCCATCTGCGGCGGGGGGAGGTTGGGCGGGGCTGGTCGAAGGAAAAGAGGGGGCTGACTCTCTCCGCAATGTGGCTTTCATTTGCAACCTCATGGGCGCGTACGAGGACGGAGTAGTAGTCAGCACTTATCTTAACTAGTTAGTTCTGAACCCATTTGATTACTTATGAAGCCGCCACAATTAGGTAGCTGTCTTTATTTAGAGTGACCCACTCAACGTCGAAGCCAAGTTGGTTTACCCGATCGAAGATATGAATAGCCGGGAGATATATAGAATATAGATGGATGTGGAGACTAATAGTCTTTGCGTAGGCAACCTTGGAATCACGCATGCTTAGATTGAAAGAGAACCAGACAATTGATTGATCCAGTAATGCTCTATGTTCTATCTATCGGCTATGCTCATCCGATACTAACCCAAGCTCATCCTGTTACTGCTACGGGTACTCGGTAGCTATTTTGGTACATCAATCTTAGTACGTCTACACTCAATGTCCAGCTCCGACTTACATGGGTATCTTTCCTGTCCATTCTGGCATTTTCAGGGATTTGATTTGTGGAAACCGTCCTTCCTGGCTCTGTTTTTGGCACAATAGATAGGTCAAGACAGATGGCCACAGACCTCTTCTTGGTTGATACTTTAACATGATAGGTGAAGAAAGATTAGTCATTGCTGCCATAATATGGTAATTTTGAATCATAGTGGGTGCTTGAGAACTTGGTACTTGAAAGCATGGAGCCTTACCCAGAAATCAAGGAAAGGATAGAGCATTGGCTCCAGTATGTCCATGTTTAACTTGTATTTCCGAGGATATTCCAAAATTGGACTAGAAAGACATCCACAAAAGAAGTCAAGACACAAGCAAACGACATTAATAGCCTTCTTAGTCAGAGCATGTGCAATTTTCGAAGGCGCTACTGCATTATCAAATAGGACGGAGAGAAAGGACAGATAGAACCGAGACCTACCTTGTCAGTTAGTTCCAAGGAGACGACGCCATAATCAAGTTAGCCTTGTTCTCATGTTGCTACTAGCTTCAAAGTCCTGCAGGGATAGTCCTCTTTTCTATTCTGGGTGCCTCCTCCCCGTTCGACCTCCTAGTTCAGAGTGTGATGCATGAGCACGCCAACGGATTTACTAAAATCTCTATCACACATCTTAATTTATCTACAGACCCCGCTTCCTTCATCACTTGACTAGCCAAAGACTGCTAGACTGCTCATTCAAATGACAAGAATAGATACCAAAGTTCATTTCCGATGTCCTTAATTGACTGTACAATGGCTGACTAGGAGCCCATGAAACAACAAAGCATGCAGCAAGTATCAATTGTGGGCCATCACTGCCAGAGGAGAGGCCCGTTCACCCAAGAAACGCCAGAATCGATGGTCAGTCGGGAGAAAAAAACAGTCCGACAAACGAAATTAGAAACATGATAACGCCAGGACCCTCGCTGTTCAAACATAACAAGTATTCTTCATCTCAACAATGGTGGCAAAGGGCAGGTGATGGTCACATCACATATCCTACTCAATCATCAGACTCCGACAAGACGTTTCAGCTAGCTTGATTGAAGCCTTCTTGCTGCCAATCGTCCCCATGAAGCTGACCACCACCACTGCCACTGCTGCCAAACCCGGCTCCTCCGCTGCTGCCATATGCAGCAGCGGCGGCACTGCCAACGGCGCTCATGGCACTGTGCTTCTCAATCTCTGTCGTACTCATCATGTACAGAATAACGAAAAGGAGAATGTGCAGAGCGAAGCAGTAGCCCGCAAATAGATTTCGGCTAGTCCGGTTCGCCAGGATTATGCGGGTGAGCGAGAACACGATCCGCTCTGGCAGGGTCATACGCTTGTAAGCACGGGTGGATTCACGACCCCGGAATGCAGCAAAGGGTGAAATGCGGGCCTCGTATGCTGATTGGTACCGGTCCGGCGCATCCCCAGAAGCATAGATGGATGCCGAGCTGGGGGCATTGGCAAACGAGGAGGCTGACGTAGATGCCCCTTGGCCTCGGCTATACGTGGAGACGTAGCGAGTCTTCTCATAGAGACTCAAGTTATCCTTCTGGAGAGTTGAAACTTCCTGCCGAAGAGACTTGACAGTGCTATACATCTTAGAGAGCTCTTCCTCGAGCTCGGCATTCTTCTTCTTGAAACGGTCGCGCTGGGCCTGGATCATGGGCAGAAGGCCCGAACCGCCCCCGACTGCCTCTCCGGCACGAATGGCTTCCATAGTATTGGCGGAAGCGCTATTCTGGTCAAAGCCAGAAATTATGGAAGAAGTGGGAGATACTGCCCCGCTTCGTCGAGAGGAGTGTGGATACCTAGAAGTATAAGTGCCTGCAACAGACATTGCCGATGATGGGAATGCATTGGCAGCCTCCTCTTGTACACGGAGAAGATCGTTCTCTAGCGTAGTAGACAGACCGCGCGACTTGTCGAGTTCTTTCTTGGTGGTGGAAAGCTCGCCGCGTAGAGATTCCAGCTGGCCCTGAAGGTCGCGAGTTGATACCCGTAGAACGGCAAGCTCATCGGTCAATTTCTTGTTTCGGGCCATCAATAGCTGCTCCAGTGAGCTCTTATCTTTGTTATTCGTAGTGGCAGCACCATTGGTGCCAGCGGTCTCGTTTTCAGTCGTCGCCGCTGCTTCACCGGCATCCTCATCGTCACCAGTAGCAAACTCAATCGACTTGATCATTTCCAGCTCGCGGCGGATCTCATCGTAGTCAGCAACCTTCTCAAGGCGCGAGCGCAGCTCGTCCTTCTCGGCGGCAGTTTTCGAGGCATTGCGTTCCGCCTGAAGGAGCTTGGCCTCCCAGGCGTGGCGAGTCGAGTCCTTGTCATAACGCGCAGCATCCAATTTGCGCAGCAAAGCCGAGTTCTCCGACTGCAAGCGCTGATAGCTGGGGTCATCCTCGACAGAGGAGAGCTGGCCAGAATTCGAGTGCGATACGGCCTGCGCCAACTCTAACCGGAGCTGCTCATTTCGCGCCTCCATATCGGCCAATCTCAAGCTCGTCTTCTCTAGATCGGCAGAGACAAGTTCCAGTTCCGCAGCGGTAGCACCACTACGGGCACCTTCTGTCTCTTCATCCTGGCCACTACCGAGACGCTGAGAGACCTCATAGCTAGCCTTGAGCTCCTTGATCAATCGTTCCTGATTCTCAACCTTCTCCTCCAAGCTTTTCTCCTTGGCCTCCCAGTTGCTGGTCTTTTCTTTCAACACTGCATCCCAAGAAGCCTCGATCTCTTTAGCCTTTGATTCTTGGTTTTCTTCGAGCTTCTTTCTTGCAGCGCGCTCCTCCTGTAGCCGTTTCTCGGTTTCCTCCTGCTGCTTCGTAAGACGATCGACGGACTGCTGTAATTGGTCCCGTTCCGAGGTGAGCTTCGGAACCGTATCTTCAGATAGAACGAGGGAGTCGACGGAGGCTTCGAGAAGCGGGTAAGGGTCTGGTGCTTCAGATAGGGACGAGTAGAGTTGAAGGAAGGAGGATGAGGACGCCTTTCCTTGGTTGGTCAAAAGGTCAATGAACGATTGGTAGGCCTTCAGCAACCCCTTATATTCCGATAGCTTGGCTTCATCCTCCAGCTTCTTGAAGTCCTTGGTCTTTTGAGCCAGTTCCTTTCTCTGTACGAGAGCGTCCCGTTGATGTGAAACAATGTCCGAAGCGGTGGTATCGAGTTTGGCAATGGTGCTAGCCAAGTCAATTCCTATAGAGTCAGAGTATCAGTTCTCCAATTCCAAGTGTATTTCTTGTCCAGCTAGTTTGGGGTTATTTACCTCGCCAGGCTGCAATGGCGCGCTGGAACTTGTTGGTCTCTTCGGATAGTTTGCTGGAGACTGCTGGCGTGTCATCTTGTCGCTCCTGGGCGGCAAGGCCCTCTGTGATGGCGAATGAATCCATGTCCAGCGTTCAACCAAAGAGTCCTGCACAGTCACCCCACACCGAGAGCGCAATCCGCTTTAGAGGAGTATGATTGCGCGGAGAGCTGGAACTGGACACGCGGCGCGGCGCGGCCGATTGTTGTTCCGTTATGTATAGAGATGGGATTAGATCAGGAAAGCAAAAGATGCACACGGTTATTTCCGTTGATGTTTGGGGGATCACTGGTCAGAATCTTATCTGGGATAATCTAAAGTCTCTTATCGATGCTCAGTAACATACCAAAGTACTGTACAAGTGTTCCCTTGACAGCCGTTGTTCCGAGGCAGCCGTTCCTGATTTAGCGGCCCCTGAAGCTTTGGCCCCAGGTAGCACTGACCGCCTTCACCCCATCTCTCTCCAATGCTCTAGTGGGGAGATCACTTGGAAGCTAGCCATCATGGCTTCAGATGATGGAGTTGGTCCTCGAAAGAGGCGGAGGATAGGTCCTCCCGGATCAGAACCTTATGTCTTACGTTCACTGTTCGATAACGTTCCGCTGGCGACGGACGATAACTCGGACGTTTACATCACCTGTGTCGACTATTGGGGTAAGCTATCGGCGGTTGCTTCCGGGTCCTGTTTACCACGGCCATCTTGCTGATCTTGAATTATATAGATGGAAACCTGTACATTGGCACATCTGCAGCGGAAGTCCTGCACTTTGTCTGCCTACCAGCGGCATCCGATGACGACTCGACCGAACCTACCTTTATCCTAGCATCGCGACTACCTATTCCATTCCAGAACGAACCCTCCGACAGTGATCCCCCAGGTGTTCGCCAAATTGTTATATTGCCGTCGGTGAATAAAGCTTGCATTCTTTGCAATGGCATGGTTACGTTCTACATGCTACCGGAGCTCAGCCCGGCGTTTGGGAATACCAAGGTCAATCATTGCCGCTGGATCGGTGGCTTGGATCTCAACCAGGACCCTGCTTCTGAAGAAGATCCGGTCGTGATGATCGCCGTTCAGAACAGTGTCATGTTGATTCGCATTGGAGAGGGAGCTCGGCGCATCAAGCAGATCAAGTTCCCCGGTTGCTTAGTGGCAGCGCGCAGAGGCACCATTGCTTGCGCAGCTGACACCCATGCGTACTCGCTGTTGGAGGTGGAGCACCAACAGAAGATTCCACTGTTCCCCATATCTTCCTCAAACGAGGTCTTCGAATCTGGCCATGTGGAAGATATTCCGGCGGCACCCCAAACTCCGCTGAAGCGATCGCCTTCCTCATCGTATCCAAGTTCGCCTCCAATGGACCCTCATGTGCATGGTAGAAGCAGCAGTTTGAATACATTCGTTGGCATGCTGCAGCCTCATGCACAAACTTTGGGACACAGTCGATCGCCTTCGGGGACACCAGACCCATTCACGTCCACTGGGAGCATCCGTCGTTCTAGCTCAGAAGAGCGAGACGATGGGGAGGAGGGTTCCAAAAAGAAGGCCTCGGAGAGCCCCGAGCGGGATGCGCAGGCGGCGGAGTCGGACAGTCTGAAGCCACTACCTCCACTTCCCCCTCCAAAGCCAGTCCAGAAACAACTACAGCCCCACGTTGTATCCCCGACTCCATCTGAATTTCTTCTTGTAACTGGTACAGAGGAAACGGAACCGGGTGTTGGTATGTTTGTGGATTTGGACGGCGAAGTTGTTCGAGGCACGATCAACTTCCACCGGTATCCCAAGTCGGTTGTGATAGATGCTGGCGAAGACGACCAATCTCTACAGCCGAACGACGATTCCAAGGAGGAATATGTTCTCGCCTTGATCGACGTCGGAGAAGATGGAGAGCAACGAGCCCGACTGGAAATTCAACGGTGGGATGACGATCCTGCCGAAATAGAACGACACAAGAAATGGCTAGACATCCCATCTTCGCCCGGCGAATCGCAGTCTACTCATGTCGGATTGAAGCACACACTCAGCCCCAGCCATCTTGAGGACAATGATATTGGAAGGCTTCTGCAAATGGTCCGCCTCAAGACACCGTTGCTATCTCCCCATGTCGCCACCGTGGATCCTCGAACTCAGGAGTCTATTGAGCAACAAAAGACAGAAAAGGAGCTTTTCGAGTCTCAAGAACTGACTGACTTCGAAGGATCCAAGAAGGGAGATGCAGGATCATCAGAGCGTGACTGGGAGGGTCAACGCAACGCCGAAGAAGCGAAATTCGTCCGCGGACTAGGAAAGCTGCAGAGCAGTCTCGTCCTGTGGTCAGGCTCACAGATATGGCGGTTGCTTAAGAATCCTTTGGTCATTCAGCTAGAGAATACTCTGCAAAAGGCTCAGCAAGTTGATGACAAAGGACACATTACTCTGCAGAGGGATGCTGTCATGGAATTGATGGTGGCAATCCAGGATATTGAGCCCAAAACTGAGGCCGAATTCCTTGGTCTGGGATACGTGAAACAAAAAGCCAGCTTGTTGCTCTATGGAGATCTTCTGTCCATGCAGGCAGACCATCGCGCGGACCCTACGATTCGGAATACCGAAAGGGCTCTCTTGTCGGGTAATTTGGATCCTCGACTAGCCTTGCTGTTTATTCCTCTGCTTCGATGCGAGGTGCTACAGGGACCACAGGGTATCTGGATACAGTCTGGTTTGGCAGACACCACGGCAAAATACCTGAAACAAGTGGAGCAGACCAGCGATGCAACCGAGGTGCATAGCTCTGTGCTGAACATGGTGAAGCGGTTCCTTCTCTCATGGCAACAAAAAAGAGGGTACGGTAGTATCACCGATGAAACATACGTTTTAGATAGCACTGATGCTGCACTGCTTCACCTCCTTCTGGAGCAAGATGCACATTTGAGTGCACAACAGCGCGCTTCATCCACACGCAGCGAGTTGAACAGGTTAGTCGATAATTGGAAAGGCAATTTTGACCGAGCTGTTGCCCTTCTGGAACAGTACAAGCGGCTTTACATCTTGAGTCGGTTATACCAGAGCCAGAAGATGTCACGAAACGTGCTCAAGACCTGGCGACGGATTATTGACGGAGAATCTGACGCCGGTGGGGAGGTAACTAGTGCCGGCGTTGAGGCGCAGATGCGCAAGTATTTGGTAAAGATCAAAGATGCCCAATTGGTGGAAGAGTATGGCTCCTGGCTTGCTGGGCGGAATCCTGCACTTGGTATCCAAGTTTTTGCGGACCACAACAGCCGGGTGAGGCTTGAGCCAGCCGACGTGGTAGACTTGCTCAAGGAGCGTGCTCCCAACGCCGTCCAGGTCTATCTGGAGCACCTGGTCTTTGCCAAAAACGTAAGTCTTTTTCTCAATGGACCCTCCCGTACACACAATTTAGCTAACCAGGCTCCTCTCTAGTACACTCAATATGCTGACGACCTCATTGCATACTACCTTGACGAGGTCCTTTCCGTCCTAGAGTCTTCGCTCGCTGCGCGAGCTTCTCTCGCCGAGTCTTACTCGACCTATCGTGCGCTCCGCCCTCCTAAACCAACCTATCTCAACTTCATCACCGAGAACACGCCCGCCGAGCCCTGGTGGCAGTCCCGTTTGCGGCTTCTGCAGCTCCTTAGTGGCACCTCGGGCACTCAATTCTCCTCCACGGCGCTGCCCTCCGGCATCACCTACTCCATCCCAAACGTGCTCGCCCGCATCGAGCCATATCAAGATGACCTCGTTTCTGAGAGCATCATCCTCGACGGCCTACAGGGCCACCACCGCGCGGCTCTCCGCCTCCTCACCCACGGACTAGGTGACTACGACTCCGCCATCCGCTACTGCCTCTTTGGCGGACCACGCAGCGCCACCTCCTCCGGCGGTACACAGCCTGAGCTAGCCGCGCATGGCCTACAGGTCACGCTGTTCCGGCACCTACTGGACGAGTTCCTGCAGATCCAAGATCTAACGGAGCGCATCGAACGCACAAGCGACCTGCTTGGCCGATTCGGGGCGTGGTTCGACGTCCGAGAGGTACTCGAGCTCGTACCCGAGGACTGGAGTGTGGATATCTTGGGCGGATTTTTAGTGCAGGTGTTCCGAACGTTGGTCTCGCAGTCACGAGAGGCGCGTATTGAGCGGGCGCTGAGTGCCGGCTTGAACCTGCGGGTTGGTGTGCAGTATACGGATAGTATGGAGAAGGCGGGTCCTTGGGTGGAGGATGGCGATGGTTTGCGACGGTTGGAGGGGAGTAATAAGACTGAGGTGGGTGTGCCTGGTGATGATGTGATTACCGCTGGGGAGGATAGTGACTTTGGTGATGTGGTGGGTCCTACTGCATAGGTCTGGGGCAGTGAGCTAGTTGACCCTGGAGCTACTTGGGAACTTTTGTGTGTATATGGATCCGTGGCCCGTTAATTGGCGTTTGCATTTATGATACCTACAGCAATGTTACGAATTCGACTTTGGTGTTTCTCTTTAATTTTTCGATATTTTGGTTGCACAGCGAGTATGGATGAGCCGATATCTCTCCATATGTGTAGTACGATTCAAGCAGATTGGGTAAAGTCATCTTGAACACAACTCCCCGAGTGATATAACAGGATCTCCATCACTCATAAAGAGCGATGGAAAGGGTGAGATAAGATAGAGTAAACCCCCCCCCCCCAATCACATTGCATTCGTTCCCTTTGTAGCTCCAATGAGCATCGACCGTCGCCTCAGCTAGACAGTCCGGGTCTATCAGATTAAATTTTTGAGCTCTGAATTTCGTTCTTTCTCTCTACGTCTCCCCAGAACCCTTCTATAGTGGGTAGATTTTAAAACAGAAAGACATTTACCGGCAATAGCTTTTCCCTATCATATTCTGCTTATATTTAGAGCGTGCATAAATAGAGGCTATTATAATAACTACGTTAGCCTAAAATAGAATTAGTAATCCTTCTTAAATATTAGACGTCTTGCCCTCTTTATATATAGATATTAAATAAATATAAAACTTAAGAGGACAACGTAATTCCCAGCCGACCCGCGCACCCTTAGACACATAGTAAATGCGATAAATTACTCATGCATTACTTTAACAACCGCATAGTATTATTATTTGGGTATGAGTATATAGACTTTCATTAGCATATGAAATAATATGAGTTTTAAGCTGCTTAAATAATTATTTCATTGCTTTACCATAAAATACGGCGTAATTTTGACAAATGGAACATAAATATATATGTCTCTTTCATTACTTCAACTGACTTTCCTATACTTCCCTAGTAGGCTCGAAATGATATCAAGATTATATGCTTTTAAGATCTGATCATAAATAGATATGGTTGTTGAGATATAAACTGGTTTAAATTTAGCGCATTTACTATGTGTTTACTGGTGCGCGCGTCGACTGGGAATTATCAATGTTCAGGTCTTTCTATTACTAAGATAAGTATAAAAGACCTCTCTAAAATTACATTTGGCTCTGAAAGTTATCATTAATCAGCTTGTGTAGCTAAGTGGTTAAGGCGCCACACTCGTACGGGAGTTACACAGAAATGCAAACTTACCAGAAATGTGGAAATCGCCGGTTCGACTCCGGTCACAAGCAATTCTTTTTTTATTTAAATTTTTCTGCTGCTCGCAAGAGAGATCTTTATCTGACTGCTGCCGATATTTTCAAAGCTACATTTTCTGCGATTGCTGCTGCATGCAAAAAAACCCATCACATTGCATTCGTTCCCTTCGTAGCTCCAATGAGCATCGACCGTCGCCTCAGCTAGACAGTCCGGGTCTATCAGATTAAAATTTTGAGCTCTGAATTTCGGATACTTGGATATATCGCTTTGGGCCCAGGAGCATGTCAGGTGGGTAGAGAGGAATCCGGAAGCCTCTTCACATTGCCTTCTGCATGCATGATGCCGAGGGTCCCGATGGATGGCCCGACTTGCCCAAGCAACCCAGGCGTAATATTGTGGGTACAGACCACACTTTACTCCTCCGGCTGCACGAAGGGGTTGGGGATTTCCTCGCTGCCATCGGCGGGCGAGATGAGCACGATGAGAGTGCCACGGGCAACGATCAGGCCCAGGGAGCGGGTGGTTTGGTTACCCGCGTCATCTGGATGGGATGATTAGAATGGGCTCATAGAAGGTAGAAGAAGATAAGGATTCGTACCGCGCATCGTCTCCTTGACGTCGTCCAAGACAAGGTTCATCAACTGGTCATAGCCCTTCAGGATACCGGTAACTAGGGTTGACAAGGATCAGCAAGACCGTTCTTATATAGACCTTTTCTCGAACAGGAAATCTATAATTGCAATAAAAATGAACAAGATAGAAAGAACTCACCTTCACGGCCACCATTGAACTTCACTTGGACCTCCTTGTCCATATACTTGCCTAGATCGAGGATATTCTCCTTCTTAGGCTTCTCTTGTTGGGCGTTACCACCGCCAGTTTTCTGCTGCTGGCGACCGCCACCACGGCCACCACCACGACCGCCGCGGAACGAACCTCGTTCAGACATGGGGGGGGGGGGGGGAAGGGTCTGAGAGCGGTGAGAGAGATAAGTGGGAAAGGAAAGTAAAGAGGTGTTGGGTTGGACCGGAATGGGGGGGTAGTGTACTGGTGCAGAGCTAGGACCTGCAAAAAATAGAGCTCGGGTTACCGGCTCAGTGGACGGTGAGTGGTGGAATCTGTATTGACCAAGTACGATAGTGGTTTGTTTTGGGGGTGTGTGGTTGGGGGGGAGTTTGGAAGGGAGGGAGGGGAGCTCCAAAGTATGAGGGATTAATTTTCAGCGGCAGCAGTCTTGCTGGTAGAGTTTGGGCGGACTGGTCAGAGAGGAATCCCGCTGGTACGGTATGGTAAGAATGACCTGACCTCCCGGCGGAATCGTCCACGCGGTCTCAAGGGGGACCTGCTCCAGGCATCCACGAAACGACCCTCTCCAATAAGGCTGAAAGTTCAAGGCTTATTTTCTGGATCGGCGGGCCCATGAGTCTATTGTGGAGTCAAATTAAACCAGGCATCCAGAATATGTCACTGATATTTTCTTTGTTGAATTTCTAAACTCCAGTTGAGATCGAAGGATAGAGGCAAAAGGGCGGAGAAGGTGTCAGCCTGAAAGTGCCAGCGGAGAGGGCGGGACTCCGCTGGTCACGGGGCCGTTACGGAACTGTACGAGGAGTCCCTACAGATATGGAAATTCTACACTATCAGTAGATCATTGAGGGGAGTTGAGGGGGATATACGAACTAGAAGACACCGAGCGGAGTATAAATATGGATGCTGTTATAGATTTCGCTGTATAGAGGACGTATTCTATGAATCTGTCGGGGTCCAGGTACCAGGTACAGTAACTCCTCCCTTTCCACCGTCCGCGCTGGCGCCTGTCTCGCCCCCAGTCAAATCCACTCGGTTCCGGCTGCCCTGCTGCACGTTTTCCTCTCTTCCTCCCCATCCACCCCCAGCCTTGTCATCCGTTTCTTCCTCTTCCCCCTAAATTCTTCTCTTGGGAACCTCTATGGACGTTTGTCTATCCGCTCGATCACCCTTGACTCCAGCGGTTCAACCCGCGCATTCAATACTCCGCCCTCGGTCTTGATCAACCCTCGCCGCTCACACTACCTAGCCTGGTCGCTAAGCCTACACCTGATCTTTTTTTTTCTTCTCGCCCACTTTTCATCCGGTACTCGGAACACTTTACGCGACCAATATATACCTATCGAGAGTATATCGCCTCATCCCTGTATCCCGCTCTAACCTACGATCAATTCCACCATGGAGCCCCGCCCCGTGACGGCGGAACCGTCTAACAAACGGCCGCGGTCTCCTGGAGGCGACCACCCGCAGTCCTATCAGTCCAAAATGCCCAAGACACACTCCAATCACCTCCAGATCAACTATCTCGCACGCCAGTACCCGGATAATCTACCTCTAGTCGCGCCGGACGACACCATGCCCGCGATCATCCACTTGATTAGCGAATACGACGGAGTGCTTCATCGCCATGAAAGTATTGCCGGAAACTTGGGCGCATGCCCGTTGGGTCCGATTCTGATCAAACGCTTTGAGCGCCTGTTCGATGGTCCCCCGCGCGTACTCAAGTCGCACGGCAAGGATGGTCCCACGGTCACTTGGTTGGATGTGGTTGAATTCGCCAAGAATAAGCCGGAGCAGTTTAATCTGGAAAAATCGCGGAATGGTGCGCGCGTTTGCCAGTTCTATACGAAACAGTGTCGAGTAGAGATTAGTGAGGAGGACTTTGTGCTTATTGCGTCGGGCATGCCGCAGAAGATGATCCCTCCGCAACCTATCATTGAAGATGAAGAGAAGGAGTTGGGTGCGCTGGAGATTTTGGAGAAGAATCTGCAACAAATCATTCAAATGGCTGACCAAGGTAAGCTAACAGTCCACTCTTCCACTTGTGTCATCCATTCCTGGACTAGTTACTAATCGTCTTCTCTATCAGTCTCCGCTCGAGCCCGTCAGCTTAGCTACCGTCTAAAGAACCGCCGGACCGCAATCGTCAGCCGTCGCGAAAACGATGCCTCTCTCAATGCGCAAACGCGCGCTGCTGCTGCCGATGTCTGGCGTGATATGAAGGCCCCCGGTCCTACCAACGGGCAATCAACTGCCTCCCCATCGGGGTTTGTGGCAGTTAATGCGAACCGGCCAGAAGGCGACTCGGAAGAAAGCCCGCTTCCATCGCAATTCATGTTCTCTCATTCGAATACGGAAAATATCACCATTATCAACGGAACCTCGATCAAGGGCGCTTCACCCACGACGCGAGCGGATCTCATGAAGAAGTTTTTTACAACGGCTGACCGACAAGCTCGTGGCTATGACGAAGTAACCGGTACGACCAATCCGATCCAGCCTCGACCTCGACCTCAAGCCTCCGATCCAGCGGAGTACAGCATCTGGAACAGTAACAACAACAATGGCAGCGCCAGCGGCAATGGCACCGGCACTGGTGCTGGCAGCGGCAACAACAGCAGCAACAACATCCTTAACAATAGTACGACACCGGTAGCCATCCCTGGAACTCCATCCTCATTACTACCACCACCGAAGACTACCCCACAGGAAAAGGATGACGGAGGCCCGTTCAAGCTGGAGATGGTCGCACGGATGGAGGAGCTTCAGCGCGGCGAGCGAGTTAGCCCACCCTGTGACCGATGCCGTCGCCTTCACATGGACTGCCTCAAGAACCTGACCGCCTGTATGGGCTGCACCAAGAAGCACGCCAAATGTTCCTGGCGCGACGTCAAAGAAGACGAAATCCGAGCCCCATGGGGTCCATCAGCACCCCGCGAGCCCCGAGAAATCCGCGAGTCCCACGAGCGCATGGAAGACGACCGCCTCCCACCTCTAAATCTACCAGGTCTCGTGCCCTCCCCGGGCGCCCCGATCTCTGCTGAACGAGAGCGCTACGGGCGTCTAGAGCGGCCAGCCCGCGCCTCCGAGACCCCCAGCGACCCGCAATACTCTCAGCACAACCGCCGCGAGTCTGCGCCTGGTGCGCCCCACATTAGCCCCGGCTCGGGCGCGTCGATGGGTCTGCCCGCATCTGATAAATCACCCCGCCGTGCCATGAGCGAGACGGAGGGTGGTGGTCGTGGACAGCATCATGGGCCCCCTCCTCGACATGCGGAGGACGATGATCCCGATGCGAATCAGCGGCTAATGCAGGCCATTCTTGATACGGTAGATCACCATGCAAGGGTGGCGGCTGCCGTGCAGGAGAAGGAGCGCGGTGCCGAGCGTGCTGGAGAGAGTCAGCCGAATCCTCATAAGGAGCGGGATGTCGAACGAGAGCGTGAGCGAGAACGAGAAAGGGAGCGCGAACGTGAGCGCGATCGAGACCGAGACCGGGACCATGAGCGACGCATGGTGCAGGCTTAGGTTTCTCGGTGTGTCCTTCGCCCCGTGTGTACTATGTCTTTTTTCATGTTTTTATCCTTATACTACGGCATGGATTCTCCTCTGTTGTATAGCTCCGAGCGACGGCGAACCGGGAATAGGGGTTAGGGAGTTGCAAGTTTCGTTCTAGCGTACATATTTCTTATATATCCATGATCTTATTCTGTGTTTTGCTATGGAAATAACGAATGTATCATTAATCCAGTGAGATTTGACTATTCCATCTTGAAATATCGGCAGTTCTAATCCAAATCTACCCCGGACCCAATGATCACCCCGCATTATCATCGGATATAACTGAGCCAGCCCTAACAAGGAATATCCCTCGGAAGGCAATATTTCAGAATTCACTGCTATGTGATTCGCGTTTGTATCATCCTCGGATAGACATTTACCGATAATTGCCCCACACGGTGCTTAGAGCATGCTGACGAATGTGAGGAAATCGTTCCGCGGGAGAATGGGACTCGGGTATAGTCTCTTCCATGTACCTGCTATTAGAGGTATACTAGTTGATAGTAGTGTATAGTATAATGAACATGAAGTAATGTTGCCATGAATATAGAATTAACAGAGTAGATGTAATAATAACAGAGCTATTCTACTTGAATAGAGTCTTCTAAAGTACATCGGATATCGGACAAGGTGGGGGAATCCCGAGTTCTCCGTAATTCCGCCTCTCTGAGTGGGCGCTTTCTTTTTTTGACTGCGGGGTGGGAGCTTGGGTCTTTTAGGGAACTTTGGAGCAAACTTTCGTTGCCAACCGATGAGAACTGGAGAAAACTGGAGACTAGACTTGCTCGAGTCCAATTATTGGTACATATTATCGAAAACCGAAATATTAGTTCCATATTCCATGTATTCGGAGTCCGTACTCCGTCCTGTTCACCCACACCCCACCAATTCCCGCCGGATTTGCCGACGTAAGGGCCAACTCGAGGACGAAATATAAACTAACGAGCTTGTCGCGCCCTGGATTGATTCTGGATTTTCTTTTTTATTATTTCCTGTCTCCCCGCTGTACACGGACAAGAATATCCTTCAATTGCTACCTCTTCTCTCCTACTTACTCCTCCCACCACCCTCCAATCTATACAACCACCTACCATGGACCCCTCACAAGTCAAAATCCCCCCGATGAAAGACCTAACGGTCGACAACATCACCGAAAACGTCATCACAATCAACTCCCTCTGCGAAGACGAACGCATGAAATACATCCTCGAACGCCTAGTAACCCACCTGCACGACTTCGCCCGCGAAACCCGCCTCAGCAGCGACGAATGGATGACGGGCCTCCGCTTCCTAACAGAAGTAGGCCAAATCTGCACGACCGTCCGGCAAGAATTCATCCTCCTCTCGGACGTCCTGGGCCTGTCTATTCTCGTCGACTCGATCGACCACCCCAAACCAGCCGGTTCGACCGAGGGCACGGTGCTGGGCCCGTTCCACACGCATGATGCGGAGGAAATGCCGAATGGCGAGTCGATGTCGCATGACCCCAAGGGGGAGCCGTTGCTTGTTGTGTGTACGCTGCGGGATACGGAGGGGCGGCCTATCGAGGGTGTGAAGATTGATATTTGGGAGACGGATTCGACGGGCCATTACGATGTGCAGTATGCGGGCAGGGAGGGGCCGGATGGTCGGTGTGTGATGCGGTCGAATAAGGAGGGTGTCTTTTGGTTTAAGGCTATTACGCCCGTGCCGTATCCTATTCCGCATGATGGGCCTGTGGGGAAGTTGTTGAAGAAGTTGCATCGTCATCCCTATCGGCCCAGTCATATGCATTTCATGTTTGAGAAGGAGGGTTATGATCATTTGATTACGTGAGTGTTCCTGACAGGTTCCCTTGCATATCTGGTTTATTCTTCTGGGAAGGGGATTGCTAACTATATCCAGGGCTCTTTACCTTCGCAACGACCCCTATGAAACCTCCGATGCCGTCTTTGGTGTCAAGGATTCCCTGACTGTGGACTTGGGCAAGGTCGGTCCTGAATTGGCTGCCAAGTATAACGTTCCCGAGGGCCAGGCTCTGCTCACCTATGACTTTGTCCTGGTCTCAGATGAAGAGACGAGCGCCCTGCGCGCGAAGAACTCCAAGATTGCGCTGGATAAGTTGGGCCGGAAGGTGAAGATTGTGAATGGCTTGCCCGTGCCTGATCTGGATTGATTGACAGAATGCGGGTTTAGTACAGAGAAGAGTAGGAAAAAATGCATATCAGTATACATGTACAAGTTCTGACATGAATTGCCCTCGATATCTTAGCCTACATTGTACGGAGTTGATACTTCACTCTTGCCACTTGCAGTATGTACGAGAGGATCAGCACAGCATAGACTAGGGCAATCAAGCTGGGAGCGCACTCTCCCGGTCCTGTAAACGGCCTTCAGTCTGTGTTCCCTCGGACTGTACCGGAACTCCCCATTGACCATCCTATTGGGCGTTGGAATTAAGATTCCCTCTGTACTCTGTGTGATGGGGGACATAGTCCCACCGAGTATCCACTGCTTCCGTGGGTTAGTTAGGGTGATTTGCTATCGTGTAACTGTAGTTTTGTATAACGGCGCAACTTGTCTAACGCGTCCTACTTTTAGAACACATCTTTACTCAAATAATGTATCTATAGCTATCGCTTCTCCCACCTTTCAAGGTTGTTACTTTCCATGCTTTTCTGAGATTGACAATTATCTCAGCATGCAACTGTTTCTTCTCCTCTCGTTGGCGGCAGCCTTCTGCGCTGCCATGGTCATCCCAGATGAAGAAGCTCTCAAGACTCTTTCGGAGAACGGTGTTCATTTGAACGACCCAAGCTCTCAGGTAGTCCTAAGTGACGACTCGAAGCAAGATGAAGACACCGATCCATGGTGGATAAAGACAGTTTCCATACCAGAAGATGGCCATGGGCTATCGTCCGACGAGGATTTAGAGCGTCAGGAGTGGGGTGAAGAATCTGATATGCAAGATGGCTACATTCATCAATCCTGGGATGACGATGATGACTGGGAGACCGAGCGGGATGACGACGACGACGAATCAGGCGAGGGACATCCATCACATCATCACCATTACCACCACCACCATCCACATCATTGTCATCATGGCTCTAAGCATCGCCATCACCGCTGTCCAGGGCATAATCATGACGATGATGGGGATAGAGACCCAGGGTGTGGCTGCCCAGGTGATGGAGGCCACGGTGGAGGAGGTCGTGGAGATGGAGATGGAGATGGAGGCGGGGACGATGACGGCTGTTCACCCCCAAGAAGAGGAGGCTGTCCTGGAGACGGAGATGGAGATGGACATGATGGTGGTGGCAACAACGGCGGAGGTGAAGACGGAGACCATTATCGAGGAGGTCATGGGGGTGGAGGAGGTCACGGTGGAGGAGACCGTTGTGGAGGAGACCGGGGGGGAGGCCACCGTGGAAGAGGCCACCATCATCGAGGAGGTAACCACGGAGATCGTTCCTGTCTAGGCCACGATCACGACCGTCACCACGACTGTCCTGGCCACGGAAGAGAGAGAGACGGAGACGGAGATGAACACAGAGGCCATCACCATCCACATCATCGTCGACGATGTCGACGACACTGTCATCCAAAACACGGTAACGATGGTGAAGACCATGACTCGATATGATACCCCTCCGCAGTCTATGTTCAATCCGGCGAGTAGTGTTGTTGTACTCGGATATGGGGTTGAAAATGTTGGTTGGAAAATTGTGATATATCTCCTAGCACAGTATTGGATCAGATGTTAGTGCAGGGGGGGAGGGGGGTCACTGAAGGAGAATTGAAGGGAAATTGGATGCATGCGTGGAGGAAATCTGGGATCAGATCGATCTGCGAGAGGGCCCCGCTGGAAATGACTGTCTATTTGCTTATTCATATACCTACGAGTGTTCATGTTAGTTTTAATCAAGTTTGTGAGAGATAAGTATTGGATTTCTTTCTTTATCTGTCTGTATTTCCATGTGATGTGCTGGCTGTACTCGGCTGCGAGGTCACTCCAGGCGAAAGAAAAGAAAGACAAAATACAACGAGATCTTGCAAGAGGCTTTCAGAGAGCCCCTGCAGGGTGTGAGACAAAGGTGAAGCATTCCTCCTTTCCAAAGTCGTCGGTCTTATGGACCAAAACTTGGAGGGGGCGGGTGTGAAAACAAAAAAGCAGCCAGACAGTCCATCATAATCGTAGCTACGTATTATGAGCCCGCGCATAGAGAGAAAAAGGGTAGATGAGCCGGCGACTACCGCTCTACCAAGGATCTTAATGCATCCTTCTGGTCGGCTTCATGAGGGCCTGGAATGACGACTCCAAGGCCTTCTTAACCTCCTTGTAGCTGACAATGAAGCAGCTCTGCTCATCGCGGCTCACAAGGGTAATCTTCTCATCAGACCCGGCATCGAGCTTGTTCAGGCAAGTGAGTACATGTCCGAGGTCGACAACGGCATCCCCAGAGGCATCGACTTGGTGGAAGACGTAGTCTCGGAAGATCTTCAGGAAGTAACGCTCTCCATTCTCGGCCCACTGTCGGTCGTGCTCATATTCGGGGCGCTCGTTAATAAAGTTCAATTTGGTCATCAGGCGCACCAGACGTCCGTTCTCGAGTTCGCGGCTGAGGTCTGATGTGAGTTGATCATCCAGATGGAGAGCCGAGTCAAAGGTGGACATAAGCTGGGAGGAGATGCCAGTAATAAAGAGGTCAATGGTCCGCTCCTGGTCTTTCTGCAACCCGTTCAACAGCCAGAAGACAGAGTTCTTCATTTGAGGGCTGTACGCGCGAGTGAAATGCTCCATCGCTTTGGTGGGGTTATGCATGACATTGGGCGAGTTGGCACCTAGAGTGACGATCAATTGCCCGAAATTGACTAGATCCTGCCGTTGGAGGTCCGCCACGGTCCGCTGCGAGTCATATTGAACTACATCCAAGACAGCGCAGGCATTCAAGCGGATGCGGTTCTTGCCCGTCAGCAGGACTTTGCTGGCCTCCAGCACACGAGCAGCGAGGCCGTTGGTGTGGATAGACTTGAGTGCATTCGCAATCTGCGTCATGTAGCCCCAGAGGACCTGCTCGGGGATGTGAGTATTGTTTTGGCGACCTTGGAAACGGTTTCCGGCGCCCAAATGTTGTTCGGCGAGAGTCTTGGACAGCGGGTGGTAGTCAGTGACGAAGATGAGGGAGCTGTCTTGGAAACTGCGGCTGGTAAACGCATCGTGGACAGTCACAACGCTCCCGTTGCAAACGCGCTTCCACGCCTGGACGGACCGGATTGCCTTTTCGTTGGTCAAACGGAACCCTAAACAGTGTCAACTTTCAGGCTGGGAGAAAAAATAGATGACTCGATCTTCTTCGTACCTTCAAGTCTTCGCAGTGCGTAGAAATTGCCGTCTTTGCTAGATTGCGCTTTGTAAACCCAGCTTGGGTAACCAAAGGTTGCAGCATTCTTCTGGTGGCTGAGATCCAACGGTACGAGTGAGTGGAAGTAGTCAACCTGGGCGGGGAGTGTTGTGTCTGCAGGATAGATGTCAGATCCAGTGTCATCCTCCTAGACTTCGGGCAGGGGACATCTCCACATACTGGGGAGGGTTTGAAGGGTAGCTGCCGCCTTCTTCTGGAGTTCTTCTCGGAAGTCATTAGGGAGGAAGAGGTCGTGAACGTTTCGCTGATAGCCTAGGGTGTTCTGGTTATGAGGGCCAATTGGGGCATAGAGGTGATATTGGACCTGCAATACTTGTCAGTGGGCTGGATGAGTATCGGTGGCGGATTCCACGATTTTACGTACCGGCTGCTGGAAGCCCCCTTGGTTCGCAAAGAATGCGCCTCCTCCGAGTGCAGCAGTCGGGTCATGAGCATATGGGTTGGCCGAGACTGGGCCAACGGCTCCTGCGGCAGTGAGGGGTGTGGAAGCTGTGACGAACGGGTCAAAGGCGCCCGGACTCGTGATTCCATTCCCGTTGCCTTGAAGAGGGCCCTGGGTCGAGGCGTTAGCGGGTTCCATGTCAAGACTGACACTGCGATATTTGTCTTGGCTTCGTTTGCGGATAGGATCAAAGTCATCGGCCAAAGCACTCAAGCTCCTGGCGGAGCGCTTATGGAAACACCCAAGCATGTTTGCTCTTGTTCTCTCTGATACGTGAGAGGGGTGCAAAGGTGATGATTCGCGGATCCGATTGATTTGTGAAGGACAAAATTGGGGGGCTTCATAATAGGAAGGGGCGACCATGACCGACTTACCACGTGAGCGCCTTCAAAGCCCTGAGGGACGAATTCTTGTACATCAGCTACGGTCCAGTCGGGAGTTCCTACTTCTTGTCGTGCCGTCGGAGTACTCGTGTTGGAGCCTTTATCATCAGTCAATATGCGACCTCCGGAAAGCAAGTCAGGATGGGATCATACGTGATGATGCCGCAACCCTGGGCTGGAAGGGAGCGGCGCTCGCAGCCTTCGGGGAGATGGTGGTGGACTTCTTTGGCGCAGAAGTGCCATTGCCAGATAGGAGGGAGGGGGTAAAGCTCGGCGAGTCGACGTTGAATCGTTTCTTGCTGTGAGTGGGTGACTGATAAGCATTCCATAACAGATACGAAGCCTTTCTAAAGAGACGAAAGAAGGAACGTCAGGCTTACTTTTCAGCTTGATTTGCAGCGTTGACTTTCAGAGGGTCGTGATTGAATGCGCAGCCTGAGAGAGAACCCAAGTCAGACCTCCACGCTCTTGAATAACGGCCACAATCATCGCTTTTCGTGGGATAAATACCTTTGTCTTCATATCGACAACGGCCGTATATGGTTACGTTACGGCATAATGTATCTTTCGCATTCTCTGTTCCAAACACACCTCCAGTCAGCGCGCAAATCTATCATAGATCTCCGGCATATTACTCCGATTGGTTCCATTACATCTCTCCATTTTGGATGATGAGCGAAACCAACCACTCGAGAAATGCTCACCTCGGGTCTTCATTTTCGGCGATCCGGTCGTGCGACGGGAATCATCCAGCGGAGGCTTGCCGGCGGAGGCCATGATTAGATGACTGATACCGAGAGACGAAACGAAATCAGCGCAGTGGTATCTCCATTGAAACGGGAGCCGGAATGAAAGGATTGACTCGACCGAGAGGAAGCCACATTCCCTGCGATCGGATAGCTGGATATAGGTGCTTGTTGTCCACGCGTTTGGCGATGCGATCGTCGAGAGCGGGTCAATTGCGAATGAGATCTGGCGGGCAGCCGGGGGGATAAAAATAAGCGGAATCAAGGGCCCCTCGAAATAATCAATGTACAGATTCCAGGTCTCCTCCCTCCGGAATAAGATCGGGAGTGATAGAACCGATGGAGCAGACGAGGACGCGGGGCGAGGCGAACTCGAGTGAAGGGGGATACGCGCACGGACCAGGCGGTCAGCCCGCGATCGCATCACGGATCCCCGGACGGGTCTAGTCTATACGATAGGAGCAATGATTACGTCGGAATCAGCAATATTTTATGAGAGCAGATGAATTGATTGGTATTTTGGAAGATAGTAAAATCTTAGATAGATGTTATAGGCGGATCACATCTCTCTCTATAGATATAGAAGGTTTTCTCTGTCCGGTTGGAAGTACTCCATCTATGTGGGATAGATATATATCGTGGTGGATGACAAGCCAATGTCTATACCTAGTTTGAGTCCATACGACAGCCAGAGCAGGATACATATCTCTAGAAAGATGTAAGAACAAGACGAGGACAGGGATATATACCCTGACCTTTGATCTAAAACTGAACTATAGTATACCAGCGATGGTGGGCAAAAGTACAATTTCAGGTCTATAAGATGAGCCTTATACATCAATGGTCTAGTTGTGCATACTTGTGATAACATGTGAAGTCTAGTGAGGCCTATACTCTTGAAAAATCTCTAACCCTACAATCTAAACTCCAGTATAGGTCTTATCTAACTATGCATGAAGTACTCCAAGGTTTGTGGAGGGGTTTAAACTTCGGAGATATCCACGATGTACCTGCTCCCGCACCGGAGAATCATAATTCCGGGTCTGCAAGACAGAAAGCGGTGGCTAGAGCGGTGACCATCAGTCCTCCATATAGTCATGCCTATCTCCACGCCCGATGGTTCAGCGCTGCCACCTAATCAGCAACGATGTCTATGGCGGAGGTTGACCTCGACCAGCTCTCGGAGAGCGAGAGATCTGCATTGGAGCAGTACACAAGTGTCACAGGTCAAGAGCTAGCAGAAGCAGTCCCTCTGCTGCGCCGGTCGCAATGGAATGTTCAGGTAGGTCGTTACACGTTACTTCCAGCTTCCGCCGAGGTAGCTAGCCAAAGGTACTTACCTCCACAATATAGATTGCCATCTCTAAATTCTTTGACGGGGAAGGCCCCGACCCGCTTGAAGAGGCTCGGGCAGCCATGAACCAACCCGAACAACCATTTCAGCCTGGGCCCGGGGTCAACTTGATGAACGAAGATCTACTTCAACAAGTGCGGCCTGTTAATCGTGCCTCGGATCCCGCTCCGCGAGTCGACACGCAACCCCAAAACCAACCTGTACACCGACCCCCATTCATCCTTTCCCTCCTCTTCGGCCCCTTCAATCTTATCTACCGAATCCTCCTCAGCTCCTTTCGCCTCTTTGGGACTCTGTTTCCTTTCCTCCCACGACTCTTCCGCACAACTGCTAGCCCGGGTCTTCAAGGAGCTCGACAAAATACCACGGGCCGCCGACCACTGGCACCGAAGGATACTGCCGCTCGGTTTATTCGAGAGTTTGAGGAAGAGTATGGATCGAATCCCCTCCCATTCCTCGAGAATGGTTACAACATGGCCCTGGAGAGGGCGCATCGCGATTTGAAGTTCCTATTGGTGGTTCTGCTATCGCCCGAGCACGATGATACGCACAGCTGGGTGCGCGAAACCCTATTGTCGCAGGACGTGGTGGAGTTTGTCAATCCCCCAAGCGATAATGGAAACGTGATCGTCTGGGGTGGCAATGTACGGGATGCAGAGGCCTACCAAGTCGCCAACTCATTACGAGTGACCAAGTTCCCCTTTACCGCGGTGATTTGTCACACCCCGAACGTCTCCTCCACCGCCATGTCGGTGGTGGCTCGGATTGCCGGCCCTCTTTCAGTGTCTGAATTCAAGCAGCGGTTAACGACTGCCGTGAACTCGCACCAAGGGCCACTCTCGCAGATTCGTCAGGACCGCAGCCAACAACAGGCCTCCCGGAGCCTGCGCGAAGAGCAGGACTCGGCTTACGAGCGTTCACTCGCGATTGACCGCGAACGTGCCCGTCTCCGCCGGGAAGCAGAGGCGACTCGTCAGCGGGAGGAGCAAGAAGCAGCGGAGCGCGAAGCTGCCGAAGAGAAGAGACTGCGGGATTTGGCCCAGTGGAAGCTCTGGCGAGCGGAGTCACTTGGCGCCGAGCCTGGTACAGATGTCAAAGATGCGGTACGAATCAGTGTGCGACTACCATCTGGCGAACGGATCATGCGCCGGTTTGCGCCCGATGCTGATATCGAGGAACTTTATGCGGTGGTGGAGTGTTACGAAGTCCTGCAGGACGAGTCTCGATCCACTGATGTGGAGGAGCCAGAAGGGTTCGAGCACCAGTATGGATTCCGCCTGGTGTCTCCTATGCCCCGGGCTGTTTATGCAGTGGAAGATGGCGGGACGATCCGCGAGAAGATTGGCCGGGGTGGGAATCTACTGGTGGAGCCCATCGAAGAGGACGATGACGAAGAGGAAGAAGAGACATCCGATAATTCGGGCTAAGACATCACGTAGTTGATGATGTCGTAATCTGATTTATGCAGGTTTAAATGCATTATATGTGAAATCCCGCAAACACCAATCCTATTATAGACTGTATTGTAGTTCAAACAGTAGTACCTCTGCCGCGTATTATGACGCCAGGGGTGTCATCACAGTACGAATACTATAGCAGGTGGCGGTAAACCCTTGCATCCTTGCTGCCTGGAATAAGGATGGGATATGATATATGAAACTTGGCTACTTGGCAGCTGAGATGAGCATGGGGATGGCTGCGTCGCCTGCAGGACGGGCGATCTCGATGCCGAAGCCGACATGGTGGCTATGGGCGCCACAGAGACCAGGGTCTACAGATCAGATACAGATACGGGGATAAGATCGACCGGGTTCATCCGTGAGATGGACGAACGTTGAGGACGAACGGACGAATAGGGCGGTCATTGGCAGGACAGCAGTACTCTTCTGGATTTAAGCAGTAGCGAAGTTTAGCCGTATGTAACATGATTGGTGGAGAGGTAGCTGAGTCATGCCCGGATGCGCCGCAGCCCGGTATCCGAACCCAGCGGCAGCCAGCAGTTGGAACTGCCCGAGAAGGGGCTTATGTCAGCAGTAGATTGGGAGCTCGGATTCTTTGCTCCCGGCCCACTTTTACTTCTAGAACGGTCCGGCACGTGTTTGGAGATCTGGACAAAAAAATACAATTGCATAATTCCTTCCCATACGAATGTTCGTGTACTGTGTGAATGGCAGTGAAGTATGGAGTATTAAGGGGGGGAAATGATTCATCTAATAATCATAATGTTGTCATTTTGATTCATTTAGATATATACGGGGTAGTATAAATCGAATAGTTATTGGTTATGTACATAGTAGCATGCCAAGAGGGTCTTTGTACGGTACAAGGCTCCATAACCGATGGTTCATCTCATCTGCAATTGCTCTTTTAGTATTAGTTTAGGCATCCGACGATGACACAGTCTGACTCGCGTTCCATTTTCCTAGGTCTCCGTACCTGTCAGTGCTAATTCCCCCCCTTAAGTTACCAAAGTTAAGGGCCTTGTCTCCGCCCGGCTGCTTATCGCCGGACGGATCGCTAAATTCCCGCTAGATTCCCTTTCGGAGGCAAAATCCATGATCGTTCCCGGTCCCGAATTGGCACGAAGCATCTCTTACTTGCAGGAATTTTTTTTTCTTTTCCTCTTTATTTATCATTCCTGTCCGCGCCTCCTTAACCTTAATTTTCTTGACGCTCTTTTTCTTCCTTTTCCTTTCCTACTATCTAATACCAATTATCCTAATCGACTCTCACGGCTAACCATTCTCTCAACTCCACCCCCTTATTGACTCCAGTCGCGTCAACACGCTATTCAACCCCATCAATTGATGGTCCTTTCCTAATCATCTCGACATTGGGTCCTCCGATTTATCCCCCCACATCTCGGACCCATATTACAACCTTCTAATTGACTTTTCCCCCACACGAAAAGAAGCTCGCTATGTCGCTTCTGGGGACCTTTAACCATAGCGTTACCACCGAGGTGACCAGTGAGTCGGTCTCGGTGGCTCGCGAAATTCATCACCATGATCCTGCCCACAGCGTCAGCAGCGAGGACACTGCCCTCGAAAAGACCGAGGTTGGCAATGAGGACGTGATCGAGGCCGAAGTCACTCGTCTGGCCCGCCAGCTCACCCGTGAATCCACCCGTTGGGTCGATGGTGAGAACACTTTCCTCGAGACCAAGGAGGACTCGACCCTCAACCCACACAGCGACAACTTCAAGGCCCGCAATTGGATGAAGAACTTGCTCGCTATCACTGCCCGCGACCCTGAACGTTACCCTTCCCGGCAGGCTGGCGTGTCATTCCGCAACCTCAGTGTCCACGGTTATGGTAGCCCCACTGATTATCAAAAGGACGTGTTCAACTCTGTCCTGCAGGTGGGTGCTCTGGCCCGCGCTATCACCGGCACTGGCAAGCAGAAGATTCAGATTTTGCGTGACTTTGATGGCCTCGTCAAGAGCGGCGAGATGCTGGTCGTCCTGGGACGTCCTGGTTCCGGTTGCTCGACCTTCCTGAAGACCCTGGCCGGCGATATGAACGGTATCCACAAGGACGACAAGACCCACATGAACTACCAGGGTATCTCCGACAAGCAGATGAAGAACCAGTTCCGCGGTGAAGCCATCTATACTGCCGAGACCGATGTGCACTTCCCCCAGTTGACCGTTGGTGACACCCTCAAGTTCGCCGCGCTGGCTCGCGCCCCTCGCAACCGTCTGCCTGGCGTTTCCCGTGAACAGTATGCCGAGCACATGCGTGATGTGGTCATGGCTATGCTTGGTCTTTCGCACACTATCAACACTCGTGTTGGTAACGATTTCGTGCGTGGTGTTTCCGGTGGTGAGCGCAAGCGTGTTTCCATCGCCGAGGCTACCCTTTGTGCCAGCCCTCTCCAGTGCTGGGATAACAGTACCCGTGGTCTGGACAGTGCCAACGCTTTGGAATTCTGTAAGACTCTGAACCTGATGGCCAAGTACTCCGGTACTACCTGTGCGGTTGCCATCTACCAGGCCTCCCAGAGCGCCTACGATGTGAGTTTTTCCCCACATACACCATTTCATAGTCGATTGTGCTAATTTAACATTATTTAGGTCTTTGACAAGGTGACTGTTCTGTACGAGGGTCGCCAGATCTACTTCGGCCGCACCGACGAGGCCAGGGGATTCTTCACCAGCATGGGTTTCGAATGCCCCGAACGCCAGACTACCGCCGATTTCTTGACCTCCCTGACCAGCCCCGCCGAGCGTATCGTCAAGAAGGGCTACGAGAACCTCGTTCCCCGGACCCCCGACGAGTTTGCCGCTGCTTGGAAGAACAGCAAGGATTACAAGGAGCTGATGCGTGAGATTGAGGAGTTCGACAAGGTCTATCCTATGGGTGGTGAAGCCCTTCAGAAGTTCGTCGACTCGCGCCGTGCCATGCAGGCCAAGAACCAGCGTGCCCGTTCTCCCTACACTATCTCCGTCTGGCAGCAGGTCAGCCTCTGCATGAACCGTGGTTTCCAGCGTCTCAAGGGAGATGCTAGTTTGACCCTGTCCCAGCTGATTGGTAACTTCATTATGGCTCTTATCATCGGTTCCGTCTTCTTCAATCTCCAGGACACTACCGATAGTTTCTACTCTCGTGGTGCCCTTCTCTTCTTCGCCGTCCTTCTCAACGCCTTCTCCAGTGCCCTGGAGATTCTCACTCTTTACGCCCAACGTCCAATTGTCGAAAAGCAAGCTCGCTACGCCATGTATCACCCATTCGCCGAAGCCATCGCTTCGATGTTGTGTGATATGCCGTATAAGCTTCTCAACGCCGTGACCTTCAACGTGACTCTATACTTCATGACGAATCTGCGCCGCACTCCTGGTGCATTCTTCACGTTCCTGGTTTTCTCTATCTTCACCACTCTGACCATGTCTATGATCTTCCGAACCATTGCTGCTAGCTCTCGAACCCTGTCTCAGGCTCTTGTGCCGGCTGCTATCCTGATCTTGGGTCTGGTGATTTACACTGGTTTCACCATTCCTCCTCGCAACATGCTGGGCTGGTCTCGCTGGATGAACTATATTGATCCCATTGGATACGGTTTCGAGTCGCTGATGGTGAACGAGTTCCACAACCGTTGGTTCGACTGTCTGGACTCATCTATGATTCCTGCTGGCGACGGTTATGATAATGTCCCGGCGACTAGCAAGATCTGCTCCACCAAGGGCGCTCGTGCTGGTTCTAACCGAGTGTTTGGCAATGACTATCTCGCTGATAGCTTCCAGTACTACGACAGCCACAAGTGGCGCAACCTGGGTATCATGATCGGTTTTATGATCTTCTTCATGGCTACCTACCTGATCGCCACCGAGTACATCTCCGAGTCCAAGTCCAAGGGTGAGGTCCTGCTCTTCCGTCGTGGCCACGCCCCTAAGCGCGCCTCCCATGAGGATGACGTCGAGCTGAGCGGCACCGTGACCCCCGGTGAGAAGACCGATGAGACCAGCAGCCAGGAGGTCACCGCTGGTATCCAGCGTCAGACCGCCGTTTTCCACTGGCAGGATGTGTGCTACGATATCAAGATCAAGAGCGAGGAGCGTCGCATCCTGGATCACGTTGATGGTTGGGTCAAGCCCGGTACCTGCACTGCCCTGATGGGTGTTTCTGGTGCCGGTAAGACTACTCTTCTGGATGTGCTTGCTACCCGTGTCACTATGGGTGTTGTCTCTGGTGAGATGCTCGTCGATGGCCGTCCTCGTGACCAGTCCTTCCAGCGTAAGACCGGTTACGTCCAGCAGCAGGATCTCCATCTCTACACTACTACCGTCCGCGAAGCATTGCGCTTCAGTGCTATGCTCCGTCAGCCCGCTCATGTCTCCCGTCAGGAGAAGTTGGACTATGTTGAAGAGGTCATCAAGCTCTTGGGTATGGAAGCCTATGCTGATGCTATCGTTGGTGTTCCCGGTGAAGGTAAGCTACTCCCCCGTCTAACTACATTCTCTTAAGAACCCCCCTTCTAATATCATCATAGGTCTCAACGTTGAGCAGCGTAAACGTCTGACTATCGGTGTCGAACTTGCCGCCAAGCCTCAGCTGCTTCTGTTCCTGGACGAGCCTACCTCCGGTCTCGACTCGCAAACCTCCTGGTCCATTCTCGATCTCATTGATACCCTGACCAAGCACGGCCAAGCTATTCTATGCACTATCCACCAACCGTCCGCTATGCTCTTCCAGCGTTTCGATCGTCTCCTGTTCCTCGCCAAGGGCGGCAGAACCGTTTACTTCGGCGAAATCGGCGAGAAGTCCTCGACCCTCGCTAGCTACTTCGAACGCAACGGCGCCCCCAAGCTACCTGTCGAGGCTAACCCTGCCGAATGGATGTTGGAGGTCATTGGTGCCGCTCCCGGTTCTCACAGTGATGTCGATTGGCCTGCTGTCTGGCGCGACAGTCCTGAGCGCAAGGGCGTTCACGAGCACCTTGCTGAATTGAAGTCGACTCTCTCGCAGAAGCCTGTCGAGGAGTCTAGCAACAACCCGGCTAACTATAAGGAATTCGCTGCTCCCTTCACTGTCCAGCTCTACGAGTGTCTCGTCCGCATTTTCAGCCAGTACTGGCGTACCCCGGTTTACATCTACTCTAAGGCTGCTCTTTGTATCCTTACTTCTCTCTACATCGGTTTCTCCTTCTTTCAGGCACAGAACTCCCAGCAGGGTCTCCAGAATCAGATGTTCAGTATCTTCATGCTGATGACTATCTTCGGTAACTTGGTGCAGCAAATCATGCCTCACTTCTGTACCCAGCGCTCTCTCTACGAAGTCCGTGAACGTCCCTCAAAGACCTACTCCTGGCAAGCATTCATGAGTGCCAATATCCTGGTTGAGCTTCCCTGGAACACTCTTATGGCCGTCTTCATCTTCGTCTGTTGGTACTACCCTATCGGTCTGTACCGTAACGCCGAGGAGGCCGGTGCCGTTCACGAGCGTGGTGCACTGATGTTCCTGCTTATCTGGACTTTCCTGCTTTTCACTTCTACTTTCGCCCACATGATCATTGCTGGTATCGATCTCGCAGAGACCGGTGGTAACCTGGCCAATTTGCTCTTCTCGCTCTGCCTGATTTTCTGCGGTGTTCTCGCTACTCCCGCACAGATGCCTGGCTTCTGGATCTTCATGTACCGTGTCTCACCATTCACGTACCTCGTCTCTGCAATGCTTTCCACCGGTGTCTCCGGTGCCACAGCCACCTGTGAGGCTATCGAGTACCTGCACTTCGATCCTCCCAGTGGCGAGACTTGCTATACATACATGGAGCCTTACATGAAGGTCGCCGGTGGATACCTCCTGAACAACAATGCCACCACCGACTGCTCCTTCTGCACCGTCAAGTCCACCGATGTCTTCCTTGCCCAGGTGACCAGCTACTACAAGGATGCCTGGCGCAACTTTGGCATTATGTGGGTCTACATCATCGTCAACATCTTCTTGGCTGTTGGCATCTACTGGCTCGCCCGTGTGCCCAAGGGCAATCGCAGCAAGAACTCCAAGTAGGAGTTGGTTTTCTTGCTGATCGAATATGTCAAGTACTATCTTTCTCGTTAGATTCTTTAATTTTTCCCAAAATGTTTCTGATTTCTGATCCCCCTGCATCATGTCACATGTTCTTCTGAATGATTCTCCTTTTCTATTTCATTTTTTTTTGTGATGTTGCTTTGCCTTTTCATTGGCATTGAGCGTTGCTGATTTGCGGCAGTCATTTGCACTGTCTTTATTGGCTTTTTGCATGGATGGCTTTTTGATTTTTTGAAGATCGTTAGAACATAAGCATATTTGCACATATGTATAGATTATTGAAAGGTCTCTTTTCTGTTACATTTTTGCTTCGCTGTAGTTTACTGTATTAAAGGGTAGACCATGCTATTCTCACCTAGTATGTCATGTATCAGATACAAAGAAGCTCGCCGATGGTATACTGCTGTGGCTACAACCCCCATACTTGAATATTATCGTAGAAGCCTCGACTAAATAGGATTAGACCGAGATACTAACTACTCTAAGTAAAGCCCCACGACGATCATACCCCCACCTAAAAAACATCGTACCTGATGCAGCTACATGTACTCTTAAACACCATACACAACTACACATCCAAGAGTCCCAGACTCAGCACCCACAATACAAAATGGCCAACCAATACACCCACAGACTAAACCAACTAGTCTCCCTAGTCGAAGAAGAAGGCTGGTCCGACTTCGGCTTCCTCCTCTTCCGCACAAGCTACAACGACGAGAACCTCTGGTCAACCTTCCTCGAATACAAAGACCAAATCCTGTCCTCAGCTATCCAAAACGCACCCCCAGAATCAGGACTATCCCATATCACGGACAAAATGTACCTAAAGCAGGTATCCAACGAAGCATTGAGGGATATCACACCCGAACAAGTCGCAATCGCATATCGCAGCTTGGAAGATGGCGCAGTTGATGGAGATGGGAATTCGGAGGATAGGATTGAACCGGGTCTGAGGACTAGTGTTTGTCTTATGGTCGATGAGGAGTGTATGCGGTCTGTTGTTGGGTGGGTGGAGGGCGGGTTGGGGACTGTGCCGTTTGTGAAGGCTGTGGATGTTTTGTTGGGGGAGGAGGAGGTAGGGTATTCGGGGGTGTTTAGGGTTGCGATTTCGTCGTTGTTTACGGAGTTTTATCTTGAGCAATTGGAGTGTGGTGAGACGGTGGAGTTGGCGCCGGAGGGGGATGGGGTTTGGAGGGGTCTGTCTAAGAATTAAGGTTGATAAAGTTAGTCTGATGAGACTTGATATATGCAAGAAATGCCTTTAACCTCAGAGGAGAACGGTATTCAATTTTTATACTGTAATCTAGGTGACGGTAAAACTGCTGCCTCGGGAAGTGATCCGCTCCCGGAGCAGCCTGGCAAGCTGGCATGGGCCAAGCCGGTGTCGGTAGCTTCTTCGGAGCCGTTTGAGAACGGCTATATGGTACCAAGATGGGACCAGAAGCGCGTTGTTATCGGGTCCCTCATTATAACTTCAGGGTGGACTCTTCTGGGTGGGCCAGCGCAAATGGATGGAGGTCTTGTGGTGCAATTAATTGAGGTTGGTTGAATTCGCTGCTCTTCGCGGTGCCCAAATAGCGTTCATTGAATACTGAAAGCTCTATGAGGTTGGTGCTTCATGTTGATAAGCAAGAAGACATCAACACTAAACCGAAAGGGGAAGTGACTCCGCCAAGGCTAGAGGGGGTGCTCGTACAACCTCTACTGCGTCAACATGGCCAACCGCGTACCCCGATCTCCTTCTACCAATATCTGCTGAATAGCTGGGCTAGGTCATTTCAATGCCTCAGGACCGATCTAATGATATGCACCTCAGGACTACACAGCGGGCGCCTCGTAGCTGCCGATCATGCACATCTCGAAAGGTCAAGTGCGATAAGGCGGTGCCGTGCTCGACATGCATCAAACGCGGAGAGGCTGACGCCTGTGCGCGAGAGATGGTTATTGTACGAGGTGAAGTCACAATGTACGTTATCTCACCACTTACAAGAGTGCGTCAACCACTAACCAGTCAGCCAGATGGAAGGATGAGCAGCTACCTACCTACGAGGAGCTGCGCCACGAGAACAAACGACTGCAAGAAGAGATCAACTGTCTCCGGGCTGAAAATAAACAGCTAATTGACAGCAAGGCTGCTTCCGAGTTACCTGGGCTATCGCTGAGACAATCGCGCGCCGTAGAGCATGACAATGAAGGTTTAGAGGAGGAATTGTGGAAAAGTCTTGCTGTGGCATCAGCCGCCTCGAGGTCCAGCGTCTCAAACTGGGACGACATTGTTTTGCCGAACGCAGGGTGTAGCAAACAGCTTGTCGCGTATGACAAGGTGTGGAATTCATGGGTACACTATGCTCTTGAATACCCGAGCTTTGAGAAGGAGTGTACCAGTTTCACTGCAGCGATGGACAGAGGTTTGTTGCTCGAGGAAGCTGATCCGTCATGGATAGCTGTTTATTTCAGTGTTCTTGCTGTATGAAACCCCTTGTTGAAGCCGGTGATATGCCTCATGTATTGAGTCTGCGTCACAGGCAGCGCTTCTCATGATGCGCGATGATGAAGCAAGCATGCTAACCCTCCCACAAGGTAGATTTTGTTTTGATGAACTGTAGCCCTCTTCCAGGTGTTAATAATTGACTATGGGTTAGGTTTCGATCGCAGAAAATTATCTCGCATGTGGTACGATGCTGCTATCTTCTCCCTCTACCGCGCCGACTTTATGAGGGTTCCCCACATCCACACCGTTCAAGCCATAGCAATCCTGGGCATGTGCTTCAACAACTGGGGAGACGTGGAAGTTGGTCAGCACATGTGGAGCTGTGCCCTACGAATAGCTCGGCGAATTGCCTTGAACACCCCCTATTCGAATGCGGCCGCTGCATGTCTGAGTGCAGAAGCCCAGCACCGGCTATGGTGGACACTGGTAATTTGTGAATGGTAATTGACCTTTAGCACATGTCAAATTTATGTGGGAAGGAATGAAGAAGGTGAAAAATAAGGGAAAAACTGACAACTTTGGTGGGGATGGCAGGTTAAAATTGCCTTATCGGCCTCCAGAAGTCGACGATACGGATTTTGACGTGCCTCTTCCATCTGCCACCTTAACAGAAGCGGGAGAAGACGAGGCTGCTCATTACCATGTTCACTATCACATTTTTATGGCGCGGACGGCAGCCGCCGTATACCGCTTCCGTGCTGCAATTAAATCGGGCTCTGGATCCGCTGAAGAGACAATTACAGCCGTCAAAACCGTCGACGAGGAATTAGCAGAAATTATCGACAGCCTTCCTCCCCTTCTTCAGCCTGACACTGATATCGCAGATGGAAATTTGCACCGGCTTGAGCTTGCGCACCCTTGGATCAAGTGGCAGCGGCGCGACCTGACCTTGGTCCTTCTGCATATGCGCCTACGCATCCATCGTGCCCTTCATGAACAGTGGCTATCATCTTCTGGTCACCACAATTGGGCAAGAACCGTCAGCGTTAATTCAGCCATGAGTATTATCTGGATCAACCGCAATTGGGATCAACCAGCCTCTATGCGAAAGCAATGGTATGCCCAGGTCCTGGCGATGGTTTCCCAAAATAACCACTAACGATTACAGGGCATTATCCCATCATATTTTTGCTTCAGCTATTCTTCTTCTCCGTGAATGTCAAAGCGACCGAGCGGCTGATACAGAGGATTATCAGGAAGCGGTGCAAACTGCTCTTAGTCTGCTAGAGGATGTGCAGCAGTGGAACGCCGTCGCATATCATGCAGCTGCAATAATTAGAGATCGACTGAATAATAACAGTTCAGTTATAAATAGCCTATGACTCTGCTATACATGGTCCATGGGATGCGCTCCCAGAATTCAAACGTTTTTCAAAAGGTGAAAGCCAAATGCCCGCCGTGCCTCTGTCCCAAGCCCGTCCAGTCCAACATATCCTTTCAACTTAGTTTCATCGAGATCATTGCCTTCTAAGTAGTCGGGAGCCACGCGACCTTCAAGTGTGCACGCAAGCTGCATTTTGACGTATTCTTGGTTAACTGGAGTCGTCGGACATGAGGCTATGAACGCGACTGATGCGTGGCTTGTCCCTAGTTGTTCCGTGTCCACGGCATGGCAGAGCTGAGACAAGCAACAATATCGGATTAGCAAGGCTGTGCAACAGGTCCTGAAAGGGGCACATCCATAAAAAGGAACTTACATCACAATGCCACCAGACCGTGTCTCCTGCCTTCACTGGTGGAGCATACACCAGACATTCTTCCAGCCTAAGATGAGGATGCGATGACCGGCTGAGACGCTGGCTCTCCGCCTTGAAAGTCCCCGGGAACCAACCCGTCGAGCCATCAATTGTCCAATTCTCACCATCCATAATATCCACACCTGGATCAGCCGGCGGTTGGAAGAACGGACGTAGAAGCATGTAAGCGATGACTGTTTTAACATTCGGATAAAACATGATGCTGCCTTCCCGCGGAGCCGTAGGTGTCAGGGCAGTCCAGCCTTGGAAAGTGCGCAGCACCTTCGAGTGCGCCATACCCTCGTATAAGGCCTGATTGGCATCTTTGCGCACACTCAGGTCAAAAGGGTTGAATTTTTCAGGGTTTCCTGAGAAAATGCTCTCATATACCTTCCGATAAGTTGGATCGGCCCAGCGAGAGAGACTGCCGGCATCGATATGTGGTCCCAGGCCGAGGAATGGTTGTCCTGGCGCACGGTCGCGAACACCATCCAGGTAAATGAGAGGTTCTGAGGTGGTCACACCCGTTGAATCGTGCCACAGCTCATTCAGCTTACGCTGGAGGTTGAGATGGTTGGGATGTGAACGGAGAGTGTTCTGAGTTGGTGAGTTGTACAGGATGAGCATGGATGGGCTCTCCTTCGGCCAACCTTTGATAGACCCCTCATTGTCAGCTATAAATTGCTTAAGATTGTCGTAGAGCTTCTTAGTTTCCTTCTCCGGAACTGTCGCCCTACAGACGAAAGCGCCAACACGCTTTATCTCGTTTTTCTGGGCGCAGGTAAAACCACTCGTAAGGATCTTCGTCGTGTCAAATACCGGTATCACCTTATTGCCCTTCTCTGCTATCTCGTCGGTTACGCTCTGGAGCTCCTTGCATACTTTTATCCAACTCTTGCGGATAGCGGACGTGCCGTACTCGGCAATGATAGCCTTTTTGACAGCTAGAAATTCAGGGTCTGCGGCCTCATTTGGGCCTTCATGGGTGTATTCGGCCCAAGCAGGCCAGTCTTTGATCGGAGTTGGCATTATCACGATCCGACAGACGTGAGGTTGGATTAACTGCGTCTTTTTGGGATCACTGATGTGAATGATCAAGAGGCAGGGCCTGGTAGAACGCTTGATTCGAACCCCTGGGGTAAGTCTATCCGTGTTAAATACATTATGGTCGGGTTTAGAGCCAGGCCCCTGGACTCAAAAGCCGTTCATTCTCTGGAAACCCCACGCGAACTCACCCGTGCGGCAAGGCTGGTTTACAGAATAGCTTATCGTAATGGTTTAACCCTTACTGGTAAACTCGCCCGAACTGGTCCGAGTTAGCACGGTTATAGTTCAGTCCGACGTTTAGACAAGTGCGGGGGTTTAAGGCTTGGATACCGAAGTGGGGACCAATAAAAGAGACTCTGATTACTTCACACGAACTCACCCGTGAGGCAAAGGCTGGTTTTACAAAAGAGCTTATCGTAACGGTTTGACGCTTACTGGCCAGCTCGCCCGAACTGGTCCGAGTTAGGGCAGTAGGCGTTCTTTCAACGGCTGAGGGGGTGCGTGGCCCTGGATCACGATACGACGATTCCGGAAGCGGGCATCATTCATGAGACAGATAAAGACTTCCTGGAGCTTTATATAGTCTTACAGCTGCTGATCAACAAGGCGAATGATCACATAACTTGTCGCCAGTATAGTTACTGGAGGCAAACCGCAATCATTCAATTGCTTGGCATAATACTCACTTTGCCTGTAACGAACTTCAGCTCATATCATGGTCCTTCTTGAGCGTAAATATGTCCCAAAATTGGTACCGGCGGACCACGGGGTGCTCATGCCTCTGCTTCTTGCTGTTACTATTGTCAATTCAGCAGTGAGTTTAACATATTGCCCGATGCTGGGATGCTTTTTGCGGTACTGACCTCTACAAGACTCTAGGATATGACGCATCAGTCATGAACGGCCTACTAATCCTACCGTCTTATTCTGAATACTTCCATCTTAACACTACCACTGAGGGTCTCAACAACGCAGCCATGTGGATGGGAGGAATTCTGGGTGCCTTTCTCATGCAGCCGGTCCCTGACTATCTTGGCCGTCGCCGTGCGATCCTGGTCGCGTCGCTCGTTACTATTGTTGGCATCATATTACAGGCCTCTTCCCAGAATATTGGTATGTTTGTTGTTGCCCGCATCATAGTGGGAATTGGATCTGCCATCAGCAACGGTGCGGCTCCAACTTTACTGGGAGAGCTTCTACCCCCTCGACGTCGTGCTCGAATCCTTGGACTCTTCTTCTCGTGCTACTACGTTGGAAGTCTGGCATCATCTATTGTGAACTACGGCAGCCAGAACATCAATAGCACGTGGTCCTGGAGGCTGCCTTCGCTACTCCAATTCATTCCTAGCCTCCTAGCTATTATTATTGTACCCTTCATCCCGGAGTCCCCTCGCTGGCTGATCGCACATGGAAGGAATGATGAGGCACTGGAAGTCTTACTTATCATGCAAGGCAAGAATAGTACAGACGTGCAGAAAGGCAATGAACAGCTTTGCGAAATCAGAGATACACTCGTTCGTGAGGCCGAAGAATATCCCCGTAACCCGTGGAGAGAGATCATCTCGACTAAGGGCAATCGGCGGAGGCTGCTTATCCTGTGTACCTTTGGTCCGATGATCAACATGTTTGGAAATTTCATCATCTCGTGAGCTCCTAGAATTCTACATACAATATACGTTGTGACTAATTAATACAACAGATTCTACCTCACGAAGATTCTCAGCCAGGCCGGTATTACTGATACAACAACCCAGACTCAAGTACAAGTTATCATAAACTGCTGGTCATTTGCTGTCGCCATCCTCGGTAGTTTCATGCTGGACATTCTTGGACGAAGGGGGCAAATTTTTATCGGTGTGGGCGGTATGGTGACTACGCTGCTGTTGATTGGAGGCCTCATTAAACGTGAGTCTGCGTTGCTTCATTTATGGAACTTTCGGCTAAGCATACACTAATGATGTTTAATCATTGAAGGCTATGGATCGACCACCAACACATCCGGCATATACGGTACTATTGCTGCCATCTTTCTCTTTCAAGGGTTCTACGCATTCTCGGTCACCCCTATGACAAGTCTATACCCAACGGAGGTTTCACCATTCAAGCTCCGTACAACCGGTATCGCCATTTTCCGAATGCTGGATTCTGGTTTTGGGTATGTCCCTATGAGTCACTTCTTCCCCATGGAAAGAGTCCCACTATTACTAAAGGTATACTGAATTCTTTGATGATACAGTCTCCTCGCGTCCTTCGCCATGTCCTACGCAATGGCCGACCTCAGCTGGAAGTTCTACTTTATCAACGCAGCCTGGGACTTTGTCTTCCTGATCATCGCATACTTTACGTTTGTTGAAACAAAGGGACTTGAACTTGAAGAGATTAATTCTAGGTTTGAGGGGACGGAGATTCTCACTGGGGTCATTGATGATAGGTCTTGTGGGGATACCGACGACGCCAAAGATGGGGAAGTCGTTGATAAGGCCAAGGAGGTGTAGAATGGTATACTATCTCAGACGTAACATAATATAACCTACGTTTACCTGTTCCCAGATGCCGTTTTCGTCCGCCGCCGTACTACGCTGGATGTCCTTTCTATGTATACATCAGGGCATACAGAGTAACTAGCTCTAAAACTATATAGATACATGATGAAACCGTTCGGCCAAAAATGCTTCATGAGCGACAATTTCAGCTTATACGGTTATAACGTGGAGTGGAGTGGATCTCAACAATACATATAGGCAAGATTGGCCTATGAGCCTACTTTCACTCTATAAACAAAGCTGCCATAGACTGATATTAATGTAGCTATAAGCTATAGACAGTTTTAGTCGAATACCGGAATTGGATAGAAGAACGACACCGAATATAGGCAGGTAAGTCTTTATGCATTGACACCAAGGGCATTCTCTGTAACCCGCTAATAGTAGTACAAGCAAGCAAGATAATCTTGCTAGAACAATTCCAAGTAGTGCCATCCACGGTACTCAAATAAATATAGCGAGGCGAGTGATTTTTGGTATGTCCTGGAGAACGCCGTTGAGAGCGTCTCATCGAGAGCGCTGGGACTGCGTGTTGCAACGCGGGTTGACCCGGTTTACCATACAAAAACATAACGTAATTCCTGGCCGATCTGGACCAAAACATCATCCCCACAATGTCAAAGCGATGAGTAAATTTGCTTAGGCCGATTTCCAGGCCCCACCTCCACGCGGGGGGGGGGGGGGGGGTTGATTTCCCACATCCAGCCATTCGATTGTTCGGTGTCAACATGACCGGTCTACTTCAAGGTGCGGATTGGATTGGATAAAGTCTCGAAGTGAAGGATGACTCGCAAGCCACATGAGAATTCTCCCGTCACCAACGGAGGGCCCCCGATCCAGCAAATAGACCTGTCCAAGACCTCATAATACCCGTGGCCTATGCGCGGAAACACGATCGGCGCTTTCACCGAACGTTCATTTCCCTCATAAAGCCCGGCGATTCCGCCGAATTTGCGGGACACAGGCGAGAGACAGTCCAGACTTAGGGGATTTTTGTTGCCCAGCATGAGCAGTAGTAACAAGCGTGCAAAGCTCAGTGACGAAGGAATCGTGTCCGACTACCCCCAGGCCAAGGCAAAGGCTGCAAAGCCACGGCTGACCCGAGCTTGTAAGGAATCTGCGTACCGGCCACCCATTCCCCGAATGATCAGGCTGATCAGGCCCAGGTGCCGAGTGCAAGAAGCACAAGATCAAATGCTTTGTGCAGCCTGGCCAGACAGCATGCAATAAATGCTTAAAGAGCGGCGTTCATTGTGTCCCTCACAACTTTGCCCAAACCTTTATAGATGAAGATGCTGTGTAGGTTTTCAAGCCTCCCTTATATATCCCATCTCTTATAGTTATAGATGGAAAGCACAAGCTACCGCGAGGATTGACCTCCTCGAAGACGCTGTCAAGCATCTATCTCGCCATAATGGTTTGCCGGTACTTGCAGGCGCAGATGGCGCGATGTCTGCACTGCACTCCCTGTCGGAACCGGACCGTGAACGTTCTATGCAGACACTGTCGCCGCTGAGCACAGGACAGTCGGAATCTGTCGCTGGCAACTTCACCCCCGAAGGCCCTTCGGTGGGCCTCCGCAGCCATCAAGACGATTCCGATCTCGTCCCCCTCCCGATGAATAATCTCTACAACCTTACTGACCCGAACAATTCTCAGCTGATCCGTGTTGATCCCGCCGACATCAACGGGCCCGACTTTATCAGCCAAGGGGTTCTTCCAGTTTCCGAGGCTGAATTCCTTTTTGATCACTACAGATGCTACATCAATCCGCTGCTGTGGGATGGAATGCTTTGCTCGCACAAATCTCTACATGAGGCGAGGCAGTCCTCGTCCTTGCTGGTGGCCGTGGTGCTCACAGTGGCCGCTCTCCATGTCCCCAATCGAGAAGAATCTCTACACATCACGTACGGAGCATTCGTTTCACTGATGAGGGGGTCGTGTTTGCTCCGCTGCCAGAACTTGGATGTGATCCGGGGTTTGTGTATCGGGGCTTTCTACTTGACAAGCCTTAGCTGGGCGCTCTGTAGCCGAGCTGTGCGAGTGGCCACCGAGATGAACCTCCACAAATCTTCCCTGCAATTTGCCCGGGGCTCTCTCGAGTCCTATGAGCGTGTCCGGCTCTGGTACGTTCTCTACGTTTGCGATCACCAGTTTGCCCTGGCGTACGGGCGCCCGCCCTTGATGCATGAAGACGCGGCTATCCGGAATGCCGAGAAGCTCCTGACAAGCGGGTTATCCTCCAAAGGCGACCACAGCCTTGTCGCCCAGGTTCGACTATTCCGGATTTTGGCGAGTGGGTACTTCATGCACGGCTGTGACCCCGACCTCGAGCTCAGTGGACGAGACTTTGAGAAGCTGAAGGAGTTCGACATATCTGTGGATCAGTGGCGTCTCGAGAACCAGTCCAAGGAAGTCGGCTCTGTGAGAGACAGTTTGATCCCACCAGCAGCAAACGCTCTCTACTACCACCTAGCCCGCTTTCAGCTCAACGCGGTAGCGCTCAGAGGCATCTCAGCGAGGCAAGCTTCTCATGACTCCATCTCGAGCCTCAACATGAATTGGGACAGGCAAGAAGCATCCAACATTGCCATTATGACCGCCATGAGTACAGTGAAGCTTATTGTCGACGATGGTGACCTTCAAAACGTGTTGATCTGGCTACCCATATTTTTGCACGCCATGATTGCGGTCTGTGCATCATTCCTTCTTAAAATGGCTGTCGTATTTGGCGAGCCTGCCTCTGAAAATGATGGCACGCTCCACCTTCCCAAGGACCTCGCTCGGTATGGCTTGAACTTTCATACAAAGACGGCACTGACAAATGTGGACCGCTTGGTAAAAGTGTTGGGTCAGGTAGCAGACAACGCGAGCCAGCGGCACGTGGTGAGACAAGTCGTCACTGGGTTAGAAGAACTGCTCCAACGGTTCTCACCCTGCCGGAACGTTGACAGCTTCCTATACTCATTGCGGCGAAGCAAGGACCCCCTGTCTTTGGCCTTGAATGGTTCGAAGCGGCAACGGGTTACAGGGACCGACAGGGACTCGCTTGTTCAAAGGCATGATGGCGGGATCGATCGCAATTATGCTGATGAGACGGTGACCCAGATAAATGGCCCGGTGCAAGCTGACAGTGCCCAGCAGCAAGATCTATTTGATCTTACCGGAGACTTGGACTGGCGTTTTGACCATGGCTTCCTTTTTGGCATTGATGTCATTGATTCTGAATTGACGTTTCTGTAAACTCGGTCAACCTCGTATGGTTAACGTACCAGATGTTCCTGTTCAATATGTACCTTACAGGAGATAGACATTACAGGTACTCGCACTGATGATGATGATGATGATGATGACGGCCTTCATATTTTTGTTCTGACTAGTCAAATGTATGTGATGCCATTTGGAACCTGATTTCTCCCCCGGAACCCACATACTGTCTCGTGCGTCGGTCTTAGGCCTTCAAGCCCACCTCGTGTGCTACCCGGCGGGCTCTCAACTCACCAGCCATCGCCCTTGCGTGATCGATTCTCTGAACCGGGTATTTCTTGAAGAAGTATGCAAACACCACTGTGCAGATACAGAGGACACCAAGCCAGCTGGTGGTAGTCGCAAAACCTGGAATGTAACGAGGGGCATCCTTGCTCGGCCATAACCAGGATGAGTAGATGGATGAAGCATTACCAATCGCGTTTATCAGAGCAATAGCAATGGATCGCTTGGCCGCAGGATGGGGAATGACATCTGCGACCCATGTCTTGACTAGCGGAGAGCAGCCGTAGATTGTACCGAAGGCGAAGATGGTGAGTACGTACTGGGCCATCTTGTCTTGAACGGTAGTCACGGCTATGAAGAGGACGCAGCCGACCCCTGACAAACCGCAGATAAACTGCCACTTGCTCTTGTACCTGTCCGCCAGCCAGCAGCATGCAACGACGCAGACCAGAGCGGCCATATAGGCAGGAATAGTATGATCTGCTCATCATTCAATGACTGCAATCCGACGTTCTAGTGATGATAGATCTTACATTGACCGGAAGGCCCATCCCATCCAAAACTTTGCACGAGCGTAGGAATAAAGTACTGCATCGTTTGGGATCCAGTCACAAGCACGAAGAGGAAACATTGAGCCCACACTCTCCAGTCGCTGCACGTCATCTTGAACGCGACCCAGTGGGGAATAGCCTGGGCTCCGCTACCTTGGGTCAGCTCGATACCGTCAATTGATAATCTGTTGCAAGCAAGGATACTATCCTCTTCGGTCAGGAAACGCCTGCTGTTCGAGGGATAGTCGGGCATGAGAAAGTAGATGGTGATGGATGCGCTGATTGACGCAATCCCCTCGAGAATCTATCGGTGTCAGTAAGCACCGATAATGTTTTCCACGACAGTGTGAAACTGACAAAAAGCCATCTCCAGCCCGGAAGACCACTGACTCCATCCATACGATCAGTAATTAAACCTGCGAGGAGGCCAGACACCGCTCCAGCAATTGGAACTGAGGTGTACAGCACAGCATATCGTGTTGCCAGTTCATATCGCCGATACCAAGATGAAAGGAAGAAAGCACACCCGGGGGCGAAACCGGCCTGTAGAAATTGTCAGACAAGTTTACTGGATTTCTTCCTCCACGCACCTCAGCAAAACCGAGTAGGAATCGCATGCCGGCTAGTTGCCCCCAGTTCTGCGTCGCTCCCATGACGGCGGCGAATATGCCCCAAATGATACCCAATCCAGGTAGAAACACACTGGGCCGGACACGAGTCAGGATCATATTGGCCGGAACCTCAAAAATGAGATATGACACAAAGAACACGATTACGATAATGGAGTATTGAGAGGAGGTGAGACCAAAGTCTTTGTCTAAACCACCAGTTTTGGCATTGCTAGAAACATGGTTTAGTAATAGTGTGACGTGATATCCATATGATACTTTATATACCTAATGTTGGCTCGGTCAAGATAACCAAGGAGGTACAGCACCCAAGTACACGGGAGAATTCGCCAGTCAAGCTTGCGAACAAGTCTCTTCTCCTCTGGCGTGCCATCCACCCATTGGGCTGCGATTTGCTGAGCCTCAGCAAAATCAGCAGCGGCTGCATGATTACCATCAAAGTCGATGTCATTCTCGCTGGACTTGACAGATGCCAGGGCAGAGACATGCTCCACGTGCTGGTTGAGATTGATTTCTTTCTCCTCGCAATGAGACATTTTCATGCGCAGCTTCAAGGAGGCGAAGAGGGAAGTGATGAGAGAACAATTCCAGGAGCCATGATGCTACGCCGAGGCCACCTTTATACATTGCAAATCGCGTATTGCCCTGCTGCGACTCGATTCTAGGTGAACATAGACTTAGTGCCAACAATGTACTACCCTGCGGGGTTCGGCGTGGGGAGCATGTTGAGATCGGCGAAAACGCCGTGCTCCGTCATGTGCTTCTCGTCGTTCCCTTCCCGCCCGTTTGTCGACGCCCATCCGCAGATCAGCCGATTGCTCAACCTCTGGAACATCGGCAAAAGCGCCGTGATATTAACCATCTCCAATATACCATTTTTCTCCTTATAACATCGCGATCAGGCCTCTGTACTTCAAGCCGAGGTAACTGACAGATAACCCAATTCCCCATCTATTATTCCCTTTTACCTATAAACACTCCCGGATTCGAGGTCTCGTCTTCCTCCTACTTACCGCATTATTTCTCCGAAAAGACATCAGCATCCTCGACATGGTTGGAGCCATCGATATCTCTCGAACCCAACTGCCCCGACGTCCACGCGTTGCCGTTACCCTAGGCGACCCGTCGGGCATTGGTCCTGAGTTAATTGCCAAGCTCCTCAGTAACCCAGCGAATCGCCAGAAAGCCGATATTGTTCTCCTTGCCGATGAGACTGAGCTTCAGTCCGCTATGACTGACGCAGGAGGGGTGCATGTCGCCATCTCTTCTGGCTCTGCTGGGCCGCATGGTATCCAACTGATCGATGACCACAGCGCCGCGAAATATCCCTCTACCCGAGGAGAGGTTTCGAAGGCCAGCGGGGCACGCAGCATTCACCAATTAAAAAGAGCCTTGAAGTTAGCACAAGTGGGTGAAATTGACGCTATTGTCTTTGCCCCGTTGAATAAGAGCTCTCTGAAACTAGGTGGCATGACGGAGGAGGACGAACTGCGATGGTTCGCCAACCAATTAGACTTCAAGGGTACCACGAGTGAAATCAACATTGCCGGACCGTTATGGACAGGTAGAGTCACGAGCCACATTGGAATAGAGCAGGTTGCGCATCGCATAACCAAGGAGTCAACGCTGAAAGCCATCGAACTGTTGCACCAGCTGAGGTATACTTCTGAGTAACCGATTTTCTCCTATACGCAGCTGACATCCATCAGGTGGGAGTCAGGGATAGACTCTCCACGCCTCGGCGTTTGTGCACTGAACCCTCACAATGGCGAGAACGGTAGTTTCGGGCGGCAAGAGATAGATCACATTCGGCCCGCAGTAGAGGCAGCCCTCAAAAACGGCATCGATGTCCAGGGCCCGTTCCCATGCGACACCATTTTCATCAAGCGACAGCACTTTGATGGCATTGTTACGATGTACCATGATCAGGGGCAGATTGCAATGAAGCTGCTTTCATTTGACGGGGGAGTGACTGTGCAAGGCGGCATTCCGATCCCCATTGCCACTCCTGCTCATGGGACAGCTTTTGACATTGTCGGCAAGAATCTGGCGGCTGTCACCAGTACTCAGAATGCCTTCGACATTGCTGTCACAATGGCGGAGAGAAGAATCCTGAAGAAATCAGACTTTCTTCCTGATACCATGTCTGTCAAGGCTGGGCCACGCCCCCAAAACCGTTGTAATGGAATGCTCAGCACCTCATGTTGCTGAAGATCAGAGGGCCAATAGAATAGAGCCTGCAGATAGATAGATGGATATCACGTTCCGGATTGGCACAGCCGGATACTCAATTGGCGGTTTAATGTTTTATGGTTCCGACCATAAACAGACGGACAGCCAGGAGAAAGTTTCCTTGCTTTCTCTTCTTGAATACACCGATTTGAACCCTGTTCTATCGCATGGCTGTAACAGTAAGTAGACTTCTTAATAACGTAATTCCCGCCCAACTGGGTCACCCCATCCAAAATCGCGTCCCATCCCTGATCACCTGCATCACCCTGAGCAACCCTGAGCAACCATCAGTGCTCAGGGAGCATGCGGAAATGGTGGACAGAAACAGATGACGTAAGAGCTCGAGGACTAAGATTACGGTAAAACTGATGCTTCAAAAACCTCAAGAGTGGCCGTTTTCGGGGTCAAATTTACCGTTACCTAGTGTTGTGGCGTAATATTGGAAAGCACCTACTTATAATATACTTTGCTGATTTAAGCGACCACCGCGGAGGTTGTCTGGTGGTAGCACTGCTAACTACCATAAGTATGTCGTTAATACCTTATTTATGATAACAATGTCTATAAAATACACAGAAATATAGTCATCTCTCGTGAAAAGGCCCATATAGCAAGCTTTCTCCGAGAAGACTATACATTGCCATATACCTCGGCGGGTATCTTAATCAAGGCAAAAGTACTGTCCTTTTGATCCTAAGAATCAAGGCAACAAAATTCAGACTAGAGCGCTTCTTCGCTAAGAACATGTCGATTTGATAGACCTCCCTCTACTGGCCGTTCTCTTTTGCTGCAGGCTAGACGGGAAGAAGCTGCGCAGTCTTCTCCCCCCCTCCCTTTTAGAGGGCACTAGCAAACACGAGACCACGGCGGCCGATTTCGGACGCAGTGCCTGAATCTAGTGTGCTGGCAAAGTCACGCGGGGGAAGAAAAAGGCCCAAACCAAGAACAGCATATCTCCCCGGCCGGCCGGTCCCTTCCTGTAAGCATGCAGGAGTAACGCTGGTAAGATGCTATCCCTTATACCACCACCAATAAAATAGAGCGGGCAGGTATCTTAATCTAGGGACATCATCCAACCTACATGAGTTTAGAACTTAAGAGGCTGTGAACATCACCTCCTATTGGTGGTGTAGTCTTTTAATCCCTGCACTTCTGACTGACCAATCGTTCGAGAGGCGGAGCGCATTTGAGGGTCGAAGTCTTCCGTCACATTACAATGTAGTTTACCAACCCTATAAACCGTAAGCTGAGACGTCTCCACTCTGACGCTAAGACGGTTTCTTGACATGCACACTGCACCTTATGTTCCGCCACAGTCTACACACGCAGCTTCTCGATCTTCTCTTTTTCTGTGTTGCCCAGTTTGATGATACTTTTAGAATATCGGTCAAGTCCTGCAGAATGTCAAGTATATGTTCATACTGTACGTGTTCACCTCGATTCCAGCTCGATTTGAAAATAAATACCCTTCGTCGCCCCCTCAAAATGACAGTCCTCTCTTATTATTTCATTCCATCTCAATTAGTACCAAGCTCGTTTTGCATTTCCCTTCATCCTAAACCTTGAACATTATTCGTGGGGCACAACAACGTTTGAGTGAACATGGCCTACCATCCAGGAACCAACTTCCCCGAGAGCCGCAACCAGCTTCCAGAAGACCCTGTGATGAGAGACCTAACATATGGTTTCAATCAACCTGCAAGTCTACCGATGATGTCTTTCACTGCGCATGAACTCTCCATGCTTTCGGGTCCTTTCTATGGTTGGTTATTTCAATACTATACACCCAACCCTAATAAAGTCGTATCATGTAACTGACAACCACTCTCGTATAGGACAAGTCCCTCCCAGGTACAACGATACCAGCACCCCATTCATGGCCGACAGCTTCGAGTACGAGACCCACAACCCCGGATCTCAACTCCACACCCCCACACCTTTACCGAAAAAAGGTTCCGTCAAGAAGACTCTTGTCCATCGCTCCAAGAAGCAAACCAAGTATGTCACTGTATAAACCAGCTCTCCCTACCCGAACCATTCTAATCAAGAGCGTTTCTATCAACATCTAGTCCCCGTCCAACTCCTCCGCTTTTAATCTGCAAATGGTCCACGTGTACCAAACCGTTCTCCCGCAAAGCAACTCTGGTACGCCACGTGGTGACCCAGCACGTGGATCCCGGCTCGGTTCCATGTCTCGATGAGGAGTGCATTAAGGTTTTTAATCGGAAGGATAATATGATGTCGCACTTCCGGACTGTTCATGTTGATGACTGGTGAGGGATACATCTATATGGTCCGGGTATGATTTATGTGGTTTATGTGGAGTATTAGGATGGGGTGTATAGTTGTTGGATACTGGGTTTGGTTATTTTTCGGATGCTTTTCTTTGTCTAGGGTTGATAATTTTGAAGTATATGATTTGTTATCTGATCAGATCTACTTTTACTACGAAGCACGTGAGCCGAGAAGTATGAAGTATTCCTGTAGTCAACCAAATGATAGTATAGACATTAAATGCAGCCACAACACCGCAACGACATGCTGAAAAGCGAGCAAAAATCCCCAAAAAAGAAGCACAACAACCTCTATCTACCAAGTAAAAGCCTCCTCCACAAAATCCACCACAGCACCCTTCCCAATTCTCCCTCTCGCTGCAGCTCTCACTTCATCCGCAAACGCACCAGGCCCACAGACAGAAACGAGCGTCGCACCCACACTTTTTGGCATAAGCTCATTAAGAATAACATCCGGCCGACACCGACCAGAGTGCATCTGCACCGTCGCCGAGGGGGAAACGATATCCGCCGCACGTCGGGGCTTAGAGACGAATACCTTGACGATGAGAATCTCACGGCGACCGGGAAGCCGAAGGATTTGGTCCATCCATGAGCTCACCCAGGCGAGGTGATCTGTCGAACGGACAGACCAGATGAGGTAAACGCGCCGAGTTGCAGCGCGGGCTGTCGCGGCTCGTTCGACGAGGTCCCGAGTGTACATGAGGTGGTGGGTTATGCCCGCGCCGGCGGAGAACAGTACGGCTGTGCCGTAGCTGGAGGCATTCGCTGGGTGGGAGCCATAAGGACCTTCGATGAAGCCCGGTGCGCGGAGGATCTGATCTGGCTTGCTGCGGGCGAGGTTGTACAGACGGCGAGTCATACCCTGGCGAGCGCTGACGATGAGGGAGACTTCGGTGGGGCGGTGGGTAGGCTCGAAGTATGTATCAAGGTCGTGGGATTGCTTTTCTAGGGAGGATGGAGTGGGGAGTGAATCGGGGGATTTGGAGTCGTGATAGCGCGGGCACTGCGGGGTTAGAGTGCTGGCTTCGGCCCAAGCGATGGAGAATGGGTGAGACATCCACCATGAGACGCAGGGGATGTAGGCATAGACGTGGCAGCCGGGGTCGATGCGTACACTTTTGGGCAGGTGGAAAGTTACCCGGCATGCTTCTCCGGGCAGGGCTTGGACGGTCATATGAGTGGAGCCGTGTTTGGCGGAGAGGTTGAGATATGCTAGACGGATGAGACGTGTGCTCCGCTCGATAATCCAGATCACGGCAATAACGCTGGCCCAGCTGCGCTGTGGGAGGCTGTCCAGTTGAAGGTGGAACCATACACCGAGGAAAGCCAGAAGCGCGGCAAGTTGATGGAGATGAAGGAAAGTCTCGTAGAAAGCATGGCGGATTGGCGAGGGAGAGTGCAGACCGAGGAAAACCATGGCCACGGTACCGACCAACCCCCAGGTAAAGAAGGGCGTGTCTCGCAACCGTGACAGCATGTCTCCGATATCTTGCTCGTCAACTGCATTGACGGCCCAGGCAGCAGTATGGACGATAGACTCCAACACGATCATCCGGCCCAGCCACCGGTGGAGAAGGTTGTAGGTGTCAAAACTGATATGCAGAATCGAGATCAAAGGATTGTTGCGTGCTGCCAGCAGAAACAGTGGCACCATATTCAAGACGGCCAGCGTCCCTGAGCGCCCGCGCAGTTCTGCGATCAACGCAGCTTTTTTGTTGACAGCATAGTCTAGATAAAGACAGTACACCACTTGGCTTGCAAAGTAGAGTATGATCAAGATGGTCTGGAAACGAGAGGGCAACGTGCCGATACCAACAGCCGAGGAGAGTTGGACCTCTCTATTATGCCTCTTCTTTCCTAATGGAGAATACAGAATATGCTTCTTCATGTTGGACCACCATGATGATGTCTCCCGGCGCCAGTAGGTCTGCTGCCGACTGTTTGCCGTACAAGATGTGATTTGGCGGAGATATGCATGACTGATCTGTGCGATGCGGCCGCAAAACACACAGAAGGCGAGAATGATCACCGAAGAGTAGATAATGCGGGTGATGATAACATCGCGCGGGACATCGACACCACCTAGTCCTCTCGAGTACTCGTAGACGTATGTCTCATTTGATCCGTAGCCTCGTGCCGCAAGTTGCGGGCCGGGCGTCGCCATTGAACTGCCCCTCGGGAAACCTGTCTAGGGGTGGATGGCTATCCGTGTTGCGGGTGTGGTCAGAAGATTTGGTTGCGGTGACAGATTTTCCTAACGGTGGTGAGCCGTGGTGGAGTGACGTGTAGGGCACGGAGCGAAGTTCTTGCAATCTGAGCGAGGCTCTACCAGGGAGGTATCGAACCAAATTTCAAACTCTGGGGAAGTTTATCAAGAGTCGAGGGTGGTTGCGGGGAGTCGACAGGGAATGCGATGATCGAGGATGGTGACGTTGGAGGACGAAATGAAATCAGAGCCAGGAAGTCAGAAGGCGATCCAACGTGGTGTAGAATGACACAGGGATCTGAGAAATGATGGTCGGCAGGACTGAGCACAATGGCATTTACCGTCAAGGAAATCCCGTTGCTGCCTTTGTGTTGATGTCAATAGGAAGGTTGGAAGTGAATGACAATGACGCTGCTAGGCAGGCGTGTAGGCAGTGAACCAGTCAAGAGTGGAAGACAGGACGAGCAATCAACAGATGACCGGTCGAATCTGGATTCGATAAGCAGATCGGCAAGGCTTAGATTTTCCGTTGCTTGCTGAGGAGCAGTGGCATCGTCCAGGACTTCAGGAATGCAGGCGAGGGAGGTCGATCCGGTCGACTGGTCAGCACGTTTTCCACGTCAGTGGTTAAGGCAAGTCCGAAAGGGAGAAAAAGAAGGCAAAGTCAAAGGGCAAATAGACAAGACGAAGAGAAGAAAAAGTCAAAGCGAAAGTAACAAGGTCTATGCGGTCAACGCAGAGCCGAAACAGTCTATTCTAGAGGCAAACAGAAGGTTGATCGAGAAAGCCCGCTGATCGACAAGAAATGAACGAAAAGAAAGAAAACCGAGACGAACGAATGTTCCCCAAGAGCAGGAACTCCTGTCGTGGCAGGAGAAAGGGGAAAGCGTTTATTATTAAAAGTAATTAACCGGCCATCGAGTGGTGACAGTCGACGTCCCAGCAGTCTTGTCAGGGTATCTCTTGATGGTGGTTGGCAGGCGGGTCTCAACCATCTCGGCCTATCGGGAGGACTCCTCTGATGACCAGGGGTAACCGGTGTTTCTAAAAGATGCAGGCACCACAGAACCCGGCATGATGATTCGCTGCGCTTCGAGGGTTGGTCAACGTTGCTGGACCAGTCCTGGCTGGCCCTTGCAGATCTTGCGACCGGCGTAACGCCCTGACCCTCGCAGCCTCGCACCGTTATTTGCAAGGTGGCGCCCAGCTTGCTGCAGACCATTGCTCCAGAGTGAGTACTCTGTCTGGATGAGAATGGATGAATCAGAGAAAGGAGTTCTCTTGGTTCTTCTCGGCGTTGCCTATCGTGGAGCTCGGGCCAAGAGTGCCTCAAACAGTGGCATTGTGGGCGGTTTCAAACCTGCTGTTAATTAGAAACCACGGACAAGAAGGCTTTGACGATTGAACCCCCTGTGGCGCACCCGGACCGATAAGAGGATCCTATATCCGGTGGAATGGTCTGATTCTAGTTTCTTCTTTGTGAGACTGTGGCATGATCATAATGAGAAAGAAGCATGGAAGTCAAAGAAGAAAGATGGTCAAGAAGTAAATTGAAAGTGAGAAGAGACCAAACAGAACCAAAGAGCCAATGAGGGGGGATCTCCAACCTCAGGCAGGATATTTGGTGCCTGACTAAGCGGGCATTCAACTTCCAATTGTGCCTCGGTGCCTGAATGATAGGGCCCCACTCTCAGGACCCTGTTCATAACTTGACGGAGCTCAAAATACGGAGTGCTCCATCCATGCTACCGACTAGTGAGGATCACTAGCACACTCTAGCTCTTCATAGTACGGAGTAGCATACCTAACCGGGATGTTCACAGCGGTTTCATCCTTTCTGGATTTTCCACCAATCTCCCAACTACCACAAGCGAGCTCTCATGAAAGAAAGTGGAGATATCAGTCGACACATGTCATGTCGAAGGAACTATGACTCGTGCGTTCATGCATAATCTCTTACCAATCCGGATAAAATCCAAATGCCAAGTATAATTCAGATACGGAGCATGATATCCAAAAGCCTCCGATGCAGTCATCTCTATATACAAAACCGCCAAAAAATGCCAGAAAAATATCCAAAGTACAGTATCAATCCCAAGCCACTCTGCTTCACCACAGCTAAGCCCATCAAAATTTTCACATCACTCCACCCCCTCTTCACCGACCCATCCATCCACCATCCACAGTAATAATCTCGCCAGAGACATAGCTACTGGCGCCACTAGCCAAGAAGACTACCACACCCTTGAAGTCCTCCGGTTGACCCCACCGACCGGCCGGAATACGTGCCATAATACTGGTATTCCGGTTCTCATCATTGATCAAAGCGGTGTTCATGTCCGTGGCAATGTACCCAGGGGCAATAGCGTTGACATTGATTCCCTTGGCAACCCATTCGTTAGAGAGAGCCTTGGTGAGCTGGCCCACGCCGCCCTTGGATGCGGCGTAGGCGGGCACGGTGATACCACCCTGGAAGGTCAAGAGCGAGGCAACGTTGATGATGGAGCCCCGGCGGCCGGAGGGGAACTCAGAAGCGTCACGGGCAAGCAGGTAGGCGCCGAACTCGCGGCAGAGGATGAAGACTTGAGAGAGGTTGACTTCGAGGACCTGTTCATTGGCATGATTAGCTAGTGTTTCATGTGAAATGAAGGGATTCCAAGCTTGCAGGAGCTTGGGTGCATAGAGGGGTCGATGTTTTTGAGATAAGAATGTAGCACTCACCTCGTCCCAGTCCTCGTCGGGGAACTTTTCGCTCGGGTGGCGCCGTTGAATACCGGCGCAGTTCAGCAGGATGTCGGGCTTGAAGCCTTTGCTCACGATGGAAGGAATGATCTCCTTGACAGCCTTGCGGTCTGATAGCTCGGCAACGTGAATATGCGCCTTACGACCAAGGCGGTTGATAATGTCGTCCTTGGTGGCAGTGTTGGACTCATCACGCTGAATCAGAATAACATCGGCACCGGCCTCGGTCAGAGCCAAAGCCATGGCCTGGCCAATTCCTCGCGTGCCACCGGTGACGACGGCGGTGCGGCCGTTCAGGGAGAAGAGAGACTGTACTGTGGCTGCCATTGTGAATGTAATGTATGTCTTTCAGGCCTAACAAAGACAAATTGAAAGAGAATAAGAAGGAAAAGCAGAGGAGAATACCCCTCCAAATAGTGTTGAATGACGAATGACCAGATTTCCCCACGCGCGGGGGTCGTTTTTGGAAGAGGAAGAGTCCGTTGCCGAGTTCCGTTGCCGTCGGCTATTGCTCGGCTGGCCCTCCAACAGCTCCAAACTGCCCACGTTTTTTTGAGAATAGCCAAGCAATAGAACTGTCTATAGATTAGAGTAGTTCATTGGAATGTATATTCTGGATGTTCAAAATGTAAAAAGCAGAAGGGAATTTATAGTCATTTAATGTAGAACCCAAAATATAGCCAAGTCACCTTCGGGAGGTGGTCAGACTCGGCCCATTTTCCCCACACTTGAGAGGAGCTTCAACTCCTCCCGATGAGTAATGACCAGGTCCTTGCGCTACTCGTTATCCGGTGGGTCTCAACAACAGTCGGCTTCTGTCCTCTAAACATCCTCTCGGGCAATAATGTCCCTGTAATTCCACACGGCCCGGCCAAACATGGAGTCTCCGGACCACGTTGCCTCGCACCGGCTTGACCATATCGTCAAGCGCGTCTCGCGGGCTTGTCTGCACTGCAGACAGCGCAAGTCACGTTGTGACCTGTAAGTCACCGGCTTTCCCCTTTTGATCGGCTTATCTCGTCGCCTTGAGCTCTCCGCACTTTTCCCCGGATCTGCAAGCCTCGTGTACGACTAAGTGTGTGGTGAGTGTCCGCTAATCCCACAATAGTGACAGCAATGGCAATCCTGGCAAGCCGCCGTGCCAGCGATGCGTTCGCGAGCATCGCGAGTGTGTTCTTGGTGGCTCAAATCGGGGTGGACGTCGCATTCGCAAGAACAAGATCAAAAATTTTACCCCAGCTCCGAATCCCTCGCCAAGTAAGGACTCTGAAGCGACTGAAAGCCCGGTTACCTCAGATGTGCGCCGGGCGCCATCTGCTTCCTATCCTGGACCAGTCGTCTTTCTTCCACCCAATCCTCCTGGTACCTCTACCGCTGCCGCTGCCGCTAGTTCAGTAGCCGTTGAGGATGATGACCAAGCTTCAATTGACTCTGTGCCTCGAAACCCTTCTGATGCCTGGCAATGTCTGACCGGCATCGCCACTCACAGTGCAGAGGCCGCACCAGAAGGCCTTGCCAGCACCCATGTACGGACCGATTCTATGTCGACGTATAATGGCCTACGCAGTGGCATCGTCTCCGATTATAACCTCCCGACAACCGGTATCCGAGCCTATCGCCTCGTCCAGTCCCGGTCCCTGGACCCGGGTACAGTGTGGCAGCTAGTCACTCGCTATGCCGAAAACTTCCACCCCTATCTTCCTCTTGTACCACGAAAGTACTTCGAACGCTCCGCGCTCGATGACTTTGCCAATAATGAAAAACACCTTCTTACTGCGGTACTCACCATCGCGTCCAAGGACCTCGTCGACCGGCCCGAGATCCACGAGTACTGCTCCAAGTACATGCATGAGCTGATCTCGGGTATTGCCGCCGGCGCAGAATGCGACGTAGAAGCCGTCGAAGCTCTACTATTGCTAGCAGAATGGGAACCCCAGGGTCTCCGCCCACGCATTGAGCGCGTGGGGCGTGGCGAGGAAGACCGTGCTGCGTGGATGCATGTCGGACTCGCGCTTCGCTCGGGCTACTTCATCGGCCTGGATAGGACGTCCTTCCGGGGAGATCCGTATGGTGACCAGGAATCAGAGGGCCGTCGGCGGTTGGCTTGGGCTAGTTGCTATGTTTCGGATCGATTGATCTCTGTGCGTATTGGTCGTGCATTCTGGTCGCGTGGGCCCGGCCCGATGACGGGTCTATCGAGTCAGGATTTCCCATCGCTGCAGCCTGCTAAGGAGGGCGATGAGGATTATTCAAAGATTTATCAGGCCATGCTGGATCTCACACAGTTGTATGGCAATGTGCACGAGGTTCTGTACTCGGGTATGCGCACGAGTAATCAGATGATGCTGATGGGTGACTATGTGAAATATGTGGACGACTTTCGATTGGCCATCCTGCGATGGAAATCGCTCTGGGGGCCTCTAGACTGTAAGTTCGATCCATGAGGTTTGCCACCAAGTCGAGCAATACTAACGCAAATAGGCTCACCACCCATGCGGGCGACACTGCAATTGTCATATGAGTATTTACGTCTTTACACTACTGCTTTCGCGTTCCAGGCTGCGATCTCGCAATCACTGGCGAAACCAAAGACGGACAGGAGCACCCATCGGGAGCAATTGAGATCTACATTCAAGAACGTGGCTTCGATGCAGGATTCGCGGTTTATCTATGAGTCTGTTGATGCAGCAAAGGCGTACTTGACTATTCTAGTAGACTCGGTCGATCCAGAGAGGCATTTGCATTTCATGCCTCTTCGGTTCTATCTGTAAGTCGACTCGACCAACCACTAAGAAAAAAATTCTAACAAAACCAGATACGGGATCTACTCTGCCGTCTTCCTCTACAAGGTAAGACCACAAATTCCGTGTTACTTTCGATGCCTCTTCTAACCACTCCCTCCAGGCCCGTTCCTTTGGTATGATGGTCCCTTCAGAGGAAGCCAAGGTCCAGGGTCTAGTTGCTCGGACTACTGAGGTTCTCAAGCAAGCGAGTGCTGGTCCCGACGATATCGGATCGCGCTACTCTCGCCTCCTAGAGCTTCTCTGGCGTACCAAGCCGTCCATGAGCAGCGCCAACACATCCGCAGAGTCGCAGCAAAACAGCGACTTTTCAATGCAAACAGCACTGCCCAATCCAGTTACAGACCACGCATACATGGACTTCAGTCCTGCGAATGATTTCTCTTGGCTGGATCTGGAAGCAGTGGGAGACTATGTCTCGGGCGATCAAATCTCGGGTGGCCTGCTGGGTCTTGATGCATTCCAGAATGGATCTGATCCATACCAGTCAGGACAGGACCGGTCGCAGGTTTGGCAACCGTCTGCCTGGTTAGGTGATATGAGCAGCAATCTCCTCTTTTAGGCTTTTCGGTGCGTTAGCGGCGGGCTCGTTCAAAGCCCGCTGGTGCGGCAAATGATGCGGGGCTGTGGGGAGCTCCGCTCGGAGATAACGCCGACGTCTCACGAGGGGTAACCGAGGCCATGGTGGTTATTTTGGAGACCCAAGACGTCCTTCATCGAAAGGTTCTTGGATGTTTTCTCTCCTCTAAAATCTTTCTACATCACATCACCGTCTCATAATGTCATTCAATGAGCTCCGTGGCCGTCTGGCCCTCATCACCGGCGCTTCGGGAGGGTGAGTTCCCACTGAAGACGCACCAACGAGACTACCAGCTAACGCTCGCTCTCATCTTTCAGAATCGGATCAGCCTGTGCAGACCAACTCGCACAACATGGCGTCCACCTCGCGCTAACCTACTCAACGAACCTCGACGCCATGAACGCGGTCGTAAAAGACTTGCAATCCAAATACGCAGAGCAAAAGCTGCGCATCTCCATCCACCAAGTCGACGTCGGATCCGCCGACCAGATTGAATCCATGTTCCAACAAATCGACAAAGAGCACGGCCAGCGACCGGATATTCTCGTCTCCAATGCTGGATACGGCAAGCGCTTCCCAAACGTGTGGGATATTACCCTCGAGGAATTCGACTACACGTTGAACATTAACCTTCGCGCTTCGTTCATCCTTGTTAAGGGTGTCGTGGAGCATATGAAGGCCCAGCGTTGGGGTCGTATTGTGTTTATGTCCTCGATTGCTGCGCAAGGAGGAGGTATTAATGGCTGTCGTGAGTCTTACCCCATCGCCGTCCTCCATTCAGCTTGGCTCTGTTCAATTCTAACCGCCTCTTCTTTAAAAGACTACGCCGCATCCAAGGGCGGCCTCACCGGTATGATGAAGAATTTATCCACCCGCCTTGCCGAGTTCAACATTAGCGTCAACGACGTTGCCCCCGCTATGATCGGTGACACGGGTATGATCCCTAATGCGGCGGCCATTCCTGAAGTTGCGGCTGGTATCCCGCTTCAAAGGCTGGGGACACCGGAGGAGACGGCTAATGTTGTTACTATGTTGTGTAAGACGGGGTATATGACTGGCCAGAGTCTTCTACTGGCTGGAGGATTGAAATAGTTGTTTATATCTTTATGAAGCAATTGAATGTCTATATCCAGCTTAAGTACTCTGTGTTTCTGAACACCTTATGTCTGACATGCTACCTGAATACTTGGTTTCATTTTCTCGCCTTGGCAATTTCTCTCAAACATGAGCTATGGCCTATCTACCGGTCTCGAGTGTGGATATTGCTTATGTATAGAAAATGAAAATCATCATGCATTCTAGGCTATAAACATGACGACAAATCTGCGTCAACAACGCATGCAACCAGTCTCCAACATGCCCCGCCTACTATCACAATGGGTATTTTTCAAAAAAAAAAAAAAAAAAAAGGGTCATCAACATCATCACAAACAAAGCCATCCATCAGCCCAACATTTTTTTACAGCCGACCCAAAGCATGCGGCTTATTCTCAATAATAACCTTGACTACTGGCTTGCCCTCCTCATCAACACCCTTACCAGCAAGGGTAAACGCACGCTCACCCTCCTCAAGGGACAATCGGTGCGTCACAACCTTCTCTTCGGTGCTCTTCAACTTACCACTACCCAACAGGGCAATGGCAGCCGGGTAAGCGTACCCATCATACCGGAAGACACCGATGATATCGACCTCACGCAGAGCCGCAGCACCAACGGGGAGAGTCTGAATGGGATTACCCATACCGATTTGCACGAGGACACCACCCGGTGCAGAGGCATAGATACCAGCCTGCACGCAGGCAGGGACACCGGTGCAGTCATAAACACGGCTGAAACCCGAGACGGGCGGGACGCCATCCGCCTGTGCAGCCTGGGTAAGCGACGCAGCGACGCTCTGCGCATTCTTGAGCGCCCAGGCTGTCTGGTCTGCGTGCGGGGCGTCCTTGGGAGGGGGAGGGTTTGCGGGATCGCCGCGGGGGATGAGGGAAGTCTTTAGGCCGAGGCCGAGGGAGGATGCGATTTCGAGGCGCGAGGCGTCGATGTCGGCTACGACGATGGTATCGAAGTTCTCCGAGACCGCGAGCGCGGATGCAATGAGCAGGCCGATGGCGCCGGCGCCAAAGACTAGTGCTGCGGTGCCTTCGCCCGCGGAGCGTGCCAGGGCGACTTCATCCTTGGTTGGTGGGTGCGAGCGGCGGATCGCATGCAGACAGACGGCCAGAGGCTCGACGAGGGCACCGCCTGCGTCGGAGACGTTGGCGGGCAGGGCGTGGCACATAGCGGCTGGGTGGTTGGTACGCTCCATCAGGGTACCGTCCAGATGGGGGTGGGTCTTTGCGCTGCTGCGGAAGCGCATCTTCAAGCAGATGTTGTAGCGGCCCTGTTTGCAGAGGGCGCAGGTGCGGCAGGGAAGACCGACTTCGAGGGCAACGCGGTCGCCGACTTTGAAGGTTGTTACTTCGGGGCCGATGGCTGTGACTGTGCCGGCGGATTCGTGGCCGAGACACATGGGCTCGCGCACGACGAAGTCGCCATTGCGGCCGTGGGAGTAGTAGTGCAGGTCAGAGCCACAGAGTCCGGTAGCTGTGACGGCGACTTGGATGTCCGCGCCGGTTGGAGCGGGGACGGTGCGTTTCTCCTGTGAATTCCGTGGTTAGTTGTGTTGATCTATTTGTATGTAAAGTCTAGAGGACGTCATCGGTCGTACCAGACGGAGATCCTTAGCGCCGTGCAAGACGAGCGCGGTGGCAGATGTTTCTGTTGACATGATGGAGATTGTGTGTAGATGCTTGAAAATGGTGAAACTGGATTGTGTGGAAGCAATAAGAAATAGGACCGGGTCAGAATTTCCAGCGGCATCTGACTCGGCCCCTCAATTGCATGTTCCCCTCATTGTGCTTTTCCATTATCCGGGTGAATGAAGGCAATCAGGTTGGGCCCGAGAGACGGAGATGCTCCGCGGGGCTCCTCGGCGTTTGCAGGTCCAAAGGGGAAACTTTCAGTAGCCGAGTTGACACCCCCGCGGGGCAACGTGGGGGTTTTTGAAGACAATGGAGGAGCTCCTCCAAGTTATTCAACTTCTTTTTTTTGGCATAGCAGATAGCAGTACTAGTACTACAGGAATAGGTTCTTATTTCGGTGTGTAAATTGATTGAAAATACTTAAGATAATATGTAAAATTAATAAGAAATAGCTCGTGTTTCTATAGTTCCATCGGAAGTCGAGTTCCACGCCGCAATCTCAATCTCCGTTTACTCGGCCCAGTTCTTCGCCACGTCCCACCGAATCACGCGAGGACTGATAGCAGTCGCGGGGGTCCGCTTGAAATTTAGCTTGAAGCTGGTCATCGACTCATTTTCTCCTTTCTCCTTCTTCCACTTTCCTCTCCAATTCATTCCTCCTTTTCTTTCCCCTCGATTCCTCCCTTCCATCCCTCTTCTACCAAGTATATACTTCCCCCGCAACAAAGCGACGGTAGGCGGCGCATTCAATCTGACCGACACCATTCTTGAAGCTAATCACAATCGCAGAATCCTTTTAAAATGCCTTCTCAAGCTGCCCTCCTCATTGGAGGCATCACCCACGCGCGCAAGGAGTGGGAGGCTCTGTCTTCTATTTTGACGCTGAAGGTATGCGCAATCCCGCTTCGATTTGAATTGGCACCGAGTAATTAACATGCGCGCAGGAATTCCCCAGTGGCACCCGTGAAGAATTTATCCAGAACTGCAAGTCAGGACTGTACGACGACGTGGTCGCAATTTACCGCTCCAATACTTCCAACAAGGTGCGCAATGCTGGAAAGACTGACCCCAGTAGCAGAGCGCACAGCTAAAGAAGGATTAAATAGTATACTGGCAACTTTAACGACGAATTGCTCTCGGTGCTGCCAAAGTCGGTTCGCTACATCTGCCATAATGGCGCTGGTTATGATAATCTGGACATTCCCGGTTGCACTAAGAGGAATATTGCTGTTTCCAGCACGCCCGTGGCTGTAAATAACGCTACTGCCGATGTTGGCATCTTCCTGATGATCGGTGCTCTGCGCCAAGCTTACGTGCCTATTGCTGCTATTCGTGCTGGTAAGTCGCAAACAATCACACTAAACTGTCGTGTTCTGTTGAATGTCTTTCGCTAATTTCAGAATCTGCGACAGGTACGTGGCAAGGCGAGACTACCATTGGCCATGATCCCCAGGGCAAGGTCCTCGGTATCCTGGGTATGGGTGGCATTGGACGGGTAAGGATGAATTTCCTCTCACAAATAGATAGACACCAACTAACACATTCACCAGGAAATGGCTACTCGGGCCAAGGCCTTTGGCATGAAGATCCAATACCACAACCGCACTCGTCTCCCCGCCGAACTCGAAGCCGGCGCCACCTATGTCTCCTTCGACGAGCTCCTCGCCAACTCGGACGTCTTCAGTCTGAACCTGGCACTGAACCCTTCCACCCGACACATTATCGGCGCCACCGAGTTCAGCAAGATGAAGGATGGTGTAGTTATTGTCAACACCGCGCGTGGTGCGTTGATCGATGAGAATGCGCTGGTCGCTGCTCTGGATTCCGGCAAGGTAGGAAAACCTCTATCTCAGAGATAAGGAGAAATTGATCTGACTGTGTTCGTTGCAGGTGCGCTCTGCTGGTCTGGACGTGTACGAGGAAGAGCCCAAGGTTCACGCCGGTTTGTTGAGTAACCCCCGGGTTATGCTGCTGCCGCACATTGGTACGAATACCTACGAGACACAGAAGGAGATGGAGATTTTGGTGTTGGATAACTTGAAGTTGGGAGTTGAAAAGGGAGAGTTGATTACACAGGTGCCCGAGCAGAAGCGATAGACTGCTGTTAGAACCTTTTTGTTTAGATTGCTCTGATTTTACTTGATTTGGAAATATAGCGGTATCCCAAATATACTCGTGTTCATACCCATAAGACTCAGCATTAGTGGGAAAAGGCTGTCATTTCTGGATAGGAAGTCTGGACGGTATCTGGCAGCTGGTGATGTCGCCACGACTCTACTTAGATGTTAGTTCCTGCACCGCCGCCCTCAACATGTAAAGTTGACGGGAGATCAACATTTTCATTTCGCAAGCTGGCCATAAGGTATTAGATCTCGCTTAAATACTGGGAGAATCTTTTGGTCTGTAAGCTTGATTTTGCGTGTGTTACCACTAGCTAGCTTAAATATGCTTCATTTAATGCCAATGAAGTATCCCGTACACATTCAAGGTCAGGTACCCAAGCACCCAGCATTTCTGCCTGAGGCTGCAATATACCTTGGCGGACGGAAGAAGATCATCTGACTAATCACCTTACATAACATCCTACCCAAGGCGGCTAGCGTTAGGGCTCGCTTAGGGCCCGAATGCCAAGAGCGAAAAAAACCGCACCAAACCTGGTGTTCAAGCGTTAGCCGGTCGACGACGAAAAGCGACAACATCCATCCGACTCCGAGGACCATCACCTTACCCTCGCCAACTCCTTCAAGATGGTGAGTGCTACCCATACCCATCGCCAGAGAACCTCGAAAACGACTTCTACGATCCTATCCCCCATGCCCAAATTCAAGTCCAGCGAAGGGACCTGGAAAACGCTGTCCCGGTCCCGTCACTTTTCGCCTCGCCTTGAAGATCCCATCACCACCCATCACCACCCACAAATTTTCGACGCACCATGATTACTGACGACTTCTTTCTTGCTTCGATGTACAGGTCCGTTACGCCGCCCAGGAGATTGAGAACTCAAAGAGCGCCCGCGCGCGGGGCTCTTACCTCCGTGTCAGCTTCAAGAACACCCGTGAGACCGCCCAGGCCATCAACGGCATGAAGCTGCAGAAGGCTCTCACCTACCTCGAGAACGTCACCAAGAAGTCCATGGCCGTTCCCATGCGCCGCTACGCTGGCTCCACTGGCCGCACCGCCCAGGGTGAGTCGCCCTCGAGTTTTTTTTTGAGATTTTTACATGCTGGATGGATTTTGGCGGCAACGGTGTTCAATTGGGAGGATCAGAAGAGCGAGGAACATGAGGATTGAATGCACGACATTGCTGCGAGGCAAAGGGAATGGAAGGATGTCGACGCGGTTGCTCTTTACGGAATATGTGGACGATACTGGAGGGGGAAAACCGACACCGTTGCTGCTCGAAAAAATTCAGTGTGGGAATTTTGATGGCCATGGAATAAACCGACTAACCAATTTCATTTACAGGCAAGCAGTTCGGTGTCTCCAAGGCTCGCTGGCCCGTCAAGTCCGCCGAGTTCCTGATCGACCTCCTCAAGAACGCCGAGGCCAACGCCGACACCAAGGGTCTCGACACCGGTGCTCTGGTTGTCAAGCGCATCCAGGTTAACCAGGCTCCCAAGGGCCGCCGCCGCACTTACCGTGCTCACGGTCGTGTATGTTTTTTTCGCTCTTTCTCGAAATTTTGAGTCGAATTTTCTCCGGAGCCCCAACTAATTTTTTTCTTCTCCAGATCAACCCCTACATGACCAACCCCTGCCACATCGAGCTCATCCTTACCGAGGCTGACGAGGAGGTCGCCAAGGCCCCCGAGACCTCCCTCAAGGCTACCCGCCTGTCTTCCCGCCAGCGCGGCTCCCAGATCCGCCGTGCCCTCACTGAGGCATAAACGGATCGCCTGATGTTATGTTGAAATTGGGACGGGAGGTTTCCAGGGGACGACTTGGTGGAAAAAGGATTTGCGGTGGACGGGATTGACCGGAGTTCTTGCGCATCTGTATGTTGGAACGGAAAATGATACCGGATCATACAAGATTTTTTCTAAGGTCATGGCACCAACACTCGGAGGAGAACCAAATAAAAAGTTTAAACAGCGCCGCTCCGGAAACGATGGATTATAGGAATCTCCGTACTGCCCGGTCCGATCATGATTATCAATGTTGGTTCTTCTTCTGTGATTTGTTTTCGGCTCTGTCAATGTGGGCTTCTGTGTTGCCTCGTGTAGAGTAGTGTTTTTTGGTTCTTACTTAGACCGGTCTGCTCTGATCTGGTCCAGTCCGTTTATCAGATTGGATGTTCAGCGAGGGTTCTAGGATTTGATGGTCCGCTTGAATCCTAAAACAATATCATGTTTCACGATTCAAAGATATGTCCTCTTCCAATTAGCTCATGAATAGTTTCTATCGTAAATCCTGATTGTCAAAGAAGATGCTAATAAACTGTGGACATTAAGCACTACTACCTCCCTGAGCATCGATTGTCGTATATCGAAACCCACTAGTCCTAAATATATATCCGCACTTTTCAACCTCGAGAGGAAACACGTAGGTTGTCCACGAAAATTTTCCATCTTAGGTAGATTACAGCATGCATCACCGAATATATTTATTGAACTGGTGCTAGTAAAGTAAGCCACCTGGTCAAGTTGTATTTTATAACGTATTTTAAAGACTTTTCCACAGGTGGATACGTAGGCACATCATCATTGTACTTTGGCTAATCTAGCACATTCAAGACAGAACCGAGATACTTCCCTATACCATTGATCATGACAACAGCTGTGAAACTAGTTGAAATCCTTGATAGTTATCCTCTCTCTAGATCTCATTTCGTTTCGTAAGCTTTGATTTGAAATGCCCGAGACTAAACCTTTAGGAGCAGACTCCAAGGTCGATCGATCGAACCTGATTGGAAGGATTGTATACTGTGACTTCCGAACTGCCAAGCACCTGATCGGGCACCTAATATGGAGAGTGGGGGTGAGACTATATCGTTGATTGTACTATTTCTGTGGTTTCTGCGGGGTGATGATATCGCCCTGTTTATTTCCAATCGATCTATACAAAAGACCACCCACCTCTCATCTACCAAGTGTCGAATTCTACAAACCTCCCAATCTACTCTTTATAACCCCAACAATTTCTACGCTTATCTCCACGATGTCTCAACTCTCCAACTACCGACTCCTCTGTTTCGACGTCTACGGCACCCTCATCGACTGGGAGACCGGCATTCTCACCGCGCTGGAACCACTCCTCAGCACCGGCACCACCGATTTCTCCCGCAAGCACCTGCTGACTCTATACCAAGAGCTCGAAAGCGAACAGCAGCGAGCCACCCCGGACATGCCCTACTCCAAACTCCTAGCCACGATACATCCCCGCTTAGCCGAACGCCTGGGCCTACTCACCCCCAGCGAGGATGACAACGAACGCTTCGGCGACTCGGTAGGCCAATGGCCCGCCTTCCCCGACACGGTCGATGCCCTAAAACGGCTATCGAAGCACTTCAAGCTGGTTGTACTCTCAAACGTAGACCGGGCCTCCTTTGCCCGCTCCAACGCCGGCAGTCTGCACGGATTCTCCTTTGACCGGATCATCACTGCGCAAGACGTGGGCTCGTATAAGCCCGACCCGCGCAACTTTGCATACATGAAAGAGATTGCGCAGAAAGAGATGAGCGTGTCTGCGGGGGAAATTCTGCAGACGGCGCAGTCACAGTTCCATGATCATCGGCCAGCGAAAGAGGCGGGGATTAGATCGGTGTGGATTGAAAGGCCCGGTGCCACGATGGGAAATACGGTGGAGGAGCCCATTTTTGATTGGCGATTCAACACGCTGGGGGATATGGCAGATGCCTTGGAACGGGAAGAGCAGTAAGCTGGGGAGAGTCAGCACTTTATGGCTGTTGCCTGTTGGGAACTTAGTTGAGGGCCAGTCAAGAGGATTCTTGGCTGAAGAAGGAGGGGAGTCGTTGTGGTGGGACGAGGCTTGGCGTGGGAAATGGCTGCCTCAGCCACACTGCAATCGTCAACCTTCTGTGTCTGCATTTGCTGGATGGGGATGAGTACTTTTGATATACTATACAGAGTAGATTGGATGACGATTTCTTCAGGATATAATCCGTGCTATTAGAATGAAGTGATCATGAATTCGTTCTTCTCCTAGGAGACCGACTATCCTACGCGGCTCTGCCGGGTAATTCTAGATGCGGTGGGGGTAGAGCCTCATAGTTCGCGAGGGAGCAAGGCTACGAAGGATTTCATACTGGCTAGTCGGTAAAGAAATGCAACCTAAACTTCATTCCCACCAAGCGAATCTGTTACCGCTGGTTGGCTGACTCGGAGATGACGGATTTAGCACAAAGACAACGCATTGCATGGCAGAGAGGACGTACCTGAACCTACGGAAGTGTCCAGGACTCGTGGTGTCTACGTAGGCATTGCCAAGAAGGGTCATCATCCTTTGCCACCTGCAAAGCATAAATCCAAAAAAATAAGGTCAATCGAGTTGCAAGAAAAAGTAGTTAAAGACGTCTATCGGCTGATTTCACCTCCGCGGACTAGTCCATTTAGCTAACGAGACCTGGACCCTGCGCTTAGGCGAGAGGCTCGTGGACGCTAACAAATAATTCGGGGGAAGTCGCTTTTCTGGCCCCCATCACTTTGTGTACCGTGAACCCTCCTTTTTTTCCCTCCTTGGATACTTTCATATTTCCCGTTCCTTTTCCACACTTCGTCTCGACTCGCTCTCCCCCTAAATATATGCCCGCCATGAAGGGTTTCCTGCGGTCGCTGGGCAGTAGCCGCCGCTCCAGTACGTTCTCTACTTTCCTATCCCCCCACGCAATTCCCCGCAACCAAAGCTAATCCACCGCTCAGGTCCCAGTGATGATAGCGAACAGGACCATCCCGATGACTCGCCCGAGGCCGTTCTGCTGCGCGAAATGGTGTGATCCTCTACCTTTTCTAATCGCCCCGACTTCCAGACTAATGTTGCGCCACCTAGAAAATCTTTTGCGAAGCTAGCAGCGGTCCCCAGAGTCAGGTACGTGGTACCCGACTACCAGCAACACCTATATCTCGCTCTCTACGTAGCAGCGCAGGCCGCTAACTGTCTCCCTCTTTTCTCATTTTTTAGCAAGGAAACGAGTTTGTCCACCTTCCGCGCATCGTCGAGACCGCCGAATCGAGCCCCGCCGCTGCCAAAGAAGCCGCGCATCGCATCCGCAAATACCTCTCCAGCCCGAGCAACACCCCGAACCACGTCCAATACAATGCCATCATGCTCATGCGCATCCTGGCCGATAACCCGGGCCACAGTTTCACGCGGAACTTCGATTCCAAGTTTTGTACCACGATCAAGGAGCTACTGCGCAATGGCCGTGACTGGCATGTGCAGCACTATTTGCGCCAGTACCTAGCCCATCTGGAGACGAACCGACACTGGGATGATGATCTACAGTTATTGCTGCAGGTGTGGGCGAAAGAGAAGGCAAAGGGAGGGAGCTCTTTTGTAAGTGTCGACTGCCGAGGTATCTTGCGCCGGGGAAGAAAAAAAGGTCAAAGAAGCTAATTCGAATTCATTCTAGATGGATCGATACCCTACGGCGTCTGCGGTACAGGCAAATGGCCAAATGGCCCAATATCCCGCCCCGCAACCTATGCGTGCACCGGCACCTACCAGAACCCTGCCAGAGCCGGGCGAGCTGGCTGCGCGCATCGAGGAGGCGAAGAACTCGGCCAAGCTGCTGACGCAGTTTGTTCAGACTACACCGCAGGCTGAGCTGGAGGAGAATGAGCTGATCAAGGAATTCATCGACCGGTGTCGGACCTCCTCGCGATACCTACAGGGTTATATTCATTCGACCAACCCGGCTCCCGATGAGGAGACCCTCCTCACTCTGATCGAGACCAATGACGAGATCTCCGTTGCCTTGTCCCATCAGCAGCGCGCTATGCTCAAGGCACGCAAGGCTCGCGGGTCTTCCACCCCGACTTCCAATATCAACAGCCCCTCTTCGCCCGCCAGTGAGGTCGTCGCATCAGGTGGTATAGGTGCACGTCCTGCTCCTGCTGCAGCTACTGCTGTTCCCACTGAACAAACTCCCGCGCTCGACCCAGTAAAGCGTGAATCAAGAAGTCCCGAAGAGCAATCTGCGCCACTGGTAGAACTCCCTTCCACATTTACTGTCAACCGGTCGACCGCCCTCCGAAGCAATCCCGACCAATATGAATATAAATCGTCCGATTTCGAGGTGCAGAACCCGTTCGCCGATGATAATGCGGCGAGCGACTCGGATGCTGAGCGGCCTCAGCAACAGCCGCATGCCACGGCGGCCACTTCCACGGAGGGACGTGTGCGTTTCCAGCCTACTGAGCAGGAACGTTAACATGGGCCATGTGAGGTGGTCAGTATACTAGCTATTGTAGCGAAGCGATTGATACCCTTGAACCTGATTTTGCTTATATTCCTTTCTTTTTTTGGTTGTGTTCCGACGTGGTCATCTCGGCTTTTGTCAAAGTGAGCTCTCGTTGTTGTTCTTTGTGCTTGTTTTTCGTGATACCTTCAGAACTTTTCATTGGACTGTTGAACGTGGATTCGTTTTTTTCCTGTAGCAGTCACTGGTATTTTTTTTCCCTCTTTGGAACATCCTTGCAAATGGCCTAGTTATTGACTGACTGGAGTTGTGTGAGGTGATATAACGATCAGCAGTGTCTTCTGCTCGGCCCGGTCGATCTCCAACACTGGAATTTCTCCCTTTGATATTAAACTAGAGTACTATGAGCAACCTCAAACCAGATCCTGGTAGAGCGATGAGCTTCGCCGAAATTCTTCCTTTTCTTTTTTTCTACCTATCAAATTCAGCCTGTTTACAGTAAGCAGTGGCTGAACTTGACCTGACTGATGATGTCGACGACGTTTCGCAGTGCCCTTCTTGCAGCCGCCGAGGAGGTTGGACGTTTCAGAGGTCCCACCGACCAGCACCGCTTTGAATCAACCTTAATCAAAGTAGATTGAGAGACTGGATTCTCCGGGGCTGAAAAGGGAGAAGTGCCCGAGCCTCTTTATTTTTGTTACAGTAATAGGGTAAGGTCGGTTTTTAGTGGTCTGAACTCACGATCTCCCACCGTGCAGGATTGTCAAGTTATTCTCGCTTTTGACCACCACCACATAATGTCAATGCTAGATATGATACAACCGCGCTAACAAATTATCCAGCAATCACAATTCCCCTCCAGTGTTTCTTCTTCCGGCCATGCTGTCAACCTGAAACTCCGCGCATCCCTGTTCGGCGCGTGGAGCCGGCCTTGGCACGGCCCTAGGAAGAACGTCGGCCTTGTCCCGGATGCAGACCGGTCAATGCAATCCCTGCATTGTCGTTAAGAATGACCCAGTGGTCGGTAGCTACTCAAGAGCCCCGAGGCTGTGGGAATCATTGGTCTCACCATACATCGAACTATGTGGAGGGGCATGGTCCCTGGCGTATATCACGGAAGGGGAATGGTGTTTCAGAGTGCTTGTTAGGTGCTTTTGGCTTGTACCTGACAGGTAGGAGAATTGCCTACAATGGTAATCGCCGAATCCATCTCCCCTGGGAGTGTATGGAGTATACTCGCTAGTCAGTGTTTGTGGTTGATTAATGGATACTAACAGGATCTAGATCATCCCTGACCGGAAAAACGGTCTGTCTATATAAACCCAACACTCGGCCCTGGCGCCCTCGGTCTTCTTTGGAAGCATCAAGCTGGTCTAGTTCTTCTTGAAGATTTCTTCTCTTTCTTCCTGTTCATTCATTCTCTCCGGTCTGGGACCGTGCAGCTTCTTTTCTATTCCACTCGCTTTTACGCAAGTATCGGTACCGGTCTACCGATCAATTCCATTCATTCGCGGGCCTTTTCACCCAGAATCTACGAGTCTTCCAAAAAATTACCACACCAGGAATCAAGATGAAGTCCTTCACTACTACCACCGCTGCTCTCGCAGCCCTGCTCCCCCCTCGTCCACGGCCACGGCTTCGTGACCAGCCCCAACCCCCGTATGCCCGGCTCCGCCATGAAGGCTGCCTGCGGCGACCAGGTCGAGGTCAACCAGCAGTCCGACAACTACGGCAACATCCAGGGTGAACTGCAAGTCGCCGCCTCGCAGAGCGACTACAACGCCGCCGAGTGCGATATCTGGCTGTGCAAGGGCTACAAGTTCGCCGACAACCAGGACAACATCTACTCCTACACTGCCGGCCAGACGATTGACTTTACGGTTGATATCCGCGCTCCTCACACTGGTATCGCTAATGTCTCCGTCGTGGATACCGCCAGCAACACGGTCATTGGTGATCCTCTGATCTACTGGTCCGTGTATGCGTCCGTTGCTACTGGTGTTACTGCCAACGAGACTAGCTTCAGCGTTACGATGCCTAGTGACCTGGGCTCGCAGTGTGCTACTGCTGGTGACTGTGTGCTGCAGTGGTACTGGTATGCCGAGTCTATTGATCAGACTTACGAGTCTTGCATCGACTTTAGTCTCGGTGGTTCCGGCTCTAGCTCTAGCTCGTCCAGCTCCAGCTCCAGCTCTTCCTCCAGCGTTGCGACTAGCTCTTCTACTGTAGCCGCTACCTCGTCGTCCGCTGCTGTTGAGACTTCTACTGTAGCCGCTGTCGAGACTTCCTCTGCCGCCGTCGAAACCTCTTCCTCTGCCGCTGTCGAAACATCCACCCCTGCTGCAGTCGAGACCACCGCCGCTGCTCAGACTACCACTGCCGCCGCCGAGGTGACCACTTCCGCAGCCGTTCAGGCCGTGACTACTTTCGCAACCCAGGCCCGTCCAACCTCGCAGCCTAGCAACGTCGTTGCCACCCCTAGCAGCGTTGCAAGCACCCTGGCGATCCCCACCGACAGTGCTCAGGATACTCTGGACTTTGTCCGGTCCGTGTTCAAGTACCTGGTCGGCGATAACTAAGCTGAAGGAGTGCCGCGTGAATTTGTATAGTGTGCCAAGTGTGGGGACCCACTTTCTCAGGGGATAGTGTCTTTATAGATCCAGACTTGAAATGCCGACTCCTTTTTATTCTTCTATTTGCTGTGTATAGTCGACAATATCTTGTAGATATGGATTCATTCTTTTTGAATTGTTGATTATGGAGTGAATGTGTAGCTACCCGATTGACTTTCGAGTAGTTCTTCCTTTTAGGCAAAATGGGCTGGGCGTGGAGGTTCTTCTCCTCATATCTGATCCTCAAAAGACCCACTTGGATCGAAACTGACACCGGGATTTTTATGCCCACGCTCTGGGGATGTAGATTCGCGATGGTTTCTGGAATTTGATACATTTCAAGTGCTCATTTCACTAGAAAATCGAGGAGAAACGAAACTACCACCATCTATACATGGCTATGCATATACCAAGCTTTCCTCCCAAACTTTTCGCAAGTCTTGACTGAATTGTGGGCGCCAAGAGTGCGTGTTGATAAGCTCGATCAGCACAGCCCGGCAATTTTTTGCCCTCATAATCGCTTCGGTTTTCCCTTTGATCTTTTTTTTCATTTCCATCTCTTTTCTTTTTCCTCCCACCCCTTGCCTCGCATCCCATTCCGGGCACATACCGCAATCATGGAGGACCACATCCGTCAGAGCATTTCCAACCACCCCACTCCCTTCCAGCACTTGTCCAGCAGCTCACCTCACCCATCGCATCGCTCCGAGAGAATGACGCCCCGCTCCTTCGACGCAGCTACCTCCACGGGCGTGGAGACTGAGGACCCGAACATGTCCCAGCAGCAACACCGTCATACCAATGCCGACGAAGAGGGCAAGCCTCCACCTCGCTACACCCCCGAGACCGACCCCTTCCACCTCGCATCGAAGCTCAAGACCGAAGAGGAGATCCGCCAGATCAAAGCCAACACCGGGCGCAAGCGCGATGCCAACGCCAACGCCAACGCCAACGGTCCCCGGGTGATGGAGATGGTGCGCGACACCGGCGCCAAGGGCAAACAGGCTCTCATCACTCGCAAACTGCAGGGCTTCTACGAGACGCAGAACGAGAATATCGAGCGCATGCTCAAGCCCGTCGAGGAACACGTCCGGGCCGCGCGGGAACTCAATTCCGAGAATAGTCTCAAGTACAAGATTGCCGTGTACGCCAGTTTCGCAGCCAACATCATCCTGTGTGTCGTGCAGGTGTACGGTGCGGCCTCTTCCGGCTCGCTGTCGCTGTTCACTACCATGGCCGACGCCATCTTCGACCCTATGTCCAATTTGACCTTGCTGCTGTGCAACAAGGCTGTGAACCGCGTCGACCCGCGCAAGTTCCCCGCCGGCAAGGCTCGTATCGAGACTGCTGGTAACATCTGCTTCTGCTTTTTGATGACGGCTGTTTCGTTTATTATTATTGCCTTCTCGATCCGCGAGCTCGTCGCTGGCTCGGACACTCTCCTCGCTCCCTTCCATCTGCCTTCTATCATTGCGGTGGCTGTCGCCTTTGTCACGAAGCTCGGTCTGTTCGTGTACTGCTTCGCGCTGCGCAACCAGGTCTCGCAGATTCGCATTCTTTGGGAGGACCACCGCAATGACCTGCTCATCAACGGATTCGGTCTGTTGACCTCCGTTCTTGGTTCCAAGATCCGTTGGTGGATTGATCCAATGGGCGCTATTCTGCTGTCCATCCTGGTCAGTGGTCTTTGGCTGCACTCTGCCTATGGCGAGTTCCAGCTGCTTGTCGGTGTGACTGCCGATAACAAGATGCAGCAGCTCATCACTTATATCTGTATGTCTCCATCATTGTAGCCCCTTATCCCTTGAGAACACGGGAAACTAATAATTTTTCTACAGCTATGACCCACTCCCCCCTCATCACTGCCATCGACACCGTCCGTGCATACACCTCCGGCCCTCGTTTGCTGGTCGAAGTCGACATTGTCATGGAGGACTCTGCTTCCCTTCGCGCCACTCACGATGTTGCCGAGGAGCTGCAGATGAAACTCGAGTCTCTTCCGGATGTGGAGCGTGCCTACGTGCACGTTGACTACGAGACCACCCACAAGCCCGAGCACTTCCTGAAGAAGGAGCTGTAAGAGCAGAGTGGGGTTGAATATTCATGTCTATTTTTCGAGCGTCATAGCATACCCATAATTGTATTATATCATTGTCCGCGGCGATAACTTTGCTTTCTTGTACCAGTTATCTGCCGATGAAATATATATATATATATACATATATTTTTGATTTCATAATCTACTAAACATTGACCCATCTCACGCACCGTATTTCTTATCAACCGACAACATGCTCCGCCAAAAAGTCCACGCCTTTCTGGATAGACCCGAAAGCAGCATCTCCACGCTTCAACCTCGCATCGAATCCGTGAGCCATACCCTCAACAAGATACAGTTCACTTTGCACCCCATTCTTCTGCAACTCCGCATAAGCCCATTGAGAAAACTTCGCATCAACAACAACATCAGCCGTTCCCTGCACGAAACACGTCGGCGGGAAATTATGACTCTTCAACAATTTCACCGGATCTACAAGATCATACTCATCCTCGGCGATGATCGCGTCAAATTGAGTTCCCTTCCTAACAGAAGTGATCAGATAAGCCTGGCGCGGCGTGCTCAGATCGAGTCCATTTGGTCCGAAGGGCGGACGCGCTGCGGTAGGCGGGGGGATCTCGTTGAAGACCTGGTTGATGAATTCGGCTGAGGGTAGAGCGGGCGCATCAAGTTGGGGCTTAGTGCTGGTGCCGGTGTGATAGAAGGGGTCACGGAGGCATTTGAATCCGAATAGATCGAGGATAGCTTTTGGTGGATTAGGGCGGGAAGCCTGGGTTTCATGAGATCAGCCTCTGCTATAGATCAGTTTCAGGACTTGCAAGTTACCATCAACAAAGCAAGACCTCCACCGCAAGAATGGCCGAGAGTGACCATGTTTTTCCCATCTACTCGGATACCATGTTCTTTCTCTAGCAGTGTGGGAAGCTCGTTCTGTGCCCATTCATACGCGGCAACTGAATCGCTCACTGGACCGTCCAGCACGGAGATAGTAGGACCCAGACGATAGTCTGAGGACACGGCGATGAATCCTTTCTCATTTAGGGCTTCGATGTGTGTAGACGGTAGCATTGCTCGGCTACCGACGATGTACCCGCCGCCATGGAAGTATAACGCTTTATAGTTGGGATTAGCCTGGTAATTGCGCACGTAGTGCCATTTCTCTTACCAATTGCCTTCGCTGAAGTTTTGTCTTTGGGCAAGTGCACGGTAGCTGTCAGGTTTGCCGTTTTGGTGCCATAATTGATAGTCTTGAAGACGTAGTCCACACTTGCCATTTTGCGAATACGTTATTACCACTTGTTAAGGATTGAGTAAAATAGAGACCCAAGAAGCAGAAACCACTTGGTAGCAACATACTTGTTCAAAGCTTAGGTTATTAATATCTGTGCCTGGAGTAAATCGCATGTTCCGTCCGCCGCGGCCGATTCCGCGGAACCGCATTGTTGGAAGTCTCCAGTATGGCAAAGCTGACGGCAATCTCGGGACAATGTGCCTGCAGATATTACAATTGCAAATTTTTCTGAGAAGTCGATGGCTGATATGAGTGCCGTTGTTGCAAGCCGAGGCTCTATGTAGCGTTGTTTATCTTCGCTGCAGAAGTCCTCCCGCAACTCCTTCTCTAGGTCATTTATACAGGGATATTTCCTAGTATCAGGCCCCAAAAATTGAAAAGAGCTTTGAAAGTGAGTCTTCTTGGACCGGCCTTATCTTGCCTAAAATGTAAGTAACAACAAGATTCTTTTTATCATCTCTGAAACCGTGCTAATCACCATCACAGGGAGTATACAGCGTCATCAGCCATGTTTGAGGCGCTGTGGGATGTAAGCTTTGTCCCAATTCTTCAACATATCCCCTCTTCTTAAGTAGATCACTGATTCCTTTCCCAGGCTGGCGTACGGTATTGCTTCGTCAATCTAGGATCTGATCATCCAGCCATCATGGAAGCAATGGTCAAAGGCAAGCAGGAGAGGCCAGACAGGTTTCCCAAGTTCATCACCTGCCCCAGTGAAATGGTAGCACTTTCCATGGCAGACGGCTACGCCCGTGTCACAGGAGAGCCCCAAGCTGTCATTGTCCACGTGGACGTTGGCACTCAAGCACTCGGATGTGCGGTACACAATGCCAGCGTCGGCCGCGCACCCGTACTCATCTTTGCCGGTCTCTCCCCATGCACAATGGAAGGTGAATATCGCGGTAGTAGAACCGAGTTCATCCACTGGCTACAAGATGTGCCTGACCAGAAAGCAATTGTATCGCAATACTGTCGCTATACCGCCGAGCTGAAAAAGGGCAAGAACATCAAACAGATGGTGAATCGAGCCCTGAGCTTTGCGAATAGTGAGCCGAGAGGTCCAGTCTATTTGCAAGGGACTCGAGAGGTTATGGAAGAGGTTATTGAGCCTTACGAGATTCGACAGGAGTTTTGGACTCCCGTGGAGCTTGGTGGGTTGACACCGAAGCAGCTGAGTCTTGTTGCAGATGCGCTGGTGTCTGCTCGAGAGCCTCTTGTCGTCACGGGTTATAGTGGACGTGACACTGCCGTGGTACCCTTGCTTGTCGAGCTGGCAAATATTATCAAAGGGTTGCGGGTTCTCGACACAATGGGTTCTGATCTCTGTTTCCCTGCCGACCACCCTGGCTGGCTGAGCGTGCGATATGGATCGGACGAGGCCATTCGAACAGCCGACGTGATACTGGTCGTCGATTGTGATGTGCCCTGGATCAACACGCAGTGTAAGCCTGTCAACGACGCAAAAATTTTCCATTTCGATATCGACCCGTTGAAAGATCAGATGCCGGTCTTCTACATTGATGCGATCCTGCGGTGTCGTGTGAATACCAAGTTTGCTATGGGCCAACTTGTCCAACATTTGAAGATTGAGCTTTCAGATCAAGTCAGGGCGAATCATGAGGTTTATGCCGGCCGATGGTCAGACCTCCAGGCATCCTATGCACGAAAGCTAAACGCTATAGCTGCACAAGCGAAGCCGAATCCAGACGGCTCCTTTGGATGCGGATTTCTCATTTCGAAGCTCCGGGAGACCTGCCCGATTGATACCATATGGGTCATAGAAGCCGTTACTAATACTTTCACCGTAGCCGATCAACTACAAGCAACATTACCGGGAAGCGTGTTTAGTTCTGGTGCAGGTGGACTCGGCTGGTCTGGAGGCGCAGCTCTTGGGATAAAGATGGCCACAGACGACCTCCACGGAGGGAAGGGCAAGTTTGTATGCCAGATCATCGGAGATGGTTGCTTTCTCTTCTCTATACCTGCTAGTGTGTATTGGATTGCGCAGAGATACGAGATCCCAGTGCTGACTATAGTGCTCAACAATAATGGTAGGTCGAGAGAATCACGATCAGGTCTGATATTGCATTAAAACTGTGCTTGACTAATTCATAATGCTTTTGCAGGCTGGAACGCACCTCGGAAGTCTTTGCTTCTTGTTCACCCTGATGGACTGGGATCTCAGGTTAGCAACAAAGAGCTTAACATATCATTTGATCCAAACCCGGATTATGCAACTATTGCACAGGGGGCATCGGGTGGTAAATGTTGGGCGGGACAAGCTAGCACAGTTGAAGAACTGGCAGCAAGGTTACCGGAGGCTGTGAATGCTGTACAAAACGGCCGTTCTACTTTGTTGGATGCACGGATACAGTAGCACGAATGTTGAATAGTATGCAAAGATGTTTGGACTATCTTCGTCTGATATCACGGAAATAGAAATAGAATATACATACATTTTGAAATTTAGATATCTTCTATCTCATTGATCCCCCTATCTGGTCAAGTTGATGACCGCATCCGATGGCATTTCAGGCTCATCCCTCCAAAAAGACGAATCCTATGGTGTATGCTCATTTATTTATCACTTCATCCTGCTTCTCTCCAGACTCAGCCATTGTGGCTGAAAGAGAAGAAAGCCGACTTTTCTGATTTTGAAAAAGAGATTCGATGATTTTTCTGTACCCCGTGGCCTCACTGCTGAAGTTGATGGCAGTCTCATTTCTAGAGCAATAAATCAGTAACCATATTAATTCCTCTCCTGAAATTACATACCGCCGGTCATGATACTGAGATTGTTCTATCCAGTTCATTATCAAATCTTCAGAGCCATAAGGTTGTTGTGTGGTATCAGCCATGTCTTTTTTCTGTGAGAGACCCGGCAACAGAGAGTTTGGATTTCCATTGAACTATCAAGATATTTCAAAAAGAGTACAGTACACTTGTAAAATTTATTATGACTTAAATCTCGATTTCACACCGAGTCAACTCTCGAACTGATCGTTAGCGGTTCCGCGGAAGCGGAACGGTGGGAATGCGAGCAGAGCTTTCAAGTTACGACTTTCACTCCATCAAGCCCAGAAGTTTGCAAATAGTAATACCCTGTCCCCGAGGGATATGAAGCTCTAATAAGGTAAGATTTGCAAATTAAAACATTCAATTTTCAGTATTTCTCCACTATACGAAGTCCTAGGCAATTCCAGAGCAACCAAAGATTCTGGTCTCATGTTCTCTCGATAACCTTTACTTGGATACTTTGTTTGACAAACCACCCACTGTTAGTTGTCCACTGGCTATCGCCTGCAGGAATAAAGTCAAACCGCCGCGCTAACTGGGGTAAAAGCTTCGTCATTTCAAGGAGCGAGATGTTTTTGCCGATGCATGTTCTCGAGCCGGCTCCAAACTGTAGACCGTATCAGGACGACTTCCATCTCTAATTTTCTTATATCATCAGAAAGAGACTTACCGCTAAGTAGTTCTGATCCATGAAGGCAACTTGCTCTTTATCAACCAGCCAGCGATCTGGTCGAAATTCATGTACATCTTTCCCCCAGATATTTTCATCCGTGTGGATCACCCATGCATTCACGCCCACCACGGTCTGTCAGTAACTCTAGAGTTAGCAGTTGTGATTGGAAATAGTATGGCATATTTTGGAGTTACTATGACTTACACCTTGTGGGAAGTGTCTCCCAGCGATATGTGCACCGCCCTCAGGAACCACTCTGCTTAGAATCTGGCCGACTGCTGCATGCAGTCTCAAGGCTTCTTTGATAGTAGCTTGTAGATAGGGAAGCTTTTGAGCTTCTTGGAACGAAACGGGGTTAGAAAGATTTCCTTCCCTCTCAGCAGTCTCGATTTCGTCGCGGAGCGTCTTCAAGCAACTGGGATGCTTCATGAGAAAGTAGATGATAGCACTCATGCTGATACCAGTCGTGTCAGAGCCAGCGCCAATGTTGGTGCCAAGTACGTTGTTAATTGTGGACTGATCCAGCTTTCCAGCTTTGCTCAATTCAATGCACTTTGCAAGAAAGTCCTTGCGATCGCTGGTACTGACTCCCTGCAGTCTGGCACCAATCTCCCTCAGTATCACTCGTTGTGTGACTTTCCAGTGGCTGTCGATAGGGAGCACTTTTTGCAGCCACTGGTACCATCGATGAATCTCAGGAATGAGACCAACTGTAGAACCGTAACTGATTGACCCGACATGAACCGCATGCAGAAGCCCGTCCTTGTCGTGACCAGCTTCGAGTAGGCCAAACGATCGACCTAGGGTGATTTCACCAATGACGTCAAACGCGTAGAATTGCATCCAAGTAAACAAGTCGAACACCCGCTCATGCTGAGCATGATCGGTCAAAGCGGCCATGAAATCACCATTCACCTTGTCTACAAATGGTTCATAGGATACCAGAGAGCTCATGGCGTACATGTTGGAGATCTTCCTGCGCTCCGCGGCATGCTTCTCATTGACTGTCTCTGAGAAGACATCCTTATGGTCTAATGGTGTACCAAACAGGGTATAGTAATCGGATTTGCTGAACTTTGAGCCGGCGCCATAAATAGTGCGAATCGCCGTCGGGTCGCTAATGCTGTAACGGTTGGGACCCAGTCGTACAATAGATCCTGTCAGAATTTAGTACATAACCATCCATATTGGGTCGATTGGGCTACCATATTGTTTATGTAAAGCAATTGTGACTTGTTCCAATTGGCCTTGCCAGTTCTTGTACGTCTCCCATAAACGAGTGTATCGTGCAAGTGTAGGGCCTTTCACATCACGCAAAGGGTTGAAAAGAGCCCCGAGTAGATATTTCAGAATCAATAAGACGCTTGCTGCGGCGAAGAGCATCGGTACGTCGTATTGAGGGGTTGTAAGTTGGGATATCATATTGCAAAAGACCTCGCTGTAAGTCAAGATTTGGAGTAAAGAACGCAATAAAACCGAGACCAGTCTTAATTATCAGCTACTTACTTACATGATCTTCCAAAATGCCGTTTCCGACAATTCCGCGGTGAGATCTTAATTAATCTTGGAAGTGGGGATGTTCAGAGCGTGGGGACTAGTGCTTAAATGTTGACATCTACGGAATGAGCCGCGGAAAGCATCAACTTTGAAAACTGGAAAACAAAGAACCCCGCCTTATCCCCGCATTAATGATACACAGACTCATAACAAGAATGAAGCTTGATGCAGAAAGTTTAGCAGGTGTTTCTAAGGAGACATGTGAGAAAACACAAATGACGTCATCGTTGGACTCGGCGCAAGGAATATAGGTTGGGGTTTCTTTACTTGTGCATTAGATCTTTTCTTACCTTGATGAAAGTCATTGTGTCTGCTTCTAAATTTTCACCCTGCGAGGGAACATAGCCTTGTCGTCTTTTGATATCAATCTTGATGACTTTCCCACAACGCCGGACTCCGTATGCGATCTTGAGCTCCTCGGGGAAGATGGCCTGATTATCCCTATATTAGACGTGAGAGTGTAGTATAAGTAAGTGCTCTGGGAGATATTTGGTACCAGTTTTGGAATTGCTGCCCTTGGAGAAGCTTTATGCTATTTTGTGTCTACGGTTCATTTGACTGGAGAAGCCTCGGCTTCCAGTCTCGGCAACAGCCTATTGTCTAATCTAGCTTTAGTATTAATGAATAACCATTGCGGGAATCAAAGTAACTTTCAATATTTTACTATCTAAATAGACCTATTCAGTTGAGAGTACTTGGTGCTGGGCATGACATCTTTGATAGGACCCGTCAACATCGGCAGAGGCCTCTCAGGATGGGGATTCGGGACCCAATTCCCATGGACCTGGTTGCGTGTCTGGAAAGGCATCTGTGCAATAGCAACTGGCTTCGAGAAGTCATTGGTGTCCAGGATTACTAACTCTCCCTTGGGCGACGAATCCCTCTCCATATAGAATATGACCCAACCATCACCTTCCTCAGAGTCCGGCCCTCGAGGGATGTATGCCGGCTCTGCGACACTACCGTACCTGGCTGCATGGAAGATTGACTTCTCACCAGTCTCCGTATTCAACTTGATGATTGCGTTGAAACGAGGTCTGTCCTCTCCGTCTGGGGCGATCATAGCGGTCAGATAGACGATCTTAGTCTTGAAGCCAGTTTTGCGCTCATCGAAGATGGGAAAGTCAAAGATGCCCTCTAACAGTGTCTCGGCCGGTGGTAGAGCCGTACCATCAGGCTTTGCAAGATCGATGGTCCAGCGTTTCCAATCACCGCTAGGCTTGCCGTTGGGTCCCGCATAGTCTTTCGGGTTGAAGAAGTCAAAGACATTAAAGGTGACAAAATGACTTTCGAGCTTCAAAATGCCACCTTCTTCTTCCCATGCGTTGCCACTGTGGATGATAAGACCATGAGGAGCCGTATACTTGCGAAACTCGCCCGGCTTCCAGTCTGGATGGTTGGGCGAGTTCGCATAACGTGGAGTGACCAGGAATTCCGAGGGTTGGTCTGGAATGAACCTCCAGTAGTCGCCTCCTGCTTTCATCACCTCATCCGTATTGACACCGAATGGCATGTTTGAAAGGATGATCCAATGTTCGGTGATCCAGCCATCGTGTGGCCACCCGGGCTTGTCCTGCTTGAACCAGTGCTCATTGGAGATACGCCCGTTGGGATCGATCGAGTAGGTGCAAATGTCCGAAGTGCTGAGACCTTTGGCAGAGTAGCTCCAAGTGACCAACTCATTCTTGTGGGGATCAACTTTGGGATGAGCGGCAAATGTCATCGCAGAGACCTGACCACCGTACGGATTGGCGCCTCTGGTTTCAAGGGTATCTGGGTCCAAGGCCCACGGCAGTCCCCTTTCCGCGAGCGCGAGGAGGTTTCCACCCCAGTAGATAATGTTGGTATTCCCGGTGCTGTCGTTCGCATACCGCACGCACGGGTGAATGTCGAACGGGTTTCGGTAACGACCGAAAAGGCGTCGACCAGCCTTGCGTTCCAGAAGCCATCTTTCAGTGTGTATGTATTTGATCTTCATGGAGATCTTGCCATCCTCAACACGGAAGGCACAGACATGGCCATCCCCGTCAACAAAAGGAATTCCCACTTGCGGGCAGAAATGAGGATCGATGAGCATCCGATACCAGGTACCGCTAATCTCCTTAGGAATATCACCAAAAACGACCATCTCGTCTAGTTCGCATTCAAATCGACCTTGAGGAGCAGTGTCAGAAGGATGGTAGTAGTGCTCCCATGGCGAGGTGAGACCGAAGTGATTCGCATGCTGGCTCTTTTCGGCTGGTACAGCATTTTTAGCCTGTGTGGCTTGAGGCCCTAGTGTTGCCATAGTTCTCAAGTTGGATTTGTGAAAACACTGATATATGAGCAGGTATAAGGTATTCGCGGCTTGATGTGTACAAGTTTAAGCTTTTTTATATACTAGAAAAGGCACAATATAGAGGAATATGACCACTTCGCTATCTTCAGTCGCTCTCTCTGTTAGAATATCACATTTCGGCGCCGCGGAAAGCGACTTTTTGGGTTAAGGCCAGTCATTCCGCGGAATGCTTTACGAGGTTGAATCAGGCAATAGTCACGTTGCCAACTCTCCCAAGCCACCTTGTCACATTGACATCAATTTGAAGTCACTTTATTATTTTAGAATGCGGGGTTTCAAGTAAGGCAGCCTGGCCGGTACTTGAAAAGGAATGCTTGCCGTATGATACTTCGATGTCCTGCACGGAAAGGACAATCTCCGTATTGCTTGGCAGTCAAAGCTGGAGAAAACTCCTTGCAGATTCAGAAGATAACTTAAGCAAAACTTTGTAGTACTTCATTCGTAAACCTTCCATACCCCTTATCACTCCTATCCATTCGTCTGCTATATGTTGCCAGAGAAAATCTAGAAAGGCTGGTCGATGTTTGCTCATCGTTTAGATAAACAGAACATAACTCGTAAGTCCATTGAAGTGAGCTCCAATTCTAGACGGTGCTCTTACAAGATTAATATCTTGTCTTTATCTCTGCCAGTTGCTTCAAAGTGCCAAGGTTGAATTCAGACTTTTTGTTCGAGCGCCTGCGTGCTAGTCTCTCTCCCCAGCTCGTTAATTTAGCCCAATATCCCCGCAGAGAGTCCCAATATCTGTGACAGTATACTTCACACGATAATGGTCAACTTTTGACACTTGGTATAAGTGAATCTTCCGCGGAATCTCCACAATATCCATGTGATCTGAGCCGATTGGTTTACTTTATTTCCCCAGATTCCCCCCACATCCCCACCACCCATAACCCCTAAGAACGAGATACAGTACGGAAAATACATATCTCCTTGCTATATTACTCTTACTTTGCCTCATATTACCAAGGCTACTCATCCTGCCCTGTGTTCAGAAGCCCAACTTGAACCATGTCCCATCATGTGAATGAGCTTGAGAGCTCCGCCATCACTCATCGCCATCATCCAACAGAAACTCTTGGACATGTCCGACTCCAAGATGAAATTACCGGTGCAACTCTTCTCGTTCCTGAACCATCATCCGATCCCAACGACCCTCTTAATTGGTAGGTGTTTTCTGCGTATTATACGCCTCTTGACCTCTAGAAGGGTGCTGAATATCAAATCTTTTGTCACAGGTCGAAAGCTTTCAAGATATACGTTACATTACTAACTTGTGTAGCGTTGACCTGGATCAATTTCTTTGCAGGGGGTCCCGGGGCAGTTTTGGTTGAGATAGCCATCGATCTCTTCGGTGTATATCCGCCCGACTCCCATAATCCCGCCACGCTTTCTCCGATATCAATTACAGCTTTCTCATCTGCTGTGAGTAAAACTGCTTTACTATTTTCCACGACTTCCATGGTGGCCGGCGTGAGCAACCTTTTATGGGTTCCACTTGCGGTTAAATACGGTCGTCGCGTGGTATACACTTCCTCGTTCCTGGTCTTTGGACTCTGCTGTATCTGGTCGGCGCGTGCCACCTCTTATGGTAGTCTGCTGGCTTCGAGAATTATAGCAGCTTGGTTTTCTGGTAGTGCAGAATGCGTTGCTCCCATGACAATCGCAGATATCTTCTTTCTTCATGAAAGAGGTAAAATGACCGCGTGTGTGAACAAGTCCATGGCTATGCATTCGGCAAGTCTCCATACTGACAAGATCCCATGTTAGGATGTATTCGGCCGCGCTCTCTACGGGTGCTGCTTTTGGCTTGTTGATATCTGGGATCATGTCCATCTCGCAGAACTGGAGAATGTTCCACTACTTGTGCGCTGCCCTCATTCTAGCTACAACGGTCTTGATTTTCTTCACTATGCCCGAGACCGCATATCAAAGAGATGTCGGTAGGACAGATGAAGTGACAGACCAAAAAATCTCCAACGTGGCCGAAGTGGAGCATATCGAGGTGTCTAACACACCCAAGAAGTCCTTTACTCAGCGAATGGCCTTCAACCGCGCGCCGCTCACCCATGAGAGCATTTGGAAAATTGCCTTCCGCCCTGTGATTATTCTTTTCTTACCACCAGTCCTCTGGTCCACGGTTTCGTTTGGAATAGGAATCGGAATTTTCGTTGTGCTAGGTACCACAGCCGCAACAGCCTTCTCCCAAGTCTACGACTTCACAGTCTGGCAACTGGGGTTGGTTTGGATCGCGGGCATTGTTGGTAATCTATTAGGTATACCCTTTGGTGGCTACTTTTCGGATTGGGTAGCCAACCGTGCCACTTCGAAGAATGGTGGTGTTCGCGAGCCAGAGATGCGCCTTCCGGCTGTGAGCATCGCTATGATCACTTACCCGGGGTCACTTCTTCTCTATGGCCTTGGAATCAATTACAAAGCTCATTGGATGGTCCCTACTCTGGGAATATTCTTGTGTAAGGCCTTTTACATTCAGCATATTTCCAACGGCGGAGGCTCACTGACCTTGAGATTCAGTCTCATTCGGAAGTAGTGCTGCGATTGGCATCACTGTGGTCTACACAATAGATTGCTACCGGCCGATTGCCGGTGAAGTTGTGGTGAGCCAGGTTGTTTTCAAATGTAGGTCATGGACTCTCTATCAAGGTCTTCATTAGCGCTAATCAACTGGATTTTTAGCCTTTATTACGTTTCTCATGTCCTTCTACGCGAACCCTTGGGTGGATCGGGATGGGTACGCAGGAGCATTTGGCGCGATGGCCGGGTTCAGTTTTGTCGTCCTAGCACTGTGGGTCCCTCTTTACATCTGGGGTAAACAGATTCGTCATGCCACTCTCAAAGGGCGGGTGATGCGATATGTACACTGGGATTTGGACCGAGAGACGGGGGAGTAGGCATTATTATGCGGAAGGCCTGGAAGATCTGTTGAGAAAAGGGGAATAACCTTTGCGAAAATGGGTTTTTGTGTGATTCCTAGTGTGATAACAAAATAAAGGAGAAAATTTTGAGCCTCGACTCCGACTACTTCATTCAGTGTTCATTTTTTTATTTGCTCGAAAATTAAAAAGGGCCTTCAACAAAGGATTTTATTTAGCTGACGCTCGGAAAGTAGGAAGCATCAGTGCCATCGTATCAATGATCACTATTAAATCGTCTCACCTCCTGATACATCTATTCTATGTCACATAGCATGAAATTTGGGGGCTCCTGCCTTGGTTATCGAGGCATGAGATTGCTCTTTTATCCCATGGGTACTCATGTCCCAAAGCTCGTTGCACTTGCAATGAGAGACTTACATTCCTCTCAGGCACTTTCAGGAATTTATGATAATCTTCTTTCACATTTAATGTCGCAAAAGTAAGGCAATCTTTTACTTCTCTAACCCAAATGTTGAATTGAATTGAGGTGGTCCTCTAAGAGCTGTCTAAACACTGAGCAATTGGACTGTTCTGAGTGTTGACGATGGTATTCTTTCTCACAAGACCAGAACACGGAACGTGAGAGCGATGAGTGGAGGGAGTAGACCAAGTCTGGGGTTCGTCTTGTCGGCTATTGCCCGTCGCACACAGCCTATTGTGATGGCAACGCAGTAAAAGGCACAATAACCTTTGAGTCATACTTTCCACCAAAGTGAATTGTATGTCGCCCTTCATTCAGATTGTCGAGTTTCTTGTCGATGTGACTGGGGAAATCAGAGCTCGTATCAATGAAGCCTTGGACACGGAATAGCAGGCTCTCTCCTGCTTCAAAATGGATGCCCATGGGCCAAAGGGAAATCTCGAGCTTCACAATCTCTCCTGGAGGGTCCTTCTCTTCCTTGTCATGTGGGTGATAAGGAATCATGGCGGTGCTCCGCTCCGGGATCTGAGCGCGATGCGAAGCCCGGAGAATACCAGTAGGTCCAGTATACTTTATCATAGTCCTTGTTAGCGTGCCGTCATACCTCATTTTGGTAATATGTCTTCTTGAATGGAACTGCTCACCTTGACAGTCTGTGCCATCGGAACATCATGTTGGGTGTTGACTCCCTCTGGAAGAGCTTCCCAGGGAACATTGACGTGCTCCAACACCTCGCCGCTTTTGCTCAACTTCCGGATGGAGACATAAACGTCCATGTCATCCTTGTCTTTACAAGACATCCAGAGTTCAGCCTTTGAGTGACCAACAAGAGTAGTTGCTTTGTCGAATTTTAGCACAAATTCAGACGGTTTCGCTTGGTAGCTGTCCGCGTGATGAGCGACGAAGCCCTCGTGGGCTTGCATGGAAATATCCAGTTTTCCAGAGTCTCTCAGGTAGAGTTTGCGGTACTCGGTTGATGGAATTGGGTAGTTAGCGAATGGAACATCCCACATGGGGCCCTATTGAAAAAAAGAAATGTCAGATAGTTTCAAATGCGGTTTTGTATCCCAACGTACAGACTCAAACCGATTTCCATAAGTGAGGATGGACACTCTAGCCCTGGGAGTTTCTTCCCAGCCATTCTCAATATTCTTCAAATACCGATCGAAGAATCGTTGCAAGTCATCAATATACCTAGGGGTGTAAAGATCAAACCACTCCTGGGTCGGGTGGAAGCGGATCCATTTGTCTTTTGAAGCAGCTTGGTTCCAGCCTCTCATAGTACCAGCTCCATGATTTCCTGACGAATAGCTGACTAGCGCGTAGATGGGTAGAGTCAGACCACTGGTGTCGTAGACTTTGTCCTCCCAGTAACCGTTGAATAGAGGCCACTTGTTGAGCGCTTCGCCAATGTCTTCCCGTTGGTTTCGGCCACGGATCGTTTTGTTGAAAATGAAGGAAGCGAAATTGTATTTGGGGACGCCACCACGACATATCAGATCACGATACTTGTCTGTGAACCCTTCCCAAGGCGCTATGCACTTGAGCGATGGTGGCTTCTCGATGGCAGTTGCCCATTGCTCTGTTGCCAGCCAAGAGTTACCACACATGCTCACAGCACCATTACACCAAGGTTGGGCTGCGATGAATTCGACAGTATCATAGCCGTCCAGACCTGTCGGCTGTTAACGACCAGATAGTTTTCTCTCTCGTGAGCAGCAACATACCCATTTGGCTTCCCTCAATGTAAAGATTACCTTCACTATCCCAAGTACCTCGGATGTCTACATTAACGACTGCGTAACCCCGAGGACACCACTCCGCAGGATCGGGTCTATGTCTCGTAGTCAGTATGTGCTATCCTGCAGCCTCTATTAGGACTTGCTTACCCTTCGAATTTCTCAAGGCCAGATGTGGCGCTCTCTGGTAGTCCAAGTCGGAAGGGAATATTGTCGAAGATGCGAAATCCTTACAGTAATATCACTGTCAAAAACTGTTCCAGTTCGACAGGGGCTGCTGTCAGGTACATACCGTGTCCATTTTTACCGTATGGGCTCACTGCCAAAATAGCCGGAATCTTGGTATCTGTGACGGGCCTGAAAATGTCACAGTAAATCTGAGGGCAGCCATTTAGGACTCATGTTTTCTATAGGAATCGAATGTTTAACAAACCTTGACTCCGTCTCTGAGCGGAATCTCAACCACTTCATCGAAGATAGTTTCCTGGTGAAATGGACGCCTGCCATCTGCAAATCTCCAGCCCACAGGAAGAGTTTGAGTGTTTCTGGTCTGCTTCCTATACGGATACATATCCGTTTCATCTTCGGGTCGGTTGGTAGGTGTCCAAGGAATAGGAAATCCCCCAAAGTCAAGTTTTGGTCCGGCCATGATGCAGTCGTGTGGCAATGTAGCTAACTGCTCTTTCGCGATAGATAAAATAAAAATTGAAAATCTTGGTAGACCTTTAACAATACTGCTCTGAAATATTGGACATACTTGTAGTCGGTAGGCAATCGAAATTACCGACATCTATCGATCATCTCAGATTCCGCGGAACTCGAGGTGATTCCGGTGGAGTCGGAAACTTGCCGCCGCGGCTCCTTCACGCTTGCTTGCCACAAAACATCCCAGCCATAAGGTTCCATGGAAATACGGACTGTTAGTTATGACAATGCAATGACTTTCTAGATGATACACCGTTGAATCTTACGGGGATGTTAATTTCTGTCAACATATGGATGTTGTGGGGTCACATGACGAAGGACCCACTCATATAACCCCTCTCTACATCTAGATCTTCTTTATAAGATCTATCAGATTGATCCTCAACGATCTCGCATTGAATTGCATACTCGCACTGAATTGCCTATCTAGGCAGGAGACTATCTAACACTCCAATTCTCTATCCTTTCTTATGTGATCTTTTACCATGTTTCTAAGATATAAATACTGCTATGTTTCCTAACTAAATTGAATCAAGTTTATCATCCTTTGTGATCTCTCTTCTAGATCGGTGGTACTCTTCCACAATCGTGGTACTTCTGCTAGTACGCACGACCGATAGACTCATAACCGTGTATTCAGATACCACATTGAGTATTTACCAATCCTTATACACACTATCGTCTTGTGTGTATAATCACGACTTTATGGTCACCGCCTTGAGTCCGACAATTTCTGAAGAAAGAGGCCTACGGGAGGTCCACATCTCTCATAAACGATAGCCGGCTTGGGTTCCCATGTACCCGAGCAGGTCTAATACGTATACACCGGATTTATTATGCCATTTAGCATGGATAATATAGTGTTCCTTCTCAATGTCGGCTAAGTATCAAGTTCAAACGTCGCATAGGTGGGTACTCTTACTTTATTTTAAACTAGATATCCCCTCTTCGTTTTTTCTTTACCATTGCTTTGTTTCTCAGTCTTGCTTCATTGAGTCTATTATATGTGAAATATCTCTTAAAATTTCCAACGAGTAACGCCAAGGGCTATGGTGATGAGGCTGAATCCCTTTAATGAAGGAAAATATAACTTATGGATCTCTTGACTAAGATGAAAGCAGGGTCGGTAAGGCAGAGTTGGGAAAAGATGTATAATGAGGTTTTGGGGGTTTCAAGGGAGTCCAATCCCATCGGATTACCAAACACCTACATCAGGACTGATTTTCAGTTGGTTGGATGTTCAATTGCCTCAAAATTTGGTTCCTGTATTCAGAGCAGGAGATTCATGAACAACCAAGTCTGATTATTTACTTCATTCTGGATCCCAAAAAGCGGTGTAGTGTGGCAGATGTACGTAAGCGGCAAACGGCTGGACTTTTATCTCCGAGATCCGAACTCCGAACCCTGACTTGAACATCTCAAAGCCTCCCATTTGGAAATCCAATCAGAATGACCATCGGCACCCCTTGACTTTGGCCTTGCCGATGGCAATCTATCTCGGTAATTTTAGCTTCTATTTAGCCCATTGAACCCTTCTTTCATCGCCATCTGTGCGGGGTAAAGTCCGATTCCAACGCCCATTATTGCCTTGAGCTGTTGATACAGTATCCACCCCCGCCCCACGCCTCTCGTGGAACCCCAGAATCTGTCTGGATAACTATTGGTACATGCAATGAATGACTAGTCCACATTCGTTTTACTACGTGAGGAGTGCGGGGAGCGCAGATCTGGTGCCTTTCTAAAAAGCACACGAAGCGGCTCATCCCCTGAGCCATGTCTTCTATCACTTATTTTGATCCTTTGCTTCTATGACAACATGAAAGCTGCCACATCATCGACTCAGTCTCGGGGTAAGAGGTCGCCGGATGCTCTTCGGGAGCCCAGGCCCCGAAAGAGAGAGAAATATGCAAAGATGGCCTGGTAAGTCATTTCCATTTCATGTACAATAAGGCCCGGCTGATGACCTGATATAGCTCCCTATGCAAGGTTCGCAAGGTCAAATGTAGTGGCAACCAGCCGTGCAGCCGTTGTGAGGAGCTCCATAGCCAATGCACCTACAACGAGCCGTTCCAGCCTGAAGCTGCCGAGTATGACTTCCTGAATACGATGGACTATCGTTGCAATCATTGATACATCAAATCTAATCGTCAAACAATAGCTTCGATTCACAGCCAGCCATTCGAGACCCCGAAGTCGCGGTTCAGCGAATGAACAGAATCTGTCACCAAATGCAACAATCCATTGGCCGCTTTGGTCTCGCTCCTTCACACAGATCCTCTTGTCTGCAACGAAGACAAGAGAACGACGAATTACCTCAGCCAAATAAACCTCTCACCCCTACGGATCCTGGACACACCCTAAGCCTCACGCAGGATGCTATGAGAGAAAGGGGCCTACTATCTCCTCCACACTCGGAAGATGGCCCACATCCAGTCAATCAAGACGAGTTAAAATTCCCTGATGCTTTGATCAACACACTACAAGCTGCACGCCCTTTACTGGAACTCGGTCACGCCAAGGTCACTCGGTTATTCACCATATTTCGAGATGAGGTGTACCCTTTCTATCCTTGCGTCAGCTTAGACCTGGGTCGTAACGCTATAAACGCTGTATTTTCACTGTTCAAGAATACTTCCCACGTTGTTATCATCAACGTCGATATGATCGACGTGGAGATCACAAAGGCTGTTGTGGCAATCGCCCTGCTGCTCAGAGACGACACAGGAAGCTCTTTAACCTCTGACCTCGAGGGTCAGCTAATTTGGAGCATAGAGTCTTGTTTCGACCAAGAGAAGCCTCAGATTGAGGATATTGTGATTGCAATATTGCTAGTGAGCTATTCAGGCCCTCTCCAGATACACATGCCCCTATTAACCCCAGGGAAACCCCGCCTACGACACAGTCTATATATCTAGGCCTCAAACAAAGACCAATCAAAGCATGGCGAATAGCAGGAGTGGCTGCTAAATTGTGTCTCGAGCTCGGCCTCCATCGATCAAGGTTCTTCGAAGATCCGCAGATACCCCCACAGCGAATTTCTGACTGGAAGCGTCTATTTGCCTGTGTCTATCGCCTGGACAGGCAATGGAGTTTCCATACCGGCCTACCCTGGACACTCCATGACAGAGAGATCAATATCTCTGCACTCACGGTAGTATGGCTCTTCATCAGCAAAGTCAAGTGCATGCGACTAGGATAATTTTACTAACGGTTTTCTCCGGTGAATTTAGGAACCGCAAGAGTCCTATATATCAACCATGATCTCCCTGGACAGGAATCTTTCCGAGACATGGACTGTCGTCAACGCCCCATCACCTCAAACCAAAAACAGCGAGGAACGGGCCGAGTTTCTGAACTTCCAACTCCAAAAGCTCCTCGACAAAATACCAACAGGAGACTTCGAGAACCTAGATCCAACAGTAGCCCCACCACCCTGGCTACAAGCCGGACTAAAACAGTTCAGCCATCTCCGCGTGCACCACATCGGGATCCTCACCCAAATAAGCGCGAGCGGCTCAATAAGAGATCTCATGTCAAACCCAATCTCAACAAATACTCTCGTCACCGCTGCCGCAAAATCAGTCGACCTGCACTTAGAAATGATCAACACGGGCGAAAAAAGTCCACTCGTGTTACCCACGATGATCAAATTGCTCCTCACATCTCTGTCCATCATGATGTTTGCCGTCTCGCATCGTCCCGAGGAGTACGGATCAATATGTAGCAAGCCCTTCCAAACAGCCATCCAAATCCTCAGCGACGTGAAAAGCTATGTCAAAGACCCGGATCTGAATGTTTGGGGTACTTTACATATCTTGGAAAAGGTCGTTGAAGCGAGTCAGAGATCACGGTCCCAGAGTTCGGCGCCTTTGATTAGTCGCAAGGAAGACGTGGGCAACGACATTGATCGGGGCGAGCACTTTGAAGTGAACATGTTTGAGGAGCTACCTACGCCAGACTCGGAGTTCTTTTCTATGTTGGGAAGTATGGTGGCGACGGATATTTTGCATATGGATAATGTCTTTGGCTAGTCGGTCCAGTCATGGACACCGATCCTGTTCATGTCTGTGCCATGAACCAAGGAGACCAGCTTTTGCACAAATTTTAAAGTATCCAAATGAGCGTTTGTATCCCTCGTTGTTCTTCTCTACTAGAATATCTACCAGCACGGTGAAACTACATCGGAAAAAAGATGTTATGCTGTTTCTTGAGTAGATACTCGACGATTCAAATATCAAGAAGTTCAGCAGCTTGCACGAGAATTAGAGGCAGTGGTATTAACACCTGGTTACCCGTTGCCACTCCAAAACGGCCCACTTGGCTAGAAAAGCAACGACTGCGAAATACCCTCCAAGACTACCTAGCTACGACGAAACTCGTAGCAACCAAATCGGTTCCCTTCAGGATCACGGAAGTTCATAAACCACCCATGAGAACTCTCAGTTGTCTTGCCGAGACAGGTACTACCACCACGTTCGTGAATTCTCTTCTCCATCTGATATAATTAGCCTGCCAATCTTCTGGAAAATGTACGCATTTCCTGGGGTATTTGGGCACCAGGACTGACCATATCAAGGGAATCGACCGAGTAGTACACGGTCATCCCACTGCCCATAATCTGCTCTGTTGGAGCGTAGCCCTCCGGCATCTGGACGATGCCTCCCGCGAACCCTAAGATGGAAACCCCATTCAGCGATTTTAATGAGCTGCGCATCACTGTTGGCTTACCCTTCGGTTCAGCGAAACTATATTGCTGCACTTTGCTTTGGCCTTCAGCCGATTGAGCCGGTCTCCATTCCCAGGACGGAAATATGGCACTATAAAACGCCTTTCCAGAGAAAAAGTGGTCAGTGGGATCCAGTACCTTGCTACCACGACAGACAAAACTCATCAGAGTCGCCGTATGTCCGCGAACCAACTTTTAGTCCTTCAGTATCCCGTGCAGGGATCTCCACCCAACATGGGGAGCCTTCTTGGGGAGGCTTCCATTCCTGCTGGGCCTTAGCTGCGTTGGTGGTTTCAGTAGACATTGTAGGCTGTTAGAACCAGAATAAGTTGAGCGCCAGACAAAAGGTTCGGACAGGGAGAGGAAGGAGCATAATAAATCTACTCCCTCTGTACTGCCCACAGGAAGCAGGGAGAGTTAAGCATGGTACGTGTACGTCATCGACAACATTGTCATGGAGAGCAGGCAGTCTAGACTTCAAGAAGAGTTCCACAGCGAATGAGGAGAACGCCGTGATTTGAGTTTGGATACGAGGAACCTTCCCTGGTGCGATTTTCCTTTTTCGTTGTTACACGTGATACTAAGTCTTGTCTGCTGATTGGCGCTTACCCATAAATTCGGCCCTTGTTTTAAGAATACACCTCTTTTCTTTCAAACGCGTCAGGCATAGTATCGCAACTTGCAACAATGGACAGCCAGGTATGCTTCTCTCGCAAATATCTCGTGGATTTCACTCACCACTCCTAGAAAAACATTGTCAGCCCCGAAGAGTACCAGGCTGCTCGATCTCGTCTTCTTCAGCAGGAGAAAGCGGCAACCCACCTGCTACAGGAGCTCGCCGTGTCGCGCCATCAGTTGCCCATGGTGCGCATCCACGACCCAGCTAGGTTCCAATTCGACACACCCGACGGAGCAAAGAGCCTGGTGGACCTATTTGACGGGCGCAAACAACTAATCCTCTACCATTTTATGCTGGGACCCCATGAGACTGAGGGCTGCGTGGGTTGCTCATTCTGCATGGACCATATCCCCGATCTCCGCCACCTCTGGAGCAGGGATACTTCGTTCGTCGCCGTGGCTACCGCGCCCTTGTCTGAAGTCACCGCCTATAGGAATCGGATGGGCTGGAGGTTCCCTTTTTATAGTTCTGCGAAAACGCACAAAACGTGGGCTGAAGTCGAGGGGCAGGGAGAGATTATCACCTGGAAGCCCGGGAACGGCTACTTCGGACTATGTTCGTTCTTCCGGGAAGGTGATGAGGTATTTCACACCTATGATACCTCGTCTCGTGGCTTGGAGATCATCCTGTCCACGTATCACCTGCTGGATATGACCCTGATGGGTCGGCAGGAGGTGGGAAATGGAATGAACAACTTCCGCCGCCACGATGAATACTAAATTGGTAATAAAATGAGATTAAATGGGTCGATCAGCCTGAGTATTGGGGTGAGGGATCAGGTTGCTCAGGGCGAGGTGGTAGCTTTACTGTTACCTAGATTACGAAGGCAAGAACGGCCAGAATGCCAGTGCGTGGGTTACGATGGTTTCATTCTATGAATGACATGTCTATTAACGACTCTCATAACAAGAAAAATAAATACCCGCGGCCCTAATGACCAAAAAAACAATTCCCGTGGTATCAAATAGAATCCCGAGATGCAAACCTCCCAAAGAGAATCATCCCCTACTCACTATGTGTTATTTTCCAACCCACCCCAATCAATCCCATGCCATTCCATCCATGACACAGTGGTCATTGCAAGTACAAAAAGTTCTAGGAAAAAGAAATAAAGTGACAATCCGACCCCTTCAAACGAAAAAGGTCCAGATGAGATGGGGGGGGGGGGGGGGGGGGACAAGACTCGGATGAAAAGTGGTGAGAAATCATTAAACAGAACGAAGGACGGTCCAACCGTCCCGAGGGAGACAAGTAGAGAAAGGAAAAAGAGGTCTAGAGAGATTGCTCGAAAAGTGCGATGGTCGAGCAGAAGTTGCTCATGTTGGGCTTCTCGGGAACCATGCTCTTTCCAGCGGCTGAGGTGACCATGTTGACGGCTGCCTTGGTGCTGAGGCCGTAAATGTGAACATCGGAGCAGTCGACCTCGACCATGTTCTCCTGGCAGTCCTCAGTGTTGAGGCAGGTCTGCGCGTAGTTCTCGAAGAAGCTGTACAGACCAGCACCGTAGATGAACAGATCAGAAGTGTTCATGACGCGCAGACCCCAGGACTTCTTGCAAGAGGCAGTGGTGCAAGTGGAGAAGTCGGGGTCGTTCCAAGAGTCCTGAGGCGTGAAGGGGACCAGGGCAGTAGGATTGGACTGGTAGTAGGGAGTCTCGGTCTGGATCAAGCCCATGAAGACGTTCGCCGCGTTCGATACCTGGTAGTTGTACAGTTGGTGGTGCTCAGAAGCTGTACCCCACAGCCAAACGGGGCCTTGCGACTCAACGAGCACGCCACGCCCAGTGTAGACGTTGATCTGGTTGTGGTCGGCGAGGTCCAGCTCGTGATCAGCAGTCCACATCCAGGAGTTCTCAATGTATGCGCTAGCCTTCTCAGTGATGTGAAGGAGAAGGAATGCGGCGATACACTCAGTCCTGGGCGTGGTCTGCTGGGAAGGAGTCTTGGGGCAAGTATTACTCTGGAGGCCAGTACCAGCAGCGCCACCGATGCGAATGTGAACATCCCACATACCCGCCGAGCCCTGGGAGGAAGCAGCGACATTCCACTCCATGAGAATGGCACCGGGGGCGGCACCCTTGGTGGTGATGATCAGGTCGCTCAGCTCGACGGATCCAGACTCGCCCTTCTGGCCAACTTGCACAGCAGGAATGGGGTTCTTCTCATCCTGGAATTTGGAGCCGTGGGCCATGATCATGGGCCAGACCTCACCGGTGATCTTGATATCCTTGGGCACCTTCAAGGTCGAGGTAATCACGTACGCACCGTGATCGAAGTAAACAACCTGGTCAGTAGTGGCGCTATCCAGAACCTTCTGAAGAGCAGCAGTGTCGTCGGTGGTTCCATCACCCTTGGCGCCGGCGGACTTGACACTGACGAACGAGGAGGCCGGAAGAGACTCGTAGAGGGGCTTGGATTTTTCAAACACAGCACCACCAGTCAGAAGATCGCTGGGCATGGAACTGGCCTTCATAGTGCTTTGGGTGCGAGCAGACTCGACAGCCTGATTGGCACTTCCCTTGCAGGTACCAGAACCATTGCTAGAGCTGGAGCTAGTGCTGGAAGCAGTACCATGGGAGACAACGGCACTGGATGTGCCGGATGACACAGTAGATTGAGCGACGGTGACTGCGCTGGAGGTCTCTACAACTGGAACAGCCTGGCTAGTCTCGGCAACGGTGGCTGCTTCACTAGATCCCGCAACAACGGCGGCAGTAGACTCCCCAGCGGCAGGAACGGTAGCAGTGGTCTCCTCGGTTGCCGCAGGAGTCTGGGTGGTTGGGACAGTAACCTCGTAGGTCTGTCCTGATGAACCAATGAAAGACAGCCAGCTGTTGTCCATGCCAGGGAGACCCGATAGAATAGCTGAAGAGACTGCAGCCTGCGATGCAACAGAGCGATCGCCAGAATCAGTGCCCGTAGGCAAAACGGGAGTAGTAACCTGGGTGTTAGCACTAGTCGCTACGTTGGTAGCGAGGGTAGCGGCACTGTTGGTCGCAGGGCAAGCTGTCACAGTTTTGACGACAGTCTCGACAATGGTGACGACCTCGGTGTTGTCATCATTCTCCTCGGACCGGTATGCGCGCTTGGCAGAAGCGGACGAGGAGGGAGTGTACGTGTTACCCTGCACCCAGCTATCGACGACAGAACCGCCAGCCAGGATAGTGTTACCATCGACACCAGCGACGGCGACCGTGGAACCAGAGAAGTCGACGTTGTCCAAGACAAGGGTACCACCACCAACAGGGATGCTGTTCTTGGTCCAGGCAGTAACGATACCGGTGGGGGTGTTGGTAAGCTTGCTATCAAGCATCATGACGGAGCCAACAGTCTGGTTAGACGGAGAGGTAGACATGTTCAGGCCGACATTGCAGTTGTTGATGTTGACAGACTTGAAGGTCCAGGCCCAATTCCAGTTCATGTAAATGGCAGTCTGGCAACCATTGAAGGTCAGGTTGCGAGTGGTGAACTGCTGGTTGCCCAGGAACATGCCGTAGTTACCGCCGTTGAAAGTCAGGTCGGACATGAAACCTCCAGATCCGTTGTCCATGAAGATACCCTGCTGCTTGTTGGCTGAGCCACCTCCCTTGATCATCTCGAAGCGGATGTTCTGCAGGCTGGTAGCCTGACCGACTTGCCAGTGAATACCAGCACCAGAGCTCTGGGGCATAGCAGTAAGATCGATGACAAGGTTACGAATAGCACGGAAGAAGTTGTTCTGGTTGGTGTACCAGTTGTCGCCATTGTCCTCATATGGGTCGGCATCGATGACTGCCATGCCAGAGAATGCAGCAGCAGCCTTGATGACGGGCAGATCAACTGCATCACCAACGATCTGAGTGTAGTAGTACTGAACAATGGGCTTCGACACGACATAAGTACCAGGTGGGAAGTAGACCAGGGCGGGAGTAGTGGTAGACGAGTCGCAGCCCTTGCCGCAGCGGCCACCGGAGGAGATGGCACTGTTGATAGCCGCAGTGTCATCGGTTGATCCATCACCTATTCTCCAAATATTAGTCGTTTGCGATGAATGCAAATTCAATATCTCGTGACTCACCCTTGGCGCCAAAGTCCTTGACGTTACGGAACACTTGATAGTCACTGCTGTTGCCAAATGGCACCGTGCCCTGGCGCTTGATAGTGCCAACCCAGTAGCTAGAAGCAGCACGCTTTGACGCAGCCAGCTCCAGCTCCTTAGGAGCAGGGGTCACGGGAATAGCGCCAACCAGGGCAGTCGGGAGACCCAGCAGGAGAATGAGGTGGGCGAAGAACATGATGATGGAAGTTTGGAAACGCGCCATCTTCTAGATAGCTAGTCGCTGAACCTGCAGCGAGTCGAATGCGCGTGATTCTAATGTTAAGTTGACGGATTGAATCCCTGTGAGAGAGCGAAGTTCAGTAACCAGTACTGATGTAGTGATTGATAAAAAGATGAGAACTCCTGACGGCGCTTAAACCAGCAGCGTCGGCAGGAGGGTCGAGAGTGAGTGAACGGAAGTAGTCAAGAAGGAGCGATTTGAGGGAGGCAGCAATCGAAGACTGCTTTCCCCAGGTAGAAACAAGGAGGGATGGAAAGCGAAGGAAGGTCTGGTCCGATAGTCGATAATGGTTGTCCCACTACCTGATCGCAAGAGACCGGATGTATACTTCGACCCGCAAAGAAAGGAACGAAAGGGCAACAATGGGCGTTATAAAGACAAACGTCCAAATGAAGCCGCAGGCAACAGAAAGGAACAAAGAAGAGGGAAAAGTCGAAAAGGAATGCAACAATCAAATGGGATCAAAGAGAGAGAATAAAAAAGAAGAAGAATAACTCTCGAGCGATGCCCAAACTGCACTTACTTTTGCAATGTAATTGTGGTAACCAACTTCGGCAGCCTTTGGCGTATTACCAGCGTAATCTGCACGTATCGTCCCTGAATCACTTCCCACGGCGCCAATCACACCACACAGCGCCCTGCAATCCACCAGCACCGCCCAATCAAACAATCCCACGGGCGTAACGACGCCGACTCTTGAAACGCGATTGTCGGGGGATGAAACACTGGCAGGAGGCGATCCCAAAGCCGAGTGTTGCAGATTCACTGGTGGAAACAACCCGCGAGTCGGGAGACGAGTTCGTCAAATGAGCAGGAGTGGCCACGGGCTCACGATTTCCTCTAGGCGCAGACCCGTGAAAATAAGAATTCGATTCGACGAATCAATCGCAGAAGCCAGTATATACCGGTATATACGGCCAGTGCTCGGAGATGAAGATTTTAGGAAAACCTGTCCCGAAACGATAGGATTGGGTATAATCCAGAAGACAAGATCAGGAATTGGGCAAGGAAAAGTCCACAAGGTCTATGGGGTCTCTACGCGCTATATACCAAATAGCTCTTCCTACGCGGTGGCTGCCAAAGGGATCGCGATCCCTCTGCTAAAACATGGTAACTATGGCGGATCATCCATTCCATCCATCGAGAGGTGTCCGCATGGACATGGAGCTGTCGCGTCGGATGCCTCGAGAGGAGGGGGGAATCATTTCCCTGGCACATCTTCCATGGCAGCAATGTACGGGATGTGGGACGGCGCGAACATGGCCAGCGCCTCTGGTATGCCCCCCCCCCCCCTCTCTCTCCGGTGGTATAATTCCCCTTGTCCTTGTACAAGTGGAGCCAACCCTGGTCACAACGGGGACCGAACGAGGAGAGAGAGGAACGGAGACCAGCCCCGAATCATGTAACTTGAAGAACAAGATTATCAGGGGAGCAGGACGAGCCCAGCAACGGCAACGGCAGTGGCAGCGATAACAACCGTGCAACTCCCCAGGCTAGAACGCGCGCACTGATGTCCATTCTCGTCACGACGAGTGTTGCTCGGCACCAGCCTATCATGCCTGCGTCCCGCCTCGCTAGACAACTCCTCTACTCACCAGTCCACTGGGTCGCGTCCCTGGCCACGGAGTTCCATCGACAAGACTCCCCGCTCAGCGCTGTGAGGGCCGCTTGGCAGGGATACAGATTGTTATGGATGAACATTCCGGCGCGGGCAGCAAAGGAGGGAGATTCCTGATGACGAAGGAGGAGGCTGTCAACGCCCGCCCTTCAGAAAAAGAATTCTCCCTGAAGTGTTAGACTAGACGCCACTTCCTTCATCTCTTCTTTATCATCCTCTCCCGGTTGTCTCGGACTTACTGCGGCCCTGTGGGCTGCAGATGCGCCATCTGCATCGGGCAGATCATCACGACTGGCCAAGCTTTTGTCCAGCCCCTGAGCCTTGGGGGACCCGCCCTCGCCGAGCGATCGTGATTTTCTGGTTTAGCGCGGATGCAGTGCTCGCTTTCTCTCCGAGCCAATGGCATTGCGAGATGTTTGGGATCCTCGTCGTAGTGAGAAGATCTTTGATCGTGCCTCACTTGCCTTTCTTATGTCGGGTTATTGACCTAGAGGGGAGCTCTCGGAGTAAACAATCGTTCCACGGGACTCGTCTGACTAAGCCTTCGCATTATTGGAAGAATAGCTCGGACAATTGGAAAATTATTGAATCGTAAACCGGATCTTGGGTAAGAATAGCTGAGTACCTTGGTCGCGAACCATATTTCCTTGGGCCAGTCGAGTTGATCGCCAAACCGCGGTTCAAGCTGTGCTTGCTCCTTCTACTCACCTAAAACATACGTAGCACCGCTCTAGCTAGTATTCCAACATACAATACTCCAACAGGCCTTCTAGAATGAACATGATGACTAGTATCTTAAATTTTGGTATTCCTATACTACTAGTATGTATTGGTATTGGCGGTGGCACCGGGAGGACATCCCCGAGTCTCCATACTCCCGATATGTATATATTGCTGCCTTTAGTGTACCTGCCACGCGTCCTCGTCCACTTTTCTTTCTTTCGCCCGGGACGGTCCGCCCACCTCCGAGCACAGTCCCAGTGGCAATTTGGCTTCACTTTCTCTTTTAGGTAGTTAATTACACCACCAAGTACACGATCCTTTGCGCTACTCAAGCGCATGTTTCAGGACGCGTGCGAGCCTACGCACCCCCTCGGTCAGGTGACGCGGCTCTTCCCACGCAAAGCAGAGGCGCAGGCAGCCGGCGAACCGATCGCTTGGCGGCTGTGGGCTGCCAGCCTCGAACAGCGTGCCAGGCGCTAAGCGCAGGTTTTCTTCCTGCTGGGCTCGCTTCACTATATCTGCCGCTAGTAGTGGCGGTGGCAAGGTAACCCAGATGAAATACCCGCCCGCAACGGTCTCGGATGGTGAAGCAACCGTCGCCCCCAGTGGGACTAGGTATTCCTGGATTGCGCCTAGTAACGTGTGATACCGCTCTGCATATGCGGGCTGGAGGACTTGTTGGATGTGAGTATCTAGGCAGCCGGAGGGGAGTAGTTGATCAATGATGGTGGAACAGAGCTGAGAAGGGGCGCCGCCGGAGCGCGAGGAGCCTCTGTAGGAAGGTGTGTTAGCTGGATGGTATATAGAGCATGTTCATAATATCATTCCCGCATGAACCGTATACTCCACTCCAGTACTTGACCCATAGTACCGCACCCTATACATATGCGGCTCTGTCTCGGACGAATAGCAACAAGGCAAAAAGAAGTGACAAAGAAGTACAAGCAGGGCAAGACATACACTTGTGATATCCCGTAAGCGACCTTTTCGGATGCTTCGGCCCATCCAGTGCGAGCTCCCGGGCCGAGCAGTTTACTGAAGCTGCCATTGCTTATTGCGTGGCCCCATTCATCAACAGGGCCGCCGTCCAGGTAACGATCCACGTCTACCAAGCGGGGGAGGCACGCGTGTTCGGGGGCAGCCAGCTTACCCCCGGGAGTTGGCGACCACTGTAGGAAATCGTAAACGTCGTCGGTGACCAGTAGCGCATCGTACTGGCGAGCTAGTCGAACCAATTGTTCTCGGTGACCCAGGGACATCACCTTGGTGGAAGGGTTGGCGAATGTGGGGACGGCATAGATGATGTATTTGTAGATCTTGCGCCAGGGCCGGGGTGGCTTGAATTTCTGGAAGCGGGAAAAGGAATATTAGTCGAGGTGTCAGCGATTATTTGTTTTCCGGATTCTTATCTGAGATAAGTCCAGTGGATGGTGAGAATGCGACAATAATGCGCCAGTCTGCTTCGAAAACGGAGGCAGACTGCCGTATCAATTGTCTATTTCAGGTCGATACCGGTTCGGTGTTGCCCTCGGCATGCGCCTTTTCTTCAGCTGCACGTAATCCGCTCTCCAGGAAGGCTAGGTCAATCCCCTCGTCATCCTCAGGGACCCCATAGACCCGCCCAGCAAAGCCCGCATCGTCCATCATACGGCCAGCTAGATGGTAGGTGGGATCGACCATCCAGACTGCGCGCGTGTAGACGGGGTCCGTGAAGACGGCCATGACACACGCGAGGTTCTGACTGGCCCCACCGGTGATGCAAATGCGCTCGGGCGTAATGGGATGGCAGGGCTGATAGAAGCTCTCTAGCCATTGGGCCACGTGGGCGCGCAGAGGCTCATAGCCTTCATCAGGCCCATATAGCAAACCTGGCTGAGCAATGGAGGGGGTCGTCAGAACGGTCGTGGCGGAGCGGAGCAGATTGGGGGCGGGGAGGAGCGCGGGATTCGGCCAGCCGCAGAGGAGGTCAATGGGCGGTTGGTTGTGTTGTTGGTTGGGGGGCGCAGTCATCATGACTGTGGGATTGATTGGAGGAGGGAGATAGTCAAAAGGAATCGGAAATATGGATTTGGGGTAAGCGCAGGGAAAGATGTAAGTGATAACGTCAGTCGACGCTTGGCACGATGGAACCGTGGGCCCTGACCGACACACGATCAGCGATTCCTTGGGTGAGGAGGAAAGGGAAAGGAAACAGGCACAAGGAACTTGCGAGATGATGCCATCGGATTAAGGTTCCATCAGAGGAGAGTACCTAATATCGATCACGTTTTCAAAGTATATTTAAGGGCATGGTAGAAGTATATTTTCCGTCCTAGTACAGTGCCTACTAGACTGGTTCACAATGGTTTGTAGTAGACAGTCTCTGCTCTAAAGTCTAGGCTACTACATAAGACATTATGATGCGAAGCTTTGCGTCAGATTAGTCGTAGCGCCTCAAGGCATTAGCTGAGAAAAAGGACAATAACGGCGACCGTAAGATTAGATTCTCGCTCGAGACTCCCGTAAGTAGTCTGCTTCTTTAGTTTAGTGGAAATTTCACCGTCGGTATTTTAGTTATGCTTCTACGCCCTTTCCCCTTTCGGTTTGCCATCTATACAGTAGTCTCCTACTAGCGTCAATTTCCTGTAAAACTCATTCTGCATTATTATCGACTATTGCTCCATTGCCTGCTTCACTATGACAATGGTAATTTGGAACCCCGGGAGTGCGGTCGGAACCAAGCGGCAAGCGGCAAAGCGTGTTTTATCAATCAGACCCAATTGGATGGGCCATTCAAAATCGAGTTAGTGATGTGAACCCAAAGGTAATTGCCGCTCGCTAGTGAACTTATGCCTTGCTGCCGGACACAGCCCAACTCTCCCCAATCGAGACAAGCGGGCTGTCGTGTCACTACTATTCCGTATAAGTCCATAGGACACCGATGTACTTCGGACTAGTATGAATGTAGAGTTAAAAATGCTCCGCCGCCAGGCTGCCAGGCAGGCATTTGATGTGTCGAGGCGCAATCTAATTTTCACGGCTCTCGGACTTGGATAATATTTCGCAAGTATGGAGCATTGTAACCTGTTATTAATTATACTTGCTAGCCAGGATGGAGCTAAGCTAGTTAGTTAATCATTTAGTTTGTCGGTCAGGAAGGGGGTGGCCATATAGATATACTCTCCCAAGTATATGATTCTCGCGATCACCCGACTACGGTACACTCCGTAGTTCATCTACTGAGATCAGATTCATGGAGTAGCATCGCAGTGATATCCGTTCTCCAAGGGACAGTCAGCACAAGGGCTCTTGGGGGCTCATGATTCGTATGTTCATCCAGTTTTCGCACTGCAGGGCTCCACCGAGACACAGGGAACCCCATCAGTGCCGGAGCTGCTATTATTGGCAATGCAAAGGAACCGGATCGAAGGCCCTCCGTTTTTTTAGTTTTAGTTTTAGTTTTTCTAGTTAAGGCTCCTTCTAAAGACTGTTCAAGAAAAATTAGATAGCTACTGACTTTTGTTTTTTTCTTGAAACACCCCTTAGTTTTTCTCTCTTGGATCTCTCCTTCTCTCTACATACTTTTTTTTTTTTTGCTCTGACCACAGTTTCATCATTCCCTTGCGGTGTCTCCCTGCCATTCTTGCAAATCCCCTCCTGCCGATCCATTCTCCAAAACTCTCCCCTTTACCACCTCGATCATAACCTCGCGGCTGTCTACTGCATCGTCTAGCGCTGCTCTGTCATTCCTCTTTCCATGCGTCGCAAGGCTTGACCTCCCCCCCCCCCTCTTGCGCTCCGCCCGGCTCTGACTTGGTCCACTCTGTCGACCCAAAACGAGCTCGCTGAAACCCTCGTCTTCTCCTGACCTTCGAGGTGCTCAGCACACACTCGTTTCCCTCTTACCCCCTCCTCCCCTCCTCGTCCCCTCACCAATCCTCCTTTTCCTCTCTCTCCTCCTAAAGCGCATCTGAAAAAAGAAGATGTTGTCAGCTCCCGTTAAATCGGCGAAGCGTATTTCCTCCCTCTTTTCGCTGGGCTCGCACAAGGATCAAAATGCGGGCTCTCCGGCCTCGCCGGGATTGAATGGAGATCTATCCCAGGACAGGAGGCGACGCAGCAATTCACGACCGACTCGACATGTGTCGACTCCCAATGCGGTCTTCTCAGAACCAAGGACCGTCCCGAATGCCGGTCCCGTGGATTTCGACTTCGAAAGCCTCCCGCCCCCACCGTCATTGTTGGCCGTCAATCATGACCTAGCTACCAGTGCGCCCAGCTCACCTACCGATGCTCGCCCGGGCAGCAGGGGTCGCGATTCGACCCGTCCTTCCAGTTCGGCCGGGTTGGCCATCCCAGGGTCCACGCCAGACTCTCGCCCGGGCACGCCATCGAAACGCAGAAGTTGGATGCCCGGTATGATGGCTCGGTCGCGTGCAAGCTCGGTGGACAAGCGGATGCCAACTCCGGCCTTGCCAAGTGCCTGGATCGCTGGGTTGGACCAGAAGGTGGTCTACGATATGGAACCTTTGTCGAGAGGCGGCCAGGTACGTGGGAGATGACGACGAACTGTACGGGTGACCAAACTCCTCGAATACTCTGCTAACCCTCCCCCGCGCCTTTTTAGATTGCCGAGCTGTGGAACGAGCAAGGTGACACGTTTGTCTACCTTTTCCCCCAAAACACCGGCCGGGCGCCTTCCTTCAAAGTCGATTCCACCATCTTTGCCGAATCACCGTCTCTGACATACCTCGCGCGAGGCACCGACTCAAAACAGAGTGGATTGGAGCAACAGACACGCACGCTTTCTCTTCAGAGCCCAATCTCACCGCCGTTGACCCCGCAGGATCGGTTGGCAGACGACGATGACAATGATAGTTCGGGTAGCCAGCGGATGGCCTTTGTCGATGACGGTGGCGATGAGATTCAGGAGCTGCATCTGTACCTCCCAATTCCCCTGAACAGCGACGTGTCCAGCCCTCACTCGAAACTCTCGCAAGAGGATCTGGAGACTCTGCTCTTGTTCCGCAACCTATTTGCTTTCCTGCTGGGCCAATCCCTTATTGCGACCCCCAAGTCTGGATCCCTCTTCAGCATTTTCATGGATGTGGCCGTTTTGCTGTCCCGATTTGAGTTCTCCAACCTGGACGGATCCAACTTTGGTGAAACCGCTACCTCCAGCTTCAGCAACTACTGTGACGAGCTGCGTCTGGCGGATGTGCGAAAGAGCCGTGAGAAGACTATCGAAGCCATCGTACTGGGTGAGCGGCTTCGCTACTACCCGCTCTACCTGGAGGGATTCACCCACGGTGTTGGCAAATTAGATGAGCTCAAGCAGCTCCGGAGCCCCAAATACAGCTTCATCCACCCGATCACCCAAAAGCGCCTGGAGCGTGGCTTTATCGACCTGGACACCCGTCTGCGGGGCCTATATGGCAAGCTAGATGACTTTGATTTCCCCTCAGTCTTCTCCGGTTTCGCGAACTCGACCTCATCCGAAGAAAGCAAGGTCATCCGCTTCAAGAACTGGAAGGCCAGTTTCCAAGAGTTCCGCCGCTTCACCATCAACTACTATCGCAACAAGTACGGTGCTTGGCCACCCAAGGCTCGCTCGAAGAAGAATGCATTTGAAGAGAGCGGACTTAACCGCCAACTCCTTCTGGACCTGTATGGTGATTTCACCGATCTTTACGATCTGCTCGTCGACCGCACCAACCTGACTACCCGCACCATCGACTCCTCCGGCCCCGGTGGTGATCCCTCGCCCACTGACACCCAGGCTATCATGATTCGTGCTCTCCGCCACGTGCTCAGCGAGTATGACCGCAGTACTCCTCCCGTTGCGCCTCCCATTCCGTTCGACGTGCCTCAGCTGCCGTCAGTGCAAGGGCTGCACCGCAAGCCTTTGGACGCTAAGAAGGAGGCCAAGTACCGTGCCAAGAAGCTCAAGGCCTCCGACATCAACGCCGTCCTCATGGGATCATACACTCGTGAGAGCATGCGGCCTACCCCCTTCATCGAGAGCTTCACTCAGTTTGAGCGACGATGTGCCAACGGCAAGAGCGTGGATGATCTGCTCGAGCTGCGCTGCGGACAGTGGATCTTCCTATACGCCGTGCTCCAATCTCTGCCCATGCTGGTTGTGGACGTTCCCGAGATTCGCTTTAACGAAGGTGTCGAGTACTTCCTCTGCATTGCCCCCCGTGGCGGTGCTCCCTGGATTCATAATGACACCAAGACTGCTCGGGCCTGGTTTGGTGTTGCTGGTGGTGCTGGTGTGGTCAGCCTGCCGTCCGATGTCGTGATCAACGGTGTCGAAGGTGTCTACCGACGCAGCCACTGCTGGCAAGTGGCCGAGCAGTGGGCCGAGGCTGGTGCCCTTATCGAGCCCCCGATGGTCGAGGATGCCTATGGGGAGGATGAATCTTCCATCTCTTCTCCTTACCAGGGCCAGCAGTCATCCGCTGGGTCCTCATCCGAGCCGCACCCGCCTTCAATGATGGGTCATGCCCACGGTGGTCTCACCCCGCCCCCGCCAGCGATTCCTCGCACTCGCTCCCCCGGTGCTGCCCAGCGTGTTGAGCATCGTCACTCGATCTATCCGGGTCTGGAGGCTTTGCCTCTGCCCGCAGGCATTGCTCCCATCGAGCCTCCTTCTCGACCCATTAGTCGCTTCAACCCGAACATGAGCTTCGATGACATTTTGAAGGAGGTTCCTCGAAAGGACAAGAAGAAGCACTAATTCTTTTTGATTTTGTTGATCGTTCCTCTTCTTCCACGTTCGAGATTCAATGGGATGGTGGTTTTCTTCAGCTTCAATTTTCGCTTTTTTCACACACTTTCTTTTTTCGAGATTCTTTCTTTCTTGTCTGTCAATAGGTGCATTATTCGTGACATGGGTTGGATCGGCGCGATGCACAGGGATGCGAAGAGGATAAAAAAAGCAGCCTTTTAATTAAACGGGAGAGGAGCGGAGCATGGAAGAGAGCAGCAGCACCTTTATCATAATTATTCAGCATATCAGCATCAGCATCTCCGGAGGATGGAGATCGGGTTTTCTCTGTGCCTTTTTTTTTTTCTTTTTTCCATTCCTTTTTTCTGGTTTTCTCTATTATCTTTCATTTTCCCTTCTTCAGTGTGCTGGATTCCCCCCTGTTTCTCGTAATTGGTTTGTTCGGATTTGTCGGAGACTGCCCGATAGAGAATAGAGATTCTAATATCTGCATAATGGAACGTTGTATTAGTATTGGATTATGAGTACTTCTATAGTATATGTAGTGTTTATTGGTAGATCTTGTGTAATTGTATAGTATTTAGTTGCGATTGTTGTCTTTCTTCCCCTTGGAGGGTCGTCAACCATGGAACCAAGCGGTCCACCAGGAACTGTACCATTTGCTCCAATGTATCTGTGTCCAATTGCTTCGAGATTTATTTCCCCCAGTCTAGCTGGCCTACTCCTAACGGATACGCCTTGACAGAACGAGGTCATCCGCAGAGCATGCAGAAACTCGCCGTTGTAACGTGCTAATGTCGCACCCACTCACGGGTGGCGGCCGACGGCCAAAAAAAGGGAGATAATACGAGGCGCAGCAGCCACAGCTGCGGGCAGTCAAAAATCAAACCGTCCCGTCTGGACCAAGACAGGACAGAGAGATCAATTTCGCCATAAGGTTAGCGCAGATCGCTTCCTTACATAATGAGTGACCTCGGGTCCTTGAATCTCCTTGAAGATCTGAATCTCCTCTTCCGTGCAGACAGAACTGTCTGTGCTCTGGCTATCGCGAACGGGTCCCTAAACTTTCTCCGGCCTCGGGAAAGACGACCCCGTTCACACTGAGTACAGGGGATGATGGAATAACGACCCGCCTACCGAGTTATATCTACTGGCCGACCGTTCGAAACCGAGTTCAACCCCCCGTCCGGCCCCCCCCCCCCTTCCCCCAAGAATGGCCCGGTCCGCCAGCATGGCCAGCGATGGCCACGAGCGCCTGGAGCCACGACTGCTCCGCGCAGCTGAAAACGACGACATCGAAGCCCTCCGCACGGTAATCAACTTGGCGCGCGAGTACAACCAATTCGGCGATAATTTCCTGCGTGTAGCCGTTATGCGCGGCGCCGAACGAGGATCCGTCGCCGCGACCGAATTTCTGCTCAACCTCGGCGCAAAGACAGATGTAATTGGGAATCGGCCGTCACCGCTCCTCCGCGCCGTCGAGCGCGATCACTATCAAGTTGTGCGCCTGTTGTTGGACCATGGCGCCTCGCCGGATACTACAGATAAGGAGGGACGTACGGCGTTGATGACCGCGGCGTGGAAGAACCATGCCGATGTGCTGCAGCTTCTGATTATGCGCGGGGCGAATGTGAATGCGAGAGATCATCGGAAGCGCAACGTGCTTCATAATCTTGCAGCAGATAAGGAGTGTCGATGGGGATGGGGTGATGAGATTGTGACCTTGCTCCTCCGGACGGATTGTCTGGTTGATGGAATTGAGGGACAGGATGAGTTGGGGAGGACGCCGTTACATTGGGCTTGTGCCCAGGGGAATTGGAAGCTTGCGGAGTTACTGTTGACCAGACCGGACGGTCCCAAGGCGAATATTGATGCGGCAGAGTTGAGAGGGAAGACCGCGTTGCATATTGCGACTGCGCATGACCGAGCGGATATCGTTCAATTACTCTTGCAGCATGAGGCTGCGGTCAATGCTTGCAGTGATGGTGGATGGACGCCGCTCCATAATGCCTGTGAACGAGGATGCGAGGCGATCGTTCGTATCTTATTGCGTGCCGGGGCGCATATCAATAGTCAACTTTTGAACGGCGTGACCCCTTTGCATCTCGCGGCGCAAGGTGGGCATACCGATGTTGTGAAGAGTCTTTTGGAACGACCGGATTTGAAACGTCGTGTACGCGATAACTTTGGGAGCACGCCTTTCCTGCGAGCGGCGCAGTTTAAGCGCAAAGATATCGTTTTGCTGTTGGCGCCTTTCAACAATGTCGAGTCTCTGTCGGACGATGTGAAAGATGCCTCTGCAGCCTTTGATGCAACCGTGGTCGACTTTGGCAATTTCCACAATGAGAACCGTGTAAAACGAATGTCGGTCTTTAATCTGCTGTATGGCCGAGATCCTGAGAATCCTCGCAAGCAAGCTGTGACCACTGTGCCGGCAGATAGCCGTGCCACTGACTTTCGCTGGATTCATCTTCCCGCAAATAACATGGCTTGGGTCGAGGCACTTCTCACAAAGTCATTCATCGAAGAAGGTGCGCATGACGTCGATGGGTTCAAGGGTCTCGAGAAATCATTCAACTATCAACATCGCGGACAAAAGATACACTCGCATTTCATGCGGCCTTTGTGTCAACATACACCTCGCTCATTTGAGCGGCGAGAAGAGGAAAAGCTAGAGAGGCAACAATCAGATACTGCCCCTTCGATCATGACGGATACCAGCTCCACGTACCGCAAACAGAAGGGACCCGGCGGCAAACTTGACCGGGTGGATTCCCATTCTCATGATGAAAGCAGTGGGGGTGCCCCGGGGAAGAAGAACAAAAACAAGAAACCCGGTAAATCGGGGAGTAACCCAGGAACACCCAAATCCGAGGTCAAAAGCAAATCGCCATGGGGCCCGTCGGAGAAACAAGCTCGTCCATCTCCTCTTTCTGCCTTGGGTCTCTGCCGGGATCCTCAAGCAAGTCATAACGCGGCTTGCAATGTCTGCGTTTTCATGCCGTACCTACATTTTGAAACCGCGGAGCGCAGACAGAAGATGCAAGAGGCAATCCAGCGAGCTGAGATGTTGAGTTTCCAGCCCAGTGGCATGAAACGAATTCGCACGCGTGATGAGATGCTGATCGATGCGCATCTGTCCTCGTCGACAACCTCCTTGCACGTCCGTAGAACTCTAGACCAGTTCTTCTATCCGAACATCGACACTCAGAGCCGTGACCAGGATCAGGTGGTATATCGATACCAGACCAAGGGTCCCGGTCGTGAAGGGCCAGGCACTGATCCTAAGATCTTCATGGTTGATCAGTTGTGGATGTGGGTTCTCGGCACGAATCTCATTGTGACTAGTTTCCCGCAACGATGGGACCAGCCGAAGAATGATCCCCTGAATGTGCTGGATGGAATCATCGAGGACATCAATTCCAAGACTCGAGACCCCGTGAGGTCGGTGTATGACCTGGCGATCATTATTACCAATCGATGCTCGGGTGTTTTCGACCGCCACCGCCTTGGAGACGATGAGTATCAGTTCCTGGATATGTTTGAGTCGTCTATCGGTATTGCGACTGACCGTGAGACGCTGCTCTTCAATCGCTTCAACCATGCATCCGTGCAAGCATCTGCTTGGTTGAAGAGTCACCGAAAATTGAATCCCTTGTCGCGAAGCTCAGCGCGTTCCATCTCGGGTCGTGATGCACCAGAGGAAGACACACCTTCTGACGATGAAGATTATTACCTGGACGATGGCCAGCCGCTGTTCGTCGATCGCCTGCTGGATATCGGCGAGGAAACTGATCTGTTAGCCGAGACGAAAGATATTCGAGACGAACTGAACATGATTCGTACTGTATTGGAACACCAAAAGCATGTTCTGGTGGATTTCCAGGACGTTATCTGCTCGGTTTACCTGGCACAGCAGATTTCCCAAGTCGATGTCAAGAAACGTTTCAAGGATCAACAACGCATGATCGACATGCATCTGAAAGATATCGATCGTATGGATAAACAAGCCGAGCGTATCTACCACTCTATTACGGATCTACTTGACCTCAAGCAAAAACATGCCAACGCATTTGAAGCCCGTTTCGCTCGTGATCAAGCAGCGGGTACTACCCGGCAAAGCAAGACTATTATGGTGTTCACCATTGTCACAATTATTTTCTTGCCACTGTCCTTTATTACGTCGATCTTCACCATCAACATGAAAGAATTCGAGAATCTGAATCTTGGATATGTTTCTCGATATACCTTTGGCATTGGATTTGCCATTTCAATCCCTCTTATTTTGCTTGCGCTGTCTGTGGACGATATTGGCGATTTCTTCCGATGGGGAACCCTCCGCAGTCGACATTGGCTATCCCGAAGAGACAAACCTACTCCTGCAGTTGACCGCAGCGAGGGTCAGCTCCAGGCTCTCGAAATTGAGAAAATTATCAGTTTGGCACGAACACGTAGAAGTGGGGAGCTAGACTATGGGCCAAGCCTGCTGCCTGTTTCAACTCGTGGCTCGGGCGGCCCTAGACCTCGATCCGACCTTTATGCCAACGGGTTGGGTAACGGTCTAGTGCGGAAGAGTTATGAAGTCCGCCGCAGTGTTGAATACAGACCTTATACATGATGACATGAGATATGATTTCCGAGCTTTTGTTTTTGATTAGGAGTCTGTTCTCATGATTCGCTGATCTATTATATTTTGTCGCTCGCGTGTCACAAAAGTTGGATATCCCCCCTGTTCTATAATACCATGAAATGAAAATAATGCAAAGACTTCCCTTACAGCCGAACATTCTCGTTGTACTCAGGGTACCGCATACCTCCACCCTTTCCATCTCCCAGAATCACCGCGGGATGATACACATTCATAACAACCATGGCAATGAACATCAACAGGGCATCGAAAATATACCCAAATGCCTCATGCGTCATGATATATCCATCAAACCCACCCTTGTACTCGATAAGGCGGAAAATGGACCGAACCAAGATCAGCACACTAACCACGTACAAAGCCAACAACACAGTCATCCAATTACGCTGACGCCAGCCCTGAGCCCTAGTCATCATCCTCTCATTCTGAGACTTGGACGTAGGATTCTTCTCAATGCGATAGTGGAAGATAGCAGCGACGACGACGAAGAATCCGAAGAAAAGAAGCTGCACGACTAGACCGCCAATGACGACGTTTGAGCCTGTGTTGCGAGTACTTGTCTTACTCGAGGCCATAAGACCACCACCAGCGGATTGAAGCAGGAACGAGAAAACGTCGCCCGAGACGAAGATCTTGGTCATCCAGCGGACGCGGACGAGACTGAGGTTTTCGGCGTTGAGGTATGTGACTGTTCGGCCGAGGACCATGTAGATTGATGCGGCGTATAGTGGGGGTGCGAGGAGGATTAGCACCGATTGCATAGCATAGATGCCCACGGAGGAGAGGTTATTGCGGGCGATGACGCGGCAGATGTATCCGATGATTTGGACTGTAGATTTGAAAGAGAGAGTTAGCTGTTGTCGTATAGGGTAGGTTCGAAAAATGGTCAACGTACAGATACCTCCAATGAAGAAGGGAATAAAGTACCAGCATCGGGCCTTTGTTAATTGAACAGCATGGAAAATGGTTGTGCCAGAGAAGAGGATGATGAAGATGACTCCCGCCGCGATGGACGGGATATACCCATAGAGATTGTCGTGGTTCATATTGCCTTGAAAAAGAGCAAAGCAAAGTACGTCTATCTGGGTTTAATGAATCGAGATATCCCTCTCGGGAGGGGCCGAGGGGTTTTATACAGTAGACTTGCACGGAGTATTTCTATATCAAATTCTCCATCGCTTAAACGTCGGTACAGCCACTCTGACGGCCCTAAATGTGCCAAGAAACGGGGATTGGGATCGATATCTTACTCCGGAATCCACTCGTTCCAGGTTGTGGGCTGAGCGGCTAATACGCAATACGCAATTCGAGATTGTAGGCTTACTAGAACTGTCGAATGGATCAAAATTTGTCAAATCTGATAGTAGACTGATGGCTAGAATCTCAAAATAGTATACTGTCTCCATTATAGATCGACAATATGGAGTCCACGAGTTTTTCTAGATTCATCATCAGTTTCAGGCAGGGGGAATGTTCTTTTCTGGGGCGATACGAAATACGCAGCCGACCCTTTTATGTAGCATAATGGCATAAGTGGGTCCGGACAGGTTCTTTCGGGCCTTCCGGAGTGGAGATGCCAATGTTCGAAATCGAATCCGAATCCGTATCCGCACCCGTAACCGAGTCCGTAATCGAACTCGAATTCATTTATCTACTGGATCCCTCTGTAGGTCTACTAGACTCTTACTCAGAGGCTCCTGTGTCCTTTATCTATAATGGGGCCCCGTAGGTCACATCGCAAGTCGCGCAATGGCTGCCCGGAATGCAAATCGCGTCGATTAAAGGTTTTTTTTTTATCTCTTTCTCGTCTCCCGGTCTACCCGGATTGATTTTGACACTCCGCCCAGTGCGATGAGCGTTATCCATGTACAAATTGTGTCAAACATGCTATTCAATGCAGCTATGTTGCGCCTATCGACCAGACAGATTCACCTGTCTCAAGCGTATCCTCAGCCACGCAACCACAGCCCCAGGCCCACGACACCCCCCAAGCTTATCCACCCCTCCAACCTCCAAACTATGCGCCAACTCCCAATGGCGGTGATCCTTGGTTATATGACAACTCAGACGTCAGGCCCGAGTCAGAAAATAGGCTAGAGTTCCTGGGCATTCTCCCCAACTCATCATTGGATTCCCCACTCCAGAAAGAAGACTGGGGCCTTGACTTGGAGTTGATGCACCATTATTGCACGGTGACATCCAACACTTTATCCGAACGCGAAGATGCACGACATGTCTGGCGCGTGGTTATGCCCACTGAAGGATACTCTAACAAGTACCTCATGCACGGGATTCTCGCTATCGCCGCCGTCCATCGTGCATACCTCTATCGGATGTCGGAACAAAGGGAAAGATACATCAAGGCATCCGCATATCATCTTGCCGCCGGGCTAAAAGAGTTCCGAGAACTAATCGCATCACCTATCGATCCGTCAAACTGGCAACCTGTTTTCTGCTTTGCGTCCATGATCTCGGTACACCTGTGCACTGTCCCGATTCGACTCGGTGTCTCTCGATGGCCAAACCCGATCACGAATACTATCGAGCTGTTTGCTAGCGTGAAAGGGTTACAGGCAATTATGAAGCCGTTCTTGCCTTCGCTGAGGAAGACGCAGCTTGCACCTTTGGCGAATTCCGTATGGCTGGAAAGCGAAATGCGTGTTCACAGGTAAGCTGCTTACCCTACGCGATATCATCTGCGCTGAGCAAGCATTACAAGTCATAGGGTACTAATGTGTATGTAGCCCTGGCGCCGTAGCACAATCTCTCTTACCGGCAGATATCTGGACCCAAATATCCCGCCTCTATCGGTTCATCGAAGAGTACCCATTCACACAAACGACGAACCAGGACGACACCGCAGAGAAACATTCAGAGCATCGGAAGGACTATGAAGCCGCCATCAAGTCTTACGAAAGTTCTGTTAGGCAACTAGAACTTGCAGGACTTCATGTGGAGGCGGGTATGGTTTTCTTGTGGGCCTACCGACTTTCTGTGCAGTTTCATAAGGACCTGGAGGCGCATCATCCGGCGGCGCTCGTTCTATTGGCACACTACTGCGTTCTCTTGCGGTCAGTTGATCACCGCTGGTATTTGAATGATATGGCACGCCAGTTGCTAGAGGATATTGAGAGGCATATACATCCTGGGTACCGGGACTGGCTGGCGTGGCCTCGTCGGTGGGTACATATGAGGTAATGGAAAGGCTCCTCACTGCATCTGCTGTCTCCCGAGCCAAGCAGGGCAGTTGGTGCCATCTCTGCTTGCGAATATGCCTTGAAACCGTCAGAATGCGTCCAGTCGATGACTCCAATGACCTCTTCAGGTCCAAGGAAATGCATTCACAGCATTGGAAGGAAACAATTGAGAACATCCTGTGCTACGGGTTTCATACAGCTTTGGGAATCACATGCCTACTTGAAGGATATATTTTCTTATTTATATCGGAGACGTGTCTCAACAGTAAAGTGGCGTGATCTAGTTGGCTTCACCGGTATGACCATCCATATGCTGATGCAGGGGAACTGCCAAAAGCGGCAAGTGCTTTTTCCACGGATTTCTTCAAAGAACAAAATATTCTGGTCCCAATACCGCCACGAATCTCGAATACATGTCAGGATGCTAGAGTTTTGACGAATATTGTACCCGATACCCTGCAAGGTTAGAGGGGCCATCGTACACCTGCTGTTCTAATAGCCGTGTGTTGATCTGTGTGCATGGAAATACTAGTCAGCAATCAATCCGACATAGGTGGATAGAATTGAGTTGGCACACTCACATGTTGCATTCCAAGCTGGTCAAGTCTTTGCACGCCAAGTAGTCGCATGCATGTCTTGGTCTCATCGGCCAAGACTAAGAAACACTGGTTAGTCGAGATCTTTTGATCAAAAGAGTTGATGAAGGCAGGCTTTGACTCACTCTGCAATGTTCTCTTCACACCGTCAACTCCTCCAGCAGCTAGGCCCCACAACGGAGGCCTGCCGATACCAACACCTTTAGCGCCCAGGCAAAGGGCCTTGACGACGTCGGTGCCTCTCCTGACACCACCGTCGATCCAGACTTCAACTTTATCAAAGACCTCGGGGCAATATTTGCGCATCTCAAGCAGCGTGTGAACTGCTGGGGGCGATGTATCAAGGGATCTTCCTCCATGGTTGGAGAGAATAATCCCCTTGACTCGCGATTGATGCAAGCCGGCAATATACGCATCTTCATGCGTTTGAATACCCTTGAGAACGATCGGTAGACTCGTTTGCTTCTCCAGCCAAGCAAGAGTTTCAGTCCATGTGAGAGATGGATCCATTCCCGCAAAGACTTGCTTCTCAAGCGCCTCTTTCGAGCCTTCGGGGGCTTCGATCTCGGTAATTTCGTTGATGACATTGCCACTACGCTGATCATCTTCGCGCTTCCCCATCACCGGCGTGTCGAGAGTTAGAACGAGGAATTTAATCGCACTGAGTTTGTTCACACGAGCGATCATCTTTACGCTTTTGTTTCGGTCGTCTTGCACGTATAGTTGCCAGCCGAAAGCTTGTCCCGGTGCAGCATTTGCAACGATCTGCTCTGGCGTCATAGAAGCGCTGTTCGAGATAATCTGGAGAGCACCGAAACTCCCGCATGCTTCGGCAATCCCTGCTTCACCCGAAGGATGTCCCAGTCGTGCTTGGGCGGCCGGTGAGACGTAGATAGGCATCGATACCTGATTGCCTAGCAACTTTGTCTCGAGGCTACATTCGGTGCAGTCAATGAAGACCCTGGGTCGCAAGAGAATTGAGCGGAATGCTTCTGTATTAAAGCGTTTGGTGATCTTGTCGTCGGCAGCCGAATAGTAGTATGCCCATGCCTTCTTGCTCACTTTCTTTGTGGCAAGTTCTTCGATCTCGTCCATATTGAGGAGACTTTGAACGGGAGGATACTCTTCGGTTTTCCCCGAGGCCCCAGGCTGCGGCTCTGATTTAATTATCGTTGCTGGATCAATGGTCCCCAGAAACGTCTCCGGCTTCAGATTCTCCTCGAGCGTGCCGGAAGGATGAACCGGGTCGTATTCCTCGGTTGCGTCCTTGCCTGCTAATTTAAGAATCACATTTGCGCCACCAGGATGCTCGGAGACAAAATCAGTTACCTTTGGAAGGAGCAATCAATTCATGAACTGGAAAAGAGTCTCGAATAGAAGTTCCAGTACTTACATCGTACACTTTTCCGTAGAGAACCACCCAGCAACTCTTGCTGGTGTTGTGTTTAGCCACTACTGCTTGTTAGTCATTTGAATGTTTAAGCCGTGCTATCTTTGGGGATACTACCCTCTGCGGCATCGAATACTTTCCCCATATTGAGAGACTTGCGATTTTAATCAAGGGCGAATGCAAGCAAACGTCGGATCGAGCTCTATTTGAACCCCGGGGTTCCTGCGCGATTAGCCGACGGAGGTCTAAGGAAGTTTGACACCTCCGCCGGGGCTTGAGCTGCGTTTTTAGGGGCTGGTGGGTCTTTAGAGCTGGGCCTACTCGGCCGCGGTATCTGACTCCCGACCGTCCAATAGAAGCCGATGTTTTAGCGACTCCAATCGATAAAGAGATGCTATCGTGCGGGGTACCTTCGGAGAAGACGCCGGCGACAGTCAGCATCTGCCGCGCCTTCTTCCTTCTACATGAACACACCGCTAAAGACGCAATCGGAGCTATGCCGTATGTGAAATGAACCCGCCTTGCTTCTGGCATCTGTGGACTTCTTCTTGGCTTTGACTCAAGCCTTGTTTGAAATGGCGCCTCCCGGCAAACTAATGAGGAATGTTCGTATTAACTCCTTGCCGCCAGATCGCCAAATAGCGGCTAAAGGTATGTAGTGTAGTCTTCATGCGTAACGCCAGACAGGGATACATCTAACGATACCTAGATTGCCGCCAGTGTATTACACGCCGCATTAAATGCGACCGCACTGTTCCACACTGTCAAAAGTGCACTATCCGGAATCTTCCTTGTCCAGGCTTTCCTCGCATCCACCTAAGGTGGGACCAGGGTATCGCGAGTCGTGGTCATTCCAGAGGAAAGGCATTACCAGTGCCGAAACCCACTAGCCCATCAGAGCCAATGGTGGGTGCTGCACATGAATCGACTATTGACCGAGATGGCGATAGGATCTCTCCGATGAGAGACGTGGGCCTCGTGAACAAGCATATCGGTACATCGCTTGACGAAAATTTGCTTCGGCATTTCTTCTCTACGGTAGTCTCCCATTTGACCTGGCTTGATGACGGTGCATGTAATCCATGGAGAACCCTCATCCAGCCGTTGGTCCAAAAATCGGGCTGTCTCCGACAGTCCATATCTGGTCTTGCGGCCGCTCATCTGTCCGCTACGTCGCTAGATAATGCCCAGTCGTCATTTTTCCGGCAGATCAATCATCACATTCGAAATGACACTTTGAAGACCTTGAGTTACAGAATGCGCTTGGAACTTTGCGCAAATACTATAACCTTGAGGAAGAACTCTTCAAACCTTTCACTCTTGGAGATGCTTGCTTGTACTCTGGTCCTTTGCTATTCCGAATTGCACATTCCTAGCTCAACGGACTGGGGATTGCACCTTCGGGCTTGTCGCGCTATGGTTGAGAGATGCTACCTCAGATCTCGGAGAGAACTGCCACAGGATGCTTTATCTAGATTTTTGATCAAAGAAGTTGCTGATCTGGAGACATTTGGAAATCTTGCTGGTTTCAAAAATCCAGAGAGCACAGGCATGGGGCTGGACTGGGGATCATTCCTGAATGCCAATTTCTGGACTTTTACAGCACTTATCAACGAGATCACTTCTACCGAAAGGCTGCACTCGGAACATTTGGATGGCGGTCATAATCTCATCGAACCGGATATGAAGGGGTGGCATGATAAACTCGAAGAGGCATATAAACGAGCTACCGGAATGGTTACTTCATTGCCAGAATGCGACGTCATCCAAAGCATGTTCCGGACCGTAATCGACGCTCATTATTACGCTACTCTGGTATACAGCTACCAATGTCTCGCGCCTCATGCAAAACATACGAAAGCACTGGAGGAATATTGTGATATTATCTGGCATATTGTTCAGTCTGTCACCCAAAGCTCATATACTGCATTCATACATGACGTTTTCTTTCCTTTGTTCATTGTTGGCACTCAATGCGCAACTGATAGGGAAAGACAGTCTCACGTCGAATTGGCATTCTTGCAGTCTATGTCTGCCACAGGCTTTTGGTGTAACCAGACTGCATTGCAGATGCTGCGCCTCTTCTGGAAACACTCGAACCAAAGCGGGAACGAAACCTGGATCCAATTTGCTCGAAGAAATGAAGCCGCGATCGGTCCATTTGTTATCTTTTGAACAAAAATTCCGGGCGTAGCTTTCTCCCAGATTTGTCACGAAAGCTTGACTCCTTACCAACTTGAATGGTTTCCTGCTCATGGAAGGCATTGAATCACATGTTGATGGTCTCTTCATCCTCAACCCCGAAAAGAACCCTCATTGGGTCCTGGTAGTTCATGAAGCCTACTCCAGGGTCACAAAGCCCATAACCTAGCAGTCTCTGAGCCTGCGGCTTGAGCTGTCTGGCTCTTTCGAGTGGTACCATGAGGAACTGGTTCTCTGCAGGGCGCAGTGTTGGCTTGCACAAAAAGATTCCAACTGTTTCACGGTATTCGTCTCTGGAGGATGCCAGAAATCGAGTCAGCAAGACCTGAGTCTCCTTGCAACTTGGAGGATGGTGCGTGAACATTGACATGTGCATACCGTGTAATGTTGGAGCCACCCGCATGGTAGAGGTTTCCTAGGAAGATGAATGCGTCTCCGGGCTTCAGCTCTGCGGGAACAGCCTCTTCATTCAGTGGCCGACGGTCTGGTCCCCATAAATGTGAGCCAGGGATCGCGATGGTGGCACCGTTTTCTTTCGTTGTCTTCGTCAACGCCGTGACACAGCCGATCATAACCGGCATCATTGCATTGGTGGGATGGTAGTCGCTTTTAATAGTTGGTCAGCTACAGCCCTGGTTACCGAGGGTAGTGTTCATACTTATCGTCGCGATGCAGCACCTGCTGCGTACCGCCGGGATTCACACGGAATCCAACAGTGGAAGAAATTATTGGCTTCCCGCTGACCGTCACTTGACGGTCATCTCTCCAGAAGGTGAAAGTCGACGACACAAGAGCATTAGCAACGCTTATGTAGAATGGGTTGCAGGCAAGCTCTACGCAAGCGTCAGAGATACCTAGCAAACCCGTTGCGCGCTGAGTCGTTGCTGGGAAGAAGCCATATTTATCTGGAATATCTTTATCAAAATGAGGCTTTAGGTCTTTCTTGATTTGCTCGGCTAGGTCCTGGCCGATGAGGTTCTCGATGATCACTCCACCGTCGCGTTCGATGAATGAGATTGCCTTCTCAGGCGTAGTTGAAGCGTCAGCGGTATTCAGACGAGCAAAGGAGGGGCCATTGTTCGATGCGATCATCATGAAAAGAGAGGTAAAACCCGGGAATTCAGCTAGAAAGATTTTGTCAAGTAGCTATCTGTACCTAGCGTGTTTCCAAGGGGCTACCCTTGTCTTATATGCCCACGATCTGTCACGAGAATAGACGCCTTCTGGTCAGTATCTACTGCCACATATCGAAAATGGATTCTTATATAGTATTGAAATCGTATTTCCCAGAATCCCTCCATATTCCCTATAACCGGGTGAATCTATTGGATCCCAATCTTCGCAAACTGATGTTGAATGGTATAACATTTACGCATGACATCCGATGTACGCTAACTTGAAACAGACAGCTCGGCAGAGAAAAGTGCTTGCGAGGCTCTAGCGACACCGTCTATTGGTCCGGCTGAAGCTTGTCGAGACCTAAACGAGTTAGATAACCTTCGCGAGAAACTCTCTTTCGAAGGCTTCGGACTAATCATAGCTCCACAGCTCGGCCACCTCCGCCTCAGTGCTGTCCAAGCATTCTCGCTTTTTTTGCCCAGACTCTATCTCGAGACAATATGACCGCACTACATTTTGTCCATATATTGAATCGACGTAATGCTCCCCTCAAAGCTGGGGGTGTAGTGGGGCACTTAACCGTTGTTGATCATGGGAAACGTGGAGAAAGGGGAGCGATGTCGGAGTGGGCCCATTAAGAAACACCTCGGCGAGTTCCAAAATCGTCGGCCAACAACACGAACTAAGCCGAAAACAACAGGACGGAAGAGAAAAACACATGCGGGGTGCTAAACCACGAATGAGGATGGCACGGAGGCCAGCTAACAAGGACACTATAGAAAGGGTCCCACTGCGACGGACTGATCCTGCTGTTTTTTCTTCTCAATTTTCCCCAGACCCATAATTCGACTGCGATTTGACCCAATTCTCCACGTGTCCGCGATTCTGGGAACCGTTTTTCTTCGGCATTCACTGGATCAATACCTTCAGTGAGTGTTGGAGGGTGGAGAATCAGCTTCGGAATCTTGGATAAGAAAGGAGACAATAAACAGCGAAACACCGATCAGGAAATTTTGGTCTTTCCTGATGAAACAGTAACAACAGTCGGAAATCCACCTTTGTCCGATCAATTTCAACACTTGACTAAGCTCCAGTCGAGTCCAATCATCTTGCCAATCGCACAAGGTGACAGACCGCAATGGCCAACACTTCCGGGACGATGGTCCCCAAAGACGCCAAAGATGAGCTCGCCACATCCAAGTTCAATGAGAGCCACGATGAGGCTCAGGTTATACAAGGCCAGCCAAGGAATTCAGCCAACTTGAAGCGCAAGCTCAAGAGTAGACATCTCCAGATGATTGCAATCGGTAAGTTGGCAATATTTCCTCGCAATAGAACATACTTTCTCATGTGGTGATAGGTGGTACAATTGGGACTGGTCTATTCATCTCTAGCGGAGAAGCACTAGCGCATGCTGGCCCAATCGGCGCACTCATTGCATACATTTTCATCGGAACTATCGTCTTTTCGGTCATGACGTCTCTCGGCGAAGTTGCCACTTACATTCCAATCCCCGGAGCTTTCACATCGTACGCCACTCGACTGATTGATCCTAGTCTTGGCTTTGCGATGGGATGGATCTACTGGTTCTCCTGGGCGATTACATTCGCTCTTGAGTTGACTGCCACTGGTCTTATCATTCAATATTGGGATCCGTCCGTCAATGTCGCTATCTTCATTGGAGTGTTCTGGGTCGTCATGACTCTTCTCAATCTACTCCCTGTTAACTTCTATGGCGAACTAGAGTTTTGGTTCTCTAGCATCAAAGTCGTTACAATTATCGGTTTCATCATCTTCGCGATCTGCATCGATGCCGGTGCTGGACAACAAGGATACCTCGGATTCCATAACTGGGTCCACCCAGGGCCATTTGTCGATTATCTTGTGACACCAGGACCAACTGCTAAATTTGTGGGCTTTTGGGCTGTTCTGATTCAGGCTGGTTTCTCCTGCCAGGGTACCGAATTAGTTGGTCTCGCCGCTGGTGAAAGTGAAAACCCTCGTCAAACCGTGCCAAAAGCGATTCGAGCAACTTTCTTCCGAATCCTTCTGTTTTATGTGTTCTCAGTGTTCTTCATCGGTCTCTTGGTACCATCTGATAACCCCGATCTTTTGTCGGGTGCTTCCAATGCAGCGGGATCGCCATTTGTGATTGCGGCAGGACTAGCGGGAGTCAGAGTCCTACCCAGTATTATCAATGCGGTTCTACTCACGGTGGTACTATCAGCCGCAAATGCAAACATCTACAGTGGCAGCCGCATGCTGATTGGCTTGTCCCAGGATGGCTTTGCTCCAGCCTTTCTGGCGAAGACTACAAAGGGCGGAGTTCCTTATTATGGAGTTCTACTAACCGCAGCCTTCGGTCTTCTTGGATTTATGAACGTCTCCACTTCGGGAAGCACTGTTTTCAACTGGCTGTTGAATATCACTACGGTTGCGGGCTTCATTCTGTGGGCGTCACTTAACGCTTGCCACATTGCGTTTATGCGAGCTTTGAAGGCACGAAGAATCTCGCGTGATCTTCTTCCGTACAAGTCCCCATTCCAACCTTTCCTGTCTTACTATGGATTGTTCTTTAACATTCTTATCATGCTGACGCAAGGGTTTACTTCGTGGATTCCTTCGTTCAGCGTTGAGAACTTCTTCGTCGCCTATGTCAGCCTGATTCTCTTTGCTGTGTTATACATTGGTCATAAATTGGTGTACCGGGATCCTTTTGTGTCCCCTCTGCAGGCCGACCTTGACACGGGCCGACTTGAGGTTGAGGATGAACATTGGGAGGTTGCAGTTCCTACCACGTGGTATGGTAAACTTTGGCATTTGATTAATGGCTAGGAAGTCAGCCGGACTTCGTGGAGAGGGACTTGTCATTTGTATCTAATAACTTCAACCAGAGTATTCAAATCTTTTAATACACAACACCGAGATTGGCAAGTAGGAAAGTGTTTACCTAATGGGAAAGAATAAAGATTCCCAGCGGGCACTTTGACAGTATCAGTTGAACTATCGTACCTACCTAGGAGCTACGACTACATGTACCCCTCTCAGATAGATGAAGGGATAAGAGGAGAGACATTCTACAAATAATAAGAAAAAGGATGGTAGTTGATGTATATCACCCGCATAAGGGTGGTTATAGATTATTCAATCTGAATCAAACACTAACTAAAAAGCATAAATTTCAAAGAAACCCCAACACTCCTAACAAATGAAAATCATAATAGATCTTAGTTTAATTAACTGGGACCTTCACATATTCCTTGGTCTCCCCATCCTCAGAGTCACTCTCATCGGATCCATAGGGAGTCAAGGTCTCGCTAGCTTTCTCATCCACCTGCATAGCGTCTTTCTCATTCACAGTGTTGCCGTCTTCAACGACAACCTTCTTCTTGGACTCAGGCTCCGGTGCAATCTTTGGGAGAGTCACGTTCAGAACACCATCCTCCAATTTAGCGGTGATGTCATGGATGGAGATTGCAGCAGGAGCCTCGTGCGTTCCGAGGCGGACTTCACGTTCAAAGACACCCACTTCACGGGCACGCTCCTCCAATGCAAGAGCTTCGTGCAGGTCTTCGCTGATACCAGGGCGGTAGACGACACCTGCAAGGCGCAGAACAGACTCATCGGGATCGTAATCGATGCTCAAGTCGTCCTTCTTAGCGCCGGGAAGAGAAAGATGCACAATATAGTTGGTCGGTGTGTCGAAGACATCCACAGATGGAACAAAGTCAACGCCCTCGGGGGTTGGGCCGTTCAACTGGATTCCAAACTGAGAGGCGATGTTGCGCAAGAAGTCGAAATTTGGGAATCCTGGTCCTGCACCGAAGGGAGGGGGAGGACCGCCGTGGTGTCTGCCTCGCCCACCACGGCCTCCATGGTGGTGACCACCTCGTCCATGGTGACCGAAGGGTCCAAAGCCGGGGTGGTCATGGCCTGGTCCACAGCGGCCTCTGCCACCTCGTCCTCGACCGAGTCCATGGGGACCACCACGACCGTGGTGCTTACCCTTGCCACATCGGCCACGGGGACGCTTTTCGTTATCGGTCTCCAGCTCGGAGGAGGAGGTTGCTCCCTTCTCTGCGTCGCGGCTCTTTTCAGTAGAGCTAGATGGGCCAGCGGTGGGCTCGGTAGTTTGGGCACGAGGGGTCTCAGAGCCTCGGGGGTGATCCTCTTCGTCGGCGTGGGGACCCCATCCCCAGAATGGAGGTGGAGGGGGTCCGTGGTGGTGGTGACGAGGATGGTGGTGGCCGCCCCAACCCCAGAAGGGAGGGGGAGGGCCGTGGTGAGGGTGATGATGGTGGCCTCGAGGAGCAAAGAAAGGATGATCCTCAAAGGAAGCGGCCAGATTATCCCAGAAGGGATTTGGTGGGCGATTTAGATCATGAATGGAAGCCATCTTGATGTATCAAAATAAGACAAAACAAGATATACTTATCGAAAGCAGATGTCGTAAACCGAAGACGTTGGCTATTTGGACTGTAAAACAAAAGATGATCAAGAAAGATCAAGAAGATTGAAATAGACAGCGAGGTGATCTGATTATTTGCAACTGTGATTATTCTACGGTTCTTTTATACTTCGTTTCTCGGGCTTAGGCAGCCACTATCCTCGTCACCTCGGGGTCGGCCACATCACACCAGGTATACGTACAACCACGCTGCCTTGGCCTGCGGAGCAATGCTATTCGCCGTCGGACGATTAAGCGATCCGAGCAGTAGTATCAACCTTCCCAGTTTCTAAGCGCCATCGAGTATCTCCGAAGGTGCTGGAAGTTGTCACAGCTCGGGGGGGCAAAGTAGGACGCATGATAGTTAAGTCCGAGGTTGGTTCTGGTTAGCTTCGGAGTGTGGTCAAATCCGAGCTTCCTCTCTCAGATTGACCGACTCCGAGCCACAGGGGTGGATGACTCATTGCCGTGCGCCACACTGCGCCACACTCGTGGCAATTCGTTGTGTATGCGGCCTTGAGGTACGTACTGTATGTACATAGTCATACAGGGTGACGGAGCCGAGAAGGCTCGGAGATAGAAACAGAGTTTATTCAACCCATTCAATCAGACATGTAAACATTCCCGCCAAGGATAAGCTTCTTTGGTTTTCCATTGGCATCTGGCAAGGCTAAAGCATCGAGGATGAGATCACGTGATATTAGCGGATTCTGTAGGTACCGTCACTGCTTACCCCCTTCTCCTTTCTGTTCTATCTTTTTGTCTTTTTGTTTGATTAAGGCAAAATATCCAGTTCTATCTCGTCAGTCAGTCATTATGTCCTCACTACTCGCCAAAATCCCAGTGTATATCCTATCCTCCGCTGTTCTACTTGGCGCCTTCTCCCGTTTCACTCATGGCCAGTATACTCCTACATGGTATGCGTTTCAAGAATACCACATGACCGACGATGGCTCAGTGGGCGCTCAAATTACTCCCGTAATCGACACGCTCGTGGGACTGAGCCTCATATTTGGGAGGCGAAAACTGAGGCTCTCTGCAGCTGGTATTAGCCTGGTATTTTTCGTCATAGGACTGGCAATCCAAGTCCACGCTGGGAAGGAATACCTTGGTGATGTCGCGCTGGTTACTCTGGCAATGGCCTCGGTGATAGTATCACGCAAATAAAACTGGGGCTGAAAGAGTGATTTCTCATGGCTCTTGGTACTTTGCTCTACGTGCCAAGACACTGCATGTACACTTCAGATCTCGGGCGTAACCAACCTAGTGCCTCGGGCATGGATGATGGCCTTGGGTGTAGGCGATATCTGACCACAGTCTTTACTCACTATGTACTTCTGGTAGTGAGCCTCATCCCTACTACTCCTACTACCTATACTACCTCTACTACCTCTATAGTGACTACATTTGTTAGTAGATTTGTTAGTAGATTTGTTAGTAGATTTGTTAGTAGATTTGTTAGTAGATTTGTTAGTAGATTTGTTAGTAGATTTGTTAGTAGATTTGTTAGTAGATTTGTTAGTAGATTTGTTAGTAGATTTGTTAGTAGATTTGTTAGTAGATTTGTTAGTAGATTTGTTAGTAGATTTGTTAGTAGATTTGTTAGTAGATTGGTTAGTAGACGAGTGAGTAGATGAGTTGGGAGATGAGTTGGGAGATGAGTTGGGAGATGAGTTAGTTGGGAGATGAGTTAGTTGGTAGATTTACTACTACCCCTCCTACTTTAACTACTATACTTCTACTACTCAGCGAAAGCAAAGCGACCAGCGTGACTGGGGGGTTCTAGGGTGGGATCTTCTTAAGGTCGTTAAACCAAGAAGATTCAGCCGCTAAGTGAGGCAATTCCTCTGCTAGGACCTACCCAGCACGGGTCCTTGGGCGCGCAGACAGCTTGTATTCTGAAGGATATGTAGAAATCGAGAACTGATAAATTGACACTACACAATTGCTTATTGGACACCCCTAAAATTGAGTTAGAGCCTAAACTTCGTAGATAGGATAGCTGTTGTATGATTGCTCTCCGGCGGGGCCTAGCAAGCCACCATCACATGACGTGTGCCCAATCTATATGGAGCCTTGTATTTTCACCGTAGCAATCCTTTCTTCTCTCTGCTGGCCCCCTGCATCTTCGATAATCTCTCAACACTCATCACAGATCAATCTCTGCAGAACCATGTGAACAACTTCCTCAGCAACTGCAAGCCTAGAACTCCCGATAGATTCCAGCGGCACGTGCCACTATTCTCACCGATGGCTCCGAAGGGTTCCGGGTTTCCCCTTGGAGACAAAACCACGGCCAGCTCTGAGAACTCAGCACTTCGACTCACAGTGGAATAGTCATGGACGCTCGAGAACCCGAACCCGGGTGGATCCCAGTGGGTCTGAGGCGGGACTCGTGTTTAAGATTCCGATCCGAGTATTTCCTTCGTTCTATATCCGGTGTTCCACCCTTTTGCCCGCGGGATGAAGTCATATATGTGTCAGCCGGAAGCCAATGTTATTTGTTCCCATAGCTTAACATATCCGGTGTTCCCAGAGAAAAAGTGCAACTGCAGAGAGTCGATACTTTTAACGATTGATATCAATTCGGCCATTCTGATCACGTCACCATGTCTCCCCGGCCATTGGCGCGGGCCTTGAAGCTCCGCCCAACTCTGATCGGCCATCGCGAATACCCTACATCCAATCACCACGGAATCACAGTGCTTTTGAAGCATAGATCTGGACAGAGATGCTTTGCAACATACGTGGAACACTCGAGTGCAACCACCAAGTCAGACAGCAAGCATGAGCGTGTCGTTATCCTTGGCTCCGGCTGGGGTGGGTATACCATCTCACGCCGCCTGTCACCCAAGTCATTCTCGCCAATCATCATTTCCCCTCGATCCTACTTCGTCTTCACTCCCCTCCTGACCGACACCGCCAGTGGTTCGCTGGATTTCTCCAACATTGTCGAGCCAGTGCGGGACCCACGTGCCAAAGTCGACTTCATTCAAGCCGCTGCACGCGCCATTGATTTGAAGAAGAAGACTATTCTGTGCGAAGCCACTGTGGTTAGAAGTGGTGTCACAGAGTCGCCGCGTACCTCTGAGGATGAGAGGAAAATCGACGAAGGACCCGAAGCAACCTTCAAGCAGCCAATCAAGGACTTGCGTCACTGGGAACAAGGAGAAACATTCGAAGTCCCATATGACAAATTGGTCATCGCAGTCGGTGCCGTCAGTCAAACTTTTGGCACTCCAGGTGTCCGTGAGAATGCCATGTTCTTCAAAGATATTGGTGACGCAAAGCGTGTGAAGCGACGCGTGCGTGAATGCTTCGAGTTGGCAGTTCTTCCGACCACGACGCCCGAGATGCGTCAGTGGCTCCTTCATTTTGCAATTGTTGGCGCGGGTCCCACGGGCACAGAGCTTGCGGCATCCTTGCGTGATTTCATCTACAAGGACTTGATGGCCCTGTATCCAGCTCTCGAAGGTATTCCGAAAATCAGTCTGTATGACGTCGCACCCAAGGTACTCTCGATGTTTGATGAGAGTCTCTCCCGCTATGCAATGGACACCATGCGGAGCGAAGGCATTGACATCAAAACCTCTCATCATGTCAAGAGCTTGCGCTGGGGTCCGCCTGGTGCACCCGGACCCCATGAGATGGACCCCAAGCGTTGCCTCACTTTGTCAACCATGGAGGAGGGTGAAGTTGGCGTTGGAATGTGCGTCTGGGCAACAGGCAATGCGATGACCAAGTTTGTCAGCCAATCGCTGAGTGCAGTTAAAGAATTCCCAAACGACTCCGTCTACACTCTCAACGGTGAATCAGGGCCAGTGACACCCGCCGGGCAGTCTTCCTGGGAGTACAAAAAGGTTCCCAAGACGGGTGCCCTGCTCGTTGACGGTCATCTGAGGGTGCAGCTTAAAGACGATGCCGGACAGACAGCCGTTCTCAACGATGTCTTTGCACTCGGCGATAATGCCATGCTGGAAACCGGTGCCCCTCCAGCCACAGCTCAGGCTACCTTCCAGGAAGCGAAGTGGCTCGCAGATCGTCTTAACAAGCAAGACTTGACACAAACACCACCTTTCTCATTCAAAAACATGGGCACCTTGGCATATATTGGAAGCGAAAAGGCCCTGATGCAAATTCCTCATGACATGCATGACCCAAGCAAGCGCAGTAAATATCTCCCCGGGGGAATAACAGGTCGCATGGCACGGGTTGTCTGGAACGCGGCGTATATTACTATGTCAATCAGTTGGCGCAACAAGCTGCGGGTGGCGTTCCGGTGGACACTGAACAGATTATTTGGAAGGGACGTGTCGCGTTTTTAAAGATAGTGTATAGATTACAAGTTATATTGGTAGCGGAGGCGTTGTACAATTGGACATATTAATATTAGCCATAACATCATCAAATATTCCTTCTTTCAGCCATCGTCGGGTCGGCACTTCATTGTGGGCCGAGGTTTCTCCGCATTCCCCGCATCGGCGCGTATTTGACCATGTCCTCCGCGCCTAACCTACACTTTCTCTAGACAACACACCATGGCATCCCAAGAGCCCGCATACATCGCAATCGCCCAGCGCAAGCAAGATGCGCTAGCTGCTGCTATCCCCGCTGAATGGCGACTGCCGGCGCATCTCATTCCCGCGGGGATGCTTTCGCTCGCCGAGTCGATCACCGAGGGACCGAAGAAGTACGGTAGAGTTAATGTCACGGAGATTCCACGCACTTGTGGCATTCTGACTGCCAAAGAGCTGGAAATTACGGAGAACTACGATGTGCGTGGGCTTGTGTCTGCCATGACTGGGCGCAAATTGAAGGCTGAGGAGGTGATTCGAGGCTTTTGCAAGGTTGGTTCTGCTAAGGGTATATCTGCCAATTTCCTTTATTAACGGGGTTTAATGTATCCAGAGAGCAGCAATTGCCCATCAGCTTACTCGTTGTATCACTGAGCCTCTGTTCGATCGAGCCCTTCGCCAGGCAAAGGAGCTGGACGATTACCTCCAGCGAACCGGTCGCCCTGTCGGCCCTCTGCACGGTCTGCCCGTCTCGGTGAAAGACACATTTTGCGTGGAGGGAGCTGACACGAGCATCGGACTTGCTGCTCTCGCATTCAAGCCTGCCCGCAAGAATGCTGATCTGGTCGATCTCCTCCAGTCTCTGGGTGCGGTTATTATCGCAAAGACAAATATCCCACAGACCCTCGGGACGCTAGATAGCTGCAACCATCTGTTCGGTCGTACATTGAACCCGCTGAACCGTCAATGGACGGCAGGTGGTAGTACCGGTGGTGAGGGAGCGTTGCTTGCGATGAATGGGTCCATGGTTGGCTTTGGTACGGATATCGGTGGCAGCATCCGTATTCCCGCGATGTGCCAGGGTCTCTATGGATTCAAACCGAGTGAGGGTCGTGTACCCTACGGTGGCCAAGAGAGTGGTCAGGTTGAAGGTAAGGGACGGGTCTCCCTGCAGCCCGTAGCTGGACCGTTGGCACGTTCCGTGGCGGACATCGCAGCCGTAATGGCCGAAATTGTGCCGCGCGCTGAGCTCTTTGGGGAAGACTGTATCCCAGGATACTGGCCTACCCCCTCAATGCCAGCATCTCTTGCCCCGCCGCGCAACTTTACTATCGGCATCCTCAAGACGGACGGGTTGGTCACCCCCTTGCCGCCGATTACCCGCATCCTCGAAGAAGTAGCCAACCACCTACGCCGGACCCCCGGCGTGGAAGTTGTTGAGATTCCGCTTCCCCCAGTCTTGCCCAAGTGCCAAGCTCTGGCAGGCCGTCTCATGGGTGTTGACGGTGGTTCAAACATGCTCGATTTGATCGAGAGTATGGGCGAGCCGTTGACGCCCTGGCTTCAGGGTCGCATGAAGCGCGGCAAGGCTTTGACTATCAATCAGCTGGCGCAGTTGCAGGCCCAGCGTGCCCAGGTCGAGAAGGAGATGATGAAGATGTGGACTCTTTCTTCTTCATCTAAGACTCGTCAGGTTGATGCTATCGTCTGTCCGATTGCACCGCACCCGGTTCCCCAGATGGATCGGTATAACGCTGTTGGGTATACATCGACATTCGTGTTGCTAGACTATCCAGCCGGTGTTGTCCCTGTTAGACCCTTCGTGGAGTCGGACCTTGAACTTGGTCGCGAGATGAAAGATCCCGTGCTAGGAAGCTGGGATAAGGCCAACCGCTTGCTGTGTAAGTTCTGCCCGGGGGGTTGTGCGTTGTACGTTTCTAACATCGTGTGATCTAGGGGACGAGAAAACGGTTGATCGTCGGGTATACTTGGAGTCACCGCTTAGTGTGCAGGTTGTGACGCCAAAACAGCGCGACTACGAGCTGTTCCAGGCGATGGAGATTATTGACCGTGCAGTGCAAGGTCGTGTTGGATCTACTCCTGCCAAGTTGTAAATACATGTACGATAGGATATACAGTGCTTGAAAAATTACTAGAGTGCACGCCTCGAGTGTACAGCACTCAAAAGGCTCACGAATACTTCAATTATCCATCAGTCTTGGACTGTTTACATTAACTAAATATCTCGTACTCCATACCTACAGTCTCCCCTTCAGTACGGCACCACCATCAGTCGCAATCACAGCGCCATTCAAATGACTCGAGGCCCGCGATCCCAAGAAGACCACCAAACCCGCAATATCCTCAGGGCGACCCAATCGGCCATTGGGCGAGTATTCTTCTAAATGCTTCATGCCACCCTTGGCATTGATAAGACCAGTCGCCATCTTGGACGGGTAGAAGCCCGGCGCGATGGCATTAGTGAGAATGTGTCTGGGACCCAACTCAACAGCTAGGTTCTTAGCAAGATGGATAGCAGCTGCCTTGGAGGCAGAGTAGCTAGGCGTGGCGTTGTCGCCGATGGAACCGATCCCGATGCCTGCAACGGACGCGGTGACGATGACACGAGAAGGCTCGTCGATGGTGGCCTTGACGGTGAGAAGGGGTGCAAGTCTAGCATGAAGATTAGAGACGAAATTCTCCAATAATAGGTCGCTAAGGTCGTGGGAACATACTTTTGAATAGTATAGAAAATACTCTTCACGTTCAGGTCCATCACTTTGGAGAACATCTTCTCGGGGTGGGTATCGAACTTTTCACCCCAGGTGGCACCGGCATTGGCGAAGAGGATATCGACGTGGTCAGTCGTCTTGGCGATTTCAGCAACCAGACGATCCAGTTCTTCCATGCGAGAGCTATCTGCTGGCACGGAGATGGCTTGAGCGCCCGGCCGCTTGTTAGGTAGTGCGTTCAGAGCTGCGACGGCTTCATCGCAGGCATCCTTCTTGCGGGAAGTGATGTAGACTTTCGAGCAGCCCGCTTGCAAAAGTCTGTCATGACTCGTTAGCAGAAAATTATTTGAAATATGGCGTATCCTAATAGAAGGCCGTGTGAAAAGGACGGACTCACCCCGAGGCAGCGTGCAGTCCCAACCCACGCGAGCCGCCCGTGACGACCGCGACCTTTCCATCGAGGGAAAAGATGTTGGAAAAGTTGGACAATTGAACCTGTTCGGCAGCCGACATGATTATGTTTGGATAGAAAGAAAAGAAGGGGTTTAGTAAAGCCGGAGAGTCCAATATTTGAACCAGAGTCTCCTATCACTAATCGAGGTTCAACTCCGTGGCCCGCACCGAGCGACCGAGGCTCATTTACAGCCGAGACCCCGCAAATTTGGCGATTCAACCGGGGAAGCTATGCAATCTTAATAATCATAGAAGTGTATATGCTGATCGATTCTTGATGAGTGAAATGGTTTGTAGCTTGGGAAACTTAAAAAAAAAGAAATGTACTGCCTCGTAAGGATTCGCGGGCTCGACTGAAACGAACGGCGTTTGTCCCACTTGGGCCGTCGTCCTGTGTAACCATCTAAATTGATTGTTATGGTTCAATTACAGAACCAAGGATAAATATCATCACGAAGGAGGAAAACATATTAACATTTCAGTAGCTCAACAAGCATAAGCATGGGCAAATAAAGGAGGAGGAAGAGTCACGAGTTAAAAGTGTTGTTATGAGACCAAAATAAGTATACGTGATAATGTGATGCCTGACAAACCAGGCAACCATATATTTCTGTTCCTTACTTTCCCCATACACCTCGAAAAAGACAATTGGCTGCTACTTTTTCAAAATTAAGTTAAACCAAATGTACCCTGTTGCTCTGCTCTTGTAGTGAGCTAGCCGCCCGAGTCAAACTCAGAGGCTCTTCGAACTGGTTCTGCAAGGAAAAGTGGACCCTCTCCTGTGGATCAACATGAGCCTTCTTGACGCGCCCTGTTCTTAACAACCTCAAAAGACCTAGAAAGACAAAGAAGTCAAGGACCAGCAAATGGCGGCCATATAAAGTAATTGCAGAACTCACCTTCCTTTTCACAATCATATCTAAGGTCAATCAAGGAGAATGGACGACATTACTCGCAACGTTCGCTACCATCTCTTCCAGTTCTACTTGAGAGAATGCCGCCCACCCACTGTCGACGAATTGGCCCAGGAATCTGGTCTCCAGTCGTCTGAAATTCCTCCCATTCTTCAGCAGCTTGAGGATTCACACCATATTGTGCTTTACAAACATGAGTCCTGCGCGCCAACTCCCATTGCAATGGCCCATCCCTTCTCCCATCTGTGAGTGTGATACTCCCATGACAAGCGTAGTATTTTTGGGATCAACATATACCTAACGTAGTCTGTTCTCTCGATATAGCCCGACTCCTTTCGTTGTGGTTAGTTAACCTTTATATCAGCTTCAGAGGCCCCTTTCTATACATGACTGACATCTGCTTAGTCCCAAGGCTCTCGGAACTGGTGGGCTAACTGTGCTTGGTGCGCATTCGGTCTCGCCGCAATGCTCTCCCCAGCGAAAACAACCGTATCAGTTCGATCCGGCTCCATTGACAAGGACCTTCAGTTTATCATTGAAGATGATAAGATCGAATGCCTGAGTCCTCAGGGAGACGTCAACGCAAGTGACTACTGCGTGCATTTTTCCGTCCCACCTTCCACCTGGTGGCGGGACGTTCGTTTTGCATGCGGAACTATTCAATTCTTCGCATCGAAGCAAGAGGCCCAGGATTGGCCTTGGAAGCATGCTTTCCACACTAGAGACATCTTGAGCATGGATCAAATTTGGCAATTATCCAAGGTAAGAAGACTCCCTGCTTTTTGACTCGAAGTTGGGGAGGTAGTTAAGCTAATTTTTACTATGAAGGCCTGGTATCATAATAAACACGAGCATGACTATGATCGGAAAACTCCAGCAGAAGTTGAGGAATTATACACACGGTTGGGAATGACTTCGGATTTCTGGAAGTCTTAATCGTGACCCGAATTCCCTACCGTGGGGATAGTGAGACGTATCTTTGTAGGAAAATTAGCTTACAGTGACAGCGTATGAAAATCAATGATCTCTTTTTCCATCATGAAAACTATACCATGCTTTCTGTAGCTAATAGTTTAGAAATCATATATACCAGAAAAGGTCTGGCAACGCTTGGCGCCCTCCTTCCGTTCTAGTGCTCACCCCCTCGCCGCTTTTGCTCACTGAGTAGAATTGAGCACGCCCCTGATTAGCCGGAGCTGCTTAGTGATTGTTACGTAATCAGGGTGACCTAGTCGGGAATTGGTAAGGACTTAAAATTGCTTGGCACATCTCTCAGCGCTTAAAGGTGACTAAACGGTCACGTGTCAGGGGTTCTGTCTTGACAAATTCGCTGAGAATCATCATCATTTCAATTCATTTAGATTCCCAGGAACTCAAAACGTAGCTAGTACTATGATGAAACGCCCACCAGGTACGTGCATATTCCGTTACAGGACCTAGGAAGTCAAGGTCATTCAAATTGCTCCCTAGGAGCGTGAATTCCCCACATCGCTAGGGGTTTCAGTGAGCTACAATCTAGGACCAGGAGAATTATTCAAGATATAAAATATCTTACCTTGTGATATTCAGGTCCATGCTCATCATCCTCTTCAAAACTTGATTCAATCAACAGGTATTTGTTATTAACCGTCATCTTCGCATTACCGACTACTAACCGCGCTAAACGACTCGTAAGTCTCCGAAACCGCAGAACTCGTTGATATGGCGGATGGCGAGCCATTAGGCTCATACAACCTTGAATCAATCATCAGTGATAATGAACTTTACGATCTTGACATATCGGGTAAACAAAGCTTGAAGGGAGACACCATTCGGGTGAGTTCACCTAAATTTGGGATAGTGTAAATGCGGAGAATCTCCATGTTATATCGGACGGCCTAATCACGGAATCCTTTCCTTTTTAAACGTCTACGAATTATCCCAGTTGCCAGCGCTTCGATTGTACTTACTTTGTTCAGTACACAGCAACGACGTGGCTTCAGTCGGTAAATGGAGAGATTGAGACAAACAGCATTGAACTAAGTACGTCAACTCTACTGACTGTTGTGTTTCAATAGTAATTAAACTAATGTCGCAGATTTTACAATACCAACACAAATGGAGGATTGGGTAGACGCTGATTCATGCTGTCATTAATGTTAACTAACCTACCACACCTCAGATCGACAATCATCCAATCATGACACAGACACTGGAAATCAGATATAAGTTAAAATCTTAATTAAGGTGGACTCGGCAAAAAAATAAGAAGCAAGCGAGATTACTCTAATCGAACAAGCTGATGGCCCCCAATGCCAAATAAGAATCCATCTATGGGCTCAGAAATCCCGACTCTTTCCACCTGGCAATATACTTCTTCATAAGACCCTCATCAATAGAACCCTGGCTCTGCAGCGTCTTGGAATGTTGCCGAGACTTGGTAATATCCAGCACCAACCCACCACAAGACATCGGAACGAAGTAATGATCAAAGAAATCAATCAGTTGCAACGCAGGATTATCGGTAATACTCCCCCGGAAACGCCTCACCCGATCCACCCACTGAGCGAACGGAATAATACTCTTCTGTCCAAGATCCAACGCGCGAGCCAAGATCGCAATCATCTCTCGCCACGTCTGCCGAGACGGATTATCAATATGATAAATAAGATCCGTCGCAGATTGAGACAGGAGTAGTTCGCCTAGGGTGGCAGCTACATCGTTAACAGGGTACCAGGAGAGGGTGCCATCGAGATCGGGAAGAACCTTGAGCACCTGTGACGACCTGATCAGGAACGGCATGTACTCTGAGGGGTTCCAGTAGCCATTGCTAGTCGAGCCGGTAATCTGGGCGATGCGGACCGCCATCGCATGAAACCGGTCGGGGAAGCGATATAATGTCTCGGCCACGATGCGCTCCGTTGCGAGTTTGGCTTCGGCGTACCCTGTCAAAGGGACGGATTCGACTGTACCAGGTTTCTCGGGGACAAGTGGTGTTCCTGCCCATAGCGGGTAGTTTGCTATCACAGCGCTGGAGGAGATGAACTGGAAGCCGAATTTGAATGGAGCGGGTCGGTGCTGGGTGACTTCGCGTGCGAGGTCGATGAGACCCCGCGCAATCCTGAATTGAGATTCGTAGGTCCTGATCGGGCGTGTCAGGCTCATTGGCCAAGCGCTGTGGACGATGCTGGTCACGTTTTGGATCAAATACTGGTAGCTCTCGGGCGAGAGTCCCAGATTGGGTTTGCTTGTGTCCGTTTCGATCACCGTTAGCTTGGACAGCGACGTTGGGTCGAGTGAGATGCCTCTCATTTGAAGAGAGTTTTGCTGTCGCACTGTCGCCTCGGTCGTGCTCAGTCGATTCAGACATACCACTGTATGGATGTCTGGACGCTGTGCCAGGAAGGCCACGATATGGGCACCCAGGCTTCCGGTAGCACCGGTAACGAGCACACACTGACCGGAACTCAAGGACGGCAGCTTGGTAGGGGATACACTATGTGACGGGGCAACAAAGTCTCTTGTGTACTTGTGCACAATGGCGTCAATCATCGCTCGGCGCTCAGAGGTGTCCGGTAACTTGAGCTCAGAGGTGGACGGCACAGGAGGGTTTGGTCCACGATCATACCTGGGGCCTGACGCATGGGCGATAATCAAACGCTGAATGCGTGCTTCGGGAAGATCTCCTTCAGTCCAGTCGACATGACCATATCCCACCGAATGCAGTACCTTCTCCCAATATGGAGCTGGCTGGAGGACGTAGTCTCGCCCGTCCTCAAACAGCCACCATCCTTCCAACAATCCGAAGATAAAATCGCACCACGGCACTTGCTCCGTCATCTCCAACATAATTAGAGCACCATCAGGTCGCAAAATGCGATGCAGATTTTTCAATGAGATGGATAGATTCCGCGTCGCATGGATACAGTTGGTGGCCAAAATGATATGCTGGCTCTGTAGGAGTTTAGCATCTGGCTCACTTTCCATGTTCAGAGCTCTGAATTCCATGAAAGGGTACTGCTTGAAGCGCTTGCGAGCAGCCGCAATGAGCGATCCTGAAATGTCCGTCATGATGTATTTCACGGGGGCCCCTAATTTGGCGAGCAATGGTACAAGTCTGCTTGTTGTCCCACCAGTGCCCCCACCAACCTCGAGAATGCAGATGGGCTGTCCATCTTTGGGAAGTTGACCAAGAAGCTGTTCGAGGAGTCGCTCAAGCTGTTTGATCCAAATTGTGTTGACAGGGGAGTTTGAATACATATCTGCAGCAATTTCTCGGCTTTCAGGGGTACCAAAAATGAGCTGCAGACCGTCCTCTTTAGCCGTGATGAGATCCGCAAATTTCTGGCCAACCAATGCTGCGAGCTTGTGCTCAGCAGCATGAACAGGTTCATCCTGCAACAGCTTGCTGAGCAATTTCTCCGCAGATGCAGTCGGTGGTGCAACCGCCGTGCGTGTGATAGTCGAGCCGTTAATGTCTATCAAACGAGCGTCCTCTTCCAATAGCCTATAGATGATCATGTTCATGAACTTCTCATGCTTGGGGTGGTATGGAACGCGTTTAAGCACTTGACCCGGCACTGCAGACCGGATTGGGCAACCGAGTTGTTCGAAGGCATTCACAATAAACAGAATGCAGAGCTCTGTGGACCGCGGTATGACCAGCTTAGAATAGCTTCCCAGTTGGCCCTTGACAATGGCATCATCCGTGGCCCACTTGATGGCACGAAATGCATCGACAACTGCTGATGCAGGCAGAATAGTGCTGCCATCTGATTTATCAATGCTGATGATACCGTTGGCGCCATTGACATGTGAGGTGGGCTCATTCGATTCCAAAAGTATGTATGCTTCTGTGTCGACTGAAGAGTTCCCCTCAGAGCAGACGCCGCTTTTCTCGTCGTCAAAGCCCAGGGTAGACCGGATGCACGAGATCAGGCTAGCGAAGTCGGTCAGCTCCATAAGCTGGTCGTTTTGAAGTGTGCACTTGAATGCAGCGTCAACTTCTCGCACCAGTTCCATGGCCATAAGAGAGTCGATTCCAAGTTCAATGAGATCAGAGTCATCTTTTATCTCTTCTGGCTCCAATCCAGAGAGATTGGAGATAATCTCCAAAGTCTTTGCAGAGACGTCTGGTCCAGGTGGCATCGCGACTTTTTCCGCAAACTTTTTATCTTGGAACGAATCCAATCGAGAGGGAACGGAGCTCACCGTCGTCATAGGAATGGGAGCGTGGACAGGCGTAGAAGTTGACGAGACTGCAACGGTGGACAAGTGAGATTCTTGCTGAGCGCCCCGAGTCAGCAGATTGCGCATTGATTCCATGGGCACAATCCGAGAAGAAATGCCTAAAATCGCCTCGGCCAATGATCCATCTCGAGCGTCGAACGCGAAGACATCACTGACATACTTATGCCCAGACTCGTGGTGATGCACGGCGAATACTTCCCAAGCATCAGGAGCTGAAGACATGCTCTGGAGATTGGGGTTGCGCATCCATCCGGAAATGCCGTCGCAGATGTAGACACCCCTTTTACACAGGTCAGATGGATCTGTCATGAGATTAATGTAAATGCCTGCGACCTGACAGAAACACTCCGTCAAAACTGGGTCCATCCAGGCCTCCCCAGCATATGCCTTTGAGACATAGCCTGCAGACTCATCCTCCTTTCCAACTATTTTGGTTACGCACCGGAACAGCTCCGTATAGTTGACCACTTGCTCGGACGCCCGATAGATATTTCGGCCCTGAAGCACGTCATCTGCGCTGTTCCCTTGGAGAAGACTCGCACACCGTTTCCTGCCACTCAGACGCGACAAGCGCTCAAAGTTCTCCTTGAGCGTAGGGTCGCTGGCCGGCAAGAAAGCAATCTTTCCAGAGCTGAAGTCGGTTGCATTACCCCCAGAGTCAGTAGCGTAAAGTTTCCATTCCCAGACAAGACCTTTGTCGTCTTTTGCAACAACATCAACATACAAGTCCCTGGAATCATGCGCAATGAGGATATTGTGATAAGAAACTCCCTGGATCTCCGGTTGAAATTGGTACTTCTTGAAGTCAGGTTGCAGATTCATCATCGCGTCGAGTGAAATTTCAATCTGAAGCATGCCAGGTGTTATGGGGGTGGTATTCAGAGCAATATTCGCCAATGTTGGCTGCTGGAATCTGTCGCAGGTTGTATTCACTCGGAATTGGGCAGACTGCTTTGCCTCGTCTTCATAACCGATGAAGGTTGTTAGGCCCTTGGGGGGGTTTGGAGGTTGCACAGTTTCGCTGATAGAGGCTTTGACTTCAGGAACCTCCTTCAAGTCCATCCAATGTCTCGCCTTTTGGAACTGGTAAGGAGGGAGTATCACAGGTGTGTAATTAGACGTCTCCTTCGAATGATGTGCCCAAAATGACACATTCAGCCCTTCTTTCCACAGCTTCGTTGTTGCTTCAGCCAAAAATGGGAGGGATTCTTCACTGGTAACGTGGACAGACTGGAAATGGTGGGGAGAGCTTGAATTTCCCAGCGCCCTGCTGATCATTGAAGTAATCGTAGAATTTGATCCAGCTTCAAGCCAGATTGCGGCCGGGTAATCTGCAGCAAGTCGTTGGACTGCATGGTTGAAATAGACCGGGTTTCTCAAGTGCTGGGCAATGAAATGGGACCCGCGTTTTGGGCTAGACCTTGTCTCAGTCGCTGCTTCAACCTGAATAATTGGCTCATTGAAATGGATTTCGCGACCTAGTGCTTCCAGATCACTCATCAACGGATCGACTTTGGTAGAATGGAAGGCATTGGTCACATTCAGCTTCTTGAGCTTCATGCCAGAGAAGGTCGGGCTGCTCCGTGCGAGTTCCTCAATTAATTGAACGGATTCCGTCGAACCCGCGAGGGTGAAGGATCTGGGACCATTATAACAGGCAATGGAGACATCCGCCTTGTCTGAACAGGACAGCAATGCTGTCACATCAGCAAGGTTTGCCTCCACGGCGAGCATGGATCCCTTGTCAGAACCCCACTTATCGCGAATCAGACGTGCCCGACCGGAAATCAGCTTGAGGGCATCAGTCAAAGAATAAGTACCGGCAATGCAGAGAGCTGTCAACTCGCCAAAGCTATGGCCAATCACTGCGGTCAGTTTGGCTCCGGAGTCAATCCACGCTCTCGCACAGGAGTACTGTATCGCGAAGAGTGCAATTTGTAACTCCACCGTATCCATGATTGGATACCTTTGGAAAACAGCGGGGTAGATGCTGCCGAGACCTAGCGAGAGACATATATCGTTGCACTGATCCAGGTAGCTTCTCAAAATGGCGACCTGATCGTAGACATCCTTTCCTAAGCCGACATAAGTGGAGATCTGGCCGCCAAAGCAAAGAATGACCGGACGAGGAGGGGGAACTTCAATTTCTACGATGCTCCTATCCCCTTCTTCAAAGGCCAGAAGCTTCTCCTCCAACTCGGTGCGAGAGGCGGCATTGAGTATTAAGCCTTTAGGAAGAGTGCGATTTGACTGGCGGGAAAGTTGAAATGACAAATTGCGCGCCGTCAAGTCCTTGGCTGAGCCGGCATTGTCCTGAATGAAACACCTGAATTTGGTAACATATGCTCGAAGACTCTGTGAGTCAACTCCGCAAAACCAAAAGGGAAAGCTTGTAGCAGACGTGGATATCAGCGAGGGGTTCGAAGTCAAAGCGCGGGGCTTCGGTGCCTGTGTGACGATCATTGATGCATTAGAGCCCGAGGCGCCGTAGTTATTGATAAGAGCAGCACGGAAGTCGGCATTCCAAGGCGTTAGACGCGTCGCAATATCTATCATGTCTTGACGACCAGCCTTCAGGGCAGGGCTTATAGACTTGAAGCTAGCCTGTGGGGGTATGAAACCCTCGTTGATCATGAGCAGGATCTTCACCAAGGATACTACGCCCGATGCAAACTCAGTGTGACCAAGTAGACCCTTCACAGACATCAAAAAGAGGTTGTCCGAGCGTACTGAGCCCCCCAGCACCCTTCTAACAGCATCATACTCCGCGGGGTCACCCACTGGAGTCCCCGTTCCATGGGCTTCGACTACAGAAATAGCCTGTGGCTCAAGGCGCGCCTGTTGCACCACGTCCCGGAAAAGCTCTGCCAGTGATAGCGAATTAGGCACTGTGATTGCTGTGCAGTTCTGATTCTGGTACACCTTCGTGCTCGCTATCACCCCAAGCACCTGGTCTCCATCTGCAATGGCGGAGGACAGCCGCTTGAGAAAGACAACACCAGCGCCATCTCCTCTGCAATATCCGTCCCCTCTTGCATCAAATGGCTTACACTGTCCAGTCGGGCTCAAAAAAGAGGCACCAGCCAGATTTTGGAACCATTCGGGACTGGTGAGGACATTGACTCCGCCCGCCAGTGCGCTAGTGCATTCGCCGTGGAGGATAGCGCGGCACGCTTGGTGAATAGCGACGCCGGATGAGGAACAAGCGGTATCAATAGTCAAGCTTGGACCTGTCCAGCCAAAATAGTGACTGACCTTCCCAGCAGCGAAACTTCGGAGGTTGCCCGTGGCCGAATAAGCGTTTGCTGGGTGGCAAGCAATGTTATGTTCGTAGTCATTGTTTCCGATTCCAATATAACATCCGATGTGCTTGCTAGGATCCGAAACTGCAAAATACCCAGACTGTTCGATGGCTTGATATGCAAGTTGCAATACCAATCGATGTTGCGGGTCGGTGGACGACATCTCTCGCGCGCTTTTCTTGAAGAATTTGTGGTCAAAGGTGTCATAGTCTCGTAAAAAATTACCGTACCATTTTCGATCCCTCTCGAACTCCCTAAACGCCGTTTTCATACTGAAGCGCTCCAATGGGACTTCAGTGTGCTGTGACTGGCCGCTGGTCAAGATTCTCCAATACTCGTCGAGGTCTTCCGCTCCAGGAACATGACAAGCCATCCCAATCACAGCAATCTGATCATCTGGTAGACTGCCGAGGGGCGTTGCAGAATTTGGACGGAGAAGTGCACTCGGTAGAGAGGAGATCGACATATCAATGTCAGAGATATGAATCAGTTGAGAACCTAGTTTCCTTGTCATTGTCGGTGGCACGCATCTTTCTGGGCCAAAGCAGACAAAAGTCGCGCCACCTGCATCAATGTGTGAGGAATGAACGAGGCTGAACAATCTCAGCCATTCGGATGGTTTGAGCAAAATCTCTTGCAATGCAATCTCATGCAGACGGCCTCCAGTGATCAGCCTGCTTGGCAAGACCATCTCAGATGCATCGGGGAACTGAAACAAGGGGGTACGGTCGCAAAGGGAGATGAGTTTCTTTGCATCTTCACTATGTTTTGACCAATGGAACCGACCAGAAAGTGCAACTTCAGTAATGTGCGCACCAGACAACTTGAGTTGTGCAACCAGAGCAGAAGCTGTTTTCTTTGGGGCAGTCACTGTGGCCCTCTTTTCATCAACGAAAACGGAGATGTACGCCTTCCCATGTCTCGTTAATCAGCAGTCCCATGTCAAATTGAATGGGGTCGATTTACCTCTGGGAATTTTGCCAAAATTTCATCCACGCTGGCACGAGACTCCAATGCATTCCATGACATTGAGAAGGACATGGCGGTCCCACTTGTGTCCGGTGATGCCTCCTCTGCGTCCACGAGCGCACCAACAAGCGTCGATAACCGCACTGCCACGGCACCATATTGCTGAGCCTTGGCTAGGCTGGAGGCACAGCTCACAGCAAAGGCGCTTAGGATACCGGTACATAGCCCGAGACTCTCCGAAGCCTCCAAGGCGGATGGGGGTAGCTCGTCGGTATCCGCAAGCCCCGGAAACGCAGATCTCACAAAGGCGAGATACTGGGTCAAATGAACAATTACCACCAGAGGCGAGAGCAGGATATTGGGTAGGGGAAACAGAGAGTCTGGCAGGCTTCCCGTCTGCAAGGCCCCATGCAATTCTCGCAATAGTCGTTCACCCTCCACATGTTGCAGTTTTGGCACCTGCTTGACCAGACTCTCCCAAGCATCGGACAGGTCAGATAAAGCATCCAGCGCCCAGCGGTCGCATAAATGGCTGTGGAGTGTTGCAAAGAGATTTTTATCGAAACCTAGTGCCTGAGGTCCGAACAAAAACACCTTGGGCCCCATCCGGGGGCCAGAATGCGACGGCATGTTGCTTGTCACGTTGAAGTTGACTTGTTTACCACTCAGAATCGAACGGTTGAAGGTCAGGTGCTCATTCGACAGAATGTGACATTCAATGTATGGGTTGATACAGGCCAAGTTGGGCTATTGAGCCATCCTTATTGACAAGTTGCTCTTGAAGCATACCTGTGTAATCTATCCACAGTCGGGCATTTTGGATGCCACGTGGGTAGCAATTTCCTGCAGGAAAATCAGTAGTACTAAGCCCCACCACATTATTACATGCATCGCTGCGGTAGAGCTTTGTCTGCCGATAAAGTTGCATTTGAAAATTAACGTCTGCATCCTAAATCATCCCAGGCTAGTCCGCGTGGCGGGGGTGAATAAAGGCCCCGAGCGAAAGAATCCGAGCGCGGCAGTCACTAGTTAACCCCCCGACGCCCCACCCTCACGAAACTGATGTAATTAGAACAATTGTACGGAGTACCTGCAGCCAGACAATTTCCGTTGCTGTTGCTCACGGCCAGCTGGGTTTTAGCGTCGGTCAATTTCATATACGATTGAAATTGGATGGCTCCAACGGTGACCTGCGAACCATGGCATCCTCAGGTGGGGAGTGGTGGAGTAATCACTATTCGGTGGCAGGTACTTGGCCCGTAGTTCAGTCTCCAGTTCTTTATGAAACAGTTACTACTGTAGTCGGGTTGCTATCGACGCCCTATTGGTCTATTGTTTGCTGACGAAACCAAGACACGAGAAATGGCAAGACGCGTGTCAAGCCTAAGGAGTGACCTCATGGGCCACAGCCAATCAAAAGTGAGATACACGGGATTGACACTGGCCATTCACCTGCCGGGGTATAGAATTTATGCAAACTAGCAGGAAGCAAAGAGCCCTAATCTATTGCTTGATAAACAACTTGGGACCTCTAAAGCACCAAAAAAGTATGATACTAAGCAACGCCCGTCTCCTTTGAAAGCTCGCGGATCTGATGCACGACAAGTGATACATCCTTTATCTTGAGAGGTACCCGATGATCCCCATCCCATTCTATCAATCTCCGGCTTTGTGGAGTACAAAAATCCTCAAACAGTTTACGGTGATGATCCAGTCCCTTATCACGCAATCCATGGACATGGAGCGTAGGAATTCGCAATATATGACCCTTGCCGTAAAATAATTCTCGCTCACAGTGTCCGAGGTCGGTGATTTTCGAGGCGTCCGGTAGTGGCGGCTTCAATGTCAAGTCGGGGTCCATTGATATGAAAGGTGCCTGCCCCGCCAGGAGAATCCCGAAACGAAAGTTGATCCCCGCCGGGCGGGTGCCGAAGAACTCTTCCCAGCTTTGTTGTCGGTAGAGGAGGCTGGCAGAGACTTTGGCGCCCTGACTGAAGCCCAAGAGGGCAATCCACTCGCCAGTAGCTCCAGCGAGATCGTCATGACGCATTGTTTTTTCCAGCCACGTATCAATCCCTTGGACCACATCTTCTGGTGGGATTACTGGATGCTCTGGTCGCCATCGAAGCCAGCGCCGGAAAGGACCCCACTGACTGTAAACTGATAGAACGTCTGATCCAGCCTGCGACGGAAACGGTGCTTGGGCGAATACAAGACGATATTCCGACTTCAGTTGAGCAATAAGTCCTCGGCATTGAGCCCGGAAAATTCGCGCGTTGGTACCACCACCGTGAAGACATAGTATCCGTGGCAGATGGAGGGTTGAGTCGTCGAGCGCACGTGTTGTGTTCATTCTGCGCAATACTTTGCCTCAAGATAGAAGAGGATGAAGGGAAGTTGAACCTAAGGATACCCGTTACGCACAACGTGCGCAATTCGATGATAGCTTTAAGAGTAATCCGATGTCTTCAGAGTCAGAATGCTTAGGACAGTGAAAACACGATCGAGCAATACGAGATGATCTTAGGTTAAGTCTAGTGCGTTCCTGATCGTTTATCTTTGTTGAGTATACTAGCCCGTTTATGATACGCAGCTGATAACACGGTCGAGGCTTTCCCAAAAGTCAAATTGAATTAAATAGAAAAAGAAGTTCTTTCGTTTGACCCGATTACTATCACAGAAATCTCAAAATCAAGGGACATGACAGGTTGCCTTGTTTGCATATCCGGCGACTTTGTCTTGCAGAGAAAGCAGCCGAGCCTGCATGCATGGAGGATCTTAGCGCTTACATCCTTCTACCATCCTCCAAGCGCAAAAAAATGGCCTGGTTGGGTCATCCGATTGCGGCTGTACTCCTTGTCGTCCAAAGTCCTTGGCCGTAGATTCGCAATAAACTGGGCGAAAGGCATGCTGCCGTATCGAAATAATTCTATTCCACAACATTTGTGCTCATTTTAAACATTCCAAATCAAAATTAAAGTCATCTCGAGGACCAAAATTGGTTTATCATCTGTGAGAGAAAATGCCTGCTCTGACCAAGTCATCGTTCTACCTTCCACTGGTGGATATCACGCCTTTTCTGGAAGATCCTCAGGGGGCTGCCGCCCAGGAAGTCATCGACTCGGTGCGTACAGCATGCAGGTCAACTGGCTTCTTCCAGATCAAGGGCCACAAGGTCCCTCTCAGACTGCAAAAATCGGTCTTTGAGGCTTCCGCTCGATTCTTCGCCCTTCCACTGAAGAACAAGCTTGAGCTTGACAGCCGAAAGACTGTTGGATTCCGGGGCTACGATGTGATGGAGACTCAATCATATGAGCTCGAGTTTGGAGCTGTTCAGGAGAGCGATGCGCTGCGAGACATCAAAGAAGGCTTCTTCACCTCAACGGATCTACCTCCTGACCATCCCCATGTGGCGAACGGCCGCTTTTTGCAAGGCCCTAACGTCTGGCCAAAACCCGAGCAGCTCGCACCCGTGGATTTTCAGGTCGTTCTAGAGGAGTATTTTGCGGAGATGCAGCGCCTATCTCATGTGGTTCTGTCGCTTTTCGCAGCAACACTGCCCCACGGACCCAATGTATTCGACAACCTTGAGACTAATGACCCCATGTCTCTGCTTCGACTTCTCCATTATCCGCGGGGCTTGGAGAAAGAGGATGGGAAGAAGCTCCAGCTAGGTGCTGGTGAGCATACTGATTTTGGGACCTTCACACTCTTATTGCAAGACAACTGTCCCGGTCTTGAAGTTCAGGATAGCATGACAGGCGAGTGGCATGGAGTTCCCCCCCAAGAGGATGTGTACATTGTGAACGTGGCCGACATCCTTTCCACCATGACAGAAGGGGACTACAAGAGCAGCGTGCACCGCGTATGGAATAGAAAGAGCGATGACCGGTACAGTGTGGTGTTCTTCTACGATGGCAACCTGGACTACAAGGTGGAACCTCTCGGAAGCTCCAAGCAGGGCGAAAATGAGGAAATTGATGCTCCTACCATTGAAGAACACGTGAAATCGCGCCTGACCGCGAGCTACGGTATTCAAAAGAAATAATCCAGATTGGCATCTATAACTGCAAGAAGGAGCATTGGGGCAGGGAGCACGCGTTCGTGGCACACAATAGGCTCCAGATTCTATGTATAACATCGAGATATCAGGTAGCTGTAGCCCATCTCCTCGTGTAGTTCTTGAATGCAACTCTAGAGTTGATCTATCATAGGAACATTCAATTATTCCCACTTAGCAAGACGAATGTGACTCTAATCGACTGCCCTTGAAAATTAAATCAGTGGCCCACGCAGGCCTGTAGCATCTATAGCGAAGCATACCTCTCGCAGAAGTTCCACAGAGAGATGAATTGGGTTATACCAAGAGAATAAGATGTGCACGAAGGTCCCATACTTCTATGTGGAAATAATCCTACTCCAGCACGGGAACGTTCAAAACGAATGCCTTGATTTCTACTCTCCCTAATCAAACAAACACAAAAAGAAGACCAAACATTGCCGCCACTCTAGGAGAATTTCGAAGAATAGTATCACTCCCCAATCAGGATTGGCTTGCGCTTTTCACTGAACGCGTCAAGGGCAGCCTTCCGATCCTTCGTCTTCAGAACAGACTCGTAGGCAGCGTTCTCAACCGCCTCACAACTGTACGAAAGCGCGGTAATTGCAGCCCGAATAGCAATGGGTCCCGCATCGGCAATCTGTTCAGCTAATTTGATACTGGAAACCAAGGCTCGCTTCGACAAAACGGGCGTATCCTCCCGGCAGTCTGCTCTAACAAGACGGTTGCACAGTCCCATCGTCGCAGCCTCATCTGCTGGCACCACGCGGCCCGTCAAGATCATATCCAGAGCATTCGACATGCCCACAATATTTGGAAGGCGATAGGTGCCACCCGCACCAGGGATAATGGCTAGCCGAGTCTCAGGTAATGAAACCACCGCGTCAGAGGAGAAGACACGCAGATGGCAGCATAGCGCAAGCTCCAGTCCACCCCCAAGGGCCCGGCCCGAAATGCAGGCAATAGTGGGGATGGGAAGGGCAGCTAAGCGTGAGAATAAGCCCCTAAGGCTAGTCAAAAAGGCTTGTGTCTCTGTCAAGCTCAGATCTTTGCGTTCTTTCAGGTCCGCTCCGGCACAGAAGATTCCGTCTACTGCACTCGCAATAATCAAGGCGCGTGTGCCACCCGTGTGGCGCTCGTGATGGATCTCTTCAATCTCGCGACTCAATTCGCGCACCATTTGCACTGAGAGGGCGTTCTTTGCCGCAGGTCGGTTCAATTGGATAATCTTGATGGTACCAACATGGGGCGCGCCAACCCTGCTCGAGATCAGTGTCGAGGGTGTCGTTACGTCACCCGTAGGGACAAGATGGCTGTCTTTAAGGATAGTTGCGAGGGACTGTACCTCGAACACGGTGGACTCCGTGGTAACAGATTCAACCTCCGTAGTAGTGATCTCAATGGTGACAGGTTCAACATCTGAACTTGTCTTTATTGTGATGGGTTCCACCTCTGCCGCACTGACTCCAATAGTGACAGGCTCAATATCTGGAGCTGACTTGACGGTGAGGACTGGAGAGGCGTTCTCGGTGGAGGTCACACCTTCTTTTCCTGAACTGATTGCAGGCGTCGGCAAGGTAGCAACAACCTCCTCATGAGGGTTTCCAATGGTATCCGCGTCATTTGTAAAGCGACTAAAGTAATTGTCCTCCAGGAGACACTTGATCGTGCTCTCTTGCTCAGTCACCATGAACTCACAACTCCCATCCGGGACCCGGGGCAGCACAATAACAGCACCAGCTTGAGTTCCTCTGGCCGGTAAACGAACAGCTTTAATATGACCGTCACCAAAGACAGGGCCAAAATTCATGCCGTGAAGGTCCATCTTGAACAGACTGGTCAGAATAATGCCTGATGTAGACATGGCCTCCAGAATATTCAGGCGGGTATGAGTGTCAAGTGCCGTTCGTTCCGCATATCCTACCAAGTCGATGAATTTCTCGGCCGTCACAGCCTTGATATCAGCGCGCAGAGCCCGAGCAGCGGCGCCAAGCCCGCTTTCAAAGTTTTCCAGGTCAGACAATGGCAATGATGACTTGGTCATGTAAATGACATTTCCGAAGTACGGCATGGGGATCTTGAGGTGTGCACGGCAATCCACAGGCTGTGCTACATATGTTTCGGCATCGCCGTTCAAGATTCCGGCCCGGTGTCGGGCTAGCATGATGCTGCGCCAGATGAAGGCAGAAATGGCATCGTTGGTGGAAAACCATTCATCAGGACCGCTAACAGTGGCAGAGAGATAGTCCTTGAGATCGGTCAGAGCCTTGACGCTGATGCGGAAAGTCCTGCACGAGTTCTCCACGTTGTGGATTTGGGCATGTGCGTTGGCCGGATCCGAAGTCCATGCCGCATGATTTTCAATGGATCCAGGTACCCCATAACCGGATACTAGCTTTGTGCGATCTGAGCGATATACATCGGGTCTTGGTTCCAGTGGATAATGCGTCTCGCCTGACTGTGCCTTGCTGAGTTCGTTGGCGAAAGTCTTGATCACTTCAGTCACCCCCCGACCATCTGCCGCGTTGTGAATAATAGATACAACTAGCAGCAGGCCACCTTCAACGAAGTTGGCCTGGAAACGGCATACGTCCACTCGCTCCTCTTTGAAGTACCCGACCTCTGGGAGCGGGCACAGCTGCTCAGTATTCAACAGGTGTTGCGAGAAGTTGGCCTTGGCGAGATCTGAAAAACTGAGCTCCTCTGACAGTTCCTTTATAATGAGCTGGGCACCGCCTTCGGGGATAATATTGCGAAGCCATGGGCGTCCTCCTTGATGCGATGAGAAGGGGACTACCGAGCCTGCCAACAAGGGAAGCCGCTGGACCGTGTGATGGAATGCAACATGCAGGTAATCCACCACATGCTGCTTGTCCGTATTATCTGGGAGCGAAAAGCAAAGGATTCGCTTCGAATGCGTTGGTGGGAGAATACGGTCCCAATGGGAGATTTCTACCTCGAACGGAGGACACTCGACGGTGAAGGACCGATCCATCTTTGGTTAGCGTGGAAGCGTGAATGTAGGTGCTTTTTTTGATAAGGACTATTTCAAAATTCAAATCCTTTGAGACACACTCATAGAATTGTTTTGAGGGGAAAATCCATCTGATAATAAATGCTTGCATAGAGATAGAGGGCTGGAAACCGAGCCCTTCCATCACCACCATCACCATACCTCCAATCGGCCCCATAACTCATACTTCGTGGTGGTTGAAAGGAAGAAGATGATTAAAAACTGATTAGTACACGCCATCCACCAGTCACATTGCATCACATTGTCGCTGAGTTCACCGGGGTATCGAATCCTTCCGGTGACAAAATTTCGACTAGACTGGCTAATCGGCTCCTTTTTCTAAATCTCTATATTTCTTTTTTTGATTATTTTCTTCATTGTCTTATTTGGGCTATGTTCATTTTTTTTAAATAAAAATGTTTTTACCCACGCCACTCAAACCAATCATCCATTCAGGCCACCAATAGTAGGCGGGTATATACGAGGGGCAGAGGGGGTTGTATTTCGATGTCAGCCACGCATGCTCGGTAAGATGCAACTACATTGCAGAAACGACCTCGGGACGCCCCAATACTTCAAGGCTAGCAATCAAAATATTGCGGGGCCACAAAAGTGGCTGAATATTGGCGTTCAAGTACTACCGATGCATGCATGCAAGAGGATGACACTACAGGACGATTGCGGAGGGCCGCGCGAGGCGTTATGCAGCAAATGAATTTTTTGTCAGGGACCACAAGGGAAGTCAAGAACCAGTTTTTGACCCCCTGCGCAATGCCCTGAAGGCATCCGAACCTGAAATCATGGCTGTTCCAACCTCCCAGTGTCTATGTGTTGCAACGGTGGCTCGCGCCTGGGAGCGCATCGAAAAAATGGTCGATATCACTCTTGATGTGATCATCGCTGCTAGTGCACAAACCATTCAGTTCTCCCAGCAGTCACACAACTGCCAGCTACACAGCCGAACATCGGCGGCGGAAGCACTTGACACCTTCATTCGCATCTATGGCAGGCTGGTCACCTTCTTTGAAAGAGCTATAACTACGTATGCCACAAACCCGCCACCTCCTCTGCCGACACCATCGACTTTTCAAAGAACCAGGCAGCGGAACTTGCACTCTTCGCTAGATGATCAGGTTCTGGAATCAGTTTTGCTGGATTGTGGCACACATCGATCCCCACAAGAACAACGCAGCCCTACCGCCGTTGTCTGTCGACCATCGAAAATGACATTGGGCCAATATGAAATGGACGAGCAGCAGAGCCAGTATTTGGCTCTTGATGTTATTTACCGGACTCTTCGCAATCTAGTCACCGTCCTGCAAGAGATGGGTGGTCGGGAGAACGCAGAGATCAGAAAAGTGGACGCGCGATTGCTGACCATACTTGTGCAAGTCAGGCGGCTGTTGGAAAATACGTCGGCTATTCTTTATACCTTAGAAAGCTAGGTCTCATATCGGGTAGCGTGAAGTGATTTCTACTTGCTTTCGGCGATCGTCTAGTGGATTAACAGTTCGGAAGCGATCCATCCACCTTCTAAAACAGCCCAATACATGATCGTACTGGAAAAGAAAGACAGGAGACAGGGACAGAATGAAATCTAGTCTGTGAGAGTAATAAACCCGACGAAATGCTCTAATCTTCGCAACTGATCTCTTAGTAACTCTTGCGTGACTTTGACACTCGCAGTGTCCCCCTCTGCTCTGCCCAGCAACTGGTTTAACTGCTGCACCACCCCCAGTTGTCGCTCTAGGTACAGACGAACCAGTCGTCGTGAAATGGCCAACTTTACCGTCTCATCCAGCTGGATGTTCCCCACGGTCAGATGGCCTGTCGTGTACGGTAGAGGGTTGCGCGACCTGCCTCGGTCGACGTGGCTTCTATCATCCAGGGCGATGCTGGAGACCACCCTCGACTCTTCTCGGCTCATGCTGCTCCCCGAATCCCTATCGGTGGATCTACAGCTCCGCTCAAACAAACCGAGGAGGTTGATGCTCACCACGGTAATCAACATCAGCGTCAGGGCCGCCCCGGGACTCACTAGACAGCATGGACAGCGCAAGACCGTTTCGCGTACCTTGCACACTCGCTTGTCAAGGTTGAGAAGCACGTCAAGGGGGATACCTGAGTTATTTCGTTGAAATTCATTAATGTCGTTCAGTAGGTTGATCAGGTCCGGGTAACATTGAAACGTGCATCGGGCGCTGGGTGCAAGGAATAGATTGAATCCACCGGCCTCGGTGACTGGGGAGGAGGCAGATGAGGAAGAAGAAAAGAATGCCGGGAAGGCATTCAGGGGTTTGGGCAGCACGGGTCCGGTCCCGAGAGAGTGTCCCGCAGCAAAGGGAAATTCTGAGCGGATTCCGAACAATCCACGTTCAGTCTGAGGAGTGGGAAGCGGCGTGATGGGGGATTCACGGCTACTTAACGACGAAGGGCTCAGGTACCCGGTGAGCTCATCCTGGTCGGGGTCAGGGTCTACCTGGTCCAGCTGGAAGCCTGCAGAAGCTAACTCATGGTTTGCCAGGGACAGCATCGGCGCGGGTGCATCAAAAAGCCCGTCCAAGCTAGGCCAGTTGGCCCCTTCTAACCCATAGTCCAAACGGTTGATGTTGCCCGTTAGCTCTGGATTGGACCAGCTCTCGTGTGGTACCAAGACTGACTCCTCGGCATGCAAGGCCGGGTTTGTTGGATGGACGAGATTGTCTACCCAGGATCTGGTCTCAACGCCGAGCGAAGGGAGGGAAATTTGTTGTGGGTGGGGTTTTCTACCCTTCCGGGCCGTCCCTCCCACCGCCCGCTGCTGCTGGTCCGGGGGAGGTAGATTCTTTGTGGAGGGTCGGCCAATCTTGCGGTATGGACTATAAACACACCGGCGATTCTGCTGGAGGCACCGAGCACATGACGGTTTGGCTTGGCTACATTTGATCTTGGCCTTGAGGCACGTATCGCACGACGAATGGAACTTGAACTCGGGCGGGGGATCCCTGCGAGACTTCGGGACAGACTCTGGCTGGAGAACCATGGTTCTAATTGGGGTTAGAACAAGTTGGAATGAGGGTTCTCTCTTTCAATCATGTCCGGGGCAGAATAGTGATAATGCAGGCCATTAAGAAGGAATGCTGGCGAGCAGATGGAAAGATAGCAACGTTACAACTACATTTAGCACGGGATAATACGATGTTTAGACCAAAAATAACTGGTTAGTTAGTTAACTGACAAAAGTTAATCATCCGACTTTGTAGGAAAACCAGGTTATTTCAGGCAGAGTAAGGTGTCGACGGGCAGCCCATTCATATCATGCAAAATGTCTACCCCCTCTTAGCTACCTCGCTATGAACACGAACACCCTAATATAGTACGCATATTAGCTGCTTCATTAGCTGCTTCATTAGCTGTTAGTGCGAAGGGCCCCTTATTCCTTTATTGACCCTTTTTGGTCTTAATTCCGTATCACCCTGTGATATTATAGATGCCAACTTCCACTAATTATATCGTAGGATGTCAGCGCAGATCACTCGTACCTATATCCTATAGAATGAAGGACCCCCTAGTAGTTCTAACGGCAATTAATAGTTATTAATGTATACTACTAAAAATTAGTAGTTAATATAGTATTATAGGGTACTATAGTATTCTAGGGTACACCACAGTTAGCTACGCCGCTTAGTTAGGAAGTCTGTTATATAAGCTTAGATATTGCCTATTAGGTGATTCATTATCGCGAAATAATCACTCGACCATAAAGGGAATAAGGGGGTCTTTGTACTAGTGAAGCAGCTAATATGCGTACTATATTAGGGTGTTCGTGTTCCTAGCGAGGTAGCTAAGAGGGGGTAGACATTTTGCATGACGTGAATGGGGCCCGTCGATCTCTTGATCTCCCTGACATAATCTGCTGATTAAATTCTGTCAATTAACTGACTTAGTTAACTATGCTAACTAACTAGCTACTTTTGGTCTAAACATCGTATTATCCCGTACTGAATGCAGTTGTCAAGTGGTGTTTCACAAGTATTTGCACCCCCTAACCTCCGGTTACCGCTCTACCTACACCGCTTAGAAACACGTTAGTAGACGTAGAATATTTAGTCTCTGCCACGCATTTTTAGATCTATTTCACCATTTCACGCTTTGTGCCCTACATTTAAACCCCTTTAAGTGCAGGGGACTTTTATATATAAACGGTGATATACTAGTTACTAGAGAGAAATGGGATTTGGCAGGCTTGAGCCGACAAAAATAGGTGGGTCCGTAAGGGACGATGTACTTGGGCGCAAATACTTATGAATGACGACAGTACTTGGAGTTCATATTTTGGGAGGTTGTTGGGAACATCTGTGACAATATACCTAGCTGAAATCTTGTTGTTTACACGAGACGAATGAGAACACGGTTGAAAATCCGTAGCAATTGAAAGCGTATACTAGGTATTCGGCCTGGAATTGAAAGAATCGAAAGGCATTAGACATACCATATAGGGGCTCAGCTGAGTACATGCAAGAGGACACCGTAACTCCCAGCGAAAGACTGCGATTCTCATGACAGAGACCCTGTAACATTACGCCACCCTTCTTCAACCATTCAAGTTACTAAGGAGTACACGAACGAACTTCGGTTATTACGGGTTACTATCGAACCTAGGAATAGCTTTATAGTCTAAGAAAGTTGTCATTGGCACCTTGTCGGTCTAGCGGTATTTTGGAGTCGACATTGACCTTTATGTCAAGACGGGAAGAAGGATACAGTGCACTGTGAGAAAGGTCAAAGAGAGCAAGAAAAAAGAGACAGGCAATAGAAAAATGGTGTGATTTCCAAATAGCTTTGCACAATACAGCATAATTCCAACCCGCGTGTTTTTCAACTAATTCTAGTCTTGTTCAGGGACCATCTCCATCTGTCGATTAATCGGCGGCGCCCAGACGCTGGGCGATGAAGATACTGCAAGCCAAATTGAAACAAGCAAACAAACAAAGCCAGGATTAGTCCAGCCAATCCCGTGCCGAGAAAGGACCCGACGCAGCACCAGCCCTTTTAGTCACCGCGGGGAAGACAAACCATGCAAAGAGGCTTGCAGATACAAACAGACCCAGAAGAGGCAGTCGGGAGAGGGCAGTGCCAACCAAAGGCCAAGAAAGGACCCGGGCGTGCGTAACGTTACATCCACCACCAAGCCTGACAGATCTTAGCGCTTACAAGCATCACTGGCCACATCCAATCATCAACCCCCCAATGCAGGGGCTTGTTTTGTCTGATTTGCACTCAACGGGGTTAGGATATTGTAGCAGCGAGTGCAAACATGGTCCCCTGAGGTTTAGGGGTATATACCGCAGACAAAGCAGCAACGCCATACTTAAAAACCTAATCGTTAGCAACTCACGATGGAAGAACAAGACACAGGCTTTTTTGTCATTGGGACTGCCTAATTACAACCCCCACAAATCAGTTCGGAGCTAGTGCCAGCCACATAGGCTCAGGTACAATATGGCTGAAGTGAAAGATCCATCTCGGGAGTCGTCAGAGACTTCGAGTAGTCCGGTACCTCTTGCCGGGTCTGAGGAGCCGAAAGATGTATCAATCCTCAATACTACGGACGATGATGAGAAGAAAGCGACTCCTCCACCAGGCCCGCCGGTTTTGGAGTATCCGGGAGTCATCATGGGCAGTGTACTCACCATAGCCTTGCTGCTGGCCATGTTTCTGGTCGCTTTGGATATGGTAAGAACTGTTCTTCAGGTACCCATGTGAGCATGTAGCTAATCAAGTCTCCCGCAGAGCATCATCACCACTGCTATCCCCACGATTACGGCTGACTTCCATAGCGAAAATCAGATGGGATGGTACGGATCCGCCTTCTTCCTTTGCTTGGCCAGCTTTCAGGCTTTCTGGGGAAAATCATACAAGTACTTCCCCATCAAGATTGCCTTTCTAACCGCCATCGGCGTGTTTGAGCTGGGGAGCTTGGTGGCCGCCCTGTCGCCCAACAGCCCGGCCTTGATCGTCGGTCGTGCTATCCAAGGCGTTGGTGGCGCGGGTGTTACAGGTGGCTGCTACACAGTTCTAGCCTTCATCACGCGACCTAAATACCTACATGCCGTTTTTGGTCTCACCAGTGCCGTCTTTAGTTTGTCGTCCGTGCTGGGCCCCATCCTGGGTGGTGTATTCACCCAGTACGCGACATGGCGATGGTGCTTCTGGGTCAACCTGCCCATTGGAGGTCTCACAGTGATCATCTTGGTGCTGTTTTTAAAGATGCCTCCCCATTCCCGCGTTGCCAATGCCAAACCCAGGGAGATCCCCTTCCTCTTTGATATCCCAGGAATGACTCTCACAGTCTGTGCGATGGTGTGTGTGCTCTTGGTACTGGAGAACGGTGGTGTCACCAAGCCCTGGAACAGCGGTTACTGTATCGGATTACTCATTGCCTCTGGCCTGCTCGTTATATTGTTGATCGCGCTGGAATGGAAACAAGGTGAAAGGGCCATGGTTGTCCCTCGGATCATCAAGCGCCGAACCATTCTCGTCCTCGCGTTGTTTAACTTGACAGCGCAGGGCTCTGGATTTGCCCGTCTTTACACCCTTCCCATTTACTTCCAGGCCGCGCAAGGCCAGTCGCCCTCACAGTCAGGGATTCGAACCCTGCCTACGGTGTTGACAACCTGTAAGTTTATTTCGCCATTGCCCCTATTCCCCCAATCTACCGTGATTTCACGGAACTAACACGCCTTATCAAACAGCCATATTCAGTTTCGCTGGGTCCATCGCTATCGGCAAGGTGGGTTACTACCAGCCCTTCCTAATGCTGGGTTCCATGTTCGTGACGATTGGATCCGCTATGATCTATACTCTGGAGACTAGCTCTGGGGCAGGCAAATACATTGGCTATCAGGTGTTGGCCTCCATTGGATCGGGACTCATCATCCAGCTCAACGTCATTGTTGCTCAGGCAATCTCCAAGCGGGTGGACATGTCTGTCACCCTGGCGTCCGTTTTATGTGGGTCATGCCGCGCCCTATCCTCTTTTGCTGTCTTTTGCAAAGCCGACTGATCAACTCTGACTCATACAGTCTTTCAATTCATTGGTGGTACCGTCGGTGTTTCAGCCGCCACAAATATTATGAACAATGTGGTCCTTTCCTCTCTACCGACAGACAGCCCGACTATATCTGCTTCTGCTGTGCTTGCTGCCGGTTCAACCGGACTGGCCAAGATGTTCCCGAACGCCGCGGACTTCAAGATTGTCGTAAACGCCTACATGAAAGGACTCAAGGCCGCCTGGATCTGGTGTATTGCCCTAGCCGGGGTGGCCTTCTTGGTCTCCCTTGCTGCAGAGCGGAAGAGTGTGCGGTTGGAAGATGTCAAAAAGAGAACCGAGAAGAAGGCTGCGGCTGAGGCAGCCACTCCTTGAGCATGCACATCGACATATAAGCACAAAAATGGCTAATTTGCTATGAGGAAGCCCTCGGAGCTGACATAGTTGAGTTTAACGATCGCTAGCAAGTAGTTTTTGAATTCCTAGAGGCAATTGCTTCTATCTCCCTTGTCTCTACGAATACTGGATGAACCGTATCTAGGACAACGAAGACCAGATTCCCGGCGTTACGGTGGTAATCAACCATTATGAAATCAATTCGTGTAGTACTGTGACGACCAGAGACTGTATGAAGCAAAAAAAACCGGTGGTCAACTGGCAAAGGGTGTTTGATGGAGCTTTCCAGATGGGAGTATTATGATACACCTGACATGAGGTTATTCACAAATGTTGGTGCCCAAGGCTACCAGGACCCTGGTAAGCCGGCTAGCTTTCGGTCGAGGTCCATTGGGGCTTCGCTGCCAGTACGTGTACGAACTCCTGCAGGGAAGACACTTGGGTAGAGGTTACACAAGCCTCGATACATCTCCTTCCTGTTTTGAGCGATATGACTGTATATAAATTGATCCATGTTCTCATATTTACTCACTGAGCCTGAGCCTGAGCACCCTCATAAAAGCAGCGGCAGCCGAGATAAGAAAGCCCCACCCGCCAGACATTATCCGGTCTATATAATCACATAGACAAGGTGGCGAGGAAACGAGAATCGTAGCCAATCAGAGCCGCAGTAGATACGAATGTCGGTTAAAGCTGACGGAGCCCCACTGATCTCTGCCTTTCTTCCGTCTACTTCTAGAAGTTAGTCACCGCGAAAGAGAAGAATCTTAATTCATCCGTTTCTTCATTGTTACCCCAAGTCGATCCTTCTTGTTAATAAGTTGATGGAAATTACTAATTCCATCGAACATGAGTTATGGCCGGACTTTCCGATCGCTGAAAGCTACCCAGAACACCTCAGCTGGGACCCTCTTGTGAATCATCAAGTTGCCCAGTCTGACTGGTTGGTATATAATGACGACGAAACCTCAGAGCTCAATAATGAAGCCTCATCCCTGGCAAGCTCCACTAGCGCCGCCGAATTTCCTGGAGATTTCGGTTCGTGGTGGCCAGACAGTTCTGCACAGAATGACTGCTCTATCCCGTCATCAGTGCAATCTCCACTCGGGGCCGCTGCTCAAGATCATTTAACCGAACATTTATCATCGAAGAGCTTGCCTGTTCCTGGAAACCACACGAGGTCAAAATCTCACCCGCGTTTGCCTTCGGATGCTGTCAAGGCCTTAAGGTCATGGCTCTACCAACATCAAGAGTTCCCATACCCTAACCCAGAGGAAAGAGTCCAGTTAGAGCAGCAGACCGGTCTGACCAAGAATCAGGTTCTGAACTGGTTTGCAAATGCTCGACGGCGCAGGCAAAGACATGTGGATCAAGCCTCCGCGCCCAGCATGGGAGATAGTAAAGATGCGGGCACATCTTTATCTCCTTTGGAGCGCTGGAAACAATCCCCTCCCGAAAGTGAACCTGCTGCTACGTCCGACATTATACGAGCATTGGACAACGCGTCATCTTACCCCGAGCAGAGTCAGGTCTACTACAACGACTTAGTGGGTACTGTATCTAGAAACAGCTCCGGTAGCTCCGGTAGCTCATTCCTATTCGGAGCTCCCTCGATGAGCGGGTTTGAACATAGTGCCTCGTCTGGCTCTGAAGTCTCCGTGACGCATGTTCCTCGGCGCAACCAAAGACCACCTACGCCAATTCCGAGCATGGGGAGGAGGCATCGCCGCCGGAAGAACTCACGTCCAGCTGGCCAACAGAACAAGTCGAAGGCTCAGGGATCTCGCATGTACCAGTGTACTTTCTGCTGCGACTCCTTCCGGACTAAGTATGAGTGGACACGGCACGAAAAGGCCATTCACATCTCAGTTGAGATGTGGCACTGTGCTCCAGTAGGTGGGATTGCTGAATTAGACGGGGTCAGCATTTGCGTTTTCTGTCAAGCCCAAGATGCAGATGACAATCATCTGGAAACGCACAACTACCTCCGATGTCGAGATAAACCTCTAATACAACGGGAGTTTGCACGGAAAGACCATCTACGACAACACCTCCGTTTGATGCACAATATCAAAGATCACAATTTCCTAGACAGCTGGCGAATCTCCTTTCCCGAGCTAAATTCACGATGTGGGTTTTGCAGCTCAACTTTCACAACCTGGGATGCGAGGGTAGATCACTTGGCCGAGCATTTCAAAACCGGCGCAGACATGAGTCAGTGGACAGGAAACTGGGGGTTTGATCCAGAGGTTGAACGCCAGGTGAGAAATGCCATGCCCGCGTGGGTTCTTGGCCAAGAGCGTGCCACCATGCATCCGATGAAAATGTCCGATGCGACACAACATGGCGATGACTTCATTTCCTCGGCGAACGAGTTCCCCAAGGGCGTAGATCTCTACATGATCCTCCGCAACGGCTTGATTTCATATATTAAGGATCAAATTGCGATGGGTATTTACCCTTCAGATGAGAATATTTCAGCCGCAGGCCGTCTCATGATATTTGGAACTGATGACCCTTGGAATCAGACATTTGCGGAGAATCCCATCTGGCTGGAGGCTCTGAAGAATGATGTGCGTTTTGGAACCTCGGAAACACTCCCGGGGCGTCACATCGCGTCAAGAGAAAGCTTTATGTAGGGGGGAAATATTGTGGGTGGAGGTTAGCGGGGTGAGGAGTGGGCTGCAAGTATGCTGTGAAGTGCGAGCACGATATTCCTTGTAGCGTTACAATATTAAACTAATACCACGGGAAACAATCAAAGAGCATGATTGGGTGATTCCGAATTGCAGATTTATTGTATTTTGATATCTCAGGCCTCCGCAAGTGTGGGGTCATTGTTCATGGGGTATACTGGTCCCGAGTGCCTTCCAACAAAGTATCTAGGCGGGTAGCCCACCTAAGGTTATCTCCTAGGATGAGTATAGTATTGATGCTACCCGCCGTCTCTTAAACCGGCCAATGATTCCCCATCCCTCGGAATCAGGTTATAATATCATGTTTCCCGATGGAGTAACTGGTGGAGCCAAAATGTGCTCAATCCTTCGCAATGGCACAACCAATCCGAACAACAGCTCATCCGCTCTCCCCGTAATTCGTTTTGCTGCGGGAATGATAGCCGGTAGTTTCGGGTAAGCATCAAAGGTAACTGGCAACCTTGGGAGACAGAAGTGACGTGCTAGGAGGACTTAAGAGGGCCATCCCACCACAGCCCCTCCAGTTGGAGGACCTTGAGAGCCGCTCACTTTTCTTTGCAAACATCAGCTCTCGAAGCCTTCCTATTGCTGGACCTTCCTGGTATTCTGTTAACTCCATTACCACTCACTCATCACCATGGCAGCTCAGACTCACTCTCTACCCCCTCTTCCATATGGCTACGATGTAGGTCTCGCGTCGATGCAAGTTCGGAACCGGAGCACTAAACTCATTATCTCTTCCAGGCCCTTGAACCCGTAATCTCCAAGCAGATCATGGAACTGCACCATCTAAAGCACCACCAAACATACATCAACAACCTAAATGCCGCCCTCTCCGCCCAAGTCACGGCTACCCAGACCAACGACGTCCCCACCCTGATCAGCCTACAGCAGAAGATCAAGTTCAACGGCGGCGGTCACATCAATCACTCCCTCTTCTGGAAGAATCTGACTCCTCCCGGAACCCCGGGCAATGACCTAGCTAGCGCTGCACCGTCACTTCGTGAAGCGATCAACTCCCGATGGGGATCTCATGATGCTTTCGTCAAGGCGTTTGGTGCTGAACTGCTCGGTTTGCAGGGTAGTGGGTGGGGATGGCTTGTGAGTAAGGGTGGACCGAAGGGTCGACTGGAGATTGTCACGACCAAGGACCAAGATCCGGTGGCTGCATCTGATGTCCCAATCTTTGGGGTTGATATGTGGGAGCATGCGTACTATCTCCAGGTAGGGGACCTATATATTCCGTGATGTTTTCAAGTGACACTCTTTACTGATGCTCTTCAATTAGTATCTCAACAACAAGGCTAGTTATGTCGAGGGTATCTGGAAGATCATCAACTGGGCCGAGGCTGAGAAGCGCTACACAGCTGGCGTGGAGAACCCGCTGAAGCTGTGATTTGAACAAGCTGGAGGTAGACGGTAGAAGATTATTATAACGCGACTCAATATCATGTTTGGACCCTTCTATTTGCTTGATAAATAGCCGAGTTCAATGTAGAATGAACCATGTTCTTAATTGTATCCGACAATTCCAACACCTAGTACTACGCCGCAACCATCGCTCACAGTAACCTGTCGCCCAACGACGCCCTTCGCCGAGATACCTAGATCCAACCGTTCAGACAATTCAAATTCCATCTCGGTTTGACAATGGCCCGGTTTAAGGGTTGGGCTTTGAGCCAAATCCAGACGGAAAGTGTGAAGAGGGGCTGTATGAGGCGTCGCTATAGAAAGATCTCCGTATTTTCTAGTAGACATTAGCATGCACTACTTCAATCCCGAGGCTCGAGAAACTCACTCTATCCGCATATCCACATGTCGGCATTCACGAAGAGCCTGGCATGTCTCCGCATCACTGAATTTAAAGATGGCTTTTGTATTTTTGCTACCGTCTTTGTCTGTGTCCCGGAAAAAGAGCGAATATGAAGATAAAGATGAAATTGACGAAGTGGATGAAGCAATCGAGTCCGGTGATGAGGAAAGCGATTTCTCTGAATTGGTAGAGCTCAGCCCGTTATTGGGAGGAAACAGGACCGCAATAGTGCCCCCGAAGGTCGGTCTGTTGGAATCACCGCACATAGTGTTGAGTTATTGAGAGAGGTGAACGGATAGGATGTAATATGCTAAAGCGTGAGGAAATGTAATGGAGGAAAGATGCAGGCTAGAACGTGGGGTAAATGTTATCCTGGTATTCCCCCGGTCAATTAACTTCGCTGTTATATATACAGAAAGAAAGTATCTCTGGCTAAGTAAATCCCAAGGCTCCCAAGGTTCCAGCCACCAAGGTGAGCGGGATCGAGCAAATATGCGGTTGTATACTAGTGTCGATCGTGCCTTCTCAAATGTGCTCACTGTGGGGCCCGAGTGGATCGAAGATCCGGGGGATGGTTTGATGTTGAACTAGAAACAGAAAGAATTCAGTTACCGAACGAAATTTAATAGGCTACTAGGCAGTAATTCTAGGCTGAAGTAGAAGACCTTGGGTCGTTATAGAAACATGCTTTTGTTTTCGTTTCCAGCTCATTCTCCGGTTCTCTCCATGTCCCTCTAAATCAAGCAAGATGGTATCTCATATCGCTGCCAAACACCACTCAAGTGTAGAAAATAGAATTTGCTACCAAGTTTCGAGCTAGGTATGACTTTTTACCCTATCAGCGCAAAAGAGATATAGGCGCCTGCCAAAGATTGATTGTAGATCCATGGAATGTCTCGCGAAGTGTTAAAGTTCTTTCCTAGAAGCCCCTGGAACACATCCTATTCCCCAGGCGTGACTCGGGGTACAAGAAAATTTCGTACCCCCCAAATATATTTAGAGGTGTTGTGTATCTTTTGTAAATCAGTTGGTTGTATGTGAAGAGCACAAAATGGACAATAGAAGAATGCAAACGCATCATTTAGGAATCAAAGGGTGGGCAGAACCATGGTCTTGACAAAATCACGGACAAGATGATCTTGAAAAATTACTCAAACGCTCGGTCCAGATCATCGACCGAGAAAAGGTCAAAATGGAGAGACCTCTTTCCAAACGAGAAAATCATGGGAGATAGTATTTCGGAATCGGAGGAGAATTCTAGTTCGATTTCTTTATCGTCAAAGGGCTCGAGAGCCTGGGCGGACTTATCATCATAGATCGAGTCATCATTAAAGCAGAGGAGTGAACCAGTTCGCCAGAGCGACAGCAAGGCGGGATTTTGGGTAAGAACTGATTCTGGAAATAACCGAAGAGATATGATCAGTGAGCAACTCAGTACCCGTAACTGAGTCGTAGAAAAACGAAATGCTAGAGTCACTAAGATCGTCGACTTTCCCTTCGTCATTGGCAGCATTTGTATAATTGTCGAGAATAGACTCAAAAGCCTCTATGAGAAATAACGTGGGAAAGAACTTGGCCACCCTCTTATGTTTCTTGCCGGTTGCCTTCGCGACGGACGATCGCAGTCGCAAGAATTTCTCGACATCTTGCGCACGACTGCCGGTGCTGCAGTGTTTAGGCATCAGTATGAACTGCATTTCTAACCACCGACCTGGTGCGAAATAGTGGCGGGCCTTAGCGTAGTATATCATCTGGTAGTACACGCAAGAGCACCGGTAAGAGTACCCGGGGTATTCGGAGGAAAAGCTGTTATTGGTGAAATACATTGAGGAATAATCCACAGGCGGCTGCAGAGGCAAATAGCTCTTGAGCTCATGGGCCATAAATTGGACCGTAAAAGGCGATAACCCGAGCCTTTTGTCCCCCAGGTATTCGAAAGCAAATGCTAGAGTTCTGGAATTTATGCAAGACCATGCTGAATATACCGTTCCCTTCACAGAACCGACGTTGGTATCGAGTGTCATATCCGTTACTTGCAGGTATGTCGGTAAGGATCTCTTTGCCATGATGCTGGACTCGATTCCTCGTCTTTGCGAGTCCTCGCATTTTTTGGCAGGGAAGGCTCGATCGAGTCGCTTGGTTCTTGAATTGTTGCCGTACTTCTCTATGATAGCCTCGGCTGACGATGTATGAGCTGATGCAAGAAATAATTCGAAGAGCACTTGCAAGTGCTCCAGTTGAGCTTTGCTAATGCTCACAACATGCTTGACGTGCATTGCTTGAAAAGATCGAATGAGTGAATCTCGAAGTAGCAGGGCTGGTTTCGTGATCTGGCCGAGCGTGTAGTTGCCAGTATCAAAAAAGACTGTTTGATCTGCCTTCTCATAGATGTTGATTTTTGGATGGAAACAGTTGATAAATGAAGGGCCTGAACAGTTGAAACCCACGGTGCCCGGAGTAATAACACCATCTTTCCGACTATTAAGGCGGGTTGGAGGGACGTCCGCTTTGACAAGGCTACTCTGGCGATTGCTTCGGGTTTGGATCAGTGTGCAGGTTGCTCTGCTTTGCCTTCTTGCGACCCGGAAAGTTGATTTGCTGCTTGATGGTCTTGTATCAGTTTCGGTTTCGAGTGATCGGGACGGGTTGTTTTGTGAGATAGCCTGTAGTTTGTCTTCAATACTCTGGAGTTTGGTGCGGAGAACAATATCGTTCCGTCTATTCGAAAATCAGTTACTTATAGTGGGTAGGCGATTTGCAAAATCACGTACCTTCCAGAAACAGACAAGGCAGCAGTCAAGTTCTGAGTGTAGTGAGCAAGTCTGTATCTTGAAGCCGCAATCTCATGGTCTTTCAGCGCCCATCGAAGGCTTCCGAATAATGATAACCAGCGTTCACTTCCGGAACCAGCCACCTGCCCTAGTAGTCCTCTCAGGTGTCGAAAGTCTTGTTCGATTAGCGTTAGAATTGTGTGGACATTTGGCAGCATGTGGCCATCATCTTGTGCGAACGGCGATGACGCATGTTCGTTGATAACCACATGGACGAAGGCCACAATCGATAGCAACGCTTGGAGCTCGAGAAGCAACAGCGTAATATTCCTTGATGCAGACCGAGCCTTGTCGAAGAGGTCGTAGAGATTTTTCCCTGCACGAAAGACTGTGTCGGCAAAGCCAATAACCTGCAGTACGTTGGCCGCTACTGAGAGATTATCAAGTGCAGCCATCGTTACTGGGACTCTGTGCTAGACAGCCATTTCTGGTGATAGGGGATATTTAAGCCTGTATTGAAAAGATGAAGAAGATGAGGCTGTGCGGCCGGGTCAGGTGTTTACTGTTGCGCCTCATGCACAGCTGCCCGATTTTGTATAAAACCATTGGACATTTGCTGCGCCGTGAAGGCATGGAAACATAAACTTTTCATTCTCGTCGGCTTTACGAAAATGAAGACATAGTGGTGCAGAGTAGCCTCTGAAACTTGATCCTCTTTGCTAATACAACTATCTGTCATACAAAGATAAACCCTAGCAGTCCTCCAATGGGAGACGGGGAGGTACTGTATCCGTAATCAAGGTTGATTCCTCAACAAATAGTACCGAAACTTAACTTGGGGCCGAAGTTATGGAGCAAATTTTTTGGCCTGAACATCGCTCACGAGAGGCACCTCGAAAAGCGCCCCGTGCTTGTTCTTCGCCGCGGAGATGAGACATGTTGAATTTGAATTTTCAAGCTTGGGGGTCGAAGTGGTAATCTATATTCCATTTACTCGCGACATTTTTATTCTCTACAAGACATAGTGCAAAATAAATAGTACCAGGGATAGCTTTACACCTTCTCTTTAAGTACATAGACTTCGAGATACTAGGAAGCACTCCTAAGAACTAATGAGACAGGAGAGCCGCTTTTGACCCCTACCGAATTCCATGGCTATTCTCGCCAGATAAAAGCCAATGACGATGAGATTTCCAGCTTGGTTGGTCACTACTTAGTCTAGTAACGGGTAGGAATTGTAATTTAGGGGTGAAGTTTAAATGATTATCTCTTGTCATGAATGATGGCCCTGGTGTAGTTCCCAAAGCGGTTAGCGCAATATCGGAGCTCCTGCGCTCTTTTCGGCTTCACCAGATTCCCATCACCACCTTCCCTTCAACATTCAAACCAAACGCGCTTTTCATCCACGAGATTGGGGGCTTCAGAAGTGTCTCAACCTTGGTAATGACTGCAGACAAATTTCAGCCCACCCTCTAAGCAATCGCGCTCAGTCACCACTCGCACCACCCTTCCAACCTTCCCCATTCTGCACTCCACGTCCTCATCGCCTTCAGTCTCAATTGAGACCTCTCACAACCATGGCCTCTCCCAGCCAAACTCAAGGCTCAGCACCAGCCACCCAACCTCTCACTCCTCCCGCGGAATTCTCCACAGCAAACGGCGTCTCCGCCCCCGCCGCAGCAACTACAACCTCACAAGCCGTCGCGCCCATACCCGCAACGGCACCAACCACATCAACCAACCAACCCTCACACGTCCCGGGCACATCCCTCCAAGACAGCGGTAAATCGCGACGCCCACGCGATGTCCGCCTCGTACACATGCTCCTCGCCTCCCTCGGCGTAACAGCCTACCAAGACCGCGTCCCCCTCCAACTCCTCGATTTCGCCTACCGCTATACCTCGAACGTCCTCCAAGACGCAGTACACCTTGCCACGGAAGGATACGCCGCTGCTGTCGGTGATAGCACCGGTGCAGGCAAGGGCGCGCCATCCGCGGAGGCGAATGGTGTTTCTCTCCCCGCTCTACGACTCAGCATTGCTTCGCGCTTGCATTACCAGTTCCAGACGGGCTTGCCGAAGGAGTTCCTTATGGATGTTGCGTCGGAGCGGAATCGCATTGCGTTGCCTGGTGTGTCGAGAGGATTTGATGCTGCGGCCGGAGGCGCGAATGGAGCTGCTGCGATGGGCACTGCGAATCAGAGTGTTATGATGGCCGGTATGCGATTGCCGCCGGAGAGGTTCTGTCTTACTGGTACGGGGTGGAATATGAAGGATGAGTGGGATAGTGAAGGCGAAGAGGAGGAATTGCCCGATGCACCGCAACAGCAGATTAAGGGTCCTGCTGCTACTGGTGCGGGCGAGGACGAGGAAGGGGTTGATGAGGATGATGGTGATGGCAAGATGGAGGATATCTTTGGCGAGGATACGGCGATGGGCGAGGCGGGTGATGGAGACGGGGACCATAAAATGGGAGATGCCTAAACTAATGATGCTAAGAATCATTTTGTCCCTACCTTTGCCAGGGGGCTGCTTATTTTCTGTTTGATAATCTTGGAGTGGACGGTGTTACTGGTGCCTGGCGTTCTCATCACTGTCGCCCTCCTACCCAGAGAGGATAGGACTATCTACCATCAAAGGGATACTCATGTTTCCGCACAGCTCAGATACGACTCTATATATGCATCGGCTGTTGTCGATGATTAGAAGAATGATGAGAAGAAGAGACGAAGTTCTGGTCGATGGATTGAAAACATGACATCTTGTAATATACAATGCATAATCGATTGTCATCCCATCTCTCTAAAACCAGGATGATAATGCAAAACAGTCAAGGAAGAATATGCCCAAATAAAAACGCCTAGTTTTGTCCCTTTGTACGCCGTGAGGAGAGAGAAAAAAGACATGCAAGTTTCGACCACATCTGGTCGCACGGAGGGTGGTATGTCGAGGCCATATTCAATGCTCAAGGCATGACATGATACTCACCATAGTTCCCAGTTTCAAATGCCCACCTCTTGAATTCACAGATTTGACAGCGAGCACACTGCCCTGGCAAACTCATAGGCCCCTCAATCTCCGAGCCAGGCACCTGCAGCCACCAGCCAAAGGCTTCTGGATACTGACCAAGCAATGCAAGCAAGCAGGATAAAGATATCCCCAGACGCCGGAACCCATATACACAATATACACTCACTAGGAGTCTTCAACAGCCACTAGTGATCTTCGAGGAGAAGGCGGAGTCAACAATCCATCAGGAGAATCACTTTCCCTGACCCTCCTGCCGCCTCCGCTCCTCGTCTTGCCGCATCATGGTAATAACCTCCGCGCGGCGCTTCTCAACACGTTTCAGCTCTTCCTCCTTGGCGCGGCGACGCTCCTCGTGCGTTGCGAACCACTCCTCGCGAGCGCGATCTTCTTCCTCCCGGTTGTTGGCGTGAGTGATCATGCACGCATTCATGGCGAGACGCTGCTGTCGGCAAACCCATGTGGCGGTGACGGTACGATTGACGGCACATTCCGCAAAAGCTATATCATATGAATATTGTTAGTTATAGGGTCTCTTTCTGGTTATGGTGGCTCGGCGAGCTAGATCATACAACCGATGTACTCGGCCGAGTGCGGTGAACATGTAATGAGGATACAGCTATGCCAGGGATACAGCTATGCCAGGGATACAGAGTAATGAAGAGCACGAGCAAGTGCAGAAAGTATCACCTACCCTTAATTTCCGGGGCACAGCGGGCTCGTACGCGCTTGTGGTACATCTGCTTGACTTCTTGTTCTTGGGAGGCCGAGAGGGGGAGCGGGTTGCGGAGATTGTATTTCTTAGGCGATGGAGATGTCGCAGAAGTATCGGGGGAAGTAGATGTTGAAGCCATTGGGACTGAGTAGCTCGATCTCAGGGATCGAGGTGACAGGTGTAGATCAGATAAGTGGGAGAGAGGTTGCGTGGTCTGATGAGCCTGGGAGGGCGGATGACAGTCTTAACAGTCGGGTAGAGAGCGCAGACTGTAGGAATCACGGGTGCTGGGTATAGAAAGAGCCAAAGACAGTCTCTAAAGAGCAATTGCTGCTCACAAAAGATGCTGGTTGCTGAGGGGAAGGTCAAGGATGTGTTGATGCGGAGCGCGAGGAACCGAGTTCGGGCGGAGAGCAGAAAGGCGGAAGCAGAAAAAAAAACTTCCGGACTGTACGACCCTTCAACTCTTGCACCACACCACTCTTCTTACTGGGCGCATTACCTTCCCAGCTCTTTTCGGTAATTTTTCAGAGCTGTAGCGCTCTTCCGTGTCTGGGTTACTTCACTTTTTTCACTTTGCAAACTCGACCGTCACAAAACTATTCAGCATGTCGTCCATGCGCAATGCCGTCCAGCGGCGGCAACACCGCGAGCGTGGTCAGCTCGAGGGCCGTGAGAAATGGGGTCTTCTCGAGAAGCACAAGGTTGGTAGCCTCGCTCTGCTATTGCAAGATATTGCTGGCAGCTTTGAACTTCTACAGATTTACTTGAACCAAAGCTAATCTTCAAACCAGGACTACTCCCTCCGCGCCAAAGACTACAATGAGAAGAAGGCCAAGTTGAAGCGTCTGCAAGAGAAGGCAAAGGATCGCAACCCCGACGAATTCAACTTTGGCATGGTCGGAGCCAAGAACGCTCAACAAGGAAAGCATGGACGGGGTGTCGGTGTCTCTCGCGACTCGGCCGCTGCTCGCGGACTCACCCACGATGCGATCAAGCTGCTCAAAACCCAGGATCAAAATTATCTGCGGACAGTGGGAGAACGGATACGTCGACAGATCGAGCGCCTGGAGCAGGATATGCAATTGCAAGACGGGATGAATGTGTCTCTGGGTGTGAAGTCTAAGAAGAAGGAGGAGTCAGAAGAGGAGGACGATGACGAGTTTGACGGATTCGACGACTTTGATGATCTCGACTTTGGCGCCCCAGTGACACCGAAGCCACGCAAGGTCGTATTCGCGGACGACAAGGGAGACCAGCAAAGTATGAAACGCCGACGCGAGGACGACGATGCTATGGATGAGGATAAGGACGAAGTCGAGGAGAAGGCGTCTCAAGCCCGCAAGACTCCCAAGCAACTTGCTGCAGAGAAAGAAGCGCTCCGCGAGGCTCGTCGGGCCCGCAAGATTCGCAAGCGCGTCATCGAGGGCCGGGAGAACAAGCTCGCAGCACTGCGCAAACAGTATGCAGCGATCCAAAAGGCCGAGCAGGAAGTCGAATTGCAGCGGGCCAAGATGGACCGATCCGTTGGAGGTACCAACAAGACTGGACTCAAGTGGAAGGTTCGTGAGCGCAAGCGCTAAATGGTCTTGAAAACGGTCCCGGCGAGGGCTTTCGTTATGAGTTGATGACCCGCGGCCATTGCTTCTGCATCTTCTTCGTGTCTCGTTGTCCTTTTTATCATGTTTGATCTATATCTTGTACCGATACCAGCATAGACGGGGAGTCCAGGCGCATTGTGAATATCCAAAAGTGAGAATACAGGCGAATTACATAACTTTCAAATAATTTAGGTAGTCTTTAGAGTATCCGCGGCTAGTGACATCACTAGAGAACAAAAGGATTGTCATCCCCCTCGAGGATCGGTAATACGCTCTGGCCAAGAACAGTAGTACACTCGTGTTCCCTTACCCAACCTGGTCAAAGACTCCCCGTAATCCCCGCGAGCTGATAGGATCGACACGCAAAAAAACGACTCCACCAGCTTATCGATCTTCAACCCGCGGAAAAGCGATTTATAATGGCCGCTGACTAAGTTTATCTTTTATCGGTGACTGCGAATTGTTCGCCACCCCTCACTTGACTTTCTTTTCTTTTCCTCGTCTCTCCTCCCTTAATACCTCTCCTTGACATCCCAGAGTCACTGAAAGGCACCAATCCACTCACAATGGCACCCTCTTTCGTGACCATTGATACCAGCGACGACTTCGACATGCCGACTCCAACCAGGCCCGTCGATGCCCCGCGCACTCTCCTCCTCGCACCCCCCTCCATCGCCGCCCACGAGGAGAAACTCCACGCCCTCTTCACAACCTTCGACCGCCAATCCACAGACCTGCAAATGCTAGATCGCCTCTCTGCAGGCATCGTCCCCCTCCCACCATCCACATACACCCACGTCCTCGTCCTAACCGACACCGATGGCTCACGGCGATCAGAGGCCCTCCAACTCCTCACCAGAGACGTATACACCGCCCTCGTACCCGCCATGAAGCCCGGCGCAAAGCTGGCAACCCAAGATAAGCCGCTGACGGCTGCGGACTCGATGGAGGCTATCATGGCGGGACTTGTGCAGAACGAGGCTGGATTTGAGAAGCCCAATTTCGAGCAGGCGTCGGCTGTTCCACTGAAGTTGGGTGGAAGGAAGAAGAAGGCTGCTGCTGCTACTGCGCCGACGGGTATATTTAGTGGGTTTACGACGAATGCTGGTGATGAAGTTAAGATTGATTTGGAGGATAATGAGGAGTTGATTAATGAGGACTCGCTCCTTGATGAGGAGGATTTCACGAGACCCATTATGCCCCGTATGTGACTCTCATCCATGATTCTACATCTACCCTTGAAGATTCGACAAGCTAACTATTCTCTTCTATACAGCCCCAGAGTGTCAACCCAAGACTGGTCGCAGGCGGCGCGCCTGCAAGGATTGCACATGCGGTCTCGCAGACCGCCTCGAGGCCGAGGATAAGGAGCGCCGGGCAAACGCCGATAAGAATCTGAACGTGCTAAAGCTGCAGTCAGACGATCTGACCGAGTTGGATTTCACCGTGGAGGGCAAGACGACCGGTTCATGCGGTAGCTGTGCCCTGGGCGATGCTTTCCGCTGCGCCGGCTGCCCATACCTCGGTCTGCCTGCCTTTAAGCCTGGCCAGGAGGTCCAGATCTTGAACGATGTTGCCCAGTTGTAAGCTGCATCGCACTAGTTCTTCTAGATGGTGGGATGATGGAGGACTGGTTGGCAGTGCTAAAATGATGAGTCCGATCTCGGGCCTCCGAGGTCGGGGCTGCAGGGGGTGACTGCAGAAGTTGGTTATTGCATCTCTTTGTTTGATACCTTAGATACCTCGCTGGAAATATCGGTAGTCCCAGCTATAATCCTACTACCGTATACATTATACTCTTCTGTTCCTGTCCGAGTGTAATTAATTAGGCGATGTGAAACTATGTGGATACCTGACATCACTGAGCATCGACCCCATCGACTGCTAGGGACTAGTCTGATGGAGCCCCCTCGTACACGGTATCTATTCTTCTAAAAGTATCAAAATGACTCGGAAGAGAAACTCAATGCAAATAAGAATGTAATTGTATATCATTCGCTAGAAACCCCATCAACAACTTTTTGGGTCCTTTCCCCGCTATCTAATATTCATCGCGCATTCATTCATGACAAGACACTAAAACGATAAATCCCGGAATATAAAAGCACTGGCAACCGATCGCAGACAATCTACGAGCGGTCCTTCTTCATCTGTGCAACACGGATGCTGACGGCCCGCTTGTGAGCGTCCAAGCCCTCGACAGCAGCGAGGGTCTCAACAGTCTTAGCCAGACCCAAGAGACCGTCGGCGGTCAGGTTGGAGCTGGTAATGTGCTTGAGGTAGGAGCCAAGGTTGACACCAGAGTACTGCTTGGCGTAGCCATAGGTCGCTGAGAAAAAGAGTTAGTTAAGAGGGACAGAAGCAGTTTTGTTAAATGGAAAACTTACGGAGCGAGTGGTTAACACCGGCAGAGTAGTCACCAACACTCTCGGGGGTCCAGGGACCAATGAACACACTACCGGCGTTCTGAACCTGGTCGACGACTGCCTCGGGATTCTCAACTTGGAGGATCAAGTGCTCAGGGGCATACTCGTTGCTGAGGATCATGGCCTCGTTGATGTCACGGACCACGAAAGTAACGGAGTGCTCCAGCGAGCCACGGACAATGTCCATACGGGGAAGGGCCTTCGCCTGGGCGTCGACCTCATCCTCAATAGCACGCAGCTGCGCCTCGTTCAGGTCAACGGCGATCAGGATCACCTGGGAGTCAACACCGTGCTCAGCCTGGCTCAGCAGGTCAGAGGCAACGAATGCGGGGTTAGCAGTCTTGTCAGCAATGACGAGAACCTCGCTGGGACCGGCGGGCATATCAATGCTGACACCGGCGGAGGTATCGTTGGAGACAAACATCTTGGCCGCAGTCACGAACTGGTTACCAGGGCCAAGAATCTTGTCCACCTTGGTGATAGATTCAGTACCGTAGGCCATGGCAGCCACGGCCTGAGCACCACCAGCTAGGACAATGCTCTCGGCACCGACCTTGTGGGCGACGTAGACAATCTCGGGAGAGATGCTGCCATCGGAGCGGGGAGGAGAAGCCAGAACAATCTTCTGGCAACCAGCCACCATAGCGGGGACACCCAGCATCATAGCAGTGGAGGGCAACACGGCAGTACCACCGGGAATGTAAAGACCAACGCGCTCGATGGGACGAGAGAAGCGCGAGCAAACAACACCGGGCATAGTCTCCATCGTAAGGGTGTCGTTGCTGCCCTTCTGCGCGGCGTGGAAGCGCTGGATGTTACCAATGCTAATGTCGATAGCCTCCTGAACATCGGGAGTCAACTTCATCAGCTCAGCAGGGAAGGGAGCCTTGATAACGGGGGAGGTCAGAGAAGTAGCCTTCTCGAACTTGTGAGTGTACTTGAGGACAGCAGCATCGCCGCCGTCGCGAACATCTTGGATAATGGGTTTGGCAATAGCGACGATGGCGTCATTGGACTTCTGGGAGGGACGCTTGAGGAACTCCTTGACCTCGGTGACGGGAGTGGAGGAGGTAATCACGCGCTTCATCTCAATGCGCGAGCGGTCTTCAACGGGAGCGGGAGCGGCGGCGGGGGCAGGAGCTGGGGCAGCAGCTGGCTTCACAAGGCCAGCCTTCTCAGCCCAAGGACCCTTGGCATCACCCTTTCTCCGCTTCACCTTGAGGCTCTTCAGGTCAAGGTTACGCTCGATGTCCTCCAAAGTGACACCGGCAGCAGTGCACTTGGTCAGTGCAAAGTACAGCAGATCGGCAGCCTCGAAGGCAATCTCCTCCTTGGTGGTGGCACGGCAGAGCTCCTCGGCCTCCTCCATTATCTTGGCCTCGGCGAGCTTCGGCTCATTGAAGAGACGAGCAGTATACGATCCGGCGGGGGCATCGGCCTTGCGGGCAAGGAGGGTCTTTTGGAGACGGGAGAGACCAGCCGAAGCGCCAAAGCAGGTCTCAGTGCCGAGGTGGCAGAAGCCTAAGTGAGTCACCAATCGTTAGCTACAACGAACGTACAAGAAACAGTTGAAATCAAAGCCATCATACCTCGTCCAATCTGCTTGACCACAAACACCAAGCAGTCCGCATCGCAGTCGAAGCCAATGCGGATCAATTCCTGCACATCACCGCTTGACTGGCCCTTGTACCACAGGCCGCGCTTGCGGCTCTGGTAAACTCCGGTACCGGTGCGGAGTGCCTCAGCAATACTCTCGTCGCTGCTCCAGACAACTCCAAGGCAGGAGCCACGCTCATCAGTGACTGATGTAGCATACAGGCCGTTGGCCTGGTCGGTAACAGCGCGCGAGGCAATAAGCTTCGCAGCAGAGATCTGGCCGGTAGCATCCCGCTCCACAGTCAAGGCCTGGGAAGGCAGAATGGCAATGGCACCCTTTTGTGTAACCTGGTTGACAGCGTCCTCGGACACAGCCTCGTCTCCAAACGTCGTGAACAGGCGGGGCGAGTCTGAGCTGATGTTCAATTTGGTGGCCGCAGCGGAGACCGCGGCGGGGGTGACACAGACACTGGCATCGTTGCGCTCAGTGACATCTGCGGCAATCCATTGCTGGAAAGTATCGATCTGAGCATCCGAGGGGGCGGAGACAAGCAGTCGAGAGGAGGGAACGGACTGTTCCTGGGAGAGTGCGGTCAATTGGTCGAGGGTGATGAGAATCTTAGCGGCACCGGCATTGAGGACATCCACGAGGTCACCGGCGGAGGAGATGGCAGTCGCGTCGACAAAGACATCGAGTGCGCGGAAGTTCTGTCGTAGAAACTGCTCAGCCTCGGCGAGAGTTGATACCTTGACCAGCACTCGCCCAAAGTAGGCAATCTGCTTGAGGGTGAGGCCGGAGGTGGGGTTGGAGGGGTAGGAGATAAGGAAGGGCGTGGCCATGGCGGATGAGTGAATTGAGGAGGATCGGGGGAGAGATAGAGGAAAGAAGAAAGAAATGGCAAAAGGAAGTTCAGAATCCCCTTGAACTAATTGGGGGGGAGGTGAAGCGCGTTGAGGGAAAAGTGTTAAACCAGCGATGACTCCTCTCTTGGTTTACCTTTTTTTTTGCCGCCCGCCGGTTCCAATTGGCGCCCCGCTGATTCATCCTTAACAGGAGTCAAGCAGGCTAACTGGAATGTTGCTTTTTAAGGTTATTACTCGGATTCTTATCTGGTTGCCTTGTATTCTTAGGGTCTCTCTATTCTAAGCTAATCTTCTGCTTTGAACACGGGAACCACGCACTCTACAATGATTGTCCGCAAAATGCTCTGTTGTTCTGTCCTGCGATATCGGGCATGCCCAGAATCCAAGATCCCCGCAAAAGAGTCATGAAGGGAGTACTGACAGGGATTGGGGACGCTGCCCTGCAATTCCAAATCACCTTGCTTTGAATTGCGTATTTGGGCTTGATCAGGCATCTTTGCAGGTTTACTTTCCTTGGTGCCAGCGCGCCTTCGTATTTCTACACAACGTATATATAGGTAAGTGTGGTCTTCGATCAAGATCTATCTTTATATATATATCTGGCTCAACCTTCACAAATGAGTTGCCTCCGAAATCAACGGGTCTATCAGCCAATTTTAATGAACATACCGCTATTCTTTCCACAAATCCAGCACGAGCTAGCAAATCTGCAACGTACAATGGACGTTAGGCGTGACATGTCCTGTTTGCTTCGAGACGTACAGTGCATAAATCCCCATGCGGTCATAAAGAGCCGGAGACAAAATCATAGAAGGCTTCTTAATTGTGATAGGTATCGAGAACATGCCAGGGATATTGGCTTGCTTTTCTGGTCATCTCATATAGGTAAGATATATTTGGCACTATACAACAGGATATGGTCTGCTTTACAGTACACAGGCTACGAGTAGTCACGATCCTGAAGCTTGAAATGGCATATTGAAGACTGCAAATTCGAGTTCCGTCTAATACTTGCTTTTTAAAGGGGTCATATTGAGCGGGTTTCTGCATCATCGCCCCTTGCAATAATGTAATGTCGCGACTCCTATCCACTAACTTGTGATGCGCTACCTTTGAGCTGTGAAGGGTCGATCTGAGCATATCTTTTCATGTATTCAGAAGAGCTAAGTTAGCCATGTGCTGGCAATTACTAATAAGACTGTCCTCGTCGGTTCCTTGGCGGTGGTTCCTTTAGAACATTAAAGGGGACGAGGGGACGTGTGCTGATTTGCGATGGGATGCATCAGAGCTACCTATGGCTGATTGTTACGCAATCCATTAATATGAGCGTTTTCAAACCAGGCAGGGAGTGTGCTTTCGGCGTCCAATTATGGAGTCGCTGATCGATCGCGTGGTCGAAACGTATCATATTACATATCATCTATCGGTTCCTGTGCCATATGTGTAGGACTCGGTGCATGGAATCCATTGTAACAGTCTCAGAGGAGAGTCCTTTCGGCATACGGACAAATTATGAAAGTGTTAAATTACAATAGACCATTGAACGTTCTAGTCCTCTATTATTGTGGGGTTTCCGACCGTTACAGTTTGACTTTTGATTCGACGCCATTCAGCCACTAAACAGCCAGAGCTAGTAGTGCCAGACTTCTTTTCTTATAGTTCGCTGATCTTCAGCTAGGCCTTGCACAGTAGCACTGCAAGCTCGAAAAGTGCCTCGATGGGTTAATTCTCGGGGATTAAATTTGTGGTTCCGGCTGGATCATGAAAGGCTCTATTGTCATCCAAAGAACAAGCAAGATCGCCAGGTACAAGGGACATTCTCAAGGCTTCCTACCGGTATGGCCAAACATGTCCCTGCAGCTCCTGACGTGGCGGACGGAAGGCTGTAGCTTCGATAGTTCCAAGCATGCGAGCATGCCGGAGACAAGCATTGACATTCTGTAAGCCACATTTCCCCCTCTCTATTCATAAGACATTTTGTCTTCATAATTCGCGTGCATGTACCGGCGCTTCGGAGTATTACCTTTGCTCTGACCTTGAGCAAATAGTCTCGCTATCCCCGAAAAGGCACGGACATTTCATCGGCCGACCAAGGCGAAGACATTCAGATCTCCGAGATGTTGCAGAGTCATGTCTCATTGAAGACAAGATTAATATGCCGGCTTTCTAGCCGACTCCACTGCGGTTAGACGATGCTCAGACCAATGAAAACCGTACCAAGAAGAGTACCTTTACCCCCCCCCCCCCTAGCTGTAATGTGACGCCATTTACAGCATCCTTGGCCGCACTGTCCCTGACTGCCAGATATTGGTCAGACGGGGACTGAGGGGGTGCATTGCTTGGCTCTCCGTGCGAATGTGCGTGATGCACCCCTAAATTCAAGCCACCAAAGGGACATGCTTTTAGGGTTGGCCCGCACTGCCGTCATCTGCCGCGGTCATCCACCGAGTGATACAACTTGTGATATTTGCAAATGAACCGATTTCTGTGCATTCGACGAGTCAGAAAACATGGACACCTTAGCGATCGCAAGACCTCAGGGTAGACTGCATTCCTCCGAACGACCCCAGTCGAGGGCGGCCAATGAAGTCCGGGAAGAATGCAGATCCCCCAGGGCCACTAGCCAGTCCGAATGGGACCTTGCAGGGCAGGAATCGAGAACTCAGGGACCCAGTCCTGGCGCCACCAAGCCCGATGCCACCGTACGATGCAGCTAGCGAGTAGTATTCAAAGGAGAATAGTAGAGATGAGGAGAAAGACTGGAAGTAACTGGGTAAATTGGAAGTAAACATGATCGCGTGTGACCGCCCAGTTTCCCCTTTGGGGTTCCACCTCCATCACATCCCCCCATTCTCATTCCCCATTGTTTTTTTCCCTGAGATCCACTGATCCACTCTCGATTTAATAGTCGCCCTTTGACCCGCTCGTGCGGGTGGTCGTTCATTTGCGACTCGTCTTGTCTTTCAGCTTTCTCCTATTTCTAGGAGCCGTGCCGTGTTGTGGTGTCGCGTATTCTTAGCATTCCGTTCATTCTCTATATATACCAACTCGTGCTCTTCAAGAGTGTGCACACGACCAACTATGCGCGTCCCGGTTTCACTCTCACTAGCGGCGCTGAGCCTAGTAGGATCGACGGCGGCTCATCCACTTGCCGACACTGAAGAGGTCTTGCACCGCGATTCGGACGCTCAACAGAAAGCCGACGCGGTCAAGGAGGCCTTTCAACATTCATGGGATGGGTATATGAAATACGCTTTCCCTCATGATGAACTCCACCCAGTGAGCAACGGATATGGTGACTCCAGGTAAGCGAGTTTGACCCTACCATAATGTAAGATAACTATGGTGAGATCATGAGCTGATGAGAAATGCAGGAATGGATGGGGAGCATCTGCAGTGGATGCACTTTCAACTGCCATCATCATGGGCAAAAAAGATGTGGTCAACACCATTCTGAAGCATGTCGCGACAATCGACTATAGCAAGACCGACTCGGAGGTCAGCCTGTTTGAGACAACTATCCGCTATCTTGGCGGCATGCTGTCCGGCTATGACTTGCTCAAGGGACCAGCTTCCGGGATGGTGCAAGACTCGAAGCTTGTGGACAATCTCCTGACCCAATCGAAGAATCTGGGTGACGTTCTCAAGTTTGCCTTTAATACCGGATCGGGTGTTCCTTACAACAACATCAACATCACGTCCAAGGGTAACGACGGCTCAACTACCAATGGTCTCGCCGTTACGGGAACTCTGGTTCTCGAATGGACTCGTTTGTCTGACCTGACGGGAGACGATGAGTACGCAACCATCAGCCAAAAGGCAGAGTCATACTTGCTAGACCCCAAGCCCTCCAGTGGTGAGCCGTTCCCAGGTCTCGTTGGCAGCAACATCAACATTGCCAACGGCCAATTCGCCGACGGTCACGTTTCTTGGGACGGCGGCGATGATTCGTTCTACGAGTATCTCATCAAAATGTATGTGTATGACCCGGAGCGTTTCGCCACATACAAGGACCGCTGGGTGCTGGCCGCCGAGTCGACCATCAACCACCTGCAAGCCCACCCGGAGCCCCGCCCTGATCTGACCTTCCTCTCTTCGTACGAAGATGGCGAATATTCTCTCAGCTCGCAGCACTTGACTTGCTTCGACGGAGGTAGCTTCCTCTTGGGCGGTACCGTTCTGGGCCGTCAAGACTTTATTGATTTCGGTCTCAAGCTGGTCAGTGGATGTGAGGCTACTTACAACGCAACTTTGACCAAGATTGGCCCCGACTCTTGGGGCTGGGATCCCAACAGTGTTCCCAGTAGCCAGCAGGAATTCTATGAGAAAGCTGGCTTCTACATTACCAGCGGTGCATACGTCCTCCGCCCTGAAGTGATTGAGAGCTTCTACTATGCCTACCGTGTTACTGGCAAACAATTTGTGAGTATTCTCTCCATTAATTACATCCATATTGTCCAGCTAATTTGAATTGCAGTATCGTGACTGGGCTTGGAACGCCTTCGTTGCAATCAATGCCACTGCCCGTACCGACTCTGGCTTCGCGGCCCTGAGCAACGTCAATGCTGCTAACGGTGGCTCCAAGTACGATAACCAAGAGAGCTTCCTCTTTGCTGAGGTCATGAAGTACTCGTACCTCATCCATGCAGACGGTATGTTCTATCACCCGTTCCCAAAGATAGAAGAATTTGAAAACACTAATACTAATTTTCGCAGACGCTGAGTGGCAGGTGCAGACGGGTGGCAAGAACACCTTTGTCTTCAACACTGAGGCTCACCCCGTGCGTGTGAAGCACACTTAGGCCGGCATTGGTAGCCCAAATTTGTCTTCTAGTAGATAATAATAGGTGAGGTTAAAAGACCTCGAGTATATTGATACTGTTTATCATTGTCTTTCCTCTGCTTCACCTTCGTAGCATCTCTCCAGTTTAGAAGTAGATGTCATCATCATAGGCGGGATTTCTGTAACGAGAAGGGATAACTTCAATTCTTCATCCGTTCTTACAGACAGCAGTGTTTATATACGCAGTGCACAATCTGACAGGCGGAAGATATCCATCGGATGTTTATGAGTGTGGCAGTACCGAAGACCGTGGTGGATTGAGACGAACAAACCACACCAAGACCTAAGACGTGCCTTGAAGTCATCTTCCTCCTCGAGGTCAAGGTCGTAAACAGATCTCGCCGTGTCGTCTATATTCACCGCAATGTTCATTTCCGGCAGCGTTAGCGGCCGAGTCGCCGCTAAGACGATGCTCAGGGCCATCCTGACCATGGGGTCTTCCTTGGATTTGCTAAGAATCTGCTCGTATGCCTGATAGATACACTTCGGCAGGGTTGCGATGGTGGAATCAACCCCTTTGATTGTCTTTTTAAAGTGCTCCTTGTTCAAATGCTCAAACGCAAGGTATACCCAAAGGTACGTATGATGCGGGACTCTGAGCAATTGTTTTGCCAGGTGATCTTTGACGTGGGTTGAGAGATTCTTTTCCTTTGCCAGTTGTTCGACTCGGTGATTAACAACGTGATTAAGCTCTTGACTGATGATTTCCGATTCTTCTTCTCCTGGATACGCACGTACGGAAAAGTATCCAACAGCCTCTGAAACTTGGACACAATTTGCTCATACGGGCGACTGGTTAGAAGATACTTCAACTTGCCACCGGTTGACTTCTTGTTGCAGAACTGGCTTTCCAGTTTCAGCATAAGGTAGTCCAACTCTAGTTCAGCGCATTCGTCCAGGGCATCAAGGACCAAAATTATTGATCCCGCATGGGGGCCCTGCACGGCATTTTCCAGGATAGTCCAAAGTAAGCGTGTGGAGTCAATCAGGCCCGAGCCATTTTCCTTGAATTGCTCGGCAGCATATTTGATGAGTAGTGGCTGCTGGGAGAGGAGTTGATGAAGCAGAGCACAAAGTGCTTTTCTGACAGTATTCTGGTCCTGGTCCTTTAAGAAAAAGTAGCAGATTGTCGCGGAGGAGGAACCCGGAAGTTCATGATCGATTAGATATTTGGCCAAGACAGATTTCCCACATCCCGGGTCTGCTGAGACCATTAATGGGCCCCAATCTTGTTTCAACCAGGTCTGGAAATTCTTATGATTTAAGAACCACTCGCAGGTGCCACTTACTCGGTCTTCAACACGATCTTTATACCATTCGTATGTGGCGTCCTTGCTGCTGCTGGTGAGACGGAATAACTGGAGATACTGTTCTTGGCTCTGCAGCTGCTCCAGTAATTTGCGTTGGAATCGTTCCATTATTTCAAGAGCACTTTTGCTGTTTTCGTGGAGAGACTTGAGCTCTTGCCTTGACAGCAGCTCATTTATGTGGGTGAAGTTCTCATTGACAGTTTTCTCCGGGTTTTCAATGTTGAGTCTCATTTGCTTCCAGTCCTTTGGCGAAAAGACGTCTTTGACGTAGCCCTTGATGGAGCCCTGGTAGAAAATCTTAAGACGCTTCGGATCTGGAACTCGAGAATGTGCCGATAGAGGATCACAATATGGCCATTTGCTTCTTCCATTAAAACACTGGTGACTCCTGCGTTCCCACCAAGTCGCCGGAGTAGAGGCTCCAGTGCGGTGTAGTACTTCATGCGGGTAGTCACATATGTGAAGCCATCACGATTGGCTTCGTCTGCGACCCTAGGATTTGTGAGAAGTGGAAGAATGATGTAAACACCAGCCCACGCGATGGAAGCTTCTGGTGAACTCTTAACTGCCTCTCCAATCAAGCATTTTGCCCAAAGCACTAGATCTGCAGCCTGTGCCATCTGATCACCTAGGACAAATTCGTGACCGGCAATAGTGTATTTTGTTTTCATATTTTCCACTCGTTGCAATCCCTCTTGGATGATTGCTCTAACTCTGCTTGGCGAGATGACCGGTTGACCGGCGACACAGTCAATGAGGGAGTGTCATTATTTGAGGGAGAGCCTGTAGCTTGGTCAATACCGCGATCGCATAACAGGTTGTTGATATGTACTTGTCTTCGCCTCCTCCGAAAGTAGGTTCTCGTACTTCTCTACCAATTGAGGATCTTCCTTCTCGAGGAGTTCATATGCGCAATCCCAAAGTGATTTGGCAGTGTGAGAGTCCTCGTGATCCGCAATCAGATCCCTACTTGAGGCGATGCGGATTGAGCCCACTTGAAGCTGCTTCTCTTGGGTCTGGTTGCTACTTATAGAGGATGCAGCTGCTGAATCTGTCCTTGACTGCCTGTTTTTACTAGCAAAAATTCTTCGTAGCCCTCTGAAGGACCCGGTTTTCTCACTCTGAGCTAGGTCCTTCTCCTGATTACGCTCGAAGAGTCCCATGGTCTTGCGTTGCTCTTCTGAGGTGTGTATGAGTTCTTGGTGAAGTTCAATGGCCACAATTTGCTAGAGCAAAACACCCCAAGACTCCTAAAGACATACAATTTTTTTCCAATGGAATTCCTCTAACCAACGGCCGTGTCTGGCTTAGCAGCTGATCTAGCTGTAGGCCCACATGTCTACCTACATCTATCACACCCAGGATATTATCAGGGAGGGCTTTGAGTGTTATTCAACATCTTGGTATTTCGTGGTCGATATTACTCCTAGAGGCGTTAAAGCCCCGAAATTCCGTGCTAGTTATCAGATGATCACTTATTAAACATTAAACATTAGATATTAGACATTAATCTTGATGGAATCTCTGAAGGCCCATATCTCAGCCAATTTGACAGCCCTAGAAGAGTGATGAGCTTCAGTGAGAGTTAGCGATACCCACTAAACATCCTCAAGTTTAGGCTGAGTGCTTTTTTTTCCAGCCTTTCGCTCGACATGGCAAGCCATAGAGGCTCTAATCATAAGAATCAGGTTGAATATTCTGCAAGAGCACGAGCAACAGTTAGTCTTTGTCCTTCGCAAGCACAAGATAGGCTAAGCACTCACAACCCTAAAAACATCATTGCGATTCCGAAGCATTCTACTCCATATAGCCTTTTAGCTTCTTCGGTATTCTCCGAGTATCCACCGTGTTGATACTCGGCAAACTCATTGACATAGAAGCTGACGGTAATGATTTGTGCAAGGAAAGCCAGGCAATCAAATGTGATGCTCGTGCCGGGATGGACTCTGCAGTTGAAGATCAAGACGACCAAGAGAAAGACGACGGACCAAAGGAATGCGTAAGCAGCCTGTATCAAATAAAGCCAGAATTAGTACGACTGCCTCGTCTTATGTGCCAGTCGAGAGATATGGGCGAACTCACAGTTCCTAGATTAATACTTGACCAGGCACTTCCCAGGCCATCGATATAGGCCACGGGCTTCTCATGCTCGGTATAAGCCCAAGCAAAGCAAATCACGACCGTCATCTGGCACAGAGCTGCGGCAAAACGTAAAGTAAAAAAGGAGAGCCATTTCTTCTGTTGTCTAGGAACTGCCTCCAGACACCAAGTTGGGTGGTATTGATCGTAATAGCTGGATACCATATTGAAACTGATGGGAAGTGATTAGATAGATAGTATGTTGCTTTCATAAAAGCGAAGATAACATGGCGGTTCAAGAGGATCTCTTCAAGGGTTATATGCTCAAGACGATCTTGGCAGCTTATCGTCGATCTGGGGAACGTGTGCATCATTGCCGTTTCCATCCCAACACAGCCTCTCGACAACTGGTCATGGTGGCGACGCCAAGAAATAGCAGAGCTCCGCGCCAAACTGTCCACGCAGTTTCTACACTTTGAATGTTGTATAGGGTTTACTGTAGTGGGGTGTCCTTAGGAACTGTACGCTTTTTTTGCCCAGTCATCTTGGCATCCTGCGCACCTCGTCCTTCCGACTCTGCCTTGTGGTGGGTTCGTTCTTGGCGTCAATCTGCTTGGCATTCTCAGACGAACACTGGTCGCCTAGGGGGCGGAACTATCATTTTGCTATTAATAACGTCATATTGTGGTTTTCATCGCGTTAGTTTCCAGCTATCTATCACGTAGAAAAAGTTTAGGTTGCCGTATTCAACCGACAGAAGCACGATGATCGAATGGGTACATCGGCCATAGCCATAGCCAATTGTAGCTGCGGTCGAATAATGCGTGCCTCGGCATGTCTTCCCGTTTTCATGAGACACTCATAGTAGCCATGAAGAGCCCATATATTATTTGGGTGGGTTAATGCGCGAGGTAGTGACTGGTCGATTCCGAGATCGGCAGTGTAGACGTCCATGGCCTCTTCGACTCGCCCCTGTTCGAGCAGCAATGCCCCCAAGGCATGTCTAGCAGGCTGCATCCAGCCCCAGGGCTCATCGTAGGGGAGGTTATCGTCTTTCTCAACTGCAAGTCGGAGACTGGCAAAGGCAGTATCGTAATCCCCACAGCGATAAGCAATTTCGCCGTGTAACATCGGCTCTGCTACCGCAAGGATATCGACACAAGTGTTATTAAATATAGTCCGAGATAGAGGAACTCGCCTCACGGCATATCGGAACAGCTCCTGCTCATGTTGGGCTTCATGAACGCGGCCAGTGGCTGCAAAAGCCACGCCCCTTCCATAATGTATCATCGCGGTGGTGACGCTGTAGAGGCTCGTATCCGCAGGAAGATCCAGAGCAAGAATGGGCTCCCATTGGCCAAATCGAATAAATGCATGTACCCGTGTAGCGACGAATCCCTCTAGCCAATCTGCCAAGGGTGGCGATTCAACCCGCAGAAGATCTTCGGTGAGTGACTCCGCCAGCACGTTAGCAGTGTCGAGAGCAATTTTGGACTGGCCTGCCAGCATCGCAGCATACATTCGGAAATGGTAATCATGACATCGGTAGAGGTTATAGAAATGACCTAGTTCCTGATTGGCGAGGAACTTCTCGTCTGCCCGAATGGCCGAGGTGTTTGAAGCGACTGCTCGACGGTAGTCACCACATAGGACGTCCAGATGAGTCGGCATATGCTCGAGATGACCTGCATCCGGAACAAGGCCTCGAAGATTATCTGCTACTGGAAGAGCAATCTCAGGAGTCGGAGACATCTCCATAAGGTGAATATACAGATGCAAAACGCCCGGATGCTGAAGCGTGCTTTCCTGGGTCAGGGCGCGGTCCAACGCTTGCTTCGCCTCGAGTGTTCGCGCACCAGGCGTAGGCTGTCCCGTAGACAAGTCCCACATACTCCACGGCGTCAAGTTCATCATTGAGTCAACATACAGAGTGACAACGTCCAAGTCGTCCGGGAAAAATCGATACACTGAGCTCATGGCCTCGGCATATCGGAAATTCCAATCAGTACAATCATCAACAGGTTGCTCCTGGGGATATCGATACTGCAATGCCTCGATAATCGCTCTCTCTACAGGGCTTGCCCTGGCTGCGAGTCTGTTGGCTTCCATCGCCGCACCATGAGCCCTCGTCGTCGTTATCGAAAGATCTTCTCCATCGAACAGTTTCCATGGTTTGTTGTAATTTGGCCCCAGCGCGAATGCAAGACCCCAATACCCCATGGCACATGCTGGGTCAAACAAAATAGATTGTTCGAAACACCGCGCTGACTCCTGGTGGTTGAACGCGTAGGCCCAGATAAGGCCGCGATTGAACCATGCCTGGGCATCCGGGCTGGTGGTGCTAATAGGCCGTTGATAGCTGCCAAGATTGTAGTATTCAGTGGCAGCCGACTGCCGAGGGGGCATTTTGCTGCGGTGCCAAACCTTATTCATGATGATTGATGATGTGTTTGTGAAACATCGAGGATTGACAATGGCCGAGGGTCAATTTGTGCGGGTGGTTCGCGGCTCCAGTTCAATGTGGGGTAAAAATGAGCTGAGCTAGTGTCCGTGTTCGTGTATGGCTGGCCTCACAGCAAGAAGTATGACGGACCCATGAGACGCTCAGTAGATCGGGTTCGAAGAGGAATTGATAGATAAAAACAACATAGTAGAAGTCTTATATAATTGGAGATTATTTCAATGATTGATTCCGAGTAGTTTCTCTGGGTACTATTCTAGAAAAAAAAAACGCTTCAAACGCCATCAATGCCAGAATAGGGAACAAAAAGACACGCAAATCACGAAGACAGATCAGTGTATTGCAAACTCCGAGCCCGGGTCTGCATGCAAGTTGTGTTGAACATGGTAATTGATCACCAAAATGGCAATGTCGATGCAGTCGCCGGCTCAGAAAATGGACAGCAAGATGGGGGTATCTGAGTGACGCGAGACACGAACTCCGCCTCTCAGTGCGGATGAAGAAAGCAATGTACAATGGGTATATGTTCAGAGATCCCGGGACTTGGGACGTAGAGGAAGGGTGATGGTGCCTGTTGGTTCAGCCGGCATAGCACCAGCGGCATGAACATCTTCTTCTCCATCCAATCCTTCGTCTTCGAGGTCTTGGTCGCCCTCAATGGACTCCAGAATAGACCCCGCTGGGTCAGATAGGGCTTCCGAAGCCTGCGAAATGTAACTTGCACCCAGGTCTGTTTCTTCTGCATCCTCGTCAAGATATTCGCTACCTTCTCCCTCGCTCAGCTCATCATCGTAATCTTCTTCCTCTTCATCTGCATCCTCGTCATCCTCAAGCATCTCATCGTCCGCAGGCTCCTCTTCCTCTTCACTATCAGTGGCAGAGAAATCATCAAGTTCCTGCGGCGTATCGCGCCAGTATGTGAAGTCTGTATATTCTTCGCCCCCGGACTGAACCAGAAGACTGACAGGCGGGAAGAAGTGATCAAGCAGCTCCTGCATAGTCACATAGCTGCTCTTATACTTGTTCAGACTCAGCAAGTCAAGTGACACTTCGGCGTTCGAGTTGATTGTGAAGATTCGAGTGGAAGGAATGTTGACCGATCGGTAGCTCAAGGCATCGGTCAATCGGTTTCCAAACCCAGCATAGAACGGGTTCTCTTTCCCTGCGAACAATCCAAGAATGTCACGCAGGCAGGCCATTTTGAAGACCTCGGGCTTCCTCAGGTAGATCTCTCGTCTCAGTGCCGCCATAGTGCGATCCGGGCTGCAGATAACGGGTCCTTTGGGCAGGCGGTATCCGTCTTGACATACTCCGTGTAGGTACGCTCGTGTGGTGTCTGACTGCCCAACTGATCGACTGGTGAGGTACATGATGTTATAGCCGTTGTTGACAATATCCGTGTACAACTTGGCTACACCGGTATGGGTCCAATCACGTCCGATCATGTTCAAGACGTGACCCAGCGCATCAGACTTGGTGATTGTTCCATCAATATCAGAAATCACAATCGGCACATTTCCATTCCACAGGTACATGTTTGCCGTGCAGGTCGCCTTATTCACGCTGAATGACATGAGATTAGGTCCCGGCTTCAGTTGCAACGCCTTTAGTTGATCGCTGGTCAACCGCAGCGTCTTGGCATAATTTCGAGTCTCGACGGCGAATGAATCCTGCAGGGGTGATTGAGGAGGGGTGGGGAAGCCCGGCTGAACATCCGACTTGGTTCGATGGTGGCGCGCAGCCATCGCAGGCTCTAGGGTTGGATGATCGCCCTCGCTATGGTACCCAGGGTCGGAGACCGCATCTTCGCTCAGAGCCGTAGTGGACCGCATAGAATTGAGAGCTGCCGTTCGATAGGCTGCTTCTTTGGCCCCTTCGCTGCTGTAGATCCACAGATTTCCATGCTCGTCTGCTCCGATGAGCGCACCTATGTCATAGCTACCTTCCAACTCCTCAGCAAGAATCTTGCGGGCAAGTACTTCGGCCCGGATAGCATCTTCTTCATTGCTTTTATAGCCCGTCATATCCAACATGAGGTCGCCAGTATCGGTAATGTGGGATGGAATATTTGAGCCAGAGAGCTTCTTGGACAGAGAGATTGCACGAGACATGGCCTCTTGAGGCGACAGCGGAGGAGGGCTACGAGACCGGTCTCTCTGCTCGACATCGTCTTCATGGGCTGAGCCAGGGCCACTCACGGAGGTCCGCTTCTCATCGTCGGATCGAGGGATACTAGTGGAAAGTACGTTGTCCGATACCGAGTGATCGAGGGGAGGTTTAGAGTTGAACGAGTCACCAAGAGCAGGGCTTAGGTCCGAATCGGCGGGAGAACGTGACAATGGAGTGATCGCACCTGAGATTATGAATTAGCATGTGTGCATATTGTAATTGCTTTTTCGATTTGCCATACCCAAATCCGTAGTTGCCCGCGACTGCAGCGAGAGAGGCATCGTTGGCGGAGTCTTTGCGCCTTCTGATAGAGCATCCCCGTGCGATTTTTCAAGGTCCAGATACTCCGGTTCCTGTAGAGATGACGCAAGATCTTCGCCAGGAACTTTCGGGCTAACCGCGGGAGATACTAGTGGTGAGGTCTGCAGAGAAGCGGGGATCTCGTCGGTGGTCTCAAAGACGAAAAATGCCTCGCCTCCCTCTCCCAGCTTCATCGCATAGTCTTGTTTGATCCCATTGACTTTGAATTCCACCTTCTTCTCATATGGACGCAAGAGCGAGAACTTCCCGAAACGGACATGGAAGGGCGAGCAAGCGAGGGTGCCTAATAGACGGGAGAAAACGCAGAAGAATCAGCACGGCTCTTTAAAAAGTGACAGAAGCTCACAGTCTTTGGGATTGTAGAGTTTGAATATATTGCAGTTCCAGCATACCATCTTCCTGTTCAATAACAATCACATCGATCGCACCGCTCAGCGTGGCTGGATTGATCGAGTTCCATGTCTTGGAGACAGAGCCGCTGATGCTGCGTACGTACTGCATCTCGCCAGATCAGGATCAGGCACCCTGGGCGACGGCACCGCTAAAGATGATGGAAAATCGCAGCACAAAATTGAAACGAAAGTATTAACTTTGTCAAAAAACCCCGATCGAGCGGAAGAGAGGGGTGGACTGGAAATAGGTTCGTTGGGAGGGAATCGGAATCGCCGCTACCACCTACAGCCCATGTGACACTCGGCTGACAAGGAGCCGCGACTGCATCACCACCGCCACAAATGCCTATATAAACAAAAGTAAGGATAAAAAGGTTTAAGACGGGAGATAGAAATGGCAGATACGGACCAATATTAATGAGCCCACCTGCGTAGCCGGTGTCCCCGGATCTGTTGGCCCTCCATCAACATATTCAACACCCAACGTTTATTAGGTAAGCCCGGCCAACATGCCGAGGTCACTAATCTTGGATCCGCTAGTCCATATTGGGACTAGCGGCCGATCCCAAAGCCGTGATCACGCTAGTCCCAATAAAGGGAACCCTGACTAAACTTGGGTCAGGTGACATTCATGTCCCACCGAGAGATGGAGAAGCCGATCAAGCCTGCCATTGCCGTCTCTCCTTCCTACCACCTCTCCCTCGCCTCCGCTGCCCGCGTCCATGGGTGACTGACGTTGGGATGTACGAGCCATTCTATCTCGCCTTCGATGCCTACCCAACTGTCGTCCCGCGAGTGAAGGTGCGAGGCCTCATGGCTCTGTTTCTTGCCGTCTCGATCCTATGGGCCCTGATCTGGTGAGTTTCCAACGCTTATTCGGAGTATCTAAGAGCTTGGCTGACCGTTGCTGCGACTCGAAAAAAATACAGGCTCCTATACCGAGCATGGCAGGTCTGCCAGACCCCCAATGATGTCCTGGTGGAGAAGCTGGGCCTCGACATTCCGCCGCCCCCAGAGGTGACCCTCGAGGAAATTACAGCGCGTGAGATTCGTCTGGCTTGGAAACAGCCGGACTTTCACAATTCCATACATAAGCATATCATCCAAGTGAACAATGTCAAAGGTATGCCTTGCCACTTCAGCAGTCAGGTTCAGCAAACCCTTGGGACCATACCTAACAAAGATCTCCAGTGGGCGAGTCAAAACGGGCAGAAACCGCGGTCGAAATCCTGAACCTCGTTCCGGGTAGCATCTATCATATCTGCGTTCTTTCCGTCAGCGCCGCAAATTTTCAAACTCCCAGTGCGATCCTTCATGTACGAACAAAATCCCTTCCGTTGTCCCAAGCCCAGCAAGATGCCACCACTGGCGGCCCAACAATCAGAGCGTCGATTCCCAGGTCTACGGCCGGCTTGCCCACTCCATCCGCGCCGGTCATGTCTCGTGAGCACAGCGCGGGTCAAATGCCCGGGAAGCGACCCTCGACAGGTCGCAAGTCATCGCCCGCCACCGGAGCTTCGGACTATTCGCATGGACAATTTGATGAATCCCGCAGGAATGGCCATCGCAGCAATCGTGACGAGAGTCTGGAACAATTGGCGGATCGCCTGAAGGCTTTGCAACAAGAAAACGACAATGTGGAAAAACAAGCAACGGAGGAAGATGATGAGCATATCACATTGCTCAAGGATCTTGAGAAGCAACGTGATGAACTGAAGAAGCGTGTGAAGGAGAAGGATGAAGTCAGTGGTGATTTAAAAAAGCATGTTTCCAAACTGGAAAGCGTCAACCGAACCGTTCAAAGTGAGAAGACGAAGCGCATGAGACTTCTTCAGCAGAAAGAAGCAGAACGCGACAAGCGCAAGAATGACATTCTGCGATGGCAGGAGAAAATTTCTCGCATGAATACCGATGCCGCTCAAGCGAAAGAAGACAAGTCCCGACTGGAGGAAGATGGAAAGGCACGGGGAGATGAGATTCGCATGAAGATTGCGAAGGAGCAAGCCGACATGAAGATCATCGATGATGAAATTCAAGACAAGGGTGGACGAATCAAGAAGCTTGAGGATGAGAGGAAAGGGCTTCAGGATGGTGAGAGTGAGGATGGCAAAGAGCTAGATCGAATTGACAACGAGCGGGCTCGCCAATGGGAGATGAAGCTGAACAGCCTGCACGCCCGATATGCCACTCTGGTCAATCTTCACGCACAAGCGCAACAGCAATATCAAGAAGCCCAGGAACGACTGAAATGGCTCACTAATCAACGGCCTAGCAGCTCGGGTCCATTCGCCCTGCCAACAATAGATCTTGACCTATCGAATATTGCCACCATCCGACCGCGGCGTCATCGCAGCTCGTTGACCAGCAATGTCTCTTCCCCCGTGAACTTCCCAGTCGTCGAAACGGGCTTCCCTGGTGGTCTCAGCTACAACCCCCCTTCGACTAATTCGCCTACTTTCCCGCCTAGCTCCGCATTCTTCAATATCAACAATGGAATGACCCTTCCCGGTCTTTCTGATCCGCCTGAGATAATGCGTTCAGATGCGGAGACTGCATTCAATAACCCTCAAATGAGTCCTCGGGCAGATGCTTTGTTGCCATCCGACCTACTTGGTGATGAAGAGTCTCCCGAGTTCCCACGACCGCTGACCCGACCACGTTTCTCCACCATGGAAGGACAGAGTAACCCTCTGGACAACTTTGGTATCGGGCCGGCTTCGCCTGCATCTTCTGGAAGCCGACCTGGTAGTATATTTGCCAGCCCGCTTGAAACTCTAAACCGACAGGACTCTAATTCGCAGCCTGTGGGGTTGTCCGCTGCTGGAGAGCGGCCCAAGAGCGCGTCTCGACGACTTTCTGGGCTTTTCGGCTTCCATCGGCCTCGAGGAAAGACGTTGGCCGACGAACCTCCTATGCTGGGGACGTTGAAGCCAGGGCAGAGCCAGTCCTTCCCGCGTAATGTTGATGAGATGGACCCCATCGGTTCACGACGCCGGAGACTTAGCTACACAGGCAACTGGGCAAACCCTATGTCCTTGTTCCCACGAAGCAACACTACTGGAGTCACCGCGGACAGTTCGTCAGATCATCCGCCATCTAGACGCGCCGCGTTCTCCAGTATCTTTTCATCTAGTAAATTCGGGTTTGGTGGCACTGGCAGTCGTGGAAACTCCGACTTGAGCACTGGCTACAATCAATTTAGCCCACGGCATGATCCTATTGATCCATCGTCTCTCCTTGGAAACGTTCGTCGCGGCTCTCTCTCCCCTCGTCCCTCCTCGACCTTTTCTTTTGACAATCAAAACCAGCTTCCTCATCCCTCCACGGACAATCGCCATTTTGGCTGGCCGTCTGCCGAACAAACTGGGCTCCGCAATAGCCCACTTGGCCTGGATTGGGCCTCACCATCCACATGGTCCCGAGCACCGTCTCGTCGCCCATCCCTTTCATACGGATCCTCCGGGCATCTCCCGCTGGGACTCACTGGTGAACCTGATTTTGTGGAGGAGGCGTATGAGCGCCAGCTGCGACCGCTTCAAGCCCCAATTGGCACCCGGCCGTCTTCATCCCACCGCCCGATCACCCCAAAGCTCAACCCGGCTGCACCAACGTTTACGGCAATTTTTAGCGGCAAAAAGTCAAACCAGGATAAGGAGAAAGACTCTGGCGCTCCCTTCGATCTTCACGTGGACGACGGATCCCCATCCGAGCCACGTACGTCGCGAGATTCCCGTTCGCTCTCCCATTTCACAGGCGAGTCGTACGAATCTTTGGAGCGCATGCCATCCGGTGCATCCGCAGACAACGCATCTAAGGAATCCTTCATCCGCAAGATTACTCGCAAGGGCAGCTCTAGCAAGTTCAGCTCCTGGAAAGACCGCTCGGGCCTGTTCTCCAAGAAGGGCGAGTCCTCTCAAGGTGACATTGAAGAGGACGCAGCCAGCGAGGCTCAGCTGGGGAGGAGCATTGACAGCACCGCCTCCAGTGTGCCCTCCGCCGATCGTTCGACAAGGAGTAGCCTGGGCTTCTTCTCGCGTATGTCTCGCAAGTCTGACAAGGCGAGCGAGACCAGTGAGCGAGCTAGCGAAGCCGGTGATGAGGATCTTTCAATCCCTGAGATCGCTCATTCGTGATGTTTCTATGGTCCAGATCCCCTCGTTAATTCTGGTTTTCCCCCTATTATTCCCTACTCTGGAGAACTTCACGCCCCGACGGGTTTGTTTAGTCTGCGTTAGACAGCGACTATTATTTCCTATGAAATTCATTATGGTACATACAACTTTTACAATTCTGCGGGAATTATATAAACCCAGTAAATTATTAAGACTATGAAGGTTTTTTTTCACTTCAGTATGTGAAGTATTGAATGTAGTCCAAAGTTGTAGTTGCACAGGTGGGCCTTCCGTACAGTTGAGAGTTGGGCGGCAGCAAATCGCCGCACAAAATCATGACTCGTCTTCGGCGCCTCGACAAATCCACCCACTCGACACACCCCCAGACACCGGGACGAGAAGGCACTATGGCGAACTCCAGGTTGGTTTTAAAAGCAGAATTTGAAATCCGATATGTACACTGACTATGCAAAGATTCGAGTACGTCAAGGACTTTGAACAGCCTGACGTCTTGCTTCCCAATACGTGGATTGTGGTCCGCATCGACGGGAGAGGATTTCACAAGTAAGCCCTCAAATCCCATGCCCTGCTGTACTAGATGTGTACAATTGTCTCGAGTATATCGATACTCTCCAAGGATTCCTAGAGGACCAGAGGGTCGCTGAAGGCTGCACAGAGGGCTTAATAGCCCAGCCTATCATTGTTCCCTGTATCTAACCTCCAACAGGCTGTCGGATCACTATGCCTTCGTCAAGCCAAATGACCGGCGCGCGCTCGACCTCATGAATGCTGCTGCGGTTGAGGTCATGAAAGACCTCCCAGATTTATGCATTGCCTATGGTGTCAGTGACGAGTACAGGTTCGTACTATCTTTCTATTCCAGGAAATTCCCTTGCCGTTCTTTTTAACATTGATATTCCAGCTTTGTCTTCCATCCAAGCTGTCAGCTCTTCGAGAGACGAAATGCGTAAGTCATTCATGCCATATTACCCAATACCCCTGCTGGTCTACTTCGTGGCCTGCCAACTGAGATATCCGATTCAGGAAATTGGTCACGACCATTGTGTCAACGTTTACCGCGCACTACATTTATCTATGGTCGACATATTTCCCATTAAAGCCTCTCCAGCCACCATACCTGCCTTCCTTTGATGGACGGGCGGTCATCTATCCCTCGACACGAATCCTGCGGGATTATATGAGCTGGCGACAAGTTGATTGTAAGTCTTCCTTGAAAACTCACCAGAAACTGGCATTTCTTTGTCAGGTTAAAAACCAAACTTGCTTATCCATGTGTGATAGGCCACATTAACAACCTCTACAACACAACCTTTTGGACGATGGTCCAGCAAGGTGGTATGAGCAATACAGATGCAGAGCAAGAACTGAAGGTACGATCTTCCGATCATAAATACGGTTGTCTAGTCCAATCAAGAAAATTGGATAGCATATTGACCTAGATCAGGGAACCGTGTCCGCCGACAAAAACGAGATCCTCTTCAAGCGCTTTGGCATCAACTACAATAACGAGGAAGAGATTTATAAGAAAGGAAGTGTGCTCTACCGCCAAGTAAGAATAAGAAATCCCCTGTGTGGTTTTGAATTCAGATATCTAACATTTAACTTACAGTATGAGCTCGAGGAACCCAAGCAGGCCCCAACATCCCAAGATGACGAGGTCTCGATTCCAGAGGCGAAACAGTCCCGCTCACAGCAGGACAAACTCAAGAAGTTGCGCCGGAAAGCGCAAGTCGTGGTTGATCACATTGATATTATCAAGGATGATTTCTGGGAGAGACGGCCGTGGATTCTATCCGGCAAACCTGGCAAATTGCCGGTGCAGAGCTGATACTGGCGAACGGAAGAAAGATAGCTCAGCTAAAGATATGAGATGAAATGAAATAAAAAAAATAACTTCTTTTTGGTTTCATTATCCTCGCCAAACGAAAGGGGTATCTTGATCGCGAGAACCAATGGCGTATGCAACATCTATGTATCCAATCCTGGGGCAATGCAAAACACTATCTAGTACACCACTCGTACATTCAAGCGTGGGGGTATAGATCAAGCCAACTTGTCCTTCTTCTCTTTCTTCTCCTTTTTGGACTTCTTCGAGTCGGACTTTTGTTCCCCTTCGCTGTCCTTATTCTTGGACTTGGATTTTTTGCTCTCCTTCTTTTCCTTCTTCTCTTTGGTTGCGGCAGGGGCTTCGTCTGATTCAGCGGTGGTCACTCGTCCGTCGTCACGATCCTCGTCGGTCGACATCGGTGTAGGATAATCCTCCTCGCTAGCAGAGCGCTTCGACTTCTTGGATTTCTTATCTTCCAATTTCCGTTCCTTCCGTTCCTTCTTCTCCTTCTTCCTCAACCGACGCTCCTCTTTGCTCTCCTTGCGCTTCTCCGAGCTAGACGAATCGTTCGAAGACACGGCCGCAGACTCGGTAGTCTCCCCGTCTTCCTTGAGCTTGCGACGCTTGCGCTTCTCCTCTTTCCGCGCAGCCTTCTCCTCCTTCTTCGCCCGACGCTCATCCTCGTCTTCAGAATCACGCTTCCTCTTCGACTTGGACTTGGACTCTTCTTTCAGCTCCTCCACCTTCTTCTGCTCAATGGTACCAGCAAGACATTCGCCGCGCACAAAGTGTCGGTACAGTTCGCTCGTCAACGCATTGTTTGAACTCGTCGAGGTAGATTTATCCTCGCCAATGCCCTTGAGCGCGTCTTCGAATCCACGCAGCCACCACTGATTCGTGGGGTCTTTCGTTGTCTTCTTGCCCACGCCGTGGTTGTTCTGTTTGCGCGCGACGAGAATGGGCTTTGTGAGACCGAGGCCACCGTGTGCGCCTGGACGTTGGTTCGGATTGAGAGGGTTTCCGGGACCGGACCATCCATGTCGGATGAGATAGGCTTGTGCATCCATTGTGTTGGAGAGGGGACGAGCGTCGTCTTGTGAGAGAGGTTTGGCGGGTGGAAGAAGATAGGTGGTGACGAGGGTCTGTCGTATGGAAGGAGTGCAGATGGAAAAACCGCAAAGGAGTGAGGTTCAGATTGCTCGACTGCTATCTCATCAAAGAGTCTAGCGTGAGGTTATTGAGAGAGGGAGTGTTAGGAAATGCGTTCCCTTCTAAGAAAAGAGCAAAAAGGTCGGCGGATAAGACCGAAAAAAATCGGTTCCTGGGCGATAAGAGATTGCCCGCCATTTTTTTCAGGTTCTCAGTTTAGTCACGTGACTATATAGATACTGTGCCTACCACTATTCCTAAAGCCTCAAAACTTCACAACTAGTTATGGAATTAGAAATAACTCCCTTGTTTGTTCTTCTTTAAATATGGTTTATTGAATTTGTTATCTCTGGTCTACTGGTTAATCACGAAAAAGCTACATATAGAACCATTTGTCAATGACCCACATGGCCAGGTCTTGTCCATGAATTCCAATTTTCTCTATGATAAGATCATCGTTTGCTCCAGTAGCTCTATTGCCTCTAAAGCTCATATTTCTTCTCTCACTTCCTTTATCTTGGGAAGTTCTGATGCTGTAGAAACCTCCCCATTCTTAGTAACCTGGATCACCTTCACAGATTCACCTTGAATTGAAACATGGTATCTCTCCGTATAATGCTCATTAAACGCCAAGCTGCGAATATAATTCACCGATGGATCCTCACATAAGAACCAATACTTCCACCAAACCTGACTATGGCACAAAGCCAAATCATTACCATCACCAGCGACTGACTGACATATCTTCTGAATCCAGAGAAACTTTTCCCTACACCTCAGGTGTGTGTATGATTTGAGGATATAAGGAAGATTGACTGTGATCTTCAACATGCCGTATGACCCCATTCCGTCCTGCAAAAAATATGGTACGGCCCGACATATTTCATCTGCATAGTTACCGGCAAGTATACATTCGGTGTACACTCTGGGTTCTGTTGGAATGTCTTTGATAGAGGGATATTGAAGGTCTGGTGTGGAACAATGTAGAACTAGGACTTGGGCTCGGTAAGTTAACAGCTGGATGATGATCATCGCTTTCCAGAAGAATATATGCAACTCTGCCTGTCGGAGAGAACAGAAGTTGTAGAACGAGTCGAACAGGTTCTTGGCTGACGGGAGTGGGAACTTGATGTTTTTCAACTTTGTGATGGAACAAGAGATTGGTCTGCCAGCGATACTCTCTAGGTTACGAGAGTACCATTCAAGTACTTTATCTCTTTGTGCTCGGCATGACCAGAGCAGGTTATTGCAGTCTTGATCTAGTTTGCCGATCGAGTTAGCGGCAGCAGCGAGGGATGTAATTTCGACATAGATTTCGAAAAGCTCGTCAAAAGGCCCATCATCGTTGTATTGTTTCAGGTAGTCGAAGTCGCTTCCGAAGCTTTTGAATAACATCGGAGCATACATCTGGGAAATATGGTGATTCAGCTGGATCCCAAAGAGGCTAATTACTCAAGAGGAGTGAGGATTGTTCTTACCAGTCCTTGCTTCTGAAGTTTGAAAACCGGCTTCATCCTAGAATCTTGAATTGGATGTTCTAGACGTCTGAGGAATGTATTATGCCCATCCATATGGGCACCCATGGACTTAGTCCCGCCCGGACAATTGAATGTCTAAGACTCACATTAGTCCACTATACTTCCGAGGGAGGCCGTGATACATTACCTCAATGGCTTTAAATATGACACTAGTATAAATGATTTCATCCGGAATAGTGCCCCCGCGTATCCGACTCGTCATGAAGCGAATCGTATTATTATACAGTTGCGTGCCTTGCCGAAGAAGACACTGGTCATGATTAGCTGCACCAAAGTAGAGGCACGAAAGAGCAGAAATTGCAGTTTCCAATATTGTTGGTTTTGCTGGCATATTAATGAAGCTTGACATGAGCTGGAAGAATAGATCGACTTCTCGGATAGCCTTCATGTCCAAGCTCATGGGGTAGTATGAGTCCATGAATGATGCGTGGAGCTGCTTCCGAGTCTGAGAATGCGCCTCGATTTTCCGTGGCAGTAATTGAGCGCGATTAACTCGCTGTATATTGCAGTTGGGCACATCTTTTGACTTCTCTGATACCCGTGTAGTACTGTAGTGGGCAAAAAAGTGGTGGCCGGGTGTATACCCCGGACAGACCATTCGACGTTTAATGCACCCTCCACACTCCGGCTTCTGGAGGTCACACTATATTCAAGAAGGCGTCAGTAAATATCAGATGGTCATTCAGCGCTGTGGCTGGCGCGACTCGCCTTGACTTTGCGTCTTCTACATGTTGCGCACCCTTTACTACTGAACGGGGCGCTTCCACCCATGTCTCCGCGGCCCTTTATCGAGAATCCGAAGAATCCTCCGAGGCTGAAAAATCCTCAGACTTGAAACTAAAGATTGAGCTTTGTCGCGTCAGTCCCTATTGAACATTTTCTGAATTCACATTCTGACCGTGGTTTTGGCCCCCAAAAAAGTGCCCGGCTAACCTCAATAGACCACGTGATGGATTTTTCATTTTCAGTGTATCTGATTTGAGAATGTGTATTGCGCAGGTCAACAATGGCGGTACTTGTGACTTTGGAAAAGCGATCAACGGCAAATGGTAATCAATTGGTACAGTACTGATATGGGGCTAGAGGTCTTTGGTGGGATTTCGAAGTCTCATCTTTCAACCTCAAATGCATTTCTAATTTCGTTTTGCACATATGTAGATATCTAGATAGACTCCATACCTAATTATCTGCCCTTTAGAAAAGATTAAAGAATATCAAATAAAGAAAATAAGTCGTACTGCTATCTATTTTTTCCTTCCCACCCAAACTCCCACCGCTACACAACTCGACCTGCAAGTACCCGTGACGTGTACCACGACTAATACGGTTTAAACCGGTCCTTCTTCTTCTCCTTGGGCCGAGAAATCTTTCCAGAACCAGCTGGATTCTGAACATCATCGTCGCTCCCATCAACGGGTTTCCACGCCCGCACAAAGCCGTCTTCGCCACAAGTAAAGACGGATTGGCTCTGTAATACATTCAGCGTTAGTCACCTATATAAATAAGGGGCGCTAGACGCAATTCTAGGCTCCAAGGTTCAACTGAGACATACCTGTTCATCCAAGTAGACTGATCGTACGACCTCGTCACCGTGGGCGCCGGGTAGACGCCAGAGATTGTCCTGGTCAAACCGCCATGTCGGGGTTGACACGAGCGGAATCAGATCCAAACGTTTGTCACTGCAGGGGAACACATAATTAGCATTTAGACTACAGTAAACTCCGCATCCACTAGGGTAAATGTACACATACATCTTATTACCAGCGGCAATGTACGGCCCCTGCGCGCCGAGGCACAATTGCACGACATACTCGCAGCCTAGTGGCTCGCGCACGTCGTCGAAATGCACGGGCTCGGGTTCCTGTGCAGGATCATCGGGATCGGTGGCCGGGTGTACGGAGAATTGCTCGTCGTGGCTGAGTGCGTAGATGGTGCGCTCGGAGAGGAAGCCTGCATGGTGGACGGAGCCGTGGTTGATAACTTGCACGAGAGCCTCGTCTTCGTCTGTGATGGTGGTGTCATAGACGTTGACTAGGCCGTCCGTGCTGCCGGATAGTAAGACGTTGCTGCGAGTCGGGTGATATTGAAGCTGTGTTACCAGGCCAATGTCAGATAAGTTGAGGTATTCACGGTAATAGATAGGGTTGTGACACGGTTGTTTTGTTGGGATGTTATATCCAATGTTCAAGTGGGAGAGACGTTGGGAAAGCTGTTTACCTCGGTGATATCGTCATTGTGGCTTTCTACGTATTGTAGCCTTGGTGCCTGTGGAGATCTGATATCCCTGTACAAGATTGTTAGAAGGGGAGATTCTAGCTTTCAACGAGGATCGTTTTGATCATCACATGAATGAATTGAAGCTCGCGCTAATTTTTTCGAGGCAAGTCACTTACCAGAATGCAACCACCGCCTGCGAGGAAAGGAGCTCTGTTCCCGCCACGATCGTGTTGGTCCCTGAGTTGCAAGCCACCGAAAGCACCGGGGCATGTCTCGCTAAACACACAGGATGATCAGCCAATCCGTGTCCGGCAAAAAAAGAAACTCCGAATGTCTAGAAAGCTAGACAATACAGTCCTCGTTCCAAATCCTCCGACGCCATCCAAACTCTCTAACGATGTAGAATAGTCATTACCACAGCTGGTACCCATTCTAGGATGTACCAGATACCACATCGACGAAGACAAGAAAGACCCAGAGCAAAAACAACAATCAAAAGAAGAATAAATCAGCAAAACTCACCAGTCTCGACCTCCAAAACCGCATTCCCAGCCCTCACATCCCAAAGCTTCACCTTCCCCTCCCTACCACCAGTCACCAAAAGCGGCGACTCACCCGCCGCATAGCTCCGCAGCGAAGTCACGCCCGCATCGTGGGTCTTCGGGGCGATCACCGAGACGCGATCGAGACTAGCAGCGTCAAAGATGCGCAGCGAGTCATCCGAGCTAATAGCAGCAAAACTGCCCGGTGCCGAGGCCGCAATCGTGTAGATGTAGTTCTCCGCCGGCAGCGACAGTGACGACGCGGCGGTTGCTTTCAAGGTATGCATGATGACCTTTGATCACGCGAATGTTCGCGGCTATTACGGTTGACTCCTTGCTTGTGTGACCCTGTACGGATGTATGGAGTACAGTATGTACTAGGTAGTGCTTTGCTTTGCAATCAGTCCTCGTGAACTGCGGGTCGCTTTCTTGACTGGTCACCTGTGGCTGATGGGGCTATTTTTTTCCCTCCAAGTTTTTTTTTCCTGCTCTTAGCGAGCGGGAGCTTGCAGCGGGAGTGGATTTGAGTGTGTCGATCTTGAGAGATGGGTTGATTGCTACTGGTTGATCTGGGCAGTGGCTTGTCTGGTGTTTTCCGCGGTGGTTTATCGCGAAGAACTCGTATACTGGGGAGGAATTTCGATGCCAAGAAAAGATTTCCCTTTTTGGTTACGTGGAGCTTTTCCCGTGCCTTACTACTCCAGTACTTGGGCATTTACAGTACGGAGTAGACAGAGTACACTTTACAGCCTCAGATTGATACTGACAGCATTAACGTCAAGTGAATCGTCAAGTATGTGTATAGATGTGGGAGTTTATCACGGCGGGGAATTTGGGTTGTAGAATTAAAAGCACTCAAACCATCCATAATTAGGATCTCCATGTGTTGCAGCTGCATCTAGGGGGATTGAAATTTGCACAAAAGCGACCAGTTGGATCGGCAGAGCACACGAGTCATGTTGTTTTCTTCAGAGGGGTGACCAATGCATTTCATCCCGGGTCTGATCATCATAGCGTCCATAGGGAAAATGTGACGAGTCAGGAGCATCTCAAGCGAGAAGATTGGCAGAACAAACCCTCTAAGAAGAGAGCACAGGCCAAGATCTTTTCCCGGTAGCCGACAAATAGTGGAGATTGGAGAGGAAGGTGTTCGCAGGTTAGTATCGAATAGAACTCGCTAGGACTACGATGCGCAATGCTACTCCAGTTTGTACAGTACAGTGTACACCGCTACAAGGAGGCAGGCCAAGTCCACCAAAACAGAAAGTGGTCCGTGTGACGGGGAGGAAAGTGACGATGAGGGGGAGCTCCCGGGACGATCCGCTAATCAGACAAAGGAGATCTGTTTTGGCGCATCTCGTTGACCGTGGAGGCTGCCACTTTAGGTGTTTAGAGGGGCGGGGGATGTGGGCCTTTAGGCTCGTACATCAGCCGAGATGGGGGAGATTGTACTCCCATACCAAATCCAAATGAAGGGTCGGAATCTTAGCGAAGGACCACGATATGATGGGGCGAGTCTAGGTGAAATTTCCGAGGCCTGCGCAATATGTGTATCATAAATCTGACCATTCACTTTGCGGGTCAGTATAGAAGTCGAGAAAGGGGAAATTTCTGGTCCAGTCATGGACGGCGTCCATGGGAAAGTTTAAACCAGGGACGACCTGGAAAGTTGATACATAGGAAATGATAAGCGGCACCGGCCGATCGTCGCAGGTCATCAAACAAGGGCCCCAGAGTCGTGGGCCGGTACCAGTGACCTGGTAAAAGGGAAAAGGAAAACTCATCGGCAGGAGAAAAGGGTCACTCAACGCGCGTCGGGAACGAACCAGGATGCGCGTTCCACGAGTCCCGGGGTCCAAGTTGATTCGCAGCGTCGCATCGCCCGATCCCAGGGCTGTGGGAGGAGGATTGGGGGTTTGGCAGGGATGTGTAGCGTGTTATGAGTGTTCGATTGACCATCCATACTGCACTGTACGGAGTAGTAGAAGTTGGTTAACTAGCCCATCTCGGACTCCCCGATGGAAAGGGAATAAAGAAAAGACGACGCAACACGAGCTGAGTGGGCGCCACGCTGCGAAGCTTCTCGGCGTTACCCATTCGGCTGGGTTGAGTCTGTGCTGGGCCCATCATTTCCTCTTTGTACTCGGTCTTCAAGGAGGTGATTATTCTTCTTCCTTGTTCCTCCTTCTGGTCTTGGTTGGAAATATTCTTGAATCGTTCGTTGGCTCTCGAAATGACCCAGTCTCCAGACATAATCATCGAGACCCAGACGGTCCGCATCCCGCGCGGGCGCAGGTGGAGCCCTTTTGGTCGATCCCGAGTTGGCGCCGGGTCCAAGCCCAGGAGCGCCAGGCAAATGGCAATTTCATTGGAGGAGAAGCAGATCGGAGGGGGAAGACGATGCCCGACAAGGAAGGAGTCGAGGTTTCTCCAGCGAGGTGAGCGAAACTCAGTTGACCAACCGGTAAACTTCCACTCCTCCAACTTTAAGCGGAGGATGGAGAAGAGTTTGGGTATGCACCAAGAAAATGTGCTGTCCGGTTTGTAGGGAACCCGAGGCTCTGGATCAACCTTTCAGCAGGTATGATGCTGGTCTTTTTAACTTCTCGAGGATCCGAGATGATGAGTATACTTATCACTGATCATAGGTGAAAAGCCATCCACGAATATAATCCAAGTAAAACTAAAACATTGTACTCCGTTTACTCCGTTCCAAGGTGTGACGGTATTAAATTAGAAAATAATTTAGCTGCTTGTTTTTTGGCTGCTATGCCCGATCAGCTGTTAGTGTCAGCCTCTCTGTATCTTCACACACACCACGTCCTTCAACTTTCGCTTCTTCTTCTTTTCTCCCTTTCCTCTCTCTCCCTTCTCTTTTACTCCCTTCCTCCCCCACCGTGGACCCCCCCCCCAAACGGATCCCAGCCAGCGGCTACACACAACCTTAAACCCCTCGGAGTCGCGTTCTCGTCCGTGGTTCTCACCTCCACCCCTCTCCTCTCCTTCAACCACCCTTGGGTTGCTCAGGTTTGGTCTTTGAGTGGTGACGATACTCCCATCTCCTATCCATCCCACAAGGCACATCTCCTCGGGGATCCTGGACTATCGGCTTTTGTGGAGTGTTGACCCGCCCTCAGCCCGGCGCTGCCAACAGTCTTTCCCCCCAATTCCACTCCACTCTGGTTCGCTTGGTTCGCTTGGCCCTCGGATCATTTCGTACTTTTGGCGTCGACGACCCTCCTTGCGTGCGGTCTTTCCGTGCTTGCATAACGTGCTGCCTCGCCGATTTCCTTTCATGTGGTGGCTGGGACATACAGCTCGGTTGAATGTTCTGTTTCTGCACCCTGCCTGTGCTGTACGATCATTGATCGTAGCTACCCATCCCTCTCCACCGTCGACCTCGGCCCCCGACGTATACGAAACGATCGCTCGTCCGACAATTCCACCTTCCTCCCCCTGACTCTTCTTGATTCCGACCTCACCATCACCAATCGCCCCTAATGTTGACCGACGAACAGTCCGGTCGAAATCGGCTACCGCCGATGTTGACATCCCCTCCTCCGGCGAAGCGACACAAGTCCGAATCAACCCCCGCAAGTGAGGCCGGTCGCTCATCGAGATACTACCATTCCGGATCGGTTCCTTCGAGCGAACGGTATCATTCGTCCTCGATTCCTGCCAGCGACCGTTATCAATCCTCGTCAATTCCACCCAGTGAGCGCTATCAATCATCAATTCCACCCAGTGGTCGGTACTGTTCCTCGGTCCCCAGTGAACGAGCTCGGTCGCGCCAAACCTCGACTGCCATGGACATCTATATGATTACGGACCGGAACCCTTCAGATAAGGATGGCGATCGAAGAGTTGGTCGTTTTCTCAGCAATGGTTCGGTCGCATCACAAACATCCCAAGCTTCTCGTGCCTCTGGCTCGTCACCACCTATAATTGTCTCCGATCGCAAGTACGTTACCCCTGCAAAGGGCCTACATTACACTCGCAGTCGAGCTTTGCTTGCTCGACCACGCAATCGAGCGTTCTAGGATCGCTAAGCTGACAATCCGTCTTTACGTACAGAATTCCCGAAAAGTACCCTCCATACAAAGAAAATAATCGCATGTATCATTCCTACCGAAAAGGCACTTATATGCTACCCTGCGACGACGAAGAACAAGACCGCCTCGATATCTTCCATAAGCTCTTTACAGTCGCCCGTGTATCAGATGGCTTAATATACGCACCTCATCCGAAATCCTCGCGGATCCTGGATCTGGGCTGTGGGACTGGAATCTGGAGCATTGAGGTTGCCAACAAATACCCCGACTCGTTCGTGGTGGGCGTAGATCTCGCCCCGATTCAACCACAAAACCACCCCAAGAATTGCGACTTTTATGCTCCGTTCGACTTTGAAAGTCCATGGGCCATGGGTGAGGATTCTTGGGACTTGATTCATATGCAGATGGGAAGCGGCAGCGTTGCCAGCTGGCCCAGTCTATACAGGCGGGTATTCTCACACCTTCGTCCGGGCGCATGGTTCGAACAAGTCGAAATTGATTTCGAGCCGCGCTGCGATGATCGATCGCTAAGTAATCTCGCCCTTCGTCATTGGTACACGGCCCTGAAGCGCGCCACCGAATCAACAATGCGCCCTCTAGCTCATAGCTCCCGCGAGACGATCCGCAATCTGCAAGAAGCTGGGTTCACGGAAATTGACCATCAAATGGTGGGACTACCCTTGAACCCTTGGCATGATGACGAGCACGAGCGCAAGGTTGCCAGCTGGTATAACCTGGCCATCTCAGAGAGTGTCGAAACCCTCAGTCTCGCTCCTTTCAGCCGAGTGTACGGCTGGCCCATTGAAAAGATTAAGCGCCTTGCGACGGACGTGAAGACCGAGGCGTTCAATAAAGATCTGCGCTGTTACAATATTCTGCATATTTACCAGGCTCGCAAGCCACTTGCCAAATAGAGCATCCATCTCCAGTGATGACTTGCGCGAATGTGGTCGCCCTGCGTGTCTAGTGGGCGGTCTACTACTTTTTACCATGATGACGACTTGCTATCTCTCTTCCATTTTCCCGCGTTGCATGTTTTGCATGATCTGGCGTTCTTTTTTGGGCCGGTGTCTTCTTTCATTATTTTGGGTGTTTTCATGTTTCCGGCTTGTGTGGTATATACCCAGGTGTCTCACCTAAGCTTGTGGTTGAGTTTGCTATATCTGACGATATGTCAATGTGAATCTTCGTGACTTAAATCAGTTCATGTGCTTTCTGTAGAATGCTTGATGTAAAGCTGTAATGTCAATGGGTCTCGGTGATTTCTATGTCTAGGCCTGTTGATTGGTCCATTGACTGGTATGGTAACAATATCAAATCCTCCGTCGGAGTTAGACTCCTATCCTATCGCGTACTTCTAACACAGTTTGTGGGCTTTTATCCGGCCATTGGGATATCCTCCGCATGATCAGCAGCAGATGATAATTGAGAGACTGAGCTCTCAGTGATATCTGGAAGCTAACTTGACGTCCATGTGTTGTCTTAGGAAGGAAGGAATTAGTCTCCTGACTTGGGCATCCACGTCGATTCCCGACAGATATGCGAGATGGCAGTTTACTTACTTCCCTTCAACCCTTTGGTGATATACCTATATAGTCTTGCAAGCCTTGCCTTGGGTATGTCCTCGGGATTGATTCCATTCGAGGTCTTCAATTTTTGGGACTCTATCTTGTTTACGTAGAACCTGGACATGCGGGATAATGGGCCCCTGCATATATATATCTCCACCACAACGAGCATCCAAAAAGGCCAACCAAGTAATAACCACCACAACCGAGAGAATGCCAAGTATCCGTTAAGAAGTATATCCCCTCGCAGAGAATTTGAAATACCCCGGAACATGCTTGAAAAATGCGTGGTTGGTGGGTGCTCGAGGCAGAAGGTTGGCGCCGAGGTCAAATATATCGTATTTCATCTCAACATCCACCACTGTAGCGAAGAGCAGAGTATATACATTTTTTGAATATCAGAGCTGTATCCAAAATCAAGCCCTTGATTACCAAGCGGGTAAATACCCTGACCGGATCAGTTGATTTGCGATGCTTCTGCTCGAAAAGTGGTAGAGAGATGCCCGAGGCTTTCGATCGTGGTGGTTCAATCATGTAAGACCTAGATTGGGTTACTGGAAGAAACCATAACACGATTTGGACTTGTCAATGAAATCGAACAAACACCAGAAAGCTAAAATAATCGGGATAGTAACTGTCATCTCCTGACGGAGATGGTTCTGATCAAGAGGAGACAGGCTAACTACTCAGGTGTTTATCAAGTCCATACTGGCAATGTGGCCAAATAGATATGATCACTAATTCAGAAAGTAATAAAGTAATCCCCATCATCCCAACCAGATTTTGTTCTCTAAGAATAATCAAAGATATTGTCTTCAAAGTGTATATACACCAAAAAGAGAGGGATCTTTGGGATCAAAAAAAAGGGGCCTAGCCGGGAATCGAACCCGGTTCACGCACATGCTGAGAATCTTTGATTCTCGGATTAATGACAACCCGAAGCACGTATAATACCAGTATACGACCAGGCCTTTTCTTGTGCGTATTTTAAACAAATTGAGATTGATATACCACAAGCATAAAGATCGGAAAAAGATCGGACCATTTCCCGTCGCGATTGAGTTTATAATCAGGGGAAATAACTTTGATACATGACATTATTATTTTGGCGTCATCTGAGGCAAAATCGATATTGAATTCGGTGCAATAAAACATGGTGCAGTCTCATCGAGTGCGAAGTGAAGATTGCGACCAGCATCCTACGTGAATATTTTGCCAGGCCACACCGTATAAACGTGGAGGTGATATAAACAGAACAAACACAGCAGTATGTGCTGTAGTATTCGTGTCAATTGATCGACGTCTTGAAGCAACAAGCTACGAAGTTTCGAACCTTGACAGTGTTTTTGAATACACAGAAGCATGTGGCCCTGGTGGCTTCATGCCGTCAAGTGCCACACTGCCCCTGCTTCCGTTCTCCAACCACGTCTTAAAGGCCAAGATACAGAAAACATCTTACTTTCGCGGCTGAAGAGTATCCATGGCCTGATTTGTTGCTCCTTGGCTAGAAGCATATTCCTTCATTGGCACCTGATTGGCTGAGCTACTCGCGGTTGTTAAAGTTGCAGATTAAGTTAAGCGTCAGTGGGTCTATCAAGCCAAGGCAACTTTGTGGAATGTATAATTGTGAACATTCGATGGCAGTCAACAATTGATTTGTGGGTGGATCAATATGTCAGATCATGATTCTTAACCTAGCAGCCGCAGATCATATAGTTTCACCAATTAGCATCCTGGATCGGCCACATTAGTTCCAAACGGGAAGATCAAGATAAAACTCTTTGGTAACTACTTTGGATATCACAGAGCTTGTGTGCCTGAATTATAGAATGGAGAATATAAGATGTATGCCCATCCAAGTCAGTGGAGTTTGAGCCTCTGTATGAAGCTTTGTCACTACAGTGAGCTTTCAGGATTCTCGTGGGATAATCGAAGTGACATGAACTCAAGATTTCAACATGCGAGACCTTCATGCGGTAGATATGATGAAGACTCGATAATTAAATGTGGGTAGGAGACAAGGCAAGAAAGGGGGTTGAATGGTAGGGTGAATATGAGAAAGGGAGAAAGTCCAAAAAATGGAAGGAGCGAGGCAGGCCAAGGCATTGGTTGTTTCCATTTTCAGATCATCAACACACTTTCACTTTTCACCTTCCTCCAGTCCGATCGCAGCCCTTCATCTCTCCGGGCTTTTCGATTTCTTTTCTTCGTTAACAAAAGCAACCATGAACAACGCCCCGGGTGCTGGCCCTTACTTTATCCGGGTAGTGGATTGTGGAAATCATGGTGGAGGTGGTGGAGGTGGTCGGCGTGGCGGTGGTGGCCATGGTGGACATCGTGGTGGATACCGCGTCTACCGTGTTGTAAGTGCCCTCTATTTTCATCTGAATTGTGTGTGATGAACCAGAACTGATGAATGTCATAGTATCGTCCCTGCGGCGCGTGCCATGGACGCGGGCAGCGTATGTGTCTCCATCGTACGCTGTGATCCATGGACTTTCCTGACCAGCGTGAACTCAGAATACCGACACGACTGCCCCCGAAACAACCAGCGCGCGGGGTTGCAAATCAATGGTGGCCAGAATATAAATCAATGGCTCAACAACGTCCACACCGTGAGTCTTGTCAGTCTCCATGCTTCCGAGACCAAGTTTGATTGAAAGATATCAGCCCGGCCAGGTCGTGTGCCCCTACCACTCCTTCCGCCACTTTCATCACGCCCACTTTCATCACGCCCACTTTCATCAAGGAAACCCGACGCTGCATGCTCAATATAACCACGCCCTCGCAATCCTGCAATACCAGCTGCAGCTTCAGTCGCAGCACCTGATGCAACAGCAGCTATACTTGCAGATGCAGCAGCAGCAGAATCAGTTCATGCAGCACCGAGTGTTGGAACTACAACAGGGACGGGGCCGCCCAATCTTGCAGCTACAGAACGGTGCCAATCAGCAAGGCCACCAGCAAGGCCAGCAGGACCAAGAAGAGGACGATCTGGATCTCGATCTTGCCTGAGGGCGTGGAGGGTGATTCGGCGCGGAGTGAGACGGGAGTGGCGGACGAGGATTATATAGAGTAAGGGAGTAAGAAGCCACTCCTTCGTGATTATGTATTATTGTTGTTTCGTTTTGATGTTTTGCTTCAAGGACCTGATAACAAAATATGGATTAATGAAGGCATGCTATCCGATTTTTAGTACTTACTGTGCCGCGATGGAAAATTTCCCGGAGTCTGGTTAGATGTTACAAACCTTTGAAGACAATGTCATTGTACAATAGGAATCCCCATCCATAGAAAGTCCAAGGCAGTCAAGAATCTTGTTTTGAATGTGTCATCGGCGAGACCCCGCCGCATCATAGAAAGTAACATTGTAGTAAGAAAAAGCCTACCGAAACGCCGTTCCAAACCCATACATTTCAAACGCCAACCATATGCAATGATGTTTGCCCAGTCTGTCGAAGACTAGACCAATGACCCAAGACAAGAGAAGAAGACAATAATCAAGACCATCCCATTATCGCCGGCGATTCCTGCCTGCGCCACGAGCGACACTATTGGCAGCAGATTTGGAGTCCTTGTCGGCATCTCCATCGCCGGGAGTACGGCGGCGCATCGTACCAGGGCCAACTGCGATGATATCCTCTCCACTTTCGCTGTCCGAGATATCCAGAAGGACCGGCACACTAAACATACCAGCCTGTTCTGCATCGATGGAGTCTTCAGCGCGATCCAGAGTAATCACGTCAGGCTCCTCGTCCTCGAGGTCGAGACGACGTTGATGCACCTGTTCAGCAGGGTGGACGTCAAATTCGTCCTCGCGCTCGACGTACTCCACGTTCTCCTCAACTTCACCGAAATCCGGAGCTAGGGCAGACCATTTTTGCGGGCTAATGGTGGACCATGTATAGATGCAGCCGGACTCTAGACCACAAGCAACCACCATGGGGCGCGAGGGGTGCCATTCGACCACGCCGAGCTCCTCGCGTGGACCCTCGAGGATCTTGACGAGAGAGCCGTGGCTGCGTTCCCAGACGTAGATATCTGGGTTCATGAATGTAGTTGCAGTGACGAATTCGCCGGTTGATGAGAAGGTGACATGGTTCCAGCTTAATCGGTTGACGACGTCTTGGAATTTGTGCTCCACTTGTAGTTTGATGGCGGAGGGCTCAAAGTCAATACCCAATTGGGAGAGGTCAGGCATGAGGACGGTGCGAATAACACGGTCTGAGCTGTTGACTAGGAGGTCACGCCCATTGTTGGCAAGGCGGGCGAGGATGACGACTCCGTTGCAGAGACGCATGGAATGGATCGTCGTGCATGTTTCCGTCTCAATGATGTTGATCCAGCCCTTGGAGGTACCAGCAATGATGTGATTTCCAAACGCCGTGAATATTGTGACGCAGGTCGAGTGTTTTGCGTCCTGCGCGGCTTGTTTTGCGGCAACGGCGGGATCAACTTCTTCACCGTTTGTAGGCTGGGGACGGAGGGGCGCGGAGGGGAGAATTCGCTTGATTGGTTTCGAGGAGGAGATGTCGACGAGAACGGGTTGGTCTTCGAATAGAGAGGCGACAAAAAGAAGGCTAGACAGAAGAAAAGCGTGGTCAGTACTCAGGCATATCTCCAGAAGATTGGACGAAGTAAGATCATACTGGTTGAATGGGTGGAGCTCCGCAATGTATACTGGTGCCTCGAATCTGACTGTACGCACGCGCGAGCCATCCTTCAGGTCCCATAAAATACACTTCCAATCCTGCGAGGATGTAAGAAGGTACCGGCCATCTCGAGACCAACTTGATGGATCAAACCGATTAGTCTCATGTTTGCTTGCGGGGATAGATGTCATGGCTATCATACCTAAGAGACTGGATCTGCCGAGTATGACCCTGTAGCTTGCGTGCGACACCGTTTGTCTCAATGTCAAAAATCACGACAGTACCGTCCACCTAATTTGCAATAGTCAGCTTCCACAGCCCCCCTTGCGATTTGTTTATGTGATTTCGCCGAGGTGTACGAACTCGTCCGGATGCTAGGTAGTCGCCAGTGTGGTTAAATCGTAGACATGTCGCATGGCCACTCCCTAGATGCCAATTAGAACGTGCAACGACATATCCAAGCAGCAGATAAACCACATACGTAATTTCTCTGTCAAGGTATCTGGATAGTCCTGGGCCAGGACGAACGGATCAACAAGCGACAAATTCATGGCGGCGGCTTAGCGCAATGTCGAGTCGATCGCCGAGATTCTTGATTACCTAGGCCTAAAAGGAAGGCCTGGAAGCTGGTGACTTGGACATCCAGCACGTAGTAGGGTCCACTGTACACGAAATCGAGGTCGGCGGAAACCAACAATAACGAACAATTGTTTTCCAGCTTATCTGCCGCCATTTCGGATTCGCGAGATTCGTAACAGGGCGGAGTGGAATCAAAGGCGGTAAGCTATCGGGCTATAATGCACCCGCTTTGCTGCCTGATTCTCCAGGTCGGCAGCCTGGGGGTGGTGTTCTGCCATAGCTTACCGCCCGGATTACGGCACGCTATAGAGGCCCTCCGGCGCGCTAAGTGAGCAGAGGGAAAACTCGAGCCCCATCAACGGGTGAGGCAACCTTCACCAACTCCCTTTCAACTTCCCCGACACGCTCTCCCCATCACCTGCCCATCCAAGAATATCGCGTTCCCCATCGTGATATTTCTTCCAGAGACCATCTGCACGCGATAACCAGCGACTCTTGCTCTTTCTCTCTCCTTTCAAGGGCTTCGTGACGTCCGGGGACTCCAGGTCGCCGGCGCCCTCGTGGCAAGGGCTGCCAAAGGCCTCAGCCGGCCAGTTGCTTCCACACCACCTTCGTTTCATCGTCGCCTCGTGTGATTTTGACGCTCGGTCGTCTACTCAGCCTGTCTCTTCAGTTTTTGCGCCTTAACGACCCCCAGATCTTTCGTTTTCCCCAGGTCCGCGCTCAAGCTTCCTTCCCCCGAACCCGTCTCGACTCCACATAACCCGACGACCTTTTTGCGCATCGAGCCCCCGCCACCATGTCGAACGTTCACTTCCCTTACTCCAAGGCGCCTTTGCGCACCATCAAGGAGATTCAGTTTGGTCTCTTCGCCCCCGAAGAGATCAAGCGCATGAGTGTCGTCCATGTCGAATATCCTGAGACGATGGTATGTGCCCACCTCATTTCTGGTTTCTTCTGCAACCCATTCATATAAAATCTTGCGACTGAGATGTCTAACCTTTCTCACTCGATATAGGATGAGCAACGTCAGCGGCCTCGGACCAAGGGTGTCAATGACCCCCGACTCGGCACCATCGACCGTCAGTGGAACTGCGAAACTTGTGAAGAGGGACCCAAGGAGTGTCCTGGACACTTTGGTCATATTGAACTGGCCTCTCCAGTCTTCCATATTGGTGAGTGATTCACCGCCCGTGTCATCGCATCGCGAGTCCGCAATAGACCTTCATGCATCATTCATTGTTACTGACTTTTCTTTTCCGTAGGTTTCGTGACCAAGATCAAGAAGCTTCTGGAGACCGTGTGCCACAACTGTGGAAAGATCAAAGTTGGAGCGGTTAGTCATCCCTCATGGGATGGCAAATCTTCTGACCTTTTCGTGCTGACATTCTTGACTTCAGGATAACCCGAAGTTTTTGGAGGCCATCCGCCTACGAGACCCGAAACGACGCTTCGATGCTATCTGGCGCGCTTCCAAGGATATCAACATTTGCGAGACCGATCCGTCCCCCGATGATGATGAACCCCAGAAGGAGGGCAAGAAGCGCTACTTCCATGGTGGTTGTGGTAACGCCCAGCCTACTGTTCGTAAGGAAGGTATCACTCTTGTGGGTACCTGGAAGCCCAGCAAGAGCATGATGGAAGACGATATGACTGCACAGCCCGAAAAGAAGGTTATCACTCCCGCGATTGCCTTGAACATCTTCCGCAACATCTCCCACGAAGATGTTCGAATCATGGGTCTGAGCAACGACTATGCTCGCCCCGAGTGGATGATCCTCACCGTTCTCCCCGTCCCGCCTCCAACTGTTCGCCCCAGTGTTTTGATGGGAGCTACCAGCGGCTCCCGTGGTGAGGATGATTTGACTTACAAGTTGGCTGAAATCGTGCGTGCCAATCAGAACGTTCAGCGTTGCGAGCAGGAAGGTGCGCCAGAGCACGTCATCCGTGAGTTTGAGTCACTGCTGCAATACCACATTGCCACATACATGGACAACGATATTGCGGGTCAGCCCAAGGCTATGCAGAAAGGAAACCGCCCAGTCAAGGCTCTGCGAAGCCGTCTGAAGGGTAAAGAGGGTCGCTTGCGTCAGAACTTGATGGGCAAGCGTGTCGACTTCTCAGCCCGTACTGTCATTACAGGTGATCCTAACTTGTCTCTCGACGAAGTCGGTGTGCCATATTCGACGGCTAGGATCTTGACTTACCCCGAGGTCGTCACTCCGTACAACATCGAAAAGCTGCAACGGCTGGTCTCCAATGGACCCAATGTGCACCCAGGTGCTCGGTACATTGTTCGAGACACTGGCGAGCGAATTGATCTTCGCCACGCTAAGCGTGCTGGCAACCAGCAACTGTTGTACGGCTGGAAGGTCGAACGCCATCTCGACAACGGCGATGTAATCCTTTTCAACCGACAGCCTTCTCTGCACAAGGAGAGTATGATGGGTCACCGTGTCCGCGTCATGCCTTTCTCGACTTTCCGCTTGAACTTGTCGGTCACGTCGCCTTACAACGCCGATTTCGACGGTGACGAAATGAACTTGCACGTTCCGCAGAGCGAGCAATCGCGCGCAGAACTGGCTGAGCTTGCTCTAGTTCCGAAGAACATTGTGTCTCCTCAGCGTAACGGCCCTCTCATGGGTATTGTGCAGGACACCCTGTGCGGTATCTACAAGATCTGCCGTCGTGATATCTTCCTCACCAAGGATCAAGTCATGAACCTCATGCTCTGGGTTCCTGACTGGGATGGTGTCATTCCTCCTCCTGCAATCATGAAGCCTCGTCCCCGCTGGACCGGCAAACAAATGATTAGCTTGGCTTTCCCCTCTGGGCTTAACCTTGTCCGTGTTGACAAGGATAGTGCGCCGATCTCCGAGAAATTCAGCCCTCTCAATGATGGTGGCCTGCTCATTCAAGGTGGACAGTTGATGTACGGTATGCTCTCCAAGAAGACCGTCGGTGCCAGTGGTGGTGGTGTCATTCACATCATCTTCAACGAGTATGGATGTGACACCGCAGTCAATTTCTTCAATGGTGCCCAAACCATCGTCAACTATTGGCTGCTGCATCATGGTTTCAGTATCGGTATCGGTGATACGATTCCCGATCGCAAGACCATCGAAAAGATTGAGGAAGCTGTCCGGGAGCGAAAGCAGGAAGTCATGGATATTACTGCCAGTGCTACAGATAATACCCTGGAAGCGCTGCCCGGTATGAACGTCCGTGAGACATTCGAGAGCAAGGTCTCTCGTGCTCTTAACAACGCTCGTGACGAGGCTGGTGCTGCCACCGAGAAGGGTTTGAAGGATCTGAACAACGCTATCCAGATGGCCCGTTCTGGTTCCAAGGGTTCGACCATTAACATTTCCCAAATGACTGCTGTTGTGGGTCAGCAATCCGTCGAGGGCAAGCGCATTCCCTTCGGATTTGCGTACCGCACATTGCCTCACTTTACCAAGGACGACTACTCTCCGGAGTCTCGTGGCTTCGTCGAGAACTCGTATCTGCGTGGCCTGACTGCCACCGAGTTCTTCTTCCACGCCATGGCTGGTCGTGAGGGTTTGATCGATACCGCTGTCAAGACTGCCGAAACTGGTTACATCCAGCGTAAGCTAGTCAAGGCACTGGAAGAAGTCATGGTCAAGTACGACGGTACCGTCCGTAACTCGTTGGGCGATATCATCCAGTTCATCTATGGAGAAGATGGTTTGGATGGTGTTCACATTGAGAACCAACCTGTTGACATTATCCGATGCTCCGACGAGAAGATGCGTCAGCGCTTCCGCGTTGATGTCATGGATAACGAGATGTCTCTTGGCCCCGAGGTCCTAGAGCAGGCCAACGAGATTGCCGGTGATATCGAGGTCCAGCGCTACTTTGACGAAGAGTGGGAGGCCCTGCTCGAGTCTCGCGCATTCCTCCGTACTGTGGCCAAGGAGGACGAGGAGATGATGCAGCTCCCTATCAACGTGCGCAGAATTTTGGAGATGGCCCGGTCGACCTTCCGCATCCGCGAGGGTACCATCAGCGATCTGCACCCTGCCGAGGTTATCCCTCAAGTACAGGCTTTGCTTGACCGCCTGGTCGTCGTTCGTGGCGACGATCCTATCTCCAAGGAAGCTGATTACAACTCGACTCTCCTGTTCAAGGCGCAGCTTCGGTCTCGCCTCGCCTTCAAGCGATTGGTTACGGAGTACTCGCTTAACAAGCTTGCGTTCCAGCACGTTCTCGGTGCCATTGAGAACCGTTTCGCCCGTGCTGCCGCTAATCCCGGTGAGATGGTCGGTGTGCTTGCAGCACAGAGTATTGGAGAGCCCGCTACCCAGATGACACTCAACACCTTCCACTTTGCTGGTGTGTCGTCCAAGAACGTTACTCTGGGTGTGCCTCGTCTGAAGGAAATTCTCAACGTGGCAACCAACATCAAGACTCCGTCCATGACCGTCTACCAGGAAGGTGACAACACCTACCAAAAGGAGGGTGCCAAGCAGTTGCGAAGTCTCGTCGAGCACACCAGCTTGCGATCCGTCACCGAGGCTACCGAGATCTACTACGATCCGGACATCCAGTCTACTGTCATTGAGAATGATCGTGATATGGTCGAGTCCTACTTCATCATCCCCGAGGATGTCGAAGGAGATCTGGCCAACCAATCGAAGTGGCTGCTTCGCATTGTCCTCAGCAGACCCAAGCTGCTCGATAAGGGACTTACTGTTCAGGATGTTGCCGAGAAGATCAAGAAGGCTTACAAGGACGACATTGCTGTCATTTTCAGTGATAACAACGCCGACGAACAGGTCATCCGTATTCGTCAAGTCCAGACTCACAAGGATGATGATGACGATGACGACGTTGAGTACGATGTGACTCTCAAGAAGCTTGAACAGCATCTGCTTGACACGCTTACTCTTCGTGGTGTCCCCGGCGTGGAGCGTGCTTTCATCAACGAGAGAAGCAAGGTCCGCGTCACCGAGGATGGCGCTCTGCTCATGAGCAAGACCGACCCTCTTTGCAAGGACTGGGTTCTTGAGACCAGTGGCTCTCATCTTGCGCCAGTACTCTCCATTCCTGGTGTTGACGCTACTCGTACCTACTCTAACCAGTTCATCGAAATTTTCGAGGTCTTTGGTATCGAGGCTGCCCGTACTGCTTTGCTTCGCGAGTTGACCCAAGTGTTGGCTTTCGACGGCTCCTATGTCAATCACCGTCACTTGGCCCTCCTAGTCGACGTCATGACCGTTCGGGGTTACCTGACTCCTGTTACTCGTCATGGTATCAACCGTGCCGACAATGGTGCTCTCATGCGTTGTTCGTTCGAGGAGACAGTCGAGATTTTGTTGGAGGCTGCTGCTTTCGGAGAACTCGATGACTGCCGTGGCGTGTCAGAGAACCTGATTCTTGGACAGATGGCCCCCGCTGGAACGGGAGAGTTCGACGTTTATCTGGATCAGAACTTGCTCAACACGGTCGTTTCAAACAACGCCCGCTTCGCTCTTATGGGCGGAGTTGGTGCCAAGGACGCGATTATCTCTGATGGTGCTGCCACCCAGTACGATAGTGGCTCGCCTATGGCCAGCTCGCCGTACATGATCGACTCGGATCCCGACGCAAGCTTCTCGCCTATTCGACAGGGTGGTGCCGAGTCGCCCGGAGGCCTTTCCAAGTACCAGCCCTCGGATGGCTTCGGTGCATTCAGTCCCGGTGCTCGTAGCCCTGGCCAGGTCTATTCCCCGACCAGCCCCTTCAACACCAGCATGGCCTCTCCAAGCTGGTCGCCATCCTCGACTGCCTATTCTCCCACGTCTCCTGGTATTAGCAGCCCTGGCTTCACTTCTCCTCGCATGTCGCCAACGTCGCCATCGAGCCCGCAGTTCGTGATCACATCTCCGGCTTACTCGCCTTCGTCGCCTGCTGGGGCGTCTCCATCGTACTCCCCTACCTCGCCGACGTACAGCCCGTCGTCACCCAACTTCAGCCCGGCCTCGCCAGCCTTTAGTCTGACATCTCCCGAGTACAGCCCTACTAGCCCTGCGCTTGGTGGCGGTCGGCACTTGTCTCCCACTTCGCCCGCCTCCCCGACCTCTCCCAAGTGGAGTCCTACTTCTCCTTCTTGGTCTCCCCCTCAACCTGAGGCATACTCGCCGACGTCCCCCAAATTCTCTGGCTCTCCGACATCGCCCGCGGCTGCCTACAGCCCGAGCTCGCCGGAATTCCATAGTCCGACGTAAGTTCATCCTGTTAGCTACTGCAGGAACACCGTGACTAATGTGTCATCAATAGGTCTCCGCGCCAGAAGTGAGGACAGACACGGCTTGCCTAGCTTTGGTTCGTGCTGTACCACTGTATTATCATCAAAACATTCCGATAAACCACAAAAAAGAGTTATTTCGCAGCTGACAACTCGGAATTGGATGTTTCATCTTTTTCTGCTTCACAATCTGGGTGACCCCCTCGTCACCCTTTCGACTGTATCTGTTTTCTTAGCAATGCTGGTGAGCCCTTCGCTGGGCTTTTTTATTTTCATCCTTTTTTCTTCTTTCCCTCTTCCCTACGATGCCCCAGCTCCTGCCGTCACTGCCGTTTCCGAAATTGAGAACGACTTTGTTGCCCCCCCTTTTCGCAGGTGGTTATGGATGTGTTCCCTGGCGTCTCTCAGGGATGGAGCCTAGGTCTTAGCTGATCTCGGGCACCGATCTCTCAGGAAGCGCTACATGACTTTCGAGCTCATGATGGGGAACGCGCCGTTGCTGCCCAAATGTTTTTCCTTTTTCTTTTTGCATGAAGAGCGCACTGGGGGTTCTGTATTTGATTTGATTTTCTCCCATGCTGTACACAGACTCTAGGGAGCTGAATAAAAGGAATTTAATGATTAGCTGCCATCTGGAAATTTTGTAAAATTTGCAACGACTCCGAGAATTCTAGAAATAATAATGTATCGAGCTTCTTGTGCCAATGCCATCACGTTAGCGTGGTTCCATTTAGTTATACGGATGTTGTATACAAGCAAGGCGGTGATTCGCTATCGGCAGAATGAAGCTCCGCGGTTTAGCCAAGTGGCCCGTTGGAACTACATGACGAGCGCCATGCTCCAACTGTCTCACATCTTCTTGTTTCCGACCCCCAACGGAGTCGCAATGCGATTCTTCCACTCTCTGAATTCTCATATATCACAGGCATCATGAGGACGCCGTTGATTTCCGTTCTGCCGGCCCTGCGTGAGTTCCCCTCGCTCTCCACTTCTCGTTTCCGGGGTTGTTAGTCGGTGCTGACTCCGCTTCCAAGTGCTTCTACAGACATGCGCAGCTGGGCCAACCCAAGCTCCCTTGGGCGAAACCTCATCTACGGAGGTTGTCGAAAGCAATGAGAAACCTGAATATCTGTTTACAGAGCCAGAACCTGAGCCAAGGCCAATTAGCCGTGAGTTTTGCCCGAGAGGACCGGCGCACGTGCAGCTTCAAACACTGCCGTCATACTAATGCGACTTGATTTCCTGTGACAGCTCGAGTTCATAATGCCTGGGAGACACTTCGAGGAGTGAAGCCGGCCATTCTTAACGTCGATCGGCCCACCGGAATCGTTGGATACACCCTACATTACGGTCGCGAGGCCTTTCGGTTACTGTTTTTGAATGGGCCCACCCCTGATAAAGCCGAGAGGAAGCTCAGTCCCACGGTCGCCCTGGCTGTTGAAGAGCTCAAGGCAGCAGCAGATGAAGATGGTGATCCAGACGCGATGTTCCTCCTCGCGGAGATGAACTTCTACGGCAACTTCACGCACCCGCGCAATTTCAGCGCCGCATTCCAGTGGTACAATGACCTGGCCTGGTTGACGGGGAACAGCACTGCACAGTCCATGGTCGGATTCATGTACGCGACGGGTATTGGTGACGCTGTCGAACGCGATCAGGCGAAGGCGTTAATGTACCACGAATTCGCCGCGGAAGGAGGAAACACACGATCGGAGATGACGCTGGCATATCGGTACCATACTGGAATCGGGACCCCGAAGAACTGCGAACACGCGGTCTTTTACTACAAGAGGGTTGCCGACAAGGCTATCGAGTACTATCGGTCAGGCCCACCTGGTGGCCATGCCATGGTCAGGGAATCCTACCGCTGGGCGGATGAGGAGGGCGGTGTTTATGGAGAAGGTGCTAGCGTGTCGAGCTCTGGGCATAATGCTCGTGATCCTAGTCACTCTGCCACCGAGGCCAGCGTTGAGGATGTTCTTGAGTACCTTGACCTCATGTCTCGCAAAGGTGAACTCAAGGCCACGTTCACTCTAGGCAAGATGAACTACGAAGGTGCGCACGGATTGCCTCGCAGCTTTAAGAAAGCCATGAAGTATTTCAGAGCAGTGACTAAGCGTTACTGGAATACGGACGGCTCTTTCGTTCCAAACCCCTCCCCGGGGCTTGACAAGTTGGCTGCTAAAGCGGCAGGACACATTGGCCTGATGTATCTGCGCGGAGAAGGCGTTGAACAGAACCTGAACCTCGCCTTGACTTGGTTCCGGCGGGGTGTAAAGAATGGGGATGGTCTCTGCCAGCACGAGATGGGACTGATGTATCTTCACGGCTATGGAGTACCCCAGGATGCGTACAAAGCGGCATCATATTTCAAATCTGCAGCAGACCAGGATATTCCAGCCGCGGAAACTCGAATCGGTGCACTATTTCTAGATCAAGGAGACGTGGCCGCCGCATCTAGATACTTCGAGCTGGCCGCCCGGTGGGGATGGATGGAGGCGTACTACTACCTCGCGGAGATGGCCAACTTTGGCGTGGGCAGACAACCACACTGTGGTGTTGCTGCGGCATATTACAAGATGGTTGCCGAGAAGGCGGAAGTGATTCATTCAGCCTTCGCCGAGTCGAACGACGCTTACGAACGTGGCGACAAGGAGAGTGCTCTCATTCCAGCCATGATGGCTGCGGAGCAAGGATATGAGCATGCGCAAGCCAACGTGGCTTACCTTCTTGACGAACAACGCTCATTATTCTCGTTGAGCCGGATATTGCCATGGGCTCAGAAGGCTCGGACGAAGCTGCTACGCAATACGGCGTTGGCCCTGATCTACTGGACTAGGTCAGCCAAGCAGTCCAATATTGACTCCTTGATTAAGATGGGCGACTACTACTTGCGAGGAACCGGCGCACTGGTTGATGCCGAGAAGGCCTCGACGTGCTATCACAATGCGGCTGAGGCTCACCACAGCGCACAGGCGTACTGGAACCTAGGCTGGATGCATGAGAATGGCGTTGCCGTGGCGCAGGATTTCCACATGGCCAAGAGATACTATGACCTTGCTTTGGCGACAAATCGTGAGGCGTACTTGCCCGTGAAGCTCAGCCTTCTAAAGCTTCGGGCGCGAGGATACTGGAACCGCATCACCAACGGAGATATCAATCCCATCCGCGATGAAGGTAAGCACATGAAACTTGAAGGAGGGACAATCCTCCTCTTTATTCTTAATTAGTTGCTGACTGGTTTCCCTTTTTCAGATACGAGACCTCGCCGCACCTTCAAAGAATGGATTACGGCTTTTATCGAGAATGACGCAGCCGACTATTACAACGAGCTCTACGAAGCTCGCGAAGACGACGAAGACTTCATGGGCTCGGTCCAGTCAGACCAAGGTGACGGATATTATGACGATTTGGATCTGGACATCGACGATAGCGTCCTTGAGGGCCTGCTCATTGTCGGCTTAGCCGCGACCCTTCTCGTGCTGGTGTACATCCGCCAGCAGCAGCAGCGGAATCGCCAGAATGCGAACGCAGCCAACCAGGGTGGTAATGCCAATGCCAACGCAAACGCCAATGGCAATGCGAACAACAACGACCGTGGCTTCTTCCCACAGCCCGGTGACCCGGAATTCGGGCAGTGGGTGGCAGGTGGAGTGGGCCATTGATGAAAGAATCTGTAATGTATGGATCTTAACTGTAGATAAATGTCAGCTGCATTGCATCTTATCGATAAGACATCTGAAGTTCCTCTTCATCGTCACCCTTATTCTCATCCTCAATTATCCTCCTGTATCTGGTTTCCACTCTTCAGTACTCTCACCTGTGCCCTTGATTTAGTCAAAATCGCAATGGAAGACAACAATCCCCCAAGCAAGCGGCGTCGCTTGAACGCAGCAGCCGCTCTATCGAAGCCCTTCAAGTCCCCGCTGCGCAAACCCGGGCCCATCGAAGATGCGTCTCAAACATCGCCCCGCACACCAAGTATCAGTGCGATCGCCCAAAACGAGAAATTTACGCCGGAAGCTGTTACTACAAAGCCTGAGATTGCTACATCATCACCAATTTCATCACAGGCCACGCGCACAATGAGGCCTTCAAATCGCTCTGCACTCTCCACGCCAATGCAATCGCCTCTTGCAGACCCCGAGCTCCTACGCTTACAGAAACAGGAGCGCGCTCTACAATCCCGACTCACAGCTCTCCGCGAAGAGCTCAACGTTGCAAAACAAGCCCTCCGCATTGAGTCCTCAAATAAAGATGCCGAGCTTGATGGACTGATCACCAAGTGGCGTCATGCGAGCCAGGAGGCAGCCGACGAGGTTTTCGCCGGTGCCCAGGAACGGGTCACTAAAATGGGTGGCCTGACAGCGTGGAAGGAACGTTCGAAGCGTGATACATTTCAGTGGGATCTTGAAGAGGAAGAGAAGGATGCGGATGAATACGGGGATGAGAATTGGGATTTGGGAGATGTCTTTGCGGAGGAGAAACATGGGTCCAAAAAACAAGAGGAAGAGCCTAATGAAGAGGTATGGAGACTTTTGCGACACCTGGTATGTAGATGTACAGTAGCTGACCGGATATCACAGGAATTTACCGTGGACTTCATGCTGAAGACGCTGAATATCGATCTCAAGATAATCGGCTATGATTCGGCGATGGGCAAGTGGATCCGGGATTGAGATGGAAAAGACTGCCGACAATGGGGGCATTATGAGTGTGAACTGTATCAATTACTGTTGAGTATATCTCTTGGTCTGTCGTTGGTCAGCGATATAGTAGTGGTATCTCAAACTTCTGCTCGTCCAGTAGTGATGCATTCCTTCCTTTCTGGGCGCTTATCGGCTTAGCTCCTTATCACTGCTAGTAGCAATTCTCTGTATCTGAATGTTTTATCTTTGGCTATTGGCTATCAATGTCATGTCGGCCTCGGAAGTCAGCCGAAAGCTTCTTATCAACGGATTGGCATATCGAACCGGTTCATCTCCGCTTTTCCCCGCACTCTGGATTTCACCTTCCTCGCCTCCCCCAACACCCGCATGTCGCGCCCATTCAGACCACGAGATATCGCCTGTGCCCGTTGTTTTCGCCTCAAGCGCAAATGTGATCATGCGAAGCCTACCTGCGGCGAATGCCGCCGTAAAGGCGCGGAGTGCCTCCCTGCCAGATCGCGCAAGTCTGGAGATAGCATCACCATCCCGGTCGCATACCTGAAAGACCTCGAGAGGAGGGTGGCCGAATTGGAAGGCTCAAATTTAGGGGCAAACACTGGTGTGGAGCTGTGCGACGCGGGCGTACAGACTGATTTTGTGGAGAATGGGAACATCGCTACGGGTATAGCATCGAGTGCGCAATCTCCATATTGGGCCAATGGGGCGGACGAAAGCCAAGCGCTGGTACTTTCGTCTGTTATGCAGTCCCAAGGGCAGAACTCTCGGCTGTCACCATTTTCGCCGTCGTCACTTACGGATTCGATTTTCCAATTCAATGATGAAACCCTCGATTTCCTTCGCCTCGATAAACCATCTTTTCCCCTTGTTGGCGAGGACTCCATATGGCTCACGGAGCTTTACACAAATATATACTTTTCAATATCCCACCGCGAGTGGCCCTTCTTGAACGAGTCTGCTTGGAAGAAATGGCATCGCGAGGAGGGTGTAACGGGACAAGAAGAATGGCGATTCTTCTTTCTCCGCATGGTGTATGCCATTGGGGCATCACTCTGCAGCACAATGCACAGAGACCCAGCACATCTGACTCGCTCCAAAGAACTCTATGCCTCCGCAATGAATTATTATCCACAGGTGGTGGGACATCCGTCCATGGTTCTACAAGTTCAAGCATCTCTATTACTCATCGTCTATGCATTGCACTCTCCGTCGTCAGAGGAGATGGCTACGACTGTCTCCTCAATATTACCATTCTGCACCGCTGCAATTACGCATCTTCGAAAATACGTCCGAATTGACCGGGACGACGAGACAACCGCAACTTCTGGCGAGGTCATGTCAGAGAATATGTTCATCGCTTGCTACATGCTAAACGAGGTCATTGCATCCGGATGGGATAGACCTGTATCTCCTTCGTATCGAATAGTGGATGACGATGTAAGAGATCCAATATTTCGGTTAACAGTTCGTTTCAGCAAACCCACTGACAATCATCTAGCTTTGCATTTTAGGAGACACAATCCAACCTCCCGGTAATGCAAATCCCGCACTGGGTCATTTATTCCGACTGCGAAAAATCCAAAATAACATTAGGAGGTCACTTGAGAGATCGCGTTGGCGGTATTCCGAAGAGAAGGATGCTTTCAGTTCATCACTAAAGTCTGCTCTGGATATCTGGAGACAGGATATACCCCGCTACGGAACCTCGAATGTTTCCAGTGGATTTTATCACCCGAGTTGGATGACGAAGTTGTATGATTATAGTATTCTTATTTTGATGGAAGAAAAGCGGAACTTCCTTGATCACGAGGGAACAGAAAAGATCTTCTCTGCCGTTGTAGAAGTCTGTCTGCAGTTCCGTCGATTACAGGAGGAGGGACATGTGATGTGCTTTACTTGGTCTGCGGTAAGCTGTCCTGAATGGTCCAACTCCGATTTAGATCTGACAATTGTATAGCTCGTATTCCAATTCAGAGCTGCCATCATGCTCCTCTACCTAATCTGGGCAACAAGACCAATCATGGTCAGTATGGTTCTACAGGGTCAACATTCCTATGATTCACCAGAAGCAATCGACGCCTGTTTAAAGAACTTTGCATGTTTTGCAGAACGCTGGGAGGATGCCATACCATACTTCAAATTGTTTCAATTTTTGCATCAGAAGATCCTACAGACTACGGGGTCGTCTGCAATGGAGGTCGATCTCCCTGGCTTGGTAGAGGCGGAGACTCACTTGGAGCAGCTGAAGAAGAAGTATCTACATCGGGCCATCTCGGGAATGATAGAGGATATGATGTATGGGGGGTTTACACAGTTTGAAGCGCTACAGGTACCAGACACTTTGGTAACTGAAATACTGTGAATGATGTGATGATATAAATGCAGTAACAGTTCAAAAATTCGAAACAAGAGCCCTATGGTCTCAACATCCCCAGTTCCAATGTCACATAAGATTCATCCATTTCTTTCTGAGATGGACAAGATAGCAATGGCTCGTACTATTCGGAAGCCTAGTCCATTATTTACAGTATGGGATGAATAACCGAACATACACTCGACAATAGGGAGAGATACACGAGGAGAGTTGACCTCATACAAAAGTCCATTAATACATAATAATCGTTTCCAATAGCTTGTTTAGCTGAACAAACAAGCAACACACACAAGGATATCATCAAAGGGCCTGCCATATTAACATGGCCACGCCTGCTGCCCATGGACTAGGGAGCGAGAGGCCGCTAGGCGCAGAATTCTTGTTGGTAGTAGTCGAGGCTGTAGTACTGCCTGCGGTTTCAGTGCCATTAGAGCTCGTAGCAGCGCTAGTAGCTGAGCCCGAAGTAGTGCCTGTAGTTCCAGTGCCACCAGAGTGTCCGGTAGCAGATGATGACCCGGAAGACGATGAAGTTGAAGGCTTGGGACACAAGTTGTTATACACAAATTGGTCCGGAGAGCCCGTACAAGTGGTTGCAGACGCAGCGTTAAATGTGCCGTTCGCATAGATCCAGCAAGTACCCGAGGCATATGGCGAGTCGCTCGAATTCTCCGCATTAAAGACGACATAGCTGCAGGAATCGGCCTTTGCACATTCACTCAAGCAGCTCGATGCACCCGTACTGGCAACACAATCGTAAAAGCAGTCACTAGGCGCCGGATACCCGCACACCGAGGCAATAGCAGAGGGAGTCGCGGTGGCGGTAGAGGCGCCAGAAGTGGTGGTTGCGCTCCCACCAGAATACACGGGCTCGTTGTAGACAGATAGGGTGGGATTGGAGCAATTCGAACTGCCTTTGCTCGCATCAAAGGTCTCACCTGGGTACAGCCAGCATGTGCCGGTGCCGAGGGTAGGGTTGCCGGCAGCGAAGATAACAAAGTTGCAGGGAGGGTGGGCGTTACAGTAGTCCCAGCAGGAGGCCCTGCTTTCAATGGCGACCTCAAAGTCTGCGCCAGGCTCCGGGTAGTCGCAGAGACTATCGATGAGGGAAGCTGTACAGGTTGTTGCCGCGGAAGTAGATATGTAGCCGAGGTAGCAGATGTCGCTTTGGTTGCAGCTAAAGCCCGTGGGGCTAACAGGGCCATAGAGACCCAGAAAGGAGCGATCTTCATGGTAGCGAGCGTAGGCAGGGGAATGAATGTGTCTAAAATTGGGAGAAGTATCAATTTTTAAGGGGTAATAAGCATGTCCGATTTTAATATCACGTGGTAAGTGCCTATCCTGGTAAACTTGGAGGTTTTAGCGTGTGATGGACCTGGGGTCTAAAGCTAATACGCGCTGGGAATTGATTACTTTACTACTTTGGGAATAGCTTGTGCACTCCCAATACAAAAATATAGTTATACAAAGATACATTCGTATTTAGAAGTACAATGAAAGGCACAAAGATCCCTGCTCCGATAAACCATGACAATGGCATTATCTCAGTAGGTAGCTCAGCAATGAATTCGGAGACTCTGCCATCCAGAGTTTTGCCCAAAGGATATGCAGACAGGCCAGCTTCTGAATACTCAAAAGACATCGAGGTTGCGGTTTCACCGTCACCTAGATCACAAGAGTATCATCTTTCCAGCTGTAGCACATGTGCCGGTGTGTGCAGTAATGACGACAATTGTCTGATTGAGAGCTGGACTCTTCCACATTTCCCAAGGTCTATCCCGCTCAGAAATTGGGTATGTTGTCGTTAGAGACCACTTGCCATTCTCCACGATGGCATCGCATGGCTCTCCATTCACATAGCATGTCAAGTGCACGGGACTATCACCAGACACACGAACAGATCCTTGTATTTGAACAAGCACCGTCGAGTCGTTAACCTCCTTGACCTGCCCTTCCACTGCGAGTTCCACTAGGCTTTGGGATGTACCGTTGACCGAAATACGATCAGAAGGCAACGCTGGCACATCGGGCGGCTGGAGCCGGCACTTGGACGCCATCTCGAAGGCATATCCATATCGTAGTAGGTCAATGTCCTCATACCCCTTGCCCGCAAAAGTGAGATTCACTGGTATATGTGTATCCTCCATCACACCCATTGGAACTGAAATCGTTGGAACGCCGAGGTGACGGATTGGCCGATTGCCATTGGAGTATTTAACGCCATTACTCCATGCAAATAGTGAGGTCTCCTCATCCTTGTCAGCATTAGATGCGCCCACATCGCCATTTGCAGGGAAAACCACAGCATCCAGGCCGAGCTTGTCCAGCCAGTCTTCGAAGGTTGCCTTTCGAGCATGCTCAAGAGCATTGATTGCCTGCTTCATTCCTGGGATTTCGAATATGGAAGATGGCTTGGTGTGCGGATATGCCACAATCTCGCCCCATCGTGGCTTGTTGGCCGCCTCGGGGGTGCCAAGGAGGGAGCCCGGGGCCAAGGGAAAGATTGTAGTAGGATCAACAACCGTTAGAGAAGGAAGATCTTTCTGGCCATTTGAAACGACAAAGTCATCCCACGCATGGGAGACAACCTCGCATCGTTCTTTGGCCTGCCAGCCTTCCGGGAGATTATCAACAGTAACCAACTGACCCGAGGCCGCATTGGATTCATAGGATGTCACAAGAGGGAAGTCGGTCTCCACCACTTCAGCGCCGCAGGCTTCCAGTGCCTTCCTTGCTTCTCGCCAGAGCTTGATGATAGAGGCTCGTGTGCTCACTTTGCTGACAGGTAGAATGGAGGCATCGTCTCCTCCAATGTACATTGAAGGTACACCAATGCGCTTACCCTTCAATGAAGCATTATCCTTCAGGGTTGTAAAAGAATCAGGACGAATAGTATTCATTGTAGGAAGTTTGACAAACGGCTGTTCATTGTAGAAATCGCCCGCTGGTGCCGGATCAGGTACACCTAGCACGTCAAGCACATGGAATAAATCCTCGACGGTCCTGGTATGAGGGACCAATACATCGCAGGTCGGATAGAGAGGGAATACACCCCGAAGTGGGAGCAGTCCCTTAGAAGGTGTGTACGCAACGATAGCATTATTCGATGCAGGCGACCGACCAGACGAGACAGTCTCGGTCCCCAGAGAGAATGTGCAGAAGTTTGCTGCTGTGGCGACAGCAGAGCCATTCGATGAGCCAGAAGCATATGCCGCTGCCAGGTAATTGCTGTTATAAGGACTCTCAGCACGTCCCCAGACTCCGCGCTGCATACCACCATATGCCATCGCTGGCATGTTGGTCCGCCCGAGGAGGACCGCGCCAGCATTCCGGAGAATCTGCACGCATGCCGCGTCTTCATTTGCAATGAGTTTCTCAAAGGCAGGCGATCCGTTGGCGACTGTCATGCCTTTGACTTTGATATTGTCTTTCACCAGATAGGGAATGCCTTCCAGTGGTCGTGGCGGTAATCCTGCGGCACGTCTGGCATCTGATGCGGTAGCTTCATCAAAAACGGATTGATTGAGAATTGGAATAGCACTGAGTTTTGGTCCGTTGGCATCATAGACACTGATACGTCGCAGATAGCGCGAGACCAAATCAACGCTGGTAAGCCATCCAGATGAGAGTGCATTCTGTAGCTCGGCGATGCTAGCGTCGAGTATAGTGAACTCTTGACCAGAGTTTGGTTGGGCCATGTTGCCTTTTGAAGATGGTACTTGTTGTCCGATTTGTTTTCGCGCGCTGATTGGCAATTACCCGCGCTCACAATCAATAGATATCAGTTGCAAGAAGAATCCAGACCTTCGATAGAGTTCCTGTTATCCTGCAATGATCTTATACAGACAATACCGCAATCCAGCAATCCAGTGCGGAGACGGCGGAGAATTGTCCGCTGAGCAAACTTTCTCCACTTCCATCATTTGCAGGCGGCCGATTGTCCGCCTGAGCGCCTATCGTCGCCCGAGGATAACGAGACTTCAGCTTATCTGCTTGGCAGCGATAATGATTGCTCTTAGTGTGCGGAGTAAGATGCATATAAGCTAAGGATAATCGCGGGGTAGAGCAAGGGAAGAATGCAGAATCATTCATCTGAGAAATTTCCTGCTTCTTGTTCAAGATGGATTCGAAAGATCTGAAGGTGGAGCAACCACCTGCTGCGGAGAAGGATGTCTCTCTCGGAGAGGTCCTTGATATCGGAGCTGATCTATATGTTGAGGCTGATCAATTGTCGACCGAGGAGTTGGAGAGTGAGGGAGCGAAGGTGCTGCGAATTCTGGACTGGAGAATCATGCCGATTGTGAGTTAAGACTTTTAACAGTTCTATTCGGTTTGTTTGGTCTTTTTCTGACTTCTCTTCAGCTATACGTGACTTATGTGATACAATTTCTTGGTATGAAGAGCCTCTCAGCGAACGATTGTTTTCAAGATCTAGGATTAATTATTCATGGCAATATAGACAAACTATCGCTCAACTATGCTTCGGCATACTCGCTCATTCCTGATCTTGGCCTGGAGGGCCAGCGTTACTCTTGGGTAGCAGCCATCTTCAACTTCGGATACCTTTTCTGGGCCATACCAGCAAACCTACTTATTCAGAAATTACCCGTCGCTAAGTACATGGGAGGCATGCTTCTTATGTGGAGTATCATCGTGATCGCGCATATTGGGGCGAAGAACTATGCAGGTATTTTGGTGTTGAGATTCCTGTTGGGGATGGCCGAGGCTGGAGTTAGTCCGTGCAGTGAGTGTCCCCCAACAGCGGCCGCACTTTTACTTGATAAATCGCATTTTCTGATAAAAATACAGTGATGGTCATAACATCTATGTTCTATAAGCGCTCCGAACAGCCTCTCCGCATGGCTATCTGGTTGAGTGCCAACGGAATGGCGACTATGGTAGGAGCATTACTTGGCTTCGGTCTCGGACACTCCCACAACACCGCTCTCCATAGCTGGCAGCTCATTTTCCTGACAATTGGACTTCTTAACTTTGTTTGCGGAGGCGTATTCCTCGCGCTCATGCCTGACTCGCCTGCCTCTGCACGCTTCCTGACCCATCGCCAGCGGGTTGTAGCCGTCAGGCGAGTCGCGGAGAATATGATCGGCGTGAAGACTCGACAGATCAAACTGGGACAAGCTGTGGAGAACCTTTACGATATCAAAATCCTTTGCTGTGCAGGTATCGGTATTGCTTGCGGAGTCATCAACGGCGGAGTTTCGAACTTCGCTTCGTCGCTGATCAAAGGCTTTGGATTCAGCGGAATCTATGCTACGCTTCTTCAACTACCGACGGGTGCCATTGAGGCCATAATAGTCCCAATCTGTGGTCTTGTCGCAACATATGTTCCAAATTCACGTTGCATCGTCCTCGCTGTTGTTAGTGTCATTCCATTTGCCGGGCTGCTGGGCATCCGATTTACAAGCCTTGACCACCGATGGACGCTCGTTGGATGCACCTGGCTACAGTATATTATTGGCGCTCCCGTCATTGTATCCTGGAATCTACTATCTACCAATGTGGCAGGCCACACCAAGCGAGCCGTCGCTAATGGTATATGGTTCACACTATATGCCGCGGGGAATGTCGCTGGAGCAAATATTTTCTTCTCCCGTGAAGCTCCAAGATACTACTCTGCATTGACAGGGTTGTTGGTTTGCTATGCAGGAATCATAGTTCTATCAGGTATGGCGTACATGGCTATGCTATGGGAGAATAAGCGAAGGGATGCAGCAGCGGCTGCGGCCGGGGAGGGTACAAGCTTCAACGAAACCCATTCCCAAGCCATTCTGGATGGATTCAAGGATATGACCGATATGGAGTCTAAGCATTTTAGATATGCACTTTAAGTAGCATGGAGAGTGTAATCAGCATGGCTGTCTGCCTACCTCTTGAAGGCACACTGAGAAGCCTAATTCCCTGTGGTATATTCGAAAATTTTTGCAAATACATGGCATACTCTCCTTCCCATAATGGTATTGTTTAGATTCATATAGAAATTAACTGTTAACTAGAGTGTCAACTATGGATTCCTCTCCAAGTCTGATGCTGCTGCCTAAGGCAGCAAGGCCACGAGCCTTGCGAAAAATCCATGTGGCGGTGTCGAGTGACTTCCTCTTTCCCCCTAACCCTGCTAAGTCGCCCTTTAGGTCTAGCTGCCTGTTTCAATGCGTTTGAGGCGGGTTTGGAGTGGGGATTATCGTGAAACATGGGTGCTGAAGTTCCAGTCAGCCGCCGCGTTGGTTCCCGAAAATCGAGATCTGGGTGTAAAACCTGCAAGTGAGCTGCTCCGTATTTGTCCTTGTGCTTCACTGCTAACAGCGGACTAGGATTCGTAGGGTCAAATGTGGCGAGGAAAAACCAACATGTCATCGTTGCTCCAGTACAGGACGACGATGTGAGTATGAGGGCGATGAGACATCCCCTAGAGGTTCAACTACCCCGCCGTCACTGTCGCCAAGCCAAGCACTGTCGTTATCGCCAAATTCAGGCCAGCGCGAGCGTCGTGCATTCGAGTATTACTTTCAGCATGCCGCAAAATACCTTGCTGGTGGTATGGCCATCGATTTCTGGACTGGCGTTGTCCCGCAGCTTTGCCGCACAGAGCCCGCTGTGTGGGACTCGATGATTGCGATCAGTAGTCTGTATGAACACCCTGACCAATGCACGGATTTCACATTATTGAGAGCTCGTGAAACAAGCTCGCATAATATGAATTCATCTCTACAAGAGGCTTTGGCATGGTACTCACGGTCGATATCGAACATCCACTCTCAGATTGAGCGCGGAAAAGCCGACCCGTACATCGCACTCATTAGCTGTGTGCTATTTATCTGCATTGAGACCATTCAGGGGCGCATGGAGGAGGCATTGCAGCTATACAAGCAGGGTGTGACTTTGATACTTGACCTGCGAACTCAGGTTTCCCTTGGAGAGGTGTCCGCGACAAAAGCTGCTCTTTTGGAGCACACGATGATCCCGCTATTCCTACGTTTGGGAACCATTTCCTTGACCATTTCTGACGTTCAACCTACCGAGGTTTTTGCACTCGTCGAGCAAGAGACAAACCCTTCTACATTTGAGTCACTGAGCTCTGCTCGATCTGCCATCACTATCCTTTCTATGGAAATAATCCTTTTCGATCGGGAAGCAAGGATGCACCTGTATGCTGTCGGAGGCGAAGCTTTCGTGAGTCAAGAAATGCTCGCGAGAAAGCAGTCCTTCCAAACCCAACTCGACGGCTGGGTTCGCGCTTACAATTCTTATTGTCAAACCATCTCAGATAAATCTTACCCATTGGGGGTGGAGCCTATCCTCCTTTCATATCACGCTGCTGCATCCATCTCACTGTCTGGATGTCTCACATATTCAGAAACCGTCTTTGATGCTCATATAGCACATTTCACAACCATTGTTGAACAGGCTGACCTGGCGCTCACTACCTCGGCTGGACCCGACGGCTCACAGCCACCATTTACCTTTGAGATGGGTGTTGGCATTCCTCTCTTCCTGACATCAATGAAGTGTCGAGAGCCAAATTTACGACAAAGAGCACTGCAGCTATTACTACAAGCACCCCCGATGCAAGGCTTCTTCAAATGTACTCCAGTCGCTCTTCTGGCAGGAAACATCATGAAGCTCGAAGAGCACTATGCTCGCACAATGCGAGAAATGAGATCAGAGCAACAATCTTCCGATAATACATATAAAGCTGTGCCCCTGCCGACGACGCCAGAGCTTATCCCGGCGGAGGCACGTGTATCTTTTTGTGGCGTTTTCCGGCCCGCTACTGGCTTTCCTCCAAGCATCACCGAATTTGACGTCGCTAGATGGGGCCGTGGTCCAGATCAGCTTTTCTTGCATTATTCGAGACAAATATTCGACACGAATAGTAAGACATGGCAACAAGTTCCAGAAATCGTGCCACTAGAGGCCTGAGTTGCGGCTCCGGGGAGGAACAGTATTACCTTTAGTAGGAGCTGTTTTCATTGCTTTTCTCCTTCGGCACGCCATATTGAGTATTCTATCGTTGCATCCGTGGGCCACCTCGGCCTTGCCATATCCTATGTGCATATCGCATTGCCATTGATTGAGATCCGAGTCCATCACGCTGAAATATTCTTCGGGAACTTGGAGCAGCTTGGATGCGATGAGCGACTGTATATAATACACTAGAAAGTCCAAATGCACCGTCTCCCGACCTTCGACTGCAGGCTTTAGGCTCGAGCCATCTAGAATGCCAGGAACTTTCATCAGAAGCATAATATATCCCACCAATGCGTGCAAGACGAGTATACACATTCTACAGCTTTCCCCCCTAGGTCTTGCTCAATTGAGTGTCATAGGAGGTCGAGGCTCTGATGCGTACTTAAGTGGTTCGAGAGTTAATCATGGATCTGACTGAGTGGTGTCATTGTTTTTATTCACTCAACTATGAAAACTTGAACTGATTATTATCTAAAGGTCCTTGAAAATTGTTCCCGACAGAGTAAAATTTCTGCCAATTTCAAGGTGATCTGCCTTTAGCTTTCCTCCATTCGCAAATTTCACCCACAAGTCCTTGAGTTCTGAGCCAAGCCGGGAGATTTGTTCTTCTGTGTCTTCGCCGGCGAGCATAGGAGCAGCTTTCCAGGACTCTCTCGTTCCCAACACAAATGGGATGTCGATGCAGTGGCATGCTCCCAACGGATTCTTATTTCCTGCCCAGCCGAAGGAATAACTTGTTGACGTCCCCCCAGCTTGGAGTATCTGCTGATGGAAGCGCTGAGATGGCCACTTGAAGTAGCTTTGGGTTATGTACCAGGTTCCAAGGGCCTCTACATAAGATCCGACAACAGGCAATTTGAGTAAGTTTTGGGGTCCCATCATGCTGGCAAAGGGGCGTCCATCGTGATCGGTCCAGCCAATGAGAATGGGAATATCCTTCGTAGCCTCATAGATCTTTTGATCAAATTCTTGCTCCGTTGGCAAGGGAGCGTATCCAAGAGCCGGTGCAAATAGCATGACTTGCGTCTGAACGGGTTTCATCAAAAGCTGCTTCTGAACGAAAAGTATATCATCTATAGACATCTCTCTTGGGTCCTTGGTAAAGAGTTGCTCTGCTCTTTGTGTGAGCATGGGTGCCGTGGGCGTCCGTTCCTTTAACTCTCGTAATGGCGGGCTAAGAAGGATGGCACGATGGAAGAGGCCTTTGGTATTTTCCGAGGCCATCAAGCAAATGATCGAATCTGCGCCAGCAGATTGTCCAACCATCGTGACATTGCCAGGGTTTCCACCGAAGGCAGATATGTTTTCCTGAATCCATTGCAAAGCAGCTCGCTGATCCAATAGTCCAAGATTGGCAGGTGCAATGCCCTCCAAATACATGTATCCAAACACTCCCAATCGATATGTAATGTTGACACATACTATCCCCCGTTTGGCGAGGTCTACCGGTTGGTAGCAGTCTAGGTCTCCACCGCCAGAAATATACGCACCGCCATGCAGCCAAACCATGACAGGAGCATTTGCAACATCCTTGGGGGCGATAATGGATACGTGCAAGCAGTCTTCGCTCAAGCTATGCCCCTTGGTCAAGGGGCCCATGACAGACTCCAATCGTGAAGGGAGTTGTGGACATATTGGCGCGCGTTCGGTGCAGTCCAAGGCGGCAGTCCAATTTTTGGTCGGCTGTGGCGTTTTGAAACGCTCAGCTTGAGCGTAAGGAACTCCTCGTGCGTGGATGAGGCTGTCCTCCACCAAGTTCGCTTTGACGGGGCCCCCGGGCAGTTGGATTGTTATCGTGCTGGCCATGGCGCTATATGGTCTGGAGAAGAAAGGGGCGGTTCAATGCAATGGATATAGAGAGAATCATAGAACAGGAAAGAAGGGAAGATAAAACAGAGATGTTGACTATGGCATCTTTAGCAAACGAGCTGCTGGAACACTGTGGATCTTCCATGTTGATGGTGGGGGCCGGGGGCTGGATTCTTGCGGGCGGGGAAGTTCCGCTACAGACGAAGTCGCCGACTGAAGCTCGGCGAGTAGGACTGATAAGCACGACTCATTTGGTAGGGACAAGCAGACAACGAAGATAGAGTAGCCTATCATTTTCACGGAGATATTGCACAAACAATTATGGCTAATCAATGAGAATAACGTACAATCTTCGGCCGAATGCACATAGAAAGGCAAGCATTATTGGAAGCCAACGCAACTATTCTTCAATATGGTACTTCTACTTCTTTGATACTACCTGCTACACATTCTTCCGGTAGAGTATCTTGGACCTCGTTGTTTATGGCATTATTCTCTTGACCATACTATTTATTCTATGGCTAATATGCCCCCGACCCTGTATGTCGTATTTGGCCACTGCTAAGTAACCGAAGTAGGTTGAGAAAATAATTATTCATGCCGATAGTGTTTGAAGTCAACAATCTTTCTTTATGGCTTGTCCTCCATGCAAACTACAAGAAAAATGAAAGATATTATTTATCGATGAAAGAAAACATCATATTATCTAACATCAAATATATGCCCTTGCTTGCTTCGCTAGTGCATTGAACCCGACCACCTGGAAAACCGGACTGTCCACTTTGAGGGAGTTAAGATCATGACAGTCAAGACAAGCATAGCGACTCATTATGACTGCGTCGTGAGTGCGACTCTTGACTTCCATTTGGTACTTATCCAGTGCTCGATCTTTAGATTGCTTGCCGTCTCTCCAAAGCACCAGTTCATCTCTCAAACGTGCAGCATCACAGATACCATGATTAGCAGCTTCGCCTCGATCTAAAGCTAGAATTAGCACGACTCCCATGCACAAGTTCTCATAAAATCCAAGATCACTTACACATTGTCATTGTATGAGCGGCGTCGCCAACCAGTGACACTCTTCCTTCAATTGAAGGCCAGTTCTCGGTGGGCCAGTCTTCCAACTTAATCTCAAGCATGGGACTATTGTCTGGTATGTCCATGATAGCTTGGCGTAGGCTGGGGAAGAAACCAGTATTACTCGCAGCTGCCTGCTTGACGCGAGCCAGCTGGTCTGCCGGCGACTTTGGTAATGGCCCATTTCGGTCGATAAGCCAGCTCATATTGAATTGGCCCTCATAAAACTCGTCATCTGTTCCGGCACTTCCATTGCTCTGCGGTGTTGACAACATTGAGAAAAAGAGATAGTACCCGGAGCCTGGGTGCGTCCCTTGCCAAAGTACTGGATGTATATCTCGAAACGGCTTCATCTTCTCAGGTGACAAGCGTAGACTAATTCCCACAAAAGCAACAGGGAGCGGATTCAGCTTGGCCTTTTCGTCACCTATGAGTAACCGTTTCGTGCGACTATTCTTGCCATCCACAGCAAGAAGCATGGAGCCCTCTACCGTGGAGCCATCATCAAACTTGACCAGCACACCGTCTTCGGTAGGATTGAATCCTGTGAATCGCTTTCCCCAGTTGATGTCAAGCCCAGTGCTAAGAAGTTGACGAAATGCCTTTCGGTTAAGTCGGTAGTGAGTCGATGAGGGGAAACGGTATTTGTCTTGACCTGTTTCAAGGTCCAAAAAGCGATAGCAGTCATTCTCTAGTGATTGAGGGTCCCATTAGAGATAATCGATTGAATGTCTGGAGATCATGCGAACCTTTTCCACCCTCGGCGGGATCCACTTGAATGGACAAGAGTCGACTGAAGACGTGTGCAGGGAGGCAAGATTCAAGCGCAGGAAGTGCCCAGTGCATGGTAATTCCCCATCCAGCCGGGCGCTCTTCGAGACTGTTATCCCTATCGTAGATTTCAAACTCAAATCCAGCCTTTTTCAATGCCTGTGCTAAAGTCAAGCCCACAAGGCCTGCTCCAATAATGATGATGGGCGCCATATTCTTTTGGCTATTCTGTTAGAACTCCAATGGACTAGAGGGCAGCAGACAGGGGAAATTTGGCCTATATTAGCAATCTATCGCCGCTTTTCTTATCATTATAGATGTACTATGAACTAAGTTCTGGTTTCAAAAGTAAGTTCAAGTCGGCGACTCAAGACGGCGAGTTCCGTCCACTCGCCCGCCAACTAGAATTGGAATATTCCCCTCACTTCTTACTCCTCACTTTCGATATTACGTTCTGTCATCTGAACCGATGAAGCTAACACCTGTTAAATAGATGTGCTCAAAGATGCAAATATAAGTGGAAGTACCATCACCAGGACCGCATTAACTTTATTTTTCCGAGCCAACCATTTCCGGTCAAATACTGTTCTAGCCATCAAGCAACGCCCAGCATCTCTTCTCTTCACCAGCAAACATGTACCTCACGAAGCAAATAAACGGGGTCGAAATTTGTTACGATGAATGTGGAACAGCCGACCGACCTGCTCTAGTCCTCTTGACTGGATGGGCGCACGACCTTCGTCTGTATGACGAGCTTTTGCCCTATTTAAGCCCCAAATACTGGGTCATCAGAGTTTGCTGGCGGGGACATGGCCCTAAACGCGATAATATCGAAGACTTTGGAGTTGAAGAGCAGATCAGCGACACTATCGGCCTGCTTGACTCTCTCGAAGTCGACAAATTCTACCTTGTCTCGCATTCACACGGCGGCTGGCCTGCACTGGGAATTGCCGACAAGCTGGGAAGAGACCGTGTTCTTTGTCTCTTGATGATTGATCAGATCATGACCCCGCCTCCCCCCGAATTTGCCGTGGGACTCCAAGCAATGCAAGCAAAGGAAACATGGAAAGCTGCTCGCCAGGGCCTATACGATAACTGGAAAGCGGGTAGCGACAATAAGGCGGTTGAGAATCATTATATTTACTCTTTTGGAAGCTTTGGCCACAGAATGTGGGCACTTTCCTGTCGAGTCATCGCCACGGCCTATCAAACATACGGCACGCCCATGCACCGTATGGAATTGATCCAAAACCCTCCACTCATTCGGCATATATTCTCCCATCCGCTGAATCATCCTGAGTATCGAAAGCTGCATGAAGAGCTCAGCAGAAAACACTCTTGGTTCTCCTTTACGGATCTCAAGGGCGAGACACATTTCCCTAGTCTTGAAGTTCCCGAGAAGGTTGCCCAACAGATTGATCAGCTTGTCCAGGAAGCTGATGGGGATAGCTAGCGAGCTCGAACGTAGTATCCTTTTTTACTTCATAATACGTGAAGCTGTTGTGAACGTTGATTTTGCCTCTACTTTTGTCTTACTTTTTGGTAGAATTAGAGCGGGGCTTCCTGAAAATTGTAGAAGCCCCCAGCGACTATCGTAATCATGCCTAGATCATTTGTATAGTTTGTTACAGATATTTGCATCAGAAGTTATCAAGGGGGGAAGATAGAGTGCTAGGAACTGCTCACTATCATGTTCGGGGCCACTTTCATCATCGCATTGAAATAAGCACCTATGCAACAAATTACTCCTCACAACGAAATGATAAACCTGACCTATGATAATAGTTGCTCATCAATAGACTGGCCTAGCCCAGTTCGAAACTATGATAATCATTATCCTATGCGATAACGAAGCGGGGAAATGAAAGCCACACTTCAATAATGTAGCTAAGCTCAAGTCGCCGATTTGGCTGGAGATGCCGAGCTCCAGCCTCCACCAACACGGAATGCGTCTCCTCCTTTAGCCTTATCCAGGAGATAGGGCTGTTCTTGTGACCCAATCATCGAACTCTAATTGAGAAAGACTATCAAGTTATAATACCCACTACTGCTCATGAGTATGCGGATGAAAGTTAGCACCCCCTGGAAAGATAGTTTTCCGGTGTGAACATACGGACACCTTCGCCCTAAATTTACTAATGGCATCGATCAAGTCGAACGAAAAGGTCATTGAAGGGGAGGATCTCGAGTCCCAGAGGCCAGAAGATGGCATTGTGGAAAACTTCATAACGCCGCATTCTCTCACGACCATTCTTAGAAGGCTTGCCATGGCTGGCGTGGAGATGAGAGGTCTTGATCCTATCCCGGTGGAGAAGCGAACTCATACTAAGTACTACAACATTTTTACGTTGTTTGGTGGTTCCTTTCTTTCCCTTCTTCCGTAAGTAGAAGTGTCTGTCCGGCAATTGCCATCTAAAGAAGAAACTGACGGCTGTATCCAGCCTGAGCATCGGTGTCACCCCGACCTTGGCTTTCGGTCTATCATTCAAAGATGCTGCTGCCATGATTTTCACTATGCAATTTATCTTTGTTCTGCCGACACTCTATATTTTGACCTTGGCACCTCAGCTGGGCATGAGACAGTCAGTCCAGTTTCGTTACGCATTCGGGTGAGAATATTCTTTTATACAAAACCCTCCATCGAAGTCACAACTTCCCTAATAAATGTGATTAAACCCAGAAAATATCCCAATATTTTAATCAGTCTCATCGTCATTCTCGAGGTTCTGATATTTGGAATTTTGGCTACGGTCGCCGGAGCCGAATGTCTCGCAGCCGTCAGACCTGGTACTTTGCCAATCGAGGGCGCAATTGGCATCATCCTTGCCGTTGCTTTCTGTATAGGCTTTATTGGATACAAAGCCCTTCATTTCATCTGCCAGTATATCTGGATCCCTAGCGGTATCTCGATATTAATACTGGTCGGCTGTGCCGGTAGCAAACTATCAACCCAAACACCAGCTACTTCCTTTGGGGCCGGGCCGTATTTGGCGACCATCTCAATCTGTGCAGCCAACATGGCAACCTGGGGCACGATCGTTGGAGACTATGCATGCTATATGCCACCGCAAGCCCCACGGCTTCGCCTCGCTCTGTACTGCTTAGCGGGATTGTACGTGCCTTTCTCACTGATGATGGTCCTAGGCGCAGCAGTTGGCGGTGCGATACCTTCCATTCCTTCGTGGACTTCAGCATATGCTTCAGGTGGCCTGGGAGGTGTACTCGGAGAAATCCTGATCTCTCGTCTTGGCGGGTTTGGCAGGTTCATTCTCATTATTCTGGGCATGTCTATTGTCACCACATCGGCGCGTGATATGTACAGCATGTCTCTCTTCACTGTTGCTGTTGTTCCCTGGTTAGGTAGGGTTCCACGAGTGTTTATTTTGTGTGGAGCGGCTGCTGTCATGGTTGGTGTTGCAATTGCAGCGTCGCGCTCGTTCCTTTCCACCCTCAGCACCTTGGTAAGCATTGCAGGCTACATGACAGGGCCGACAGTCTGTGTTTTTCTGATTGAGTGGTTATATTTCCGTAAGGCAGACCCGTCGAAGTTGGACCCTGCCATCTGGAATGACGCTGCTGCTCTTCCTTCGGGAATTCCAGCAATAATCTCTAGCCTGGTGCCGTGGGCTCTCATCGTCACATCCATGTCCACTAGCTGGTATGTGGGTCCAATTGCAGCGCGAGTCGGGGATCTGGCTTATGAATTAGGCACAGTGACTGCCGGTTTGTTGTATTTTCCACTTCGATGGTTAGAAGTTCGCTGGCTTGGACATGTTTAAGGCCTCAAATGGTACGCTAATAGGAGATAATTCGCAATTAAAACCGTCAAATCTTACCCTATAAGCTCGAATAAGTACACTTTAGCCGGTCGGGATTCATCAACTGCAATTAAAGTAGCGTAAACTTTCCTGCCGGCAAAGAGTGCATGCGTGCGGGGTACACGATAAACCCAGCATTAGCGTACGCCATGGCCACGGGACAATTCTAGACCAATCAATGGGCTGGGATAAGAAGGCCCGAGAGCTCATTCAACGTTCATTTCCAAGCTGGAGACACTTCCCGCATATCTTGCGTTGCAGGTAGCTAGATCTCTATTTGTGCTCGACCACATCAGAGACAAACGCCCCGCAGCGATGTCACATCAAAAGGGCCGAGCCAGGGTAGCTTGCAAGCTTTGCAACCTGCGTCGGGTGAAATGCGACCGAACTATTGATAGTGCCTGCTCCAATTGCCAATTGGCAGGCACGGCCTGTGAGCTGATCAACTCGCGGAGAGGAAGGTATGTTTCTTCACTCTATACACATAACCCACGACAGTGACAACTATTATATCAGAAGCTAACAGAAATAAGGTACCCAAGGACGGCAAGTCGCCGAGTTGAGGAATCTGCGCATATCTCGACTGCTGGGAGTCGGGGATCTCCTGCAGCGTTGGAACGGCTTCATTCGGCTGATGTGGTGGAAAGCTCTCGCACAGAAATCACTGAATCTCCGGAGAGCGATCGGAGAGACAGCCATACTCGATATGTGAGCCCATCTCTGACAGAGTTAGCAGTTCAGCAGGATAGTGCTACCATGCCCGGGAGAGTCGTGTACATGGGCGACTCAGCCAACTTCAAGTACGTCCTACATGAAGTTGGAGATCCTTTCCAAACCAGTCAGCAACACCGCTTTTGGGGCGACAATCTACAGAAATCTATGCTGGAAAGGTTAGACCAGTCTACCCAGTCGACAATTCAGAAGATACGAGAAGATGATCAGAAGCACCTACAAACGACCGGTGTCTTCCAAACGCCCAGCAAGCAAATTGGCGAAGCGCTTATTGATAGCTTCTGGAAATATTCTTACCCAGTCTTTCCGCTTTTTGACTGGGCGCCATTCTATGCAGAATATAGCGCAGGATCTATATCTCCTTTACTCTTGAACGCCGTTTTCATGGTTGCAGTCTTCCATTGCCCAGAGTCTATTTTACATGATGCGGGGTTTCCTTCTAGATACCTGGCCAGTCTCACATTCTACCGGAGAGCAAAAGCACTCTACGACAGCGACAGCGAGTCCGATGGTGTGATCATAATCCAGACCACTATTCTCATGTCTAACTGGTGGGGTGGCCCGATGGAGCAGAAGGACACATGGTATTGGCTCGGCATCGCAGCAAGTTTGGCTCAATCTTTGGGCATGCACCGATCGTGGGTATTTCTCGTGAAATCTGACATCCAGAATTGAATCTTATCGGTGTTGTAGGAAGTCATACGATGTTCTTCCCGAGGCGAGTAGAAAGGTGTGGAGGAGAATCTGGTGGGTACTGTATGTAAGTTTAACTTGCTTTGCACTATTCAAGAAAGACAGATATGGAAATTGATATACTCAGATCAACGATATTCACCATGCAGCTGTCTACGGTCGACCACCTCATATTCATCCGAAATTCTGCAACATTGAAGTTCTCGGCGAAGAAGATTTTGCTGGTTGCTCCTCATTAAATTCAGTTTCCTCGGAGTACGGTGTTTCGCAGGAAAGTAAATCGTATCTAATTCACCTCGTTGACCTCATTTCCAAAGGTAAAGAAAACCTTTAGCACCAAATTTCTCGGCTGGAAGCTAAACAAAGTTAGTTGGCGACTGTCTCGTGACCAAGCTTGCATCAACAGATGGCAATGAAATAGCGGACAGGACATCATACAACAAACTGCTTCAATGGGAACGAACCCTCTCCGATAGGTTCAGGGCCACGCCAGCCCAGATCTCTTTAGAGAGAGGGTTTTGGCCCGCGCTGATTCAAGTACTCTACTGGTAAGTCTGCATTCTCTTGTTAAATTGCAGGGCAAATGCTGACGGACGTGGAAATAGCGAGTATCAAATAGTATTCTATCGCTTGCTTTCCACGAATCCAGTCACCGTGGGGCTTGAGTCTCCTATTTTCCAAGCAGCTGGAAAAATCACCCGTCTGCTCGAGGATTTGCTTATTTCTGGAACGCTATACAACGCCCCTTTTACAATGTCTGTCACCATTCAGCCCCCCTACTTATGGAAATGTGTTAACTCAAGTTTACAGTCTACCCGCAATTTTTGCGTCTTCCTTGGTCTGTATCATGAACATACGCAAAGGAGTCCCTAATATCCGGGTAGTATCCGAGCATCGTGCACACCTGGCGATGCAGATTCTCCACAGATTTCAGGACACTTGGCCAATAGCAATCTGGACGCGCCATCTTCTCGACTGTCTTCTGAAGATACCTTCTACTGATCAAGCTCAAGTCGATTCTACCTCCGAAGAGCATGACAGACGCGTTCTCTCCACATTTCCCGACCCAAACCAGTCCAATCAAGAGGCCTATTGGCAAGATAATACACGTTTACCACTCCACATTACCGATATGGGCGTTATGACGGGATTATCTCCTCCACAAAGCACTAGTGAAGGAAACGTGTTTCACTATGAGGGGTCAGGCGATAGCCGAACACCGGGATTTCCGATAGTTTTTCCCTTCACCAATCTATTTGAGGATGTTGGCTTTAGCCCTGATGCGTATACTGGATCTATGCTGTGATTTGTATTTCGGTGTCATAATCTATTGAGCGTCACATTTCTACCTTGTTTCTATTCTATCTACCATCAAAAGGGACTTGCGTTCTTGAAAATAGCATGCATATTCAAATTTACATTCTTCCTTCTCCTTCGAGCTCCAAAGCATAGCAGGCACGTGGTCGTTAATATACGAGGTTCTCCATCTAGAAGATCCAAAAGTCCTCGTCCTAGTTCGTTGAAAGCCAGTCTTAGGCCTTCTCGATGAGTCGATCAAAGATCTGGCTAATGGTCTTAGCACTCTTCTTCGGAATCCGCTTCTGGTCGTGCTCATAGTCAACATAAGTCACACCGAAGCGGGTTTCATAACCCTCGGCCCACTCGAAGTTGCTACAATATGCAGGTTAGCCAAGCCCTTTTTATGTAAGCTGGGGGGAGGCAACGTACTCTAGAAGACTCCAAGCCATGTAAGCGCGAACGTTCACTCCGTCGAATGTGTACGCATCCGCCATAGCACCGATGTAGTCCTTGAAATATTGGACGCGGAACTCGTCGTTGAGAAGTTGTTCCAGCGGCATATCGTTCTCACCGAGCACGCTGGTTCCATTTTCCGTAACATAGATCTTGGGATATCCATAGCGCTCGCTCAACCACTTGAGAAGCTTGCGGAATCCCAGGGCGGAAGGTCGCAGCCACGGTGATTGAGTGATTGGGCCGACACTAACGCCGTTCTTGTCTTCCAGGAGCAGCTCTAGATTTCCTGCAATATCATCGGGATCGGGCTCTCCTGTCTTGGCACGGATGAAGTTTGCACAGTAGTGGTTCATCCCGTAGAAGTCGTTGCTTCCTTGCACCAGGGCGAGGTCCTCCGGCGTCCAGGTGGGTAGTCGGTCACCTAGTTGCTTGATCATGCTGTCTGGGTATTTGCCATGATAGATAGGGTCGGCAAACCATGAGATGGCAAACTCGATTTTGCGATCGCAGGCTTCCACGTCAGCGGGGTTCTCGGGGTCCCAAGGCTCAGCCCAGTCACCTTATCAAGGGTCATTAGTTTCATTACTTGCATATAGGGGGGTGGAAAGTGAAAAACAACGATTAACTTACCGTTCAATGTGATACCGATCTCGCCACCGTCTTGTGCCTTGAACTCATCACGGTAGATCTTGACTGCTGCACCGTGCGCGACGAGAAGGCTATGACCCACAATCCACGGCTCAGTCGATCCGTCACCTACGGCGCTCTTGTTGCGATCACTAGTGTGTCCGGGGGCAAAGGAACCCGTATTGTATCCAAGTACAGAGCTACACCAGGGCTCATTGAATGTGATCCAGTGCTTGACCTTGGAACCGAAGGTCTTGAAAACCAGACGGGCATAGTTGGCAAAGTCCGCAACGAACTCCTCCTTGTTCAAGAACCCTCCATAGCGCTTGTTCAACTCATCCGGAAGATCCCAATGGAAGAGTGTCACCATCGGGATGATACCCGCTGCAATAAGGTCATCGACGAATTTCACGTAGAATTGTAGGCCCTTCTCGTTGACGGGGTCATTGCGGCCGCCGAGGGGAATAAGGCGGGACCTGGAGAAAAAAAAAGAGATCAGCAAAAGATATGCTTATATAGACGATGCTAAATAAGTTGCTGAAAGGGCATTATAGGACTGTACCATGATAGAGAGAACCGGTATGCCTTAGCACCGCATGTCTTCAACAATTCAATGTCCTCATGAGTACGATGGTACGAGTCGCACGCGATCTCGCCAGATCCGCCACCAGCGATCTTGCCAGGAACCTTGCAAAAAGTATCCCAGATAGAAGGACCCCGTCCATCCTCAGTCACGGCGCCCTCGATTTGGTAGGCCGCGGTGGCAAAGCCCCAAACAAAGTCGGCCGGAAGGGAAGATTGCCCTATAGATCCCATAATGGCGAAGTAAATATCGAAAGTAGTGAAGTAATCGAATCGCCTTGAATCGGGGTTTGATTTAAGGTCGCACACAATTGCGGCGCAGGTCTGGACCGAGAGCCCCTGAAAGAGCTGCCATGGATATTTATGTCCCACGAGGCTTTTCTGTGGCAGCGACCACACGGCAGGAAAAAAAAGGACAGCAGGCGAGAGCTTCCTTATCGTGATAGGAACTATCTCCGCCTGCCGGAGGAGATCCCGTTCCTAGAGCGTGGGTGAGTGGAGCCGCGATCGTGGAGCCCAAAAGCGCGTTAGTGCGATTCTCAAACCGAACGAGATTTTAGTCAAGAATGATTCGAGCAGGGTCCCCCTTGGCCAAACCCTAGTCAGCCTGCTCAGCCCTGGTCAGCGTAGGTGGAGAGGATGAAACGATGGAACGATAAAAAGGCGACGAAAACTGACCAAAACGACCAAGAAATATGGGGCGGTTAGACGGGCCGCCCACCGCGCGATTATAAGGGTTTAGCTAAAGATGAGGACTTGGGGATGCATAATTGCATATAGTCGACATGATAATGAGCATGATGATGACAGAGAGAGGTCCACCTCGTGGTGGGGCCGTTGGAAGCTCGACATACTATACTAGGATATACATCGCATAGTTTTACGTCTCGTACTTCTGTACAGTTTCAAACATGTAGATTTCAACATTGATGACCTCCAAAAAGAACTCCTCCACATCTGAAAACAAAAAGAAACCCCCCCATTCCGTCCGTGCCAAGCCCATTTCCCCCCTGAAAATACAAAAAAAAAACGCCGGAAGATAATGCGTGTCGGATTCGTTTTGATCATGAAAGTACCATATCTTCATCTTCGGATTCATCGTCCAAGCTCACGGCGGAACCCATCCGCCCTCGAGCGTTTTTCGAGTCCCTGTCACACTGCGCATCCGCTCCAAACGCACCAACCATCTCCAGATCAGGCCCTGCAATAATACGACCCTCGGTATCAACCACCTCGCATAGTTTAATCAAGCTCTGATGGCTGAGAGACTTGAACCCATCCGTCCGCACAATGCGGCCCCAGTGGGTCAGACAGAACTGTGCAGCTCGGCGCATGAGCCAATGTTCACTCGTTCGGCCAGCCCGCTCCCAGACAATGGCTGCATTCTCCACGTCTAGCTCGCGGCTCAGTCGATTCACACAGAGCAGACGGAGCTTGGGCATGTCGTAGAGATTGGCCATCACCAGCATCCCTGCCACGTCGATCACACTCGAGCAATACTCCGGGTGACCGGCGATACTGTCCGTGTAGAGGTAGTACAGGAAGGCACGCACGACGGAGTAGGGTTCCGGGATGTGCATCTTTTTGGTGTGGTACTCTGCCATCTGGGCCGCATAAAGACGCTTAAAGTGTGGCCATCGAAGCTGCAGGATGATCTTGTGAACATGAATAGGATCTGATGTGGCGGGGCTCGGCTCCACGAAGATAGGCTGTGTTTGGGCGGAAGATCCGGATGGGGTATCCCCCAGGTCATCTGAGACTGAGTAGTCGTGATCGTCACGAAATGCGGTAATGACAAAGTCCGCACCGCTCCCTGATTCGGGGGATTGGTCAAACACGGCAGAGAGGTCAGCCCCAAGTCCAGAGACGGGTGAACTCCCCGGACGGTCAGCTGGCCACGAGGCATCTTGGAGAGGAGCTTCCGCTGACAGACTGTTGCCAAGTAAGCCGTATTTCTCCAGGTCTATGGCTAGGACTTCGCTCATGTGATTCTCGTCACTGGCCCCAGGCGCATTATTGGCCAAGTCGAGGCTACATCCTAGTAGCCAGGCTTTAGTCCCCGTTTCGTTCACGGTACAGTAATGCCATCGATAACCGGGGCGGAAAATCTCCAGTCCATCAGCCAATCGCTGCCAGCGCAGAGAATTTAGGTCTAGAGCAGAGAGGTTACAGTCATGCGACCGCACAGTTTCAGACGGAGTGATCAGGTCGAGGAGGACACCCGAGGTAAAGGATTGAAAGTGGGTGCCGGAGAACAATTGGGGAACATTCGAACCAGAGTGGAATCGGAGACAGGAGATAGCACCCGGGGCAAGAGGCTTGCGGCGGCTAAAGTTGCGGACCTGAACGCTTGCGGAGTTGGCGGGATATATCCCAGAGCGAGGCGACAGCTGTTGCGAGGCAGGACTAGATATGGAGTCTGGATAATGAGCAATAGGTAATCGTGTATCCGGAAGATTGTCGGTACCTTGGGAGGAGGTGATTCCAGTTAAAGAAGGCGAGCCTTTAAGGTCGAGCCACCAGATGTCCGAAGTTCGTTCCATATTAGGTCCCAGTCCACCAAAGATCCAGAGACGGTTGCCCCAAACCCAAGCCGTGTGGTCGAAGCGGGCCGTGAAGCTCCATGTTCGTGACCATGTCCATGTTTGCAAGTCCAGATATGTTAGATCATCTAGAATGACGTTGTTCTCGCCAGTCACTCCGCCTACAATGAACAGCTTGTCGTCCTGGATAACAGCGGCATGGCGGGCCCGTCCCCGGGGAACCGATCCACTGATCTGGGGCAGAGTCCAGTGAAAGGTATTGAGGTCCAGAATAATGACGTCGGAGAGGTATTCGCGATGCTCGTTCTCGCCGCCAAAGATGACCAGTTTATCCCCTTGATACAGGCTGGCCGTGTGCCCTGAAAGAAAAGACCACGAGGAGTTAGCAAGCCAATACACTTCGCGACATTCATAGGTTGTACGGAATGACTGAGTGAGGCTGACCCATGCGAACCCCAGGAATGTCCCCAAAATTGTCCACTAATTCCCATCGCAATGTATTCAAGTCCAGACGGAGCACGTGGTTGTACACTGTGGTTGAACTAGCAGGTTAGTGCTCGGTATATGGTATAGAGGGGAAGAAAGGGACTGCAGGAATCTAAAGGGATGATCACGGCAGTCATACCTTCATCAGTGTACTGGTCAAACCCGCCGAAGGCGTAGATGCAATCGTTGCCGCAATACGTCAGTGAGGCATTCACCAAGCATGCGGGGACATGGCCCTGGGCTTTTTTCACAGCGGGGACCGAGTCGGCCATAGTGGTGGCGCGGCGACCACTTGCAGGGCTGGCGGGCATCAGGTATGTATCCTGCGACTGCATCACGAAGGCAGGAGAGCGAATGCGCTCAAAGGTGGTCGGATTGGAGAGTCTGAAAGATCCAGGCCAGGATGACGGAGGTCGTGAGGGTGGGTCCTAGTGGAACGGCAGATGGTGGGGAGAGGAGTGGATGAGTCGGCCATCAGGCGGTGCCAACGAGAACAAAGAAAGCTCAAATAAATGAAGCGCAATACCTAGTATCATGAGAGGACCCGCCCTTCTGGCTTCGATCGCATCGTGCAGGTGCCGACCAACTAGAAAATCTCGGGACGCCGATGAGACACTTCCGAAGACACTTTTTCCTTGACGGAGGCGATCGGCGCCGAAATTGGAAGTCGCCGGCATGTCATGTGCGGCTGCCACTAGACCCAATCTGCACTAGCGTATCCGTACCTGAGGTAACGGTTGCCCCGGCGAGACACTTTCTTGTCCGCAAGAGGAATTCTATTTATTCTTTCCATTCTACTTGGACCTCCTTCTCCCACCCATCTCCCTATTCTCTATTCCACACCTCATATCCTGCATTGATTCCCATATCTTGCATTGAATTATCCCTTCGTGGCTAGTCCTACTGTGACTTGCTTTACCACTTACCATACTCAAGAAGCTCCAATCAGTTCCAGCGATGGCAACTGCTTCGGTCTCTACGCCAGTGAAGACCCATCATGGGATCTTCTCCTCCAAGACCGCTGGGGGTCGTATGCCCCTGACTCCCTCTCCCAACACTCGGGTGACTCCCAGAGCATCTGATGAGTCGTCGCCATTCACCCCTCAGAAGGCAGACGCAGGCTGCGAGAAGCCCAAGTCTGTCTACGGCGGTAACCTATCCTCATACTTTGCCAAATCCTCTGGCTCAAAGACCACCGTGCCAAAGTCATCAGTCCCCAAGCCATCAGCCCCTAAGGCTTCCGTCGCCAAATCCTCCGTTGCCAAGTCGTCTCGCACACACCGTGATTCTCCTAAGTCGAACATTGCACGCACCCGTCACTCCCCAAAGCATCTGCAGCTTGGTGTCTCGGACTGGTCTCTGACCGGTACCGGTCCTTCTTCTTCTTCTTCTTCCTCCTCCTCCCAGACCCCCTCAAAGGAGCGCACTCGACGGGAGGTGACTACTCGGGCTCGTCCTACCAAGACCACTGTTCGCATTTCCCACAATGCCGGGGATCGATTCATCCCTAATCGAACGGCTAGCGAGGGCCTTGTCACAAGCGGCGCAGCTAAGCCCGACGAGAGCCAGCGTCCCAAGACAAGCGGCAGCGAGGGTTCGACCGTTCTGGCATCTGCTGCCAGCGCCTTCGATATCAGTGGACGTGCAGTTGAAGATGATTTGACTGCGGCTTTGGACAACCTGGGCCTCGATGATAATGAACCACCAAACTACACCCGCCCCCCTCCAGACGCTGTTGCTTACGAGTCGTCGCTGGCAAACGCCTGTGGTGTGAACCTCAACACTCGTATTCTGGCATTCAAGCCTCCGCCCCCGAATCATCCAAGCCGATTGATCTCCGCGCTCAGTACAATCGTCCTCTTCGTCCAGCCAAGTCCCAGAACGCCCAGTTCCGCCGACGAGTTCAGACTGCCCCGGAACGAGTCTTGGATGCCCCCGGTCTCCTGGATGACTACTATCTCAACTTGTTGGACTGGAGCTCAGGCAACCAGGTCGCCATTGGTCTCGAGCGCAACGTTTACGTCTGGTCTGCCGAGACTGGCACTGTCAGCTGCCTTCTGGAAACCTCGCCCGACACCTACATCAGCAGTGTGAAGTGGAGTGGCGATGGTGCATACGTTGGCGTTGGTCTTGGAACCGGCGAGGTTCAGATTTGGGACGTCGAGGAGGGATCCAAGCTCCGCAGCATGTACGGCCATGACTCTCGTGTGGGTGTGATGGGCTGGTCCAAGCACACTCTTTCAACTGGCGCTCGTAGCGGTCTCGTGTTCAACCACGACGTTCGCATTGCGGATCACAAGGTTGCCGAGCTAGTTTCCCACACTTCGGAGGTGTGTGGTTTGGAGTGGCGCTCGGATGGTGCTCAGCTTGCTACCGGCGGAAATGACAACCTGGTCAACATCTGGGATGCCCGCTCCCTTAGCGCTCCCAAGTTCACTAAGACCAACCACCGTGCTGCCGTCAAGGCTCTGAGCTGGTGCCCCTGGCAATTGAACCTCCTCGCCACTGGCGGTGGCTCCTACGATCGTCACATTCATTTCTGGAATACTACCACCGGTGCCCGTACCAACAGCATCGATACTGGCTCTCAAGTGACCAGCCTCCGATGGAGCAACCACTACCGTGAGATTGTCAGCTCCAGCGGCTTCCCCGACAACTCGCTCAGCATCTGGAGCTACCCGACTTTGGTCCGTAACGTTGAGATTCCTGCCCACGAGACTCGCGTTCTGCACAGCAGCCTTAGTCCCGATGGCCAGATCTTGGCCACCGCTGCTGCGGATGAGAGCCTGAAGTTCTGGAAGGTGTTTGAGCGCAAGGCTGGCAGCAGCGCTTCTGCTTCCCGCGAGGGCGGTGTTGGTAGCAAGGCCCAGCTGACCAAGTCAATGACTATTCGGTAAACGGTGACGACTTTCGGTCTTCATATTCTTCTTATCTGTTTTTTTTAATACCCGGTTTTCATGGTGATCTTGCGAGCATTGATGGGCTGGGGGACATTCATTCTGTTCGGCGTTGATTAGGATTTTACTTCGGGGCTTATCTAGGGGAGTTTCTGGTGATGCATGTGATTGTCATAGGTTGAGCTGTACAAATTGTGATTGTGATTGTCTCATATTATCTCTCACAAGTAATTCCTTTTCGTCTTTAAGCCTTCCATCTAAAAGCCTCCATTTCCTCGGGAGGCTCCTCCTGGGCACCAAGGCTGGGGAGCCGATCTCCGTATGGATGACTAAGCGCCCGGGAGCTGGAGGCGGTTTTCGACCGCGGAAGTTGGACCTTCACCTTCTCCAACTCATCGGCCAAACTACCCATCCCACCACCTCCTCCATTTCTTTCAGCTTGCATTTCCTGCCTGATTTTCTGTGCATACTGTTCGCTCGTTACCTCAGAAAGGACTCTACGGACTCGTAGGTCGTTTGGACCCGCCTTGATTTCCGAGAGCCGTGATCGACCAGTACTCCAACGGCGTCTCCCGTTGCGACGGAAGACCATATCCTCTGGTCGAAGCCACGACACATTCGACCACACCACTGCTATTCGTGAGGTTCTCCTTTCAGGCTCCTTCGCGGTCTTTTCTCCTGGACTCCAACCAAACTCCGTTTCGTCGCCGTCATGTCGAACCAGCAAGTGGTAAGTCCAGTCTCGCGACAATCTACCTAACACGGTCGCAACGACACTCTCTTCCGCTCATCGAAGTTGTGTGCGCTCTTGACTTGAAAATGGCTGTTCAACCATCTTGGGTATTTTGAATGGTTCGCTGATGCTATCCCTCGCTATCACAGGGTGCGGTATTCGAGAAGGTCATCAAGGACGTCTGCGAGAACTCCCAGGTCGACTTTGAGGAGAGCGGTGTTGACCAGAAAACACTGCTTGATCTGCGCGAGGTGAGTTACAAGTTTTGGTCTTCCAAATGGCGACTTTTGATGGCTTTGGATATGGTCACTCTGGGGAGGGTCAGCCAAAAGCGGGGGAACCCGAAGTGGTGCGGGAGGCAGTGCTTATGGGGGAACACCGGAATATGAGACTCCCTTTATATGCCGCCGCCGCTACCCGCCTAAGAGGGGCTTAGGCCGCCAAGCCATCATTCGTCGAAATGCCTTGCACTTTTATGGCCCCATCATCACAACATTCAACTCTAACAACCTATCTATAGACCTGGCAAAAGAAGCTCTCCTCGGTCAACGTTGCTCAGTTCCCCTGGGATCCCCCAGTTCAGCCCATCCCCCAAGCTCCCCTGCCTCCTCAGGCTACCGTCCCATCCAACGCACCCCGCCCACCTCCTCCTCAGCCTCAACATGTCCCTCCTCCAGTATCTATGCCACAGCAAGTTCCTATGCAAGCCCCTGCCCCGGTGGCACCCGTCGCACCGCCTCCCATGACCGCCCCTCGAATCAAGACAGAGCCTGGCGTTAATGGCCCACCTCAAATGCCCCCAATGCATCAAAATATGCCTGGAAACACGCCAAACCCACAAATGGCTCGCGACCGTGCTGCAGCTCAATTGACCCAAAGATTTGGCGCCTCCGCTGCCACATCAGTCAGCCAGCTCCAATCTCAAGCTGCTGGGCAACAGCCCTACTCGCAGATGCACCACCCTGCCAATGGCCAGATGCCCCAAATCAAGCAGGAGTCTGGCCATCCCTCTCTCGGACCCAGCCAGACCGACGGTGCCGATGATGCACTAGCCGACTGGAAGGCAGAGGTTGCCCGTCGCCGAGAAGCCGCCCAGAACGGACAAGGAGATCATCTTCTTCGCGAGTATCTGAAGCATCAGATGAGCGGGTTGGAGGGCGGCGGTTTGCTTCGTCCTCTGTCTGAGCAGGAGTCAGCCATCGCAAAGGCACGTCGCACAGCTCTTGTCGCTCCCCTGGTTAGAGCCAATGCGTCGGAGTCAACCCCTCCTTTCCCCAAGACGCTTGGTCAGTACGACGGCGTGGACGACGATGTGAAGGAGGAAGCGGACGAGGATGCGATTAACTCGGATTTGGATGATCCTGATGATCTTATCGATCACGAGGCAGAGGCCGACGAGGCCGATGGTCAGGTCATGCTTTGCACCTACGACAAGGTCCAACGAGTCAAGAACAAGTGGAAGTGTACCCTGAAGGACGGCATTTTGACCACTGGTGGCAAGGAGTAAGTCTTTAAATTTTGATTTCATGGTGTTTCTTGATGAGTGGGAACTGACTTGATACTTAGGTACGTCTTCCACAAGGGACAGGGTGAATTCGAGTGGTAAATTACCCTCATCGCCATCTAGTCTCTCAATCTACAGTCTTTGATGTTCACGAAATTTCTGCGATCGGTCTGTAATACCTTTTCTTTTTCCTATCGTCCAAGTGCTTCTTCACTTGGCACACGAAAATCATCCCCCTAACCCTTTATGTTCTTCAAATGGTCGGTGCAAGCGAAGTCTCCTTTCCTCGTCACGATGGTTTCTATTTTATTTCATGCTCCCACAAACCCAAACAAGACTGGACCTCGGGTTTTGCCTTATGTTTTTATTTCTTCCATATGAGCATCGATCTGCTCATAGCGCTCACAGTGCGGCTGGGCTTGTGGATCTATCTTCTTCGCCCCTGCTTTTGTACTAGAATAAATTGGCAAATCCTAGCTAGGTTCACCAACTACAAATGGATATTTTTACCAATGCTCGGCTTTCAATGACTGATCTGGGAAGAAGATTATTGCCAGTCAATGATACCGAGGTACGTGAGTTGTAAGGAGGATATAGCCAAATAAAGTGACGAAAGCAATCAGATAATCACAATAGACGAGAAGCCAAAGTGTATAAAATCCATATCTACACGATCCGACGCCAGAGAACCACACTTTTGTTTGTAGTTTCAGTTTCCAGTCCCAGTCCGAATTTGCGAGAAGCCAGCAGCCAACAGGGCAAAGAAATAAAGCCCATAGTCAAGACGTTTCTTGACCAGCAGAAAGAAGGGACCGACAAACCATCAAGGTATACCCGATGATCATTGAAGCAGGGTCCCTTCGTCACGATCCAAGTGCAGCCCGATAAGAGGGATACCTTGCTTCTCGCGGACGCTTCGAGAGTTCGAAGGTAGCCAAGAGGGGGGAGGTAACGTCAACCGTCTCCCTGTGATTGGAAGAAAGAGACTCAATCATGAGCATAAGCGTAACCATAGATGGAATCAAGAAAAGCAAAAAGCCAACCCTTGGAAAAAAACGCATAACGCAAGCATGCAATAACAGAAAAGGGAAGAACACCACAGGTATAAACACACTCATTCCCATTTTCTCCCGAGGGCTGAATCCCAGCCATATCAAGCGGGGGAGAAAAAAACAAAAGACACGAACCAGGCCCTCTAGATAGACAAACAGACAGAGAAAGGTAATGATCTTGCTGGGTAAATCTGGATCGCTCAGGCTGTGAACGGCTCTACCAAGTTGCCTTTTTCCCAGAGAGATGGGGAAAGGTGGTAACTGCAAATGGCGACGGGGGATATCAAGCAAAAGAACAAACTCGAAATGAAATAAAACATATACGAGGATGAAACCATTGAGATCGGGGTACTCGACCCAAAGAAAGAAGGACAGCACGTAGAGGTAAAGGTCAAAATCCCGGATAGATAAAAGTCAAGATGAAAACTCCATAGTCACCGAACCAATTCATGACATCGTGTTTGGGAGAAACCCAAAGAACGGCGCAGGGAAGAAGGGCCTCTCAACCGTATCGATTATTTGCATCAAAGAATCGCTGGGTATTATTTGCATGCACAAGCAAGGACTGAGAGATTTATGTATTCTCAATAGCCCATCACGCTTACAGAAGTCCCTCCTCGCCGATTCCGGGGAGGCCAGCTCCTGCAACGTTAATGTTCTGTCCCTGCATGACGCCACCGCCGAGATTCAGATTGCGGCCTGCTGCAAGTTGGAAATCCGGGTTGCATGGGGGCGAGTGCGATTTGTGATATTTGAGACCGTTCAGGTTCTTATAGCGCTTGCCACACACTTCACAGCGATACGGCTTCTCCTTCTCCATGCCCAGGGTGCCGGGGTAAGGAGTTGAAGTCTCCGGATTGACAATCGAGAAAGTTCCGTCAGCGTTATCGTGGAGCTGTTGGTTATTGTGACCATGCTAGAGCGAGGAAAGAAAAATGTTAGTGTTTAATGTCATACGGGATCGTTCGTATATACTCACAGCCTTGTGATATTTGAGACCATTCTGGTTCTTATATGCCTTCTCACAGCCAATAACAGGACAGCGGAAGGGCTTGGGCTCTTCATTAGGAAGGATAGAAGTGGTGTCAGGAACACCGGCCAGAAGCTGTTGTTCCCGAATCCGCCGAGCAATATCGCTGTTAGGGCCATATTGAGCTCCGCTGAGCTTGAAGTGAGCATTAGGAGTGCCCATTCCACCACTTGGACTAAACAGCCGCTTGGCCGGCTCGTCGATGCAAAGATCAACCATATCATTATTACCGGGGTAGCGTCCATATGGAACCTGATTCTGGCCCATCACATTTTGCTGCATAGTGAGATCGCCAAATCCGCCTACCACGCTCTCATCGATCTCAGCCGGCGTGCCGGGCCCGGACGAATCGGGGGTATTGCGGAACTGAGAGTTTTGGAGTGGATTGGCCATCAGAGTCGGGGTATTGACGGAGGAGACGGTAGGATTGTTTGACAGGGAAAGTGGACGTGTAGAACCGATCGGGGTACCGGGCTGAGAAGGGGTGTTGAAGCCCTGATGACTAGGAAGCATGCCCAGATTTAATTGCGGGCCTTGGTTGGAGTTGCCAAAACCGCCTTGGCCACCTTCGCGTAACTGGGAGGAAAACAGCTGGGAAGTTGCAGCATCCGCATCGCCCATAGGGTCGTCCAACTCCATGTCATCCATCGTATCCAGATCCACGTGCTGTAATGCGGAGGGGGTTGGCCCATCTTCCGTGACATGTCCAGGGTGCGGTCAGGCTGTAGGCCGCGTCCTTGGTTGCCATGTTGCTGGCTCTGTTGCTGTGCGATCGCGGCAGCCGCCAAAGCAGCCCGATTTTCACCTTGACTCGGGCGATGTCCTTGGTTGGGCGACTTGGTCGCATGGGCTTCCTCGTAGTGTTGTAATAGGTCATGAAGCGTCGGTAACGTCACACCGCAGCAGGAAAAGTCCCGCATGAAATTGGCCTCCAGCTTCGGCAGATATGAAGAAGAGTGGAAAGAAGGCGACTGGAAGGTAAACGGAGAAGTGCCGGTCATGATAATACTGTGGGGAAATTTGCTTGGTCAGTCTTCTGATGCGGTGGAACGATCAAGCAGAGCACAGAGGGCCTTTTGGAAGGGCCAGGAGGGATCATCATTTGGCCTCCGCGTGCCCTTGTGCGCCTTTCCCGCTCTAATCTATTCGTCTCATGGGAGGGGGAGGGGGTTTCCGCCACTCACTCATCACGAATCCAGCTTCCTACAGATACACCACCCCAACTCATACCGCCCACCAAGCTTCCTGCGAGGGATTCCCGCCGGCCTTTGTCGCGGGCGGACCCCGACATGGAGATCGGCTTCGTCCCGTTTCCCCATTGTGGATTAAGGGCACCGATCGAGTCCTTGCGAGGCGGCGGAGCCTTGAACATCGCGAGTCCACCGCTAGGGTGGTGCGATATACTACCCGTGCGCTCACCGGTACCAGCTCTCTGGAGTGCCGAAGTGAGATTCGAGGCCTGTTGCCCTGGTGGTGAGACCGAGGCCGACTGCCGAGTGGTGATGTCAATGGGAGCGGCGCCTGTCATCGTGATGGAGGGGAAATAGGCGTCGTCAAGGATGATAAGGTTTCAAAGTCGTTGTAGACACTCCGTGTGTTCTGGAATGGTGAAAGAAGCAAAGAAAAAAAATAAGGCCCGTAACCTTTTTTTTCTGGAAGGTCTCTAGAGATCCTAGTTCCCTGTCCGGTCCTGCGCGAAGCAAGAGCACGCCAGCGAGGAGTTGAGGGGGACAGGGTTAATGGGAAAGGTCCCGTGTTGAAGCGCGAACGAAAGTCACCGTGGAGAGTTGAGAAGGATGAGAATGCGACAGGAAAGCAAGTCTCGCTCAAATGCCCCTCGATGGGTGTGGACTTTTAGGTGGATGGCGGTTTTGGGCGGGTTCGAGGAGTTCCACCCTCGGATGATGTCCCACTCTTGGTGCTGGGGCCCAGCGAATCGCCTGTCTCTTTGGCGCAGTAGTGGCGATGGACGCGCTGGTCTTCCTGTTTTGAATGTTTGGATACCGCGTGTTGCAGAGACTGAAGGATGAGAATGCTCTTGAGATGAGTATAGTTTTTTTTTTGGACCTGGCACCAGATAAGAGAGGGACAGAAGGAGGAGGTAGGACCTCGAGTCCCCCAGCGGGACTTGCTACGGATGGAGGCAACCCTGCCGTTTTGGGGTTGGCGTCGTTACCGTATTACCAGAGGCACGTGATGCAGTTCAAAAGGGAGCACATAAAAGTAATTAATTTCCGTATCCTACTTTCAATTGAGCTGAAATTTGTCTGGGAGATAGTGTATCTAGGTATCGTTAGATCTATCACGACTTGATCAAATATTCAGGTATGCTATAACTACCATCGTCTACTTTGTAGCTGTATAGATGTCGATGACGGAGGGTCCGATGTCAATCTAATGATGCCACGACACACCGCTTGCAGAGTCCAGCGAAGGGGACGTCATGATCCGTAATGGGCTGTACGGGCCTGAAACACGGGCCTCCAGACTAGCGTAACTTTGGTATACTTTTCGTATACTCTGGTATACTTTGGTATACTTTTCGTATACTTTAGTAACCAACGGAGGTAATCAACGTGGTGAACTGGGGTATCCTCCGGTATCGTTTCCCCTCCACACGGCTAACCGTATTAAATGACTAATTAGTCGTCGCCGATGATGCGCTCTTGAGCTCTTTCATGTTTACGTTTCCGACCTCCATCCTGTCATCCAGCCTGCTCATCTATCGACTCTTGTTAAGTTGATTCGTCCTGACAATACTGATCCAGCCACCTTGTCCACTACTTGAACCGGATCCTCCAAGTCTTCATCCGATGGGGGGAAGATTTTCATCATGGTTGACTGTTCTTGCCGACGCCGCGGGCCTGGTGTGGAGCATCCAACCAGCGAATCCTCGTTCTGATGGGTACACCGTCGCCCATGGTTCATCGTGAAGAGAGTCAGGACTCCACCACTTCCTTCTTGCCGGTCGTCCCTTGGGAAGGGAGCACCTATCGGCGGTATCGACTGCTCGCGTATCAACGAAAGTTGCCCGCGCTAAAGCATTCGGATACCGATCATCTAAAAGCATGCAGGCTAGCTTCAAGCTCTCCCTCCTCTCCTCAGTAGATCTGGGGTCCCCTCTGCAAGGGGCAAGATCATTTTGTGGTGGCGATTTCCCGATCAGCCGAGGGCCATTGTCCACCAACGGACTCCATTGGACTCCGCGGTCTTCGCCCCTGGTCTGAATAATAATGTACTATTGTCAGAGACAGGCAGTACATACGACTAAGATCCGCCGTTTTACGCCGCTGAAGCTGAGTTGGATCACCTGGCCCCCTTTTTGGTCTCCAGTTTTGCTTGGTGATTAAGGGGCAACAATGTGACGCTGCTCCATCCAAACACACACTATACGAACTCTGAAAATAATACAGGATCTCCGGCACCCTCATATAATCGGGCATTGTCGATCCGCAAATAGTCTTCAACATCGTGGTCTGTCCAATCGCCCAATGTCCCAACCCAAAGTTTCAGTCGGGAAGCAACGGGGTCTTGGCTTTGGCGCTAGAAACGCGGCAGAAGCATTCGGTCGGCCTTCGATCAATTAGCGTTGCCCGGAGTCTTCATGCCCTATGGGAGGGACGCGACCACACCGCCCCGCTGGGCTCTAAATTGGACCCCTCAGACAAGGCCAGCTCTGTATTTACGGAGTACGGCGTAGGTACGGAATACGGAATACACGCCAAGCTGGTTCCCCCGATCTTCCTTGTCGTGAGATAAATGCGGCGCCCGTTGACTCCGTGTCGAGGAGATCGCCCTGTATATCTCCAAATTCTCCTGCAGGTAACCTCAATTTTAACTTATCAGTTGAACGCGGAAAACAGCATGATTTGCCTGCCGCGTGTATTATTTCCCCACGGAATTGACTCGGGCTTCGCTCGATCTGGCATGTAGGTGTTTCAATATCGTGAAGAAGACACTCTGGCATTGCTCAATGGACAACAATGTCTTGTGTACACGCCCATAAACAGAGTTCCTCCACTAAAACAGCTCTCTATATTCGTCCTCGTCATATTAATTTGCCCCTGAGACGGCCTGATTTCCGCAGAATTGGTTCCATCTACTCCATACATACCACACTACTACCTAAACTACCCCTCCATTCCAACCCGCCGCAGTGGGACAGCTATCGTAGATCAATCACCGATGCAGTCTATGATTATACTACACTATCGTCAACGGCGATCTGCCAGTCATACAGGCGATCCCCCTTCGGTCAACTTTCCTTTTCGCTAGGTTACATACTACATACTACTAAGCTCCGATAGTGGGGTTGTCTATACAGACACAATAATTACTCCGTCCAGCACTCATTTTAGCATTAAAGCTGCGCATGTGATAGACACTAGCGTCATAGACTGTCTCATAGAGTCACGACCGCAACCCAGCGACCCTGGCTTGGAAACCGCTAGCGTGTCAACTAGCTTGGGGTCGTAGAACACATGACCCCTGGGAATACCAAATAGCGGTAGCGCGCTGACCGCTAGCTTGTCGATTTACAAGACTCGAGTTGAAGACATTGATCTGGAGGGGGCACTAGCGGTGAACAATGATTTTGGTATGAGGAGTCGATGGACAAGTTCGATTCCCAGTCTATACCACCACCCTCAAAATCCGTACAAACTCGTGTAGATGCATGCATCATCGCGATCATACATTATCCGCTATCTCTCATTCCATCTGTACGGCAAGCTCAGATGCACGATGTGGCTTTCCGGACTCTACATCCCTGCGTTAATCATTCCGCTCCCCCTCCTCGCCTGACCAGTGCTGAGACTCAAGCGAGTCCAGCCACTTAGTTTCATCCCCGGGCCTGCCCGAGTAAAAAGGTCCCCCGCATTGAGGCTTTCATCCCATCTGCGGGGAATGCGGAGTACGAACTTTTTTTGACTCGAGTCTATGAGTAACGTAAGACATAAAATTGAGTTGGTCTTGTGACATGGATAACTCGAGTCATGCATATTATTGACTTCAAGGGGGGACGAAACTTTGGCCATGTGACTCGGCCCGAATCGGTGCATGTCGTGACCTGTAAGCAACGATCAAGCCTATTGACTCTGGAGATCGTAAACCAGAGATGACCCAATAAGGGTACCAATGGCTTAGAAGACTCGAGAGGTTCTACGGGGCTATAATCGGATAAGATGTTGACTCTGTAGCACTGCTATCAGATAATAGGGAAAGCGATAGATCTACCACTGAGTCACCTAAATCACTATATTGTTACAAGAGAGAGGACACAGAATATATGTAATCTCAATCATGCTTTTGGATACCACACACCAGCCGATGGATAATTGTAGCTCCTGCACACATACTTCGAGATCGTTGTAAAACCTCATCCCCCCCCCCCCCCCCCCCTTTGTGCTGGCATTTGCTGCCGTTGGACTGACTGGCCCCTTGACAAAAGATTGTGCTGAGAAATTCTGCATAAAGTCGCAAGGGTACCGTGATAGACGGTCCGGCTGACTGGATATCTACTGCGGTATCTACAACAGTGCCCAAGGTCACTCACCTGGTTGTTTAGCTTAGGTTTTGAATGGGCCATTACTAGTTTTAGGCTCATGATTTTTCAAGCTCTCTTTGCCCACTTATGGAACGATTCAAGTATTCCTGTCTTTTGAGAACCCTGACAACTTTTGCATGCACGCAATTTCTGCTTTCACTTTCGTCAAAAAGCATTGATTTTGGACCTTAGAGTAATACCAAAATTCTCCTTGCAAGACATAAGACAGACTGTATGCTTTTTGCTGCTTTCCGACTTATCCCAAGCTGAAAAGGGCTGGATCGGAGTGTTGCTAACGACCACTCTTGGACTAGATTTCCCGACGAGATCCCCTCTCTACTCTCCATAAAAAAGAGACTTGTATCCTCCACGTATTGGATGAGCGTTATCAGGCAGTTCTTCTGTCCACTGATATCGGAACACTTTGTTTTATCAGCAATGCTTCAAACTTGTTTTGGCTTGTCCTGTTTCTGGCTGCGATGAGACAATTATAGGTAGGCCCCGTGAGCCATACTCACGAGAGACTGTCAAAAGGCAGTTCATTTTGGTTGGCCGAGTCATCAAGTGGGGAGTGTTCTTGACATATTTCGACAAGGTTGTTCAGCTATAGTCCTGGGGGCGACCTGCACCGTGATTCACACAACAGTTAGATTAAGACCTGAAAACAAAAATGAACCATAACCTGTCGCGGTGACTGTTAATAAGACCAACGTCCTACAGAGCATTCAGATGATTAATGTACTGCAAGTACACTGATATTTTTAGGGCTCATAGACGGGCGACACTAAGGCGTAAGGGCGTAAAGGGTAAGGCTTTGGATTTCGGCTAAATAGATCTACCCGCGAGCCTGATCCAAGTATGTATCTATGTCGCGATATCCGCAATCTCAAACATCAGTCTCCCTCACCGAATACCCCCTATAGGCAAAAGCCGAGAATAAAACGTTCCACAAATCTAAAGCCGCCAGATTGCCGCCGCAGCGGCTTGATATTACTGGATGGAGACATCCCGCCACGCATGGAAAGAATTGCAATATTCACCGAGAAGAATCGATTTTATCATCACTCCAGATCTTCACCGAAATGCGGGGTGGAATTTGGGGGTGTTAATTAAGATGAGGGGGGTAGACCCCGTCCTTAACTCCACCGCGATTCTCACCGGGGCGACCAACACAGAAATAGCACCAGAAATGTAAGCAGCCAGCGCGAGTCAAATGGCCCATCCAATCCCACGAATAGAAATGCAAACGTGTATTGTTAGGCCAAGTGGCAGCCCGCGGAGTAACAAAAAAAGCAAAGAAACGGAGGGGTAGGAAGAAAGAGTGGCCCAAGATAGGCAAAACCTCACCGTCCACATCACAACAGCACAATTCGTAACAGATAGTCTTGGCATTTTGAGCAATGGTGGCAAGTTCATCCCAATAAGCGATCTGGTACTCGCCACGATGCGCGACTGCAGTCAGCCTGTGCAACCTGGCGAACATGATCCGCGAGGCGCAGGGATCCTAGCCTCACAGCCAAGACGGGTCTATCAAACTGCACAAGGCTTGGCGGATCATCAATCGCCCTTGGCGCGTACTTGGCAGGCATCCAGGAGGACACCTCCCTCGCATCCGGTGGGCTTATTTGGTTTCTGGGCACTGATAAGAGTTGGTTGGGCTGGGCAAGGGTTGCCTTATTTGTACGTACATCTAAAGCAGAGAGAGGTAGATGAAGTGATTGGAAGAATGAAATGTTATTGCATTCTGTTGATTGGATTGCAAAGTAGCCCGCTGGGGTCTTTGCTATGTAGTCCATAAGAGATAAGGAAAATAAAGAAAAAAAAGCCCCAGATCAGATAGCGCCTCCAACACCCTTGTTGTGCTTTTTCCCTTATTGGTTTGTCAAGAAGGGGATGGGTTCAAAGCATAGAGGCACGGTGACGATGTCTCTTGGGTTGAGCCAAATCCACGATCAATAAACCGAGATGATCGCTAGGTCATAAGATAAAACCAAAATGCGTCGGTCGCTGGTATCACGTTGATGAAACAAATTGTCATAAAAAATGAAGATAAAAAATCAAAAAGAAAAAACAAGAGGCCCCATGAGTGAGTCAATCACTGGGAGGGGCGGCGGCCCTTGGTGTGGCCGAGGAAGAGGAAGTCACGAGGCACGGTGGCAGCATCATCGTCAACCTGAGACTCCTGGGAGGAAGTGGAAGAGGAGCTGTTAGAGCGGTGCAGCTCCTGCTCATGCTCGACCGTAGCGGACTCGGTCACAGCCTGCTCATCGTAGAGACGAGAGTCAGGGCCGGACTCGGTAGGAGATAGGACCAGGAACTTGTGGCTCGGGTCGAACGGGGCCGAGCTAGTGGCCGAGAGGACGAGGAACTGACGAGGAGGGGGAATCTTGAACATTTTGAAAAAGAGACTTTTAGCTCGCTTAGGCGAATGTAGTGAGTGGGTGTGTGCCGGATGAGAGTTGAGCCAAAAGCGGTTATAGATGGCTGAGCGCGGGGCAGGAGTTTTGCACGAGATCAAACACTTTTGGTCGAGAGAGAAAGATGGAGAGTGTGGAGGATAGAGTAGTTCGCAATCTCAGCGGGTGAAATCGGTCAGACTTTATAGCCCAGTCGCAACGGAGCCAAGAGATGGCGAGGGACCTTGGAGAGTGAGGGGCATTCCGGTATCAAAGACAAGCCCGTCGATCCAGCACATCGTGCATTTCAGCGGAAGAGCCAGTGGATACTCCGAAAGGTCACGCAGTCAGCCAGGCAAGCCTCCCCGCGATTATCGCAGATGATTTGGCATAGCACAGGGCCGGGAAAGTGGATAGGACTGGAGGAGGACTGAATAATCTGCCCCAATCATCGACATGATTTGCCCAATCCGGTACATCCTAAACACTTCACATGTCTTGGCCCCGAAAAAAGGGGGGTGGACAGGCACATCTCCTTCCTGGCCAAGACGTCACTATTGGAATCGTTATCATGGTCTTCGCCTCATTGTTTTCCAATTCTTCGACTTCGCCTTTCTTGGCTCTAGCGGTCTGGTATTCTGGGGTCACACCAGCGTCGGTCTGGACCACCACCACCTTCTTCAGTCATTCCCAGGGGGCCATGGCAGTAATGCATCTTGTCTTGGCGGATAACCAGCAAATCTTTCTTTTCTTTGTGATTCGGGCAGTGGAAAGACTTGCCAATTGCGTAATCCGTTTGAGCCATTCGTTAGTGGGGAATAAGCAGTCGTAGTTTCCATTGCCTTCCCCTTTTCGTTTGGCGGGTCCGTTGCCAGCCGCCAAAAGTCAACCTCGGAAGATCCGCAGCCAGGATGAGGGGAGGCAGACCCTCCATAACTAGTTAAACGCTCCCCCCCAAGCGTGCGGGAGCACTGCCATTTCACAGGTTGGCTCTTTTTTGGTGCAGCCGCCTAAGTTTCAGCGGAGAGCCGTGGATGCTTCTCGACACGCTCCGATCATCCCGACTGCGTCCGCGTCGGTTCCCTGTCGCAACAGTTGGCTGCTCCGGTTTGTTTTCACAATCATTTCCGTCGTAGCGCAATTCATTTCTCTTTTGAGACAAAGTAGCAGCAAATGACATCATCAGCGCTGGTGGGATTCGTGGGTTCATGAGTAAGATCATAAGGTGAGATCTCATTTAACCGATAGTGCCCGATCGACTCGGCTGTTTGGGTTGACCCTTTTTGTGGGGAAAGTCACCGACATGTGAGATCTAGATAAGTAGCCATCACACAGATCCTGTACAAGGAGAGGGAAGTCAAGACTCATGGTTGGTTCGGAAATGGAAAACATCAAGTAGCCAAACAAAGGTGAAGTTGTACAACACCGTCGTAGTATCAATCGAGGAACAGTCACGTGGTGTGGTTCTCCTGCACAGAGGAGTCCGACAGGATAATGCTACCTTTTTCATCTTCTCTCTTTCTTTTCCCTCGTCAATTGGGGGTAAGCCTTATTGGGATTCACGATTCCCTTGGAAGGCCAACGGCGCCAAATAAAGTGGGGAGGAAAGAATGCCAATTCGCATTGTGCTTAGTCGCTGTGCGTTGCCGCCCACAGCTCGGCGGTTTACTCGCCCGGAGTCGATCTCCTCGAGCACAGGCGCCAAGTGATGAGCCTCAGTCACGAATATTTATGTGGAAGAGCCCAACTGTGCCCACAAGGAGCACAGTCAACTTTCACCAGTCACATTGGCGCTAGAGAAATTCCATTGGCAGGTATTGATCGTTCGTTGATCTACCCCGGCCCGGTCGATGCATACTCACAACCTAGAATCCTAGATTGTGGAAGATGCCACTTCCTCATCACATACGAACAGCCAACAGTTTGAGCAACCTCTTCTACACACAACCGGAGATATCGGTTTGAAATCCGAAGAAGGTCTCTTCGGGCTTTTCGCTTAATACCACATCATGGTCTCCAATGTCTGATCCTAATGCAACTTGCTCGCTGCTATCACCAACCGATCCATTCCGGCGGGTTCTTGGTCGCCTGCGCAGGACAACCTTGGGGCCATGATATGGAAATTACCTCTTGGGGGCCTTTCGGTCTGGCATTGCAATTGTCTCTGATGTCTTGAGGGGATATGCGAGACACCTGAGCTTGGACGAGCTTCTAATTCCCGTTCGGGCCGCCACGTTGATCCTTTGGCTAGTAAACGCCATCCTGGTAAAGAACTCTACGCTTCGAATTTTTTTGATTCGTGAACACCCGGGAAAACTCGAGAAGGGGCTAACCGTGCCCAGGCTCAATTTGAGGAAGTCCCGCGCCACCCCCCTCTGCTGGCTGTTATACTGGCCCCCGAAAACATGGGGCTTATCCACTATGCAGACTGTGGCAGGTGGATTATTCCCTGATGGAAAGGCAGAAATATGGGATGCGTCATTCTCTAGGTTCATTTCACCCTTGATCTTCTGCCTAGCTCGCCAGTGTATGTCGGACTGTTGGTTCCGTTGTCCGGTCTCATTTGCCGAAACAAGGATCAGTTGGCCACTCAGTCAACGAGAATGATCTTCGACGCGGTATTGTCGAATTTCTCATCGGCAGCACCGAAACTTTAATGAGAAATGGAGGTGGTCTGCCCTGATCGACGGTTCGACGAACACACCTCTGGCTACTACTAGTGCCGGAGTGCGCAGAACCTAGATCACCGGGCGAAGTCCGCTGGACTCCTGCCCTCTCTGATGATCCACATAAACGCCAACAATTCAATTTGTTGGTTCTCAATCATGTCCCGGTCTACCCCCATCTGGGCCATTATGTGCCTTGTCCACCTTCTACTTCTAAATGCCTTGTTCATTTCGGGAGTGACTACTAAGTCATTAGATGCATATGGCGCATCAATCATCCCCCACAGCGGCAGTGAATGCGCAAGATATCACAGTTGGGATGAAGGTCATATCATTTGCTGTGAGCTCCACGTCGCGGCACAGTCATTATATCTAGATATCTGCTCGGAACCTTATGATATAAAGTGGCCTTGATCCCTCGCTGTTCTGGTTTCCATCAACACAGCCAGCTCAATATCAGCCTTCAACTTGAAGCCTTGAAAAGCATTTTTCAATCTTCTCCTCTCTGGAAAACACACTGCTCCTTTCAGAATGTGTTCTGTCTACATCTTCCTATACGACTGTGGTTGTTGCCTACGCGAGGGAGGCGTTGTTCACTGTGCCAAGGTTGGAACTCCATCTTGCCAGGGCGTGAAGGAGCACTTTCGCCGTCGAGACGGTTACAAATGCCCGTCACACGGTGGCTAAATGGCTCCGATTAAGGTCAGTACCGCAATCAAACTCATACTTGACCTCTCACTCGATTACGGCTTGCTAACATGCTATTTTAATTCAGAGACCCCAGCCATAATTTACTACATCGACAATGCCCTACATTGCCGGCCATGGTCTTTTCGAGTCATAACTCGCTGCGTGCATGTCAAAAGGAGGATGAGCTGATTTTTATCCTGTACCCTATCACACCCATGTATAGGTTGGGAGGCATATTTTGCGATGGAACTGATTACTTTTTCTGCTGAGCCTACAGCTCGATATTTTTTGTTGATCTTTTACCTCCCATGTTGATATTTTCGTTTCTTTGGCAACTTGAGCGTTCCCCACGCCGTGGCTTAATCATTCATTGAACTACAATGATTTTTCACCATAGTCCAATGCACCAATATTGGGTGCTCTACACGGTTCTTCAATAAAAAGCAGTAGTATATAAGCGTCTTAGCCGACATCATCTACTCGGGATCTACATAGAATGACCATCTCAAATCTCCCTCACTCTTAAAACCTCAGAACCTTTTCTGATTCCAAAATGACACAACAAATTTGTCATAGTCTTCCACATCTACAAGTGCACCGGAAAATTCTATCCGACGAGCCATGTCACTCGTCTTTCAGTAGCGGGGATTAATACGAGGACTGACGGAAGCAGAGAACGCTCCAGAAGCATCAATAGTGGGGAAGATCAAGGGGAGCCTTGCCACATCTTGCGAGCTAGTGAATGATAGATTCATTGTGTCTACGAACCTACACGAATAGATCTGGACCAATAACCGCGACCGGCATTGGGCGATAGGCTGAGAGCCACAGATAGGAATCTTGTGCATCGCATTAAACCTGCATGGCGCTCAAATCAGCTGATTGGAAGTGTGTGGACAGTGGACGCCGATCGTAGGCTATGAATTGTTTGGCGCTCTCTAACATATCGAGTACATCTCTGTCTCTCGATTGTCTCCACATAGAAGAATGATCGAAATGCAGCATGCAGGAAGTGCCTCAGGTAAGCTACCATTATCGAAGTGCAATCTGGAAATGCAAGGTTAACAAGCACGTAATGAGAGACAGTAATGCGACTGTGGGTCAACTGGAAGCTCGGAGTGTCCGCATCGAGAATCCTGATATGTTGATAGTTCATGCGCCTGTGCATGCATGCTCATCACATTCCTTGGCCCTAAAGGCCAGAGTCTGTAGCGCCTCGGAGCATAGACTCAATCGGACATATACGGTTGATTTTGGTGATGTACTCTCACATTCGAATTAGATCGGTTCTTATTACATCATGCCATGATTTGTTCGTAAATTTTGTCGAAGCCTAGCTGGACAAGAAAGTGAGCTTCGAGCTGGGCGATCATCGATGTCGTCATCACGTGATTCGACGGTAACAGGGCATCGCGAGAGCTCCCCATTCCAACATTGAGATATTGGAACAAATCTGGTCCATCTGCGACGCACATGTAATGTCCATCGAAGTCGACTGGGCAAGGGCCACCTCCGGCCCGGACGGAGAAGCTCTAGCAGAGCGCATCCGCTCCTTTGTCCACGACAAGTTCCAACAAGTCCCCCTACCACGCTTCATTCGTTCCGTCCAATGCCACGCCTTCGAATTCGGGACAATCGGACCAGACCTCGAGATCAAAGACTTCTGCGAACCCTTCTCCGACTTCTATGAGGAAGACGATGACGACACTTCCGCGACTTCGGAGGAGCTCATCGCTGAACAATGGTCCGGACGCCATTCGGACTCCGCATACGACGACGATGTGCCGCATAACCTCCACCACCATCCCTACCCGGGCGAGGCGTTCCAGCCCTCTGCACTTCGATCTCCACTGCCTTTGGGTGACCACATCAATTCGCATTTCCTGCCTCGCGCCGGCACCCCCGGTATTCCTGGAGGCACATCGACTCTCGGGTACCATTTGATGTCCCTGGGTGGTCTTTCGGGAACCCAGACTCCGCTCGCAGCTGTAGCAGGCGGGACACCGTTCGCCAGCAGCTGGTCAGACGCTGGATTAGGTCATGGAGGCAGGCCACGCCGTCCCTCTCGCCCGAGTGGCCTTCAGCACCGAGCAGACGCAGACATCGACACCACAAACTCGGCGTCACGGCCATCCACCGCAAACACACTACCCTCGCATCCCTCGGCGGGCCATACTGGCAGCAGCGGATCAAATCGCAACAGCGGTGATCCAGCTGATATACCGCAGCCATCCACAGAACCCCTCATCGACCCCTCTGCTCCAATCCCGCCGCGTATGCGGGAGCGTCGTCCAGAGGATTTCCAAATTTTATGTCACGTCAAATACGCCGGTGATGTCCGATTATCCTTGACAGCGGAGATCTTGCTCGATTACCCGATGCCAAGCTTTGTCGGACTGCCGCTGAAACTCAACGTCACCGGGATTACCTTTGACGGTGTGGCGGTGGTTGCATATATACGGAAACGCATTCACTTCTGCTTCTTATCTCCTGAAGACGCGGATGCGCTGCTCGGTTCTGAAGGACAGCATCAGAGCAGCCAGCAGCCTGGTGAAGATGGTCGGCCGCGGTCTGGCGGGGATCAGAAACGACAGGGTGGATTGCTGCAGGAGATTAGGGTGGAAAGCGAGATTGGCCGTAAGGAAGACGGCAAGCAAGTTCTTAAGAATGTTGGAAAGGTGGAGCGCTTTGTTCTCGCTCAGGTGCGTCGCATCTTTGAGGAAGAGCTGGTTTACCCTAGCTTCTGGACATTCCTCATTTAAAGGTCGAACGACGAAGTACTTTCCACAACCTCGGTATGATACTAGACAATATCTGTACAGTTACGAAGATTTTATGAATTTCAAAAAAGATGAATTTATGACCCGAGAATAAAGCCCTATCTGCTTAATGCATGATAATCCTGAGCCCAAGATAATTGCATCGCGCATAGACTAACAGGACGAGCGTTTCCAGAACAAGCACTATGAACAGTGACTCGACCCTCTAAACACATAGGTAAAATCTTGTCAATGGTAGGGATGACGATGCAAAGCACCGCTTCTTCGGGGCTAATTTCTGCAGGTAGTGCCCCTCAGCGTAGCAGAAGGTCGTTAATAATGTCGGGAGAGATATTTATGAACTGTTTTCAGTTCAATGTATTGGGGTGGAACGATATCGAGTGCTTGAGTTGACGGAGGAGCACATTTGGTTTGGGTGACTGTTGACGGACACGCGGCACGCACGGAGGATAGTTCAAGTGCAGGTGCTCAGCCCCTCATGAAGAAGCTGAACTCACACAAGGCAGCCGAGACCAGTCTCTAGACCCAGAAATCCAGGTGGACACTTTACTTTACAGGTCCTTCTTCTCGCCCTTCTCGCTCTTGCCGGAGGAGACCTCATCACCGAGCTTGTGGTACTCGCGGGTCAGACCCTCGCACTGCTTCTTGAGAGTCTCGATATCGCGCTCCTTCTCCGCAAGCTGCTTCTTCAGGGAGCCAATCTCACCAACGGAGCCAGCCTCGGCGAGGCGAGCAGAGTCCTTGCCGCCGGCCTTCTTGTCACCCTCGAGCAGCTTGACGCGGTCCTCGAGGCGGAGAACCTCCAGAATCATGATGTAGGTGCGGTTGAGGATCAGGGAGAGGAAGAGGGTGAAGCCGCACAGGTACATGTTACGCTGCGAGTAGAACTTGCGGGCCTGCACCTCCATGCGGTCAACACCGAGGTGGGCAGCGCTATCAAGAAGAACCAGTCAGTAGTGCACATAGCTGTGAGTTTTGATTTGTAAGGAACATACCCAACGGCAGTGCCATCCTTGGAGAAGGAAGCCAGCTCCTGCTGCACCCGGTAGACCCGGTTGACGCTGTCAATGAACAGGATGAGAATGAAGATGAATGTAATCTAGATATAGTGTTAGATAAGTACAATTCATATTCAGTTCAAGGGGTCTGCCGTACCTTCAAGCCATACTGTAGTTTTGCTATGATCGGACTTTCGGAAATGAAAGCGAAGAGCTTGCGCTTGATGGTGAACGGCAGAGGTATGATGAGGGCCAAGAAGACCGCCATCTCGAACACCAAGAGAAGGAAGACCTAATTGAAAACATAATTGTCAGTCTTCATATCCGGCGGAATAGTTTCCCCAAGGACATTTGAGGGGGCTCTTTGGCGAGCTGGCCGATCGAGCCAGCTAGGCTGCAACCGCGCCCACGGCTCAATCGGCCTCGGCGCAAAAAGGGAACTCTTGGGAGACCACAAGTTGGACATACCAGGCTGTAGTAAAGAGTCATCTTGTCGAAGTTTATTTGAGTAGCACGAGTTGCTGGATGAGAGTTTCGTGGTTGTCAAAAGGGGGTTGGGGGGGGGTTGAAGAGCTTCGGTGTAAGCTGGCTCGAGGGTAAACAAACACCAGCAAGTAGGTTGATCCAAGCAGAGAGAAGCTAGGAAACAAAAAGCACGAGTACCAAGAGGTAGACGTGTTCAAATCGGGCAGAAAAGAGAATTGGAAAGACCAGTTTTCGGATGTGCAGGTTCGAGGTGGTCTTTTATGGGGAAGTTTTCCAAGCCTCGGGGGAAGACGTCATCGTCCAGGTCTGCACGTGACTGTGCGGGCAACCCTAAGGTTGCGATACAGTGGAGCTGTCATTTCATCATATCCGGAGAATTTAACATTTTCATGTTCATGTTCACGTTCATGTTCATTTTCTATTCTATATACAGATTTAGACTAGGGCTACGGGTATCCTAGCATTAAACATCAGGTCTAACCCTCAGCCTCGTAGGAGTTGGATTTGTGCTTGGGCTCGAACTTGAAGTCCTTGTGTGCAGGGCCGAGGAACATCTCACTAGAAGCAGGTATTAGCCAATAAGCTCAACGAGCGATTTCAGAGTGGCGCATAGAGAAAACTTACGTGATCTTAATCCAATCCTTGTAGTTACCGCTACCCATAAGGGTCTCCAGGTCATTTCGGCCGCGCCAGGCAGGGGGTCTGTCGTTGATATGCGGAGGGAGGTATTCCAGCAGACCAAGAGGAACGTAGCGGTAAGCAAAGCTCAACCACTCCAACAAGAACCGGCGGGTTGTGCCGATGCCGAATTCATCAGAGCCCCAAGCCTCGAGACCGTACTTGGCGAACTTCTCGATATAGGCAAGACGCTCGGATGCAGACTTGTCCAGATACTGGCCAGTCTGGATCTCCTCGAAAATCCAGGGCTTGATCAAGGCACCACGAGCGACCATGACTGCGTCGACACCAGCGTTCTGAATGTGATCGTCGTAATCGACGTGGGAGAAACAATCGCCGTTTCCAAGGAAGTAGGTCCTGCCACCGTTCGGCAAGTAGCGTGGGTCAGCTTCGCGAATGGTGTCCGCGAGATCGTCGGTCTTTTCATTCAGACGCTTGATGAGGGCAGCAGTCTCAGCAATGTAACCCCAGTCTGCTTGCTTAGTATAACGTTGCTGTCTGCTACGTCCGTGGAGGGTGATGGCAGCGGCACCGGGAGGGCCAACGTCCAGAATGCTGGATTCGTAGCCGCCCAGGACCAGACGTTCGACAAGTTTCAAGGCATTGGGTTGGTTGTCTCTGGTTCCCATGCGAATCTTCACTGTAATAGGAATCTCCTGAGACACCGCATTCATACCACGAATGATCTTCTCCAGTTTGGATGGGTGGTCCAGGAGCGCAGAGCCGGCTCCGTCACGGTAAACAAGCTCAATGGGGCAACCGCAGTTCAAGTCGATGACACGCAAGTTGGGCGTATACTTGGAAAGCACCTCTGTGGCCTTGAGTGCCTGGAACGGCTTGTTGGCGGTGATCTGTGCACCATATCTGAAATCTTTGGAGTTATCATACCCTTGGACCACATTCGGCCCAGGGGTAATGGTTGGCGGAAGCATTTCAGACTCGTGGCCCTTGATGAGGGTCCACTCAGACTTGTTGCCTTGGATCAGCGGCATGCTAAGTGCCATCTCGGAATAAGTGAATTGAGCGCCCAAGTCTCCGCAGAGTCTGCGGAATGGAAGATTACCCTGTGTCGTCAGAGGTGCGAGGGCTGGAGTCTCCGGCCCAAAGTAGATGCGTCTCTTCTCAGAAGCCAAGAACGGGGGTTCCGTATATTGAGCCCGGTTATCTTCAAGTTCCTCCTTGGCCTTTTCGGCATCACCGTTCGTCTTGGGGGTCTCTCCACTATCGGGAGTCTCCGCACCGTTGTGGAATCGTCCATGCAGCTCTTTCTCCAGCTCCTGGGACACCTTGTTGAGCCAATCATTGTATTGATTGGCACGAGGAGTGTGCTCGCGCTTCCGTGACAGCGCGACTTTGTCTTCGTATGAAATGATGTTGACAAGGCCTTCGCGAGTAGCAAAAGGCACAAGGGGCTTGGCCTTCGCTTTGCGCTCCTCGTCTTCCAGCAAAATAAGCTCCTTCTTGCCGTCCGCAGTTTCCCTCTCCATCGAATGCGATCCGACCAAGCGGCATCGCCAGCCGGCGTAACAGGTACCTCGTGCCTCATAGACGGGGCAGATTCCATTGAAGGTTGTCAGGTCCTCCCTCTTGTGCTCCTTCAAGTAGAGTCGCAGGTCGTGTTCAAATCGGCACTTCTCACCGAATTGGCACTCTTCAGGCGAGAACTCTGGGCTGAACATTCTTGAGGCGCACAGGCCTTTGGCATCTTTGGAGCTACCAAAGCTTCGATTGGTGTTCTGGCCCTTGGGCTTCTTTTTCCCTTTCTTCTTGTCGTCGTCACGTTCGGCATGGGAAGCACCTTCAGCTGCATCATCGGTAGCGGCATCGGAGACTACTTTGGGAGCGGATTTGATCAGGTATCTGAGATTCGTACAATTGTCAGTCATTATCGGACTTGGCTTTAAGGTAGGCGATAATGGCCTACTCTGCTTTGATGGGTGCAATGCCCCGGTTGCGCAGAGAAGCGCGTTCATCCTCGGGCGCCTCGGGCTCGTCAATGCGAGCCTTCTTGGAAGGAGGCTCTTCGGCAGCAGGGCTACCGTTGGCAGCATCGCGCTTGGTGACTTCGGCCTCCGATGAAGCTTGAATAGGCTCCGCAGTTGCGGGTTGAGGAGCTGTCGAGTCCATGTTGGACATATTGGGCAAAGAATTGGTGTGCCTGGGTTCCGACTAAATCGCTGGCACAGTTGCAATCCAAAGGACCTCCTTGCTGCGGCACAAGATGAAAATTACGGAGGCCTCCGATCTTTCTATCAAAAAATATTCAGAACTGGTGGCGCGCCGCAAGTTTGCAGCATTTGCATCGAAGTGTCATCAATCTGATTGGTTGCAGACGAACCAAGATCTTGAAGTTTGCTGCCTCGATAATTAGGCGATCAATAAGTGGGCCATGGGCCTGCCTCGGCTTCTGAGCCCCAGTAACGGGCTAAGTTAATCCCAAAGTCTTACTGACTGAGTTCTTTCACTAGTATCTGATAGTGCTCTCTTCCCAGTTGGATCTCTGCAGGACCAGTAGCTTCCTTTTGCAAGATGTTTACAGATGTTCCTCTGCAGGATATATGTAGGTGCTCTCTTTGCCTGCTGGCCTTCAAACGCCGTGGTTTCCTTCTTGGCTTCATGTACACCTTCTTCCTGTCCAGAACTTCGTGCTTCCTGTGCGTAGAGACGTAGAGATGTCTGCACTACCTAAGCAGCCGCGGAAATTGAGAGATTCTTCGTCAAGCTAGCTCTCACCTTGACCAATCTGTCAGGCCATGCGTGAAAGTTGATTCATACCAAGCAACGAAACCCTATACTCTAGGTATAATTGAAAGTGTCCCGATGTATTACTGACTAGAAGCTACTACATATTGAGCTGTGTCGAGGATGGGCTTAAGGCCTAGGATCTCCCTTAACGCAACCTTAAGTTTCACATTGAGGAACTCTCCTAACGGTGTAAGAGCTACTGAGCATCATACTTCAAGGCGCCCTGTATCGCTAAGAAAGCGAATTCGGACTCCATTTCCATCACCAGTGAGCGATTGTCGTCTTACAACTCATTATTTGAGACTATGCGTTTTGATTCGAGGCTAATGACTTTTTGGGACACAATCAGAATGTCCGGATATCTCGAAATGATGCGGACGGGGATGCTTTCTTCACTGTAAAATTCGAAATATCGCTACTTTGCTACGAATTTCGATGGATAAGTAGGAGTCACAGCAAATAAAAATGCCGTAAGTAATCCCGGTGGTTAATCAACTAGAAAATCCCTTTTATAGCTGTCGCTTAGTCCTTGAACAAGTTGTTCCCATTCCAAGGCTTCACTTCTACCTTCAAGTCATTGATATCTTCTCTTACCTGCCAACGCACTTACTGGAAATCTTACCTTGACACGCAGCAGCCACTATCCGTCGATAATTCTACAAAATCCATATCTGCTGCAGATCTTCCTTCACCCTTGACACGCTACAACTACTTTCCTCAACCATCTCACGCATACCCAATTCACATTTGATGATCCTGTGACCTCCAATCACACTCTCGATATCATCCTCAACCATCATGCCGAAGCTAAAGCCTCGCAAGCCGGGTATCCACAGTGCTCGACGCCCTCGCAATCCTGGCCCGACGGTCATACCATCCACGGATCCGCTCTTGGACTGTGGCCCGGGCTGCCCTGGAGAATGCAAGGCTTTCCGCGATGCACTTGAATATCTCAAGTATTCTTGCCGGGGAAAGAAATATGCCGAATTCGAAGAGCGGATTCTTGAGCTGGAGCGCAAATTGGTCGATACTTACTGGTCATGCCTGGGTCGCGAGATTATCCTCTGCGGTCTGACTCCACGAGACAGCTCTTTCTTGTTGTCCGTCATCAGCGATGACCCATTCCTGCGCTGGCGTTATATTGGTGTTATTCCGTTCGATGGAGTGAGCAATCCACCAATCGTTGACCGTATTCTTGAACGCATCTTAACCGTTGAGGATGAGACGGGCGCGAGAGATGCACTGGTATACGTCAATCTTCTTCACGGCCTACAAATCATTGCCCGATATACTCGGGAAAAAGAAATTCGCGATATGCTTCACTTATTCTACCGACGTTACGCTGAGGCTTTTGGGTCTCCTTACAGATGCAATTGAAGCTAGGTGGATTCATAATACTGCAACATGGAAAGAGATGATCCTGGAATATGAAGTTCTTGCTTTTCATATTTCCGCTGTATTTTTTTTCCCAACTGCTGCTGAACTTTTGCTTCTGGATGGCCATTTTCAGATAGCCATCGTTACGAGAGACATCCAGCAATTCTAGCGAGTTTCTAGAGTGTACAATATCATGTAGGCAATCTAGACACAGCCAGTGCGGGGATATTGGAGACACCGGTAGATATTCGCATTCCATCCATTTCTGATACCGTGTTTAAATTGTTGATATCTCTTTTCCCACGGGCATACTAATTGGTTAAGAATGATAATGAATCCGGGGTTGCCCGCGGTGTCATATCCCCGCTCCATAAAGGTGGTGGGCATTGTACAGAGGTATAAAATATCCTTTCTATAATCAAAAGAAAAAGCTAGGCTCCCGAAGCCTCGCACGAAGAAAAGAAATATGCGGTGTGAGAGACTCTCATGCTTCCCACAGGCAACGAGAAGGGGACTACGGTGGAACTAACTCGAGCACACGCAGTGAAGATGCAATGAAGCTTCTACAATCAGTCCCGTATGGATCTGGCGTGTCGGCTGTGCATCTGGTCCTGTCCTTAGGTGTAAAATGCCCAGGTTTATACCCTGCAACCAGGCCTAAACTGATTGGACGCCATCAACCATGAATGTCTCTGTTCAAATATCCGGGTTCAAGAGTGCGATCAGATAACTGGGCGAACCATTAATTCAGGTGGATCATGACACTGTATTTATTAAATACGAAAGACCTTCTCCGCATCAAATGCGGCAGCCTGGGAAAAGTAGTACCCCCGCTGATTACTGATAACCCGCTTCCCGGTCGTTTCCTCAGTATAGTCAGTATTGTAATGAGTATGCCCAAATGCCCAAAGGCGCACTTGAGGATTGGTCCAGCATTCTTCCCCAGAAAAATCCGTTGCGAATCCCGACGATAGAGGGCTATTACTGTGATTTGGATGAGCCGCACGTGGATCGGTTGTGACAGGGCTGTAGTGTGTGAAGATGGCAATTTTCCGTTCTGGTTCAGAAGCCGCAATTTGCGCAACCTGGCTATTAAGCCATTCCAGATCTGCTCTGTGGCGGCTGATGTGATCTTCAACATCCCAGTCGGAGATATAATAGAAGTCGTTTATCCCAAAGCTGATGCGCTCTTTGTATTCTTCGGCAATGTTGGACCATAGAGTACATCCCAGGATTGTGACATCTGGAGAAATGTCGTGTCGAGTCTGATCGAGAAAAACAAACTCGCCCAGAGGCTTTTCCTCAGCATCATTCGATTCCCGTCCTTTCTTGACCGAGTCAGAGAACTCGGATATTTTCAGTCTTGTCTTAGGCCATGATGATTGCCACGGTTCATGATTTCCCAACAGTAAGAAGACCACTCGAAACTGGGCGAGTTGAGTTTCAACAAAAGTGAAAAATCCTGTATCCTCCACCACCCCTATGTCACCCAGAAGTGCCAAGTATGGCACGTGGGGGGTGACCTCGAAGAAATCGTAGGCAGATGGATTTTCCAGATGCAAGTCAGACACGATTTGGAATTCGACCATTGGGAACCCTTGTAATGAAGCGGAATACTGGGAAAAGGTCGCCACCAGAAAGGTATTGAAGCTTCGAGATTTTAACCGCCAGATCCAATCGGAGACAGCGCGACCCTTTTTTTGAACGATGGAAAGTGGCAGAAGTGTGGCGGTGTGGCGGTGCAGTCTGGAGAAATGTGGCGCAGCCATCCCATCACTTCTGGAGAACTGGAGGACGAGGGGACGCTACTGGCTCCTGTTATCTAAGCGCCCAGCCCCGGTAGTCTCATAAGAGAGCCCCTCCTTGGCTGCCGTCTGTGATCAATTCTTTCTTCTCTCTTTGATCTCGTCTCATCCAAAGGATACTCGATTTACGCTCATTTCCCGTCCAAAAGAGCGTGTTCCACGATTTGAAAACAACCGACGTCATCGCCTTATCTACGGTTATCAGCACCAATTTGAATCGCGGGCAACTCAATTTCCTTGTTTAGTATCTATCCTCTTTCGCACAATATGTCGGGCGCTACGCACGATCCTAGGCTACTCTACAGCGTCAACAATATCCGCGCATTTCACATCCAGGACGGCGATGAGCAGGAGTTGACGCCATCGGGCCCTCAAACCCTCTCCCTCTTGATGGTCCCTACTGCTACATCTGCGCCAACCCCTCCATATGCCGCCGGTGCGGGCACGCAGACCCCCGAGGAAGACTTCTACCTGCACCTCTACCTTCCTCCAGAGCTGGATCTGGCATTGCCAGCTACCACCCAGATCTTCCACCAACCGCCCGATAGCTACTTGATTCCCCGATGGGATCTGGCTCCCGACGCAGGCGCGTTTATCCGCATCCAGTTCCCCAGCATTGGCAGCGGTCCGAAAAATGTCTCGCAAGATGACATCGATACCTTCGAGACCATCCTCGCACAATGCACTGCATTCCTCGACCGCGATCCCGCGGCGAGCGGCAAGTCGGATGGGTTTGCTGCGTACAACCCGGCGGATTATGCACCCGGCGAAGGATATATTGGGTCAGGAGATAGCAAGGGCGACAAGATGCACGGCAAGATCGTTCTGGTGGACGAGGAGGATGGAAGTGTAGTCGGCGAGTTGGGTGAAGGGTATAACGTGGTGGAGGACCCGGATGTGAAACCTGGATCTAAACGTGAGTGCATTTCGTACCGGTTAGTGTATTCCTGCATCAGGAATTAACTTTTCTGCCACAGGCCCCGTTGGAATTGAACTTCCTGCTGAAGGCGAGGGCAACAAGGTCAGCGTGACCAATGTTTCAGAAGAGTACCTGGAAATGTCGCGGCATCCCGCATATCAGAATTCAACCATTGTCCAGACCTCGGCCACTGCATCTCGATTGATTGTCACCACCTCCTCATATATCTCCAATGCCATCACCAGCGGCGCCGAGAACTTCATGAAAAAGACCAAGCCCAACGTCAAGCCAGTGACATTCTCCGATGCCACCCACGCCCGCATCCGCAAAGTCGGCACTTTCTCCGACGGCGCCGCAAACCTATCCTCACGCACGCTCGGTCAAGTGGAGCGAGTAGCGCAGAACATCGGCGCTTCGCTAGCACGCAAGGATGCCAAGCCTCGCGGCGCCAACAGACACCACCCACCGCCAGACTACAAGCCAGGCGTGCTGAACAAGTCGATGATCGCGTTCTCGACATTGGCTGACGGCATCCAAGAAAGTGCACGCACCATGCTGATGACTGGCTCAGCAGCCGCGAGCACGATGATCCAACACCGTTACGGCGCCGAGGCCGGCTCCGTCGCGCACAATCTGACTGGCGGCATCAAGAATGTCGGTCTTGTGTATATCGACGCCACGGGCGTTAGCCGTCGTGCGCTGCTCAAGTCCGTAGCCAAGGGCATGGTCGTGGGCCGCATGCGCGATGGAAAGCAGGTGGTCGTTGGCGCTGGCGATGGCGGTCAATTACCCCAAGGCGTTAATGGCAATGCCGAGGCAGGGCCCTCTGGGTCTGGGCTTGGAGTCCGGGATCCAGTTGTGCGACGTGCATCACCGACGCCCACACCGCCGCCAGCGTATGGTGCGTCGGGGACAGTGTCGCTGGGCGGCACACCCAGGTCAGGGGCAGGTGGAAAGCGGTAAAAGGGGGGAGGGTATTTTCAATTCACATGATAGGCTCGGGGAAAGCGATTGATTTGATTTTCATGGGAATATCCGGCGGGTTTGTCAATTCATCTTGTTTCTTCTTAATTTTATCGTTTTGTGTTTCTTTTTGTATTCGTCGTCTGGCACGGAAAGAAACATTGGAGTCAATTGGTGGTCCCTTGCAAACAGCGATATTGGATCATTCCCCAATTTTCAGATGGGACCACAAAACCCCCCTGGTCCCCCAATCCCTGGTTGTGTTGGCGCCGGGACTAGGGGCCTGGGGTTTTCTGGGGTCCTCCGGACGACATATCTGTGCATCAGGAGTAGTGTAGATAGGTTAGGATGATCGCCAAATGCCAAACAGAGTTTCACGCCACACTTCCACATTTTATGCATCAGCTTTTCCTTGCAGCCTTGCTTTTCGGGCTTTTTCTAGAGACGAGTCATTGGCCCAGACAAAATCTAAGTTTCGGCCGGGTGGGACAAGTCGGTGATAATTTCTCCTGCCTGAAAAAGGATGACTATTGAATCAGGCTTTCCAGCCGCGTTATCAGCGTGGCAAGAACAAGTACACTTCACATAGTTCTCACCTCATCATCTCGAAACAAATACATAAGATAAGGTCTCGCCCCCCCCCCCCCCCCCCCCCCCCTGTTGCGCTTCGACCCCGGCCAGGCGTCATAATCGCGGATCATGAGTACGACTACCCATTGGCGGGCGGCACAATTGACGTTGACCCTCGTTGCTGCTGGAGGGAGTCATTGGCGGTCGATTGGACGAGCGGCTCCCATGATGATGGCGCTGCCAACGCATCACCCGCTTGCCAGTTGGCCGACCTGCCCTAGAACCAATAGCTGCTTATCATTATATCAGGACAGCGGCATACTCCACACCGACTAGAGGCTGGAGCAGAAAGTGTGTGTTGCTGGTGGTGTGAAGGGTCACTCAGATCACGGTGAGTAGAGTACTGTATGGCGCAAGGGTTTTTCAATTGGCGGGCGGAGAGTGGCAATTGGGAGAGTTGCTGGCGTGGACATTTTACATTATTGTAAGTGTCCGGAGTACTCGGTACTTCGCCTCTGTCTAGCCATCACTAATCTATGACCGGCCGATTCCAATCTTGACGTGGAGAGTTCAAGTCAGTCGAGAGTTGCCCGTTGGAAGTGGGGATTTTTTCTTGTGGAGCGGGTAAGACTGTGACCCCAGGAACGGAGATGTGGAAGTGGAAAGGGTGTCTCCTTTTCTTCCGTTCGGTAGATATCTCCAAATCTCCAACTTTGGGTATGGTAGTAAGTTGGTAAAAATGGATGGCGTATGGAGTATTGATATGAAGTGTGGAGGAAAGTCAGATCTTGTCCAGTGGGAAGCTCGGGAATTTCACGTTGCAGGCGGAAGGAGTCACGATCTGCTCGATTCAGTGGGCTTTCCTTGGGACCCTCGGCGCCTTAACCGTGGATGGGGGTCCCCGCCCGGTGCCAGGGATTGAGGAAGGGAAGGGAAGAAAGGGGTAGTTCAAGAGTTGAAGAATAGGAGCATCGTTGAATTGAGTCTGGAGGATAGTGAATTGTTCGATCATGGCCTAATAATCTTGTTCGTGTGTAGAAGTCTCATTGTATACTTCATGGAGGCATGGAATATTAGGATTACAAAACACACACTGTACTATGTACAGTAGATAGAGAATAGTCGGCTGGCCAATTCTTTGCCATTACTTGCAGGCTTATGTCCACTTTCCTCTTCAAGCCTAGCAATTCCTTTTCTTTCAGATCAGGGCAAGCGATTTAAGCCATAGCTATGATCCTGATCAGCCTGTACATACTCCATGCTATTCAATGGACTGGAATAGCTACTCATTTATTAAACGGACCACTCTTAGATCATGGAAAACACACTAATCATACCGAATCTAAATTAATATAATACCCATATTACATCTGACTGCTAGCTCATTTGCTCCGTCACTAAAACGTTCACGATCCCGATCGTTAATTCTCCAAATGACGATCGACCCTCGCAAAGAGCCCACTCCGCGCGAAATGCGAAACAGCCGGTGCTAACGCCCCCCTTTTTGAAACGGGAGACCCTCTTTCTTTGAATGATTATTTCCCGCAACTAAGAATAAATCTCCTGCACGTAATATGATTTAGCTGGTGTTTTCTACTCCGTACATTTGTTGACTAAATCTTCGATCTAGGTCTAGGTCTGATATTAAGTCCAAGTTAATGTGTGGTTATGCCCCTAGATATCCTCGATGACCGTTCCAGGCATTAAGCTGCATATGCGGTTCGCGTATGTATGGGAGTTATAGTATACAGCATGTTCTCCGACTGTCGACTTTCCAGTTTTCCTTGCTATCATTGTTTACATTCATTGTTTATTTCCTTTTAAACTTCCTCTCCCCTTTCACTCGGACGCTTCTAATTTATTTTTGTCAATGCGGAGACTGGCCACATGCGAGGATCAGCCCTCGGGCCTCGTCCCCGTTTCGTTCTATCACAGGCGAGGCAAGGGACGCAGGGGAACTTCCTCGATCAAATGAGGGAGCTATCTATTTGGAAGGATCATATCTGTCATCAATAAATTTATGCTCGTTACTGCAATGCTGACATATTATCGGATACTTACACCATAGTGCCGTCGTGATGCTTGTCCCGATCCTTTGTCTATTGTAGAAGAATCCATAGCTATCCTCGGCTCGAGAGTATCCCCGCCTAACATTCTCTAGGGTACTCTAGTATTTACCAGATCCAATCGAGTCCATTGATCCTCTTATTCTAGTTCTACTCTCTATCCTCAATTGTAATTGACCAAAGTAAACGGCGTCATCGGAGTGGAAAGAAGACCCGCCAGTTTTTTCCCCCAGACTCCACTGGGTCAACCCGCTAAACCCGCTAAAGCAGCTCAACCAGCCCCGAACCAGGCGCTAACCAGCACTAAAACCGAGAAACTAACCTCGAACCACCCTGGCCCGTGGTTGCGACCTCGACTTTGCGCTTACTACGGAGTCCTGACCTGCTCTTCTTACTGTTGCTGCCACTGCCGCTGGTTGCTGCTGCTGCTGCTTGTGCTGGTGCTGGGACAACTCGTATCTCCCTGCTCCTCCTCCTCCCTCTTCCTTCCCACATCCTCTCATCCTCTCGGCCCTTTCCCTTTGGCCTCTTTTTCCTTTTGCTGTTTTCTTTTCCTTTTCATTTTTTTTTGTTGTCGTCGGCTCACCCATTTCTCTCTCCCCCAACCCCCCCCCCCCCCTTTTTCTTCCTAACCGACCGACTTCTCTCCCCTCGCGCCCCCTGTCCGCGCGCTCCGCCCCTCCGTACCCTGGCTTCGATCATGTTCAGTATCCGCAATTGAACCTGCTGGAATTGATCCGGGACTCTTCGTCGCGTCTGAGACATTGCTGCTTCCGCGTTTGTTTTCCCCCAAGTTCGTGGGCAACGTGCGACCGTCTCTTGTCTCCCCCTGTGGGCCCGGAGAGAAGAGAGGGGACTCTAGAACACTGCAGTGCAGGTAATCTTTACTTTACCTTTCTTTTCTTGCACAATTCCTGCTTGGCCGACGCGTCGTTCAATCAGTTCCATGTTGTGACCCGGTGTCCGATGTGAATCTGAATCTTGAAATTACCCCCCATTCCCTTTTATTACTTGCGACCACTAAGCTTCGGCGTGGCGGTAGCATTCCTGTCAAACCCCCCCATTCCTCCGATCGAGCTCCCGTCAGTTGGAACCTTGATAAATTTGCACATGTTTGTCGATTGCCGATAAGGTTGATTATATCTGCAGACTTGAAACTGACATGATCGTGGTGATAGCTGGTGAGGCTGAAACGTTGACACTCGGTGAGTGCGACCGATCGCCCAACTCTTACCCCCAATCTTCGCCCAACACCCTCCGGGAGAGCTCTGGTGTTTCGACGCGCCGTGCCCGTCACAATTGGTCAATTCATACTTGGAATTCAGTGCCTGATTGAGGGCTGACTTGGACCACCTTTTTAAAAGTCCCCGGCTTTCCTGCTTTCACCCAGAAGGTGTGTTGTTAGACGCGACGACAAACAGCTCGCCGTGCGCGCACCCGATTGCGCACATCAGAAGAAAAAAAATCTCGCATGCAACCCCGAGTACTGATACCCTTTCTCATCGACAGCCACTTTGTGAGGCAGGTCCCAACCAGCTTCCTCGGCTATGAGCACTTCCCATCCGCAGCCCCTCCCGCTCCCTGCTCTTACATCGCCAGCCTCGACTCATACGGCACCATCTCCACAAAAGAATGCGCGCAGCAACTATCCCGATATGCTAAGCTCCCCACCGGTTCCTCCTCCGAGGACTTCGTCTGCTCGCCGCAGCCCCAACGGGGAGAAAACCAGCTCCCGCCACGGCAAAAGTCGATCTGATCGCAAGGAGAACCGCGACCGACCCCGTGAAGATCGCAATGGGAAGAGCCGATCCCGGCGAGCGGACCCATTAGAAGAATCGACTCGAGAATCGGGCAGGTCACGGGAAGTACCCGGAGAACCTGTTGCGCAGATGAATTCCGACATGGAGGACAGTTCTGGGCAGGAATTGGCGAGAGAGTCCAGCGCGGTCATCAATTCGGTGCTGGTCAGCGATCCCGTGGTGGACAGGGAGAGAGAGCAGGTGCGACAAGTTGGTGGATCGCCCGCCGCGGCTGCTGCCGTGGAGGCCAACGCCTCTAACTATGGCGCACCTGGAAATGAAGGTGCCGAGGAGGGAGCTCGTACCGGACATCGCAGTCGACACGACTACAGTAACAACGGCAAAGATCTCAAGCGCAAGGAGACGACATTCGGCACCTACATTCTCGGCCAAACCCTCGGCGAGGGTGAGTTTGGAAAAGTCAAGCTAGGCTGGAAACGAGATGGGAGCATTCAAGTCGCCATCAAGTTGATTCGGAGGGAATCGCTAGGGTCGAACCCCAGCCGGCTACCCAAGATCTACCGTGAGATCTCCATCCTGCGCGATCTGGCTCATCCCAACATTGTCCGTCTGCATGAGATGGTCGAAACGGACCGTCACATTGGTATCATCATGGAGTACGCATCGGGTGGTGAGCTATTTGACTACATTCTCAACAACCGTTATCTTAAAGATAACTCTGCACGCCGACTGTTCGCACAATTAATATCCGGTGTCGGTTACCTGCACAAAAAGGGTATTGTTCACCGAGATCTCAAGCTCGAGAATCTGCTGCTCGACAGGAACCGGAACATTATCATCACTGATTTCGGTTTCGCAAACACGTTCAACCCCGTGGATCAATTGGAGGAGGAGATCGAGTACAACTTGACGAACAAGGAGTACGTGAAGCGCAAGCGCCTGGACAAACTGGGTCCCGATGGGTTGCGTCGGGGTGACTTGATGCAGACCAGTTGTGGAAGTCCCTGCTACGCAGCTCCAGAATTGGTTGTCAGCGACTCGCTCTACACGGGTCGAAAAGTCGATGTCTGGAGTTGTGGTGTCATTCTGGTATGGCTCTGAATTCCTTTGTTGCAATGCGCCGGTCCGGTTCTAACATGTTTTGTTCAGTACGCCATGCTCGCGGGTTATTTGCCCTTTGACGATGACCCAGCCAACCCCGACGGCGATAACATCAACCTCCTGTACAAGTACATCGTTACCACTCCTCTAACCTTCCCCGAATACGTCACCCCTCACGCCCGTGACCTCCTGCGACGGATCCTGGTTCCTGACCCTCGAAAACGTGCCGATCTCTTCGAAGTCGCTCGCCACAGCTGGCTGAGTGAGTACTCGCACATTGTGTCGCACATCACTAGCAGCACCACAAACGTGGCAGACATTGCCAACTCCACCGTCCCGGCCGGTAAGACCTTTCAAGCCCAGTGGAAAGTATATTGGAAATTCCAAATGGATCGACTGACAGATTTCTCCACTATAGAACCCAAGGCTGAGGCGCCAGCACTTGCGCGCAGTGCCTCGGTTCGCGAGCCACCCAAGACCAGCCACGGCGCGGTTCCTGCTGTGGGCGGACTCAATCACCATGCCGGTGATATCTCGCAAGGATCGCCGAGTGACAAGTCGAAGACGTCTCGGGATGCCAAGCGGAGAACAGTGCAGGTTGAATATGTTGCTCCCCAATCTCAGACCACGAGAGGAGAGTACCAGGAGACTTCAGAATCACGCGACCGGGCCACCATCAAACAAGAGGAGCCAGCACCCGCGCCGCCAGCCAAGGACACAACCACCCGAACGGCACCGAAGCCCCCTGTCAACTACGACAAGCCATTGCCCGGGCACTTCCCACGGTCTACCTCGGACAATGCAGCATTCGTTGGAACGCACACCACTGCCACCGCGGGGCTTTCGGGTACGCGGCCGACAACCGGTGGCTCCATGGCGTCCTTCCACACGGGTCGTCTTCCTTCTCGAGGCTCCTATGGCCAGCCAGTGGCTCCTACTGTTACCGCGACCAACACCGAAGGTCGCCTCGCACAGCCAAAGAGTGGCCAATTCTCTCTTGCGCAGAACCCAGCGCAGGCGTCGACTGCTTCCATCGGCCGTCCCAGTACCCAGCAGCTGCCTGCAGCATTCAACCCGACTCCCCGGCAAGAGCCGCCTAAGGGTCACAAACGCTCAAACACCGTCTCTAGTATCGGCGAAAAGCTGTTTGGTCGCTCTGGCTCGATCCTGGGCGGTCGTAACTCTCAGTCGAATGCTGCCTCTCGCGGGGATCGTCAGAACAAGCGGTATCCCCCTACAAGCATGAAGGAGCCTTTGCCTCGGGAGGATTCTCGTGTTTCCATGGATTCTCGGCGTTCAATGCAGTACTCGCACAGCCGTAAGGCCAGCCAAGCTGGTGAAGGCCGTGCTCGTCGATTCTCTCTTCTCCCGTCCTCCTTCTCCTTCCGAAACTTCTCGTCTGGTCGAGATCAGACTACGGAGGAGATGTCCCAGACTCCTCGCACGATGGAGCCCATTGGACCGCAGCGCCCAGCTACGGGTCCAGCCCAGTCTCGACCTCGCGCGACGAGCTATGGAACTCAAGAGGCCATGGGTATGGTTACCGAGGGGCCTGCGGAGGAAACTTTCGAGAACAAGGACTCCGAGCCTCTCAGCTACGAGGCCCAGATTGATCAACAGTTCGCTGAACTCGGTAACCGATTCGACCAGACTCAGGATTCTTTTGGTGCCATTTCCTCCGAGCAGGTCTACCCAAACAACGAGGATGGGTACTCGGGTCACAATTACACCTACTCGTCGAAGCCCAATTACTACGATGATTACAACGGCACCTACGACAGCATGCCTCGTCAGTCTATGCAAACTGGTCGGCGCGGACCTAACGTCCTCCAGAAGAGCAATCGCAAGTTCGCCGATGCCTACGAGTACGAGAGGGACGGGTCCCATCATTCTGGCAGCTCTGGTGCGGCCAGAAAGGTTATGGATTTCTTCCGCAGGCGTGCCAAGTCTCGTGCTGGTGACGACCGATAGTTCCATTGTACCATTGTCTCATCGACTCCCGTTTGAAAGAGTGACCATTCCAACCAGACTCACAATGAGAGGCTGCCATCGAGGTCCTTGGATGGATGACACCAACTAAACCCTCACCCGCCTTGCTTCAATGCAAAGTGCAGACTCAACTACATATTTGCTGCGCCTAAGGCATTAATATCGCTTCCCACGCCCCAAAAACGAGTGAGAAAAGAAGAAAGCAGCGAGGTTGTTCGAATTCCCCCTGTGATACCCTGCTTTTGTTATCAGTTTTTCCACATTCTGTGCATGGAGCGAAATTCTTCTTCATCCGTCGGGTGTTTGATTAATTATCTAGCATGTTCATTTCCTTTGTCAGAATACATTTTCCCTTTACTGTTCTCTCTGTTTTCTTCTTCTCTTTCCTCTTTTTGCTAATGTGTCCCCTTTTTTTTCTTCTGGGTTCCTCTATTTCCCCTTGTGTGATTCAAGCCCCCCATTTTCATTTCTCCTGTCATTATTATCTCCGACTGTAAAGTGGGACCACAATTGTGTCCTTCTTCGGAGCTTTATCATCCCCTTTTTTGCCCCCCATCATTGCGTGATCCATTGCTTGTGCCAATTTTCCATTCCCGATCCCCATGTCCGATGTCCCCATTGCCCCGTGTTCTTCTAGGCTCTCTGTCTTATACGGGAGGTGTTTTTTGAACGATAATCCAATTCTTGATGTTGAGTGGCATTGCTCTTTTTTCTGGTCCTTTGCATACGTGCTCCATTTGCGCTTCGTGTCATGGTCTCGTTATTCTGGCTTGCTTACCCGTCGGAGCGGCATTTTCTTCTTCTTGGCTAGCAACTGTCAACCCTAGGGATGGGAATCGTTGCTCTTCTTTCTCGGTAATTTATCTGGCCTTGTTTGTTATTTTGGATTGTCCCTTGTATTGGGTGGGTTAGTACATGGGTTCGGTTCATCTTTGTGGAATCGCTTCCATTGGGTGTAAAGCTGTTTTTCCTTTGCCTGGTTTGGGCGGGATATCACTCTTAGGCTATGTTTACCTGTTTGAATATACTATGATTGGCTGTGGTATCTGGTTTCTTGTGTAGTCTCTTGTAAAGCATGCTAATCCACGGCTTAAGGAGCACTCGACAAGGAATAGAAAGAGAGAAGCTAGGAACCACGATAACATTTGATTAGGTCCATAGGAGATAACATAAAATACAAATTGCTGACGTTTGACTGCTGTTTTGAGAACTCTTCACGCCCATATGCCTTAGGAATTCCCTTTAACTTATCACCTTCAAATGCTCAACACCAACTCGATCAGCTTCCTTGTTCAAGCCTGCCACCTCTGCTTCAGCAAAGGGGATTCCTTCCACGAGGCGTTTCTCCTCTGTAAGAATCTCAATCTCCCCAGGGAAGTAAATTCGATCCACTCCCGCCATTTTCTCTGACTCGACCACTCTCTTATAGAGATACGCCATCCGCTCTTCAAACTCCTCCATGGTCATAAACAAATCCGGCTTGATAGCGACCAGGAAATGGCCCACATCGGCCGGCTTTGACGGATCATACGGATTCGTAACATGTCCAGCAAACGCAGCCCCGGAGAACACACCAGAAAAGACATCCATCATAATAGACAGCGCCGACCCCTTCGGTCCACCCATAGGCAACATAACCCCCTCAAGCGCCTTCGCAGGATCATCCGTCCGATTCCCATCCTTATCAAGAGCCCAGTCAGTAGGGATCTTCTCCCCACGCCGAAGAGCCTTATAAATCTTCCCCCTAGCCGCCACTGACGGCGCCATATCAAGAATAAACGGCTTCGCAGGATCCCCACCGGGAGCACCACACGCAATAGGCGAAACACCCATCAACTTCTCCTTCCCACCCCAAACCGGCAACGCAGGCGAAGAATTGGTAAATACCAAACTCATCATGCCCGCCTCGAGCGCCTGCTTCACCAGCCAAGCCGACATACCAAAATGATTCGAGTGCTTGACGGATACCATGCCCATACCGTACGTCTGGGCCATTTCAATGGCGCGCGCCATGCCCGCGTGCGCGGCGACAAAGCCGAACCCATTGTGGGCGTCGATTTGCGCGGCCACGGGGGTGATTTGTCGCAGGGTTGGGGTGGCTGTTGGGTCGAGGGCTTTTTGGCGAATGCGCTCCATGTAGGAGGGGATTCGGTTGGAGCCGTGGGTGTCTACGCCGCGGAGGTCGGCTGCGACTAGACATTTTGCGACTATGGCGGCGTTTTCGGGAGATGTGTTGTTTGCGATGAGGATGTTGGTGACGAAGGATTGAAGGTCTGATGGTCTGATATTGTGCATTTGTTGCTGGGGTTGTTGGGTGGATTCAGCCATCATGGGCGGTGGTGCTTGTATTTCAAGGATCTTAGTCGTATCTTAGGACTTTTCAAGAGATAGAGGGGATTTGGAGAATTTAAATGTCCAAAGAAATGATGTTGGGATGTGGTTTATATTGCGGAGAAGGTTGGGGGAAATGCGGATGGGACCCGTCGGGTACGGAGTACTTCCGATGGGAACACATTCCAAGGGGAAGGAGAAGTTTGGGCGGGAGCTCGAACCTACCCTACCTTACCAAAGATTATTCCAAGGTTTGGTATAGCTACTAAGAAAAAGATGACTAGCGCAATAGCGAAAAACGGGACGTAAAAAAGTGCAAAAAATGGACGAATGGCGATTCGAACGCCAGACTTTTCGCATGCAAAGCGAACACTCTACCAACTGAGTTATACGCCCTCTGATTATTAATCTGGTCACTATTAGGCATTACGACGGGTAGGATAGAATGCTTAATATCGGGCTATCTCCATCCTAATACCCAGATAACTTTCTTTACCGATTCTTTGGTATCACATCAAACTTACATGGACAAAGAAAGAACAAAGAAAAAAAAGGCAATCAGTTAATATCGGTAGCTATAATGATCTAACTAAAATTATCAAAAAATAATACAAGACGGAAAGTTCACGTACTAACTGACCTAGCTAGTAGTTAGTACAAACAAAAGGCAAAAAAATGGACGAATGGCGATTCGAACGCCAGACTTTTCGCATGCAAAGCGAACACTCTACCAACTGAGTTATACGCCCTTATGATGAATCCGACCGAAATATCGTCATATCCCGATACACATCCCCTCCCAATCCTTCGAGCCAATCTCAACCATTCTCTCAACTCACAACCCTTATACTCGTCGATCTGAACAATATTGGCTCTCAGTGAGCACTTATTCGGATGACAATAGCCAGAAGTTTTATCACATTGGCTATTCCAAGCCACAAACGCACTATGACCATCGTTTACTATTTTATACTCCGGAACATATATTTCTTCGGTGGCGGATAACCCTGACAGAAAGATGCATAGTTAAGAGATAGCCTTAATCTAATAGGATGAGTCTGGGGATGTGGGATTTGATTGACCCCTAAGTGGAACAGTACTTTATACCCTCTGAAGAAATACAGAACAGTGCCCTGACTAGATACATGGTGGCACTACGTCACAACGGCAAGTAAGGCCGATTTCTCAATCAGGTAAAGACATTATCAGTGAGCTCCAACACGCGCCTCATTTATCACAGCCAACAGACTCGACATGGCTCGTGGTGTCCTTGATCTCCTTAAGAACGGCATCCGTGTCTCCGTTCGGCGCAAGGCCAATACGGGATCTAATTTCAGCAATGCGTTCCAGATCAGCCTCGGCATCATTGCCGCCAAAAAGTCTATCCATCTCCTCGATGGGGACACCTGCGACATATCATTAGTCACTGAATGACCCTCCAAGTTCGAGAAGTACTCACCCTTGGTCTCCGGAACACAAAAGTAGGTCCAGACGCCAAGAATAACACAAAACACCAGAAAGAAATAAAACGTCCCGAAAGTGATGGACCTGAGCATCCTGGGCGTGATAAGCGCAACAATGAAGTTGGACAGATAGTTGGATGCGATGGCGACTCCGACGGCCTTGCCTCGTGTCGCGGGCGGAAACATCTCCGAGGGCATGATCCAGTTGACGCATGCGATGCTAAAGGCAAAAGTTCCGATATAGACCCAGACGAATACACACGCAGCCCACCCAGCTGCTGGATGTTGCGAGAAGGTGTTTTTATACACAGCGTATAACGTTGCCACGATTAACTGAGCAACGGACATACCGGCAGCACCCAGCATCAGTGTCTTCCTCCGACCCCACCTATCCAGATACATGACAGCTGGAATGGTGGAGAAGAAGAAAACAATGCCCACGACGCCCGTAGCTAGGAGGTTCACGGAGTTGCCGCGGAGCCCGATGGCCTCGAAGAATTGGGGGGCATAGTAAATGATAGCATCTGGCAGGATTAGCCGTGTGCTTTAATATCGAGGTGAGGAAGGCAAAGGGACCTACTGATTCCAGTGAACTGTTGAAGTACTTGAAGTAGACAAGCAACCATAGTCCGCTTTCTTAAATGGCTCGCAGTAAAGAGTTCCTTGTACTGCTGTAGTGCGATATAGAAATCCGAGAGACCTTCTCCGTACTTGTCGATCTTGGTTTGCTGGTCAAAAAGACGGGCAGCCTTAATTTCAAGAAATTCAGCCGTGAGACGATAGTCGGTGACAGGAACCCTTCTCAGTCGCACGAGTGTCTGCAATGCTTCATCTTCCCGGCCTGCTTGAGGGTTAGTAGGTTCAACATGAAACAACCACCTCCTCACTCTTCCTCCTGAAGGACATACCTTGGTTCATCAGCCATCTAGGGCTGTATGGAAGAAAGAATGTGCCGACTGCGAGAATGGCCGATGGTAAACACTGTAACGCAAAGGGTATCCTCCAGGCGGCTTGAGACTGTCCTTCACCAGTGCCACCAATATACTGGGTTCCGTAGTTAATCCAAAAGCTAACCATAATACCAACAGTGATCGAGAGCTGCTGGAGAGCCACCAGAGCACCTCTGATATTAGGAGGCGCCAGCTCGGACAGGTAGAGCGGAACAACCATGGCCAGCATACCGATCGCACAGCCAAATACAAACCGGCCAACAAACAACATGGCCACGTTTTCCGCCGCACATTGGATGATCGAACCGACCAGGAAGATGATATTTGCGCCCAGGATTGACCACCGGCGTGATAGCCGGTCGGAGATTGGTCCGTTCACAAAGGCACCGAACATGGCGCCGAGTGTCATGATGGAGACCAGCCATCCTTGGAGCGTGGCATCCTCTGTGAGGACTGGGAAATGCTTGGACTAAACTCGAAGAGTCATTATGTTAGTAGACTGTCACGGGGTATATGGCTGGATGTGCAGAACCCACGAAATTATTCATGACCAGCACACCAGAAATGACTCCCTGGTCATAGCCGAATAGCAGCCCACCGATTGAGGCAAAGCATGCAAGAGCGAAGAGACGAGGCTCTTTGATAAGGCCTTTGTAACCGGGTGGGCCATAGACAATCTCGTGCGTGCCGGCGATGGCTGTACCAACGGTTCCACCAGCCATGGCGATTCAAGGTGCGTTGCGCCGGAACTCAAGAGTCTGATTTTCCTCCCTTTCTCAGTCAGTAGCCTTGAATACAGCCAAGGAGATATCGAAGAGAAGCGCAGAATTGTGGGAAGTCATACGTCCGTGGAAAAGGCCGACTTTGATTCCATTAAATAGAGGATGAGGATCATGGCACGAAGATATCGGGCCATGGCACGAAACCTGGCATGCCACTAGTCCTAACTAGGTATCCTTCCCGCATCACCCAAAATGATACATTCGACAGCTGTATAATACTTGCCAAGCCCTTATGTATGTATTTCCCTATACATAAGCGCTTCTCGTAAATAATCGAATGTCGTCGGCGATCATAGACGCCGATATCATGTGATCATGTGACCCAACCGGGTGGTTGTTTATGTTGACCCTATACATTCCAATTAGCCATAGTAACACATACCCCTTCCTACACTTCTACATGTAAGTCCCCCTAATCTAGCGTTCTCCTACTAATCTCTCTTTACCACAGGTCCTAAAAGCCTTTAAAATCGCACAAATCCATCACATCCACTAGGATTTCAACCCTCCTATCCAAGATGGCCCTCTTACCCCCCCCGTGACAACTGGTTAATCGAGGTCGAAACCAGCCGAGAAGCCCGAGATATCCTCAACGAATTCGCCGCCCACCAGGGATACGCTATTACCACTGCCCATTCGAACAACTGGCAAGTTGACCTTCACTGCGATCGTAGTGGCCAGCCTACACCTACCAATCCCGAGGATAGTAGCCGGATCTCGGTCTCTCGCCGCTGTGGCTGCCACTTTGCCGCTAAATTAGGCAGGGCCCCAGGAGGCTGGCTTCTTACGGTGCAGGAGGGCTCTCACAGTGGCCATATAGCCTCAGAGCCATCTACACATCCTATACACCGCCGCCGCCAGCTAAAGGAGCTTAAGGAGAGGGTAGAGAAGCTATTTCTACTAAGGCATTCGAACCAGGAGGTTATCAATATCCTACGCCAAGAGGAAGCCTTTGCTGAAGGCCCAGTTGATACCGAGGACCCTTACGAAGCCCGTATTCGCCTTAACACAAGAGACCTAAAGAACCTCCGCCGCCGTGTAAGGGGCCGGTTACTTAAGGGCTGCTCACCTACAGCAGCCCTTCTTGCAGGTTTAGAAGGTTGGGAGGTCTTCCATAAGGAGGTGGATAGGGGTACGAACCAGGCTCAGCATATCTTCTGCGCCTCTCAATCTGGCCTTGAGCTTCTTACCAGATTTCCCTCCGTACTCTGGATTGATGCCACATACAAAACGAATTGTTACAAGATGCCTATGGTCAACGTTGTGGGAAGATCGGCAACTAGCGGGACCTTCTATGTGGCATGCGCTTTCGTCTCTAACGAGAGAGAGGGTTCATACCAATAGGTTTTAGAAACCCTTCGAGATCTTCTACACTCCCGTTCAATCCCGCCTCCTATCACTACATTTTCGGACGATACAGAGAGTCTCTTAGCTACCCTAGCAACGGTGTTTCCTACTACAATCGCCCTCCTTTGCATATGGCATATCCAGAAGAATATTAAGAAGAGATTGAGACCAAAGATCGCTCAGCATATCTTAGTCTATCTTGAGAGGGAAGGGGATACGCGAGATGAAATTACGGAGCGTTGGCAGAGCGCAAAGCAGCTATTTAACCAAGTCATCTTCGCACCTACAATAGCTGAGATGAAGACTGCTTGGGAGAGCTTCCAGGAGGAATTCAAACACGAGGTTTTTGCTGAAGCTATACAATACATCTCCAACCAATGGATGATGTGAGGGGCTGAAGTAAGACTTAATTCAATCTAACTAGGCCAACATGCTGTTTACAAAAAGCTTAGGGAAGAAAGGTTCGTCCCGCGTGTTCTCCATGTCAACATGCCAAGGTTCCGTGATACACGTGACCAATATCGGGCAACAGCCCGTGACAATACCCCCTCCTAGCCTTAACTTCGTTAGGGGTACGACGACATGGGTTCCGGTGTCGATTTGTTGGCGAATCACATCCGAAACGGGGCCGTATTGCTCCTCAAAGGCATCCAACGCGCTGCAGTTTTGGACCGAGTCTAGTCTTTCCCACGTCTGTTCCGCCCATCCTCTCCATTTCACTAGCGCTTCGTCACGATATCCTCGCCCAATCTTCCTCCGTCGTATAGCTAGGATTCGCTCAACGTCGTATTCCTCCTCCCCGTCGACTAGCAGCGGTGGTGGCTGCGAATCGTCCACTACTTGGGATGGGAACGGGTCCGTTGCCGCTGGGCGGACTAACTCGATGTGGAACACTGGGTGTATACCAGTAGGCACATCGAGTCGGACTGTAAACGGTGACGGAACGTCTACTACTCGGTATCGAGCATGTAGCCAATCTAACTTCTTTGACGGTCGCTGCGTGCGTACATTCCGAAGGTTTAGCCAAACCCAGTCATCCTTCTTATAGATAGGCGCAGCCTGTCGACGTCGGTTCGTTTGCTCTTCTTGAAGGGCCTGTGCAGAAGCAATAGCGGCCTGGGCCCAATCGGTGGCTTCTCGTAGGCGATTCACGAAGGTTTCGCCTGTCTTTCGTGGTTGGGTCAGGGCGTCCTGTAGCTGCCCTGCTTCGTCGATACCAATCGGGTCAATGTGGTAGCCGTGGGTGAAGAAGAATGGCGAGATTCCTGTTGAAGCGGCATCACGATTATTAATTGCCACTGCGACTATTGGTAGTAGATCTTTCCAGTTATCCTGTGCGTACGTCGTGAACACACGTAGAATTCGTTCGATCTCCTGATTGGCACGTTCTGTTGCACCGTCGGTCTGGGGGTGGAAAGCAGTGGATAATCGGCGTTGAATCGATAGCCTTTCGCATACCCTTCCCCAGAAAGAACTCACGAATTGGGGGCCGCGGTCGCTCACAATCGCTAGTGGTACCCCATGATGCATATAGAAGTGTGTGAGGAACACCTCTGCTACATCCTCTGCTGTTGTATTCCTCATTCCGACTAGAATCACGCCCTTTGTCAACCGATCTGTTATCACCATACAGTTTGTTGCTCCCGTGGATCCTGAGGGTGGTAGCCCGGTAATGAAGTCCACTGATATTTCGGCCCAGATTCGCTGGGGAATTGGTAGTGGTTTTAATAACCCATGTCTTGTGTCTCGCCATACTGAGCTCCGTCCACAGATTGTACAGTTACGAAGGAAACGTCGTACGTCCTTCGCTGCCCCTGGCCAGAAAAACCGTCGAGATAGTATCGAATAGGTAGCGTCTCGTCCTGGGTGCGCTGTGACGTGTGAATCGTGGATCTTCTGTATAATTCCCGTGCGTAGGACTTCGTTATCAGGGATCCAGATCCGTTGTCTGAAATGGAGCAGTCCCCGATCGTCTAGATGGCACTCAGATAGGCTTGTTTTAATGTTCGTTTCGGCAGCAATTCGGCGCTCTCCCTTTAGCAAAGCGTAGGAGATTCGTTGGTAGATCGAGTCGGACGCCCTTGCTCTTTTCCATTCCGTCTGTAGTTCTGGTTCTTCAAAGAGAGGGATATCTCTTTCAAAGTCAATCCCCTCACTAGGTTGGTCGTCGGCTGGTTGAGGGTCTAGCCGTCCTGTTTTGATCTTGACCCTTTTGAGTAGGATTCGGAAGCGATTCGATAGCCTTTCGTCAGTGATACTCTTAGGCATATCCTGGCTCCGTCGTGATAATGCGTCCGGCCTTACTGCAAGCTTGCCAGGGCGATAACGAAGGTCGAAATCGAACTCTGTTAGGAGATCTGCCCAACGCATTTGCCGTTCGTTCAGGTGTTGTGCTTTGCCGAAGTATCGAAGGTTCTTATGGTCTGTTACGATGGTGAATCTAGGCACCATTTTCAGCTCAGGTCTCCATTCGCGCAAGGCGCGTATAATCGCTAGAAGCTCCTTATCATGAATCTCGTAGTTTGACTCTGCTGGAGATAGCTTCTGGGATAGGTAGGCGCATGGCCGTAGTTGTCCGTCGGGGCCACGTTGCGATAGAACCGCCCCAGTTGCCCATCCAGAAGCGTCGGTTTCCACGACTGTTTGGCGATCCTCTTCGAAGTGTGCTAAGATTGGTGCGTTTATAAAGAGCTCTTTCAGTTCCGTGAAGGCCTGCTGGCAGTCATCGTCCCATTTGAAAATAGCGTCTTTCTTCATTAGCCGTGTTAACGGTGCCGAAAGGTCGGCGAATCGTGGTATAAACGGTCGGTAGAAGTTCGCAAATCCAATGAAGCTTCGCACGTCTCGTATAGACTTCGGCCTCTCCCATGCTCTGATAGCCTCTACCTTCTTTGGGTCAACGCGGATCCCCTTTCCAGCTTCGACGATAAAGCCAAGATACTTCACTGAGCCCTGCTCGAACTCCGATTTCGCAATATCGCATTGTAGACCCGCGTCCATTAGTTTCTGTAGCACATCGCCAACCTTTCGGCGGTGATCCGCTAGCGTTCCGTTGGTGTAGATGATTATATCGTCAACGTATGCCGACACGAAATCATCTAAGTACTCTCGCAGAGTCTGGTTAATGTACCTCTGGAACGTCGCCGGCGCGCCTGTTAATCCGAACGGGGTAACGTTCCACTCGTAGAGCCCATATCGCGTCCGGAATGCTGTCTTCCATTCTTCTCCGGGGTGAATGCGGATCTTATGGAAAGCTGCGATGATATCGAGTTTCGTGAACCAGCGGGCGTGCCCCATATTCCGCAGCGTCTCGCGAATCAACGGTAGAGGGTAGCGATCCTTCACCGTTTGTTCGTTTAACCCTCGGTAGTCAACGCAAAATCGTACGCCACCACCTGGCTTTCTAACTAACAAGATTGGTGCTGCTGCAGGTGATTGGCTCACCCGTATAAAGTTCTTCCCGAGTAGGTCTGTCAACGTTTTCCGTAGGTAAAGAAGTTCCTCTTTGTTCATGCCGTAGAGAGGACCATATGGTGGTGGCTCTTCGAAACCGTTTCGGTCGCGTTTCAGAGGGATCTTATGATCGATTCCTGGCCGGTGCGGAGGTAGCTGGTCGGCTAACTGTTGGCTGAAGGCGGCTAGCCATCGCCAGTAGTGTTTCGGTAGCTTATCCTTTGGGTCGATGTGCTTCTTGGGTCGTAATGCTCTCTCAATATCGTCTAGCGAAACCCTGCCGATTCGCAAACGATCCGCATCCGGTACGCTACGTACGAGTTGCTGTATAGATGATGCCTTAACCTGCACGACGCGTAGTCTCTTTACTCCATCAGGCCCGATAGTGCGATCCGCGCGGTTCCAACATCTTGTCCGCTCCCCAGACCTTGTGAAGATGTCTAGGTATCCTTTCCTTGCCGAATATCGTCCGTTCACGTCGTGTAGCCATGGGTCCCCAAGTATCATACTATCGCTTTGTGGTCCGATAATATAGGCAAATACGCGGCCTTGTTGCTGGCCGTGGACATCGAGGTCGAAATGGGTAATGTGGGTGATTCGGCACTGGTTCGGTACCACTCCGTCAAGGACTCGTGGCTGTATCTTAATGCGCGGAAGGTCGAGCGACTGGACTAAAGACTCGTTTACCGTTGCATAGCAGCGGCAGCCGCTATCGACGAGAGCTTGTGTAAATTGGATTCCATTCACTCTAGCATCGACTATAAACGGTAATGTCTCACGTTTAAGTAGCTTCTCGACCCCCTTCCGCTCCTGCTCGCGGCTTAGAACAGGAGCTATTCTTTTCCCGAATCGTCCTCAGTAGTCACATCTTCGTTGTCGGAAGCCGTCGTGACTGACTCGCTATCACTTGTAGGCCTTGCCTTCTTCACATTGACCGTACGCTCACGTCTTTTCTTGCTCGAACTGGTAGCGGTACGTGTACTATTCGGCGGTTGCGCCGGTAGGAGTGCGCACCTCGCGATAAGGTGTCCGGATCTCCCGCATCGTAAGCATTTCCCTTCGGCCCGTCGCTTATCCAGTTCGTCCTGGCTGACCCATTTCGCTTGCTTAGGGTGTTCCTTCTCGAATCGTTGGGGTTTCGTACGCGGTTCGGTACGGTTTACAGAGACAGTAGGGGTCCAGTCCATCTCGTCAGTCGTTCTCTTAGAGCGTGTATTCCGAGTACGATTAATATCCAGGGTGTCGTTGTCTGCACTAATCTCGTGGAGTCGTGTGATTAACTCCGAAAAGGTGCTAGGGACGCCGCGATACCGTAGCGTTTCGGTCATTTTTCGGTTAAGCGAAGCTAGCAAAACTTGCCGCTTAGGCTCGTCAGGCCATTCAAAAGCGCCTGCGTCAGCGAATTCCCTTTCTAACTGAGGTAGGAACCTCGCGAAGGACTGGTCTTCGCGTTGTCGTATTAGGTGAAGCCGTCTTGCTGCTCTTGCTTTGATGTTCGGGTCGCCATAGATGTTTTCGAGGTAGTCAAGAAGCTGTCGTGGTTCGCGGTCGTTTCGCTGTGTTTTCACGAACGAATTGGTGTTCTTTAGGGCTAGCTTTTCTAGCCGAGAGAAGACGTACGCGAATTGATCTTGTGGGCTCCCGATAGCTTCGCCGTCTACTGCTAGCTTGTTTTCCATCACTGTTCGCCAGGATGGCCACTCCGAAGAGCTCCCTGCAAACATCGCTGGGTCCGGTAGTCGTGGCCGAGGGCGTTGTATAGCTATCCCTGTTCTATCCTGCGTGACCTCGGTTTCGATTCGAGAGGGATTCGGCGGTGTTTTGCTAGGGATTGATATGTTCTGGAGTAATGCCTCAAGTTTTTCGATCCGTTCGTCTTGCGCGGTGTTCCGTTCGTTCTGTGCTGTGGTAGCACTCTCGTATACGGCGTGGCTCTGGGCGATTTGCTGCATTAATGTCTGAGCCCAACTAGGGGGACTAGACGATTCGCTATTTCTTGCCATTCTCTGCCGTGTGTAGCGGTTTATTCGTGCGTTCTTCGTTTCTCAATCGGCTTCGCGTCGAGGGTCCTATGGGTAGCGACCGGTACCGTTTCGGTTGCTATTCGCTTATATTCCGTTCCAATGTTCCAATGTGCCTAGGAATTGAGATCTTCTAGGGCTTTCCAATACGTCTCGAGCACTAAGGCCTTATACGCGAGGGTTCCGTTCCGTTGTGTGGCCGTCACTGAATCGCCGGGGATTCAGGGGTGTTTCCAATGAGCGCCTAGGTCGTCTTCCTAGGGCTTTCTAATAACCAGTGGTACTTCTAGGTGTAGAAGGAAGCTTTTTGTATGTGAGGGGCTGAAGTAAGACTTAATTCAATCTAACTAGGCCAACATGCTGTTTACAAAAAGCTTAGGGAAGAAAGGTTCGTCCCGCGTGTTCTCCATGTCAACATGCCAAGGTTCCGTGATACACGTGACCAATATCGGGCAACAGCCCGTGACAGATGAAGGATAGTATAAAGCAACGCTTTCTTCGCTGTTATACCAACCAAACCCTTCACTTCGGAGAGACCTCCTCCTCGCGAGTAGAAGGGGCCCATGCCTATCTCAAGACCTATATCAAATACTCGATTGGAGATCTCCTGACAGTAATGACCCGGGTTCAAACCGCGGTTAGTACTCGTCATATTACCATCAACCAGGCAATTAGGGAGGACCGCCAGAAACTACCAGATAACCTCCTTATACCGTTATTTCGGTCGGTTCTTGGCTGGGTTGCCACATGTGCCCTTCAACGAGTTGCCCAGCAGTTAACTGCCTACCAGAAGAAAGAGTTACAGTTGGCAGACTGCACTCACTACCATCGGCAGTCACTGGGGCTACCTTGTATTCACGAGATTGTGGCAGCAATCGAAGGCAAGCAGGCCCTGAGAAGGGACCAATTCCACCGGCAGTGGTGGCTTCTAGCTTCAATTGAAGACGACTACCAGCCACTTAACATAGAAACTGTTCTTCGAATCGAGGAACCAGCCATCGCGAAGGCCGCCGGGCGTCCCCGTGGACGGGCAAACCATGCTCAAAAGGACCCTAGGGTAGAGGCTGCGAAGAGGACTGTTGAGGCTGAACAACCAACCACTAAACAACCAACCACTAAACAACCAACCACTAAACAACCAATCCGCCGATCCACTCGATTGGCCAGATCCACTAAGCGAGATCCCTCTGGATTCGAGATTGTGAGGAAGGAGACCGCCCGTGTAGGGCGGAAAAGGCGATGAGAAGAGCGCTGAGAAGGGCGATGGGTAGGTGGAAGGGTAATCTAGATTGATAGTATGTTAGCTTCTTAATTAGGAAATTGAATTATCTTTGAAATCTCTGCAAATTCAGGCGATTTGGATGGCTGTATGGACTCTTGGAAAATAGGTGGTAGTGGTAGAAAGGTAGGAAGGGGTATGTGTTACTATGGCTAATTGGAATGTATAGGGTCAACATAAACAACCACCCGGTTGGGTCACATGATCACATGATATCGGCGTCTATGATCGCCGACGACATTCGATTATTTACGAGAAGCGCTTATGTATAGGGAAATACATACATAAGGGCTTGGCAAGTATTATACAGCTGTCGAATGTATCATTTTGGGTGATGCGGGAAGGATACCTAGTTAGGACTAGTGGCATGCCAGGTTTCGTGCCATGGCCCGATATCTTCGTGCCATGATCCTCGTCCTAAATAGATGCAGACATGCCAGTGCGGTTGACAGTCTCGGCAGTATTCTACCCCAGACGTATTCCCTCCAGACTGTTTTTACCCCGGACGAAATGATTTACCCCACAATGATTGAGAGCCTCTGGCCAATTGCCCTCAATGGTGATGATTAGACTTCTCGGCGGTAACCCCCGAGTGGCAACTCTCAACATCTGCTCGGTGATTTCCCCGAATGTGGGGCAAGGCTGTCGGTGCGTTCCCCCGGAGATGGCGAGGAATCATTTACTTTCATGTCCCCAGGAAAGCCTCTCATAGCCACTAAAGTAGATTTGCACTCAGATTAAAACCCTGGACATGTCCATGTCCCACTTCCAGGTGAAGATAACGTCATAGGTATCTACATGCCCAATGCAAGAGGAGTGTGACTAGATACTCCAGCCTCCTGCATACTTCTACATGGCGTTTTATTTTCCCAGTCTAATGATATTACTGAGGAGCTTGTTCGTAGATAGTGTTAGCCACTATTTAACCATTCGATTAACCTCCTATAAGTATGAATATTGGTTGTAGCTTGGGAGTTATATACTGGACTGTCATCCGATCTTTTGGGAGCCATCCCCAACAATGATATCCAAACACAATCCTAACTCGCTGAATGGGGACTTACAGGTCCCTACGGTAGTGAAGGCGATCTTTTACAATAATATCAGTGATATTCGTGACTTTTCTCTCTATACGTTAGTGACTATGAGCGATTGGGTCGAGTGGAATATAGTTAATCCCGCCTCGGGACGAAACTCCGATGCACGATGTGCATCTCGGCAAGACATCATCAACATGTAAAGAGGCCCTGGAGCCCGGACTATTCGGTATGGCCACGACAAGTGCTAACTTGAATGCCCCACAGGACGAGATACCTTCCGGTACTTCCAAACACCGGGCCTGTGATAACTGCAAACTCCGAAAAGTGCGCTGCTCCGGCAGAACTCCGTGCCAACATTGCCATCGCAGTAGAAACCCATGCCAGTATAGCTCACCACATGGAAGACTAGCAAATGCAGAAAAGTGAGTATTCCATCTCTTTTCCTAGTGTATCGATTGACCTTCATCCCCACAAACCCCGCAAACTTCAGTCTACTCACGAAACTTCTACAGGCGATGGAGACAATGTCAAAAACGCATTCAAGCATTGGAAGCGGCTTGGCAGAAATATCTGCCCAACATCAATGTGGACGCTGTAGTGGAAGAGATGAGCAGCTCAGGCCGCTCTCCCTTTGCCAATCAAGGCCTTTCCAGAGATACAGAGGGCGAATACATGCCTTTCACCCCCAGTTCGCGGCCTCCAGCCCAACCCTCAGAAACGCAGGAATTACTTACACCGGCTGAAAAGCCTGATTTAGAAGATGCCGATACCCTCGATTGGGACGAATCGGCAGATTCAACATCCCTAAATGATGGGATCGGCTCACTTTCTGTAACTCAGCGTGGCATCGGATACATGGGCCCACAATCAGGAAACGCTCTTCTGAAGAATTTGCAGTCACTACACATGCACCTGTTTCCATTACAGGAGGCCGAGATGGCATTTCCAGGCCATGCCAAATCAACCCTAGCCGATGATGTGCTTCAATCGTCCTCCTATTCGGACTCCTGCATTGATTGGTATTTTGGACTGTATAATTGTGCATATCCCATTCTCCATGAAGGGTATTTCCGCGCACAGTGCATTGGTATGTCAGCACTCTACTATCCACTATCGCATCTTCTCATTCATTTTCTCTTCTCTAGGAGTACTTCCTAAGCCTAAAGATGGATCTTGGCCAATGCTATACAATATGGTCCGCGCAATCGGTGCCTTTACCGGTGATGCGTCGAATCATAATGCCGACAACTTTTACTACGGAATCGCATCACAGCATCTGTCTCTTAGCCTCTTACAACGGGGCTCGTTGCCATTGTTACAAGGTCTAACACTGATGGCCAATTACCTGCAGAAGCGTAATCGACCTAATAGTGGGTTCGCATTGCTCGGACTAGCCATGAATATGGCACAAAGCATTGGCCTGCACCGAGAATTTTCTCCAACCAGCATCAGCTTGTTTGAGATGGAAATGAGACGCCGCGTGTGGTGGACTATTTACATATTCGACTCGGGTGCGAGGTTGACATTCGGTCGGCCCACTCTATCCTTAAGCGGCGTTAACATGCAGCTCCCGCATAATCTTAACGACCGAGATCTCGTTGTCGATATGGACCGGCTTCCAGAACCTCACGACACCCCTACAGTAGCCTCCAGTCTTATATGGCAGTCCAAACTTGCCCATATAACCAATCTGGCGAACACGAAACTCTTTGAGAGCAAGTTACCGCCTGCTCCTGTCATGCTTCGTCTGGGAGATAAGGTCAAGGAATGGGTTGATTCCCTACCTCCTTATATGCAGACAAGCTCTGAAAGCCTAGAATATGAAAAATTGGAAGCACCTCGAATGGTGTTAGTGTGGCGATCCATGCACCTTCGCATCATTATCTACCGGCCCTTTATTTTGGACTTGATTAGACGACGCCAGCCGTTGGATCTGTCCAACGCCGATAAACCTCCTCGCAGGTGTGTTGATGCTGCGCAAGAATGTATTTCATCCATTGTTATGTTTTGGCGCGGCGGTAGAGATCGACATCGAGCATTAGTCTGGTACGCTTGTTACTGGCTGGTCACTGCAACATTTGTTCATGTTGCCTGCTTACTGTACGAGCCACAACATGAATGTTCTTTGGATTGGAGGCAAGAAGTTGAGGGAGCTCGGTTGGCACTGGAGGAGATGGGTGTCTTTGAACAAACTGCCGCTCGAGCAGCGAGGATTATCAACAAAGTCATGGGTAAGCTACCCAATTTATTCTACTTTGGACCTGTCGTTTGCTAATATTTTCTTTATTCAGATCTTATTCCGGCAAGTCCAGGTTCAGATCTGCTCGCGGGTAATGAGGCCACAAGAATGTGGCTCACGGAACTGTGGAATCAATCTGAGGTTGACATGACGTTATTGCAGTCTTTTAATTATCCCACTCAAGGCTGATACTATGCGATTGCGTTCTTGTATAGTAGTAAATCCACGGGGCAGATCTGAGGGAAATACAGTAATAAAAGCTGTCTACGCGCCCAAGGACCCGTTCTGGGTAGGTCTAGCAGAGTAATTGCCTCACTTAGCGGCTTAATCTTCTTCGTTTAACGACCTTAAGAAGGGGGGATCCCACCCTAGAACCCCCCAGTCACGCTAGTCGCTTTGCTTTCGCTGAGTAGTAGAAGTATAGTAGTTAAAGTAGGAGGGGTAGTAGTAAATCTACCAACTTATCTACCAACTTATTTATTAGTAGAGACCTACCACCTCTTTCTTGATCAATTCTACTATTTGATCATCCTTTGCTATTTAAATGGATTTAAATAAGAGCATTACCTCTAGGTACCTTGACGGGCAACCGGGTGCCTGATCTGGTATGTTAGTCATCCATGCGGATGACAGCCGCTCATCCGAGAATTTCCTCCCGTCAAATGCCACTGAGACCGCAAGTATTCCGCTGGAACATGAGAATACCAAAGGCGCCGTATTGTACTGACCAGTGTCCTATTCAATGAACACTCCACGGCGGAGTCGAAATCGTGCGGCATGCCGGCGTTGCCAGAAACGCAAGATTCGCTGTAATGGCGAAACCCCGAGTTGCGGAGCATGTATCAAGGCAAATGTGCCATGCGTTAATGATGGCAAGCAGGAAGTCAATCGCACGTGAGTAATCATGTTTTGTCTCGTGTTTCATGTTTGGCCTAACTCGTGATTAGATATATTGCAAACTTGCAGAAGCGTGTTCAATGGCTCGAGTCTTTAATCCGTGAACAAGGAACCGATGTATCCTTGGAAGACGGTCCGCCACTTGACTCTAATGAATACCAGAATGATGAGTCGATCAATCTTGATGAAAGTATTCAAAATCCTGTGGCTATGACATCGCCGAGGCAAGAGCCGCCTGTGCCAATTGAAAATACGCAACAATCCCGAACACAGTCAAGACAGGCACACGAAATTGGCCTAGTCTCACTTTCCTCTGGCGGGGAGGCACGATATATCGGCCCTTCAAGCGGCTACTTTCTTGCTAATCTTGTTTTTTCCAATGCTGGCCGACGGTCAAGACCACTAGGGAACCGTAGTGTAGACGAGCCAATCTCGCTGTCTGCAGAGCTATTCAACACCCCTGCCTCATTACCGTCTCGAAAAGACGATGCGATCGAGCTTTCTTCGAAGTATTTCTCAACCTTCCATCTTCTTTATCCATTTCTTCATGAGCCATCTCATATGCAACGCTTGGAAAAAATGTACACGGGAGAGTCAGCGGCAAACCCCAATCCATCGGACGCTTTCCATGTCTATATGGTGCTCGCAATAGCCGCTTCGGATCTCTCGCGACGGTTCAGACTTCGTTTACCAGCAGAGGGATACTATACTGCTGCAACGCAATTCTTTGAAAGTGCCTGTGCAGACGGGTCACTTGAGAGCCTTCAGAGTCAACTTCTTCTCATGGTCTATGCTCTACATAATCCCTCTTGTGGGGTGAACATCTGGAGCTTAAATTACCAGTGCCTGGGTGCACTGATTGATCTCGGTCTCCAGCGCGATATACGCACCTCGTCTTCTTTTCACATTTCGTTTCTGGAGCAGGAGATGAGAACACGAATCTTTTGGGTGGTATATAGTTTTGACCGAACTTTGGGCACGATGATGGGGCGACCGATCGGAGTTAGAGATGAGGCGTGTGAACTTCGAGTGAGTAACGATAACCGGAGTCTAAAAACCAGAATTTGGGAACTAATATTTACTAGTTCCCTTCAAATGTCGCGGATGCACACCTCGCTGATCCTGTTTCAGGCGACAGATCTCACGATGATACACCTTCTCACATTACATACTCGATTCACTTGTTCAAATTGGCACAACTGAATTCCGAAATCAAATATGTCATGCATAGTATCTGTCGAGATCCTCCCAGATACGCATACCCACCAATCCTCGACATCAATCAATGGCAAAGTGACATGATAGATCGACTGAAAACATGGTACACTCAAATCCCCCGTGCATCCGACATGACATCTATCGCGAAACTCTGCGAGACCAAATATCACGAGATGATGATCTTGGTACTGAGACCAAGCCCTGGAATCCCCGATCCATCGGAAGAATTGTTAGCACAGTGCTTTCAGCACGCAGTCGAGCTGCTGCGGGGCTTTGGCGAGCTGTACAAACAGGAATCGCTTCTTTATAGCAGACTCGTTGTGCATTCAATATTCCTCAGCACGTTGATTATGCTTCACTGTCTTTGGCGGCTACCTCAAGTCACATCCCAGGTTCAAATTGATGACCTGGTAGCCGATACGGGTATTGGGTTGAACATCCTCAGCAGTATCGGGGAGTATTGGGCAGAGGCTAGGAGAGCAAGAGATTGTATCCATGAGCTATCTGGCGCTACGATACAGCGTCTGCTTCGGGTACGTGCCATGGAGGTATCACCGCGTCTAGCTCGTACCCAGCCCGCCACAGGCGCTACAAGGCATACGCGATCTTACAGTTCCAACACAGCACCGACTTCGGCTGTGCCGGAACAGGTAGACTCTGCGATCGACATAGCTCCCTCGACGGGTTCGTTTGCAGACGAGTACGACTTTGGCCTTGAGGGTTCGAATTGGTTGAATGATGCCATGCCTGGTGGTTTGATGGATTTCTCTGGGGCGCCCGATTTCGATAGTATCATTCAGCAGTATTTGGATCCGAACGCTGTAATGTGGAACTAGTTCATTTAGGTGGTTGGTAGGTTGAATCGAAGGTACTATCTTGACTCCCTTGTTTTTCTTCCGGGTATAGGTTCCGAGTAGAGGTACCTGTAGGTGGCTCGTCTTAGATTTGATCCAATAATTAGAGCGACCGCTCTATGGTCAATTCGGCCTGGTGAGTAGCTAATGGTGTGCACTATGGTTGTAGATCAGATACACTTCATGTGCATGGTGAAGAGTATGACCTTATTTCGGCACATTAGTCTCGCCAGATATACAGGCGCTGATTTCCCTCCTTGTACATCACAACATTCATCGGTCTATAGTCATAGGCCACCCTACGCGTGGGTCCGCGACTTGGCGGCCACCATCAATCAATGTATGGAACGGCAACGCTCCGCAAGACGCGGATGCCTTCCGCCTCCCCCCCGGTATAAGATTAAAAAGGCGACACAATCTGCTATTTATTGCCTACATTGTCACTGCAAACCTGCTATCACCTGCATGAATACTGAAAACCCTCCCCTGCCATATAATAAATTATCAAAATGACAATCGTCCACATCGGTACGTTGCACCTCGAAAATCTATCCCCATGTTACTCATACTCCTCCATATACAGTCCTCTTCAAATTCCAGCCAGAAACCTCACCCACCATCCGCGAGAAATTTATCACCGAACTAAAGACCTTAAAAAACCTACATTGCGTTCAAAGCCAACGCCTCGTCGTCGGCGGACCCTCGATCACAGATCCTGCCTCGAAGAGTAAAGGGTTCCAGTATGCACTGGTGAGCTATCATGAAAATCGCGCTGCATTAGATGCGTATCAAGCCAGTAGTGAGCATGAGAGGTATGTGTTGTTGACAAACTTATCGAGTGGAAATGATATGTGAGGCTGAGATTGAAATAGGGTGACGCATACTTATTTTATCCCTTATCGAGAGGATCTTGTACGGTTTGATTTCGAGGTTGAGGAGGGGGATGAGCATTTGTTGGGATTTGGAGGGGTTTCTGGATCTGAAATATGAGATTTGAAACACATAGAATATGCTTAATGTGGTATATAGACTCAAACTAGGCCTTGGTCGCAGATATCTTTAATACTAATGGTATTGACCTCTGCCTCGCTGGCACGTAGAATAGCAGGTGGTGTTTTTGTATAATTCTTATATGCTGGTATCATTTGGAGCTATGTACATCTATCGGGTCATCTTCGGCTCATACTGCTATACAGTTAAGTACGGCGCCATATATGCCCGCTCGACGCGCAAACACACACGTCCACTACCGTGATTCTAGTTTGACATACGGAGTCTTATATAGCAGATCGGACGAATTCTCGGTTCTCAGAGCTTGCTGGGGATAATCGCCCGCTTACCCGTGGAAGTTCCTTGGGAGCCATTGGGACTTACATCCCAAACATCCTCGCCGGCCCAGAAATTCTTCACAGCATCCCAGTACCGATTAGGATCTTCCATGACCAACCCGCAATGAGGACCTTGTTCAAAACAAACTTGACCAACAGAGTACCCTCGATTCTGTGCATCTTCAAGATGCGATTGCACATCTTCCCATCCTATCACGATGTCCTCTTTGGAATAGATATATAACCTCCTTGGCGTCGATCCAAAAGTAGAAGGGGCATTTAGAATGTCGCGAAGGTCCTTTACGGCGCGCACTAGGCCGGCCTGCTGGAATCCATTGACCACGGCGAGTGCTGGGTACATAACTGTTTTACCCAAGAATTGTGCAACGGGAGTCTGTGGCACGGATACCCGAGTAGCCGCGTACATCCGTTCGAAGGTATCGTCGCCAGGGCAGCAGTCCAGGATAATAGTGCGAAGATTAGAGAAGAATAATGCGCCACGGTCGGGTTCTGCCTTCATGGATAGCGCGAGTTGACTGGCAATGTTGCCGCCTCCGTGGGAGAATAGATGGAGTAGAATGCCGCGCTGGCGACTACTAGACTCAACCGTGTTTTGGCCGATCTCACGACCCACGATTCGGTTAATCGCATTGCGAGCAGGCTTCAGATTGGCACGTATCCATGTGAGTGGCCGGAAAGCTGTATCGGGCACATTTGTTGTTATCAGGAGGAGGGATGATGTTGGGAAGATTTCCTGGTATTGAGCCAGATACTTGTTGATTCGCCGAGGCGTGGCGCCCCCGACCCAGGTACACAGGATCACCAGGGACGGCGAGGCAGGATCTGGCAATGACCGAGCAGGAGATTCGTGAAGATGGATACTCTCCCCTATCGTATGGAAACACTCCAATAGCGAGTCCGACGCCATACCGACCACCTGGAGACCTGGCAGGGGAGGGGGAAAGAGATGCTCCACAATGTGTTTGTACAATCACGGACTGGGGACACTCTGGACACTTTCAGCCCCCGCGCGGGGGCGACGTTCATGTGAGCCTGAGCCTGAGCCCCCTCAGCCCAGGAGTAGTCGGAGTACATAATTGCACATTCACTTCCCTCAAGGTACCGGAACCCACGGGCTGATTCGTGATGGTCCGATTCGATCAGGGCATTCTGAGCCTCCAACGGGAGTCCCCGATTAGAGTGGAGTAGCCCGAGTTCAACCAGTCTCGCAACAACGGGGATCTCGGCCATTTCGGCCGCAAGTGTAGTGGGATGTGGATATTGAGAACGCCCGAGGGTCAGGGACGATGAATATTGTGTATCGCGTTCCACCAAAAAATCACCTCTGAGCTAAATCACAAAGGTGGCGTTAGTCCAATTAACCCCCATGTTCAGGCAAAAAGGCCCAACCAATCCATCAGAAGGAAGTAATTAGGCCCTGCTGGATAGACCAGCCAGATCGACGAGTATGTAACTGAGATAACGATTATGACAGCTTCTGCCCCTGTCAGAGAGAGTATAAGATATAGCTCGGCATGTTCCGGAGGGAGGTTATTCGAGCGTCATCAAACGTAGCAAGCCACGATTCGACTAGAAACCTGCACGAAACACGGCTGAAAAGGCGAAAAACGAGGCAGCAACGATCTTGTTACTCAACTCGCCGTACCAAAAAACCTGCTTTACCGCCGGATGAGCCTTCTGATTGGCTGGTCTGTCCGCCCGGTCGAGGATGTGAATCTCGTCGAAAAGACCACATGCTTGGGCCTAGAGACGTTGATGAGGTCGTGCGATGACGCAGGAGGAGACAAGGATATGATGAAGTCTGGAGAATTGTTAGCAAGCTTGCCGGTTTTGAGTCCTGTAGGGCCAGGGATGGTCAACAAAAAAGTACAGTATACATAGTATTCGTACAATGAGAGAGGAGGAAGCTTCGATGGTTCCCCCCCCCACCTTATCTCTCTCTTCGACTCTTTTCTTTTGAACGGGCTGAAAGGTGGCTTGACCTGGCTGGGACACAAAGTTGGACCGGTGACTTCAGTCCGTTTTTCCATTTTCCCAACCTTGGCATTTTGAGAATTTTGGCATTTGGTCATTTGGGCGCTGCTACTTTTTTGGGGGATTGGTTCTGCCCCTCTCTGCCGCAACATCTACTCTCCTCCATCTTCAGACTCTCTTTCTCTTCTACACCGTTCTTCTTTACCCCGCCACCCTGGAATAGCGCCGCCGACCGGTGCAAACCGAGCCCAAAACGGCCTCCTCGCACCAATTGCACCGGCTCTTGTCGTCGGTTCGACCCTCCCGACCCCCTTAGGCTGCTCTTTGCGATATAAGCATGGACGCCGACCGCGATCCGCTCGCGGAGAGCCCGCTGAGCGGCTCCGGTTCCCCCAGCCTCGAGCCCACCTCCCCCGTCGCTGCGAATCACCATGCCTCGACTCCTTCCCTCCTTCCCTCCCGCAATCCAGCTGCCGGACTTACAGCGTCGTCCACGCACTTGGGCCAGATCAAGGCGGCGCGGGGCGGCGCGGGGACCCCGCCACGCCCGCAAGCGTCCATGAGTGCCCAAGGCGCTGGAGGATTGAATCAGGACATCATGGCCAAGATGAAGGCCTTCTCCCTCTCTCGTCAGGGTGTTCCACTCGCACATGCTGCTTCTACAGGCACGATACCAACCTCGCATGAAGCTGGTGCTGGCGGGGCGCTCGCCGGCCGGCTGCCGCCCGCCGCTCGGCCTAACACCAAGAATTGGGCCTCGTCCCCCGCGATCACGGGGTCGGTGTCTAGTCCCGCATCTCCTCGCCCGGTTGGATTAGCAGCGAAGCGCATGAAACCTGGTCTTAAGCTGTCCGACGTCACGGGTCCGCCAACGCCCCTGCCGAACGGATCGGAGCAGAAGAAGGAGGGAGAGCAAAATGGCGAATCTGCGTTCAGCAAGTATTCCGAGTTCATCGACACAAAAGCCGGGACATTGAATTTCAAGAACAAGGCAATTTTGCATGGCGGTGGCGTTGAGTTTTCTTCGGGACACAGTTTCAAGATCTCGTTGGACGAGGTTGATCGGTTAGACGAGCTGGGTAAGGGCAACTATGGTACCGTCTACAAAGTACGACACAGTCGTCCACACCTACGAAAACCAGGCTTGGGCCTGAGTGGGATTGTCAGTCGCCCAGTTGAACAGGACGAGACCAGTTCAGCGATTGGACCCAACGATAATCTCTCTGGCGTGATCATGGCCATGAAAGAAATCCGGCTGGAGCTGGACGAGGCCAAATTTGCACAGATCATCATGGAGCTTGATATTCTGCACCGCTGTGTTTCGCCCTTCATCATCGATTTCTACGGCGCATTCTTCCAAGAAGGTGCAGTCTATATGTGTGTGGAGTATATGGATGGTGGCTCCATTGACAAGATCTACGAGGGTGGCGTACCTGAGAACATTTTGCGCAAGGTCACACTCTCCACTGTCATGGGATTGAAGGCGCTCAAGGACGAGCACAACATCATTCACCGCGACGTCAAGCCGACCAACATCTTGGTCAACAGCAAGGGCCAGGTCAAGATTTGTGATTTCGGTGTCAGTGGCAACTTGGTCGCTAGTATTGCCAAGACCAACATCGGGTGCCAGAGTTACATGGCTCCCGAACGAATTGCGGGGGTGGCATGCAGCAGTCGGGCGCCCCGAGTGCTGGGACATATAGCGTGCAAAGCGACATTTGGAGTTTGGGTTTGTCAATCATCGAATGCGCGATGGGACGGTACCCGTACCCACCAGAGACTTTCACCAATATTTTCAGTCAGCTTCACGTAAGCACTCCTTCGATGGATGGTTTTGATGACTTCGTGCTGACATTTTCTTTACCAGGCAATCGTCCACGGCGAACCCCCCACTCTTCCCGACGAGGGATTCTCCGAAGAAGCGCATGCATTCGTCCGCGCTTGTCTCGATAAGAACCCCAAGAACCGCCCAACCTACAATATGCTCCTCCGCCACCCCTGGTTAACACCTCTGATGCGCCCACCAACCGAGGCTGACGCCGAATCTGCCTCCCAACCTTCCGAAGCATCCGCACCTCCTGAAACCCCCTCCTTCTTGACAGAAGACAAAGAAGTTGCGGAATGGGTACAGAAGCAACTCGAGCGCCGTAAAGACGGCCACTTACACGACGCCAAGAAGCCAGCCCTGCATGCCGTGGCTCTCGATAAGGTCGCCACGAGCCCCATTCACGACGAAGAGACGCCTATCCCACCGCAGGCAGACTGAACAATTTATCCCTTCCATCTCGATTTGAGATTGCGTGATCTTCCTCATCTTTTCAAGTCGCCCAATTCTTTCTATTCATCTCACCACTCAGTCCAGGCTCCGATGATCCCACGGCGCAGGCGCCGTCTTCAATGATATAACCATGGCTGTCTGTTGATGCATGTAGCAACTCAATCTGTTGTGAGCTCAACTGCACTTTTAGCCTGTCGATTCATAAATTCTCATCTATTCCTCGAGCTACAGACCATGCATTGTACTGTTGGCTATCTATTCATATCCACCATTTCCATTGTATTTGAGCGTATTCCTACCTGGGGCTGTTTTCATGTCGAATGATCGATCTAAGGGAATTCTGGGATTGTCATTTCTGTTGGCTGAGGTTTTTTGCAGCATGAGATCGATTACTTTGTGTCGAGCACGATGATGTGCTTGTGGAAAGTGTTTGTTTTAGCGCAGGATCATATGATGTCATACTACATTTGAACACTTTGTGTCTTTTCTCATCTGATATGTATACCTATTGGTCAATATTAAAGCTCATATAGTCATTACAGATTGCTAAATACAGAATATATCACTGGCCACGGCCAATCTTCTTGACTATTCGACCATGCCTCACTATTTGCCGGTCATGTACGATACCCGTTAACCGCGTCTATGCAGGCAATCGCACCGAAGCGTCCTAAGGGGTATCAAAGTCACACGTTTTCGCTAAGTGTTCGATAAAGTCCAAGTAATTGTCAATCCGGAACTCATAACATCAAGAAACGGCACCAGGCTCGCCCCCCAAGAAAAGGGGATTATCAATTAAATAAATTATCGCTCTCAGAACAACGTCAAGTACTCGTCAACCCCGGCCGTCCATTCCACCCCGTAATCATCGCACGCACACCTTCACTTCCTTTCCTGGGGTGACCATTGAACATATCACGCACAACGCGGACATCTTCGAAGGTAGTTTCGTACAGCTCCATCTCGAATTCGCGGACGATGGTGGCGAGGACGAGGAGGATTTCTGCTTTGGCAAGGCTGTTCGAGAAGTAATTAGTACACTGATCATGTATCTCTGGTAAGGAGATAAGAAAGGAGAAGGATGGGATTATCACGTACGGAATACCAATGCACTGTCGAGATCCTTTGCTAAAGGCAACCAGGTACTTCTCCAGACGGTGTCTTTCCGTTAGATCCATCCATCGCTCTGGGTCGAACTCTTCTGGGTTGGGGAAGATTTCGGGGTTGTTGTGGAGGAGTAAGCTTGTCATACCGACCGGTACCTGGGATTACAATTAGTATATACATTCGATGGTCATGAGTTAGGTAAGGGAGAGATGGAAATTACCCCAGCAGGAATGACCCAGTCTTTATACATCATCGGTTGATCGGGGGAGCTACGTTGGAGGCGGGTTGCAACGCCGAAGGAGACTCGAAGACCTTCCAGCATCACCGAGGACTAGGATTGTATGGTCAGCCATATGAAGTCTTTGGAGAAAGAGCCAAGAAAGTCTCACCAGATAAGGCATTGCCTCGTATTCTGCCAAAGAAGCCGTTCCATCAGGATCCAAGCGGTTTAGCTCGTCGCGCAGTTTTTGAAGCATCTTGGGGTTATTCAAGAGGTGGAAAGTAACCGTGGTCAGATTCTTGGCCGTCGTCTCTCCACCAGCCGCAATAACCGTGAAAACCTCCTGACTCAACCGATCCGCCGACTTCTCTTCGGGTGGAAGATTGCTTTGCAACAGAGCATGGAACAAGGTACCCTTGGGAACGGTGGCCTTTTTACCAGAAACCCCATCCGCATTCTGACTATCGATCACCAGATTGGCCAAACGTATACTTTCAGCCTTTTGATCGATCACAGGGCCGATATCCGGATTAATGCTCAAGACAAGCCACCGAGGAAGGATATCAAAGAGACCCATAAACCACTGGAATTGTTTGAATTGCACTCCCGCGCGCACAATAGCCTGAATCGTCTTTGACCACTGGGGGCTGAAATCGGGATCGTCGAGATAATGGAATGAATTGCCCATGGTATATTCCACGACGACATCCGTAGTAAACGCATTGAATGCATGGTACATATGGAGTGGGGCACGTCTATCAATCCACGCGCGCATTCCATCGCATAATTTGTCCACCATGCCCCGCAGCATAGGCTCAAGCTGTCGAATACGCTGCTGCGAGAAGAACGGGTTCATGGGTTGACGGCGTATACGATGGCGGCGATAGTCGACGGTACCGAAGGCCGAGGCCGGTGCTCCGAACATGCCGGTTAAATGGAGGGATTTGTTCCGGGGTGCTTCGCGGGAGTACAGCACGTCGTAGTATTCGGGATCATTGATGTGTAGTTCGTAGGGACTGATGCGCACGATGGGTCCGTATTTGCGATGCATTTCGGCGATTTGGAAGGTGTATTCGCCTTCTAGGAAGGAGTCGTAGTAGAATTCGTACCACATGGTTAGGGCTGCTAGTTTGGGCCCTGGGAAGTGGGCTATTGGGGAGAGCCATAGTCGTTGTATAGCGAGGTATACTACGTAGATAGCACCTGCGATCCCGAGGGACAGCACGAGCTGTGTGACTGATAGATGCGACGACGCCATCGTTTGGCAGGAGATGCCTCAAACGGGCCAAAAGGGAAAAAGAAAATGACTTCAAAGTGCTGGTGCAGTGAACAGGGGGGGGTCGGGCTTGGGAAATAGGACAGTAGTCCTTCTTATTTGGTCGTCAGCTACGCGATCCATGCGCTAGTAGTATTCTCCACTGTCAAGTTTTCTTGAGAGTCTAATGGTGTAGTGTCGACCATTCGTTTTAATCTATTGACAGTATTGATTGGCACAGACAAGTGTAGTTTAGCTTGGAGCGACTGAAGCGAAGTGTATTAATAACAATGGCATTCATCAACGTTGGCCGCATGCGAAGTGCAGGAAAAAGGACCCGAGCTATTGGGTCGGGTGTTACTATTGGGTACGGACAATGGGAAAAGAAAGAATAAAAATCAATAATGGATAATCAGCATCATTATGCCGAGTTGCAGAGGTGTTTTGATCGTCTGTCCCACTTTCGTCACGTCAGAACCTTTCACCTTTCAAGTGGAACGAGGCTGGACGAGCTTCACGCCAGGCTGCGTTAGGGCCGGCCCAGAGGTCTTCCCGTCATCCCCGACCCGGTTTGCGTGATGCTGATTGGCGTTGATCAATGAAGGAGGAGGGGGAGAGCAACGAGGCTAACTAGAGTTGTACAGATGTGTTAAGTTAGTCTGATACCACTATCTCAAGGATCCAATAAAGACTCGGAAAGATTACCTGACAGGACCATCTTTAGTAAGACGGCATTTTGATAGCCATTTCCATTCCATTTCATATATTTCATAAATTACCCCATTCATCAATACAGATCAATTACAGTAACTAAGTTATCTATTACTTCAAGTTACAGTCATAAGTTCAACCCACTCGTTCCTCTCTCCTGACATCCTCTTTCCTCTGCTGCAGGTGTCTGCCCATCTTTGTCTAACCATCAACCCCCCTCTTGTTACCTCCCCCGGCCCCATCCAATCTTAATATCAACCTTGTTTATTTCTCCATTCGCCATTCTCAGTCAGGTGCATTGGTTCGTCGCTTCGGTTGTGACACGCCACTTGGATTCCTCCCTTGTCCGTCCTTTAGTGGACCCCCCCCCCCCCCAAAAGGCGACACGAGCCCAGCCCACCCATTCGACGCAAAGTACACGGCCAAGTACATAAAGGGTTCGTGCCTCCGATCCTGCTTTGAGTTTACGCCCTAGCGTTTGGGCCGTGTCTCTGTCCAGAGTACTTTTGTTATTCCCCAAAGGCCCGTGAATTAATTTTGCCCGTCTCAACTTTCCAGGCCCATTAAAGCAAAGTCTGCCGTGTAGACGTTTGAGGTCAATCTCCAACACTCGAAAACAGATCCTGAAGCTCTCTTGGGCTCGGTGTCTTTCCCACCCTATCCCCCACCCCCCTTCTCCTCCTGCTCGATGGCGGAACCAGAGGCTATTGCGGTGGTAGGTTTTTCTTATTGGCTTTGTCAAATTAATTTGCTTAATCCTGATACTAATAAATTCCCTCAGGATCCGGACACGTACGCCGTTGATTCGTACTGGCCCGACGACTGGCAATCGTAAGTGGCCCAAGTAGCGATGGAGCAGATTCTATGCCCAGCCGAAAGTTTGCAATATTGAAACATGAAATCTCACCCGTTCTCTCTAGGGAAACTACTTCTATCGGATCGTCGATTTATCGAGGATTGATCGAGAATGGAAGACGGTAAGATACTAATAGATACAAGGTCCAAGCCTAGATCACTGACTAAGCATGGCTGATTCCTGGTTTTAGCTATCAAGCACTTCGAAACAAGGAGTACATGTAAGTCAGCAAGTCTAAAAGAGTATTTCGGAATGTTGTCTCATTGTATTTGGGCAGTATCCCGGCCGATGACGCGCAATTCGAAGCATATGAAGCTGGGTAAGTACTGAATGTTATATCCGCGGGAATAACGAAACACATCAACTCACTATTCTGTCTTAGACATCTCTGTGCTCTCATTCTAGAGTCACGTCATGATAATCCATTCTTCCGATCTCCCGTTTCAGCACCGGAGAATATCCTGGATATTGGTACCGGCAAAGGAACCTGGGCGATGTAAGTTTTGCCTCGACGCCGACGTGAAATGCAGTCGTGCTGACCCTTTTTTTAGCGATGTTGCCGATATGTTTCCAAATGGTAAAACTCTCCAAGGCAAACACATGAATCTCACTTTCATTCTAATGCATATTAGCCACCGTCCGTGGAGTCGACCTATTCCCTCCACCAGTCTCTTGGGTGCCTCCAAATTGCATTCTTGAAGTCGACGACGTCCAGCAGGAATGGACGTGGCACGAACCGTTTGACCTTATCCACATGCGTATCATGATCGGATCCTTCGACGAATCAGAATGGGAACGTTTATATAAGCAATGTTACGAGTAAGCCGCCCGGAGATACCACCGAGAATGATACAATATCTAACGAGTAGACAACAGCAACTTGAAACCGGGAGGCTGGATCGAACAATTGGAGGTTAGCCCCTGTGTTCAAACTGATGATGGAAGTCTGCCGCCGGATAATATCTTGAATGACTGGGGACCAAACGTCCTGGCATGCGGTGAACGAGCCGGTCGAGCCATCAACACCTTCGAAACGATGACCAACAAGATCCGAAATGCTGGATTCGTCAACGTCCATGAGAGACACTACAAATGGCCCATTGGACCGTGGCCTCGAGACAAGGAACTCAAGGAGGCTGGCATGGTTAATCATCAGCACTGGAGTTCTGGTCTAGAGGGCTGGGGTATGTGGCTGCTTACCCGATTTGGGGCTCCCCATCCCTGGAGCCAGGAGGAGGTTCAGGTGTATGTTGCCCAATTGAGGAATGAGTTGATGAATCCGCGTTTCCATATTTGGCACAGAGGGTAAGTAGTCGTGATTGATATCTTGGTTCTTGTTTTTGAACTGCTTTTGGCTAATTTTGGGACTTGCAGACGGCGTGTATGGGCTCAGAAGCCACTGGATGGTAGTCCAACCCCGACGAATAAGTGGCCATCGGGTTGACATTGACAGTCACTTTGGACTGTTTTTATTTTTATTTTTTCCCTTTTTCATGTATCTCAGCACGAAGCCTTTATGAATGACGTATTGCATCGGATTACCCTATTCTATTTCAAATTTCAAATATTTACCCTGTGCGGATCGTGTTGAAATGAGCACTTTTTTTGACCAATGTTCAAGGTATATCGGAGATGATTGTCATTGAAAATCAAAATACATACGAACATCGAGATAATGAATATGGATATTGCCCACAAGGCCAAACATGCCAACCCAAAATTAGGTATCGACTAAGAAAGTCTATCTCCGATTTCCCTGACTCCATCCTTAACTCTTTTAACTTCCCTTCCTTCCCGACATGACCTCACCTCACCGCTTTCCCACTCCCCAGACCCCTGATCCCATCAACACCATCAAAACATCGTGAAACATACGAGTGATTCGCTAAAAAAGAACCCGATACTCACCTTGTCTTCATTCCAAAAGGGGGACACCCAACTACCCCCCATTGGACGGTGGTCATCCCACCCCTAGAACGCGCAGCCTCGCACCAACAAACTTAGCTGCATTGCGTCGACCGCCACAAGCGCCTTGGAACCACCCGCCAAGGTTATCATCCCGCCAACAATAAACATGGGTCAAACGGCATCCACTCCACGCCCAGGCACAACCTTCCAAGTCATCGGCGCAGGACTGCCCCGAACGGGGACTGCATCATTCAGCAATGCACTAGAAATTCTCTGTGACGGACCCGTCTTCCACTGCGGAACGCAAGCTACATTAGGACCCACGATCCAAATCAAGCAATGGATGGAGATTCTACGGCGCTGGCATGCTGGAAGCGAATCGGATCGGAGAATCATGTTCGGCGTTATGAAGCAACAGTTGAACGGGTATGCGGCCGTGACTGATTCCCCCGGAGCTCAATTCGTCCCCGAGTTGATGGAATTGTACCCCGATGCCAAAGTGATATGTACCATTCGGGATCCCGTCGCTTGGGAACGGAGTATGGAGCAAGTTCGGAACGCGACTGTCCCTTGGTGGCTGCATTTAGTTCTGTTGCCTTTGCCCGGGTTGATGTATTTCATTCCTTATTTGCGTCTTCTCGCGGCTCAGTGGGAGAAGTTGTATGGGGAGGCTATCCCCACGCGGCACACTTATGAGCGACATATTGCTTGGTTGAAGGAGGTTGTTCCGGAGGATCGGTTGGTTTTTTTCGAGGTTAAGGATGGATGGGGGCCGTTGTGTGAGGCGCTGGGAAGGGAGGTTCCGAAGGATCAGCCGTTCCCGCATATTAATGATTCTGATGCTATTGATGAAATTTCTAGAATGCATGTTCGAAGGGGTCTTGCTCGTTGGGCTGTTATTCTTGCTGTCGGTACTGCTGCTGTTGCGTGGGTTGTGCGCCGGTAGAGAGGATCAGGTCATGCTGCGAAGCTATGAACTATGGAGAAGCGGATTATTGAATACTTGTACATAGCATATTATCTATTTTAACTACAGGACTGCATATATTAATTTACGAGGAGATACTTCATCCCAAGTCTCCACGCTGATCTAGAAACGGGATTGACAGTCATAAGAGAATATAGCTGGGAATCGAGATATTCGTCTAAATCTTAGGATATTATGCACCTAGAACGCATGTGGGTATATATCTTTTGGATTCATGATGCGGAGAATGAAGGGTTTCAACTCGGGATGAAACAAGGCAATCCAGAGAAAAGAAAAGAAAGAGAACCCTCCTAGGAAGACCTCTCCTCATATCTGCAATCGTCATGGCTGTAATGTCTTCAAGCTTCTTCCAACTCTGAATGTAATCAAAATGGACAAAAAAGTTAATTATCGCACTTGCGAGATTGCCTCTATTCTATCTCTAAATTTACCGCAGAGTAACCAGCTCCTCGGCGCTAGTCGGGTGAATGGCCACACAGCTATCAAAGTCCTGCTTGGTAGCGCCCATCTTCACGGCGACACCGAAGCCCTGGAGCATCTCACCAACACCAAGGCCAAGGATGTGCAGACCAACCACCTTCTCGTGGGGGCCGGCGCAGATAATCTTCATCTCGGTAGGGTTCTTGGCCTTCTCCTCGGCCGGCATAACGCTGTAGTACATGGCAGTGAACTTGGTGTGGTAGATCTTGATCTTGTCGTCGCCGTACCGCTGGCGGGCTTCGGGCTCGGTGAGACCGATGGTGCCAACCTCGGGGTGGGAGAAGACGACGGTTGGGATGTTCTCGTAGGAGAGCTTGGAGGTCTTCAGCTCGGGAGGGCCGAAGAGGCGGTTGCCAAGTTGGCGACCGGCAGCAATAGCAACTGAAAGTATGGGTTAGCTTGTGGACGGTTCATGGGTAGAGGGATGTTACATACCTGGGGTCAGCTCGGCCTGACCAGTCACGTCACCGATGGCATAGACACCAGTGACCGAGGTGTTCTGGTACTCGTCCACAATGATGTGGCCGCTGGGGTTCAGCTTAACTCCAGGGATGTCCAGGTGCAGGTCCTCGACCTCGGGAGCGCGACCAACGGCCCAGAGAAGCTCGTTGACCTCCAACTCGGTACCATCATTGTTGATCAGCTTGATCAGCTTGTCCTTACCCTTGCCATCGCGGATGAGCTTGATCTCCTTGAAGCCTTGGTGCTTGCGGTGGAGCTTAACACCAGCAGCCTCGTACCGATCGGTCATGGTCTTCTGGATCATAGGGTCGAACTTGCGCAGGAAGTGCTCACCACGGATGAACATGTGAGTCTCGACATTGGTAGCGTTCATGACGCCAGCCAGCTCAACGGCAATGTAACCAGCACCCACGACGGCAATCTTTGGGGGCAATTCCTCAATCTCGAAGAAGCCGTCACTGGTGATACCGTGCTCGGCACCGGGCACGGTGGGGAGGTTCGGCCGACCACCGGTCGCAATCAGGATGTGAGGTGCGGTGTAGCGGGCAGTGGTGCCGTCGTTCAGGCCGACCTCAATGACATTGGGCTCGACAAAGCGGGCGCGGCCGTGAACGAGGTCAATACCTTCCCGGTTCCAGTTGCGCTCGTAGATGCCATTGAGGTTTTGGATCGAGGCGTCACGGGTGTCCTTGAAGAGCTTATAGTCGATCGTCGTGCCCTCGGGGACATTGTAGCCATAGTGCTTAGCGGTCTCCAGGGTCTCGTTAACAGTCGCAAAGTTCCAGGTCATCTTCTTGGGGACACAGCTAAACAGCTCTGTTAGCGGTTGAATCAAAGGCCCCCTGTTTAACGAGAAGAGCATAGCAGAATTTCAACTACTACATACCCAACGTTCACGCAAGTACCGCCAGACCGGCCACTCTCGACAATCAAGGTCTTCGCCTTGTACCATCCCGCGGCGCGACGGGCGCTTCCGCTACCACCGCTACCACCACCCAGGACAATATAGTCATACTGTTGAACCTCGACAGGAGCCATTGTGGAGGATTCCTTGCTTTCCGAAGCAGGAGATGACGACGAGAAGTGCCGAGAGATCGAAGACAGCCGGGAGCCGGAGGTAGTCAAGGTCGTCGCAGAGGAGCGGTTGATGGTCGCCAGAGTTTGGGTCACGGTCGGCCGCGGACCAGTATGAATGGATTTGGTGACGGGGGACCGGGTCAGGACAGTACTGCGAAAGCTGATCCTGGATGAGGGAATGCGAAGGGAACGGGAGAGCATGGATAGGAGGGGGAGGGGGGGAAAGGCCGGCAAGAATGGCGGGGTATGTACTGGGAAAAGGCCAGGAAAAAAGAGCTGACAAAAAGGCTGCAGTGACGATTACGATATCGGCGATTGATACGCGCGCCGGGGAACTTCGAATCTGAGTGAGTCTGGCCTGAGGACCTCCGGCCGAGACCACGTGATGACAAATCGCGTTCGATCACGGCATTTGATCGATGATTGAGGAAAGTCTTAGTCAGGGATTTGTTCATGATTTTATGATGTTTACAGTACTTGCAATCCGAGGGGTTTCATAGGGCGGGCTGTAAGCCTAATGCAGCAACGTCGCTTTATACCATTAGGTCTGACAGGTTGCATACGCAGCCTGGTCGGGATGTACCAAATATAGAGATGACCTGGGAACTATACCTAAGATCACGTTTAACAAGACACTTCAAGTTAGTCTCTAAAAGTATAGGCCTCGGTCTACCCAGCTGCTATGGATGCGTGGTGATGTGAACGAGGCTGGTTGACTAAATCTCATCGTCTGCTACAATGGATATTCAAGTTGGAGTAACTTGTTGACATAGGATGATATCAATTATTTGTATTGAGTGAATTATGGGATGCAAAGTAAACAACCCCGATATCGATACTAGCATAGATGGTTTAAATCTCATCACATGCTGGTAAGGTACAATTGAGCCGAAGATTCGTCGAGACAGAAGGAAATATGAAAGAATGTGGTAGTTGCAGAGTCACTTCAAGAGTATACAAGAGCCGGTCTTATGGTCTCTCAATGGCCTGTCTAAGAGTGTATTCATAGCAAAGCAGAGGTCGTATACCATGAAGACAAGAGGATGGCACCGACTTGGAAGAAAAGGTGCGCAAAATCATGCAACTCGATGGTTGGAATCGAGCTCGTGGTGGGCGATGTTCAAGTTTCGAGGAGAATGATGGAACATGAGATAACACATGAAGTGTGAGGTTGGAGGGGAAAATCCCCTGGAAGGAGATGTGATCGTTTGTGCTCGAAGACAAGGATATGAGACACTTCTTTTCTTGCCTGACTTGGCTTGGTGAAATTATATCCCATCAACATCAACGTCGAGGTGGAGAGCGAACCGCAAGAAAGAGGATGTCGGCACAGGAATGTGTTGATGATTCTCGTAGATCCGCAACGGCTTGCACCGTTTGTGCGTAATCGCTAGACAGCCCATATTGCGGCTGGGCCTCGAACGTGGCTCCCAGATTCGTGCTGTGGCCTAGCATCATGGGGGCCTGCAACGGTTGAAGGTGCATTTGCGACTGGATTCGCAGAATTTGCGTGGATTGCTTGTAGTTGAGACACGGAGTGCTGCGTGTATGCGTCTGATAATCTGGTAGAGGTTGGTGTTTGGATGTGAGATTCCAAACAAGTCGACCAGATAACTAGTGATTGTATGCGATCACCGCGAAAGAGATAAGGCAGATGCAGAGCGGGATGTAGACACTGCGATCCATATCGGCGGGATTCTGGGTGGAAGAGCGCTTCTTCATGACTTGGTGCTTCAGGTAGGCAGAAGATGTAGAGATAGATATTTAAGGAGGTAGAACAAAGGAATGGATGGTATACTTGTACTTGGTTGAGGGATGAGGGGAATCGAGGCGGGAGGGGGTGTTTATTTAGAGAAAGCCAATCAGAGCCAAGTACTCGTTTTCTGGAGGATTAGCTAAGCGTTGGGCCTCAACAAATGGGCCGTCGCATGATGCCGATTGGAGGATGTCTGCCTGTGTCGAGTGCATGGGATACGTGGACTCTTGTGGGGGGTTTCCATGGCGTCCTTAGAAATCACCACGTGAACCCTGAGGACACACCGCTAAAAGGGCATAGTTAGTTACCTACACTGCCTTGGGTGACTGGGGATGACTTGGTCACCTGCGATAACTCGATAAGAGGAGGTGCCCCACGTGATCGTGGTACCTGCAGTAGGCTTCGCGCATCCCCCGGATTTTCAACACGAACATAGCACCGAAGAAAGAGGATCATGCTAGAAATGCATGTTCTTCGTCTGCATCCTTGATTCTTAAATCTTTCATATGCTACACAAGTGACAGCACTGCCGTCATATACTGCCATGCAGCGAACCAAGTACCAGTCCACCGAAAAACTCCAGACCAGCTGCCACACCAGCGCAACCTGGATGAGCAATTTACTTCTCGACCCTATTGGTATCCCTTCAAAACTCAAAGCCAGATCAAAATTCGAACCTGAGTATGCCCTGGTTCAAACCAGGATTCTCTGATAATTTGCCTTACCCCCTGTGACACGCACGAGCGGCCCTTGTTTACCGACCTGCCCACATTCATGGCCCATCGAGAATGTAAGGGGATATACCAACCACCTAGCAACCACCCAATCAACGCCCCCATGAATCAGTTCCATACCTACGTAGAACCCAATGTCTAGCCTCGTTAGCCAATGGAGCAAGGCATTTCGGAACTCTCCACTTACTCCTGCGTAGCCCTTCCTGGCTGAGGTGCCTGCCCTCGAAAGGTCCCCCGAGTATACATCAACCACCCGTCTTCCCTTCCTCCAAGTTCAGGGAAATTTTCGACAGTCACTCCTTAGCTCGATACCCCAGTCGACAATCAAAATGCGCGTTTCTACCTTTATCGTTGCTCTCGCCACTACTCTGGCCGTCGAGTCGGCTGCGAAGCAGATTAACATGTCTTGCAAGTTCGCGGCCGACCATACTGGCATGGTGCAGTATCCTTTCTGCTGTCGTGATATGAAGCCTGCGAGGAACAATGCCAAGGCCAACGAGGCCACGGATTGTGAGTTTACCCGGCTCTAGTCACTCTTTCAATTCAATTAGATGTATTCGAAGACGCTAATATCTCCTGTTCCCTCTAGGCCAGCAGTTGACCGAGCCTCAGTTGTGTGAGGACCAGTCGCGCCCTGCTTGCTGCTATACTATTGTAGGTGGGCCTGCTATTTCTATCGGTTGCAACTGAAATATGTGACTAACCGTACTTTGTTTTGTTCTCCAGGGCCCCAAGAAGATCTGTACTTCGCACGTTATCTTCCAGGATGCCGAGGACGTCTAAGGTTGGAGATAGGAGTGAGAACACCCGAGGACATGTTCATGTATGAACAATATTGTTGGTTTATGACCAGCAATAATCTTGTATGCGAGCTTATTCAATGTCAATACTATCCTTTGAGAAGACATGGAGGAACATATACTAGAATAACAAGAATATCTCACATACCTAAATTTGGACGACTAGACTAAGTGACTGGAAAGTGAGTGATATGTGGAGGCCAAGATTATTTGGTCTAAGAAGACGGACGAAGTAACAAATGACGAGCTGGTAGGGCCTTAAAAAGTAAAGGGATATAATAATGCTCCAACAACAAAACGCCACACCGCAATGCAAGATAATGCTATGTACAGCTTAACCTCGGTAAGAGGCAGTAGCAAGTCAAAAAAAGGGGCCCAAAATCAATCCAAGTTCACATCCAGCATCCGCTCTGTATTCCGCCTAAACAATTTCTCCGCCAACTCGGGGTCGTGGATGCAAAGGTCCAAGCACCACTCGGTGAATGGGCTAATGTCGACACCGGTGAAACGGGTATGAGGCCAATCCGTGGCGAAGATGACTCGATCCGGTGCCGCAGCCATAAACTCGCGTGCCATGGTCTTCAGATCACGCATTTGTCGGTCTTTCGTAAGTCGATAGGGGGCAGACAGTTTGATGTAGGTGTTTCCGGCTCGGAGTAGCGATATTAAAGAGTCGAAGCCGGGGAGGGTATATGGATCGAAGGAATTGTTGCTTTTGGCCCAGGACAGGCAGGATAGTTCAGGGCTTCCGAAGTGATCGATGCAAAGGGAGACACCGAGACGAGGCACCACGGACTCGAGCATGGGTACCATCTTCAGAGGAACGTAGACCTCAATGATCCAATTCCGTGGGCGTGCAATTTCGGCATGGAGAAGTAATGTCTCTTCCAACTCGCTTTGATCCATCACCTTACCCACGGACTGCAGGTTCACTCGGAGACCGCGAACGCCGAGTGTGTGCCACTCGTCCAGGGTCTCTAACTGGATCGTGGCAGGGTCAACCACGACCACACCGCGGCCACGAGAGGGACCGAGCTTTGACAGAGCCGCTAATAAGCAGGAATTGTCAGTTCCATAGATAGATGGCTGGACAAAGACCAGGTTCTCAACGCCCAAGGAGGACTCGAAAGCAAGAGCGTCAGCCAAGGTATGAACCTCTGGCTGATATACTGCTGTCGGAGATACCGGAAAGCGCTGAGGCTCAACGACATGCATGTGGCTATCCCATGAACGCAGAGGAATCCTCCGTCTCAAGGGCAGACTAGGTGTCGTGGCCGTAGCTGCTGCGGCCGCCGCATGAATCGCACGTTGGTTAACGCGAGTCGAAGGCCCCGCGGTGAGTGATATCCGTGGGGTTCCTCCGAGTATGGCAGCATGAGGCTGAGTTGATGTCAGCATTGTGAATTTTATATCAGACGAAGAACCCTCGCAATAGCCATATAAACGGAGTAAGGAAAGTAAGGCTCAAAGCCCTTGGGAGGTACAACTCACAAATGAGCAGGATCTGATGCTGGGGCCTACCCTGAGGGCAAGCCTGATCGGTATCATGCCGTCTCCTCTGATCGGTCAACGTCCGTAATGATGGGACTAACAGGCCTGAAAAGCAAGGAAAACAGCCGTTCATGTAAAAAAAAAAAAATTGCCGTGTGCCGTGCTTCCACACGGTAGAGTCCTCAAACCTGACCCACCGTCGGCTGTTCACAGTCTCTCAGCGGTAGGGAAGGCGACGTGGTGTAGAAGGAGGAGTATCAGAGCGGAAGTCGTCCGGGAGGCGGTTGGCCCGGCGGATTAAGCCTACTGCGACAGCGAGGCATGGGAAAAAAGGGCCTGGGTCGCATTCTCGGACCCTGTGTATTATTGCTTTGTTCATTTGCCCCTTTCCCAGGCCCAAAGCGCAATCAATAGTGACCGAGGCAGGACAACCACGAGGGGGCAAAGGGATTGAACCATCTGGCGGAGCCGTGAGCCACAGTGTAGAAGAAAGTGGATTAGCTTTTTCCGCGGCTCGATCCGGCATTGAAGAAGTATGGGGCTCTCGGTCGGCAAACTCATTGTATGTTCATTGCTCAAGGATCGAATTCCCAGGTCATTGCATGAGAAACTATACGGTGCAACCTACATGTGACATCCGGATATTCGGAATCCATCATCATGCAGTCAATCATAATAATGTGTGACGATGGAGGGAGAGAGAGGGGAAGCCAAGAGAGGGAGGAGAGAGGGGAAAAGCTTGCGCTTGTCGGACGTTGACCGAGACCTCAGCACGACCCAACGGGATGCCGAGCGCCTTCAGTCGCCGCTCATAATTTTTTTTATCCACCCAGCGCCTCCTGGCGATTATTCCTTCACCCACTCCTTTGCCGACCGCCGTCCCGTCCCCTTCCCCAGATTCCGTGGCCTCCACAGCTATCTAAATCGGGGCCTCTTGTGGGAATCCTTTTCGGAAGACATCATGCAATGGCTGGATCGCTCGCGGTGGACGACTAGCCCATACTATGCGCTGGTGATCTTTGTGATCGCTTGCGGGAGTATCCCTAAAGGTATGCAGCTAACCAAATAACCCCTGCGCGTGGCTGGCGACCGGCGCAAACTAGAGTAGACATTTAACGAGGAGCTGACAACATTCCTCCAATGATCGCAGGTTATGATGAGGGAGGATACAGCGCGAGCGTCAAGCTCGAGTCATTCATGATCGACTTTAACCTCGTCAAATCGCATTGGAAGAACGATCCCACGGGGTTAACTAATCGGTCTGCCAACATTACATCCTTCAACGTGTTAGGTGCTGCATTCGGTGCGCTAGCTGGCTTGGATCTCAATGATCGCCTGGGTCGTCTTATCTCGTGGCGACTGGCCTGCATCGTATGGGCGATTGGCACCTTTATCCAAGTTTTCTCGTCGGGAATCTATGGCCTGCTGCTCTTTGCCCGTATCTTTGCTGGGCTCGGTGCTGGCCTCCTGACGGTGACTTCGCCGCTATATCTATCAGAGGTCGCACCTCGAGCGACGCGAGGTCTCGCGGTCGGCATGTATATGGTGATTCTGCTGGCCGTACTCGCCATGGGTAAGTCAAGCTTATGGTTCTTTCCAAATCTCTAGATGGGGCCCTATCTGACGCTATCTCCATCTCTCCGCACTAGGCTTCTTTATTAACTATGGCGCCAATCTCCACATGGCCGCCACGCGTACCCAATATCGGCTAGTCCAGTCTATCCCACTGATCCCTGTCGGTATCGCCTTTGGCCTGTCCTTCCTCTGTCCAGAGACTCCTCGGTATCTGGCATCCCAGCAGCGCCATAAAGAAGGAAAAGAGGTACTTGCCCGCCTGCGTGGCAAATCAATTGATGATGAAAGCGTCGAGGCCGAGTTCGAGGAAATTGACCGACAGGCGCGGGAAAGAGCAGACCTGAAATCTGTCTCTCACTGGCAGGCGTTTAAAGAATCCCAGTCGAATTCTAACTACCGCCAGCGCTTCTGGTTGCTGATGACAATGCAAACCATTGCTCAGTGGACCGGTGGCAATGGTATCACGTACTATGTGACCAATATCTTCGAGTATGCTGGTGTTACTGGCTCAAACCAGTCGCTCATTTCATCGGGCGCCTACGGAATCGTCAAGCTCGTTTTTACCATGGCGTTTACTTGGGGTCTGATTGATCTCTTTGGTCGCCGACGCTGCGCCCTGACTGGTCTTGCCCTGCAGCTGGCAGCACACATTTACATGGGCGTTTATATGGGCCTGCAGCCCGGCTCAGCAGACAACAAGTCTGCCTCGGATGCAGCCATTGCGTCCGTTTTTGTGTATGCCGTCGGTTGGTCGGTCGGTCTCTGCACTATTCCCTACCTATACGGCACGGAGATCTTCCCGACCCGGATCCGCAATGTGAGCTATGCCATCAGCATGGGTCTTCACTGGTTCTTCCAGTTTGCCGTTGTGCGTGTTACCCCGAACATGTTCGCTTCCCTTCATGTGTGGGGCGCGTATCTGTTCTGGGCGATCATTTGTACCTTGGGCCTGATCATTCTCGGCATTTGGATGCCAGAGACAGCCCAAGTCCCGATTGAGCGTATGGACGAGCTCTTTGCTGGACCGTGGTATCTGCGCTGGCGCGCTCACCCCAAGTACGTTGATGACTCGTCCGAGACGACCGAGGCAATCACTTCTCACGACCAGGATGGAAAGACATTCAAGTCGAATATTTTCAAGTCCCGTTAAGTGACTTTACACATTTAATTTGCACCATTTGGATACCCGATACCCTATACCTTCACATCACACTACTCTCTTGGCAGGCTGCCTTTGGACATAGTATGGCGACTGCGTTATGTATAATTTTTCTATCCCACACATTGTACTTAATTTGCAATTTACAAGGCTGTACATACTTGTATAGCTGATTTCTCACTCTCGATCTCTCAAGGCCTGGAAAAGGCACTGTATCAAAAACGTGACCGATCAAACTGCTGACTGAGGACCGCGGACTAGAAAGTGCTCCACCGTAGGTTCTGTTCCACCGTACTTAGAATAATCAGTGGACACAGTCTCGAGCAATTTGAAGCCATAATTCAGATATAACTTCAACGCAGCCGGCTCCGACATGACGTAGATTTTGATCCCATACTGGTCTGCCACTTTCAATCCGCTTTGTACCAACATACTGGCAATACCCCGTCTCCAGAAGGCAGGATTAGTCGTTAAATAGTCCAAGGCTAGAATAATGGATTAGGTATGAGTTGCGTCAACGAGTTATTCAAGAGTACAAGAGTAGCTACTTAGGAAGGGCCCATCTCGCATAATTCTCGCATCAACAACTTCAAGCGGCGCACTGCGATAACTCATCAACCCGCCACTTTTCATACCGATTGGACGACCCCCTTTCGTATTCGCATTGTACAGTCTCTCCCACTCTTCTCTCTCAGACTGAGTTCCCTCGGGGGCCTGCGCTTCAAGCCAAACGTCATTCTGCTTTGCTAGACACTCTGGTAGAATCCACCGTGCGTAGCCGACTACCTGACCCGTCTCGACATCAATAACCTTTTGATGTCTTTTGGTGTCTCTACCCGTAGCTAGATTCCATGGAACGCGGAGGGCGCCTTTGGTGATAATTTCTTGGGGATTTGGGTCCTCCCAGAGGAACGCCCAGTGGGGGTCTGTTAGGCGGGCGCCCATCATGGTAGTCGCCAGACCGAGGGCGTCGGCTGCTGAACAGGGTTGGATCTCGAATGGCATGACGATAAGTAGTTTAAAACAGCAAGTTAAGCAAAAATGTCAAAGTAGTTAAGGTTTGGGTGCAAAGAGAGGAGTGGTGGCCAAGTAAGTGTAAGTGGTGAAATTGGGAGGGCCAGGTGTCCACGACGTTATCAGCCGCTAACGAAAGTCGCAAGGATTATGAACAAGGGTTCTCAAAACTATACCTATAATGCCTTAAAAAACATCGCTTCTGCCTATGTGGACCGTAGACTATAGTGGTAATTCCCAATGTCATCCTCTATATACGTTATTATCTTGAAGCCGACAAAATTCGACCATTGCAGCCATCCCGGGCTTGGAAATGCAGAACTAGACAATGTAAACTTTGACCAAACGGGCAAATTGAGTTTAATTGATTCTTTGTTAATCGTGGAGTGAATCTAATGTATGTATGCCTCTTACTTTGGATCGTTATCCTTGTTCTAGGATCCAGGTATATGCAGCTATATACACCGGATTCTGTCCGCCGGGTGGGGCTTTCCTCTCTGGGCTACCGTCGCTTTAATGAGGGCGATCAGGCTCAGGCTCAGTGAGTAAATGTCAGCACGCGCTCATGCTCGGTGATCTGATCAATTTAGTCATGTGATCTCTCAGTGACCAATCAGCCGTGCTTAACTAACTAGTGATCGCTTGGTGGTGGATCGGTGATCATTAATACAGTGATGGTTCAATGATCACTCAGCCAATGCTTACTCACCAGGACTCATTAACGTAGTTCCCGCCCGAGCGGATAACCCAGTCGAGCGGATAACCGCAAATCACCATACTAAATGCGATTTCTTAGGTCATAATATATCAACAACGAGACGATGCTTTTACTTGATTTTAAGTAGGCTATCACTTCCTGGCATTAGAAATAGTATAGTCTAACCAACATATTCAGAGAGTGATTATTTACTGGCGTTACCAAAAATACGCTCCGACCAAGCGATATAGATATATATATCGACATTGCCCAGCCCTGAAATATTTCTTGAGCTAATAAAAATACTATTATGACATATTTAACACTGAGATACCCTAAGACTATATAATTAGCCTTGAGTGTTGAAATATGAAGGTGTGAAATATTGCATTTAGTATGGTGTTTTGCGGTTATCCGCTCGGGCGGGAATTACGTGAACTAATGTAACTAATTCCCGCCCGACCTGATAACACGGCCGACCTGATAACACGGCCGACCTGATAACCCCGAAACACTATACTAAATGCGATATTTTAGGTCATGGTATATCAACAACTAGAAGCATTTCTTTCTTGGATTTTTAGTATCATCTAATTCTGAGCACTAGAAATTGAGTAGCATGATTTCCATATTTTGAACAGGATTATTTACATGTATTACCAAAATACACTCCGATCGAGTGATGTAGATATGTAGGTCGGCCGTGGATTCGGGATATATTTTTCTGTCAGAAAGAGATGGCATCCCTTGCTTGGTGTACGCATTCTTGCGTGAAGCTACGGCTCCGGTGTTGTGAGCGCCGAATGTCCGAGCATGGGATTAAGGGGTACTTGACCCGGAGAACACATCTACATCCATCTAATGGAATCAATCAACTTTTGCTTAGGAGCATAAACACTGTCCACTGACACGGAACCTAGACGGTGATACCAACATAAACCCCTAAAGATTGCATATCTTGGACATTTCTTACACGCTGCATATTTAGTACGCTGGTTAAACTGCGGGACTAAAGTGGAACCAGTTCACCCCTAGACTTGTCGGAAATGAAAGAAAAGGGTCCGTCCGTGTGAGTTACACACAAATTGAGTCCTGAGTCTATTTTATTTAAACAGACGGATCATTGGCAGTGATTGATTGTGTTATTGCATACGCCTTCAATAGGTTGTGTATTTAAGCGTCTGTTCAATGGGATAACTTCGATAACTTCGACTCCATACTCTCGGCACTGGCAATCGACGCAGATGTAATAAAATGCAGGGAGGTCGACGATGCTGAATGATGAGGCTTGAGCCAACAAAGTAGATATGTCAACCAAACTCTGAAAATGACACCATGGTAGAGAGAGCTGTTTACCTCAACGCATGTAATCAACGTGGGGACGAAAATCCCTCGGATGAGCTGATAAGTCAAGTATTTCATAAATCACCAATTAAGGAGCTGGTAAATATTCTGCGGTGACAACTTTCAGATATACCCGAGTTAAAATAATTGTTTATCCGACGCAGCAACCCTTTACCCTGCACTCCTTCGTCGCTATTCAGATGTGAATTATCAAACTGTCAGACCACGTACCAAAAAGACCAATTCCGACGAGTCAACAAGCGGACGTGGGGTTTCATGACAAGCTATTTCCAACGCATACGCAGATCAAGTTGTACCAGGAAGGCAATTTCATTCAAACTAGCCAAATTATACACCAAACAAGCAGAACTTTTACCGAAAAACAACGAAATGCCTACTAACATTTGCAATTTCCGCCGTTATCATCCTTTTCTCCACTGAGCTGTCCCGAAATAACAATCCAGACACTCAAAGAATGCATTTTGCTGAACAGAACACTTTTAGTCCCTTGGACTCTTAAGATTTAAGGGTCTCCAAAAGCCTCTCTTTCAGCATTCTCTGCGTCCCCCTGATCCTGATCAATGTCCTGTTCGTTCTCAGAAATCTGTTTTTCTAGATCAGTCTCCTTTCCTTCATCCTGACCTTCCTGCTCCTCCTCGTTCTCTACCCTTTTCTCAAGATTCCCGATCTCTTGTTTGGTAGCTTCCTCTTCCTTCTCCGCTTCATCGCGCTGGTCCTGAGTCAAATTTGGATTGTCCGCATCTGCCTCCTCCTTTTCTTCCTCCACTTGCTCTTGAGATATTTCTTGATTAGTGTCACTTTCATCTTGCTCGTATTGCTCAATGTCACTGTCGTTCTGCTGCATCTGCTCCTGATTATACTGACGAATACGGTTAGATATGCAATATGCGAGAGTCGCGTTCATGTAGCTTTGTGCCATCCCAGGAAGAGGCTCCGTCAACTGCACCGAGAGCAAGGCCGTCTGGGCTGCTAGAGCTTGAGCTTGCACCCCTTCGCCTTGCTCAGGGTCGACCATGTCAGAATTTTCGAAAGAACTTAGCGCAGTGCCCATAACAGGTCCTGTCAGCTGGACGGCAAGGTTCCCGACGCGGCCCTCGATTAGGTCCCGAGTGGACTGGACCAAGGTAGCCAAATCACCTTCGGGATTGTTAAGTTGGGAGATATCGAAATTTGCAATCGATTCAATGTCCATTTTATCAAGTGTATCATTGATATGCTGCTTAACTGCGGCATCGATGTCGGGTTCCTGGCTTTTAAAATCGTCCTGGTGGTCATCGAGAGTTTCCTCACTATCCCTCTCGAGGACAGCTTCAAGCCGCTGCATGATTTGATCGCGCTGCTCTTTTAATGCTTTCATTGCCGCATCGGAGAGCTCAGTGACTTGTTGTTCCGTCGCTGGGTTAGGCTCCTGATTATCCTGCCATCTCCAGTAGCAGGACGCGAGACAGCCGATGAACGAAATAATAGTAAGGGGAATAAGCATTACTCCAAGTATAGAGGCGGAAAAATTAAAATCGTCTTCCGGCCCGGGAACAACAAGCCCTTTACGTAGCTGATGGATGTCACCCTTTGTCGCTCTTGTCGATGCTAGTGGCGTATGTGGTTGGCCTGACGTTGAGCCGGCGGCAGGCTTGGTCCATAGCCCGGAGAAGGGCAAAGGGGCTGTGGCACCAACTGTGGGACTTTGCACTCCTGAAAACGAGACAACACCTTCGGGATCCATGGTGGCAAAAGAAATTTTATAGCTCATTGTATTTTTCGCGTTCCTCCATCCCCACATCGGAAGGTCCGGATCCAGGGGTGATGGTTCTTCCTGCATCGGCACCGTTGTTCCCGCAAAGGATACGACATACGAATTCCCTTGTAACGCTATCGAAAGAGGCCAGCTGGTTTCAGCGTGAGGAGCGCTGATTTTGTAAACCCCTGGCGTTGGGTAACACGAAGGCAAATTCGTTCTCGCGACCTTCAGAGAAGGAAAGACCCGCGATCGCTGAAGACGTTTAGTCGAGGAACGGGTACGAGTATTGATCGCCGGTTTTCCTTTCTCCGCTCTTGGAGCTGGGATGTTCTGACGGCTCTTCCAACTAGCAATGGATAGCGATGAATCAGTGCTCGTGAACGGTTTCATCGTCCCAGCTAGCGCAACAGGCGTACTTCCGCTATCCTGGACTGTTCCGGAGAACTGGGCTGTGAACAAGTTGGACGATGGGTCAACACCCGCAGCGAAAGCAGCTTGAAAATTCCTTCCTTGAATACTCCAACTAACAATCGCTGAGTTGGATTGTGTATTGCTGATAGTCGGGGTGACAGTCTGGCCGACGTACGTAATTGCGGTTGTGCACGGATTGACGATTAAAACCCGACCAGCATCCGATGCAGGGGCCGTTATAACGTACATTGCACCAAACATGCGTAGATCAAAGGGTGAGGAAGAAGCCTGACTCGCCCTGAGCCATGACTCTCTAGGCTCATAATCAGGCGTTAACCCGCCGATGCCACTATCTCTCCTATCGTCCATTGGGGATTTCTTTTCACCAGCGACAGACCGGCCGAGACTAGCGGCGCCAAAGATATCCTCTGGGACCAAATTCATAAGTGAGATGAAGTCGGTTCCTGTAAGGTTACCGTACCCGTAGTTCGCCAGAACAGCAACGACTTGGGATCCAATGGAATCACTCGTCGCCATGGCGTTGAGAAGATCTCCGAAGATAGGAGGGGCCGGGATGCTCAACAGTTCTTCTTTGAGTGCGTCAGCGGATCCTGGTCCAGCCTGGGCTTTCATTTGTATGTTGTAGGCCTTTGCCTTCCGCTTGTTTGCAATTGAAATAGTATTGAAATTTTCATCTCTCAATGCAGAAGCCTGAGGATTTGGATTGAGCGACCCCGTCATAATAAGGTCCCGTGGACAGGCGACTCCTGAAGTGGTATCTCCTCCTGAGGGAACCGGCGAATCCGGTATGAACACATTCTGACCCGGAAACAGTAAATTCGTCGTAAGCAGATAGTCCATGCTGAGCACGCAGGACCCAGGTGGAACCTGCGGTTGCACATTCTGAAGTGTCGGCGGTAGGTCATCAGAGTAGCCTTCAAATGCGACCTGGTACCATTTCCATGATGCAGGGGTGGGCGAGACACTCATTGTGGTGTCCATTGACAGGTTGAAGTTCAGCTGGTTGGGACGAGTAGGGTCACTGCTCCCTGCCCACTGACCACTACCATTGAGATTGAAGGTGTTGTTGATGGTGCCATTTCCCCAGATTCTCTCTGGTTCTGTACCTCCCATAATCAAGTTTTCTGTTACCCAATTTTGTGCATAACTAAGACTAGAATATTTCGCCGTAGATGGAGTATCACTGCTACTGAGACCGCTAGGAATGGCGAGTGTGGCAGGATTGTCATTAACATTGAAGCTTAAGCTGTCGATCTCAGTGTAGGGCACGTTATTGGGATCCCCTTGTGTGAACTGGTCAATATTGACTTCGTGGGATGGCAAGGTGAACAAAAGATTGAAACCAGCTGTAAAATATGAAATGGACCTGTTAGCTGCTACTCTATTCCCTTCTCGATGCTGAAATAAAACTCCGAAAGAAGGGAAGCGGATGAAGGCTCACAGTCTCCGGGCCCATCGTCAAGACTACTCTGACCACCTGTCGCACTTTGCAATGCAGGCTGGAAAGCAGACATTAGCACAGGTTCGCCGCCATTGCAATTCAGTGAGCAGAGTTATCAACCATAAAGGATGAAATAAGACTTACAGCCAGAAATAGGTTACCCATTACGCTGTGACTAAAGATAATACTTGCAGACTTGCCCTGGGGCAATGGCGTTATTGGGCTGGAGCCAGGTTGAAAGCTCAGCGGAGTTTGGCCGCTCTGGAACTGCGCACCGTTGCCGCCCTGGAGGCCAATCCACATACACAAAGTTGCAGGAATGTTTTCGTTTGAATTAGCCGGGACAGCCGAAAATGCAAAGGACACGGGCTGCAGAGCAATTTCCTTGGGTGAATCCCCCTGGGGAGCATTGCTTAGGGCGGCAAGGTAGTAATTCACACCCCCTGCCTGCTGGAAGTAGGAAGAGACTTCATCTGCCATCATGTTTGAAACAGTAGCCAGTTGGTCAGCGGAGTTTTGCCCTCCTGGCGCATTTTCAATAACTGCCGTGATGTTCGTGAAATCCAGGCATACTCCCTGAGCAACATTGCTACCTGGTTCCATCAGGACAACGTAGTTGCTTGGATTTATGCTTCCAGAGTTAGGTTGCCAGTCACCATCGTACGTACCTTCAACATTAGCTAAAGACGTCGAGATGGAGAGCTGAAGGCCAGGGCCAAAAGACTGAGGAGTGGTAGGATTGCCGTCAAAGTAGAAGGTATAGGTACCTGTGAATGGACAGGTAAATGTAACGTTGCAGCTTGCATCAACGAACTGGAGCTCAGGATTAGAGAAGTTGACAACATAATCCGTTGGAATGTCCTTGTTGAGGACGGGGTCTTAAACTCGAAGGTCCACTATTAGCCAATCTCTTGCATTCTCCGTCTGCGTCGGTATCATACATAGCATGATAAAATTGGACATCTAAATGGGGCGTACCATGATATGTTCCGCTCCATTTCAACGGTTCAAGCAGGCCAAGCTTGGACGCTCGGTCTGCAAGCATCTGGTTGACTTGGTCCTCGTTATACGAAACGAGACAATCCCAGCCACTCAACGTATCCTTCCCCGACATCTCATTAATGAGATCGGTGTAGGCCAACTGGTAATCTGACATAGTGACAATAAGAACTGAGATACTGTTCGTGTTGAAAGAAGTTTGTTTTCATAAGAAATCTCGCTTGAAAGAAAAGAGGAGGGGACGATGTCAAGTATTTATATCCAGACCGTCAGACACGTATCGCAGCTCAATGATAGAAAATATTGGTCGTCCATGGTTTCGAACATTCAGCCCCAGGCGAGAGCTGTCTCGGCGAGCCTCGATCCTTGTAAATTCAAAACCACCAGCCCGCGGCTACCGAGATCTATGGCGAAATTGTGATAGGCTCGTATTGCAAAGAACCATATATTCCGACAATCAAAACTAGTCTAGGATTGTTTTCATAGCTGCAAGAAGCTCTACCCTCCTATATCTCCGACCGTTTCAATTCAGCCGTTTGCAGAAGAGTCTCGACCATATCCATGACCCGGTGATCAAGACCGAATCTGATGACGTTTCTATGTCTTTGATTTCAAGGTCTTACCGGGTTAGCGCAAGTTTAGTATTACCGAGCCAGAATACTTATTCAAAAGACATAATACGAAAACTTACACAGAGGGGATGAAAATTAATGGAATAGTAGCTAGGTACATTATACAGAACAGGTATAAGAATCAGTAATGTATAAAGATATGTCAGCGAATTTATTCGTCGTTGTTAGGAAAGATGTAAATAAATTATGCAGTTCAGGGTAGTCAGGACCGTAGTCAGGGTGAACCTGACAAAATTTTATGACCCTCAGGGTCGGTCCGGGTCGCGAGTCGTTAGGAGGGATCCAATATCGGGTTCGTGGCGAGGTCACAGTGACTTGAGTATCCCAGAACACTATTATGCATTCATCTCCCACCGATTTCACTAAATACCACGGATAGGAATTTTGGCCGCATGCCTTTGAACAAAACATTTTGGGCCTTGACACAAAAGAAAACAACTCGATCAAAACAGCAGTAGTTGGGCTCATACATTTGTAGTACTCGAAGCAGGCAAGATTGCAACATTGTAAGAGACAGACATCACGAACGAAGCAATTCCACCATTCACCAGAACCACAACCTGAGTTATACCGGTTTTGATAGGTTTAAATGTCCAGACAATGTTACTGGCTTGTACACCAGCAGTCTGCAGAACCAGGAAGTTTGTGTCGAACTGAACATCGTCACTGCCAAATTGAGGCACATTCGCGGATTGTTGAATCGTGAACGGATTGTCAATGAATTCAGTCAACTGTTGATCTTCCGCCATAAGCATCTTTAACTCATTTGTCTGCACGTCTGTGCCATTTGGGGATGCTGACTGGGTATTGTTGGCGACTGTCGACATCTTACCAAGCCAATTGATCGCAATAACCTTCTCCTGAGGTAGTTTTGAGTGACGATGACGACGTCTCCAGAGGGAAGTACAGGATTAGGGAGCGAAATTTGAAACTTCTGCTCATATATATATGTTAACTAAGAACCCGTTAACGGGCCAACCCAACCTTACAAGCTAAATTTCAGTCCACCCGCTAAAGTTTGCCGACTGGACGTGATGCCACTAGTAGCATCCTGCACTTAAGCTTAAGCACCCAGGATTAACTCGTGCTTCTAAGGGTCATATATTACACTGAGTTTTTCTGCTAGGATCAACTGTAAGAAGCCCATTATAAATAAAGAATAGGAGGGGTCAATAAAATTATATAGATAGAAACAGTTCCACTGTTATGTTAATATATTATAGAAGTCTACTAAAAGCTAAGTTCGCTCGACGAAGTTTAAATGATATTTATACGTGAGATTATGTTTCGGCGAGTTTTGATAAGTCGCGTAAAGCTTATATTATATACTAGATCTAGTAAGACCTAGAAATTAACGACACAGCAACGTTATCAGATTTAGCCTTGATCACGGGGCTATTATTATTATCGTTAAGACTCTTCTGCAAATAGCTAAATTAAACACGCGCGGAGATATAGGAGGTTAGATCTTTTTGCAGACACGGTAGGCCCGTTAAAATCATGATTATACGTGGCATAACCTTAGTTTATCTATGGTTCCGCTGCTTCCGGCCCGCTGGCTGAATATCCACCCGCGACGGTACCGTGGTATTATGTAGCCACCTTATAATTACAAAGGTCGTCGTTCGAACCAAGGGGTGGAAGTGGCAAACTGATACCCTTTACATCAACGTCCGTAGAAGAGGATTTAGGTGTGGATTTAGGTGCTCAGACCAATGTTGGGCGGGCATCGTTTGGTCGATCACTCGCACTCCCTATAAGATGTTCTAGGCCAGTCCAGGTCGTCCGGACCGTTTTCCAACACCGACCAAGGCGGCCGATACAGAAAAATGGAATTCCTACCTATCCTACTGCATCCGTAAATTGTGGATGCTGCCGCAGTCTAACTGAGATTTGCATGTTCAGCCCTTGACGAGCCTCGATCCTCGTAGAATCACCGAAAGGGCCTCGAGTTACGCGTCATTCTCACATAATGTTGCGCATGAGAACTGTCTGTTATATGCATTTGCGAGATCTCACTTCCACGGTTCGATGGTTGTAGATGGACTAGTTTGAAGCTCTAGACCGGATGCTTCAGCTGGGCGATCCAGCCCAAACAATGATACCGTCAAAGAAAAACAATGCTCAGCTCATTAACTTCCATGTGAGAGTCTCGGTTTGAGAAAGTTGCACTGCTCCAGAACGGCCCATTTCTGAACCCTCGATTCTAACCTGTGGTTGAGCCATTGCATCCTCGAATGCACTATTTGGGGAATAGGAGGCAGGATAGATCTATCTAGATCATCTCTTGAGGTCATCCTTCACATGCCGCAAACAGTTGCCTCGTGTATCTATAAGATATGACATGGTGCTTCTAGTGCTATAATGTGGCTGTAAATATGTGGACTCGAAGGTAGAGGTTTTAGTGCAAAACAACACCAGAATCAGCACAGCATCTTTTTTAGCTGAAGTCTCATCAATGGCCCCTGGAACGCGGTTATCGCTTTTGCCTGCTGGCCGCGACACCTCAGCGCCTTCCAAGTTAAAGGGGAAGGCTGCCCCTGGGCCCTACTCTTCCAGCTCACCTTCAACACCAAATTTTACTCCCAGCCCCCCTTCGCCCACCTGGTGCTGCTATTCACAAAATGATGTCTTGCTAAGTTTGAGCACATCGACAATTGTCCTTGATTCAACCTTCAATTTCACCGAGTCGACTTGTCTCATCTACGCGGAATCTATTATTCTTGACATAAGCACTCCCGCTCAGCAGCCGCCCAACACATTCCAGCTATCTCTGCCTGGCAAGAATTTGGGTCTCTTTTGCCATTCATTCTCCACTGCAGGTGACAAAAGCACCATTCTTGATGTCTCTGGTTCAAAAGGACAGGCGGTAGCGCCAGTCGCGCAGGGAAACGGGACTACTGGAAATGACGGTGGGAGGGGAGGCAGCGTTTGGTTTTATGTCGAGAACTTCACCGATGACATCCAGGGAAATTTTAAAATAGCTGCCTGCGGCGGCGACGGCAGTCCCGGCGGAACTACCACAGCAAAAGACTGCATTGGAGGTACTGGGGGATCCGGTGGCCCAGGAGGTAGGCTTCCATTTGCTCCCAGTTCAAATCGTTCTACCAAACAAGGAGCATTGTTGAGTGTCGTGCTTAATTCTATTGGAGAATAGGTGCTATAAGTATATATTATGGAAGCGTTGCTCAGAACGTTCTCACATCACTGCAGCAGTTGGTTGGCAAGCCATGGCCAACCCAAGTCACCAGCGGACAAAACTCGTTACTTCCATCTTGCGAGACTTTGTCCCCAGATTTCGACCCTTCAGTCCTTGAGGATGTGTCAAACATACTATCGAACTATGCGCCTTTGAACACCTCATTGGCGTCGCTACCAGACAGTCTGAATTCTCTTCTGCATAACGATATCGCCCAGCCTCAGCAGCAAACCGTACAGGTTGCGACAGCTTGCAGCAAAGCGCTGATTCCATGGCTAGCCTCACCATTAGCTCCACCACAGGATAGCATCCAGCAGACATTGAACAATGTGAACAGCCTCATATCAACAATCGCAGTCTGGGCCCAAAATTACGGTGGTAACGTACAGGAACAACAAATACAGCAGCTGTGCCCATTGTTGACTTCCGCTTTTACGATTCCCCCAAGCTCGGGGCTTGAATCCTGCTGGGAGATGGTGGGCATGCAGCTTGAAAATATTATAGGGAACCAGCAAAATGGAGCTAAATTGATGGCGAACGTTTCTGGCGGTACGTTTCCTCTGATTCGGGGCCTTAATCCCTTTTGTCTCTCAATGTATCTCTTTTATTGCTAGCTAACGGTCGTGTGAAACAGGAATTCCTGGGATTGGCGGTTATGGAGGATCTACAGAATCCCCTGATGGCAAACCCGGTAATATCGGAACATTGGCATACCGCAATCTTCTTTTTGATGGGAGCACATCGGACCTGAACGTGGACCAAGTCTGCGCATTTCCTGAGGAATGCCAAATGATTTTGAACCAAGCAGATCGGTACTTCTTTGCAAACGATCCGAGCTCAATTCAGCAAGCCACGATACTTTATTCAAGGCTGGTTCAGCGGTTAAACTTCATCCCTACCTTGTTGACGCCCGCTGCTGGGGATACCACCCCGCCGCCCGCTCCACCGCCATTACAAAAAGCGTATGACTATGTACAGGACGTCCTAGGTTTGACCATCACAGCATTGCCGCAGCTTCAAACGATACTATCACAAGCGACACATAAGCTCGGTAACATATCCCTCGGTTATGATATGTTTGGCCATGCTGCGAACTGGGCTCCAAGGGTATCATATGGCTTCTATGAATCTGAGATCTCTTCCGGCTTGCGCCTCCTACAACAGGTCGAGCAGGCGAACAACGCGTACGCAAATGCGCTTCAACAGCAAGAATCTGCAGCACAAGCATTGTCCGCAAGCCTTCAAAACAATCTCATGAGTCAGCAGGATTCCCAGGAGCAAATCAACCTGATAGTTGGAAATGGTGGTATTTTGGAAATGTCGGCAGCCAAGATAACCAAAGCAACCCCTACCCTTCAGCAGAAAATGGATGCTATCAAGAAAGCTATGACAGCAGTGGAAACCGATATTCAGAACTACCTGAACCTGAACCCGATGACTCTGCTCACTGCATTCGCGTCCTTTGCTATGGCTCCTAGTAGCCTAACCGGCTTAGCACAAATGGGAACCGTTGACTACCAGGCATTCACTACCGTACCTAATCTTCAGGGGGTGAATGTCAATAAGTCATACATACTCAGCCAGTTGACCACATGTGGCAACTCGTTGGCATCGCTCAGTGAGGCGTTCACAACAGCCTCAGATGGAACAATTGACGTGGACGATCCTGGTTCTCTGAAGATTATCAAGGACATCGACGATATTGATACTCTCGTGGCGTCATACAAAGAAGCAATTCCGGAAGCTGACAGCAAGGCTTTGTCTGGCCAGCTGGATGACTATCTGGATATCATTGAGCAACGAAACCAAGCCGTAATGGATTACAATGCCGCCCTCCAGCTCTTGAATCAAGTTATCACGAAGTCAAACTACTATGGCCAACAGGGCCAGGTCATGGGAAATGAGGCTCTCGAAGTCAACCCAAATCTGCCGGCAATCTACTTCTGGCTCCAAAATATCCAGCAGGATACCGCGTATGACGTGATGCAACGATTGAACTACGCGGCCCGCGCGATTTGTTTCTGGGGTCTCGAACCCCAGCCAGCCTTTACAGCTCCAGGACCACTGCAGGGCTCCGTCGACCTAGCGAATAACCAACAAGAACTAGTAAATCGGTTCGATGATGCAGTTACTGGCTTTGCGCCGACGGCGTGGAGCATTTGGCCACCAGAGGGCTCCAGAAACATCCAAGGACACATATATACCCTCAGCCAGCCCGAGCTCTACACTCTTCTGAGGCCCACAACGGACCCTGACAATGGTAAAGCTATATACGGTGTTGACATTGGCTTCTCAGCATCGGACCCTCCCTCTATTTTCTCTGGTATGGCCAATATCCGTCTAAGCCAGGTGCGTGTCTGGCTCCCAAATGCCAAAGTTAGCCCCGACGCCTCAAACCGGCAGCTCTTGATGGTTGAAATCACGCATCTGGGAACCGAGACCATCTTGTCCCCATCATCTGGCACCCCAACCACCTTCAGCCACGACCCAGTCACGCTGCAGTTCCAGTACAACGCAACGAACATCACAAGCATTCAGCAATGCACTTCCTCAGTTGTTATGAACTCAGAGTCCATCGAGCAGGATTACACAGGGGAGGGTACGCCAGGGGTAGACACACTGGCATCGCTCGGACCTTTTGCCACATGGTCGATTCAAATCAAAGCGTCTGAAAATGCGGGCCTTGATTTGAGTGCGGTTAACAGTGCGTATGTTGAGTTCTGGGGGAGGAATATGGCGCTTATGGGGGGTGATGAGGAAATGGACCGGGTCGATGGGTCGGTGTCTAAAGGTAAGCGTTAAGGTGGGTTGAAAAGAGGACAATGTGGGTTGAAAAGAGGACAATGTGGGTTGAAAAGAGGACAATTTGTTTTGCCGGTGCCAAAAAGTGGTTTGTATTTTTCGGGTTGGTCAGTATGTGTACGGATTAATCATTAAAAGTGATATTATCGTCTTTGTATATGACTCGCTGCTCTGACGGTACGAAAAACTGACCTGGTCTCGAAGCTCAAGATGTAGATGAGATTTTCCTGATAGGAAATGAAGCCAGCAGTCTCAGCCCTGACCCCAGCACCATAACATCTTCACTGGATTGCCCTAAGCCTAGACTTGAGCGGAGTTAACAGTAATAGCGTTGTGTCAAGAGAAGCCAGGTATGTAGCCTATCGTGTTTACCACAAAACTTATTCCAAGGGCGCCACGCCCCTTGTTTATCTGTATGCTGAATGCTTAAGATGAGAAAGGGAGAAGTCTCAGTCTGTCTGGAAGTAGCAGTAGAAGCACAGATCTGAGCTGTAAAGCTGCATAATTATTCCTTCACGGACGAGAATAAAAGACGCTGTAGAAGAGACTGTCGTGATGTCAGGCTGTTGCTGCTCAGGAATGAAGCCGCAACGTCGGAAATAATTCTTGCTCTATGTATACGAAGAACAAAGTTTGATTTTGTAAATCAACTTGGACTTCATGCTGTATATATAGCCTCTTATTTTCCCTCTCAAATGAGAACAATTAAGACTTCCGTTGCTCTTCATCAGAGGCAGCCAAAGAAGAAAAGGAGAAAGATCGCCGACTCTAGTATCAGGGACGAAAAAGAGAGAAAGATTAGAAAATGACATAAATTTCTCTTATCTAGAGTCGTGAGGGTTTGACATTAAGCGCCGATTGTTTTGCGAGACCGATGTTTTAGATTACTGTCCTAGCTTAGTGAAAGTCATGCACTCCACCGATAAAGAGCTACACCTTGCCCACTTTTCCGTCAAAGAATACCTTTTAAGGCAGAATCATTTTAAAATTACGACTTCTAGCATTTCCATCACGAAAACATGCTTAATATATCTTACAGACACTAAAGGTGGCTATAGATAGATCAATCTTGATTTTCCTATAATAAGGTAGGTGGCGTTTGTAAGTGCCCGGTCCCCTCTAGGTAGAAGACGGGTCGAGGAATATTAAAACTAGTACCGATCAAAAACACGTAATTTTTACGCGTTAATTAACTTAAAGAGGATCTTAAGCTATTTTAAACTATTATAGAGGTTCTAGAACTATATAATACTATTAGAATACACGCGTCGCTCCTTAATCCTCCCTACCGTAGCTTATTACTATATAGCGGGCTTAAAACGCTAACGCTAAATCACTAGCTCTCTAATATAGCCCTAGCGCCTCTGATTATTCTAGGCTAGTAGTTAGCTAAATCTACACGTATATAGGGCTTTTGAGGCGTAAAATATTAAGCGGAAGTTATCCTAGGTACTAGGGCGAGTAGCTCTAGACACGGGCATTATAGATATAGGGTGATGCTGCTCGCACACCGTGGGGCCTGATTTCTGCCTGATTTCTGCCAAGGCCGTCAAGTAAGAGTGGTATTAGTCTTTACTGAAAGACCGACTTCGTCGCCTAGATGCTTTGCATCGAATTGGTATAACCCATGCCGATATCTAGGATTTTCACTTTCGTCTTCCCGGTGACATTTACGATATAGTACTCTACGACTTTTCTGAATCATATACATTCTCTGAGAGGAGGCCTTTTCGGGTGAATTTTGGAAAACCTCGGCCATTAAGACGGATTTCAGAGGGTGAACGTGAACGTGAACGTGTCCTTCTATATATCTACAATCGGTGAGAGAGTAGACTTTATCCTTTATTCCACGCCTAACATCCGTTTTAGAGCCGTCTCACGAGATCTTCGCTCCTATTTTCTAGAGTTGAACCCTGAAGCTCTTGTCGATAGTGCACTCTTACAGTCTCTCGATGAAGAGGAGGAATTATTAGAGTTAATCTTGCTGAAGGTCTCCAGTCGCCTAGATAGTCAGTTCTCGTTGACACTTTCTAACCTTTGAGATGCTGATCTCTGACTTTACTAGGCTTTTCGATGCCGAGCTTGAATTCCATTTCCCCTTACCTTGAAGCCGTGTGCCTTAATTCTGATGTCTGCTAGCACATTCGTCGAGGGAGGCTTTTATGTTAATATTCGTCAATTTGGGCAGTCATTCGCGACGGTGAAGCCCTACAGTAATCAATCACTTTTGATTGTGAGCCGCAATTTATAACGGTCGAGGCGATGAAAGGCTCTCGCTCTATGCTCTGCTTAGTGCCAAAGTCGTGGCTTTTGCCCTTGAAGATGAAATCTGATTTCGCCGGACTTTCTAAGCTACGCAAATTTTGCTCACGCCTTGCTTTAACCAAAGGCTTTGGGGAGATTCTAAACCGAGACGAATTTATAGGAAAAAGTGCAAAATAGAGAGACCGGGAATGAGGGATAATGAATGGATAACCCCATTTGTCTAATTTATCACGTGAAATATACGACAGAGGTAGTCAGATTATTACTCATGAGATCTAGTTTGACACAAACACCAGTTTCAACGGTAAAAGCCTGTTTGTGTAAAATTAAATCACGAACTCAGACCCACTAAAATCAACAACAGAATCGGGATATCACAAGGTTAATTCTGACAATGCCCGATAATTCTGCATAACTCCGTGATTGTCATTTGACTGGCAAGTAATGATTTCTATTCATACCCAAATTCGGCAACGAGTGGGGGGATGTTCGGAGATTTCGGACTTGTTCTCCACTTGTGGCTACGGCGTAATCAGATGAACAAAGAACTTCTACACATCGCGAGAGCTCAGCTTCGAGTGTTTAAAAAGCATCCCAATGTACGCAGGCAGCGACGTGCTCTTCTTGTGAGCGAACTCCTAGGTTCCATCGACGAGCCGACCGAGCGGGACTTTCACGATGGGTTGGCCTTTTCACTTTCTGGATCTCACCCCCGATGAGAAGAGCCATCGTCGGGAGCTCCTCGCCCAATATGCCTTCTTGTCGCAAATATCGGTATTGATCCCGATCATTGGCTATGGAATCTATCGGCTGTGTGCATGGCTCTTTGCAAGGAAAGGGGCATTCAATGTCGCGTACTCGGCACTGAGGCAGTTGCCAGGCAGCACCGAATCATCCCGAGAGTCCAAGGGGGTGTCATCCGGGGTGCTTGCCAGTCGATGGAGGTCATTGCAGTGGTGGTTGAATGGAGAAGTAGCTCCAAACTGGGGATTGAGAGGTCGCTGGATCGCTGCGATCGTCTGGACTCTTTGGCTGCTGGTTCTCTGTTTTCTTCAGACTGGCCACGGTAAGCAATTCTCTCCTGACTGTGTTGCGATGGACCTCCATCCTGTAACACTCACCCAAACCTCTTTTCTGAGAATCCATGGGAAGATTTCTTAAGAATGAAGTGCCCAGCGATTCGATGTGCAAACAGTAAATCGATTTCCAGATACTGACTCACGACAGACTACCTACATGTCACGAAACGCTTTGGCAGTGTTGCCGCAGCCCAGATGCCTCTTCTATTTCTCCTTTCCATGCGCACTCGCTTTTCTCCGCTTGCTATAATCTTTGGCGCCTCGCACGAGCAGATTGTTCATTGGCATCAACTTTGTGGCCGAATCATTATGATCCTCCTGGTCCTCCACGGAATCTGGTATATCAACTACTTTGTTCAAAATGGGATTCTCGCGGATCGTCTACAGCATCGGCACTCCATCACGGGACTAATATCACTATTTTTGATGGCAATAACCGCAGGCACAAGCCTCGAAAGGGTTCGCCGATGGAGTTACCGCGTGTTTATCTACTGCCATATCACTATTGGGTTGGCGATTTGGCCGATACTTCTTCTCCATGCGAAGCCACTCCGGCTTTACGCAGCAGAAGCACTGGCACTGTTCATTATTGATCGAGTGCTCCGATACCTGGACACAGTCATTGAACCGGCTACCCTTGAGCAAGTTCCTCAGACAGAGCTGCTGAGGCTCTGGTTCCCCTTGACCTCGGCCAAGCTGGCGCGATTTCAGGCAAAACCAGGTCAGCACGTCTACTTGTCCATTCCCTCCAAACTCACCTGCGCTGGTAGCAAAGGCCTGCTTTCCAATCCCTTCACGGTGTCGGAGGTCACTGCCAGCGAAATAGCGCTTGTTCTTCGAGCACGAAGTGGTCCTACTACGCAAACACTACGGACTCACGCCGGTCGCTTCAAGACCAACCCTTTGATCTGTATAGAGGGCCCTTACGGGGGGTATTTACCGGTCGCAGAGCTTGCTTCTGGTGCCGACCGTATCCTCCTCGTGGCAGGAGGTATCGGAGCGACATTTATCCTACCAATCTATTGGGCTTTGCAGGAGCAACTGGAGCTGGAGGCTGGGGGTTCGGACCGACTCAATCTCGTCTGGGCTCTTAGGTCAGCCGCAGAGGCTGACTGGGCTACGGATTCCGAGAAACAGACATTCAACCAGAACTCAAATGTTCATATTCACTTGACCCGAAATCGCTTCACGGGGAATACCCCGGACATCGCAGCTCAGGATGAAGGCACGGAGATGGACGAATTACGAGAATCTGACGACACTATCGGTGGAGTTAAACCGCTGGCTGGGCGACCTGACCTGAAGTATATTGTCGATGATACATTCAGCTATCATGCTGATGAGCGCGTCGCGGTGATCTTCTGCGGCCCCCGAGGTATGGGACGCGAGTTAAGGGGTCATGTCGGCAAATGGGTTACCAAGGGCCGAGAGGTAACCTGGCATGAAGAGAGTTTTGGATGGTAGGGTAGATACTTAAGATGACAATTTACGATTCGCCCATGACTCAACGGAATTCAATTCACAGTTCTCATGTTTTAAAGGCTATCTCACGTTTTTACACTTGGAGCCATCTCTCATATCGCGCAACCGCCAAAGCAGTCATCAAGACCAATCCCCGAATATTATCCGTATCGATCTCCGTATTCTTCTCAAGATCCTCACAGCAAACGATACCATTTCGGTTCATCACTGCCAGAACGGGACCCCCATCCGGACAGGGATCGGCGCAGTTGGAAGACCTTTTCACTCGACAAATCCGGGTATCGAGATCCATAGCGAAGGGCAGATCGTCGGGGACGCCGTTCGTCAGTTCCGGTCTCGAGCTATGGTAGAACATCCACACAAGACTCTTCCCATCAGCTTTACTATAGGAGTTATCTGGATCGTATTCACGCGTAAAATGATGGTAGTCGATGTCGATTTCGTTGAATTTCCAGCGCTCGCCGTTGGCCAGGATCACTCTTCCACGGTATGAGAAGCATACAGAGCAGCAAAAGTAGCCCGGGCGATCGATATCAATAGCGGCGACGACATTTCCCTCTACAAGAGGGATAGTTTCCGTGTCACTAGACTTGAGCGTCTCAAAATCCTCGTCGGAACTGGTGACAATGAGATCGTTGTTGTTTAGCTTCACCGGGTTCGGTCCTAGCTGCGTAAGGGTGGCACCGATATATGATGGTGGACACCAGATATTGAAGACTGAACAGGTGGAACTTTGATTCCAAGAAGGACCTTGTCGTAGTTGAAAAGAAATTCTAGGTTTGAACCAGAATAGGCATGAGCCCTCCATGTCTGTGGCCCGACTTTCGGGACGAGTCATTCGAAGAATTTCTCCACATTTGGGTCTTTCCGGGGCTGGCGGTTCGGGGAACTCGATCGGCTCTTTGAAGTCTGATATATCCGATGTCTCTGATAGGGCATCGTCGTTGGTACTATAGGCGATGGGGTTTAGCTTAAGATAATGTCACTTTTGGCAAGGCAACTTACATCCAAACGGGCTCCTCGTCAAAGTTGGCATTCATCGCGGATAAGACTGCCGAAGATAGAAATAGGTGTGTCTCGAGAGCTTAACAGGTCAACCTGGCATGATATATCAGACTGTACCTAGGTAGCTGTAAATCGAAATCTTTTACTTCTTGTATAGAGAGTCAGGTCTGATCTGACAGGGCGGGGAAGGTACTTTAAGAGCCGCATACGGTGGGGCCAGATCATCAACAACATCCTCTCATCCAGGCAACGCTTTTATGATAGTTTGAGTTTATTTCGCACTGTTTCTACTAGAGAAAAGGGATACGTGGAACTCTGTTATATGTGATCCAAGCCCTTGGGATAAATAATGACTGCCTAGAAAAGGCAGCTAAATAACTTGTGACGGATTGAGCTGATCCACTTCTCTTGCGGCTTAAAGCATTACTGCCATTAGAAGGTTAAATACTTGTATCTTTATTTCCAACATTACAGTAATCAGCTAAAGTTGTCTTTGGGATCATTTAGAGCAAACTATAGATTCCGAGACACGTGTTTCCTACTCCTCAACGCGAATGTATCCACCTCTCGTACCAGACAGGGGCAAGATGCCATGATAGACCAGTGGCTTCAGAATCGTATGATGATTCCTATTCATCGCTTCCAACCGTAGCCCAGTTTATCCCGGGGTTTGGTATAGGATCCGAGGTGGGTTCCTAAGATGGTAGGTGTATACATTAACACCACGCACCGTAAACAATGCTGCTCGGTATACTCCATCGGGTCACTGTGTATCAGGGATGACACATCTGAATCACTCCAAGTTCGATTCCATCATCAACAAGAACAAGGATATGTACAACGATCTCGCATAGAACCAAACTCCATGCACAACTTTTAAATTTATACGTTGATCCCAAAAATCTCAAACGCTGAATATACTATTCGGGAATCATCAATACCAAAACTATCCAGCCAAATACCCAAAGCCCCCACAAAAATCGCTTGAATAATCATTGGGCATGACCCGTCCAGCCACCCTCAAATGAGGAGGTCATAGTAGTAGACATCGGCTGCGCATAGGAAAACGCCTCAAATACCTCTGGCGTAATCTCGTATGCACCTGGGTCATCGACCGTCATCAATGCATTGGGCATGCCGCCGAGTAAATGGGTTGGTGGCATCTGTGGCATATCGCCCATATGAGACAGGTCGAATCCGGCGACCGGTTGTTGGAATGTGTTGTATTCGGGGATCATGGAGGCGCTTGCACTCGGTCCGGATGTGCCGGGTTGTGTACCTATTGTTGCGCGGCTTTGCTGGCGCTGGTGTTGATGCGGGTTTCCTGGGGAGACGTGGCGAGAGGGAATGCTGCTGACGGGAGGAGATTGGCTTTGTTGAGTGGGGTGAGGTGGTTGAGGGTGAGGTTGGGATGGTGGCTGTTGTTGGTTGGTGTTTGGAGGTTGGGCCGGCATCGGGAGGTGGATGTCGATTTGAAGCTTTTGAACTTCTTGGTAGACGAGGCTGAGGGCGGTGGTGATGACGGGATTGGATCCCTTGATGCGCTCGAGTGCGAATATACAGAACTTGAGCTTGTCCAAAGTTCCTGGGGCAGCATACTTGAGGGCCTGGATCTCCAGAAGGAAGATGGATGCTGCCGTGTAGATGCTGTAGGCCAGAGATAGGACGACGTGATTGTCGCCGAAAGTGCGGCGATATAGGTCGAAGAGAGATAGGATTGAGGTTGCTGAGGCCATACATTGAACAAGATGACTCTTGTCGTATGGCTCTTGTCGGGTCTTCAACAAGCCACGAGAGCAGAGAATAGGACGATGAAGAAGGATATTGACCGTGTGATACAAGCAGCTGAGACAGGATGTTAGCAAGCAACAGCTGGATTTATGCCGACGAAACGTACTTTAGAGTCATGATGTGGCTCGGAGGGGAATACGAGGGTAGATCCGTTGCCACAAGCTTCAAGTAATCGGGGAGTTCATCCCACCAGTCACTCAAGTTCTTGGCTTGTTCCTGGACGCAGTCAAAGAACTCCGCTTCGGTACTTTGCCGCATGGGATCGTATATGTGGATCAAGATTTGATTCAAGATCTCGGCAAGGCCGCACATCTGAATGAAGCACGAGGTCGAATGAGCCTGTGTAGGGGGATAGTGAGCTCCATCCGGGAATGTGACACCGTGAGGAGTCCAGATTTCGATCTCAGAAGTGTCATCCACTACATCATCTGGTTAGCAAGAATGTGAATGAGCACGTCTTGTTCGAGAGAACTTACGTATCATGCGGGGTGGGCTGACGCGAGAATGTTGCATCGTCGGCGCCCGTCCGAAGTACAAAGACACGATCTTATCCCAGAAATAGCAGCTCCAGAAAAGACGGTTCCGAATCTCAATATCCTCGTCACTCAACTGGGCGGCACCGAGATATTTGCGACTATCGATCGAGATTCCCAGATCATCCAGAACCCGGAATGCCATGCCACTATACAGCCAGGCTTGCGTCCGGTTACCCTTTCCACATTCTTGCGCACTGAGGAGCAGTAGCGTCTGGATGGTCGGTACACTGGCATAGCCGGTCTTGAGCGACTCGAAGAGCCCTGACACTGCACGTTGGTAGAACTGAGCGCCGCCTTCGAATGAGTCCAGAAGCGGGCCGATCTGGGGCTCTGCCTTGCACCAACGGACGGAATGGGAGAGGACGGCGTTCATCAAGACATCTGAGTAGTATGGACCCTGGATTTTCATATCACCTGTATATGGAAAATTAGTCTTGGGGTCGGACCGCCGAGGGGCTAGGAAAGAACGTACGGGTGAAGGCCGGGCGATAGACAAAGTTGAACAATGGCTGAATCCAACACCAGTGGGAATCAAGCAAGTATTGGAATGGCTCCTGATAAATGAATAGGTCGTCGTCAGCTGAGGATGCTAAAACCTTGTCCCACGCGAATAACTTACCGGCATTGCCGCCATCTGCTCGAATGCCCGTTCCCGCCATGCGCTGTTGATCAGTCGCTCCTTACGCGCCTCCAGCTCCTGAACCACATGAGTCGTCGATGCCGTCTCACTCACCACTCCGCTGGGGAGCTGGAATAAACTGGTCGGTCCATGAAAGGAGATGCGACCGTCAGTTTCCACATTCAAGCCATCGAATTCGCGAGCCAAATCCTGCGTGTCATCGTTTTCGAGTTTAATTTTACGGCCGGCGCTCGAGCTAGATTCCGCCACCGATGCCGGAGAGCTCCCCTTGCGTGCCTCCGCATCGGCCTGTTGGCCACGGAGCTTGGTAAGAGCATCTTCGAGCTGGGCGACTCTGGTCTCAAGCTGTTTCGTATAGGATAAAGTTGGAGCTCTAGAAAAAGGAAGCGCGCGGAAGACGAATCAATTAGCCGACAGCCACTAGGCGGTTCACGACCGCGGAAATGGACCAGGGTCGATGACGATGGAGGAACGACTACTCACAAGCTGTAGACGCAAGTCTCGCCTCGAGCGGCGCATCGCGAACACGACGGACTAGCTCCGTTACATTTAACCTGTCATATTCAACCGTTAGTCCTTCAGTGCTCAGCTGTCCGTGATCCGCATCTAGCGATCTCGGAATTTGCCCGAATATCAGCCCACCTTGCGCTTGCGACAAGCTTCACAGGAGAAGGCGCTCTTCCGCGGAAGCGCGCTCTTAAGAGGCACGTCGGACATGCCGGAGCCCTCGACCACCATCGATTATGAACTCGTTCACGGAGGGGGCTTGATACTGGCAACCCCCATTGGCGATGATCGAGGATGAGAAAAAAAGGAACGAGAGGAAAGGCGTATGAGGGGAAATGGGTGAGGGGAATCACCGGCGAAATTTTGGGCTCTCCGAAAGGGCCGTGGGGCGAGGTGCTAATCGCGGGGAGTGCGGTTTAACCTTTCTTTTTTGTTGCGGTGGACCAGAGGACCATATTCTTCGAGACTCGAGAGCGATTTCGCAGGCCAAGTTCCCACTTCTTTTGGAGTCAGAGGGGTGAGATCGCCTTGACGTCGGGGTCGGGAGTCCCTTGGTTGAGTTGCGCCAAACGGGCAGACGGTCCAACTGCCCCAAAGCGTGCTCTCTTGCCCTGTTGCCCCTCCGCTGTACCTTGGAGAATTCCGGACAATCTTCACCATGGGCCAATCGTATAGTCTGTGCAGCGTTGGGGGCATGCGTCTGCGGCGGAATGGCCCAATTGACCGCAGGCATGGAGAATGTCGTGGGACTCGTGGCTGGGTTTGGTCTCGCCTTGGCGTCGTCGGGCGCGCGAATTGCGGATCCGCACGGTGGTTGAGGAGCCAGAGAAGGTCAGCCTGGTGGAGCTTAAAACAGAAACATCCCCAAGGAGTTTAGTCGGTGCTGTACATAGATGGATCATGGAACTTTGGAAGGCCGTACTACCGTACGGAGTACAGTAGTACAGTAGTCGCAGTACAGTGATGCGATCGGCAAGATGCCAATTGCGGTAAATACTCGACGTATCGAAGCGTCTGGAAGTCGCCCAGGATGTACTGGAGTGTAGATCTTTGCTGGTGGATCAATAACATGCTATACCTGTTAAAGCTACCAGCTTTGAAGTCCGGAGTACTAATACCTAGTAACTAAATCTATGTAGATAAGCAACTACAATATAGAAAATGATGATATTTGATTATAATCCAAAGAATATTCATAAATGCGCCTTTTTTCCCCCATCCTCTTCCCCTCTTCTCTCTCCATCTATACAAGGTTTGCAAGGATGCATGCCAAATCACACTAGGCTACCCACTGGGTCCATCTCCTCATGGTCCAGGCGCTTATTTCTTCCCCTTCTTCTTCTTGTCGCCTTTCGTCTTCGGAGCATCTCGCTCCGACCTGCCCTTTTTCCACCCGATATTCCCCTCATGTCTCATCTTCGCATCGTCCAGCCGCTTCTTATCCTTGTTGCTCAACTTGATCTTATCCTTCTTCGAGTTCGAGTCCGGCCCGTTCAATTCAGTCCGGCCCAACTTGCGAGCAGCCCGTTTCTGCGTCTCCGTCTCGAACCACGTCCGCTTGGGGCGGCTCATAATTTCATTGCCATACTTCATCAGGTTCTCGCCCTTGTTGACCTGCATCTCGGCCTGCGCCAATTGCTTCTCGGTCTTCTCTTCTTGTAGAACTTCTTGCACCTCGTCGGCGAGATCCTCGGCCTTTTGCGCCCACTCGTCGGCAATGGCCATCTCGACCACACGGCTGACTATCTTGGCACCCTGAGCCTTACCGGCCTTCACGGCGGATTTGACAACCTTGCGGTCGGGCTCGGCAGCGATCGTGCAGGCACAACCGGATCGACCAGCACGGGCAGTACGACCGACACGATGCAGGTAAATCTCGTGGCTCTGGGGCGCTTCGTAGTTGATAACGGTCTCCACACCCTTGATATCAAGACCACGGGAGGCGACATCTGTAGCGAGTAGGAAGGCGACCTTGCCGTCACGGAAGTTCTCAACGGATTTGATACGCTAGAGATATAGATTAGTATGAGAAACGTAGCGAGGACCCGAGAGGTAATTGCGGCTTATCGGTAGGGTCGGCATTTTTTGTGGCTTACCTGTTCCTGGCTCAGACTACCGTGCAGCTCTGCAGCCTTCAAGCCCAACAGTCCGAAAATAACGCGAACGCGATGCGCCTCCTTCTTCTGTCGGAAGAAAATGATAACTCGCCCGGTGTAGATCTCCTTGCAAAGATACAACAGGTATCCCAAACGCTTGTCCTCGCGACCGGGTCGTAGACGAACAAACTCTTGGGTCAGTGTGACGGCAGTCTTCTTCTTTGCGTCCACCATGAGACGGACGGGGCGGTTGAGACCAACGCGAATCAGCTTGTCGACGGTATCGGTCATTGTAGCAGAGAACAGCATGGTCTGGCGGGACTTGGGAATCGTAGTCAAAATCTCGTTCAATTCGTCGGCGAAACCATCCTCCAGCATACGATCGGCTTCATCGAGAACCAAAATCTCCAGGGTATCCACGGTGAAGCTGGGCGAGTTGCGCATGTGATCGATAAAACGACCGGGTGTAGCGATAATCACGTCAGGGCGCTTCTTAAGCACATTCTCTTGCTCGCGCAGACTGAAACCACCAATCAGCTGACAGAAGGTAACGTCAGTGAAGGTGGCCAGCTTAACGGCGACATTGTAACACTGAACCGCCAATTCACGGGTGGGCATTAGGATAGCGACACGGCTTGTAGGAGTCTTGCGAGGACGGAAGAGAAGACGTTCGAGAATAGGCACGATGAAAGCACCAGTCTTTCCGGAACCAGTAACGGCACTACCGACGACATCTTTGCCGAGAAGAGCGACGGGGATAGTTTTGCGCTGAATGGGAGTGGGATCGGTGAATCCAACAGAGGCCAATCCACGCAGAATTGGACGAGAAAGGTTGAAGTCCTGGAATGTGCTGTTCGCCATGGCGGCCTTGTCGTCGACCTTCTCTTCGGGAGCGAAGAAGGCTTTGCGCTTCTCGGCCTCCTCTGCATCTACCTCGCTCTCAACGTCGGATTCTTGGTCAGAGCCAATATCGTCGGGGTGGCCAACGGGAGTAGCAACGGAGTCGTTGTCGGATGCAGCATCGTCATCGTCGTCTTGCTCGTCCTCGTCTTCCTCTTCGCTGTCCTCTGGTCCGGAGCCAACTTCAGGGCCCTCGGCCTCGCTCTCATCCTCGCCGTCAGCGCCCATGCCGAACGCATCCTCTGCGACGAGCTCGTCATCCTCAAAGTCCACCTCCATACCGCCATCCTCCTCATCCGACTCGCTGGCACTCTCCTCCTTCTCGGCTTGCTTCTTCTGCTTCTTCTTGTCCGCAGCTTCCTTCTTTTCCCTTCTGCGAGTAATAATGTCGTCGATGTCCACGGCCTTCTTGTCACCGCCGCCGTTTTGCTTGGAATCCTCCAGACCCCAACCGTCGAAGCCCTCGGTGACACCACGATTGGCCACACCACCCACATCGAACTCGAAATCGGGGTTCAAAGCATCGTCATCAGCACCGGGGACATCGTCCTCCTCTTCCTCCTCTTCTTCAGACTCCTCGACCACGGGCTGGGCCTTGCCCTTCTTGCCCTTCACATTCTTGGCTTGCTGCTTTTGCTTCTTGTTCTTGTCCTTGGAAGTTTCGGCCTCACGCTTGCGCTTTTTCGAGTCGACAGCCGGGGCCTCGTCGGCAAGCTCATCATCTTCGTCGTCGAATCGGGGAATATCCTCGTCGTCGGATAGTGTGAGGACGAAGTCGTCGTCCTTGGGAGCACTCCGCTTGGCTGTGCTGGGAGCCATTGTGAAAATGGTAGCAGGGAAATACCTCTGTGTAGAGATTGAATGTCCCCTGTAGCTTCTCGCAGAAGAGAAGAAGAGAAAGAATCTAGTAAATCCCCAGACTCTGCTGCCCGCGCAATCCGCCGAACAGAAATCAACAGCAGAAAAAAAAAGTTCCCCGGGCGGTGAGGGTGGAATATGGCTGACCTAATGATGGACCCACCCGTCACCGACAACCCTGGAAGCTTCGAAGCTGGAGATCGACTACTTTCGAGTCTTTCAACCATTGAACATTGGATGGTCTACTTTTACTCGGTTGTTCAGAATAAATTGGACTTATCAAATTCGCAAATTGATACAGTCATGCGTGTATGTTAAACTGTGGTAAGTATCTCAAGCCCTTGTTTGTACGGGCTCCCTTTGTTTCTGCATGCCTTTGTCCTTCCATTATCGATATCGTTCCGTAAGATTGCCGATTCCCGGTTGCTTTCTTCATGTGTGATCTAGCCAAATGACTTTCTTTGTGACTGGACTGTCATGAAGCTTGTTCGTGCCCATGTCAATCCTGAATATTGACATGTGGTGTGCATCATGATCACTCACGACGTCGCTGCAATTGCTGCTGAATGTACTGGTCAACTTGCCGCTGAATATGCCGCTGCCTCTCCTGCTGCCTTTGACGTTGTCTTTGACGTTGCCGTTGACGCGGCGTTTGTTGCTGCATTCGAGGTTGCATTTGAGGCTGCATTCGAAGCTGCATTTCCTGATACCGTGGCTGCTGGATTGGCTGCTGGATTGGCTGCTGGATTGGCTGCTGGATTGGCTGCTGGATTCGAGGCTGCTGGATTCGAGGCTGCTGGATTCGAGGCTGCTGGATTCGAGGCTGCTGGATTCGAGGCTGCTGGATTCGAGGCTGCTGGATTCGAGGCTGCTGGATTCGAGGCTGCTGGATTCGAGGCTGCTGGATTCGAGGCTGCTGGATTCGAGGCTGCTGGATTCGAGGCTGCATTTGCTGATACATTTGCTGATACATTTGCTGATGCATTTGCTGCTGCATTTCATGCTCCATGTACTGTTGCATTTGCCGCTGCATTTGTTGCCTTTCTTGCTGCAGTTGTCTCTGTCGCCATACTCTTCCAGCATTGATGAGGAGCTGGAGGCAATAGAAATTCTCCCTTCAAAGAGACGTCAGTACTTCAACTCAATCCTGCACAGGCAATGAAAAAAATCATAAATCATAACATACTCGTAGCCATTCTTGGCGCGGTCTTGTCTCGATTCGCCAAAGTCTTCGAAGCCGAATCGGTTCTTCAGCCAGTGCCACGTAAATGCATATCTGTCTTCCAGCTGGGCGGGATAGGAAATGACACACATCAGTTGGGTCAATCGCAACGTCTCCTGCTGTACTTCCCCAATGGGCCGCCACTCAACATTGCATCTGCGACGGTGATGCTCGTCACAAAGAGTCAGGATAGCGTCCACAAGCAGTGTACCATAGCCGCGGTGCATCATTTGGGGGTGGATGTACACTCGCAGGTCACCGATGGAATCCTGGGTGACAATCTCATCGAAAGCGTCGATGTAGGCAACGCCGCCAATCTGCGGTCTTGGGGGTACCGAGGAGATTTGAGACGTATCCGGTTGCTGGACAATGACCAGGAAAGGGAGTCTGCGGAAGTGGCTAGTCTCGATGAAATAGCCGACATTTTCAGCCTCAAGCAATTCGAGGTCCGGGTCAAAAGAATTTATTGCCGTCATGTGCCAGTTGATGATTTGGACAATCTCCTCTGCATCTTCCAGCACAGCAGGTCGGACGTAAGGACCAGCAGAGGGAGGAGGAGAGCGGATTGCCTGCGGGCCTGGGTCTAGCTCCATCGTATCACCCTCCAAGGAGAGTTCCCCCATGCCTGACTCGACATATGGGACCCGCGGAATAACGAACGGGGGATTAACTGACGGGCCTGTCAGATTCGGTGTCCAGCGAGGTGGCACTTGGTAGGCGTAGCCCCCCGGATCGTACCCGTGGTAGAGATACATGTTGTAGGTATTCACGTAAGGAGTGGGAGAGCGATAATGATCCATGGAATAGATCAGTGCAAAGTACGGTGGGTAGGAGTAGAAGAAGAGGAAGAAGGCAAGATGAAAGATGTCCACCACCGCGAGATTAGTTCGCGACCCTCTTTACCTGCTGGATGGTAAACGAGGACATGAGATTGTTGCCGGACTTTGATGAATGAGGCGAGCACGCTGTCGTTTGCCTAATCCGAGAACCTCCATGATCGTACCGTTTCGAGCCGTACCATATGCCTAGAAATGGCTGCGAAGTATCATCGAGTCTTCCCTGGCAACCTGATGCCAATGAATGGAGCTTCGTGTTGATACTTTGTGGCCACGCCTTTGGAGTCGCTTTGGTATGCAGTGCACTGTATACGAGCTCATGAAGGTTTGCACTGTTCTCCGGCTCGTATATGGGCCAAGCTCTTCAATTCCACATCAATATGACCTTTGATGAACTAACAGATCATCTCTCAGGCGTATCCAATACTTGCACCGGGAATGGCTTGAGAATTCCATGGAATTCGGCAGAGGCTGAGCCAACCGCCCACAAATAGCTGGTTTGTGGCAGTAGGTGGCAGGATGGTCTCGCATAGCCCATTGATCCTTCACCTATGGCAGCAACATCTCTTCCAATGAGCTTGGTTCATGCTTTTGCATCCCAATCCAACATAATGTCCTCTCGGCTTCGATAGAAGATCAAGATCGACCAGTGGCGGGAGTAAAGCAAAATCAGAAGCCGAAACAGCTTCATCGGCCATTCTGCACCATCTCAGTGGACATGGGGCCAAGCTTAGCCAGTGTGATGCTTTCATTATGGTTAACATGGGGACCATTGGGAGTGATGGTAGCGAGAGGCCATGGCTTACCAGCCTGTTAGGCCGGCTCAGTGCTTCCTTCCGACTGCGTAGCTTTTGCCAGATAATTCGGGAACATCTTGCTGGCCATCTTCTAGGGTCCACAGTTGATGGACGCTATCCTCTTCGACGTGGAAGAGATTGACGCGATTTTTATGCGGTTTTCCCAGATCCATTCAATCACGCTCACCAAACCCAATCCAGACCATTGGAGCTCAGGATGCTTGACACCACGCTTGATACCACGGGAGTCTTAAACTGCGATGCAGTTTAATACCAGATGAGCGCCTGAATCTCCTGCTCCCCCAAGATTGAAGACTTCAGAGATATCTTCAGGAAGCTGATTCGATGCAGGTTCGATGAAGGTGATGCAGGGCGAAGTTGGACTGAATCAAAAGTGTGAGCCGTCACTTGCTCGGTCTACAATGGCAGTATCAAGCATTGACTTGGAAGCGCTATGCCGTTTCGGGAACTATTCAGATCTTAGTGAAAAGCACGGCTAGTGTCCCGTGGTCCATGTATGTTTCGTTATGTATGGGTGACCCTCTAGCAAAGTGTTGAAAGTTGCTGGTGGTCATGGTGTCAAATGGGAGCCGTCATTAAGATATATCTCGCTCATAGGTACACGTCAGACCAGGATATTCATTCAGATGTAATAAAAAAGGCTGGAATACTATCCGTAAATTATGGTGCACATGAAACTTTTGGAAATCACTTGATATCCAGAGGAGTGTAGTTAGAGTAAGGTTAGTTGTGTGCTGCATATCGATAAAGCCGAGAGGGCAGGTTCCCGGCAGAGCTCCCACAAGATTTTGCCCCTCCTCAACTCCCCAGGAAAATCTAGCACTCCGAAAGAGATAGGTGAACATGTTGTCAATACTGCGAAAAGCCCGTCTGAAGGACAAGGAGATGCGAATATTGATGCTGTACGGACTTCCAGTCTACTTGCAAGTGCGCTGCTAACGGTGGAGGTACCAGGGGTCTGGATAATGCGGGCAAGACTACTATTGTTAAACGGATCATGAACGAGGATGTCACCACAGTCAGCCCCACATTGGGCTTTATTATCAAGACTATTGATTTCATGGGGTGAGTTTCCTATTTCTTTTTGGACAGAATGCAATTTTTCTGACTTGTCTAGATACAAACTCAACATCTGTGAGTCTACCTACGATTCTGCCAGATCAGGACAGAACTGACCATTCATAGGGGATGTTGGTGGGCAAAAAACACTACGCTCATACTGGAAAAACTACTTCGAGAAAACCGACACTCTTGTCTGGGTAGTTGATGCTACAGATCGTCTTCGTGTGGATGACTGTCGTCAGGAGCTAGCTGGGCTGCTTCTGGAAGAGGTAGGTTCCCCACCGCCATCGCCCAATCGTTGGGATCCTGAAGCTAAGCGGCCACCAGCGCCTAATGGGAGCCACCCTTCTGGTCTTTCTAAACAAAACAGACGTGGAACATTGTATGGGTGAGGATGAGGTGCGAGAGGTATGTGTAGCCGGTGGAAATTTAGTCTTGAGGACGATGGGATTCCATTAGTTCTCGAACGAAGGCTAATGATAGTTGGTACAGCGCCTTGGCTTGGATCTAATCAAAACACACAAATGGACTATTCTCCCATGCAGTGCCATGACGGGCAAAAACCTCACAGAAGGTTTGGAATGGGTGGTACAGGATGCCAAAGACCGACTTTTCCTGTATTAGGCATGACCGACCTTTGGCCTCTACTGGGTTAGGCCGACTTCTGGCGAGAATCGGTCCCATTGGGCAGCTAGGGATCTACATCGAGGAGTTCATAACCTGCAACTAATTCATGTCTTCATGATCGTCCATTCGCCCTATTGTTCTGCTATATGTCGAGAAGCTTCGCGGTCTATCCGGGTCCTGGGGGTTCTTTTCTGCAGGTCAACCTTGCCTCAGGGCTAGTGTTGGTTGTTGAACTACGTCGTTCCAGTTGCATTTGAATTTGGCAGGAGGTCGGAAGCTTCTATGCAGCGTGCCATAAGAGATGCACGTACATTTATAGTTCAAAGCAGGTGATTCTCAACGTTTTATTGTCTCGTTGCTGGACTAGAGCATTACACGGCTTCGGGTTGTCTTTCCGACCACGGGAAGCTACAGAAACTCCGAAGATGTTTGATCTAACTATAGGAAGGAATCTTCTTGAATTGATTTACGGTATTCAACAAGAAAACTTTAGTGAAATACTTCATACTATAACCCCAAGGAAATCATTAGCCCGGTATGATTGTGTCAGTCTTCTAAAGGAATGGATAATTTACAACTCGTGATTGGCTGGCCCTCGACAGTGTGCCCAAAAGGCCATGCTGCAAGGTACAAGCCGATAGATCACTTTCCGAGGTATCGTGTATGGAAAAGATGGCCAGATTGAGTATTCGGTCTGTCCAACTGAGTTGCTCCTTTTAATTTTGCCCCTGGAGAGAGAAAAATTCGTCATTTTGCGGCTCACCCATGGGTCCAGCATTTGGGCCAAAAACCTGCGGGGCTGACTGGACGCGATCCGCTCCACCAAACCTTCGCTGTAAACAAACATCCCGCTCTGAAGGGAAATGCGTTTCCTGTATCACTCAAGGGTATTAGATTCGGGACTAGTCAGTATAGTATGAGACCAGTGGATATAGAGAATTTTTCCAAGATTATTGTCCAGTCGACACCTCGCAAAAGCGCGGAAGTAAAAAGCCAAAGGGTTCCGGGAGGATGTGCGATGATGATCGGAGGAGCCAATGAGTTGCGATGATCGCGTCCATCCCCATTTAATTTAAGCAGGGCGGAGAACACCTCAGCCCTTGAGTCTTCCACTCTCCCACTTCTTCCCCCCAATCTCAACCCCTCGTCCTTACGAGCCTCAACGACCACCGAGGAGTTTGCTGGTCCTTTTGGGGACGACAAGGAGAATGACGGTCCCCACAAACCCCGATGGGGCCGAGGACGTGAATGACTTCCTGCTGCGCATTCGGGAACTGGGCGAGCGCCGCGACAAGGAAGATGAGGAGCGTACCAAGAAGCTGGAAGAGGAGATTCTACAAGGCCGCAAAGAGAGACAGGCCCGCCGTGCTGGTATTGTTTCATGTCCCTCCTCCGGGGAATTCTCGAGGTGACTCGCTACGGCCTCAGCTGAGCCGACGGTGAACCCCGCGTGACAGCCGAACCCTCGAGAAATCCCCCCTCTACATGTCGGAGCGATTTGCTGATGATGGGTCATGATAGAGCGAGCACGATCGATCGCCGGATCTCCCACCATGAATGCTTTCAGACTGAGTGCCTCTTCCATCGGCCAACCCTCGGCCATCGAGCCTCCCGAACAGCTGGAGCCGACCCTGCAAACCCCAGATCCTGAAACACCGGGCAGAGCGAGCCCGACCCAAGAACGAGACATACTAGTCGGCGGTATGAGACGTGGATCAGTCCCGGACACCGATACGGATTCCCCCTCGCGAGCGATACCAACCTTGTCACGGAGCCGAGCGGGGACCTTGTCATGGCAGCAGCGCCCGTCTTCCCGTGAATTGGGAAGCAGATCGCCTGGCTCGATATCTCCGACTCGTTCCAGTCATTTGAGAAATGCGTCCACAGCCTCCGACGCCAGTGAGCTCTCTCGTGCCCAGATTGCGCAGTCACTCTCATCCAAGGACCCGTCATGGTTTCGCCAAACCCCGGACCGGGGACTGGGTTCACCGGCATTCCGTAAGCCCGAGGAACGGCCTGATAGTCCAACAGAGTCGATGGCAGGGCGTCGACTGCCTGGGTTGAGTCGTGACTCTACCATTGAGCCGGAGAGGGTGGAGGAAGCAGAGGCGAGATCACCTTCCCCACCGAGAACTGCCTCGACCGTCGGCGATAGCAACTTCAGCAACCGATATTCGAGCGTGTCATCCGTTTCTCCTGCCACTGGGCTCGGGTCTCCAGTCACCTTGACGGACACGCCGAAGTTGGATCCGTCGCAGAATGAGTCAGTGAGGGATCCAATTCCAGCATCTCCAACCCAGCGACGGATGTCACCAGAGCGAGCTCGCTCAACATCACCCACGAAGGGAATGGGTGGTTTCGTGCAGAGTGCCATGATGCGGCGTTCAGATAGCGTATCGAAACGGTGGAGTGCTCAGTTGCCGCAGGGATTGAGCAGAAGTAACTCAATTATGTCGAACCGTAATAGCGTGGCAGGGCCAAGTCTCACCGCGAGCGTCAGTGACATGACTCCCACAAGTGTCACGCGACAAGCAAGAGACACTTCCCCGCTGCCTTCTCAACCACGACCCAGCTCAAGTCACAGTGAAGCAACTGTCCACCCCCAAGAGTCCACAGAGAGACCAACCACACCCTCTGGTCCCAGGAACGAGACTCGCCCTGAAGGTAGCCCAGGCCGACCTGCCTATTACGGCCACTCCAGATCAACCAGTTCAATGACTGCAGATAGTATGGCTGGTGATACCCCATCAAGCCCCTTCACTTCTCGAACAATGGACCCCAGACGCTGGAGCCCAACCAAAGCCTCCTGGCTCGAGAGTGCGCTCAACCGTCCGGAGTCTCCCCGGACTCAGAAGCAACCGCCACCACAACAACCCTCATGGGTACGTGACCGCCAGTCGCGGGGCAGTATTGATGCTGGTCGCGTGAACAACTTCAAAGAAGTCACCCCCATTAGCTTGATGCGAACACCCCCGCCAGGTGGCCACTTCAAGAAGCCAAGTCTTTCTGGAGCTCCTCCAGCCTTCGGTGTGCCCAGCGCGACGAAGCCAAAGGAACCAGAGCCAGAGTCACCTGTCGCTGAAGCAACAGATAATGAGCCTCAGTCGGCGACGACAGAGCCAGTTGAAGAAGACCCAGAACTCGAGGCAGCAGAAGAGGCAGAGCAAGAGGAAGAGCCCAAGCAGGAAGACACGACTCCTGTCTCTCCCTCTGTCACTCCGAAGACCCAGCCTGAACAAGTACAAGCGTTATCTGGAAAGATTCCAGAACCCGTGCCAACTCGCAAGTCTCCGCCTCCCGCACTCAGCATGAAGCCAAATTTCTCTCTTCCTCTCCGAGATCCCCTTTCGCCCAGACCCAAGCCCCAGTCTCCCGTTATTGATTTCCGAGCCAATCTGCGTAAGCGCGAGGTCGCCAAGGAGACTGGTCCTCAGACAGAGCCCGAATTCAAGAACGTGTTTGGCAAGCTCAAAAAGGCCGAGACTCGTAATTATGTTGCACCGGACGAGCTCAAGGGCAACATCCTCCGCGGAAAGGCTGCCCTGAATGTCACTGGAGGACCGAAGAAAACCCAGCGTGTCGATGAGCTCAAGGAGAGCATTTTGAAGCGGAAGGAGGAAATGAAGGCCGGTGGGGGATCTATCAGGCGCAATACACTAGGAGAAAAGGATGCCCTGGAGAAGCCTGCTGATGTTGTGCCCGAAGCCATCGCTAAGCGCCAGCTCATGAACAAAACCATCAGCGCCAAGCGAGACGACGAGCAGCCATCTCCTACTGCAAGCGCCAGCAGCCCCACAAAGTCAACACTGGAATCGCCCCTGTCTCCACCTCCACCAACTGAGGAACCTATCGCTACACCAGAGCCAGAGGTAGTCTCTCCGATCACTAGCCCCGTGGCTACAAGAGTTGTGAATCCGGAGCCAATCACAAGTCCCAAGGAAGACCGCAAATCCATCACCGAGACGATTATCACAGAGGTTGAGCCGGAACCAAAACCTGTCCGCGAGACAGCTAGCTCTGTTCGTGGTTTGCCGTCCGCGAGGCGACCAACAGCAACTACGCCTGTTGTAAATCCATACTCGACGGCAAAAGGAAAACTCGCAGGCCGAATCAACCCTGCCCTAGCAAATCTACTCTCTCGCGGTCCCCCCGTTGCAGCCGAGGCGCCTAAGAAGGATCTAGTGATTTCGCCCTCTGGCGAGAGCTCGCCCGCCACTCCCTCTGCACCACTTACCCATATGACGAAAGCTCGTGCTAGAGGACCTAAAAGAAGACTGCCTGGTGGCGCTGCCGTGCCAGCTGCTGTCCCATCCGCGCAGGATACTAAGGAGGTTGGTGCCATTTCTTCTCCTGAAGTCCCATCCTCGCAGCAACTTCCCGAGCCCGAGGTCTCTTTAGAGCCTCACTCGGAGAACCTGCCGAAAGAAAGCACGGTCCCCGATACTGAACCCGCTCGAGCAGAGAGCCCCGTTATCAAGCACCAGCTCCCGGAAGTAAGAACCAGCTTCCAGAATGCTCTCAACAGCGGACTGCAGTATAGGCTGGGTAGCATGTCGCCGATGTCGCCGATGTCCCCTATGTCGCCCATTTCTCCCATCTCGCCCATTTCCACACGAGACGCACCCACCGCTCAATCTCCCAGCGGGTATAGCGATAAAGAGAATGTCAGCCATGAACATGGGTCTCCAAGGGACGTAAGCCCGTCGCCAAGCCCCCTTTCAACTAGGCCCCCCGTTCCACCTAAGCCAAGCTCGCCATCGCCGCTCCCAACATCACCTTCAACTCCCGTAGCCAGGCCACAATGGGTACAGCCGCCCCGGTATGCGTCGCCTTCTTCTCCATCGCCTCTAAGAACGAGTTTCAAGGAAAATCAGATGGACACACCGGACATAACACCCCAAAAACCGCTTCCCGGCATGATCCCGGCCGACTCTTCACCTCAATCAAAAGCTCTCCCATCCCCACCAGTCGCTACCAGGCGATCTGACGTCTCTCTTAACAAGCCTCGTCATTCGCACCGATTGTCGCGGAAAATGTCTGCACCCTCGCTAGTTGCGCAGGCAGCGGAAGCTCGCGAAGTCATCGCTGGTTTCTTCAAAGCCTTCCCCAACCCGCGAGACCGTATGGATATCGACCCACAGTTGATGTTGACGAGTAAGCCCGATGCGACAAAGATCAGAACTGTTAAGCGCTATATCTGGGAGCTGACGGGCGATGGGAAGAGACAAGAACTCCCTATCAACCAGGAGTATGTCTTGTACGAGGGAAGCATGTACCTATGTGTGCATCAGTTCGAAGCACAGGGTAGCAGCAGCACCGAAGTGTACCTCTGGTGTGGAGATGACGTCCCAGAACCGGCATTGGAAGACGCGCAGCTGTTCGCTCGCAAGGTGGGTCGCGAGAACGGCTGCAAGTTGGTCGTGGTTCGACAAGGCAAGGAGCCTGTGCGGTTCATTCAAGCCCTCGGTGGAATTATCATCACTCGCCGTGGATTCAGTTCTCGCTCCAACTCGTCCGCCTTGTACATGCTGTGCGGTCGAAAGCATATGGGTCAGATGGCCTTTGACGAAGTCGACTACTCGCTGCGCAACTTATGCTCCGGTTTCCCATTCGTGATCTCTGCACCTTTCGGTAAACTGTATCTCTGGAAGGGCCGGGGCAGCGGTCCCGAGGAAACGGGCGCTGCTCGTTTGATCAGCATGGATCTCGGCTTGACTGGCGAGTTTGAAGAGTGTGATGAGGGCCAAGAACCAGAATGCTTCTTCGAGGATTTTGCGGGCTCTAGCGAAGGCAACTCCCTTCTGTGCTCGGACTACTGGCAATTGAAGCCAAAATACGATCACTTCCGCACAAGGCTTCTTCGTGTTGATCATGAGCTAGCCCAGCCCACCCGCTTCTGGATGCGCCGTCCTGGCTCGGGATCACCCGTTGTCCGACCGAATGACACTGTCCAGGAAATTGAGCCATTCTGCTACAAAGACCTGACGGAGAAGGATGTTTACGTCCTGGATACATTCTTCGAGATCTATGTGTAAGTTAACGATATCTCAACCCCCGGCCTTAACCATGACTAACAACATCGCAGCATCGTCGGTGAGCAAGCCTCCCAGAAATCAGCAGACTTCGCCTCCGCAGTTGTCTTCGCCCACGAGTACGGCATCCTCGCCGCGTCTCTCCAAGATCGCCCATTCATCCCCAAGAGTTTCGTCGCGTTAGGCGGCATCCCAGATCGATGCCAAAGTGCATTCCGCAAATGGGACCCCCACGCCCTCAGCGCGCCCTGCGTGTTCCCTCTCGAGGTGGCTATTGAAGCTATCCGCTCTCATGATCGAAGAGATTAAATTTCGTGCTATGTATTGTTCCATGTCTATGTTTTTTTTTTTTTTTTTTCTCTCTCTCTTTCCGTTTTTTCTTCTCCCGGTTTCTTCATTTTTATTTCTCTGTGCATATTTCGGTCTTTAAAGAGAGCATTTGCGGTAGGAGAGGATGGAGTCTTTCTTGATTTTTTACCTTCATGTCTGTCATCTTGATTATCGGTGCACTGTGTGCTAGAAGAGAGGGGCATCGCGGGAGCATTCTGGGTTGTACATCTACCACATTTAACATTTGAGACATCTTCGGTATATGCATAAATCAAGCCATGTTTTCTTGACTGATTCAATCAGGAAGTTGGGCAATGTGAATGGCATGAGCCCTTGTGTATCTTCCTTTTGTGGAACCTTCAAAATTAGACACTGAGATCTCGAGCAAACTAGGCACCTTCAATCTACCAGTATTCGCGGCAACGCTCCCATTCATCTAGGAGCCAAGCGCTTGGGAGCTCCTCTCCTTTGCCCACTGCATAGCTGTCATATTGCTCGCCCATAACCAGCTTTTTTAGGGCAACTTCCATCTCTGCCAGTTTGTCGTTCGACAAGGGCAGATAACGTGATCTGCCACCCGATAATCTGTCTGTTCTCATGCCTGGAAGCAGCTTCGAAGGGGCCCAATGACTTGTGCTTTCCAAGTGGACGAATAGTCTCTTGAATTGCAATCTTGGTGGTCCCCGTAGTGGCATCAGAAGCTGCCGCGCTGCTGTTTCGAAGATCTCCGCCGCACCCTCAAACCTTGGGTAGTCAGCATGCCGTGGTTTCATGATATGGATGATAAGAGTTAAGCCCTGAGCGTTCGTCAGTGTTTTCAGATAACCTGCAGCGACTAGCCATTCTTTGTAGGCCGGAGTGTCGAGGACAGAGTCACTCTGCATCCCTACAACCGGGAAAACGATTTCAAGTGTTCGAATTAGTCGTAGCTTGTTTCGTCCAACCCGCTCCACGAAAATTTTGGTTGCCTCGTGTACTACGAGCTGTTTGGAACTAAATATCCCGCGAGGGAAGTTGCCAGCAGCATCTGCAAGGTAGAGATGTTCCAGATAGCCTGCTGGTGCTGTACCGATCATGCAATCCGTGGGATTTGTACATGGTAAGATCACAATGCGGTTGTTGGTGTAGAATGAATAAGTGGCATCATTGTACATAGTCCGGCATGTAAGGAGCAGGGGTAAAGGAGACTGGCGATGTGTGCGGTTGCAGCGAGAGGAATATGACCCGGGTTGAGTCCACATGCAAAAGTCTCCCGTTGTGCCCGGATCACCTTCGCATGTGTGAGGCCCGTGTGATGCATAGTCATATCTGTTTCCCAAGACATCGTCACCATCCACCCAGCGACAGACATTAGCCATGAACCCGTTTCGAGGATCCCAATGGACCGTGCGGGAGGGAGTAACGATATCGGTGTATTGGAGAACGCGGTGTCGAACCTCTGCGGGAAGTTCAACAAAACGGAAAGGCATCAAGACCGGGTCTGGGGCCTGGACCTGAAGGACGATTTGGCGAGCTTGGTCCGCGAAGGATGGATGGAGACGAAGTTCAAGCTCAAGAAGCCTTCCCTTAACATCGATGAATGGCTTGAGAACGTCCGCAACCTGTTGGGGGCTCTTTGTATTGCAAATTATATGCAACCTCAGCTGTCCCAGGTTTCCATGGGCTAGAATTTTGGCTGCAGCCAATTGCCAAGTCTTGATACGACCGCATTAAAGGCTGGACTGCTCCCAGGAGTCGAAATATGATTCGGGATATACGTGCACGTAGACATTCCTTAGTAAGAAGAACCAGCTAGGTCCGAGTTGATTGAGAGATACCAAATCTTTGTAGTTATCGTAGAACTTTGGAGAGTAGATACAGGTATTGCGCTTGAGCAAAATGGCTTTTGCTTCATCATGCACTTGTTGGCAAACTTTCAGGAGATTGTGGGAAAGTTTGCGGTCGACTTCTGATATCCCGTAATCTTTCATGTAAGGCTTGGCAACCGATGGATACTGGATGTAGCTGTCTGTGATCAATCCGGCGAATACGTAAATTCGCTTTCGGATTGACGCCGGAAGGCGGAGAAAGGTGTTGTCGTTATTGCTCATCTCGAAGGTCTAGCTCTGCAGAGAACTGCCCTAACGACGAGGAGGAAGAGGGTGCTTGAAAGGATTTTTCAAGAGGCTGTTGAAATGATTGGTGAAAATTGTGGTGAAAATTTTCAGGTGTCCATAGTCTGCCCAGTCGTTTGCCTTGTAGACCTGCGTGTTTTGACTGAGCAACAGGTCTTCGACTTCGTCATGTACATGTTTGCAAACTTCGAGAAGGGCGGCAGAGACGTTGTACTCAGCATCTGGTATCTTGCAACCGTGATTTGAGCAGTGCCCGACGTATGGATTTGCTGTGTACTTGCCACTGACGAGCCCAGCGAAAAGATAGACTCGCTTCCGAATTTGGCCCGGCAGCTGAAGAAAGGTGCTGGGCTCGTGGCTAGTGCAATTTTCACTTCTCCCTTCGATTCAGTCCGAGACTCCGTGTATGCTACTTCGAGGACCATCGATGCTCAGAGTCACCTTGAGGACGATATCAGATTCTGGCTCAAAGAATCGAAGGGGGAAGTGAAAATTGCACTGAGCATTTCAATTCAGCCAAGACAACCAGGGAAGGTGACCTTGGAGCAGTGGAAATTTACGCCTTCGACTCGAGAGACACGCTCGAAGCCGGGAAGACTCCGAGTAGTACAAACCATGACAACCATCCGAAAACCGGGACTCGCGCCTGGAATTTTCAGTCTCGTCTGAAATTCCTTCACCATGGATTCCGAAGGGGAATAGGCATCCTCTTCTGAGTTATCTAGTAAGGAATGGGGTCTGGATGATGATCAACGCGACGCTGAGGACACCATTATTAACGAAGCTGAAGATACTATTCTTACGGAAGCCCAATTTTTCTCTCTTTACAAATTCCCCCGCCCTCGTCGAGGAAATTTAGACTGCCTCATGAAGATATTTTCCTTGATGGTTGCAGTGAGATGGAAAGGTGATAAACTAGGTAAGTGAGAAGAGTTAGGCAGTGAAGAGCAAGCACGTCAGTACTGGTGAAGGGAGTTAGTGAGGAAGAAAGTGATGAGAAGTCACTGACAAGTGACGATACTACTAAGCAATCAAAGAGAGCCAAGTAGCAAAGTTCGAGCTCAGAGGAGCCAGATCCGAGGAATGTTGTGAATATCTCTTCATGATGGTTCCGTTTCTAAGATTGCCCTGTTCTTTTGCATAATATGTCCTGTCGACTCTCTCAAGAACATGGTATGATATAGTAGGCAAGACCAAGAGATCCCTATAGAAGTGATATTAGCCGCTAGAGCTTATTAAGGTAAAGCTGATATAGTTGGCTGCCATGTTGTCCTCATGGAAGATATAATAACTGTACTTGTATATTCAAAAGTTGCGCTTGAGTATACTTTGTAGTCATTTATAGTAGTTCAGAAAGGCCAAAGAGGGTTGTCTTTGCTAGTTTCTATATGATGGCGTGAGATATTTACAGTGCAACTTGATAGTGTTTGAAAGTAGTGGCCTCCATTCAAGCCAGAATCAAGGCATCAAAGTATATCGGAGATAACCCAAAACGGCAACTGTCAATGTTTAACTTTCGGGCCTTCGGGATGTGACGGCTTGTCCAGCGATCGATCGATCGGCGATGGATGGTAGTGCGAGTCTGGAGCTGCCGGGATTTTGACAAGGACACTAAATCCACCTCTTACTTTAGGGAGAATATCCCTTGATTATAGAGCGAATGTCATGTAATCGGCACAGGTGGAGGTGGAGGAAAGTGGGCCGATTATGATCGCGCATTTCGCCATCACGACAACTTTTTTTTTAGTTTTAGCGTGCCGTGCCATTCTCTTGCCTTCCACCACCTCCCCCTTTATCTCTCCCCCACTACCCTCCGAGAGAAACCCTAGGATACCCAGACAATGTGATAGAACTGCACTATGTCGTGATACAACCCAATCGATTCAACTACAGCCCACCCCTCCACTATGGACGCATCCATCTCCCGCGAGCTGTCCAAGCTCGACCCCGCGGTCCCGTTCCGCGCAACCGCCGACCACCTGCATCATACTTGGGCCAAGACCTTCTTCTCTCGACCGGAGCTCTACGTTCGCCCTCAATCCATTGCGGAAATCCAGCAACTAGTTACTCTCGCCCGCCGCTGTCGCCGCCGTCTGGTCACCGTCGGTAGTGGCCACTCCCCGTCCGATTTGACCTGTACCTCGTCCTGGCTCGTCAACCTCGATGACTTCAATCGCATTCTGCATATCGATACCGAGACTCGCTTGGTGACCGTTGAGGCTGGAATTCGCTTATACGAGCTGGGCCCGAAGCTGGAAGAGCAAGGGTTGACACTGGAAAACCTGGGCAGCATTGACAGTCAGTCAATAGCGGGTGTCATTGCCACCGGCACCCACGGCAGCTCTTTGCGCCATGGTCTGCTCTCGGAATGTATCGAGTCGCTAAGCTTGGTGCTATCGAACGGCCAGCTAGTGCGCTGCAGTGCGACCAACAACCCGGATCTCTTCCGTGCCGCGCTGGTCTCTCTGGGCGCGCTTGGAATTGTGGTCGAAGTGACCTTCAGGGCCAGGCCTGCGTTCAACATCGCCTGGCGCCAGGAGAGATACTCTCTGTCCAAGGTGCTGAGCGAATGGTCCACTGGACTGTGGACATCGCACGAGTTTGTCCGTGTCTGGTGGCTGCCTTATGAGAAGGGCGCGATCGTCTGGCGCGCTGATCCGACCGACCAACCTCTTCGCGCACCACCCAAGAACTTCTATGGCGAGTGGTTCGGCTACCACGTTTACCACAACCTCCTTGCACTGTCCTCCTACTTCCCCCGTATCCTGCCCTGGATCGAGTGGTTCATTTTCGGCATGCAATATGGGTTCCGCCCGGGTGCAACCGTTACCGAGGCTGTCGAGCCGGCGCGCGCCGGTCTGCTGATGAACTGCCTGTACTCGCAGTTCGTCAACGAGTGGGCGCTTCCCCTCGAGAAGGGCCCCGAGGCCATCATCCGCCTCTCCGCGTGGCTGCACGGGGATCTGGAGACCGCACGCATTCCCTTCTCCCCCAAGGGTCTGTGGGTGCACTGCCCAGTCGAGGTGCGAGTGTCGGATTCGAGCAAGAACCCCAACCCGCGTCCTTTCCTAGATCCAACGTGCCGCAACGAGCCCACGCTCTACCTAAATGCAACTCTGTACCGGCCGTATCTCCGAGATCCGCCTTGCCGTCAGCGGTACTATGAGGCCTTCGAGTGGCTCATGCGGGACATGGGCGCTAGACCTCACTGGGCGAAGAACTTTACCACCCTGGATTCTACCGAGCTGCACCGACTATACAAGGATGATATGGATCAGTGGCTGAAGGTGCGGCAAGAGGTTGACCCGGAAGGCATGTTCTTGGGTGAATGGCATTGTCGCAACTTGCCCGTGGTCGCTCCCTCCGACCACGATGACCAGCTGCCTCTGGTGGAGCGTGAGAGCCAACGTCGCAAGGTGGACATCAGCGGTGCTGGTGATGGCCTCGAGTGGATTGGCGAACGTCGGTGGCAGAGTGAAACTCATTTGGAAGAGGATCGCATGTCTGAGCTGCCGCCCGACCATTCAGCGCCTAGTCCACCAACCACGGCGACCAGCGAGGAAAGTTTTGATTTGCTTGCCAAGGGCGAAGCCAGCATCTTGCTTCATGGTGCGTGATTTGCCTATGGTAGATTGACCGACATTGTCGAGGGAGCAAGCAAACAAGGCCCGTGTGGATAGTCGGGTGAATACGCCGAAGAGTGGTGTACCTGGCAGTGAGAAGGGTGGAAAGAAATGACAAATGAAAAACGCAAGAAATAATGATTCAACTGTCCCGCTGTTCTGACATGGACTACATGAACCTCCCGTCGACTTAGCCTATGAGATTCCCGCTTGGCTGTTCTTAATGCAGGTTGAACACATCGTCACGTCCTTTTTTTACTATTTTCCTTCTGCTAGCGGCCAATCCGACAGATTGGGCCTCGAAAATGAGGCAGACTCGGGTCTTCTGCTACTTTTAAATGCTTTGATGCTTATACCCCCCTCGGTATTAGAGAGGGGGGTTGATTTAGATTTGGTCGTTAGATAACTAGAATTCGTGCCCTGCACGTAGAGCTGCCCCTCCCCACTCATAGAGATGATTTGGAAAATACAAATTTAGATCTGCTTCATCAATGACCTATCCAAATGGCACAAAACAATGTCCTGCACCTCGCAGCTGCAGATCTAGCAGAGTCACCCAGCATGACAGCCGCTTATAGGGCTATGCCCAGGTTTCGATCGAAGCTAGCAGGTCATAGGGCGTGATCTGTTCAGTTCTTGCATATACTGTACTCTGGACTTTTCAGGTATCAATCAACAGCGCGGTCTCTGATCATGTCTCCCCGATGGAAGTTATTGTCCAACGATTGGATGAGAATGTCGTAAATCCTTCCATCATCTTCTACTCTTTTCAGCCCAAACCCCCTCACCCTGGCGACTCAGCTGTGAGAAAACAAAACAAAAAAAAAAACTAGATCACTACGAAATAGATTAAGAATCATTTATGCTCAAAACTAGTAGACTGCATTGGGAAACACGGAATGTAGGATACCCATGCCAAAAACCGAGGAGCCTGAAACTGCAAAGCCCGAGCTCCTAAACAAGGTGCACCAGTCGGCCTTGCCGGGGTCTGGGGGGCGCTATAGCTAGTAGGATTACTGTAGACTGTACAGTCGATCGAACTCCACTGGCCGTTACACGCCGGGGGTTGTGCAGAAGAGCTGGGAGCTGTGACTAGCATGGATGCAAGACACAACGGACGCACAGATCTATCGTTGGGGAAGGGAGAAAGGCAGAATAGGTAGAAGCAGAGATACACGAAAGATCATCTTAGATCAATGCCGATCGGGTGGTTCTGATCTGGACGGGTTGTTGTGTCTCCGTTGGCCTTGTTGTGTAAGGAGATTGTGTTTCTTGGGGTTAGATGGGGATGTTATCATGATCGAAGTAGTGGGGATGGTGGAATGGCTGTGATCTATACAAGTAGAGTGGACATGAGGTGTACGTGGAGAGGGAGTATACAGAGACATAGACTATACATGCTGCTAGGTACAGGTATACACCTAGACTTTGTCGGACTCTTTCCTTTCATCTCCTCGGTCTTTTCTTTCTTCCTCTACCAATCCTCCCTCGGGCGCCCAACATGTTTCTACGTACATACTACACACTACACACTACATACCATTCGGAATCCTTCATTCATCACTAACAAATGACCACCACTCTCAAGGAAAGGGCTGATGACTGACAACGAGCAACACCTTCTCGGTCTCGCTCTTCCTCTCCTTTCCTGCAGACCAAATGACAATTCCGTGTCCCCTATTTTACGGCCTCTCCTGGGATCACCCATGGCCAAGGGCATATCACCTCGTACCACGTTTCGGTGCATTGGCTGCAAGGATATCAGGTGATATGACCAAAATACAAGGTACTGTACAGTGTACACCGCTTGCAACCGGAAATCCTCAAATCAGATCTTAGCAGCATGACTGGCAGAGTCGACAAGCAGCAGATCATCAACAGTTAGAATGTGCAGCGGGAGGGAAAAGGGGGATTCTGGTTGGTTCAGGACTGTAATCCAACGGGGTCTTGGTGGCAGATTCTCTCCCTGGGACAATCAATCCGGTAAGACTGGAGTGACTAGAGTGACATTTCCATTCGACTTGCTTACTTTTCTCACAGCCACTGGGATCGCACGTGTTAAACCCTGGAAGAACAAAACCTCGAGCTGGTTCAGCGTGTGACAAGGCATGACTTCATTGCGATTGCCTGGGGGAGGTGCCGCACGGACGAAATCAATTGTACTGAGGGGCGGAGCGTTGACCCTGTTCTTCTCGCTGCCTAAACGACCGGGGTGTGTTGCGAGGTCCGAGATTGGTATAGCCCGTGACTATGGCCCGTATAGGATGGGAGTGGACATGGAGGCTGTTGTCTCCTGGCTGTCTGTGTGCCGAAGCCCGGATCCACTGACGGCTCGGACCGTGTCCATCGTCATCACAGTCATCAACTGCATCCAAAGGGAACTAATGCAATGCCTCCGACATGCTGGGTCCTGTTCTGTCAGTCTTCACTGAAGAGAGACGTGGAAACTATGAGACTATCATGTCTCTGTTCCACTCGTCATTCAAACTGGTCACCATCACTGGATGGTTCCTGGGCTACCTATAAGCCCGTCAACTATAACCCGCTATACCTTTTTGATCTCTGGCCCTTTGTTTCGGTTCCACTCATCCTGTCGACGGGGATCCCTGCGTCGTACCTCCCACAGCCACAAGATGTCGCGAGACCCTCGAACGGCCGTCCCCGGTTGACATTCTGACAGACCCCTCCACGTCACCCTGTAGTATCTTGCCCATCAACCCCTCCTCCACCGGGGACATGGTCCTCTACGGGGGACCTGTGCTGATGATGCGGGGCAGCTGGGGAGGAAGGAGTGAGGGGTGTTGCTTGATGCTTTTCGTGGTCAAGCTGGTCTAAACTAACCACTCAGAATAAACCAGATGGGTTGGCCCCGGCTTGCTCTGCACAACTGATCATTTTTTAATCCCATATAATCAATGATATCAAGCTGGCTGCAGGTGATTGAGGCTGTTTTGCACTACATTTCTTTTCTTTTCTGTGATAATTCCCATATACCCCATTTCCCCCATACCCATACCTCCCCTACGATTCCATATCACCCACCCCACCTGCTCCATCCAGACAATCTGCCTATCGGTCATAGCTTCTGCCCTTGCTTTTTTTCCTCTACCTGTTGGCTCGTCCATATCACCCTCTTCTAAATCCTATCCCTTGCTTGCATTTCTCTCTTTTTTAAACTATATCCGACTCTTCCTTTTTCTCTTTCGCGCGTCTTCGTGCTCGGGTGCCTGCGCCTACTTTAGCGGGGGTGTATAAGCCAACCATGTCGTGGCAACCTAAACTTCGTCCCAAGGGTTTCCCACATACTCTCGATGACTTTGCTGTGGCTTCATTGTCGGAGTTGGAACATCGTTCTAGGACGGGTGAGGAGAAGCGCGATCAGCGTGTTTTCCGGGTTAAGCGGAAGCATGTCCTAAAGGCCTGTGATCGGTGTCGGGTTAAGAAGACCAAGGTAGGTCGCTTACAATTATGCTAATGTCAACTTTGATTCTAACTTGTTGCTACAGTGTGACGGAAAACAGCCTTGCAATCGTTGCTCAGTATACAATCACCCATGTTTATTCCGTGAGAGGAAAGCGACCCAGACAAAAGTGTACTCTCGAGGGTGAGATTCCTAATACTATATTACTGCAAGAAAAGCAATCACTAATCATGGTCTGGATTATCTATAGGTTTGTCGAGATGCTTGAATCACACCACTCCCTCGTAGTCAAGGCCCTCCAAAAACTATACAAATTCTGCATCAACAAGGAAGACTTCCCAGGCGAACCACTCGCCGAAGCCCCAGACGGACACCCACTCACACACGCCATTCTCGATCGCCTAGGTCTCATCAAACAAGCCGAAGAGAACGCAGACGAGCCAGAAGAAGACTCTGAAGATCTACGGTACCTACGATTACTTTCTACATCGACGGAATGCAGCGCCACGGCAGAACCCTCCCCAGAACCAACTACACCCCCAGAACCCTCACCAACGACACTCTCCTCCCGCCCCTCGATCTGCCATTCCCTCCTCACTCCAATGACGAGTCGAAGTAATTCAAATTGGCAGTGGGATCTGCAGGCAGTTCAACAGGCGAGTTACAGTTATCCAGATACCGGTTATCAGGATATGCTCGCCATGCAACAACGCCCTTCTATTACATCCGCAGATCTAAGTGCAGGTGAAATCTCGCCTCATGTCGATATACCCCCTGGATCTTCGATTTCACATGGCCCACAGCCACATGAGCAGCAATCATTTGCATATTTTCTCGATGGGGGTTGCAATGCGGCTGGTTCGGCGACTGATACTAAGACTGCCGTTCGATTACATACCGGGATCATGCCAGAGACACACCACCATCAGATGAACGGTTTATCGAGCGATTTGCTCTGTGACTTTCAATTTCCAACGCATGAGCCGTCACTTTACCCTGGCTTTACGCCCGGTTGGAATTTCCCCTCTGCATGAAGGAGCTTTTTATTATGGGTCTATTATTTCCATCTCTGCTTGGTATCGAGCATATCGCCAACCCGGTATACCTTTTGGCTCGGTGTTTCGTTTTCTTCTTTGCGGGTTATTCTATGACTGGGGTTTTGGGCTCGGATTCATGGTACGGCTTTTGGGTCTCCTTTTCCTGTTGCAGCTATCTTCATGAGAATGAACGAGATCGACCTTCCTTTTGATGACCTAGACTACCTCTTCGCGTTCACCGTCTGGAGGTCGGGGTGCTACAGTACATATAACAGGCGTATGGGGTCGGGAAGTACATAAACGGAGCCAGGGAGCCCGAGTCATCGGGAGTCGTCTGGCGTACTGGTTTCTTTCCGTGGACTCTCCTGATCGAGGGTTCCAGTGCTATTCCTGTTTCATTGCCTTTCGTACTTCTAGCCAAGAGACAAGACGCGATTAGCGAAACCAAGCATTCCTTTCTCACTCTACTCGGTTAAATTAGGTATATCTGCCCTCATGCTTGTTTCATGTATAAATCGGGGTTCTTAAATACCATCAAGGTGTTAGAGGACATATGATCGGCCACCCCCGTTACAAAAATGAACTACTTTAAAGGATCATTCATGTTTCCTGTCAGATAAACCCAGCTCCACCAATGCAAAAGCCCAAAAACAATATAAACATACTCTACAACCCTCCCCCAAGCACCACAGGTCCCAGTTTAATCAACCATCTAGCTAGACCTGTATCCCTCAACATCCGTACCCATATCAGCCTAGCAGCACTGACACAAAATAGCTACTCCCTACAACCCACGAACCGGAATCCACCCACAACCAACCCAGCATAAACCCAGGAACACACCATCCCCAAAAAAGGACACACAAACGCGAAGAGTGCGCTTGATTCGTCGTTCGTACGAGGTCAAGCTAAGCCATTCCATAGACCGAGGGTATGACGACCTGCGGCGTAAAGAGAGGGTTCAGCTCATGGCACTACAAAATCGCTCGTGACACTACATGACAAATCCACACTAGTCCTAATTAGGAATTAGATCTTCCCATCACCAAATGGTACATCCGACATCTACATAATATATGCCAAGCTCTTATGTATGTATATTTCTATACATGAGCGCTTCTCGCGCATACCCTCGCTGTCGCCGCCTACATATGATGAAATCACGTGACCGCTTTTGTTTACCTCCATACCCCTACATACCAACCACCACAACTATCTACCTACCACCCCCTCCCTGACACCCTCTCCCAACGGCCCTTTTAACTACCCAAATCGCTCAAATCCGCAGAGATTTCGAAGAAGATACAATTTCCTAATTTGGAAGCTAACACACTGTTGATCTAGATCGATTTCACCTATCTCATCGCCTATTCGATCGACCTGCACGCCCTTTCCTTCCTGCCTGCGCCGTACGCTTCCTCACAATCTCAAATCCAGAAGGATCTCGCTTGGTCGATCGAGCTAATCGGGCCGATTGGCGGGTTGATTTCTTGATGGTTGATTTCTTGATGGTTGATTTCTTGATGGTTGATTTCTTGATGGTTGATTTCTTGATGGTTGATTTCTTGATGGTTGATTTCTTGGTGGAGGAGACATCGCCAACCTCCTTGATAGCCACTACCCGAGGGTCCTTTCGAGTATGATTTGCTCGCCCACGGGGGCGGCCTGCCGCTTTCGCAATCACTGGATCCTCGATTTGAAGCACATTCTCTATATCAAGTGGCTGGTAGTCGTCTTCGATTGAAGTCAGGAGCCACCATTGCCGGTGGAATTGATCCCTCGTGAGAGCTTTCTTGCCTTCAATTGCCGTCATAATCTCGTGGAGACACGGTATTCCAAGCGCCTGCCGATGGTAGTGGGTACAATCAGCCAACTTGATCTCTTTCTTCTCATATGCAACTAGTTGCCTAGCAACTAGTTATAGGCCTGAGATAGCCACCCAATTGAGGACTCCGCGGAATAAGGGTTTAAGAAGGTTATCTAGCAGTTTCTGGCGTTCTTCCTTAATCGCTTGATTAACGGTAATATGGCGTGTACTGACCGCGGTTTGAACTCGGCACATAACGGTCAGAAGGTCTCCAATCGACGAACGGATAAATCGCTTTAGGTAAGCATGGGCACTCTCTACCCGCGAGGATGAGGTCTCTCCAAAGTGAAGGTGTTGATTGGTATGGCAGCGAAGGAAGCGTTGCTTAATACCATCTTTCATCCATTGGTCCGAGATATATTGTACTGCCTCTGCAAAAACCTCGTGTTTGAATTCCTCTTTAAAGCTTTCCCAAGCAGTCTCCATCTCAGCCAGTGTAGGTGCGAAGATGACTTGATTAAAGAGACCCTTAGCGCCGTTCCAACGCTCGTTGATTTCCTCTCGGATATCCCCCTTCCTCTCATGGTAGACTAGAAGATGCTGAGCAATCATCGGTCTTAACCTCTTCTCAATATTCTTCTAGATATGCCATATGCAGAGTAAAGAGATAGTAGTAGGAAATACCGTTGCCATAGCAGCTAGGAGACTCTCTGCATCATCCGAAAATATAGTGATGGGAGGAGGGATTGAACGGGAGTATAGGAGATCCCGAAGGGTCTCTAATACCCACTGGTAGGACTCCTCCTTCTCATTAGAGACAAAGGCGCATGCCACGAAGAAGGTCTGTCCGGTAGCTGCTTTGCCTACTATATTAACCATTGGCATCTTGAAGAGATTGGTTTTATATGTGGCATCAATCCAGAGTAAAGAGGGAAATCGGGCAAGGATTTCAAGGCCTGAATGAGATGCACAGAAGACATATAGGACCTGGTTCGAATCCACACTTGCCTTCTTCCACGAGATATCCCAACCTGGTAGGCCCATAAGTAGTGCCGTAGTAGGTGAGCGGCCCTTTAGTAATCGTAACCGCGCGCGATGACGAAGGTTCTTGATGTCTCTTCCATTCAGTCGTATTAGGGCCTTATAGGGGTCCTCCAGGTCAGCCGGTTGCGCACCGAAGGCTCCTTCTTGGCGTAGAATATTGATGATCTCCGTATTCGTATACATCAGCATAAACATGCTGATTATCCTCTCTTCGAGATCCTTTAGCTGCCGGCGGCGGTGGATAGGATGTGTAGCTGGTTCAGAGGCAACGTGCCCACTATGAGATCCCTCGTTAACGGTAAGAAGCCAGCCCTCTGGGTGCCTAGCTAGGTAGGCAGAGAAGTGGCAACCACAACGCCGAGAGACCGGAGACCGGCGGGTAGTCTTCCGATTTGCATGCTTTCTAGGCTGCCCGCTGCGGTCACAGTGTAGGCGAACTGACCAATCGTTCGAATGGGCGGTAGTGATGGCGTACCCTTGCTTAGCGGCAAATTCGTTAAGGATCTTGCGGGCTTCCTTACTGGATTCGACCTTGATTAGCCAGTTATTGGGTGGTGGTAGGAGGGCCATCGTGAATAGAAGAAAGGGTAGTGGGAGAAGGGTAGATTGGTGGACTTACTAGTAGAAAAGGGTGATGGGTGGTAGGTAGGTAGGTAGATAGTTGTGGTGGTTGGTATGTAGGGGTATGGAGGTAAACAAAAGCGGTCACGTGATTTCATCATATGTAGGCGGCGACAGCGAGGGTATGCGCGAGAAGCGCTCATGTATAGAAATATACATACATAAGAGCTTGGCATATATTATGTAGATGTCGGATGTACCATTTGGTGATGGGAAGATCTAATTCCTAATTAGGACTAGTGTGGATTTGTCATGTAGTGTCACGAGCGATTTTGTAGTGCCATGAGCTGAACCCTAAAGAGACGCAATGTTCCCCCCCCCCCCCCGGGGGGCGCGCCAGGGGGTGGGATGTAAACCTAGTTTGACTACGCTGGATGCAGATTCTACGACGGAGGGTGAGTGGTCTCAGTGGCCATGTTTGATTTATAGGTTGTGCGGAATGGCAGGAGGTAGATATTTTGTATTCCCATAGTCTATTTTCGGCGTTTGGACCGGGGTTTGTTAGAGGTGGTAATGTTCTAGATGGACATGGATGTGAACATGGACATATAGAGATGAGAGAAGTTGGGGGAATGCAGCTCGAAGCGAGGACAAAACAAAGAGGAATCACGAATCACACCCAAATGGGGAAAAGAAACAACACCCGAAGAAATACACCCAATGGGACGACGATCGTCGCGGGAGGAAAAGAGATAAGAGAGAAAACTGGACAAGGCATGTCCGATGGCAAAAGTGATAATAAAAAAAATGAAACCCAGAAAGATCGATCCTAATCAATCAGACAATGTCGCACAAGTCCCGTGTACAATCCATCAATCAATGCAAGGTAGATGCGATCAATCCTCATCCTCCGTCTCGGTGTTGGTGTCGCTAGTATCGCCTGCGTCGCCGTCGGTGTCACTTTCCTCGCTGGAGGACTCGGAAGGCTTCTTAGCCTTCTTAGGCTTAGGAGCCTGGCCAGTCTTGAGCGCCTGCATTTGACCAGCGATGGAGTCTGGATAGAAAGTTCATGATTAGCATTCGGCCCACAAAACTGATACAGCCGCGTACGAGTGCCGCGACACAAGTACGGGAGGAACAACTTACCTTCATCCGGTTCGCTAATGTCGTCTTCTTCTTCCAAGGCAGCCGCCTTGGCGGGGTCGTCAATATGCAGGGTAATCTCCATCTTCGTGTCCAGACCCAGATAGCTGTCGCAGACCATGTGCATGACGAAGGTGAAGTCGCCGACCTGCGGAGGAGCCTGGAACTGCATCTTGAGGGTTTGAACGTTGAACGTGGGCTTGCCGGCCTCATCGAGGATCGGCTTGTCAAAGGTGGTGAATGTGAAGGGAGGCACGGCCATCTTGCCTTGTTTGGCGTCGGCCAGGAAGACATGCCAGCGAGGGGAGTGATCGCGGGCAAAGTAGGGAGCGTGTGCGAGGGGAGGTTGGATGTTCTCAATCTTGTTCTCAACCTTCTTGCCATCAACCACCTTGGTGGCACGGTTCTTAGCCGGCTTGCGGCCCATCAGTGCGTCAAGATCATCCTCATCGGGGTCAATGTCCTCCAAGTCGAGCTCGTTGATCTGAGGCACTTGCGTGCAACCTGGTGGGACGAATCGTGCCTTCACAACCAGCTGTACCAGACTGCTAGGAGTGATAACCTTCTCACCCATGACCTTGAAGAATGCCTTGGAAACCTCCAAAGCGGGTAGTTGACGAGCCACCGTGACGGCATCCGTGTATTGCTTCTCAGACAATAGACCAGCGCCCACAGTAAGCTTGCGACGCTCATCCTCGGCCAATCTCATGAACTTTTGAACGGTCCAGTGTTCCTTGGAGTGCTCGCCTTCCACCGACTTGACAATTGACTCGGTGAAGTTGGGCAACTGCAAGAGGGGAGATGAACCGGGGGCAATAGCCTGAATCAAGTTTTGAGAGACCTGGAAAGCACCGAGAATAGGGCGAAGGCTACCAAATGCCAAAGAAATCGCAGTAAAGGCCTCGCCTAGAGAAAGAGCAATGGGCGCAGCTTCGTACTTCTCTGCATCAAGGGTCGCATCGCCAAGATCGATACGGCCGAGATACGCCCACAGGAGGGCCAAAGCCTTGCGACGGGAGGAGTTGTCCATTTGCTTAATCGCCTCGCGGTCCTTGGCAGTCAGGAATGTTGATTCCTCGGCCAGGACCTTCTTCTCCAACTTTGCGAGCCCGGCTTCCGCTTGAGCTCCCTTGAGCATTTCCTTGAACTCCTCGCCAGAAGAGAGAGCATTGACAATGCCACCATCCAGAATATCCTCCTTGTACTCGCGGAAGATGTTACCTGCGCTAGCGACAAGAACACGCTCCTTGGTGTAGCGCTGAGAACCATACCACCACTTTCCGACAATGTAAGGCAAAAGAACACCCAACAGAGCACCATATACCAACAGGACGTATTTTCCATTGCCGTCCATGACGATAAGCTTGGGAAGGGCGATACCAATGCTGAAGCTCTGCTTGCCATCGGGGTGGCCATATTGGAGGTAGTTGTTTCGGATTTCTTCATCAGTGAGCGCTTTATAGGCCTTGGTGAGCTCGACGAAACGCTCGTTGAGCATCTCCATGGTCTCATTCTTGGCGGGATCGGGGCGAACTTTATCGGGGTGGTAGATGAGGGAAAGGCGCTTGTAGTGACGAGAAATAGCTCTTTCGTCGGCGCTCTAGGAAAAAAAAAGATTTGTTAGTTCGAGATAGGTTCGGCGTTGCTAAGAGCTCGCAGGCGACTGCAGCGACGGCCAGCCCCGCCACGCTCGGAGATCCACACAACATACCCTTGAGACGCCCAAAATTTCATATGGGTCGTATAGTTTGGCGACCGTCCGGGCCGTCACGAGAATGAGATACACCATCCAGGCCATGACGATGTAGCCCACAATCACCGTGATGATGCGCTTGATTCGGCGCTCCTTGCGCAGGCGCTTGCGCTTCTGCGCCTCGACGAGATCGGCATGCTCAGGTTTGAAATCGGATTTGATGCGGGGAGCCGTATTCTCAAGCTCTGCCGGTAACGCATGCTTAGCATAAACTGCACAAAGAACTGCTGGGCCGAGTCACACACCTTTGCTTGGTCGGAGGAGGTTGTAGGTTAGAGGAAGCGTGACCAAACCGGTCAAGGTCAAGATGAAGAAGGGGAAGAATTGCCCCTAGTAGCGCATAAGTTAGCCATGTCCGTGTCTCTAGCATCATTGTCGCGAGAGAGAAAAGGACTCACCTGCTCATCGTAAGTGTAGTCTGACGACATCCTGCGGCGAATTCAGGGCGACAGCGGTGGCCGCCGCGGAGTTTAAAGATCGTGGGGTGCCGAGTTGTGGGGTCAAAGCAGAATAGGCTTGAGTGAGGGTGTCAAAAGTAAAAAGAAGAAGCCTAAACAATTTGAGTCAGAAGCATGGCCCTCGAGAGTCAAATGAGCGTTGAAGGGGAGTATTCACGCTTCCTGATCTGGTGATGACCGTGTCCTCAAGTGGTCGACCGCCTGCCTAAAAGTGCGGCCAGGTCCTTTGTGGGCAAAGGCGGTGAGCTGAGGACAACATTGCACTTTCCCTGCCGATCATTTTGCTTATCCTAAATTGGAAGGAAGAGATGACTACTGTACGAACTAGTTATTTACTGCTAACTAGTCACAATATTCGGTATTTCTAGATCTCTACTGTCTGTTCTTGGAATCATGCTTGAAAGATAAATCCTTATGTATAGTCTAGTATGCTTGAATATAGTTGTGACTCATTATATACAGGCTATGCAAATGTAGTCTAGCATAAAGAATCAATAATATGCTCCGTAGGATTCTTGTTTCACTGTATGCGGCAGCCTGGTGTTCAACCACCTCGCATTTCAATAGAACGGATCTGCGTGTTCGAAAAGAACGAATCACCGGGATGACTCTCTCGCTAGCTCCCACAAAGGGTGTTCAAGCGTCAACAATCCCTAAAGATCGGACACGAACTCGACCGATGCGGAGCCCGCAAGAAAAGTCTACTCGTGACTCATCCCATCTCGGATTCGCAAAAATCGCAAACCACGATCCACATGGCCGGGTCGAAAGGGACCAATCGGACACTCCTGCGATGGGAGCGGAGTGTCTTCATTGCTTCAAGTCGGGGACCCGGGAGTCCATGTGATCTGGTGTTCCAGTCATGCTCGTAGCGTCAAGTCGGGACTGTGGCTGAAGGCGCGCTGCAGTGGGCAAGGGACGCCCAAGGCGAACCCATGGCCAAATCGAACGGGAGGTTTTTTTTTTCTTGTATATGAAGCGGATGAATCATCGCAATCAGAGAAAAAAAAAGAGTATGGGTTTTTTGATAATTTTGGATGATTCCGGCTGGAAAGAGCATTCAATCTCCCGGAGTGCTGTTTCGTAATCTGACGGCGAATGAGTCAGAAAGATGATCGGCAAGCGATAATAAAGATTAGAGGTGTACTCACGGGTCGATATAGTCGAGACCATCGAAATACTCCAGCATGCGATAACAAAGGTTTAGATCGTCGCCCGGCTCGCCGCCGAACAATCGACACTGCCGTGCCTCGAGACCGATGCTTGCTTCCCGCCGTTGCGGTACATTCTCACGGATCGGCCAAGCCGTAAACCCATAATGCCAGGTCGGGGCAGGGGCTGCTGAGACCGGCGATCCAGGTGAAATGCATGCAGCGGACGGAGTATAGTGGAGGGCTGCTGGTGGAGGCACGGGAGTATGAGGGCTCCAAATTGTAGATGGGAGAGCTAATGGCGGGTGGATATTTGACAATTCGGGCGAGTCTTGATCGAAACTGTTTCTTCGCTTGCTGGAACGAGGACGAGTGCGACGTCTGTTATGCCTCTGGCCCATTCTCCGGGATACGTGGTTTGGCGATATCGAAGGGGAATCTCCAGCCGGGAGGAGAGAAAATATGTGCAACGAAAAGAAGAACTTTTGTGGTTTAAGGACAGAGGGGAGTGACCATCACCCCCTTTGGAAAAGGAAGGATGAGATGGAGAGTAAGAAGAGGTGATCTACTGCAGGGGTATGGATAGCTTTATACGGAGCCGCAAGGTAAACTATGAGTCGGGGGTGAGTCACTTTACTCCGTACGGAGGCTCTGACTAACCCGACCCAGCCAATGAAACCCACGAATCCGGTTATTTCGGGCCAAAAATTCAAGAAAAAAAAAACTAGGCAAAGACCCACATCAACCTGGGTGGAACCACCAGACTCCGGCAGATCACCTTATGGCCTTAAAAAATGGCGCCAAACCCTTGCACTAGCGCTTGGAAAAGGCGTGATGTGAGTTCGGAGTCATTCTATTCTGACTGACGTGATTTTTCTGATATCGCGTGATCGTTCCTCTTGATCAGTATATAGTTTCTCGATACTGTCATAGGTATACTTCGTAAATGAGGTGCGAGTCTACATGAATTATGAAATTTTAATTCCATTGCCTAATGAGCGAATTATGAAACCATGGCCTGGAATGCGTGAGATTCGTCAAAAGGCTGCCTATGAGCCCAGGAATGACGCCAGTGTAAAATTCTCGGCCAGTCGGGCCCTGACAGCTGCGTGGCTCCGATGCCGGGCGGATCGACGGCGGACGGGGCTCTTACTTAATCGTATGCCTTTTCAGGCAATGCTGACGGGGCTATGAGTTGGCCGTGCGGACCGAACGGAAAGCACATCAGGCAAGATACCTTTTTCTCCTTGAATCTTGTATACGACAATTTATTCTAATTATTATACAATATATATTTAATTTGATTCAAATTCTCACTCCGGTTTACTATGTTCAATTCAAAAAGGAGAGAAATCCCTACGCTCCTAGGTAACTCACAAAGCATAGACCAGCTGTCTCGGAGACTGGCGTCAGGCTCCGAGCTGACGATGTTTTTTTTAGCTGCTAGGCTGCTAGGGGGAAAAGGAGCATTGAAAATTTGAAAACTCTGACAATTAAGGTCCCAGCTGAGCAGGGGGAAAAAAAAAAGGAAGCTACAGCCTTTAGCTTGCATGTTTCAGGAATCAGCATTCGGATTCGCTCAAAGAAAAAGCCTCCATCGGCACCTTAGGGTAGGGTTGGGATACATGCATTGATGGGCTTAGGAAAACCACGCATTCCACCCTAAACATTCCGGATTCATTGACTCTCTCGGTCGTCCAGACTGTCCAGACCTTCACCCTTGCATACCACCATGATTTTCCAACACATTCCACGTCTGAAACGCGGTCAATTTCAACACGTGGGCCCACGTCACAAACAGGCAACCCGTCTTGTTCTAGACGTTCTCCCTTGCAGAACCCTCTACCGAATCCGGATCCACAAAGGGAGTGTGAGCCTGGTGAGGCACACTCATGCCTTTCAGCTCGATCGGTTGGCTTCGATCTGATGGCTATCGAATCGCGCGAAAAAATTATCTGCTGCGGCTGTTGAAACCCCGGGTTGTCCCATTTCTAACCCGGGTGGACCACGTATTTTGCCTAGTTCATTCTATCCGACGGGCAGCACCAAGCGATCCGCAGTTGAATCGTGTTTCCAGTCTACAGTGACATACTGCCAGGAGATCTCATTAGACAGGAGAAGTCTTCAGGGGGGCTCCCTACAGGGGTCCCAAGGAATAATTGTCAAAACAATACATCGGGCGGTCAGGTAAATCTTGCCACCTGCGGAGGTGGACGATAAGCGCCAATTGCTCAAAACTAATTTTCTAAGGCAGAAAGTCCGGCAGAATTCACATAACCTACAGAAGATAGAAGACAAGGGAAAAGACAAGGGGATAGTCAAATCGGTACTATAGTAATAGGGTCGCCCTAGCCTAAAGATAAGAAGGCATTATGGTAAAGGCGGGTATAAAAGCGGTCGATAAGCTGACCAATTATAGGGTTTAAGCAACTGGTGTTTATCGCCCGCCCCACACCCACCCTCTCCGCCTACTCTATAAGAATTTAGATCATCAGATGATATCATGTAAACGAATCAATGAGATTACGTAGATAGGTAGTGGTCCAGTTGGTAATATAGAATCTGGCAGAAAAATAGCGGGTCATGTACTGATTTTACATTTCTTTTCTTGGTACCCCTGTAGACGGTCGATGGCTAGAACGTGGCCATTCTTCAGGAGTCAGTCCCGCTCGGTAACATCCCTAATTGCGACCTCAAGGTTGCGCAACGTCTCCACAGTGGTGGATCTGGAATGTACGCTTTGCGTCGGCACTTGAGTATCAGGCAGGTATAGTTTTGTCGGCTGCGAAGCATCGCTTTGGTCTTGCAAAGTCCGATGGTAACTTGTAATTCCAGTTCTATTTGATCATTCTAAGCGAGTGGCTTGAATATACCCTACAGTAGTGTATAGTTATGGTTAGTTCCAGTCTATTGTCAGCCCACCAAAGCCACAGTGGCACTTACACTTGCTGGATTGGCTCTGCCGTCTGGGGAAGGATCATCGACTTGACACTTTCGGGCCAGGTCGCGTGGTCGATCCCGGGTAGGGAATATTAATCATGCCACAAACACTGAAACTCATTTCGTTCGAGAATGAAAATTAGGTTCCCGTCCCCGAAGATCCTGTATCAGAACGGATGGACTTCTATTCTCGACACTTCGTCCAATCCTACGGCTCGCCCTTGGTACGAGCCCACCTCGACTGAGGATCTAGGTCTAGAAACCCGATTTCGAGTTGACATCTGTCGTCGCACCAGCTACCATTTTCGGACATAACTATGAACAGCGAGCTGGGTAACGTGCAAATGAGAAAGAATGCTGGTCTGGAATGCTGGCAGCAAAATACCACGTTGTGAGGGGGCCATGTGTCGCTTTGTAGATCGACCTCATCAAAACCATAAGCAAGCCGTCAGTCTATGATCTGCCATATCTGCCTACCTCTGGGACTTTGCGGCACAGGATCCATCCTTCCCAATTGAATAGTATAGTAGCCTCTTCACCTCTTGTAATTAGCCGAGCGATTCTAGTTTTACTGGATGGGAAGTTTATTATGACCTCAAGACGAGGCTTCGGCCGAACCTGAAAGCGAATTCTAGGTTTGAACCTACGTGATCGCAAATCGGACCGGAGGACGGTTCGATGGCAATTACAAAGAGTAATGATCATTAGCACAATTTAGGTTTGGAGATCGGACATTCCATCATGGATAGGTATGTTCTTCTGGAGGGTAATACCGTGAACTCAAGCGCAATGAACAAGTAGTTCTAAGGATATATATTCAAGGCCACAGTCACTTACTAGGTATGCTGCCCGAAAGGCAGGTGAGGTAGCTAGACACTTACTAACGTCAAAACCTAGTTCTGTAACTCTCTCCACCCACTCTCTCTTACTGAGAGATCTTAGGTATCCCAGAATGAGTATTTTTATTCGCCAGACAAAATAAGATTGGCAGTCCGTTCTAGGTTGTACTCCTCGCGCGGAGCCTTGAAGAGCCTGGACTATCCCCGGTTATATCTGATAATTTCTGCGAGAGGCCTAGAAGCGTGCTAATGAATATGAGTACGTGTAAATATATAGATACAGCCCAGTGACTTGGCTGATACCATTTGGTGCTGAATTTTCATTTCTTCTAATATATCCATGGGTAGATAATCCCGTGGATAGATATGTCAGTCATTTAGTGTATAGTAGGGATATCTGCTAGAGACTATCTAGTCTTCGTCCACCAAGAGATCTCCGTGTAGACAGAAACGGATTCAGACATCCACAATACTTAGTCACTGGGCTGTGGCTGTTAGTTACAAAATTCCCAGACTAGTAGTCATCCCAACTCCATCTGGGTTTAAACGCTGGACACAACTAGTTTCCATTAGAATATTCTTCATGACGCGAGGCTGACAACTCCGAGATACACGCGAGCGGCTCTATGTACATTATACTAGATGAATATCGCCATAACATCAACATTGCAATGCAGACCCCCGAATAATGGCAAGCGCCTCCTCTCCCTTCGGAGCAGTAGTGAGGTTCTCATAGCCAGTAGCAGTAACGAGGATATCATCCTCAATGCGAACACCACCGATATGCACATACTTTTCAGCAACGTCAAAGTCAATGTACTTTGCAAAAGGTTGTTTCCGCGCATTCGCCAGAGCAAGCGGCGAGAAATAGATGCCCGGTTCCACGGTAACCACCATACCCTCTTCCAACAATGGAGCAGATAGCGTGCAAGGCGCAAGGCTACCTGCCGGGTTCAGAACCGAGCCGTATTGATCGTGGTCAAAGTCCGGATGCAGAGCCATGATGGAAGACTCGGATACATCGTGAACTTCGAGACCGACGTGGTGGCCCAGACCGTGAGGGAAGAAGACCTTGGATGCGCCCGAGGCTCGGATTTCGGAGAGACTGCCACCCTTGAAGACACCAAGGTGTAGGAGTTCGATGATGGAGATTTCGTGGGCCAGGTCGTGCAGAGATAAGAAGCGCGTTCCTCGGCGGATGCGCTTAATGCATTCCTCTTGCATGCGCTCGACGACCCGGTAAATGTCGCGAGCGTACTTGCTAGGCCATTCACCCGAAAGGGGGAAGGTGCGAGTCACATCGCTAGCATAGCACTTCCATTCGGCACCGGCATCGAGACATACGAGAGGCTTGCCCTTGAGAGATTCGTTGTTTCGATCGTAATGGAGAACTGCCGCGTTGGGACCCGACGCGGCGATAATCTGATACGCTTGGTTCGGGGCACCGTGGGAGATGCAGGTATCAAGGAACGATCCTTCAATTTGGGACTCATTGGTCATCTTTTGGATGTTCTCGAGGATTTTCCGGTGCGCTAGACCAGACACTTTGTTGGCCTGACGGATCAAGCGAATCTCATACTCATCTTTGACACCTCGAGCTGCATCCATGGCAGGCATCAGCTGCTTGGCATCCAGTGGCAGCTCTGCCGGCAATCCCTTGGGAGTCTCCGAGTCATGAACCATATACAACAAGCTACTTTGGACTCGTTCACTCAACCAAGATACCAGCTCCGGCTGGAGTGACGACAGATACAATACTCGATCAACATCATATCGATCCTGAGCATCCTCACGCGACAAGGTTGGGCCCATCCAAATTGCCCGGTGGAGATCAAAGTCCGGCACATAGAGGGTCAAAATATCCAAGCCGATATCATATGTCAGAGCACAGTCAGGCTCGTCCACACCACTGAGATAGTAGAAGTAGCGACGTTGACGGAACGGGCGCGATTGGTCAGAATCGCGCCAATTGACCGTGGGCTCACCAGCGATGAAAATGAGGCCATGCGACACCCCAAGCTTGCGGGCAACGTTGCGCGCATGTTGTTTAGCTATGAGATAGAGGTTCCGATTAGCTCGGATCATTTGGCGAGATTACCGATCGGGAGTCCATTGGAATTCAAGGGCGCGGATTCTAGAGGGCGCAAAAGGGGACCCTTCTCCTGAGGGGGGAGGGCGACATTGAGACTTACCTGGGTATTTATCACAGGAGGTTCCAGTTACGGCAAGGCGGATTTGCAGGGAGTCGACGGCGTTGATGATGACATCGGCCTGGTTTGCCAAGGAGGCGTCGCGGGGAGTACCGCGAGCCTTTACACGCATCGTCTGATCTCCGAGGAAGAAGGTTTGAAGGAAGGTGACAAGTGATAAGTGACGAGAGGAGAGGGGGGGTCACGCTTTAGTTCCAAAGCCCCCAGCCACGCAAGGAGCCACGAGGGAGAGGGGGAGAGGGGAAGAAGAGGAAGGAGGCTTATCCTGAGTAGGGATGGGGGGTCCCGTACTGATACCGCCAATTCTCTCCCGCCTGAGGTCCCAAGGGCTAAAGATGACAGGTTCGAAGGGAATAAAAAAGCACAGTCCCCTTAAGAGAAAAAAAAAGGCACAGAGATCACATTGGATAGGGACTGCAGGAGAAGGTCTAAAAAATGCCCTTTTGATCTTGCCTTGCATTTGAATCGGATGGCGGTGGACGCAGGACCACCGATAGACTAAACAAGCGTAATCAGGACGACTCTAGGCGGCCGGAAACGTCTCGGAGAGAGTCCACCGCCCAAGAGGCTACTTGCTCTCGTCTCATTTACTCATTTATCTACCTACATCCTCCAGTGGCAGACCACTTTCATAGTTCCTGGCCAACTAAACCTTGCAAACAACTACTTTATCTCTTTTATCTCTCGCTGGTTGATCGGCCAATCCTACCCACTTTTTCCTATTTTCTGCCCGCCACCTCGACCGCCGGCCCACTTCTTCCACTTGGGCTCGGACACCCACTCTTTGGACGGACTGCGACTCCACGACCACTGCAGCCTCACGCCTCTCGTATCTTCCTCTTCCATCACTCATTCTTCCTGATCTCATTGCCTGCGTCTCATCTCCTACACCTCTTTGTCAGTCAATGAACGATGCAGAGCCCTGAGGCATCGGGCCCCGGTGCGCTCGCTGGCCTGCCCTCTACTCTCCAATCGGTGATAGCCACTCCGTCGACGTCACCGCTCGACCTCATCCCCCAGGCGCAGACCATCCCAGCCGCTACTCAGACTGCGGCTGCCTTCTCACAACGCCAAATACAAGAAAGCCTGCAAAATGTCATCTCCAGTCTGTCCTCCTCGTCCGATGCCGCCGGGCACGTCGTTGCCGCCAGTGACGACTCCTCCGGCTCGACCGGCAAAGGCATCTTGATAGGCATCCTATCGGCCTTTGGATCGGCAGCGATTGCATTCGTGGTGCTTGCGATCTTCTTTTTCTTCAAATATACCCGTCGCGGGCGGATTATGCTCGATCGCATTGGTCGCCCCGGTGAATATGACGATGAACAAGCATTTTTGCGGGAGGAAGAAGCGGCGCTGGAGACGATGGATGACTTGACGAGGTCAGAGTATCTACGAGCGAAAGGTAGGCTACAAGTCGATCCAGAAAGCGTCAATACAATAAAGCTCTTACTGACACCCGATCCAGCTTTCGTCCAGGCCTATCCTCCAGAATCCATGCAAACCGATATTTCGCTGTCGCAGTTCCTCGCTATTCAAGAAAAGGGCGTATCCGCTTGGGAATTCCAACCAGAATTAGAAATTGCCAACTGTTTTGTGGAAGGACGCACGGAAATTGAGTTCTTCGATTCGGAGTGCAGCGTGCAGACCAACCTACCTCTTCCGAAACAAAACGAGGTCTATTACTGGGAGGCCAAGATCTATGATAAGCCAGAGTCGACAATGATCGGTATCGGTCTGACGACTAAACCGTACCCTCTTTTCCGGATGCCTGGTATGACTCTCTCCGACCGTCTTGGTTGTTTCTTGCAGACCCGCTAACCAGCCACTCTCTAGGCTTCCACAAAACATCTGTTGCCTACGAATCAACCGGCCACCGCCGACACAACCAACCATTCACGCCGACCCCATATGGCCCACCACTCCACCAAGGCGATGTTATTGGCGTCGGCTACCGACCACGATCGGGGACAATCTTCTTTACTCGCAACGGCAAGAAGCTGGAAGACGTCGTCCACAATTACCGCGCCCAAAATCTGTTTCCCACAGTTGGAGCTAACGGCCCCTGCACAATTCATGTTAATTTCGGCCAGATGGGCTTCGTATTCATCGAAGCCAATGTGAAGAAATGGGGCCTCGCCCCCATGACAGGCAGCCTCGCCCCGCCCCCACCCTATGGCAGCGAGCAAGGCAGCATTCTTCTCGAGTCTGGCCGGGAAAGCGCCGCTTCAATTTCCCAGCGCGTTTATCAATCATATAATGCTCGAAGTGCCGGTATCGGGATTCCTCAGGCCGTTAGTCCCGGTCCAATTCGATCTCCGACCGATATTTCCCTTGCCCAGCTGGCCCATATCCCATCCAACGAGGATGCTGGGGAGGGCTCCAGCCGCATCGGAGTGGATGGAGAAGATGCCAGTACCCCCGTGGCTGGTCCTTTGGCGGGCGCTCCGGAGGATCACGAGGCTCCACCTCCAGAGTATTCAAGTCCGGGAGGCAGCCGCAGAGGTAGTGATGCTTCTTTAGAGTTCCCTGCTCGAGGCTCCGGGGAATCGAGCCCACCTCCGAATGCTGATACCGCCGATCTTGGATCTCAAAATTTACCCAGCTATCAAGCCGTGGTCGATCGGGATTTCAATGAACGTCGATAAAAGCCGTGCCTCGCGTCCGGCGTCGAGCCTTCTTTTCTTATATTATACGTCTCTTTTTTTCGAACATACCCTCTCGTTATGGTCTTTGTTGTCTCTTTTCGTGCTTCGACTAAGGTCGGACCACTCTCTACCTCACTTTTTCTTGAACGTTTCTCTTTCTACACTTAGCGAGTCCACGGATGGCGTTTTAGCAACTCGGGTGGGCTGGTTCTCGGAACATGCTTTTTGCTTATTAGGGAATTCTCTGGGGGGCTTTTTATCTTGGGATGAACTGGGTTTTATGTTTTCCATTGGACCAAAACGATCATGTACAGGACCAAGCGATCTTTTGCTCTCTCTTTCCATCAATCGCTCATTGTTACCCCTGGTCACTGTTATACGTTGTCAGCAGCCGGCCTGTACATTTTGTCATCTAGCATCCTCATCTCTCGGGAGGACTCCTGAAGTTCAAGCATCTATACTCTCAACCATTGATCTGGCTGGACATTTGCCGCTGCTTCGAAATACTTCTTTAAAATCATGTCGTAGGTTGATGTAATTTCCTCTCTAATAGCTAAGACGGTAAAAAGCAACTCACATGGGATTGTATAGATTCTATTACCTGGGGCTGAGTGTACGAAAGAATCGACACCTCGAGAATTCTATCATTTACTTCCAGTTGAAATCAGAGGTCGTAACTGCGAGGAAGCTTCTGTGGAGTAGGTGCGGCCTCCGGCGGGTGAGGTTTTTTTATATTTAACATCCCTACAGGATTTTCCCTTTTTAAAATCTTTTTCATTATATTTTACTTATATTAAATTAACCACTAAATCTTATATAATATAATAATCTCTTTTAAATTATTCAAAAGGCAGTCTGGTGGCATTAATATATGTTGTTTCCTGGGTGCGGCATCGCGGTTGAAGTCGCGGGCTGTACATGAAGGAAGCATCGTCATGAAGTACATAGGGAGCGAGAGGTCGCGGGTTCGATTCATGGCGAGGGCGACTCTTCTAAGACTAGCCCGCAATAACAGTACGCCGGGCAAAAAAACTAAAGGGATCGGCCTGTCGCCCCATTTGCCAGCGGAACGTCATTGATTAACGTTTCGATTAGACTCGTACCCATGGATCGTCCGCCCACTTATCAGCTCCGCATCCTGTGACCTCGACCCTTTTCTTCCTGGATGCTACGAATTGACCAAAAATCAGTGCAGAATGTGAAGAGGACTGTAGGCCTCCCAGCCTCCCCCCTTCTCCCAGTCTCCACAATAAGCAATTGCCAATCTGACTTGGCTTCACAGTGCCCCAAAGGTGGAGTTGAATGCGCCAAGGCCAGCCCCCAAGTTGCCCCGAAGCTCTGAGCGCGTCACAGATCCTCCGCAAATCTCATCCTCGTCAAACCTCGTCTCACCCGAGTCAAATATCCGATTGAGCTTCAGTTTAACCCGAGAGTGTCTCGACTGCGCTAGGTCTCAGCGCTTTGTACAGCAACCCCCACAAAGAACAAAGCCTCGGATCCGCCCCGATCGGCTGAGATATTGCAGCGCCATACATTGTTGTGCGCAGGGCTCGTTGTCGCTGCAGCTGTGGCTACCTGGGAACACAATCCTTGATCACCATCCAATCGGCGCTCTGCTACTAGGGTTTTACGTGCAGTAGCGTCCTGTGCTGTGCTGCAGCCTGCACTTTGGAGCGCCTCTCTTGCTGGTTGTACAAACTGGGGAAAGGGTCCCACCACTGGGCGGAGTCTTACGTCTCGTTATTTTTCAAAGCTACAAGCGCGCCTGACTTTATCTGCAGCCAACGTGCACCTGCCTCGCCTGCGCTTGCGGTATCACACGTCTTTGCCCGACACTTTTATGACTGACTCGTTGTGATTCCCGCTCCTTGTCTCTGACCGCACTTCTCCACGGTTACTGCATCAATACTGGCACTAAGGGTCGAGCTCGGCGTCTGCGTCTTTCTCTATTATTTTGCGAAAGACACAGTCTTAAATACCACGTTGAGGCTTAGGCAACATCTAGATCTAGGCCCAACACTCTGAGCTAGCCGCGCCTCAACTTCTCTAGCAGCAGCAGTTGACCAATCTACACCACTTGTAGATTGGTCGTTATTAGGGTGAGACAACCACATTTCTTCCAACCAGCACATTATTAACAGGCATCAAGGTTCCTGGCCTGGTTACTCCCTCATTCAGAAGGCCAAGGCTTACTGATCCGTGTCTCACGCACTGAAGAACGCGGTGACGTGCGTGAGCAAACAATGGCAGAAACAGGAAAACCTGCGTTCCAAGTCATTGTCTTGGTGAGTTTCTCTCGATTTCCATCTTTACCTCTTTACTGCCACCTATAAGGGTCACGTGTTAGATATCGGCGTCTGTGATCTACCATCTAGTACCCCACCCCCTGTCCCTCCGTTCTTTGCGCTTTGAATGATGTGGATCCACCCCCGGATTCTAGCGTCCTCGGTCTGATTGATCAGAATGCTAACCCTGTATAGGGTCCCAATGGCGGTCCCCGAGAAGACAGCGTCACTGGTCTTCTTGTGCGATCAACATCCATGAATTGGTGTCCCGGCTCAGTCGTTGCCGTAGATGCGGGAACGCTGCTTGCGGGGATTATTCGCGTACTGAAGCAGTTCCTACCTGATTCCAAAAATGAAGAGGGAATCATGACCGCCGGGCCCTTCCAAGGTCTTCAACTACCCGCCCAAAGTGCTGAAGCCAATGCTGCACATATCTTCCGAGAGATCATCGGCGCCGTCTTGATAACACATCCTCACCTGGATCATATCTCGGGATTGGCGATCAACACACCGATCTTGGAAGCGGGAAATGGACCTAAACCTGTGGCGGCTCTTCCGTCAGTACTATCCGCAATCAAAAATCACATGTTTAACGACATTATCTGGCCGAACTTGTCCGATGAGGATGGTGGTGCTGGTCTGCTCACGTACCAACGCTTGGTTGAGGGCGGAAACACGAGGTTCGGTAGTGGAGAGAGTAGGGGTTACGTTCGCGCCTGTAATGGCCTCTTGACCAAGTGTCTAGCTGTCAGTCACGGTCGTTGCAAACAGCGATATCATCCCGAGTCCGCTGCGCATCACAGAATTGGCAGTACCGTATTTCCATCAGAGCAGTTGATGCTGCCCTCTCGAGCGGTTTCCATGGATCATACCGATGGGAGGTGAGCAAGACATAAGCGATACATTATGGCTTCATGCCAGGAAACTCAGATGCTAATAATATGCCAGTTTTTACTCCCCGGCTCGCTCGCCACGTCTCCTCCCAGCCAATGCCAAAGAGCCCATGATGGCTACAGTCGAAAGCTCCGCATTCTTCCTCCGCGACCACCGCACTGGAAAAGAGATCATCATATTTGGAGATCTCGAGCCAGACACGATCTCTCTCGAACCCCGAAACAAACGCGTCTGGGAGGCCGCTGCCCCCAACGTCCACGCAGGCACACTGCGGGCCATTTTTATTGAATGCTCCTTCACTGATAACATCGACGATGCCTATCTCTACGGCCACCTGTGCCCTCGACACATGGTCGCCGAGCTGAGTGTACTCGCCGCAAAGGTCATGGCCCTTCGCGACCCTGCATCATTGCCAGATAAGAAGCGCAAACGACAAAATACCAGCTTTGGCGATGGTACAGGAAGCCCAGTCAGTCCACGGACGAAACGGGGCTCCAACCCCTCGATCGAGAAGGAGCAGAAAGTGGAACCTCGCTCGGGTGATTATTACGGTGTAGATCTGACCGAAAGCTTTGGCGATGGCACCGACAGTAAGGATGTCGAAGTGCCTAATATCGCAAGCTGGGCAGATGCTGATCCCTTGCCGCTGACTGGGCTATCTGTTTACATTATTCATATCAAGGAGAATTTGACTGATGGACCTCCTCCTCAAGAACAAATTCTTCGGGAACTTCGGGAACATGCCAAGGAGGCGCATTTGGGGTGTGAATTCTTCCTTCCGGACCCGATGGAGGGAATTTGGGTTTGAATGGGATGGGATGGGTGCTGGGAAAGGAGCATCCCTTGTTTTTCTCTTTTCGCGGGTTTCTAGCGCGGCGGTGTTTTTATTGTTTCTTGTTTTTGGGAGGATAGATGGTTTTTTTTCTCATGGATATTTACATTTACTTCTCAGTACATCTTAAACAACATGCCTTTCATAGGTTGATTGATTAAAAAGAGTCGTTGATCATGTGCATGCCTCTAGATCTCGAAAGAATTCTTGATCACGACCTCGGTTTATTCAAATCGAGCTCCGTATCCCCAATCTGGTCAAACACTTGATGTACACCACAACCTCCTAAACCAAGATAATAGCAGCCCCGAGGACCATACTCAAAACAGTCACAGCAAAGAAAAGACCCATGACATCCCACGATCCCGTCGTAGATGACAATCTTACCGCAGCATTAGACGTAGCCGCCGCCGTCGCAGTAGCCGTATAATCAGCCGGTTTATGAATCATCGTCACGAAAGGCAGAACCGAGTATGCGACGAGAGTGCTCGTATAACTTGGCTCGAAAATGACGGCTAAGGTATGAGTAAGAGGGACAGTGCCCACAAGCGTGTAGATACTAGCTTCAATCGTCTGCCCGTCGAACCAGAATGTGCGGTCGACTGCTGAAATATCTGCGGGGGGAATCCCGTTCTCGCAGCCGGTGGTAAACTTGTAGTCTGGTAGGGTTGAGTAGCATCCAATGAATGGGCCTGCGGTCATGGAACTATACGTCCAGTTGATTAGATATGTTCAGTCTAGACTTGATAGTTAAGACTTATGCGTTGAGTTACCTCGGGCAACAAATCATCGCCGTCTCGCTCGGATCCAAGAGTTGCATAAGCACATTTGCGGGTTCATTGAAAATACCCCCGTCAACACTCGTCGGTATAGCGGAAGGACTAAAAAGGCCAGACCAAGTCACCGATGCGGTTCCCTTCCGCGAAGCAAGGCCGGCAGTCGTCCATCCAGATGGACAGTACAGACCCGGTGAGAAATATGCGTCTTGGAATAGATTCGTCGGGTTTAGGTTGGTCGCTAGTGCTGGATCGGTGGATGTACCCGTTGGAACGCAGCTGAAGTCTTTGACTTGGCAGCTTGCGCCGTACAAATACTGTCCTGGGCGCTGAGTGATTCCTATTCTCACGTCGCCTACTGAAGTGGCGCAGCTGGCTGGGGCTGTCCAGGTCGTTGTTAGGGGACCTAGGTTGTGGAATGTGAATTCAGAGAGGACGGACGATGTGGGCATTTTGCTGTTTCGCTGGCTGATATGGAGTGATTATGTTTGAATTGACTAGTCTGTCGGTTGTGTCAGTTAGGAGGAGAGGGGGTATTTAGGGGGATTAAAGGGACTATATGTACAAGTACATTATGGCATAGCCGGAACTAGTTCTGAGACAAGCATTGGGGAAAGGAGCCTCAGGGGCTTAGATATTAAGCCCGAAGCCACATTCCATCTAATTATACAGGGTTGCTACGGATTCATGTCCGCGATGCTGCGAGTAAGCACTAGAACGACCGTCGCGTCCAATGGAGCCTCTGTGACTCTCGGCTCTCAAATCGCTCGGATATAGGGTTACGTAACCTGGTTGAAGACATGGCCAATAATTCTCAAGCAGGATGCTATTATACATGTTGAGAGCCCGAGGCGGAGCTAAGGCTAAGCTTTTTCTTTGTTCGATGAGCCGCAGATTTGATACCGGAAAGCCGAGTATTTGAGCTTATCTAGTTTCCCTAGGAGGCTCGGGGCGGGGGGGGGGGAATCGTAGGAACGCTAAAGTTTTATTCTCAGGGACGCAGTATACTACATTTTGAATGATAACTTCCCCCTTCTTTACTGAAATGATTTAGATATACCTGAACGCCTTTAAGCTTTGATACTGAAATTCGGGTGTGCGGAGCTTATTTCCTGGATGGGATATGTATACGATTATAGTGGACTCCTAATAGCCTGCCCTACTAACAATATCGTACCCCATATGAACTATGTGACTTTTCTTCTAAGATTCAACTCAAAACTGACATACGCTTACCCTGCAATCTAGCCCATCTTATCCTTAGAGATCGCCAGAACATTTCAGTCGAAATACCCAGCATAGTCAGCATAACCTAGGTCGTCAAGAATAAGCCCCACCGCCTCCCCGCGAATCCCCAGCGCCGCCGATAACCGAGGCTCGTTTTGGGCTCTTTCCCTTGTGATTTATTACTCTTCACGTTCACCTTCTCTCCTTCCTTTTCCTTTCTCTATTCGCACACGACAGAATCATACCCCTCTATACTCTACACCCCCTCATTACTGTCGCAATGGCCTCCATCACCCGCGCCTTGCGACCCCTGTCGCGCACTACTCCCTCGGCACGCCTGGCCTCCAAGCGCCTAGCTACCGTCCGCCCAGTTCAGAGGTATGTCAAATCCACACCGACACGGACATGCGGATGCCGCTTGAATCGGTTTCAAAGATCAATCCTCAACTGACACGCCCCGATCTACAGCGCTTATGCCTTCTCGACTACAACCCGCCGGCAGGAGGCCGACCTCTCCGAGCTGACCCCAACGCCCATCTCCCACTTGTCCGAGACCGAGACCATGATGGCCGACATGGTGTCCAAGTTTGCCTCCGAACAAATCGGCCCGAAGGTTCGGGATATGGATGAAGCCGAGACGATGGACCCCTCCGTCGTCGAGGGGCTCTTCGAGCAGGGTGTCATGGGTATTGAAATCCCCGAGGAGTTCGGCGGAGCGGGCATGAACTTCACCGCCGCTATTGTCGCGATCGAGGAGTTGGCGCGTATCGACCCCAGTGTCAGTGTCATGGTCGATGTCCACAACACCCTCGTCAACACTGCCATTATGAAGTACGGCGATGCCCAGGCCCACCGCACTTGGTTGCCCAAGCTGAGCACTGGCACCGTCGGCTCTTTCTGTCTGTCCGAGCCCGTCTCCGGATCGGACGCTTTCGCCCTGCAGACCAAGGCTGAGAAGACCGCCGACGGCTACAAGATCAACGGCTCCAAGATGTGGATCACCAACGCCATGGAGTCTGGCATCTTCATTGTCTTTGCCAATCTCAACCCCAGCGCCGGATACAAGGGTATCACCGCTTTCATTGTTGAGAAGGGTACCCCCGGTTTCTCGATCGCTAAGAAGGAGAAGAAGCTCGGTATCCGGGCTAGCAGCACCTGTGTGCTTAACTTTGACGACGTCGTCATCCCCAAGAGCAACATTCTCGGCGAGGAGGGCAAGGGTTACAAGATCGCCATTGAGATCTTGAACGAGGGTCGTATTGGTATCGCTGCTCAGATGACCGGTCTGGCGCTCGGTGCCTGGGAGCACGCTGCTCGGTAAGCGGTTTTCCCTACAGACTATGCCAATTCCATGCTAATCAATATATTACAGCTACGTCTGGAACGACCGCAAGCAGTTCGGCCAGCTCATTGGCGAGTTCCAGGGCATGCAGCACCAGATCGCGCAGGCTTACACCGAGATCGCCGCCGCGCGAGCTCTGGTCTACAACGCTGCCCGTAAGAAGGAGGCTGGCCAGGACTTTGTCAAGGACGCCGCCATGGCCAAGCTCTATGCTTCTCAGGTTGCTGGCCGCGTGGCTGGCTCCGCGGTCGAGTGGATGGGTGGTATGGGCTTCGTCCGTGAGGGCATTGCCGAGAAGATGTTCCGAGACAGCAAGATCGGTGCCATCTACGAGGGAACCAGCAACATTCAGCTGCAGACCATTGCCAAGATGCTGCAGAAGCAGTACACGAACTAGACTAGAAACCGACTGCCAGTTAGTTTTGATTTTTGGGGGTTTTCCTTCTGCGATAAATATGGGTCGACATGCGCGCATTGATGATGATGTATTGTACAGTTTTCGCAGTTTTAGGAGTATAGGGCATCAATGATTGGAATTGATCAAGGCATTCTCTATCGTATCCCCTTCGTGTACTATCAGTATGTGCCTTGTAGGACCAGCACCAGTCTTGCATCACATATTTCGATAATCGCTGGACGATCGAGCCATTACCAAATGGCCATACGCCAAATGTCACAGAATCTGAGAGTAAAAAGAAGTGGCTCCGCCATGAATCGAACCCTTGACCTTCGCATTCCCTATATACTTCACTAAAATGCTCCAGCCCGATCTCACGATGCCGAAGTACATATAGCCCGGGACTCAACCGATAGCATACTCCCGTCTACACCCCTCTTAACGCGTTAATTTTTCTAAGAAAATATAATATAATCTTATATTTTAAATAACGTAAAGATTATACTATTTTTTTTAAAAAAAAATAAAAGAAGAAATCGGCGAGCGGGGGGTTTAGCCGCTCGCCCACTCTCCCCCTTGGGGTGTGCCTGGTCATCCGTGGAGTTGTGCTCGACATCGGATACCAGTCAACCATATTTCCCCTCAATTTTCCTCCACATGGGCACACCCTTGGCCAACCAGGTGGCGACAAACCTGGCTGACCAACTAGGCCATATGAGGGGGGAGATTACCTGGAAGAACTGGAAGTTGGTGATAACCCTTGGGGTGCCTACATTTGGAGTATTAACTACGGGATTGTATATGATGTATTTGGTTATATTTCTTGTTGAACCTATCATGACTATGATCTATATTACTCATGATCATCTATATTCCCTGAGAGCATCCGCCTTGTAGACATGATAGTATGTAGTTGATCCTAGAAGGATAATTCAAATTGGGCTTGACCATCTTTTCAATAGAAGAGCCCGTAGCTGGGAGGACGCTTCTCACATTCAGCATCATCTTGTGGGCCTTTTAGCCCTTTTCTAAGGCAACCCCTTGTTGTGTGTGGCATGTTCAGGGTTGTGTAGTTGGGAAGTTTCGTAATCGCCTGCATAGGGGGATCTCGACCAGCCAGCGGCCACCACATTCCGTAAACATTCGTCATGCTTTTTCGCCGGTCCGTCGGCGTCAAACAATATTCCGAGACCATAACAAACCACGACAGCTTCTTAAAGAGTCGGTGAATCCAGTTTGTGGGACGTTGAGGTCGGAATCCGTCCGAGGGTCGCGGGCCGGCTATATTTTCCTCTTCAGTCGTGCTTATCCTGCATGTTCGACTTTTGTTTGCTTGGTCTCCGCAAAAGGAATCGCCCCTGCTAGTCGAACAACGAACATGGTCAGTTACATCGATCAATGTTGACCCTTTGAGAGTGCTAACGTACCTCCTCAATAGGGTGTTTTAAGCGCTCGTGTCGAGAGGCGCTTTTAGACTATTCCTCAAACAATGTGGCGTTTCTTCAGGAGCTGGACTGTGCTTTTTCTCCTCTGTTTTCCCGGCCGGTGTGATACTGTTTCACCTCCTTCCATCGACGCCTAATGGGTAGCGCTGCTTTTGCATCGAAATTTTTCCATTATCCATTTGGTCACGACGGCGGGTTCCATGGATATGGATATGACGGATCTCTCTGCGGAGGCTGGCCCGGGTGATTTTGGTATGGGGCATTCGACGGTGGATACGGCGGGACTGGAGTTGACTGAGTCGGAGCGCTAACGCTAGGCATAGACAGAGACATCGTTCGATGACCCGGCATGTATCCAACGGCGGGTTGGTTCATCGACGACTGGGGAACAGACTGCAGCCCGTCCCCTCGCTGGCCTGGTGGTTGATGCTGTCCCACGGGATACATCTGGGAGAAAGAAGACTCCGACCCTGACTGAGTTGGGCTGGCGGCACTCCCAAAGCTGAGTTGAGGTGTTGGGAGAGGGCGAGAGGGCACCACCATGCGTGAAGATTGCTGCAACTGTCCCTCCATCATATATGGATCCACACGAGCCGAGAATTCCGGGTCCGACGACTCGCCCAGCGACGACGATCGTGTGCTCGAGTATGACTGCTGCCATTCATGGGGGTGGGATGATCGGCTTGAGACTGACAATGCTGAGGCCGCTCGAGGGACATTTGCCGAGAGATGAGTGGGTGCAGGGAAGTGTGACGAGTGCATCATCGTGTTCGTCGTGGGAATACTAGACGCTGCCGTACTCGGCCCTTCACCCAGATTCCATCCACTGCGAAAGGGGCCAGTCTGCTCACCACCACCTGCAAAGCCCTGTCGACCCGTATAACCGGCTAGTTGGTGCTTCAACCGAGCAATCTCCTCTTGCAGGGCGGCGTTTTGTCGAACCAGCTCATCGAATTGTTCGTTCCGCGGCCGCATTTCGCTCACCTGAGCCTGGAGCATGGCGACTTGTTGCTCGAGTTGCTCGATATGCTCCTTCGTTCGCTGGCGGATAGATCGTTGGGCCTCTCGATCATTGGCCCGCTTTCGCTCCAACTGTTCGGCAGATAGCGAGGCGACCTTTTTTCGAGTCGTACCCGAGCGGGACTCCCGCCTTTTGGGCGGTCCCCCTTCCTTGCTACTACTCATGATCTTTCTGGACTTGGGGGTGTCCAACTTGCTCCTTGATAACGAATGACAGCCGGTCTCTCCGTGGACCAGTTCTCGCGCACTAAGAGGGCGTTGTAGGTGACCATGGATCCAGCACGTGTCACCGGGAGAAGCGAATGCAGCATCCAGAGAGACCCGACGGGAACTCCTTCCAAAAGATAACCCCTTGGGGTATTTGCCAGGACCGATTTTGGGGCAGTTTTGTTTCCTGGTTCGTTGCGGGCGGCCCCCCCTGTACGCCGGACCGAGCAGGGGCAGGGTAGAGGGGGAGAAAAGAGAGTAGCTCGAGCGGATTCCAAGACTGAACAGCCAGGAAGATAGTGGGTAATCAGATTGCCTGATCAACTGCTAGGAACGAAAGCAAGACATTTTCTATTCCAAGCGATAGGACATACCGTCCTGATGGGCCGACCTCGTCTATTTATTTCGGGAATGCAGAGCCTTAAATAAGGTCGCCTGTCACCAGATGCAAGAGCCTACATTTGCCCTTCTCCGGATCGTCGCTAGCATCAAAGCCAGGCCCCAAGGACAGGCAATCTCCCGGTGATGCGCACCCAACGGCTGAGCGTTGGTCCAGAGGCGGCCAATGAACAAGAGACAGCCGCACGAACCCTGTGGGTACTCACAAGCTATGGGCATGGCGCCTTTTGGGGCCCTTTGGCCCTTTTTCGTATGTAGCTCGGCCCCGTTAGAGGAAAAGGTCGGCCTTCTGCAATTTGGTGGGAGATTGGGGCCCTGCTCCTGCCAGGACGAGCTAGTTGCGTCGAAGATGCACCGGGGGTTTTAGTTTTCCATGTTTCTATGAGCCCTGACCAGCAATCTCCTATCGTCCACCTATGACCTACGCGCTTGAGACCCTGGCAAAGACCTATAGACCGATTAATGCATCCAACAACGAAAAGGCCCCCCTCGATAGTTCACCCGCATAAATTGTTGGTGACATGCTATACTTCGGTACATGGCTCTGTTAGCCGGTGCATGCTTAGCGGCTCAGTCTGCCTTCTCTTAGTTCGCTTGGCCTGCAAGGCTTCTCCCGTTTCGCTTTACGTTAAGCGATCTGAATCTTATGGGGGGAAACATCTCCAGCAAGCATGATTCCTTGGCTCGGAGAGTCTCCATTTCTAGAAGCCTCAACTACCGCGCATCTCCGTCTCTGGCTGCAAGGCCAAGTCCGCTAGCCTTTCAGAGTTTGCGGACTAGTATTTAGTTATGCCTATGGTGACAGCCGTGCACGATGTGACGGGGGGGGGGGGGTGGAAAGCTGGCGAGTGGGGATGGGAGGGAGACGCTTTTGGCCCCCAGAATGCAGACCCCGAAATCTGGCGCTTTCTGAATCAATAAGAACGGAGTGGAATCGAGTCACCTCCTTCTCGAAAAGAACGATCCCCTGCAAAAAACGGATGGCCACGTGGACGATCGTTGGTGAAATGCCCATGGATAATTTCCTCAACCCTTGTCCATGGAAGTCGGACCAAGTTTATAGACCGTTTCTTTGTACAGAGTATGTTGGTTTCTTTTACAAAACCAACATTGCTAGGGAGGCCCACTTAACGAAGCCCCTAAGTGGACAGTTCAGCCTGGAGAAAGGCGCTTGTGCATGGAAGATCGAGGCACTACCGTTACCGCTCTAACTACGTTCGATGATCCTTGTTAGGCGCCTACGCGAGAAGTGGAGGTTGAGGTACCGGTCGAGTTGGTCACCAACAGCGCGAGACTGGCGTGCATCGGTACATCCGTTGCTTCTTTCACAGAGTTTGCATTTTTCTTTACGTCCAGTTCGCAACGGACGAGGACGAATCATTTGCGTCCGAATCGGGCTATCGAAAATGACACAGTCCAACTATTTGGAATCATTAGTTCCATGGAAGCCGATGACTCCGCACGAGGCAGTCATAGGGTAGGGCGCAACATCTGCCCCCCCCCCCCACCAGCATCTCAACCAGTCTAATCAGAGCTAACTTCGCACAGGTTAATTTGAGCACAGAAGCTAAACTTGTCAATCATGTCGCCAATGAGTTGCGGCCCGGCACTAATCCCCTAGACCCGGTGGCAGTGGACCAATTGCGTGGCCCCAGGGCATCGATCACGATCTGGTCAAGTCACAGCCTCGTGTCAATCTGGGGCGGTCTCGCTTCTCGACCGATCCGTTTGGTTTTGTGGACGGTGGCTTTGGTGGGAACTTTCGATAGGTTCTTGATCGACATGGGGGGTATATACATGTACACCTATGCCGGGGGATCTTTTTATGATTTGAGGGGCTGGGCCGGAAGATCATTGTCTGTCAAGACAATCCAGCAAAAAGACGAGAAATGAGGGATGATGGCCGTGGCCAGCCTTGCCAGGAACTCAAATTCCCCCAGATCGCCGTGGCATCTTCCTCCCTGGCCCTCTCGTGTAAGGTTGGAGTCGATCGATCAGGGCCGCCAAGCTCGGCCGACCTCATGAACATTCCCCTGTGGACAAATGATCATCTATTGTTTTTCGATGACGAAAAATCGAGCCTTGAATCTCATTATAGTTGATAATCCCCGCCTGCTATCGACAATAATGTACTATTTACCTAGCTCCTTGGTTCAAGAATCTAGAGATCGACTATGAAGCTCGAGCCTAAATGTCATCTAGCTGTTTCCCCAAACATTAGAACCTTGTTTTAAAATCTTATGCACGTGTACAAGAGTCATACAATTTTCACTTAAGTTACAATATTACTATGAGCATGTACAGCATCCTCAATTATGGTAGTTGTCTTAGCTTTCGTACATCGTCAAGTAGATCGGACGTATCAGGTGATTGCCACGGTGTCCGCGTCGTTTCCGCGTGGAGCTTGGAATTCCTCCGCTTTCCAACATCCCGCACTCCAATCACTACGGAGGACCAATTCCAAGCTCTCCATGGAAGCTAGGGCATTACACTCATTTTTCTAGATCCGATACACCCAGCTCAATATGGATCCGAGCTACAAGGCTCGAAAGGAGGCTTTCGTCTCGAACCTAGCAGGAAGCAACATTGGCGATATCAATGCCGTCTCTTTTGTCGCATCGGTAAGATGACAGGAGCTTCAATCTCAATGCAACTATATCCTAACCAATATTTGCATATCTAGGCATCTGTTCTCCTCTGGTCTGCTCTTCAGTCCCGACTATCCTTCTTCACACCCTCCAGCCCGGCCTCGCTGTTGACAGATTTCATCCTCAATGTGCTGGCAATCCTATTCGCGACGACTGCTTACTCTTCCGCGCCCGTTCTCCTAAATATCTTCCTCGTCACACCCGCCGTCCTTCTTTACCTCACGCAACCTCCTCAGCGCTCCCAGCAAAAGGCAAAACCTCCCCGCAAAGCCGTTGGCAAGGATGACACCCCCCAGAACCAGGTAGAGTCCCTGCCCGTGCACCCATTCCTTACGACCTACCGGGCAGCCATGATGGTTGTTACCTGCGTGGCAATTCTCGCAGTTGATTTCCGAGTGTTTCCGCGCCGCTTCGCGAAAGTGGAGAACTGGGGAACGTCGTTGATGGATCTGGGTGTGGGCTCCTTCGTCTTCTCTGCCGGTGTGGTATCGGCGCGTGTGGTTTTGAAAAGTCGCGCCTCTCGATCTAAGAAGACTCCGTTCATTGGGCGACTGATGAACTCCGTGCGCCACTCGGTTCCTTTGCTTGTGCTTGGTCTCATCCGCCTCTGGAGTGTGAAAGGCCTGGACTACGCAGAGCATGTAACTGAATATGGAGTTCATTGGAATTTTTTCTTCACATTGGGCTTTTTGCCCCCCTTTGTGGAGATTTTCGACTCATTGACAGCATTGATTCCGTCTTATGAAGCTTTGGCTGTCATTATCTCTGTCATTTACCAGGTGGCTCTCGAGTCAACCGAGCTCAAGAGCTATATTCTGGTTTCTCCCCGAGGCCCAGATCTCTTGTCCAAGAACCGTGAAGGTGTTTTCTCATTCCTGGGTTATCTAGCCATCTTCCTTGCTGGCCGAGGTGTCGGCACTCGCATCATTCCTAGGGGCACATCCGCCTCCAAAACCCCCCAGCAGGCACGAAAGTCTGTGCTGGTGAGCTTGGTCCTGCAGGTGATGTTCTGGTCAACCATGTTCTTCTTCAACTCATCCTATGCATTTGGGTACGGAGCGAACATCTTGGTCTCCCGGCGCCTTGCCAACATGCCTTATGTATTGTGGGTTGCGGCCTTTAACAGTGCTCAAATTCTGTTATTTTGTTTGGCCGAGACTCTGTTCTTCCCGTCGGTTCACCGAGCCACAAGCAAGGAGGGAGAGGAAGAGCGAAATGCCTTTGCGACCAGCCGAATTCTCCACGCATTCAATCGTGGTGGTCTGGCGATCTTCCTGGTTGCCAATCTCCTCACAGGTGCCGTCAATCTGAGTATTCCAACCTTGGATGTGAATACCCCGCAGGCAATGGGTATCCTGGTCGCTTATGCTGCGATCTTGACTGGACTTGCTCTGGTCATGGACAAGTACAATTTCAAACTACGTCTGTAGTTGTATTTAATATTAGACTATTTAAGCTTATACGTTGTACCAAAAATCTTGAGATCACCGCATCTTTCCTCTTGTCTATACACAGACTAGTCAGTTGGTATAATAGAGTCCTGATTCTTTGACCAGTGCTCTCTTTGTAAGTTATTACGATGACGTTCATCATTTACATACTACAGGTAGAGTGTCAGCTGACCTCAGGGCTGAGCCTCGGCATGTGACGATTACGTAGGACTATCTCTTAACTCCGTCTGAGGAATGCTCCATGTCAACAAGCGATCAGCTCCCGACAATATGAGTTCCGATAATCTCTCATTTTTGAACTACCCAGAGCCCCAAGAAGGCCCCAAAGTACCGTACAAGAATGAAACTCAGACCATCCCGGTGTTTCGAGGTACTCCGTTGGCGATCGGCGCGACATTGTAAGATGCGACGGAGCTTATTGCAGCTGACGCGGCACAAATTTGCTAATACATCGATACGCAAACTAGAATTCATAATATCGGTTTCATCCAGAGTCAATTCTGGCGTAATGCTGGCTTTGATGTCATTCGCCAAATCCCCCATCTCAACGAGTACGCCGGCCGTTTTGATCCCACCGTGATTCCCGTCGACAATGCGCCCAGTGGTGATGTCCCAACGCCTCCAGTGCAGAGGAGGAAAGGCGATAAATACTACTATACTTCCGCCGACTACCATGCATTGTATTCCTCGGGCGAGTTGACCCCACTCGCCGTCGTGGAGACCTTGCTGCCTCTCGTGCGACGCGACGTTACGCCCGCGGGGAAGCACTCTACTGCTTTCTTGGAATCGCAAGTTGATATCATTTGTGCGGCTGCGGAGGCTTCTACGGAGCGGTATAAGAAGGGCCAGCCATTGGGGCCGCTTGACGGTGTACCAGTTGCGATCAAGGATGAAGTGCATGTCACTGGTTACAAGCGTACACTTGGAACGAAACTCGACTTCAAGCATGGAACTGACGCAACGTCGTGGTGTGTGCAACAATGGCAAGATGCTGGCGCTATCGTGATTGGAAAGACTACGATGCATGAGCTTGGCCTGGGTATGTACCCCTTATGAACTATTTCCTCCTGGTATCTCGTGGCTAACTGGCTGCACCTTTTCAGATACGACTAACAATAATCCCAATTTCGGAACTCCACGAAACCCCCATAACAAGACCTACTACTGTGGTGGATCTTCTGGTGGATCTGGTTACGCCGTCAGTGCTGGATTAGTGCCCATTGCCCTCGGCGCAGACGGTGGCGGCTCGATCCGTGTTCCATCGTCTTTCTGTGGTATCTGGGGTCTGAAGACTACTCATGGCCGTGTGTCTGGTGCACCATCCTTGAGTCTCGCTCCGACGCTTGGCGTTCTCGGGCCCATGGCGAGCAGCATTGACGACCTTGCTCTTGCGTATCGGCTCATGGCAACACCTGCCCCTGCTTCACAGGACGCGATATCCGCGCAGTTCCCCAAACCGCTTCCATTACCCGCTGACCGTAAGAGGACCAAGAAGATCGGCATTGTCCGCGATTGGATCGATCGTGCCGAAGCTCCTGTCCGAGCCGTGTTCGACTCTGCGCTTGACTATTACCGTCAGCACGGCTATGAAGTTATCGATATCACGATTCCATACATACCCGAAGGCCAACGTGCTCACGTTCTGACCATCGTGGCAGAGATTTCATCCGGTGTCGATCCGCGCCAGATCCGCCACCTCTCAGCTCCGAACAAGGTCCTCGTCTCCGTTGGAACGTGGCAGATCACCGCGCAAGATCTTCTCACCGCTCAGCGCTTACGCAACCTGATCATGAAGCATATCGCATATCTGTTCAAGACTCACCCCGGTTTGATGATCTTCACACCTACAACACCAATTCCGGGATGGCATATCGATGGTGGTGAGAATGAGCTTTCTCGCGGCTTGTCGGATGGCAAGACTTCCGTGCGGAACATGGAGTATGTTTGGCTGGCCAATTTCATGGGTTGCCCCTCGATTAGTTGCCCGGCTGGTTATGCCAAGGACAGTGGTGTACCCGTTGGTGTTATGGCTATGAGTGATTGGGGTACTGAGGAAGACTTGATTGACTTTGCTCGGGATGGTGAGGGATTTTTGGATATGCAGGTTCCATCGGGCGAGGACTCGGTCTGGGAAGATGTTATTGGTAAAGCCAAGGAAGCAGGAACTGCGTGATTGGGATGATTCTGAAATGTGATGATTTGGGATTTCAAAAGGGAAATATTTTAGCGAAATTGAATGGCTATATTGGCTTAATCCTTACAACCAATGTCTATACGGGTGATTTGAGAGAGACTTCATGCACTTAACACTGGTCTAGCATTTTGATGCTGAACTAAGGGTCGTCTCATATGCCCTTGGGTGAAGTCTAAGGATGTTTAGACTCGTGTTCCCAATACTAGTGACATTGTTGCACGGTGGCCAACGACAAGACAAGCTATCGTCGCCCAAGACTGCACATCACGAGTCGATTTTATGACACGGTGAAGGAGCTTGTGGTCCTATCGTCCCCACATTCCATATGGTCAGTCTTCTCTCGATCTTCAAGTCGCTATTGACCATCAGGACGACACAAAGCTGAGTTCACCGCTAGTGTGGAGCACAACTTGATCATCGAAACTAAATCTCCTCCCCGGTCGTGTTTTTCAAAGTGGGAGTTATCCTCCGAGAGGACAACTCCGTAGGTATTACAAAGGCTAGCTACTTGATATATGCAGAAAATCGATGGATCAGAGCGTGCCACGTGCAGAGAGGTCTGATAGATACCGCTCACTAGTGTCCTTAGAGAGCTAGGTTGTACTATGAATGGTGAAGAGTTCATCAATTGGTATAGAGTAGACCAGGAACCTGAGATCGGGTATTATCTTGACCTTGACTCGGCGTATCAAGTGTATACGTATTTTGAGTGCGCATACGCAGGCATGAATATGTATGGTTGAAAACCCGACCATCTAGGAGCAACATTCGGGAGAGTCTTGAGGTCTTCGTTCACAAACCTGGAGGTGCAAGTGGTCATCTACATCAGGTTCAACTATATACTCTCCGTAACTCAAATGACCTTCGCTTCCAAATTAACGTCTCTTTTCTTCTCATCTTAGGCATGTGCACCCTCTTTGTATTTTCTCTCGTAACATCTACCTGAAGTTAGTAGATACTGGTTTACTTTTGGCTATAAATATAACCAAAATCCTACTGGAAGCAACCATCTCAAATTTCTTCCAAGTTGTCTGCTCAATCAAACAAAGCCATACAAGCATACATTGCAAAACTCTTACATCCTATTCATCATCAAATTATCATGAAGACCAACGTTATCCTTCTGCTCACACTTGCTGCCAGCATCATGGCCGCCCCTACCCAGGACAGTCCAAATGGCATCGACGACACGCTGCCCGAACCCTGCCACCATGCGAGCCCGTGTAGCGTGTACTGGAGCGGCAGATGTGAAGCATATTGTGGGAATTGGGGATTTGCGTATATGAGCGAGGCTGGTTGTCCTCGTTATAGTAAGAGATGCTGCTGCAGGAGGTAATTCTTGCTCCGATAGTAGCTCGGTGGAAAAGCCAGAGCTTTTTTTTTTCGCTCCAAGGACTCGATGAGGGAAGGGGATGGTAAAGAAATTACATCTAGTGGCAGCTACTATACAAAATTGGGCTTGTGACACAAGAGCTTTCTTCGTGTTTCACTTTGAGCAATCAAATCAGTTGTCAATCTTAGTACTGAAGGCGGAAATTATTTAATTCAGAAAAATTGCCTCACACCTTTATCTGATTAACTACATCTTTTATGTAGCTGGTACTTATGAGTGTTGAACCATTCCAATGCTTCCATGGGATAAGCAAGAGGAACGGGAATACCTCATCCTATAGTCACTGTATCCAACGGTTTGGCCGTACAATTACGTGGCCCTGGAACTCCTTAATCTCGGCCTGAAGAATTAAAGTCTCAAATAACCCGCTAGACCGAATGAAATCGAGTTTCCACAAAGAATATGGAAAGATTCGTCATGGTTCAAAGTTGTCGGCGTTAAATACTAGAAGGGGTTGGATCCGGACTCCACACCGAGGTTGTTGTGTCGATCACTTGCTTCAAACAATTATCATTATATTTAGGCACAAAACCTGAAGATAGTTCAACACGTAGATTCAAATCGTGTTGTTTGAAAATGAAGCACGGCATATGGTATCTCGTGTCTGCAGCTGCAGCTGCACTTGCTCAAACCCCATCGGGGGGCTATCCATCGACCAGAAGCAACCTTGGGGCAAGATTCGGAAACGAGACGATCACCCCTGGAGTTTGGATCAGTCCAGATGGTATTAATTATCATAATGCCTATATCCATCAGTGATGCTAACTGCTAAGCGTAGATGTTGGTAGTCAGCCCGTCGTTTATACCCGAGAGAAACAAGCAACGAAACACGACAGCACTTATATGATCTTCATGCTGGATTTGAACATTCCCGACTCCGACGTTACAACGTCAGCATATTACAGTACTCTGGTCCCAGGACTAGCTATTAATACAACAACTCGGCTTCACTGGTGGGGTGGCAACTATACCATTGGAAAGCATGGTCTTTTCGTGAACTCGAGCGACGCCATCGCCGAATATACAGCTCCCCGACCTCGAGACAGCACCAATCATACCTATATACTCTACCTCTTCGAGCAACTCCGAGGTTATGTCCTTCCAGAGGAGGCTTTGGATGGAACGTACTATTCTCAGACGGCCGAGGCTCGTTTCAACTTCACACTGGCTCCTATTGTCAAGGAAGTGGGTGAACCAGTGGCAGCTACTTATTTCCTGAGCAACAACCCTTGAATCGGGAGATATGAGTGCTACTTGGGCCCGGGGGCCTCGGATGATTTCACTATCAGCTGCTCGCTTATGACTGCAGTTGACATAGTCTCACATATCAAGTTCCTTCCCTTCTCTGGGATCATTTGTACCTGTCGGCAAGAGATGGATACTGGAAATATAAGTCACTGACACAACTAATCCTTTCTGTTTTGTTTTTAATCTATCTTGTAGCGGACCATCTCATACTTTGTAGCTCCGATACTGCGCTAACCGTAAACGGCAATCGAGCTCCCCGCGCGGAAGTAAACATGAAATTGACTGCCCGCACTCGACAACCCCAAGTGCTCCTACCATGCCACACCTGCGACGACAACCAAACCCCCACGACTACCGGGATCAAGGCCCCAATGGACCCGGTAGTCTGCGCACTCAATTCCAGACCCCGCCATCTCGACATACCCCATCAAACCCAACCCACCGACACCCACCCTTCACAGGACCGCAGGAAGTGGTGACACCAGACATGGCGCCAGCTCCTGCACACCCGGCTCTACAGGCCAACCCATTCTCTATTTTCAGGCGACCCCGTGGTGACCAGCAACCCCCGGAGACTGTGGAGGAAGAAGAGGAATTGGACGATGATTATGATCCGAATGCGCAGGATGAGGAGCAGATTGAATATGAGGATGGTATGGGCGCAGACGATCAATTTGACCCCGACGAAGGGATTGATGCTTCGGGGAATATTGATGGCGAGGAAGTTGACGACTTACTCGAGGATGAATATGAGGGAGAGGAAGATGAGCACGAGGACGGTGACGAGGAAATGCGAGATCGAGGTATGGAAGGAACCCTTTCCACCCGTCTCTTTCACAACAGCCAGGCTGTTACAAGCAACCTACAGCCATTGACTAACACTCTGAACAGACCGATCGCCATCACCACTCCCTCCTAATCTCCGCGAAATCTCATCCCTCGCATCATGGACCGTTTCCACCTCCAAACCAGGCTGCGGCGTCGCAGCTCTACGACACCATTCCCCCGCGCAATACTGGCAATCCGACGGACCACAGCCACACACTCTAACCCTCCACTTCTTCAAACTGGTTGCCATCGTTCGCATCCGTGTTTATCTCGACTTCGACCTAGACGAGAGTTACACGCCTACTAAGATGGTCTTCCTCGCCGGCATGGGCGGCAACGACCTCGTCGAATTTGCAACTTGGGAAGGAGACGCGCCATGTGGCTGGGTCGATGTACCACTCGAAGGTGTCGGAGGACGCAATGGAGGCTGGGTACGTGAGGACATTGTCCGGCGCAAACTTCGCTCAAAACGTACCCGCCGACAAGCAGGGCGTTATGGCAAAGATGCTCGCGTCGAAGGGGAACCAGGCGACGAAGACGACCTCGAGGGCGAGGACGCCGACGTGGCAGAGGAGCCTGAAGAACCCTATGCCGGTAACGTCCTCAAAGCAATGGTGATCCAGATGCGCGTGATGGAGAACCACCAGAACGGAAAAGATACCCATGTCCGTGGCTTCCAAGTATTCGCCTGCGATGATAATCGCCGCCGGGTTGCGGCTGCGCCGTCTGCTTCGGCTGATGGTCGGCATCGACGACACAGTGCCCGGCAGTCTGTGCGGGGAGGAGTTCCTGGTTTAATGCATAGTCGGACGGGGAACGAGGATGTTGATACTAGCAGGTTGATTTCGACTTCTGGTCTGGACGAGCCGGATTGGATGGGTGAGCCGGTGATTCGGTGAGATGGACGTGCAAAAAGGGTTGGAGTAGCATTTGAGATGGCGTTTATCCTGGTTTGTGGAGTTTCTTATGGCTTTCAGATACCCTAGTCATTCGCATGGTATGCTTGCGCAGCCAACATTTACTTTATTATCAAATTCGCAGTTATTACATCCCAGTATTAGTATTATCACATCTACGAATATAATAATATGAAAAAGATCCGAAAAGGGTATTCAATTTTGGTTTCTACAGTCGTTATATGTCATATAAGAAACGCCTGCCAGAGAGACGCAACTGGCCGCTTTTTTTTTCTTTACTTGAGCAGCTTCTCGAGCTCGGCAGCGACGGCATCACCGACCTCGACAGTGGTGGCCTTACCACCGATATCGCCCGTGCGGACACCAGCCTCGATAACGTTCTCGACGGCCTTCTCGATGATCCGGGCCTCGTCGAACATACCGAAAGAGTACTGCATCATCATGGCGACGGAGAGGATAGCGGCGACGGGGTTGACAATACCCTTGCCGGCAATATCGGGGGCAGAGCCTGATACAACTTGATTAGCAACGTTCATGCAGGGGGAAGATGGGAACAGAAATCGTACCGTGGATAGGCTCGTAGATACCGTTGACGCGGCTCTTGCCATCGGGGATACCGCTCAGACTGGCACTGGGGAGGAGACCCAGGGAACCGGGGATGACACTAGCCTCATCACTGATGATATCACCGAACAAGTTACTGGTAACAACGATACCGTTCAACTTGCGGGGGTCCTTGATCATAAGCATAGCGGCAGAGTCGATCAGGTGGTGACCAATCTGGAGCTGAGGGAACTCCTTAGCCATAACCTCAGTGACGACCTTGCGCCAGAGACGGCTAGTAGCCAGAACGTTGGCCTTGTCCAGACTCCACACGGGGAGAGGGGGGTTGTGCTGCAGAGCCAGGTGAGCGGCCAGACGGATGATACGCTCGATCTCGGCGCGAGAGTAGGGCTCAGTGTCCATGGCGAAGCCGGAACCATCGTCCTCCTTGCGGTCGCCGAAGTAGATACCACCGGTCAGCTCACGGATGATGTTGAAGTCGACGCCGCGGCAGATGTCGGCCTTGAGGGGGAGCTCTCGACCAGCGAGGGAGCGGCGAAGTTGCAGGGACGCAGGTTGCCGAATGTGCCCATCTCCTTGCGCAGACGGAGGATACCCTGTTCGGGACGGACGGCGCCGGTGCCCCATTTCTATTCATGAAAAGAATGACGATCAGTATATGGTTTTTATTTGTTTTCCGGTTCCGTTATTCGGATGAGAGATATCGAACGTACGGGTCCACCAATGGCGCCGAGAAGGACAGCGTCGGCGTTCTTAGCGGCCTCCAGGGCCTCGTCGGTGAGAGGGGAGCCGGTGGCATCGATGGAAGCCTAGATCTGGGTTAGTTAACTAGCTCCTTAAGATGTGGTGGTGTTCAGCACTCACGCCGCCGAGCAGGTGGTCCTGCAGGTTGAAGGTAACATCGCGGTTCTTCTCGATCACCTTGAGGATCTAGGGATAAATTGGATTAGTTTCTCCTCTTCGAGCTCGATTGTACCAGGTATTCCTCTCTCTCACCTTGATAGCCTCGGAAGTGACCTATTGTTTCGCGATAAGTTAGCTTCAAAATCCAGAACGCGTGTGCGCCCTCCCAGAGCTCAGAGAAGCTGGGGAATAGCGGGGCAGGGATTCTCGAATTCTAACGTACCTCAGGACCACAGTGGTCACCACCGAAGACGACAACGTTGAAGGCAGGCATTGCGAGGCTAATTGAACAAAAGGAAGAACGGTATGTTAATTGGAGGTGACTCAATTGGATGGAAGCAGGGGAGTAGAGCTTTAAAAAAGGTGGGATTGCGGGTGAAGTCCACCCCGCCAGCTCCGAGATCGGCCCAAGTCGGCCCAGTCGAAATCCACACCTCCGAACCAACAATAACACGCCTCGGTTTGTCTTATTGAGTTTGATATGGATTTGCGGCTTTGCGGGTTAGAGCGGGCCGACGTAGTATTGTATTTTTGAGTCATTCGATATTATAGGATTTAGGTGCTACTACTGACGAAAACATGGATTTTCAGACTCGGGGACATGCATTAAATGATGTATAACAGCGGCATTAAAAATGGTCAGACCAAGGGAGAAAAAGAACAATGAGGTGAAAACGACAAGATCGAAGAAACAGGCATGAAAAGAAGCGAGGAGAAGAAGAAAAAGAAAAGAATGAAAGTAGCATGAAGACACAACCCTGTGTGCCCTATACAAGGGCCCTCCGATATTCAGACCATTCCAGGGACCCTTTCCCTATCCTGCCCAAGACGCTGATCACAAAGTATGACTCGAACCGCCAAATCAAACATTCCGTCAGGAAGTCTAAGGTGATAGCTTCTTGCGCTAATCAACCCATGGGACTCCCTGAATAAAAAATCACAGACCGACCGAAGCTCCAAAGACATGCATGACCCGAGGACAAGTCGGGCAAAAGACTAAAAGGAAGAACCTCTCAACCGGCCGGGAGCCGGCGAGACGAAGTCATCTGCGCTGCACTTCCAGCAACGTCCACAGCAGATCACTTCTTGCGGTTGGCACGGCGGGTCCGGCGATCACCTTCTGCGAGCCAGCGGCTGGCGTTGACCATCTGGACAACGTTGACAAACTGCTTGAACAGCATGACGGGGGCAGAGATACCGGTGATAACCCACGGCCAGAAGCTATCGATCTTGTTGGCGCGGGCCATCTCGAGGGCACCGGCACTCCATGGGCTAGCGAAAAGGCTGCTGGGCACGGGGTTGGCGGGGTTTCCGGGCTGCACCGAGGAAGGCTGGGCGTCGCCAACGGGCTGGAGGAGCGACGGCGAAAGGATCGGCGATGAGAAAGAGAGCAGGTAGAGCCCGATGAAGAAGAGCTCATTGAGAGCGCAGCAAATGAACAGAACAACCTAGTAAAACAACATCAATCAGAATTGCGTATCCACTACAAATAGGAATGAGAAAGGCATACCCTGCTGTGGTAGTACTGGTAGAGGATCCAGCTGCGGCTGGAGTCAACCTTCTTGTGGCTCTGGTCTGAACCACCCATGCTTAGCGTAGCGTACATGTGCATGTAGTGGCTGGCCAAGTCCAGGCAGATCAGGCCCTGGAAGACGATAGCCCATCGGGGCCAGGCGGAGCTCAGGAAGACAATCAAGCAAGAGGTCGTGCAACGGTCGGTCACCATATCCAACACGGCGCCGAAGGTGGTCGATTGGTTAAAGTAACGCGCCGCATAACCATCCAATGCGTCGAGCAGGCACGACACGCTGTAAAGAAGAGAGCATGTGCGAGGGTGGAGGGGCATGTAGTAGAGGGATGCGAAAGCAAGGACAACTCGGAAATACCCTGCAAGCGAGCGTTAGTATGTTGATCAGGGCCAGGTGCGGAGAAGGGCAGCAAGCGCGGGAGACGCGCAAAGTGGACATCATACCGATGAGGTTCGGGGCGAAAAGGAAGATGTTCTCCTTCTCGTCCTCTTCCTTCAGAGATGATCGTGACCTCTTCTTGGAAGGCGTGCGCTTGGTAGATTTGGATGGGGGGAGGCACTGCCATTTCCAGTAGACAGATCTTCGCTATCGTCGGCGGGCACGCCCAAGGCGGCCTTTTGTCGTCGCGTGCGAGCACTCATTGTGGATGGCGGAGGGGTTGGTTGTTGATGTGTTGATTGGGGGAAGGATGACACGACACGGTGGCAGCGGTCGGTCGAGGGCACAGCACAGTTGGTGGTTTTTGCAAGAGATAAGGATGATAAGGAGGGAAGCTAGCGATAGATGAGGGAGAAGCGATCGGATCTGGTCGGAGGGATAAAAGAATCGGAGGGGGCTTGATTGAAAGCTTAGAGAGTTAAGGATAGGGGGGGCGCTTTAAGGAGAAAATTCGTCCCGAGGCGATAAGGTAGAATGATAAGATGGCGCGTCGCGAAAGTCCAGGTTGAGCCTCTTTGTACCAGCTAGAGAGCAGAAGACGGAGAAGCCACGAGGTCGAGTAGTGAACAAGCAGGAGAGAGAATGAAGGATTGATTTAGGATGAGAGTAGGAAAGGAAGGGATGAAATCTTCGTGAAAGAAAAAAGGAAGAGTAGTGGAAGACTGGAAGTGGTGAGATTTTGTGTTCTTTACGGGTCGGCCGGAACCTTGGAAGCTTTCCCCACGCGGGAAGAATCCACTTGGGCTTTGTTTGGTTGACTCGAGCTCTCCGTCATCTTGGGCTGACAGTAGCTATCCTGGTCTCTCATGTTGATTGGACCATCTAGAAGACAGGAACTAATATTCTAGCTGCCTAGTAGGTTTCAATATTCCATTGCATGGCCTGATTACTGCTTCAATGAAGATTGACACGGCAAAGACTATATACTATCAAATAGATGCAAATGTATATATGTATAGTAATCGAGTCAATGGCTTGCTTTATAGGTGTCGTTGACATGTCTTGACTGGCACAAGACGAAATGAATCATGCTAAAATAACGGATATGAAAAAGGTGTATAGGACGATGATGTAGATGCAAAAAATCCCTGCAAAGCCACAGACCAGGAAATCGGAAAAGAAACACCACCCCAAACCCGTCCTTCCCACGGAACAAGTGCGATATTATGTGCAAGGAGACCCTGTTGTGAGGGCCAAAGTATATACATACGGACGAAAATTTCTACAATAGAGGAAAGAAGGAGACATCACGTCCGTGACCTGCGCGGATCGGTGGCATCCTGTCGCCGCCACTCGCGAGACTCCTTCGTCCCCAAACTGCCCACGCCGCCTTCCAGTCGTCGCTCCCAACCACCAAGTCGAATGACCAGGCAAGTGGCATTATCGCCTTCTCGGGTCACCTCGGTAGCGAAGCTGACCACATCTCGCGCGCCTTGCTCGGGGGTCCGGGCTTCTTTGACGATGTCCACGATCTCCTGGTCTTGCAGGGTACCGCTGATACCATCCGAGACCATGACCATGAAAGAAAACTCGGCCGGGCCCATCTCGACGCGACAAAGCTCAGGCTCGGCGGACACGCCAATGCGCTTGGATTGGACATCACCGAACGCACGGGTATTTGCCAGTCCGCTCATGCGCTCTTCGCCGAATGAATCGGTCACAAAGGTGGCAGCGTAGCGGCGCAGTCGGCCTGCCTCGATTGGAGAGGATGGGTGGTGGTTGGAAGTGAGCGGGACAGCTTGACCGGTCAGAGTCGAGCAGAGTAAAATTCGAGTGTCGCCCACATGAGCCACCAGTAGACTCGAGGGACCGGCTGGGTGCCAGAAGGGCGTCGGACTGGGTGTTGAGATTAGAGCGATACTGCCAGTACTTCCGCCCTTGAATCGCGACCGACCACCGATCTTCGGAGTTCGCGTCAAGCTAGGACTATAGAGAATCTCATCCTCGTTCAGCGGCTTTTCCGCTTGAGCGAGATCGTCATCACGCTTGGCCGCTTGCGCTTTGACGAAATCCAAGTCGGCGCGCAGAAAAGCATACTCCATAACCTCTTCGATGGCGACATAGCCTTTAGACACGGCGTTGTCTGTGGAATTGTCGGGGCCGTAATAGGTGAATTGAGGTGGCTTGAATCTCTTGAAATAGCCGCCAACCAATCGGCGCCAATTCTGCACGAGACTCTTCTCCAAGTCTCCAATGCGTTTGCGATTGGCCTCTTGCATCACCGGCAGAGGACTGGTAGTAGCCGAGGCTGTTGCAGCTTCCCCACAACTCAACCGTTGTTGATTTGTACGGAGACTCGATTGGAGATCAAAATCTGCGGCTGAGTTCTGGATATATTCGTGAAGATTTTCCTGCAAGAATGTACTGCACTCGGATCCGCCATGTCCGTCAAAGATTCCAAAATAGAATACTTGTGGATCCCCACTGGCGGTGTCCGCGGCTCGCGACTCGCGCGATGAAGGTAGTGAGTTTGGGCTCTTGGATCGCTTGATCGTGAGCGACGCTGGTGGTCGCTTTGCGAAGGCAGGAATATCGATGACGCCGGCTTGGTATGTATCTTCATTTGCAGGGCGAGTGCCACGGGCAGTGACGGCTCCAAAATGATGCTTGGCGCTGCGAAGCGGGATTCGGACCACCGTCATCTCACGGTCGACCAGATTTTGGAACGTCGTTGGTGAATGCGATGTATCTCCGACATGTGGTATTGACGCTGAACGAGGGAGTTTGTGAAAGGGAGAGGTTGGGCCTCGAGGGTCTGGATGAAGCGAGGATGACGGTAGATGCGTGACGAAGTAGTCGTGGAACTGAGGGCGCTTTTTTACGGCAGGTTGCTCGCGCGGTGGCGCAGCTTCGGAGCCATATTTCCGTAATGTTCGAGGACGAATGAAGCCTATTTGAGAGATAAATGAAGGTTTAGCGGGTGAAAGTACGGGGTAGTCGGCCACGATCTTCAACATAACTCGGAGACAAGACCGATTGTAGCCCTGGAGGTCTCACGTACCGTAACTGCCAGCCAAGGCCCAGGCCCTGCCTGTTATGCGCCTCGCTGAAAGGACAGTCATGAATGGCCCATCGATAGGTGATGCTGGTGGTGGAGGGAGATTGGAGTGTAAGAACAACCCGGCGTGGGGGGACACATTTCTTTGGCCCGAGCGTCGGCAGATAAGGTGACGGCATCGGCAGATCCATTCCACGGATAGGCGGGTTACCCCCGGAGTTCATGTCGAGGCAATGTTGATGATCTTGGTTATTACCTACTCAATGGCAATGGAATGACTTGATAATCCTAGAAAAAGTAGCCTTGATGATCCTCATGTTCAAGACGAATGATTTCCTGAGAGGCCTGCGCAGTTGACAAGCCGGGGGTCTCCGGACGAGAGCCGGCTAGCGAACTACGGAGAAAAATATAATTTTTTGGCTAGAAACGAGCAATTCAAGGGAAAAATAAGTCAATTGGTAACGCCTATTTGGACCTCAATTCTAACTGCTCAGAAAAAAAACGAACGCTCCTAGAGACAAAAATCATTTCAAGTAGCATGACCGTCGCAATGGCCAAGAAGTGGAGTAAAAGCACGCAAGATGGAGAATTGGCACCTACCAGGAGCAGAATCATCCGGAGAGCCTAGAGAGATCAAAGGGACGCCAAGAGGGATCTGCCTGGAAGAAACGGGCCATGTTAGAGTATTTAAGTTGCAAGATCTGTGGACACGGATGGAACCAGCACAAGTAGAGATCAGATGGCCTTGGTGCGGGTGAACAAGCTGCTGTAAACGGCGTCCACCACGGGTTGAGCGGTGATCCGCTTTCCGCCAAAGAAACGGCCATTCAAGCCCTTGATCGCATTCTCACCACCTTGGACGCGGTCGAACTTCAGGTAGATGTCGCCTTGAGAGTTTGGATCTAGCGAAATGTGAACAACATGGCCATATTTCTCTTCGCACTCTTGGCGGACGTCATCCTCCAAATCCTTGATCCAAGCTTCACCGGTTTCTCTGTGAAGAAGCTGTCAGTTGTCGAGTTCGGAAAAAGAAAAGCAGGAACAGGGGCTGGGAGGGATCGATGTACTTACTCGTTAGGATCGAACATGTTACGAAGCATGACGCAGCGACTAGCCATGTTCACATTGACAGGCAGAGGCTTGGTCTCGGTCTTGGGTCGAAGCACCTTCTGTTGTTCGTCGGCCAAGGGCTCGGGTTCATCTGTTCGTGCAAGCTTCCTCATCAATGCGTCCCTACTGTAGTTGTTGAAGTTCACACCGGCAACGTCCGTGTCATCGAGAGCACTGGCACCGGTGCCCTTGTCGTTCTCGCGGCCTCCGCCGGCACGGTCGAAGTTGCTCGTGCCACCAGCCTGAACACCACGGCCTCCATGGCCGGAAAATGAGGAGCCCTGGAAATTCGGTTGGTTTGCAGATGGGCCCTGCTGACGATTCGCGTTCGAATCGGGGGTGAACTTATCGTTGCCAAGGCCCACTCGAATGGCCCGACCAGCAAGATCAAATCCATTCATCTTCTCTAAAGCCTCTCGGGCTTGGTTGGGATCACGGAACCTGTGTGTGAACAGGTCAGTTTACCGCAAGACGACAAATGTATAAAAGAGAACGCAAGAAAACTTACTGCACAAATGCGTAACCTTTGCTTCGGCCAGTCTCATCTTTCTGCAATTGGACAAACTCGAGTTCGCCAAACGGTTCGAAGACATTCTGGAGGTCATTCTCAGTAATGCTGAAATGAACATTACCCACATAGAGCCGGTGAAACGGCGCGGAGTGCGACGGGCCCGAGCTAGCCTCGGGGTTGCGAGCTTGGCGGTTCTTCTCAGCTTCGGTAAGCTGCGCGATAATTGGAATGCCTAGAAGCTTCTGGCCGGTAAGTTGAATAGCAGCCGGCACGGACTCTTCGCTCTTGAATTCGACATAACCGACACTGGAGCAAGACATGTGTTAGCTGATAAGACTGTTGAGCAATATCATGTAAAGATCATACGTACCCTTTGGATCGTCCGCTCACCCGATCCTTGACAATCTGAGCTTCCTTCACAGGGCCGGCTTGTTCGAAGAAAGCCATCAGCTCCTTGGTTCTCAGCCGTGCGGCCAGCTGCTGGACAAAGATAGTCCGCTTATCCCGCTCATCCTCGTTTAGTTCGGGGGACTTGCTAGGACTCCGACGGCTAGGGCTGCGGCGACGGCCACCTTCGCGGTCACGTCGGGGACGTCTCTCTTCTTCACGTTCCCGGCGAGAGGGACGGTAGTGGCGATCATCATATGGCGAGCGCGAGCGAGATCGGGCACGTCCTGGACCACGATAGAAGTCACCACTGGAGCGATAGTCATCACGATCGCGACGCGAGCGTCGGCGCTCGCTTTCCCGGCTCCGGCTTCTCTTCCGGCTTCTATGGCTTCCGTTAGCACTGCCATGTTCGCTGCGTGGGCTCTTCATGTCCTCATCGCCATCAACATCTCGGCGACGGTCGCGGCTGCGGTCACGGCGTCGGCGTCTTTCACGGGAACGATCCCGATCCCGGCGTTCGGAGGGATCCGCGCGAGAACGATCATCGCGATCTTCTGATTTGGTAGAGGGGGTTTCGGCGGGAGCAGCAGTAGACTCGAGGAGAGCCTCTACGTCGAGTCCAGACATTGCGGAAGGTGCGTCTTGCTCACTGGTTGTGATCCAAATAAGGGCGAGGGTCAGGGAAAGTCACTTGAGACTCGGTCAGAGCGCCAAAGACAGTGTGAGTTTTGACTTTCGAACCCTTTTTTTCTCTCTTCTCCCTGTAAGACGGGTGGTTTGTACTAATTCTCTGTCACAGTCGGAGAATCGTTGGAATGTAGAATTGGTAAAGTGGCTAATCGACGGTCCCGAAGCAGTCAAAAGCGTCGGGTGAAGGTGGTGTCCAGTCATGTGACTCTAAAGTTTTTTGTCAGCCTAAGGTGTCGATTCGCCACTTCCGCCGCCTACAGAAACTTTACTGCATAAGATGAATCGCCGATAAAGAGAACAAGGTGACAAGGTGAATACAATGTGAACAATCAGTTTCAAAAAGGTTGGAATGAATCCTTTTGGAATCTTTCATTAAGATTAGGTCATGTACACTAATAAGTGATAAGTGATGCGTGTAGTACAATAAGAAGACTAGACATCCTCTTCGACTCGTCTCCTAGAGCCAGAGAAGCCGCCTATCCATGGACTAGGTCTAGGTCATGAACAAGAATCGATCCGGAACGCCACAATTGCCGACATGAAGGAGCATAAATGTACAGGCCCCAGGCGACTTGGAAATACCCAGAAGCGAGACTCAAGCGTAAACTCGTGAATTCAAGAGCCCGTGGCCGCTGTAAAGTTTCAAGCAACCAGACAAGCTTTTTACTGAGCTTTGACTCCTTTGGGAGCCGGAGTCTCCAGCTCGGTTCCAAACACCCGATCCCAGAAACGGCTGGTCACGCCAAATCCGTTCTCGAAGTCAGCGTAGTGGTGCTGCAGGTGATACTTCTTGAGCTCCTTGTAGTACAGAGGAAGGCTAGACAGAAATGTTAGCATCATGCCATACCTGAATATAAAGATAAGAGAATGGAAAACTCACTTGCGGTGGTGGAGGAAGTAGTGAGTTAAATCATAGCAAATGTAGCCAAAGACACCACCACAGAACACTTGGACAGCCGCAAACCAGTTGTAGAAGAACACGGCGTGAGCAAGCTTCCAGAAAGGAGCCGCCAGAATCACAAACAATGTTGGGGGCATGACCAGACGATAGCGGTCCATAGGCAGGTAGTGGTGAATGCCGTGGAGGAGGAAGTGTAGGGTCAGACCGACTCTGTTGTCCGGGAGCCAGCTAGAAGAGAATAAATTAGCCACTGCGGCACGGATGATGTATCAGGGAGGAAAGACCATACTTATCGACATGGAACAGGAAGCGGTGCATGAGGTACTCGATCAGAGTCCAGAGACAAACACCGCCGATCCAGTATGCGGCAGCCGCGGTAGGGTCTCCTAGACCTTGCGCTCCGATCATTGTCCCATAGAAGACCGGTGGCAGCCACATTATAGGCACCACATACCAGGCTGTCTTGCTGAGGGGCTCTAGGAAATTGCCGAAGAGTGGGGCAGAGGCTCCTCCCTTGTAGTGACGAGGGCGGTGGATCTGCTCAAGGTAAAACTCCTTGGAGAAGTTGCTGTACCAAAGCTGAGCGAACAATGGCTTATTGAGGTCCAGGAACTTGTGTGTCTTGTAGTCCTGAGTATAGTCCGTGTCGATTGACAGATCCTCTTCCCGGGACATGCCGGTGCTCTCGTAAACGGGCTGAGAATCCGACCCCTCGGTGTCGATACCAGATGCCTTTGCCTTTCCGGTGGCATCCGAGGAGATGAATCCAACGTGGTAGTCGGTCAAGATCTCGTAGGCGGCTTCAGAGTGCTCGTGAGAAATTTCATCCTTCATAATCTCCGCGACATCCTTGCCCGCGTAGTCCAAAATCAAGTCACCGCCACCTGGATGGTCCTCCACGAACTCGGTGACATCGTAGACATTGCGGCCGATCGTGATATAGCAAGATTTGGCGTTGTTATGCGACTCAACCTCGGCAGGTGTGAAAGTCGGCAGCACCCGTCCTGGCATCTTTGCGATTTTCGGGGATTGTAAAATTGGGTCAAACCGGTTGTAGCGTACGATGCGATAATTGGAAAAAGGTGTGTTGGCTGGGATGAAGAGGAATATGTCGACAGACAGGAAGGCGACAACAGATCTTGATCGGAGGATCGCGGTATTAAATTATTATTCAGGGGAGGGCGTGGCGTGACGGGCCATGTCTCCGCCCCGGCAGAATAAATTTATGCTCCACCAGGGAATCCAAGTCCGAGCCAAGTCAGGCAATGCCTATTAACTTCTGTTGGTCTCTGGTAGAGGGCATGAGCGATCAGGCCACCAGACATATTGTCTGATACTTAGATGCACCGAAGAATGATTGTGCATTCTATCCATTTCCCTCAGTAGCAATTGAAGCACAACTACAGTATGCATGTCTTGCGCTCAGGGCTCAACCAATCATGGAGGGTTCATAAAACTGATGTAATCAGATTTATGCCAGGGGGTACCCGTACCTGGTACATGGTAGATAGATTAGTAGTTGGATAGGCTATTCAATAGGCTATTGAATTAGTAGTTGAATAGGCTATTAAATAGCCTATTGAATTGATGATATCATATGGCTATTTAGGTGATAAAAACCGGCAGAAAAATAATGAAGCTTGTATAGGTGCATTATTTCTTTGTCCCCCTGTAGGTAACTTACTACTAGCTCGAGTTCCACTATCTCGATCGCTAGTGAATTGATGCCCGATCGCTATGCAGATACTACAGCTAGAATACAAGGACCTATTAAATCAACGCCGAAAATTGAGCGCTAGAAATGACCGCGTTCCATTCCACCTGTAACTCTTGGCGGTAGTCCTCCTCCTAAGCAAATCACAAGTATACATATATGTAGTGCAATTTTGGCCTAACGGAAATATGACCCACTTCAGGTATGTCTTCTGTCCGTATATACATCTGGATTTTAGGCCTTTCTTACTCCACAATTAGCATGTCGCAGAGTATGACTCGAGGGGAACAAGGCCAAATTTTTAGGGCGCAGACACATCTAACACTACGGCCGATTGTGCCGTAGACACCACCAGGAAAGATAAAACTGTCAAAATCGCTTCTCAGAAGGAGTCTTACATCTGAACTTCAGCATACCCTTGCTGTTGAGCCTGGCAGGTCTAAGCTCGATGAAGATAATATCCCACAGATTATGGTTGAAGTGTGTGCTGGTTTGGTCACCGTCGACGAGGAAAGCAACATCATCCGGCTGGTCCACTACACCACCCAGGAGTATTTTGAGCGAACGCGGAATCAGTGGTTTCCGGATGCAGAGTCCGATATTGCGAAAACTTGCATCACCTACCTCTCATTCAGCGCTCTTGAGAGCGGGTTATGTGAAACAGATAACGAGTTTGAGGAGATACTGGAGTCAAATAAGCTCTACGACTATGCCGCAAGTAACTGGGGTCACCATGCTCGTCTCGCTTCGATTTCATCCAATGAAGTGATGGACTTTCTACAGTGCGAGGCGAAGGTGATTGCATCAAGTCAAGCGCTGATGGCTGTTAAGCGACACTCTTGGCAGTCAAATTACAGCGCCCAGGTTCCTCGGCGAATTACTGGACGACATTTGGCGGCATACTTCGGAATCCAAGAAGCAGTAAAGGCTTTCTTGGATGAGGGTTTACCGGATATCAAGGACAGTGATGGTCGAACGCCATTGTCATGGGCGGCAGAGAAGGGGCACGAGAATGTGGTCGAGCTACTGCTAGCGAAAGCCGGCATTGACGTTAATTCCGCCGGCAAGACCGGATTGGCAGCATTGTCTTTTGCAGCAGAGAATGGGCACGCGGAGATCGTCAAGATGCTGCTCATGATAAAGAGTATTGATGTGAACCAACGGGACAGTTACGGTCGAACGCCGTTGTTATGGGCGGCAATAAAAGGGCACGAGAGGGTAGTCGGGATACTACTAGCGGCCGCCGGTATTAAGGTCAATTCTAAGGATGAGGACGGATGGACAGCCTTGTCTTATGCGGCAGAGAATGGCAAAGAGGTTGTCGAGATGCTACTTGCAGTGGACCGCGTTGATATGAACACTAAGGATAGCAACGGCCGAACGCCGTTGTCATAGGCGGCAATGAAAGGGCACGAGAGGGTAGTCGAGCTACTACTAGCGGCAGCCGATATTGAGGTTAATTCTAAGGATGAGGACGGATGGACAGCGTTGTTATTTGCGGCAGTGAATGGCTACAAAGAGGTTGTCAAGATGCTACCTGCAGTGGATGACATTGACGCAAACTCCATGTCGTCTGATGAGTACGACAGAGGGCGGACAGCATTATCATTTGCGGCAGAGAAGGGCAGGGAAGAGGTGGTCAAGATCCTGCTGGCAACTGACGGCGTCGACATAAACCATAAATCAACAGGCATTTACAATAGCGGACGGACTGCGCTATCATTCGTTGCAGGGGAGGGGCATGAGGAGATAGATAGTCAAGATACTACTCTCCACCAATGGCATCAATGTCAACTCCAAGTCGACCGGTATCTACGGCAGGCGGACAGCACTATCGATTACCGTAGGGAAAGGACACAAGAACGTTGTCAGGCTGCTGCTCCAAAATGGTGCCAATATCATCAAGTCGAAGCATTGGGATGATTGGACGCCGCTGTGGCTTGATGAACCCGATGCAGTGACGACACCCGAAAGCTTTGAATACATCTCAGAGGATCCAGGGTCGGAAGCCTACTAAACATGTATCTGTAACACTCCAAGTCGTCATAGGTAGCCCGACTGCTATGTATAGAGTGCCCATACGGGCTGCAGTTTTCTCTCCTTTCAAGCTATCGGTATTCGCTATACGGGAAAATTCATCCAATTTTCTATCACAGGTAGCTCTGCTTCTCTCTTTCGAACCCGTCTTAGGATATACCACGGGTTGATTTTTCTTGATATAGTATCGTAGGGGCCATCTAGCATTTGTAGTATCAATTTCCTCCGGTATTACTCAAGTAAGAGCATCGCTCGTTATACACAGCCACAAAAGCCCTCACCGGGACCTTGCGTCTCTAGGACAGATTCAAAGCGCCGCTATATGGCGGCGGCAGTCTAAAAACCAAGTGTGAAAGCACCTAGAGGTGCAGGGTTTTGATGATAGACCGACCGTATTCGAGTACTCGGAGAGGGACCGCAAGGGTCGGTGAAATGAATCTATCGGCTCTCAGTCACAGCCTCGGAGATAAATATCCCACAAATGTTATTTACACGGATAAGACGTCCGGTTTCATAGTGGACATCTTAGTATCCTGGAATTTGACTATGTCATCCTGGAGGTCATTCATTATGGTCGATTGTTAATACTGATCACAGCATACTGGCGCCATACATGGAAAGAGTAGAGTAGATCTTATGGCCGTCCTATAATCGGGTCTCTGTCGATGTGGTCAAGGCTTTGCCTGCAAGAAGGCCTTTGTTCGACCTCCATAGAGAGTCTGACTCTGCAACCATCCATGGTCTTGGCCACCAAAAGCCTTACGCGGCCCAAGGTTTCAGGTTCTATTTAACCTTTAGCATGTTAGATTCCAGACAGACAAAATTCACAGACTTGACGAAGGTTCTCTTCCCGAATCGCTATTTGAAGGGCCTGGGCCTGTCACGTCTTAGTTGATCGGTTGGTAGCTGAAGGTGTGTCAAGATGAATAAGTAGCAAGAGAAAAGAGACAAGGCATTGTACTCAAAATCTCAAAATTGGCTGGCTTTTGGCCGTACCAAGGCTTGTTAGCCAGGCAAAAACCCACGGCTAGAAAAACCTTACTGGGATATTGTAGATCGGCATTCTTTTTATCAGATTATTTGAACCCCATTCAGTGCTCAATTAGCATACTAGTTCAAACGCGATAACACCCTAACCGAGCCTTGAAAGTCAATCATGTCTCTCAAAAGTACTACTAATCTAATCAAGGGGAGGAAATCACCTTCCTGTATGGGCATGGCCTCCGGAGTATGAAGCAGGACGAATACAAGAAAAGTCTAGCATACCCACTATGCATTTCGATAGAGTTCAGGACAGTTAGACCATTTCTCGCATGCGTCGCACAACCTTCGGTCGTGCTCCGGGCCAGTTCGAGACCAAGAATTCTTATTTTCAGATACCAATGGCTTTTTCTGGATTTCCTAGCAAAAGAATGCTTGAAAATGGAGAATGGCCGTCTGTCACGTGCTGTCCACTCGCAAAAGGACAGGCATCAACTCCTCACTCCCCCTCGGTCAACCCCCAAATTACAAAAGTCCCTCGAGGGATTCGCACGACCAAGCCATTGGTGTCTTTCACTGCTACCGTCCAAGGTTAGCTCAAGGTTAGCCCGGGGCTAAGACTGCTGCGACATCCCATCACACATACAAATGTTCCATTTTCCCGCCCCGCGGGACGATCCGCACGATAAACCGAATCTGCAGTGGGACCAACCCCCCCTCATCCAATAATCCACCTAAACGCAAAATGCCTATGATCACCCCCCTACCTGTGAATCCTTCGAGGAATGCGCCGTGTCAGTATTCCTTCGAGGTGCTCCTTCATTCGCCCATCACTGATGAAGAAGACCTAACGGGGACCGTAGGCACCGGGGAAGCGCCCGACAACCCCGAGTACCCCGACTCTTTCCCCGATCGGATCGCATACTTTTGAGGGCCCCCACCGGGTCATGAAGTGCACGCATCATACAGGCCCCATTCCAATGATTCCTCTGCTCTCCATACGCTGGCCCCCCTCCCATTTCCGGAATCGCTCTGAAGGCGATCTTCAGAAGGGGGGAACAAGGCTATTCTTCTGCGGGCAAATTGAAATTGTCAGGGATTAGGCATCGCGCTAGTTCTCTCACGAAGTGGAGCTTGCTGCCCCGCTGGGGCTTCCAGCTCCCTCATTAAAAGACCTCCTCCTTCTCTCAATCTGCCCTCCTTTCCCCAACCTTCCCGGCAGCCCCCCCTCCCTTTCGCACGCACGATCGCCCAACGATGTCGGAGACGGATCGCGTTCCCGACAACCGAATCCTGGAGTACATCCAGGATTTGACCTCGGCGAAGAAGGGTCTTCCTTACGGCCAACCCGTGGCCGTCCTCGTCTCCCAAACCGTCACAGACTCCGCAACCCTCTTGAAATTAACGGCAGAGGTTGGCCCTCACATTGCAGTGCTTCAGGTCCAAGCAGATATAATCGATGACTGGTCAGACGATACCATTGATCAGTTGACATACTATGCCAAGAAACATGGTTTTATCTTGTGGGAAGGGAGCCGAGTCTTGAATTGTACTGTCAATTTCATGGGCCGAGGGAGCGCCAACTTCCAAACACGAAAGGTCCTGGCCGATCTGGTTAGGCGGAAATATACACATGGAACTGCAAAGGTGGCGCAATGGTCGAATCTAGCGACCTCGTGGGCACCGGGTGTACCATTGCACGAACAGGAGAAGGATCTGTTGATTCCAACGCTTCGCAAGGCCGCCCGTGAAGCTGTTGCAACGACTGTGAAAACCATCGAAACCGAAATCTCTGCTACCAATGGCGAGGAATATCACGACGAAGTAGAGGCGCCAATATCCCCACCCAGCACCAACGGTTGGGTCGAATTCAGCTTGGAGAATTTTGGATCTGCCCTACGAAAATCATCAACCATCTCTGTCACAGAATCAGTCACCCTGCAGCCCCATGTGGAGCCAGACGAAGGTGTGCCAGTCGCACCACTACTATCGCGAGGCTTGGCTCTATGCTTGCCAAGCGCTATCGATTCCGCATTCACATCCGAATTCCGAAAGGGCACAATAATGGCAGCATGTGCAAATCATGATTTCGTCGTTGGCCTTCTCACGAGCGAGCCATTCTTCACAAGCTATACTGGGGACTATCTGTTCGACCTGGCCTTCCAAGATAGCCATGGAACACCGCAACTAGGCCGCGACATACTCGAGGCCATACCATATCTCGAAAATAAGCATTCATTTGCGTTATTTTCTCTTGTCCCGGCAGAACTCATTCACAACTATGAATCAGATCCCATTCGCAGCATGAATGGAGACTCGCCAGAAGAGGACCAGCCTGAAAGTGTTGTCAAATTGCATTACATGGTTGATCAAGCATTGAAAATGCGAGAAGCCAACCGCAAGGAGCACCTTGGCAGCCATCAAGAAAACTCATCGATACCCGCTGGCCCTGGCATCTTCCATGTGCCTGTTGTCATACTCCCCTGATTGAGATGTTATTATTATTATTTCGAATTTTTCCATGACCCGCCATGCCCTTCATCATAATGATCATTTCATGTTTATCCCACATCATGCTAGATTTGCATAGGTCTATGTCTTGTGCATTTAAGATACATTTCTACATCTCCCCCATCCTAGATGTGTTGGAACAAAAGAGCCCTCGATTTGTACTCATGTCCCGTCTTTCAAGCATTCACCGATCTGTCAATCTTACGTGGAAGTTCCCTCAAGGCCTTGGAGCCTTAAGCTTTCTGATACTTTGTTTGTCCTGGCCTACTTAGGTCTTTCTTCTCGCTCTCCCACAAACTCTGTGTGTTCTACAAATCTCTCATACCCACAATTCTCCCCGTGTTTCTGTGGATCCTTGCCTACGATAGACCATTCGTAGAAGGCCAGCACCTTATGTACTTTAACACCTGTTAATTGCAAGTCTTATAATGTACATTTATCATACAACATTGCCACTTCAATTCCCCTATAGGGCCACATATAGACAGGCAAGATAACCTAGCCACCTCCCAAGTGGCCGTGTGGTGATTAGTCACAATCTTTTCGGAGGACCCCGCGGGCGGTCGGCTGGAAAGTATACCGCCCTCATTCTCCCCGCCATTCTGCCAGCAGTATGTGTCCGATCCCAACGCCGATGAGAGTGAATGGGAATAGTATTCAGTGTTCACCAGCGCCAAAGTGAAGAAATGTTACCTTTCTCGTTTCCACTTGAGCATATTATTTCTTTTCCCTCAATTATCCACTCTCCTTAACCGTTTTTACAAAAGCTGCAAGCCCATCTACTCCATAATCTTGGCACAACGCCTCTCTGGCCTCCACGCGATCACAGATAACCTGCGCATATCTCGACATAAGAACCAGTCGGAGAGCCAAAAAATCAGATTGTGACATATCGAGACGCGTTACTGCACATACTTCTGCGCTCATTTCTTTGGGTGTATGTACCCCACCATCATATCCCACCATCACATAGTCAATATTCATCTCTCTAACAATGTTCAAGAACGCCTAACACTGGCAATGGCATCGCAGCCAGTTTTGCCCAGAAAGTCCTCGGTGCCTTGGGGAACGGAACTGGCTGAACTCCATGGAGCCTCCAATCCAAATCTACCTGAGAAACCGAATACATCTCTTCTCAGACCGAGGGAATCTCGCCCCAGTGACAAAAGCAGTCCAAGCTCACCAATTGTCGCTTCGCCAAGTGGAGATGTGATTCTCAAGTACACCAAGCCATATTCAGGAGAGAGCTACTACTGGAAAGTGGAAAGTCGAATGCTCAGGGAGAATAGTCCCTATTTCCGAGTACTTCTGGATCCTACCAATAACTTTATTGAGGGACAATTGCTTGCACAGCAGCTAGCAGAATCCTCAGGATCGGGCTCCCTGCCCGTCGTGGTTATTCCTGCAACACCTTTTACCGAACTGTACGGTGTTGATTCTATGGAGCTGTTCTTGCAAATTCTATGCTTCGAGTCTCTGGCATCCGAGGAGAACAACGATGAGGATGAAGGTTTGGAAACTGTGTTTACTCTCAACCTCAAAGCTCAACCTCTGTCTCTCATTGCTAGATTGGTTGAGATTGCCGACTATTACAACTCCCCGTTGCCCGTTCTTGATGCCCTCCGCCGTATGGATTACTCTCTAGGCAAGGGCAAATCACGACTTCAAAAGTTTAGCGAGACGACCTTGAAGATGAGTGAAGATCGGATCCGGCAAACGATTGTTGTTGCGGACTTTCTCAAACAAGAGTCCATCGCAAAGATTATGGCACACGCGTTGGTGATTGCTGGCTCCAAGCGCTGGGTTCATTCACCAGAGGTACCGGAGGGTCCATATTTCCGGTGGCACTACTTAGCGAATGGATTAGAGGGTATGGAACAACCCTAGAATGGGCATTCTAGACGACAAGGAGATTATGGCTAACAACTACCCTATAGAGGAGCTCTATTACCGACGACAGTGCGTCTTGAATACGATCACCGACCTACAAGCATATTTCCTCCGCAAATACGGCGCACTGGAAAGTAACGAGCCCATGGCTGTCCCCTCTGGAGCCGTGCCACATCATACAATCACACAGCACCGAGTTTACCAGTGCCGAGCTGGACTTGGCAATGCAAGCCAGTGCGATCTATTTCACCTGGGACAGATGACTCGGTTCTTCGCGCTGCGGGCCAAATCGATCTTCATAGGATCTACACTGATTGATCCTGAGTTTAGTCCGCCTGGCGCCGAAGATGAGCATGACGGCAAGGAACAGCCCCCAGTAGGCCCTGATCTCTCAGCACTCATCGTCTCACTAAAGAAACACCCTGACTATCAGATTGATCTCAACCATCAGGCTTGTGGCGTGAAGCGTCGGTTACTTCCGATCCTTGATGGTATTGAGAAGTTTTTGTTGGACGGGCGTGGCATGCTAGGCCTTGTGCCGTCTCTCTGGGACCAGCCGGAGAATCGTCAACGGCTGCAGTGGCAGTCCGATACTTTGTTTGCTGAGGAAGTACATATTGTACTCAACCAGATATCTTACGTGCATATCGGACTCCAAGGTGCCACCGCTGCCAAAAGCGGTTTTCACAGCACCAGATCACTCAGTCATGAGGACCATGCAAGGGCATTGTTTACTGCCAAGAAGCGGAAGTGGGAGCCAGAAACGTTTTGATTACTTGGCTCTGTCGGGTGATCACATAACGCGTCGTTATTACATACTTCCATTCCCTGGCCCAGCTTCTCCCGTTGCGATTTTCTTGGAAAGTATGACTCGACTATGACGGTGTATCTGCAGAGACCGGTCTAGACCCTTGAGATCTAGATCGCTTGTTCAAGGAGAATAGACGTGGGTCTTTTTTCTAGAGCAGGTTATGAGCCTGGGCCAGCAAGCTGAGATACGGTCGAATGTACTGGACATGACTGTTACGATAGACGAAATGTAAAATATTGAGACCTGTGTACAGTTAATGCCCATATAGAAGCTTATGATGAATGAAGATTCCGAATAACAACCTGAGTAAACATGGAGAACTGTAAGCCCCCAATTATAGAGACCAGAGAAACCAAAAACTTTTGCCCGTCTGTTCTGAGTCTATAAGAGATTTTACGTGTGGGATAAATGTGAGAATCAAACAGAAGGAAGCAGCGCAAGTTCAATGTGACAGTCTGGGGCCCATTTTTCATATATCAAAAACAAGATTTTTCTTTTGATGTGTAGCTGGTAAGTAGCGTCTTTCCTCCCTCGCGCCTGTCCAAGCACGACCAATTAACACACTGCATCGCCCCAGAAATACCCCATATCAAGGTCCATGTTCGGCCCCGAAGGGAAGAATGATCCAGTAATTTGACCAGTCGCTGGGTCATAGGGGAATAACTCGTCATAGGGTAGTTGACCCGGCAGAGAATTCTCCGACTTGGCTAATGTCTCTAAAAGATCAGGTGCCTCGATATTGTAGGGCACCGACATATCAAGAGGACTGACAGGCGGCTTTATTGGCGAGCAAACAATGGAGTCCATCTCAGCAGCAATGGAATTTGCCGTAACCACAGGAGCTGCGGACAAGCTCGACGACTGATCGAAAGTGAGATCGTCAATAAATTGATTATCTCCGGCTTCAGTGGAGCTGATAATGTCTGGAGCATCGAAAAGAGAGTTACTCGATGACTCCTCATTGTCAGAGATCTCATTGACATCAATTCTGATGTGGGGTGCCAGGCGGCGCAAGAATCCGTCGCAGAGCTTCCAGGCTCTTTCCGACGCCATGTTCGTCTTGGATAGTGCCGAAAGCCAGTCTATAGCCTTTTTCGCAGCTTTCAGTACCATGTTTGCTTTCTCAGGAACATGCTGGGAATGGAATGAAAGTTCCAACAGAAGGACAGTTGTTGCTTGCATCAGATAATGCAGTGTGCACCACCATGGAGAAATTCGATGTAGCATCGCAGCGTCTGGATTGTCCGGGAATAATGTCAACATATGACATGCAGACTCGACACACTCGGTAGCAGTCTTTCTGCAGAACTCATGTGTCTTGTCATCCTCGGGAGGAGATGATTCAAGTCGACACAAACACGGACGGGAGATTCCAATTTTGGTACTGTAGAACAGAAAGGCAAGTCCCATTCGCTGTCCCACGGGGCATTGGGAAGTCTGCGTGGAAGTAAAGTCGTAGGCCGATGGAAGATTCATGAACCAAGAATCAATGCCGAGCATGAGGCTCTGGATGGTGAATTCGATACTCGCCCATGGGGACTGCAGTGCCTCTGGGCTGTATAGCTTGGTCGTCATTCGCTTGGCGATGGTAGTCAACGATGTCATCTGCAAGAAGTATAGCGACATGCATGGTGGAAGACTCTTCAAGTACTCAGACCGACTTCTTCTTGTATCGCTTTCAGCCGGAGTGTCGTTTGTGTCCGAATCTGCAGTAGAGTCCAAGGTGGCTGCGCTACTGCTGAATGACATGCGATCCAGAGGGCTCGATGTACCACGTCCAGCGACACTGATGAGCTGAGCAACTTCTTCTTTCTGAAAGTCACTTTCATCGAATGGAACTGGAAGTGGTGTGGTACAAGAGCTGTCGATAATGCAGGACGGACGCCCGGTCATGACACCAAGAAGATGCTCGATGTTGTAGAGTGACCACCAGACGCGATATCGTATTTCCTTTGACGTATCAGATGTGCATACACCCACGTTTTGAAGATGTAGCCCAAGGCCTAATGCTCCTCTGATGGCACTTCCAGACAACTTCCAGGCTCTATGTTAAGAGAAAGGGGTAAATATAAGTATTGCTCCAGGGGCAGTTAGATCAATGACATACCGATTGATATGGCCAGATGAAATCAAGTAAAAGCAAGCAAGCCCCTCGACTTGCAATTGCTGCAAATCAGGATGATGCAAAAGCTGGTCTTCTAGACACAGACTTCTTGCCCGAGAGAAGTACATTTGATGATCATCTTCGCCCTCTTTCCACTCGGCATCGGTCAACTGTCCATACTTCGATGCAATGGCGAAAATCAGATTGAGAATAGCCAGCCATTTACTCCCTGGCTTGAGGGAGGGTTGACTGAAGAAGACTTGGAACTGCGAAATGAATGTAGAGATGCCAATGATTGGGAAGGACGGGTGAACTGAGGTCAGATAGGCATTGAGTAGTTTAGTCGCTGTGTCCCGTGAGGGTACCCCGAATGCATCAACCTGGTCTTTCTTTGGGGCCTCCAAGTCGTCAATATAGTAGTTTGAGGAAGCCACCAATGGATCGCTGGGCCTCTCAGGCAGGGGTGTCAAAGTTGGAGAGGGCAGACCGTTATCATCATCTTCATTGGATTTGCTTGAAGACCACTCCTCACACTCGTTGTTGACTTCCTTGCTTAGCTTTTGAAGCCAAGCAATCTCCGAGCTTCTACCAATGAATCCAGTTGCTCGTGCTGTCTCATCTCTGTTAAAGTCTTCTTCTGTATGGTCAATACAATCCAATGCTCCGGGCGATGAAGCTCGATCAGGCGGTGGTTCCGAGCCTGAGATCCGACTTCTCTCGCCTGTACCAGCCAGGCTAGCATCGACGTTTAGCGCCAACTCAGGAGCTGATTCCTATACTATCTCAGACATGGCTTGGACACTGGAGACGGATCGTACGCCTTACCGCTACCAAGGCAATGTTAACAAGCTGCTCATCAGAGACTCCAAAACGGTCGCTCAGCTTTCTGATGACATCTTCATAGGCCTGTACCTTAGCTGACAGACTGGCCAGCTGCCTATAAGTCGAGAAGTTAGTAAATGAGAATTATCGTCAAAGTAACAGGTTAGGGGGAAAGGTACTAACCGTTTCGACTTTTCTCTTTTACCATCGGTATAGCAGCAAATGATGCCAGCCTCCCGGCAATTACGACAGCCTGACTTGTCACCAGTGCATTTGGTTTTTCTCTGGCGACAACTTTCGCATGCTCGACGCACATGCCGACGGTGGAATCTACCAGGTGAGGTAAAGGCTGAATCTGCCCCTTCTGCAAGTCGTGGAATGGCCATCTTCTTGGTACCGGCATCAGACTCGGACCGTTGAAGAGCTGGTAATGGGTTGTCCTGTACGTGACATTAGAAGCCCGCTTTGAGATTCGATACTGATCTTCCAGTTATACAAACATACCAAGCTGAGCTGGTTGCATGTCTCGGCATCAACACTTGAAAGCATGAATAGATTCTGTTGTTCGTTCCATGGGGGAAGGGAATACTCATTATGAACCAATTGGAAACTATAGACTAAGTATTCCTAGAGTAGAGGCAGTGTGTGAGTGGATAACTCTCGTTTTCATAATACTTCCCCACATATAGAGTCTTCTTACCTTGGAAGTATGGAGATGGCTGAACAAGGTCTGAAGTGTGAACTATCAGACACTGATGAAAACACAAAATGAGGGGGCATCAATTGAGTTATAAAACCATTGGTAGGCTCAACCTAAAAGCTAAATGGTCCATTGCGTGCCAGCTACCAACAACTCCAGATGTATTTTCTGGGTCCGGGTGCCCACTGGAGTCTAAAGCTCAACTGGTAGATACCTAGTCATGACGGTCATGACGATGTTGACAGAGCAGTCGCAGTAAGCTCACAAAGTGGCAATTCAGAAGAACATGCGACGAAATACCTACCTGGCGTAAATTTGCCTCATCACATTGCAATGTTGGCTGAGGCGATTCTGAGGCCTTTTTTGGTTGGATTTACACGATATGTATGGCTAGTAGATCATCACATTTGCCATCAACTGGCGGCGACGATCCTGTTGCATCAGATCTAGGCTGATAGCCATACACATTGGCTAAACCGTTGAACATGGGCCCCAGAATACCCATTATTTTTGTCTTCTGTTTGTCGGTTCCAACAACCGACAGGCTCTCAGCTCCGACGCTTCCTGAGTAGTTAGAGCGCTTTCTACTTGTAGATTGGATGGCCGGTAAAGGGGCGGCTTTTACAGAAGCCGAGATATGGACCTGATAGAGCTTGTCTCCATTAGAAGACCGATTGCTCTTAAAGTTAAATAGAGTGTGGGTTGGGGGTATAGAGCAACAGCTCAATACAGGCACCTGTATCGCTACAATAGCTTAGATGGGCTCTAATGGTCTAGACCTCACGAGTAGAGTCAATCTGACGTTCGATAACTGTGGCACTTATTTAGCTGTTGTCCCTGGTTGATCATAGGATCGGACTGTCCTCATTCGGCCTAGAAGAGGAGAGGACTATAACGGCCCATGGAAACTCCCCGAGGTACCGAAAGCTTGACAGCAATCTCGAGCTATAGGGGTATCCCTATTCAGAAAGACCCCCCATACTCATAGTGCTCATTGATTATTTGCAGCGTGGGTCTATCATCCATAATCCTGACGTCGTGCATTACCAAGACATGATCGCGCCCATCATCACAACATCGATCAGCTCACTGTGCATCTAAGACATGGGGTAGATCGCATTGGGGCAGTCGGGCATCCTGAGATTCTAGAGCCAAGGTCCAAGGTTTGCTTAATTCTAAGTAATGTGTCAATTTTTGGCTATCAAGGTTAAGACACGGCCCCTCAAGGGAGGTACCTTGAAAGTCTTAGGTTGGTATGAGGGCAATCAAATCAGGGGCTGGTAACAGGGTTGTAAAAACAAAAAGCAACAAAATTGCCAGAAAAGCAGACCTCAAGCCGAGCATCATTAGAAGAAGAAGAAACAAACTCTATACAGTCCCAAAACCAAATTACTCGATCAAGAAGTTCTCGGCAACACTGCGAATATCCTTGGAGTATCCAGTACTCTCGCCCTCCATCTCCAGCAGGGACACATCGAGAACATCCACGTCGACGAATGGCTGGGTCTTTGTGAATCGTACGCTCATAGGGAAGAACTCATTCTCATCACCGTCGCCGGTGGACTCAAATTCGAAGCTACCAGAGGGGTTCGACTCGTCCACCGCACCCAAGTTCCAGTCCAGGCTATCCCCTGAGACTTCGTAGACAGCATCGAAGCTGGCTACGGCTGGCTCCGATGTAACATAAGGAATGGTAACAACAACATCGCGCAGGCTGTCCGTGCCGGTAAGCTCATACTCCACGGTGACGGTGGTTGTGTCAGAGCCCTTGTTCACCCACACAGTGAATGTAATGGGCAGGATCTCGGCATTGTCAGCCGAGCTTGCCACACGCCACCGCAAAACACCAATTGCGTTATTAGCGGGGAAGCGTTTGGTGGCATCCTTGAGCTGAATTGCGGAGGTGCTTGTAAAGAGGGCTTTGTCGACATTGGGGTGGGTACGGAATTGGGCACCCTGGGTAGGGTTTGCCCTGAGATCAAGCCGGAGCTTGGTGAACGCCGGGTCAGTGATACGGAGTTGAAGGTCACCCTTGACCTCGAACGACTTTAGGGCACCTTCTCTCGTGAGGCTTGCAGAAATGGTCTCGGCGATAGTAATGTGGATGGGCTCGCGGTCTGCCGTCAGGGACTCTCGAGCAGAAGCAGGCTCTTGCACAGGAGTAGACGCTTGAGGAGTGACCAGCGGGCTAGATTCCTCAATCTCGGGGCCTAGATCGCCGCGAACCTTCTCATAGATATCAGTAGCCTTGGACTTCTTGCCAAGTTGCATGCCCTTGCCGCGAGTAGGGAGGGGCCTAGATAGAATTCACGCTGTTAGATCCCAGAACACCTTCCCAATCTCCCAGATCATAGATGGGCAAACATACTTGGCAAAAGTCTTCTTCTTCTCCGCCTCATAGGAGTCGTAGGTATCGGGCACTGATGGGCGCGATGGGGGTGTGTAGACGGGGTAGTTTGGTGCCCGCGGGGCGGCTCCACGGCCTGTGCGAGCAGCCTCCTTGCGCTGCATTTCCAGTTGCTTGGCCTTGCGCTTGCGCTCCTCGCTGGCCTCCAATTCCTTGTTCTGTCGATAAACGTCAGCTTTAGCGATAACCCCGCAGCTCGAAAGTCCAAACGTACCCGCTCAATGATTTCCTGGATGCGCTCCTCATGACTCTCCATCTCCAAGAAGGTCTTGATCTGAGAAATGGAAAGGTTTTCTCGGTAACCCAATGTCACCAACTCGTCGTATGCGCTTAGTAGCTCGAAGGCATTGCGGAGGATCTCTCGCTCGTCCAGGCTCTTGCAAATGCTTGTGGTTACTTGGGCAAATAAGTGCAGACTATCGATGTCTTGGAGAATGTTCGATTGGCGGTTGGTGATCAGGACAATGTACAGCTCATCCAATGGCTGGTATACGAACCGCACGTTGTCTTGCTCAACAGTGGTGTGCTGGGTTTGTGAATCCGCAAGCTTGGGGAAAGAGGCGAGAAGAGCTTCAATGCGCGATCGGGGAATCTCACGGAATTGGCGCGAGAGGACTGCTTTGCCTCCGCGAGTGCAAATGGATGCCGCAAGGACGACCTGAACGATGTGGGACAGATGGTTAGCTCCAGGCTGTCACAACTGACAACAAACATAAGACGATGAGCAACTATACCATGGCGATGAAGCAGCAAGTTGAGGCTTGAGAGAATGAAAGGAAAGTGATAAGAGGATTCGCTGTGTTGCGAGGCTTGGGTCTTCTCTGGAGAAACGACAGCTAGAAGAGAGAGCCCCCTGTAGTGTTGATGGACAAGTCAGTCGCCCGCGGGCCGCTACTCTGTTCTCTTCGGCCTTGGCCCGTGCACGCCCACCCCCCTTCGCTTAGTCTTCAACCCAACCCAGCTTTTTTCCGTCTTCACCTTATCCTTCTCCATTCTCGCGTTTCTCATCGCGTGAGAGATTTCTTTCTTCCTATCAACTCTTCGATTCCCAAGCTGGATCGATCTCTATTTCCCATGAACCTCTCATAACCTCCCCTTTTCCTCGATTCTTTTCTCTCACCTCACCCGCCGACTAGACGCTTCCGGAACGCGCCACCCTCGGCCCTTACAACACACGTCCCCGTGGTAGACGCTTCTCCACGCGTTTTGTGCCATGACCACAGCTTCCCCCTTGAAATTTTCTACAATGGAGGTTCCCGCACTGGAAGATTCGATGGAGATGGCCTCTCCCTACCAGGGACAGGCCGATGATTTTGATATCGACATCGACCTGATGGAAGACAATGTCTCGAACATGGATAGCGATATGATGGGAGCAGATGACTATCCCAACACGTCCCAAGTCTCGCTTTTTGCCACCGAGGTGAACGATGATGCCGACATGGCTGATGAGCCTTCCGAAGGATCCATGGTCGACACCGATCTTGTTGACGAAGACCCTGACATCGACGTTCAGTATGAAGAAACTACCTATGAAGCAGAAATGCTGGAAGGCGACCAAGATGACGGAATCGTGCCTGTTCCCAGCATTCATATTGAAGTACAACCCGAGACTGTTGCGCATGAAGACAAGCCAAGCGAGATTCCTACGGAAACCCAGGAGCTGGGATCCCAGTCCACCCATGATGGTCTAGAAACCGCTCTCCCGGAGCCTGATTCCGTGTCGAACGAACCCCAAGACCCCCAAGCTCAAGAAGAAGAGCTCCATCCCGTCTCTAGCGAAAATCAGATTGGTCAACCCGGACACACCGAAGGCGACCAGACCACGGAGGCCGACGCCAACCGTCCCGATATTGAGCATCACGAAACTAATGAAACCACCGAAAACGACTTACCTTCTGTTGAAGAAAATCATGAGCACACTGATGCCTCTGCTGAGAAGGTCGAAAACCCTGAGCCCGAACAGGAGGTCAATTCAAATGCGCACGAAGGTGAAGACGGAAATGCCGAGCATCTCGAGACCAATGACTCGCACGAGACGGAGGCTCAGCACACTCATGAGGAAGATGAGTCTCTCCATCCAGTAAAGGTTCTTTACCAGGAAGCCGAGATTTCTTTGTTCCCACCTATGGAAGGTGACTCGGCGGAGACATTCTTCCTGCATGACGAAGATGTCGCCTATGACAACGTTGGTAAATTGTTCAGCTCTCTCCGTGAGGTGCTTTTGGATAATGTTGCCGAGAATGACGTCCTGGTTATTGATATCGACTCCCTCGGTATTCAAATAACAGAGGTATGCGCTGCCCCCAGTCTGTCGTTTTTAATACCCTCCATTTGCAAAAAATTGCTAACTCTTAGCTAATAGGACTGCTCGCAAACGTCCAACATGACCTTACATCGAATTTTGAACGTTTATCTACGTCTTTGTCATAATGACAACAATAATGAGCCAGAAGCCTTGTATCTGACTTTGAGCAGCAGACCGGCTGTTCATTCAGAACTAGCTGATCTTGAAGCCGCCGCCAATGAGGGCAAAGGATTGTCTCAGGTTCATCCTTGGAGCGAGTTCGAGGATGGAGAAGAGAATGAGGATCATCAAGCAGACAGACACCATGTTGAGGGATCACCTAGCAATCAGGATGATCAGGCTCTGTCTTTCCATGAAGCTGAAGAGCAGGCTGTCCCCAGTGGTGCTGCCGAGTCCGAAGTGCACGGTGCTACAAACAAGGAAGCTCAAGATGCTCCCATCGAGGTGACTCGCGAGTCTGAGCACGATGCTCAGGCCGAGCTAGAAGCTGTCGCTGCTGAAACACAGCAAGCAGACGAGACGGGTCGGGCCGATGCGCCACCATATGCCGATGAGAATGTGCACGATTATGGCGAGGCGCAGTATGACGAGCAGTATGATTCTGAACCTCCCAAGACAGAATCCACATCCACCGCTGTGCCTACCTCTGATCAGGTTGAGACATTGGAGCCCACTGAAGACGTCTCGGCTGATGCCACTGAAGTTGTGTTCGATGAAAACGATACGAACTATCACGATGGCACCGATCCTGCGGGTGACGGCGAAGACTTGGATAACCAGGAGTCATCCGAACGCCCTGACGAATACGAAGATGAACTTGTTGGAGAGGAGACCTATGCCTCTGGTGTCAATGATGATGTTCAAACGGTCGATTTTGCTTCGGTCCATAACGAAGGCGCTCTCAACGAAGTTGACGCCGCACCTGCCGCTGAGGATGCTTTTGGCGATGTCTTGCATGAGGACGTTGATGATCAGTCGGAGTCTACCGTGGAAAATGCTCCCACTGAGGAATCTGCCACCCAAGAGAAAACACTGGCGCCCGAGGATGACTTGCTGGGAATTGCTGAGGACATTTTGGATGGTCCTGCCGACGACCCTGAGGACCATCTCGACCACCTCGAGAGCCCAGATCCAGAGCAAGACCTTGAGGATGGTGATCCGGACGATTTGGTCGATGACGATAGCGGCGACTACGATGAGGACTCATACAACATTCTTGAAATTTCGGAACACGTCGAGCTGGATGAAGCGGATCAGGTGCATACTGACTCCCAAACTCATGAGAATCCCTCTAAGCGGGCCCGTGAGGAGGAGGATGAATGGGACTTTGAGGAGACCTCGACCCCCGAGATCAAACGTCGCCGCCCTTCGTAAACCCAATATTCCCCCCTTTCTACCCCGGCGATGTTCGATTCCCACCTCGCGCCCACGCTTCTTTAGATTGGCCACCCCCAGTCTAACCATTCATGGATGCTATTGGCTTAGTGCCTCGGCCACTTCGCTTTCTTTCGCTATCATCAACAACTTCTACTAACTCCGATCATCCACAGCGACTATACCGGTACATGGGTGCAGAAATCCCGTCTTACTATCAGATCTAGGTACGTCTTATCTCCCTTCCCCTCTGGTCCTTGGGAGGGCCCCGCCTCTTTCCGTGATCAAATCACTATGGAGCGGCCCCTTTGGATCAAGTTCGGCGGCTAGACAAGCTTCTTCTTCCTCCCTTGTTTGTGTACTTTATTGCCTGTTTTGCTTCCCTTCTCTTTCGAGCACCACCCCCCTTTTGCGTGATACCATTTTGCGATCCAAAAATCAGTTGTTATTGGCGTCGCTGGCAGTCCGGTTGGACTTGGATCTTTTTTTTCTTGTTTCGCCCTCAGTTGCATCCCACCATAGTTATCGGCGTATCGGTATGACGGCATCGGCTACACTTTTATCATTAGGCTTCCACTATGAATGAGATTTGGTTCCGTTTGAGAAGAAAAACACGTTCAAGGGTAGACACAAGTCCACGTTTTTGTAACAATCAGTGTATCTGAATTTGGAGTTGGCACGACTACAGTATTGTGCTGCCTAACAGCTCAGGATGCGCCACGAACCTCAACCGATTAAGGTTCCGGTAACACTCCCCCCCCAGTGCTTAATTAGGGCTTAAAATCCAGCACCTGTCACGACCAAACCCGCTAGGGTCGGCAAAGGGAAATAGAATAATGGAGGAAATTGTGAGAAGCTCGGATGTTATGTACATAGAGTCACCCTCTCCACTTGCCATTTTGTTTCTAATGACGACGGGAAATGATATACGCAGTCAGGCGGGGCATAAGGACCTTAGACAAAATTGGACCTTTCTAAGCAGTGCATCAGAACTAGATACATATAGTCCATCCTTACGGAAGGATGGGCAGTTCCTATACTTCCTCAGCCAACCAGAGCTCCCGCTACTCGTTCCTATGCAGGAGTAATGTACCTATCTCGGGCTTCATTTCTTGCATGTGGACTCTCAAATCAACGGCGCCCTGGTATCGCCCTGGTATGGGCGGGGTGGACCCCATCGCTATGTAGAGACAGGCCGAATGCGGTTGGGTGGCCAGATCGATATGAAACGACGATCGCCGCCACTGGGAACACTCAGGGTCCAAGCATTGAAATTTGTGTTGCTGAAACTTGTGCATGGTCCAAGTCGCTTTATTATTTTACCCCTGCTTTTTCGGCCATTGTTATAACTGGGCTGTCGTCCACTTACGTACGGGCAGAGTATAACTATAGTGTATACTACTGTACGGAGGAGAGTCTGGCTAGATAGACAACCAGATATAGTAGATATCTCCTATATCAACAACAGACAATCCAATTTTGTATCAACAAGAAACCCCTGAAAATCATATCACACCCTATAGTCCGTTATTTTGCCAGCCTGGCGAACGAGTGTTGGTATTTTTCTTGGGTTTGCTCAGCCCGTTAACTCTTACGCGTCCCGATCGGCCCAGTCTCGAAACGGAACCCCACCGCACGCAGGCACCAAAGCACTTCGCCTGGCCCTCCACTACGTCGACTCCCGTACTCTGTACTATTACTCTCCTCGGCTGCGACTTCATCCTTTGTCCTCTTACTCATCATTATTGACCTTCGCCTCCTCCTACTTTCTCCCTTCTTCATCCTCTAGGACAGAAAACCTCGGGCTGGCTCGTTTTTCTGGCGCGCTCGTTTCCTCCTCCTCTTCGCCCTCCTCCCTTCGCTCCCCGTGGAACTGACCCGATCCCGTGCCGCCCGCCCGCTGAGCTCACCACTCTCCCTTCATTTACCGAGTCGCTCGTTCTCACACACTCTCTCATTCCCCTCCGATATCCATTGCTGGCAGTGGAGGTCTTCCGATAGAAGGGGCTGTCCGCCTCCTGAACAGAACTGCAAGATGCTTCCAGACAAGTACGCCCTCCCCGGATTCTCCGCGCTTTCAATGCGCGGGTGCTTTGTGGACAAAGTGGCAAGAAGGGCTAACTTGCGCAACCGCCAATAGATATGTCGGGCTAATATTAGCCATCCTATCAACAATGGCCATTGGTACGACTCCCTTCGATCAATCCTATTGCGAATCCGCCCGGACATCCAGCTAACTCGGTTCCCTAGGCACGAGTTTCGTGATCACGAAAAAGGTTCGTCTACACTCAAAACACCGATCGAAGGTGATGAGACATTATGGTCCGAAACCGCGATCGCATCGCATTTGACGGCATTATTTGGAAATGGACTTGGAACCAGGGCGCTGATGGAAGTGATCACAGGGTTTACAACATGCCAACAGGCAGCATGGGTTTGAAGGAGAAGGCTTCTCATACTTGAAGAGTCCGATCTGGTGGGGAGGCGTGATTACATGTATGGATTGCCCGTTGAGTTGAAAATTGCCTGGGTGACAGAAGCTAATGGACAATACCAGTGGCCATTGGAGAGGTTGCCAACTTCGCTGCATATGCATTTGCACCCGCAATTCTCGTTACGCCCCTCGGCGCACTCAGTGTGTTGATCGGGTAAGTCAAGACCATTAATTCACCCGATTCCAATTGGCAGCAATGGCTGACAACTCGCAGTGCGGTTCTAGGTTCCTATTTCTTGAACGAGCGATTGGGAACATTGGGTAAATTGGGTTGTGCTATGTGTCTACTTGGCTCGGTCGTCATTGTCCTCCATGCGCCTCCTGACAAGCCTGTGGAACGGATTGATGAAATCCTGGCCTACGCCGTGAAGCCAGGTGAGTTCGCGGCAGACTATACTACTGCGCATTTCTTCGGACCACTAACCTTCCTTCTAGGGTTCCTCCTCTACTGCCTGGCAGTTGCAATCTTCTCCACGGTGATGATCTACCGGGTCGCCCCGGTTTACGGAAAGAAGAACCCCTTAATCTTCATCTCGATTTGCTCGACCGTTGGCTCGATCTCTGTGATGTCGGTCAAGGCGTTTGGTATCGCGGTGAAACTGACCCTTGGAGGCAATAACCAATTCGTTCACGCATCTACCTACGTTTTCGCCATTGTTACCGCCTTCTGCATTCTCACTCAGATGAATTATATCAACAAGGCATTGAACGCCTTCTCGACCTCCATGTGAGTGGAAACCCCGGGATCTTAGACAAATGTGAGGATTTGAGTACTAATAAGGGTTCTTCCATAGTGTCAACCCCCTCTACTATGTGACATTCACGACGGCTACGCTCTGCGCTTCTTTCATCCTCTTCCAAGGTTTCAATACCACCGATGCAGTCAACACGATCTCCTTGCTATGTGGATTCCTCATCATCTTCACCGGAGTGTACCTTCTCAACCTTTCGCGACATGACCCTGACGGTCGGCATATGGTCAATTCGAAGTTCGACGATGAAGGTGTGCCCACCGACGCGATCTCCAGCTTCCAGACCCGGCGGTCGATGCAATCTCGCCGAAGCTCGTCGAGCATTGCTTTTATGAACGGCCACAGCGATCGGGAGGGTCTCATCCACTCCTATGACGTTGAGAACAACCATGCGATTGGCATGGACGACCTAGCAGAGAGCGACGGGGAGCCCGGGCCAACCTACGCGCGAAACGAGGAGCGCGAACGGACTACCATGCACACGAAGCAAAATAGCCAGGTCTAGTTCGATTGGAATCTTCACGAGTGTCCTGAATCGTATATCAAGCGCTCTCAGCATTTTCACGAGGTCAAGTGTTCGCCATGCTTTCCAAAACCATTCCCTTTTTTGTTCCTCACCTTCCCACCTCATCCCGAGCTACTAGCCCATCTGGCTTCTCCTCTGCGTCTCTCTTCCGAGCTCCTTGTACTTTTACTGTTGCCGCCAAAATGCCCGAGATGGGTTGACGGGCAATCTCATACCCAGGCACTGGACATGCCCGTATGAAACGATTGGATATGACTTCTGGGTTCTCTAAATGGTTGGATTTTCTCTATTTGTGATTTTTTCTGGTACTGGGGCGAGAGAGGCATCATTGTATATACCGTGTGATCATTGGATTTTCTTATTTTTTTTCCCTCTTGATGATTCTCCTTCATATTTGCGTGTAGGCCTGACCCCCACATTTATCTATTTGGTATAACTAGTCATAAGTAGTATATACTCTCCACAGTGAATGCAGCAGTTCGCGGGCTGGCGGGGATGAGCCTTGGGAGTGGGGCCTCTCCGATCCGATGATGTATTTCGCTGGTCAGCTGTTATGCAAGTTCTTGTTTCCCACGAGCATTCCTGCTCTGCCGGTTGATGGAGTCGGTGCTGTGAATTTGATCCTCCTTTCACGGCGCAGAGACAAGACAGGCTTCTGACTATTTCGCTTTCGCGCATTCCAATTTTTCGGGGCGCATCGAAGCGATATGCCGGGCCTTTTGCGGAAACTGATTATTGTCGCCGCGGTCGATGGGCTGATTCTGCACGGGAATGGCGCCAACGGACTGCGGCCTAATCATAACGGGAGCAACAATGAGGCGTCTTCGATCCGAATCGATTACAAGACGAACAAGATTACCGCGTTGCCCGCCTCGTCGGAGTCACTGGAGGGGCAGGACGTGCTAGAGGCATACGGACTTGTTGGTAAGGTCGCAAACACTGCGGGGCAAAGCCGGCGCACGATACCTTCACAGCCCTAACAAAATTACAATTTTATAGGACTTTTATCTGTCGCATCCTACTCATTCCTGATTTCAATCACTCAGCGCCAGCAGGTCGCCCAAATCCAAGGCCGCCCTGTTTACGCCGTGACCAATGTCGCGATCATCCCTCTCTCCTCCAAAGCAGACGCTACACGCGCGATTGCCCAGGCCCGGAAAGAGGTTTCACAGGGCGATCCAGATCTCGACTCTCCTTCCGAAGAGGAGGTGGTAGATAACGTGAATGACGGGGCAGAGCCGGAAATCAGCAGCGCACCATCCTCGCCCGTTCGTGAAACAGTCCACACCCGCGGGCTCAGTGTTGGTAGTATCGCCGAGGATGTGATTGGGAAGCGCCTGCGTTTCGGTCGATTTGCTGCCAATTGGCTGTCGCGCAAGAACCTGGGCCTTCCCCGGCCCGGTGCGCTAGAGCAGGAGGTTCCAGAATCGCCTTTTGACGATTCACCCCGGATGTCGGTTGATATACCTGAAGTTGAAGACAAGGCCGCTGAGGCTGCCGAGGCGGCAGTTCCTCGAGAGGCTGAAATTGAGGCTGAGGCTGCTGCCCAGGGTGATGTTGGTCGTTCAAGCTCTGATCAGTCGGCGGAGCTACTGCCGAAGCTCATTCGATATACCAAGCTTCTTTTTGCGTCGCATAATTTCTTCTTTGCATACGATTATGATTTGACGAGGTCATTCGAGGCGCAGGAGGTGCGGAACGGGCACCAGCCTCTTCACAAGGCGGTAGATCCATTGGTATGTTTTGTTCCGAATTCCTTGTGCTTGGACTCAAACTATATTGGGTGACGACTTCTAACCAATTCAAAGTATTTCTGGAACAAGTATCTCATGAATACATTCATTGATAATGGTGCGCACGGATTTGTCCTGCCCCTGCTACAGGGCTTCGTTGGACAGCGCGAGTTTACGGTGGCGGCTCCTGAGCAAAAGCCGTCGTCGGCTGAACCTACGGGGGAGCAACATGTTGAAGGTCGAATTCTTGGCGAGAGCGAAGAAACTCAAACTCAGGAGACTAAAGTGCCCAAGCATAATTTCCTTCTGACTCTTATCTCGCGACGGTCTGTTAATCGACCTGGTGTTCGATACCTCCGCCGTGGAGTGGATGATGAAGGTAATACGGCAAATACCGTCGAGACGGAGCAGATTTTCTCGGTGCCGAGCTGGGACTCATCTCAAAATGTCTACTCCTACTTGCAAGTGCGAGGGTCAATCCCCTTGTACTTCTCGCAGTCGCCTTATTCGTTCAAGCCCATGCCGATACTGCATCACTCCGCTGAAACCAACCAACTTGCCTTTGGCAGACACTTCCGAGAATTAAGCCGCCGATATGGCAAGATTCAGGCCGTCTCTTTAATCGACAAGCATGCTGGAGAGTTGAAGCTAGGAGAGCAATATGACCGATACACTGATGTGTTCAATGAAGCGGGTGGCATCGATGGGGCACCACTGAAGTTGGAGTGGTTTGATTTCCATAACGAATGTCGCGGAATGAAGTTTGAAAACGTCTCACGCTTGGTTGATCGTGTCAAGTATACGTTGGAAGATTTCGGATATACAGCCGTCAAGGATGGTTCTACTTCACGCAAGCAAACTGGCATTGTACGAACCAACTGCATGGACTGTCTTGACCGGACCGGTGTTGCGCAATGCGCTTTTGGGCAATGGGCACTCGAACAGCAGCTTCACAATGAGGGCATCCACATCGACTTGGGCGGAGACTCATCTACTCAGTGGTTCAATACTCTCTGGGCTGATAATGGTGATGCCATTTCTAAGCAATACTCGTCTACAGCAGCTTTGAAGGGTGACTATACTCGCACGAGGAAACGTGACTACCGCGGCGCTCTGAACGACTTTGGCCTCACGCTTTCGCGGTACTACAACAACATTGTCAACGATTATTTCTCACAAGCCTGTATCGACTACCTGCTTGGCAATGTGTCAACCCAGGTCTTTGACGAGTTTGCCATGGAGCTTCAAACCACCGACCCGGGCATCTCCGTTGAAAAGATCCGACAGAATGCCATCGACACCAGCTGCAAGATCGTCATCAGTAGCCCCTCCGAAGAATTCCTCGGCGGTTGGACAATGCTAACTCCCCGCCAACCGAATACACTGCGCACACTGCCCTTCGAAGAGTCCGTCCTCCTGCTCACCGACGCTGCAGTATACAGCTGCCGCTTCGACTGGGAGACTGACAAGGTACTCTCATTCGAGCGGATTGACCTCCGCTCTGTCTCCCGCATTTACTACGGCACATACATCACCTCCATCCTGACTGACAGCCAGTCAGACGAGCGTAGCAACGTCGGTTTAGTCATCGTCTACCGCGACGGTGACGCTAACGCCCTCCGCGTCAACACTCGCTCTTTGCAATCCAACGTGCGCCCTTCCACCCTCGAAGCTACAGCCAGCTCCAACGGTGAATGGGATCTCGTCTCCTGGCTACGCGGCAGCAAGCGTGCCACCACCCGCTTCGTCGCTTTCAAATCCCTACCAGCAAAGAACGCCCTGGCTAGCCCGCGTCTCGGGCCCATGACAGGTGCCATCAACGTGCGGGAGCTGGACCGGGTGCGTTCTATTTGTCTGGATATTGAACGCGCGCTGTTGGCGGGTGAAGGGCAGAATATAGAAGCTGCGTCTGTGGTGGAGCAATCGGATATTATCTCGTTGGCAGAGGCGAAGAAGAGGACCGGGATTTTGGAATATTTGGTTTATGATATCAAGAAGATGGTTTGGGCTTAATGGGTGAATAGGTTGGGTTTGTTAGCATATACTGTTGCAAATATGCGCTATTCACTGGAAATTGATATACGTGTATGTCGTCGATTGCGTATGACTGGTAACTTCCGGCCTTCGTATGCAGGGGAACTGGTGGTCTTTCACAGTGTCTTTCTATCGATTCTACTGGTTATCTATTACAACCGCTGCTAGAATATACGTTTGAGAGTGTGCTAGTCACTTCTCACGCAATAAATCTTCTCGATTGGGCGGGTTAGACGTAAATTGTTCAGATTCGTATCACTACGAATTCAGTTACATCAATCGCTTTATGTGCGTATCAGATCGTTTCCCTGATTGCCTAGGGTCCAATCGTCGATATCAATCTATCCCTGGTGTGTTACACGCCGTTGTCGCGAGCTCAGATTGCTGCTCGATGGTATCTACATCTAGGTGACCCTCCACCCGGTGCCGGCCTGTTTAGGAAGGTACATCTAACGCCGCCGCGAAATATAAATTTCGCATCGCTCCTGCCCCATCTTTCTTCCTCGCCAACCTTCTCGCGCCAACCTTCTCGCATCAACCACTCTCCAAAGTTCATCTATATCATACAAAACCTATAACAGACCCCCAAATAGGTTCACCGGTCTCTATACCACGCAGTATACCGCTCAACCCACAAGGTACATGAACCAGTTCATGATCAACTTTATAGATCTCTTGGATTGCAACAGCTTTCACCGCCTCAGTCACCGCCTTGGTCACCACCCATTTTTTTGCCCGGGCCACCTCCCGACCTCCTCGAATTTCGATAGGGCAGACTGACCGGTCCTAAAATTTTTATTTTCCACCGTGCTACATTATTGTCTCCCGCATTCTGATTCCCAGTCCCCGATTACTGATCTTGTCTCTGGATCAGAGTTCTTTGTTGCAGGTTTGTGCCTCGACCCGGGGCATCAGCGAAGGGGGGCCCGTTCCCACATTCTTGGCGGGGCTCCTTGTGCCACAATCACTTTTGCTCTTACGGTCGCTGCGACCAGTCGACTTTGCACCGCTCCAACATGGATTGGCAACCGCAAGATGAGCCATTGAGGCAGCTGGCCTGCTGTCTCAGGGACTCCCTGAACAGCGGGGACCCTCAGCTCCGAAAACAAGCCGAAAATGTACTTGAAATCCCCCCCAGTCCTTTTCCCCTTTGTGAAGTTCCGCTGCACTTTTCCCCCTCCCCGCTCTCCACCTCGAGTATCAACGACACACAACCCCCAACAGCGATGATGAGGGTCGCAATTACTGACTGGAAACCTACACGGGTATTAGATGCTTTCCCAAGCAACTGGATCCCCAGACTACGTCAACTACATCACATACATGTTCTCCACGTCGCAGGTGCCTCCAGCCGTGGCTGCGGCGGGCATTGACCCTAGCACCTATGGCGTTGTCCGATTCGCTGCTACTATGAATATGAAGACGAAGCTCTCGCTGGCCTACAACACAATCCCTCAGCAGAGTCTGAACTTCATTCGTTCCGCCGCCTTGGTCGCCCTACGAGACAATGATCGCCAAGTCCAGCGCGGTGTTGGCAGTATCATTACTGAGCTGGTGCAAAAGGGTGGCCTGCTCGCCTGGCCCGAGGTTTTGCAGGAGCTGTTGTCCCTCGTTGGCAATGACCAGGGCAACGTCTCCGTCGCTACCCAGGAGGCTGCTATGGCGGCCCTCTTCAAGGTCTGCGAGGATAATCGCAAAATCTTGGATCGGGACTACTCCGGACAACGCCCGCTTGACGTGATCATTCCCAAGCTTCTCGAGTTTACTACTCGCGAGAGTGCTCGTGTTCGTTCCCTCGCTTTGAACAGCATCCACGTCTTCCTCCCCACACCAGCCGCATGCTCTGGTGGCTTCATTGGACGTCTTCCTGTCGCAACTTTTCAACCTCTCTGGAGATCAAGACACCGAGGTGCGCAAGATGGTGTGCCAGTCATTCTCGCAGTTGGTGGAGTTCTCGCCGGAGAAACTTATCCCGCACATGGAGGGCCTGGTTAGCTACATTCTCATGCAGCAGCAAAACCAGGAGGACCCTGAGCTTGCTCTTGATGCGGCTGAGTTCTGGATTGTTGCTGGCGAGCAGCAGAGCCTTCGTCAGCCTTTGGCTCAGTACATGCACAAGGTTATTCCAGTTCTGCTTCAGAACATGGTCTACGAGGAGGACGATGTTATCCGTCTCATGGGTGATGAGGATGATGCTGATGTTGAGGATCGTGCCGAAGATATGAAGCCTCAGTTTGCCAAGACAAAGGGTGCTCGTCTGGATACATCCAAGCCCGGTGAACAGGCGGCCAATGGCCAGCAGCAGCAACAGCAGCCAGAGGAAGATGAGGATGACCTGAGCGAGGGCGAGATCGAGGACTCCGAGTTTGGAGATGACCCAGAGGGCGAATGGACACTTCGCAAGTGCTCAGCTGCTGCATTGGATGTCTTCTCGAATGTGTACCACGATCAGATCTTTACCATTATCCTGCCCTACCTGAAGGAGACCCTTCGTCACGAGCAGTGGCCCAACCGTGAGGCGGCTGTCCTCACCTTGGGTGCCGTTGCTGATGGTTGCATGGATGCGGTCACTCCTCACCTCCCTGAGCTTGTGCCGTACTTGATCTCCCTGCTGAACGACGCCCAGCCTGTCGTGCGGCAGATCACCTGCTGGTGCTTGGGACGCTACTCGGAATGGGCATCCCATCTCCACGACCCGGCCCAGAAGCAACAGTACTTCGAGCCGATGATGGAGGGTATTTTGACCCGTATGCTTGACAACAACAAGAAGGTGCAGGAAGCCGCTGCTTCTGCCTTTGCCAGCCTGGAAGAGAAGTCTGACGACAACTTGATCCCTTACTGCGAGCCCATTCTCCGCCAATTCGTTCAGTGCTTCGGCAAGTACAAGGATCGCAACATGTATATCCTTTATGACTGTATCCAGACTCTGGCTGAGTGTGTCATGACTGAGCTGGCCAAGCCTCAGCTTGTCAATATCCTCATGCCTGCTATGATCGAGCGGTACAACCACGTCAATGATCAGTCACAGGAGCTGTTCCCCTTGCTCGAATGTCTGGGCTACATTGCTGCTGCATACGGCGAAGCCTTTGCTCCATTCGCTCCCCACCTGTTCCAACGCTGCACCAAGATTATCTACCAGAACCTTAGGGAGTCTGTTGCCTCTCAAAACAACGAGGCCATTGACGAGCCTGACAAGGACTTCTTGGTTACTAGCTTGGATTTGTTGAGCGCAATCATCCAGGCTATTGATCCCCGGCAGAGCGGCGAGCTGGTTTCAAACTCTAGTTTCTTCGACCTGCTTGGCCTTTGTTTGCAGGACCCCAACTATGAGGTCCGCCAGTCATCCTACGCTTTGTTGGGTGACTGTGCCATCAGCATCTTCCCGCACCTGGAACCTTATATCCCCACGATCATGCCGGTTCTCATCAAGCAGCTTGACCTAGATCTCATTCGGGATGACGATCGCCAAACGGGTTTCAGCGTGCTGAACAATGCCTGCTGGTCTTGTGGTGAGATCGCAGTTCAAGAGAAGGCTGTGCTTGGTCCGTATGCTGATAAGCTGTACCACGGCCTCCTCACCATCATGGACAACGAAGAGATCATTGACTCTGTCAATGAGAACGCTGCGATGGCCCTGGGCCGACTTGGTCTCTTCTGCCCGGATTCTCTCGCATCGGAGCTCCAGAACTTTGCCACCTCGTTCCTGAAGTCGATGAGCAAGATTGATTTCACTCGTGAGAAGGCGTCTGCTTTCCTGGGCTTCAACAACATGGTCATGAAGAACCCCCAGGCCATGGAGGGCTGCTTGGGAGACTACTTCCAGTCAATTGCGTCGTTCCCAGTCAAGACTCTATCACAGGAGGAGTACCGGGATATTCAAGGCTCATTCCAACAGGTAGGTTTACCCCTTTTTGATTCCCCATTGTCTGCTTCCTCTCTAACAAGCCCGTCAACAACAGGTCCTGCAAGGCTACAAAAACATGATACCCGACTTTGATGCGTTCCTCTCGCAGCTTCCCGGCCCCGTAGCCCAGAAGCTGCGTTCAGCCTATCAGGTCTAAAATTCTCTGGCAATTGATCTATCCCGATTCTCTCCGGTGATGATTCGGCTACCCAACAAACTTTCATGAGACTCGTGTGCAACGGTGCAATGACTGACATTGTTATGAATGACGGCCTCAAAATCTATTTTCCCCTCCTCTATCTCCTTGTTCCTCTTGGGACATTTGCACATTTCTTCTCTTTCAAGGCTTGTGGCAGAAGACATAAATTGCCTGCCTCCTGTCATAAGCATCCAGTTGCCGTCTCTCTCAATCCAGCGTTCTCAATTTTGCTTAATGCTTATTCTTCGTTTTCCCTTTCAAGTTGCTCTCCATCATGGTGTTGCTTGACATGTCTCATTTGACCTAGAAAAAGGAGGAAGTTCTACGAACCGGGTAGGTATATGGGCATTAGGTCACTATTATTGCAAGCGTCATATTTGGGCGTTTTCCCCCTTTCATTTCTTTGTTTTCCCGCTTTCACATTGGCGTGGTGCATATCTTATCCATCTCTACCAGGACAAGGACGAGAGGAGGAGAATATGCAGGATGGGCCCTGGGACATTTGGTCTGACCTTTCATCTACATGGTATTTGATGACCGCAATTGGAACTGATATCCTCCACTTCCGTCTATGATCTTTGACCCATCGCTGCTCTCCCTCTGCATACCGATGTTTATCAAGGCCAGCTCCTTCATGGTAGTTCTTTTTGCCTTTTCTCTTTCTTTTTGCTCAGCGACACGTCCCTCGTCATATCTTTACCGCCATTTTTTTTTCTTAGATAGATAGATTAGATACCTAGGTAGATGCCTCCATGAAACTTCATTCACACCCACTGGTGGGGAGATTGGCCGGTCTTCCAATCTCCTGCCCTTTCCAGGATAGCACTTCTGTGCCTCTCTTCCCCTGTCACTGCGACGTCGGCACTATTCGCAAGATTATTTTTGGACACAGCGACTCCTTTAGCCGATCAAAGGCATAGAGGAGTCTGATCGCCTTGGCTTTGTTTCCACGACTCACGATCAACAACTAGGATATCTCTTTTACCCAATGCAGGTACTGGACGCTCCGACTCCCCGATAATAGCAGTGGAGTCCATCACCTCTCTGCCGTTTCAGACGAGATCTTCGCCAGGCCTCGCTTATTTGACGCCTCGGGAGTCAGAGCTTAACTCGATCGGGACAGTGATTGGTCGGCCAACTAGTGCTAGATATACCAAGACGCGAGCCTTTCCTTTTACCGCTGCTTTTCACGAAAAGAGGGTCCCCGCCTGCTGGTTTGCCGTTGGCACCACTCAACTTGATTTCCGGCGACGGAGTCAATATCCCTGTCCAGGTACGGGCTCTCCCACCCCCTGGTCCATCGCGATTCCTCCGCAGTCCGTACGGAGCACGGAGTATATAGTACAATCCACACTATCTACGGGAATAGTCTTCAGACCCTTGAACTAGGACAAGGATCAAGCCGAGGTTGGCGTGTGTCGGTGGAAGGCGCGATGCGATCGGGTGTTGTTTAGTAACTTGACGGTCCTTGGCAACTCGATCCTGATTGCCTTAGCAATCACACTTTCTCGCAGAATACATCTCCCTTTGCTCCGCGACCCCTGCCCCTCACCGTGTGACGTGCAGATTGAGGCTACTCGGGGCAACCCCGGCTACACTAGTGCTTTAATTTACAGAGACAAGTTGGCGGGTCGCCACTATACCTTAACAGGCGGCAATCCACGAGCTGCCCCCCTTCACCGGGCACTACTGGGCACTTCTGGGCACTGGGAAATATGCACGCTGTATCATCTAAGGGGGTTGAGCAAGGGTGTATGTGAAGTTTCATTTTCAGCCTCAGCTGTATTTAGCGAAACTGGACCGTCTTTATTGGATGATACTGTTCTCCCCGCTTGACTAGGTCATTTGGGACATGATTATCTATCATCCCGGCTTTGATTTCATCCATCGATGGACAGATGAAGATGCTCCGTACTCCAATAATATCGCCTCGGCAAACCAAGGGGTGGTGGGTGCATTTTCATTTACCAATTTGGGTTATCGCAGGCCTTCGTCGATATATAACGAGAAGAACTCTATGTATAGCAGACATACTCTGTCTTTTCACTCGACAAGAACAATATACAATAATATCACAATAATAGTAACATTATGCATGTGGAAACACTTTCATTGGTGCAAATCTCGCCTCGTTTTCGATTCTTATTATAAACTCGAACAACAACGATCCCCTCCTAGCTCATTTCCTCAAAAGTGACAACAGTCTAATTTATCCAGCACCTTGCACACCAGTACCCAAATTTAGAAACATTCCATGAATCGCAGGTGTCCATCCTCGTTCTTGATGCAGTCGGCCAAATTCACGCAGGAGTTGTGGTTCTCGTTTCCGTCCATCAACTCTGCATAGAGAATCGGGTTCTTGGGCTTACAATCCCCCTCCCACTCGAGGTGGACGTTATCCGCGGATTTGGAGAAATCCTGCGAGCCCCATGCGAGTTTACCTGTAAGGATGTGCGGCGGGGCCTCGCGTTAGCTTTCTGCCCGTTATAGTACCTTTCAATCTCCCCGCGTGAAATGGCTTGTAGAGAGCATCAACGTCCCGCTATCGTGCGATGCAGGTACTCCCCGGACAGCCACCGCGAGGCAAACTGCAAACGGCCCGGGGAGAAAATGACGAAAGGGAAGAGCGATGTGGGACTTGAATTATTGACTGCTTACCCTTCCTGACTCCGAGGAATTCGTTCAAGTCCAATTCCGAGTAGCATGCTTCTCCGGACGGGCGGGCGCAGTATGCGGTAAGTACATGGCCTTGCTTGAGCTCGATGTTCATAGACGATTTGTGGAAACCCATCGTGGCTGGTTCTGTTTTATACTCTGGAGACCATACTGTTCGGAGTCGATGAAATTGAATTAGCCACATCCCCAAGGAAACGAAAACGATATATCAGAATTGGTCTCGGTAGGAGAGACAAACCAATATCACACTAAAGGCCGAGGTTCGGTCTGAGCGTATAGCTTTCTGTATTTGGAAGAGAGACGGAAGAGACTAGAGAAAGAAATGGCAACAACGGCTAAGATGCAGATATACAACGTGCAGCGACAAGACCGGATCGGGCGAATAGTTCCACTAATGACATCGCTATGCTGTTATGCTGTCGACGGGCCCAACGCCTGGGGCGTTATTGTGAGGTGGTGGTGGTCCCGTTATCACGTTGGCCTCATGATGATGACAATCGGGCAAAGTTCACTGAAAAGCGCCTTGCCGATAGCAGTGACTAATATGATTTTGAAAGAATTGAGAGGAGAGCTCTTCTGTAGTCTAGCCAAGTCTACTTCTCCGCACCATAGTTTACAATTGTCGCGGCGCAGTCGCTATGCGCCCTGGTCATCATGACTTCATGCAAGGTGAGATGGCGCTGTTCTGTTCTCAGATAGGACATCGGCCCAACGTCTGGGTTTTCAGCCTCACACCTAGCGTTGCTGCCTTCGGAGCCAGGCTTTGCAGGAGGTACCCATCGTGGACAAGCGGATTGGTTTTGCAGAGGTGGCTTGGGGAGGAAAAAGAAGGTTGACGCTAACGACTTTATTTATTTAACTCGGGGCGAAGGCCTTTAGATTAGAAAGCTTTCGGGCTAGCGAAGGGAGTTTATACTTTTTAGTGGGATCTATTTCGAGCGTGCGTTTCGTCTCGCTTGAAACGGTGACAGGAAAAAGGGTCTCTGGCCCATTTCTCATCTCGCTTGGAAATAGGCCGAAAGTGTGAACGCCCATTTGATGTGCTTGGGACTCCCCCTTTGCTTAGCTGCTTGGGTTGAACGACGGAGAACCTCGGTCAGAATTGGCACTAGTGCCATCTAAACAAAATTAGAGTCGCTGTACGTCCATTAATTGACCGATCGACGATATAACCCGAAACCCCCAGTTAGTAGGTAGTAAATGCAAAAGCAAAATATCATTTTCTAGTCCGCGTTACTCATCGTCTGGACCCGATAGACCGGACCAACTAACTAATTGCCAGGTGCTGATCGCAGGGCGCAGATCGACGGGAGTACAAAAGAAGCGTGGGCGAATTAACCTCGTCCCAGCCCCACGCGTCTACAATGGCACACACTTGGCGCGTTAAAGTTGTCTAGCGTGGTCTGCCTTCCATGGGCCGTGCTTTTTTTTTCTTTTTCTGTATTTTCTATGTGCGGACAAAAAGACCTTTGCCTGCGGCGATGTCATTTGAAGGACGGACTAGGCTGTCCGGGGGAATATCAGACTATGAACTATGGTTCATTTGCCTCACTTTGTTCATTGCTGAAGACCCTGGATCCAGTGTTTGTATGGGACTTGCGGGGGTATCGCGGGCGCGTGGCTGGTCGTCTAAGCCCGCGAACTCTACGGAGTAGTATTCGAGATACTACAGTGACTCCTTACAGTGACTCCATAGTTATCTATCTTCTGCTGGAGTGACGGAGTATACTGAAAGAGTGTGATCAATCGCCAAAGCTCGCCTTGCAAATAGGCGAGAGAATAGGCTAGAGCCGATAGGTGCACGGGATAGGAGGTTGACCTAGTGGTGGATACCTGGAAGTTCCAACGGCGCCAGATATTCCTCCGGATTAGCAGACGGATCGTTAACCTCAAAGATGACTCCGCGATAATCAAGCCAAATTTAGTTAGTGCTCTGGTTCAGCAAAGGAGTTGATAGATTCGGCAGGTGGATAGGAGGACCTATGACTGGAAAATAAGGGTCGAGGGAGGACAGGAGTCCGATTGTAGGGGTTGCTCAAGGATCTCCGTCCCGCAAATCACGAGAGAACCCTCCGCGGACAAGATTGCGAAAGATGTTAGGACGAGAAAGAATAAAGTTGACTGTCAGAGCGGGTTGGCCCCCAATCCGCTGCCAAAGCTTCTGCAGATTACGCTAAACTCATTTTGGCTCCATGTAGCGAGTAGCGAAGCCGCTAAACTGCTTCAAGACGATGATGTCCTCCTGCATTCCCGGCACGGGGGAATAGGGTGAATTAGAGTGGAGATGGGGCGGATGAGGGATCGAGTCTCCACCGGTTGAGTTCTGACTTGTTCCCGGCCGTGACTCTTGCGGGATCAGTCTTGATGGATCATGGATCTCTTGGGCCTGATGGAGACCCGAACAAATCCGCCCGCACAGCCCATGGTTCTCAACGGGATTTTCCGCCCTAGCACCCTTCCAGGCAAGCAGCGTATTCGGCAGTCGCTTGGTGCTCAAAAGGGTTAGGAGTGCGCTATGGGTCAGGGTTTAATTTGTTTAGTTCTGGAGCACTGTACTTTCAACCTGGTCGTCGGGTTTGGGTAGTTTTTGGTACTCTCTGTCCTAATGTAGCCTCTTGCCCCCCCCTACTCCTCCGTAAGCAGGACATTTCAGAGTGGCCTAGGGGATGAAACTGGTGAGATGATGCGAGAAGAGGATCGTCATGCTGCAGATTATTGTTGGACGAGGATCGTGGAGCCACGTGTGGGAGCAGGGGTTCTCCTTGGGCTAGACCAGTCACCTAATCCACGGAGAAGGCTCACTGTTACGCAGTCCTCCAGCTTGGAAAAAGGTCCTGGAAGCTTTGGAAGGGAGGTTGGGGGGGATAAAGGTCTGGGAGAAAACTTTTGAAGGAAAAAAGCAAAGTCTGTAGTACAAGTATTCTGTACCGAGTAAGTATTTGCCATGGATACCCGATATACTTCGTGGCTGTATCGTGAGCTACATGTTTCATACTCTGGTGATGTATCTTTTCGATACAGAAATGGTCCTACAGTACTTTATTCTTTGTTTCAATATTAACTAACTATACGGCTATACAGTAGTCAGCCCACGATTGAGGTACTCGGTCGCCTTGGGCCCAACCTAAATCTACTTCCATGTGGGTACCTTTCATGTAGGACACACCGACTTCTGACATGCGCGCATCCCCAGAAAACGTGGTAACAGGGTTCCAATGAGCGGTCACTGCAGCACTGCAGCGTGACCCTCTTGCAGCAATCTTGCAGGAAGGGGGAACAATGTAAGGAGCAGATTGGGATCAAGGTTTCAAAGCGACAAGAGAGGCCATCAAGTTGCAGTACCTCCTACCTAGTCCTTGTAGTTTAGATTGCCTTCGACACTAGACACTTTGTGTCACTGCCTAGTCGAAGCCCTAGTGAGCTTCGAGACTAGTTTACCTATGATGAATGTAATTCTATGGACAAGATCATTTCGTGGAAGATTATTCCGTCATATGATTCTTTATATAGCCATTACGATATTATATTAAATTAGTTACTCGGTGTCGGAAGCTCGCCAATCGCTCTAACTACTCTGTATATATCATTAGAGTTAGCGTTTGAGCAGAGCTATTGGACCGGGGTCATCGTCTGTTGCGCTCGATATGGTCAAGCGCTCGCATTTACTGTCCTGAAACGTCAATCACATTATGATCCTGATGATTCTATTTTATCGTATGTAACTTCATACCTTTGATGAAGTATTGGGAAAATGGTTCCAAGTCCCCTGAATGCTGCAGCAAAAAGACTTCCTCGACTCATCCCTGTATCACCCGAATCCCTGCGCATTTTCCCGTTCGAGTTCCCGTCGGCTCTGTTCCCTTGTCTTGCTTCTCCACCAACCACCATAACCACCACCGCCATCACTCCGTCTCTTCACAGCCGCTCCCTTTATCTTCCGCATGGACCAGGGGGAGTTCCCTGCGTTCCAGCTCTGTGGTAAGCTACCATGGGAAATGGGTTTCCGGGACGCCGAGCCTACAATACCACGATCGCATTGGGCCTTGAACCCGTGAGCGATAAGACGGCGATCCCGACTCTAGGATGATGATGATGATAATTACTGAACCATTTTTCAACAGACATCTCTTCCTCCGTTTTTGCTTCAGGAAAGCTTCAGAGGTTTGTCCCACCTCCACTTCCTGGCGCAGCACTCCATTTCTGCAACGCCCGAAACTGTGCGCCTTCGGTTGTGTTTACCGAGTTGAGGCTACCGCGTCTCAAGCTCGTGCGGGTAGAAACGGCGCCCACCCGTCTAACTCAAACTCAGGGCCAGGCTCACAAGCCAGCAAGCCAACAAGCCAATAACCCGGCTTAGCAACGGAAGCCGATACTGGGACCCAACGAGGCCTGCAAAATCAAAGTCCCTTAGTCCGGCCGTCAATCCTCCGTCCATCTCTGACAGTCTGACTCCATACTGTATGACTCTTTTTTTCTCTTCGACCCGGCACTAGTCCCGCTATTATGCACTAGGCCCCTTCAGGACTACTTCCAAATGCCATGCCTCTTGTAAAAACCCCTCGTCCCAGGCTGGAGCCAGTCTAGGATGGGTGTGAATGATTGACATGCCCCTTTACCCAACTGGGTATACGGTCGTTCTTGGCTCTCGACGTTGTGATCCACAATCTAGGGCCCTCTCAGATCGCCGGAGCCCTGCTGGGCAAATCACCAGCCCTCCAGGGCCGATCCATGCCAATCACCGTCGTTTCCTCATTGCTTTTTTGCTTGTTGTTCCCTGCTTCATTGCTGGTCCCTCTCCCACGTTTGCATACTGCTGCCTCTTCAAGGTGGCCCCTGCATAGGTTTCCGGGCTCGACGCATGGAAAAGCTCGCCTCTTACGGTGATCCTAATCGTCACCAATCCAATGGATGTTGAATCACAGGGATGAGACCTGCCCCAGACAAGAACCATTTGCCAAAAGGAAAACTAACACAGCAAAGAAAAGAAAAGAAACACCAAGAGGAGAACAAAAGAGAGGGGCAAAAGTAACGGGAAATATCAGCCACGCCCCCTCATTTGATCTTTTCTTTTCTTTTCTTTTCTTGTTCAACCAATTTCCTCTGCCAGAGTCCACCCCTTTCCTCTTCTCTGGGTCTCAACATACCCCAGTTTACCCATATGTACCCAAACTATTGCGAGCACACCCTAATCATCCTGGTACCACCCGCGTTTCATAGGTAAAGGGCGCATTGTGTGGTACCTTATCCCATAGCTTGCCCGCTGGTGAACTATCCCTCTGGTCGACGCCATTGGCTTGGCTGACCCAGGTAATTTTCGGCTGCTTTTAATTTTTTTTTCCCTTTAGCTCCACCGCTTTCTACCCAAGAAGGGCAGTTGTTGGAGCTCCGATCTTTTTGATCGGAGATCCTTGGGTTCCCCCGGCACGCCGCTCAGTTCCAAAGAATGGATCTCATATACCCCCAACCTTAGTCCTGGAGCTCGCTCTTTCTCTGGCTGTAGGGACTATGGTGATTACCAACCATAATCCTCCCGCGTCATCCACTGGGGAGAGAGCTCACATGCCGCCTGGTGGAGTCAACTGGCCAAGGACACCATTCACCATGCGACAGGCGCAACATCCCAAAGACGTGCCTCCCCTGGTTGGGCCTAAGCCCTTGGAGGCAGCTGTATAAGCCCCCTCGAATTAGACTATGACGGAGCTGGTATCGCCCAGTCTCTGGTCCGGGCCCTTTTCCCACTGGCGCCATGTGGTCCACGCTGGTCGGTTTAGTGTGGACATGGGTTGCCCTGGTCCATGCGCTTGTCCCCAGTCTCCAGTCTCCAGTCTCTCTAGTCTCTCTAGTCCTTGGCAGTCTCCCGCTCCAGTGGGAATCGGTCTGAGTTGGCCCTCCAGCTGAAAGGGCTATTCCAGGCAACCCTGCAGAGGCTCAAAATCTCAATCGTCACTGGGGACAAGAAGGTCCTGCTAATAATATAATAATAAAATAATATTCTGATTAAAATAATAATCCAAAAAAGATAATCCCATTTAATCCGATTATTATTCTTCCCATGAGCTCGATTCGAATTCCTTAATTTTCCCCCTCTTCCATTTTAGTTTATTTCCATGCATTCCTTTTCTTTCTTTTTTTTTAAACCATTTCTTTTCTTTTCTTTTTCTTTTTTGTCTTTTTCTGTAAGATTAAGTCTGCCTTCTTTTGCACCTGACCGTCGGGACCGGAGCGATTCTTTTTTATCAACGGCGATCCAAGCTCTCTCTTCATCAGCATCACTTCCTTTTCTTCCCTCCAGTCCGCTCCGATTCGATCTTACTTCTCTTCTTTCTTCACCCTACCGAACTCCTGGGGGAATTCATAATTTTTGAATTTTCGGAAACCGTTTTTGGCTGATTCCCCCCCGACTCGTATTTACCACGTGCGGGACGACATCATCTCCAGTTACTTCGACTTTCCTCCATTCCTCATCCCGCTAGAAGTTATTTTTGGACTCCATGGTCGATCCTCTCTTATAAACTTCTGCGACCTCATCTCTCAACCGATCTTGTCTCTGTTACTTAACCCTACTGATCGACTCGAGTACTTGACGACAATTTGTACTTTCTTAACGATCTATTTCATCTGACTGATCACCCCCACCTTGAAGCTTACCTTGGTGACTCGACATCTTCTTACCTTGTCTACTCTCAACGTCTTTTAACGGTCTACTTTTGGACCGGACTGCTTTGTCACCTTCCCTTCTTTACCTTCAGCATACCTCAATAACAGTTACAATGGCTGGTCCCGGTGGTGGTCCCCCACGCAAGAGCCATACCAAGTCGAGGAATGGATGTAAGACGTGCAAGCGGAGACACATTCGCTGCGACGAGACTTTCCCACAATGGTATGTTCTTAGGATTGCAAATACTTCTTTCAATTTATATGATCAGACTAACATAGATGTCTCTAGCCGCAATTGCACCAAGCACAACTGTCGCTGTGACTACCAAGACGTAGCTGCGGCGCGAGGTAGTCCGCCTGCCTCGCGGCGCGGTCCCGATCTCCTCATGTCTCCGGAAATCGAGATGGAGATTGAGAATTGGCACAGAACTGGTCTCACTCCATATCCAGAGCTTGCTGGATGCCCTCCCTCTGGCTGGTCTGGTCTGTCTCGGTCAGATTTGCGCTTGGTTCACCACATCATTGGGCTCTCCATCGACCTACATCGACGAGGCCTGAGTAATTGCACAATTTGGGCGCAGATGTTGCCTAGGTAAGTCCTGCTCAAGGAGGCCCTGGTATATCTCCATGAGACTGACTAAATCTCGATTAGTTTCCTGGGAATTGCGCTATCAAACAACTTCGTTATGAGCGCCATCCTTTCCCTCTCTGCCTACCACCTCGCCTACCTCACACGAGATGCGGAAACCAAGCAGCTCGCGCTGCACCACAAGGCAGCTGCTTTCAAGGGCCTTCGGACAGCGCTCGGCTATGCTATTACCTCTCCTTCCAAGGATAACGCGGAGGCCATTGTTTCAGCCCACGTCTTACTTTCCTGGCAAGCAACCGAATAGTAAGAACTAAAGTTACACTGGTTCTAAATGAACACTACTAACATCATATAGCCAAAGCTGGGTTTCCTTGCAACAGGGTCTTTCGTCTATCCTCGAGACTATGTATCCAGTTTGGAAGCAGGAATCGGAGATTGTACAGTTTGTTGAGAACCAGCGCTCCTTGAGTGCCCCGGATTTCCCAGTTTCATTCGATGAGGATTTGGCACAACTAGATCAGACCATCCGTGGTCTACAAGTTTCTCAGAAGCGAGTCTCACACAACGCAGAGCACTCTCAACGATTGGGAGAGTTGATCGATTTTGTGCAGCAATTCCGCAGGGATTTCCCCTCACAGACCTCCGAGCAGGCCTTCGACCGTATTCAGATTCTACGACAATGGCTATTCTGGCTGCCCCCTTCTCTACTCCGAAATGGCGAGTCCGAACTTAACGCTCTCTCGGTCTTGTCTCAATTCTTCGCCGTTGCAATCGCTCTCGACCGCTTCTTCCCAGATATGGGAGGCTCATACTTGGGAGCTTTGTCCGTTGGAACTATCGAGGAATCATATCGTATAATTGCTGCACACACCGTCACAGATCCATTCAACGCCGACATCCGCCTCGCTATGACTTTGATGGATCTGCCACGCCACTGTGTTGCACGATATCGCAGCTGTTTGACCTGGTCCCCACGGCCCTCGGTTGAGCATTACTCACCCGGCCCACCAAGCCCCTATCACGGCCTGCACGAATATTCTCTTCCTTCATCATCTTCCCCCGCATCCGCTTCGCCCTCATTCGCCGCCTACACACCTCCACTCCAGTCTCCCCCGGCCGTTACAGTTGCCGGATCTCCCTTCACCCTCGCAGACGGCTACGTTACCGCTGCACCTTCTCACACCCTCTACCCACCATCGCCACAACTTCTCGATGTCCACGATCCTCAGCTCGGTCTGTCTGATCTCAGCCACTCTGGTTCTATCCCGCATTCCTCAGCCTTTACACCACCTTATGGTGGCGAAGTTCTCTGCGCTGACATGCCGCGGACTGAGGGGGCCTTGGGGCTGAACATGGACGTGTACCCGCATTCGCATGCATTTGAGATGCCTGAAATGGTTGCACCAGAGACATGTTGGACATGAGATCCAAGTTACAAAAACACCCTTTCGCCATTTCGCTTCTTCACCCCCTCTTTTTACCCACTTGACTCTGTTTCTATACTGATGTCATTTTCTTTTCTATCTCTTTTACTGTTTACTTTTGGAGTTTGTGGTATTGAGCATGAGCGTTGGTGGCTACTCAGACTCAGTCGCAATTTGCGGACTGAAGGAAATGACTCTACTAAGTGATATATACCCGGACAATATTGTTCCAATCTTTCGTTGGCATCATTTGGAGCGTCTGTATGCTATTTTTTACATACTGGATGAATCCTTTTTTTTTTTTTACATGGAAACCATGCTATGAATAGAATTTAGGTGGTGTTTGGATTTTTGAAAACTTGACATCTCAAATCAAACCATTTGTTTTTACAAAGTGCACATTTTCCTCTCCAATAGTCTAAAACAGAAAGATTGGGACGTGACATCAATCATGACAGGCACTTTCCTCTCGTCCTTGGGTAGTATTGCATCACATCCAAGGTGGCGTTCAGCTCAAGCTCCAGCTCATCACATCTCCATTCTAAACATAGATACCCCCCTCCTTCTCATAACCTACTACCCCTCTGCGCTCGGGCTATCTTGATCAATCAGTATCCCCACTACCTCACGGATATCAAGTGCGATCTCTTCGCTGTACTGGCATACCAAGAACCAGCTCATCACCAAATTTAAACAACGATCGCCAGGAACGAGAACCCTTAATACCACGAATACTAAGAATAGCGCAAGAGGCGGGGAAAGGTCAAGAGAACAAGCGACGAAACAAGTCTACTAAACCCGTTCATTGGATAACAGCGTGCAAGATACCTGCAGCCGCAAATTAGTGCGTTTAGCGTATCTTCAGCACAGTCTAAGAGACAGTAAAGTTTAAGCGAAAATGATAACTATGGACGATGTAATAACTCGGTGGGGTACGGTACAGTAACTTTCCTCGTCTGCTCATCGGAGAAAGATCTGGTTGGATCATCAGAGTGGGAAGAAAAGGGTTACCTCGTATTCGGCCGGCTCCAGTTTCCACACCCCCGACCCACGATCGAACGGCGTGTTAGAGCGTGCATGGAGCTCCCTCGCGTGGCACGCAGGGATAGATGCACCACTTGAGAATGGGGCCTGTGCATATTTACTATCTGGATATGATTTGGGGGCGGAGCAGGGATTCTAATTGTATTCTTCGTCGTTTCAGGTGGTCACGCAGAATATACCTATCGTGGCCGATTACTACTTCGGGAGATGCTCGTATCACCCTGCATATTGTTTATTTTTATTTTTTGAAGCATCTCATCCCCATCGCCCTTGCCGAGAGTATGCTTATGCCAGCTGTATGGTTTTCCTTTGTCGCGTGGTGAAGCTAAATCCAGAGCTGAACAGAAAAGTATGGCCAAGGATTTAAGTAGGGGGGTTGGTTCAGGTTGGGATGGGAAGATTTTAGTTAAAGATCGGCGCTGGAGATGAACCTACTCAAAATACCCGCCAGTCGATTAGGACCCTTGGGGCTAGTGATCGGCCCGCCACTTCGCGTGTTCTATATTTATCGCCCCCTCCCTTCCATCTCCCTCCCTCCTGCCATGTGGTCCCCTCCCCGCCCTATGCTATTTCTTTATTCTGAAGAATCTTTTTCGGGTAATTCTTTGGGGCCATCGTTCGGTATGTGAGATGCATTTAGGGTTTCATCTTGCGTAGGGCGTATGGGGTCCGGTCAACGTGCACTACTGTTTGGTCGATCTACTTGCGTCTACGATAGCACATGTGCTGGATTTAGTTAGGAAACCCTTTACCTGCTATATCGAGTAAGTATGTTGATCATAGGGCGAGGGTTTGTGCTCTGCAGGAGCTTAGAAGCTCGGAGGAGCCGGTCATACTATATTTACCTCTTGAGTTTATTCTGGGGGTTGGTTATTTTTGAAGATGACGCAGTGTATATCTTGGAGCAATAGGTTAGCTAACGCCTACGGCAGTAGTCTTTAGGAAGCCTCCCTGCTTCAAAGCCTGTGGTTGTCTGTAGGCCAGCGACTTCATTTTTTAGTGACTTGATATAGAGGGACCAGCCATTTTTACAACAGATATCTTCGAATCGATAGAGCATCTAACAAGAAGTACATCTTCACACTAATTTTACATTTAGATTGTAGTGAACACGGCACTCGGAGTTATCGACCACGCAAGCCGAGATACGGTTCTGAAATATTTAGGAAGTGGTTGTTCAGCGTTGTGCTTTGATGATATGACAGTACTTGGGGGTTAAGAAGGACCATATGTATCCTATAAATGCACTTATCTCATATATCTACTTGAAGATCCAAATTGAATTTTTAATGAAATCATTACTATTCTGAATATACTTCGTTGAAATGCCCTCAAATCGCTAATGAGAGAACTTCAAATGTTGATATCAAGGATCTTGAACTAGATGTTAAGAGATGGCTTTAACAGATATGTTGTGTTATTTCTTTTTATATGCTGAATCTGAAAGCTAACTGATTTCCTAGCCTCGGCAGCAGTTCTTTCACTTAGCATTTGTCAATTCTTCTACGCATCTCAACGAATGAGCCAACAGTGACTATATAGCATTATTATCGATCTATTGAATCGATGCGTTAGGTTGATCAAGGTATTGACAATGCTCACATACAATTATACATCATCCAATAGATAATTCGTTGCCTAAATTTCATTAGGAGCAGGTCGTGCGTGATTTCCTTCAGTCCGCGAAGAAGCCTGTCATCGTATGATAAAATCTGTGGGAGCCGTTCCCCTTAACGACCACGTCAAAAGTTGCACATCACGCAACTAGCTTAGCTACTTAATCAAGATGGTAAGAAGTGCAACTGAGGATAGGTGGCCTAATATAATTTGTTATAACCATAGGCAAGAATTGCTATTTTTTCAAAATGCCTATAACGAAATGGCTGATTTGACGGCAGAGTAATATGATTTAGGCTAAAGAGCTTAGTTGGACCGGCATGTTCATTGCCATCACCATTAGAGAAATTAATGGAAATAACTTATCATAGGTCCTTCGTAAGTTTTAAGCTTAGTTAGCTATACAGTACGCTTGAAGAGTTTTATTTGAACATTTTTTTGGCGAGACATGGCATTGTTGGTAAATCGGGTATAAAATGCCAACTCGCAGCGGGAATAGGGAAACCGGAGTCCTGTGTAGGCTAAAAGATAGTGCCGACACTTTGTTTGACACCCCATTTAAGACTTAGAATGGACCGTCATATCGAGTAGAAATGCCGAAAAGCCAATGGCTCTCTCGATACCAAGCTACCGCTTTTAGGTGGAGTCCGGGGTTCTTATTCCTAGGAACACCGGGAGATCCCAGAATACTATCTACCGGCTAATGGGTTGAAATTGTTGCATACATGATATGTGTCGATTGACCATTCACACTAGGCTAAGAAATGTTTGAGTTAATTTTCTGCCAAAATAGATGCGAAGAAGAAAAGAAAATAGACAAAAGATAAACAAGCTTTTTATTGAAGAAATGACCCTGCAGATTATCCTTGGAGTTTGATCTCTCTTAACCTATAGTTTGGTACCCCGCAGTTGAGATGTAACGTTTAAGGGTCTAATGGGCATAGTAGCGTCTGACGGACAGTCGGCTCTATAGTTCTCCGAAGGGACGAATTCCGTCAGTATGTGTTGACGGGCCTCCTCCCGTGTCCCGGAGAGTCATTTGAATCAAGGAATAGAGCCTAACTTATTACATCGGAGACGTTTCGTCTAATGCCGCCCTACTCGTGTAACCTTGGTCTTTTTTGATGAACATGTTTGGTTCTCAGCGCTTCAAAATGCCGAAATTATGGGGTTAGACGAAAGGTCTGCCGCAAAGCTTACCGGGGAATAAACTTCGTCAGTATGATTTTAGGGCCGTGTTCCGTGTCTTATGGAGGCAGGTTAGATCAAGGTACGAGAATTATACCTCCATATAGGAGGCTTATTGACTAGATATATTTTGACCACCACTTTAAAAAGACACGTACCCCCAAAACCTGTCCTACTTTTCTTGTATTAACATCGATCTATGACCTTAAGACCGGTAAAATGAGATCTCGGCACAATTATAACCTATTCACGCTACTTGCCATTGGCCGGTCGGCGCTAGGGCAGCAATCCGCTTGGGGACAATGTTGGTAACAAGCCTTAGATCTAAGAGCTAAACGCTAATGAAGATTCTCCTAGGTGGTGGAACGGGATGGACTGGCCAGACAACTTGTGTGTCTGGATACTACTGTTCCGTTCAAAACAATTACTACTCTCAGTGCCTTCCAGGTACAGCTTGTAAGTGACCCGATGGATTTCGATCATATCCCATATTGACAATATGCTGTTTTGTAGCCACTAGCAGTGGTACTTCTGCCACCACCCTCGTTACAACAACCTCTGCGATGACCTCCTCAAGTTCTTCCGTACCGACTACCAAAGTAAAATTTGCTGGTGTCAACATCGCTGGCTTTGACTTTGGCATGGTGACCAGTGGTACTCAGGACCAGACCCAGGTCTTTGATGAGTCGGTGGACGGTGTGAACCAAATGAAGCACTTCGTCAACGATGACACATTCAACATTTTCCGCCTGCCAACAGGGTGGCAGTATATCGTTGCCAACAACCTTGGCGGATCTCTCGACTCGACAAACTTCGGTAAATATGACAATTTGGTTCAAGGGTGTCTCTCCCTTGGCTCCTATTGCATAGTTGATATCCACAACTATGCTCGTTGGAATGGTGGCATCATTGGACAAGGTGGTCCAACGGATGACCAGTTCGTTAGCCTCTGGACACAATTGGCAACTCATTACAAGAGCCAGAGCAAAGTCATATTTGGCATTATGAATGAGCCCCATGACCTTAATATCAACACCTGGGCCGCCACCGTGCAGAAGACTGTGACTGCGATAAGAAATGCTGGAGCGATGTCTCAAATGATCCTCCTGCCCGGCACAGACTACACCAGTGCTGCAAACTTCATTGAGAATGGCTCCGGTGCCGCGCTCTCAGCCGTGGTCAACCCAGATGGGTCAACTACTAATTTGATTTTTGATGTTCATAAGTACCTCGACAGTGACAACAGCGGTACCCATGCCGAGTGCGCCACCAACAATGTCGACGCATTCAACACCCTCGCACAGTGGCTACGCTCAGGCAAACGGCAAGCTTTACTTAGTGAGACTGGTGGTGGTAACGTCCAAAGTTGTGCAACTTATATGTGCCAACAGCTGGATGCACTCAAGTATGTCGAATTCCAACTCTATTCTAATGATTGTTTTGAAATACCGTGTGCATCTGTACTGATTTTCATCTAGTGCGAACGCGGATGTTTATCTCGGCTGGACATCTTGGAGCGCTGGTGCCTTTGAGGCAACGTATGTTTTGTCTGAAGTGCCTGTCAATGGTGTTGACCAGTACCTTGTTCAACAGTGCTTTGTCCCCAAGTGGAAGAACTAAGAGCTGATCGATAGCTTTCTCGGGTTATTTTTGTTCTTAAAGAGACTAGGACTACCGCTTTTGAGTCAGAACAAGATATAACTAGTTAAAGTTAGAATGAAAGTATAGAGTCCCAGTCCCTGGCTCATTGACCGTAACCCTCCTTGTCGCAAAATATTATCGAGAAAACTCAGATAGTTGGGATCGATGCAGAGCTAGCATAGTAAGATGACGGCAATTCCTATTTGTAAATATAAACCTGCGATCTCACACGATGTCTCCAATGAAATAGAATATAAAGTCTACTTAAATTAGGAACAATTCTTGTCATTGACCAAGGAGCAACCCAGACATATGAAAGGCATCGCCCAATGGTCCTTATAGAGATCAAACCACGTGACTTATACACACATCCATCACACGTGACCGATGACATATCGCACATGCCGATGTCAACACGCCGTTGTCAAGCTATCCAACTGCAGAAACGCGCCAGCAAGGTCTTTGAACTATACAAATACCGTTATTGTAAACCTCTTTGCAGACCTTGAATCTCACACGATGGCCGACACCGGTGGCTGGAGCACTATTGAGTCCGACGAGGTATTTCTCCAAAGCAGCTCCGCACGCAGAGCTTAATGAGCTAACAGCATCCAGGGCCTATTTACCTCCCTCGTCGAGACCCTCGGGGTACAAAATGTCCAATTCGAAGAGCTCATCTCCCTAGATGCAGACACAATACGGTCCCTCGGGTACAAACCCCTCCCTTTCCTCTGACTTTTCCCATCAACTACAACCGCATCTAACCAACTCTCTTCACCTCCACAGATCAGTCTACGGTGTAATCTTCCTTTTCAAATGGACCCGTGAAGCAGCCGGTGCACGCGCAGAAGCCCCCCTCGATGGCAGCTACGACCCAACAGCTGCAGAAAACAACGTCTTCTTCGCGGCCCAAACGATCCAAAACGCCTGCGGCACGCAAGCCATCCTCTCCGTAATCCTCAACCACGACAACCCCCCACAACCCCTCCCCCCAATCACCCTCGGCAACGAGCTACACTCCTTCAAAGAATTCACAACGGGGTTTCCACCCGAACTCCGCGGCGAAGCCCTCTCCAACTCCGAAGCAATCCGCACCGCACACAACACCTTCGCTCGCGCGAGCCCATTCGCCGACGAAACCGCCCGCCCTCAGGACGAAGAGAATGCCGCGGATGTGTATCACTTTATTGCGTACACGCCCGTTAATGGCACGCTGTACGAGCTAGACGGTCTGCAACCACATCCCATCAGCCACGGCGCGTGCGACCCGTCCACGTTCCCGGAGAGAGTGATCGAGGTGTTGCAGCGGCGTATTGCGCGGTATCCGCCTGAGGAGACGCATTTCAATCTTATGGCAGTTGTGCAGGACCCGCGGCCGCGGGCGCGGGAGATTGGGGATGTGGAGACGTTGGAGCGTGAGGAGCGGAAGAGGGCTGCTTGGGCTTGGGAGAATACGTTGCGTCGGTGGAACTTTGTTGGGTTTATTGGGGAGATGATGAAAGGGGTTGTTGGGATGAAGGAGGGGCAGGATGGCAGTGGGAAGGCGTATGAGGAGTGGGTTGATGCGGCGAAGAAGGCGACGAGGAAGAAGTTGGAGATGCGGCGATAATTCGCTGGTCCCAACTTTTCTGCTTTTGAGATCTGAATTCTTGGGATTTATGGGGATGTGAAAGTGGCCGGTTATCTACTGCATGTCCATGCTTGGTGGATTGGCCTTTTGATGCGATATGAATCCGCATTTAAGGATGGATATCTACGAAATTCTTGTCTTATCGAATGAGATACCCCTTTGATGATGATAGAAACGGGAAATGATTTCGAAATCCGAGAGTATTTATGCGCACCGCTAGCTATGTACTGCGTAACTGACATCCACATCATAATATCATCATCGTGTGTACCCTCACTCATCCATCAAATCAATCATAGCAACATGATCAAATCAGATCCCCAAGTCTGAGATCAATAATCAACAGCCCGTGCCCGAATATGCTCAACCATCGGTGCAGGCAGATCATCTGGGTTAACCAGACCCAGAGCCAACAGGTCAGACCAGAAGAACATAGCTCGGTCCTGGGAATAAGCCAAGTAATCAAACACCTCCTCTTCCTCATCAACATCAGGGTCAACTGGCGGAGTCTTGTGCTCGCCATTGCCATTGGAATGCTTCTCCTGCTCTGAAGAGCCATTTCCAGATGCAGCCGCCATCTCGGCAATACCTTCGTCCATGCCAGGCACCTTGGCCTGTACAATACCCCACGCTACCCACTGTGCCGAGTTCATGACACGCCACAAGCGGGTCTGTTGCATGAGGTATCTCACCTGAGACTCAAGCTCATCGTCGCCAGAAGTCTCTAGCTGCTGTCCAAGAGGACCTTCGGGGCCGTCGTCAAGGTTCAAGGGGGTGATAGCGGAGGTTGGACGACCGCCGCGCATGAAAGGAGTAGCAGATGGGGTAGCCAAGGGTGAAGCAGGACCGCCAGGAATGGCGGGACGGTGAGTGAGATAGGTGGCTACGAAGCGGTGCTGCTCCTCGGGTGTGGGGTAGAGCCGGTTGTTACAAGCCCATGGAATTTCTTCGTCGTGGTAGTTATAGCACCACTCAGTCTGCAGAGAATTAGACAAGGTAATCATGGTATACAGGATCTCAGGCTGTGTACTTACAAAGTGGTTGGCAAACTCGAGACCAGGGGTGTTGGCCGACGAGTATTCAAAGTCAATGACAACAAGCTGCTTGTGCTCATTGGCAGGCAAGAGGAGAGGGGATTGCGTAGCAGGCTCCATCCGAAGAAGATTGCCGTATTGAGTCTGTGCAACGTTAGTATCCCGAAATCAATCGAGGACGAAATGGAACGAAATCATACATCATTGTGCGCAAACACAAGCTGGCGCTTGATCTCACTAATGCCACCGCAGCTAGCAATCAGCCACACCCGGTAATTGTCCACTGCCTTACGGAATATCTCCCATGGCACACCACAAACGTAACCGCGCCGACGCCAAGGCTCTACGGCCGCCTTTGCCTCATTCTCCGGGGAAAGAAGCTCCTTATCCAACCAAGTGGTCACCTGCTCACAGCGATCCACCCACTTATCCCAGTTCTTGAAAATAACTGGACCGCCCTCACGCTCTTCTTCAAGGAGGTCAATACCATCATGAAGCTCTCGCATCCGCTTAGCAATCTGCTTGGCTGTCTCTGGAAGCCGAAGTTCCCGCGGCGTGAGTGGACGAGCTTCGAAGAACTCTTCAAAACGGCCGTTGAGGAAGGTTCCCAGGACACGGGGTCCAATGTTCTTGCGGCCCAAGCGGCGCAAGATCTGCAATTCCTTCTCACGATCGATCAAATGATCAACTTGCGGACCGTAGATGCGCAGTAGAAGCTTTGGCGGGGGCTTTCTTGAAACCAACGGAGCAGAGCCATTGTTGCTTCTTGGAAGCGCAGGCAGCTGCTTGGGTGGCTCGACCACATAGACCGCATTGGTCAGAGCACCACTGAGGCGAATGACCTTGATGTCTCCAGCTGCCTCCATTGGTACTTTGCGCCAGCCCCGGAGTTGCATGGTGTGTGCAATGCGCACAATCTCCGTCTTAAACGTCAACCAAGCTTCTTGGTCCTTCAGACGCTTTGAGCAGGTATTGCTTTCCATGGACTCCTCCTCTGCGGCACCGCCCGTATAAGCGAGAGTCTTTGAATTGTCAAGGATCGCTTCTACGCTAGGCACAGGGGCCTCAATGTCGGTAACATCAGACTCCGAGGCTGATCCACGACGCAGACCCTTAGGACGCCGACGAACTGCTCGCTTGATGGGCTGGAGAGAAGAGAGGCCGTCCCCGCGCGCACCCGAGTACTGAAGAAGAATCTTCTCTAGCTGTTCGAGAGAGAAAGTACTCTCTGAGCATTGCGGTGCTTCATCTATCGAATAATCTTCCGATTCGCGGGCAGCTTCTGTAGAACCAGACGACGCAGCTTCCGCTCTGCGAGCCTTGCGGTTCTTGCGTCTAACCTTTTCATGCTGCAGCCATTCTGTCACTTGATGGAACAGACTCATCTGAGGATCCTCATCGCCCTTGGAGTTTTGCTCAGTCTCGTCTCCCACCGAAGCATCATGCTTGGCGGTTGACTGACTGCTCAACGCAGAAGGCATTGAAGATAGTGGCTGAATCGGGGGTCTTGCAGTTACTTTGGCCACGGGTGCACGGTATTGTTTCAGAGTCGTCCCGTCCGGTGGGGATGCAGGACCGGGTCCACTTGAGTGCAAGGCCTCGCGCAACGAAGGAATGTTCAAGCCAGTCCCCGAAATGGGTGTGGTGTCTACCGGAGATTAGTTGAATGAAGACGAGAAAGAGCGCGTAGGACCGAAAGACAAGTTGCGTATGGAGGTAGATGGCGACGTCACAACCTGGCGGCCGTCTAATATGAACAATTGGAGGGCCAGTCAGGGGAACGTGAGATTTGATACAGATATGACGATGGCTTAGGACAAGTGGAGGGTTGCATAGGCAGAGCAGTAGATGTTTACTTGTACAGTGCGAGATAGAATATCATCGAAGCAGGGGGAAAGGGAGCGGAGCCTACCTGCTACTTCGGTATCGGGACCAGCGTGGTCTTCGGTAAGAGACGGCATGTGCTTTCGGCGAGCCCACCCAAAAGACCACGAGAAGTGGTTGCCAAGGCGGTCAAAAATGGGGCACGAGACCAGGTGTCAAAGCATCTATCGAGTAAGACGAGCGCGCTTGAAAGTTGAAACAGAATGTAAGGAAGATTGTCAATTCGACAGATCGTGGAGGCGGGGGGGGATTTTTTGGTGCCCCAGAAAAACCGCGGGTGGGCAAGCGAACGGAAACGTTCCAGCGGTCAGGGAAGTCCCTGGATATATGCCACCAAACCCCCAGCCAAATAGGCGAGATGCGAGCCAGGTAATCAGCGTATACACGGGTCACGCGACAAACCAAGCACCAAGCCGAATCCAGAGAATTAAATCAGGACACGCGAGCTCTCGATGCGCCAAAAGGGAGTAGCCTAGGGAAAAATGTGGCGAAAAAGTGCGGCTTATCGGGAGACTCAGGTGACCATTTGCGGGCCTGGCGGATCTGGCATTCAAGCTCCCCGGCGCGTCGATTCACTGGTCGCCGTCTCCTAATCGAGCATAACAGAAAAGGCTTGGCTGTAGCTCAAAGGCAACGTACGATCCACGATAAGGATAGGCTGAGCTCATTTCCGCATCCCCCGGGGCGGCTTTGATTGCAATTGGAGCAATCATGGCCGGTTGCTTGCAGTGCTGATAGGGCCCGATCGTTGATCACTCTTTTGAACCAGCCCCGTTGCTGGGCCATAGACAAGAGTGGTATAGTACATAGTTTAGCTCCGGCAGAATCGATACACGTCGCAGATGGCTTTGATTTTGAGTTTGGGTGTCGCGTGTGGGATGATGATTGTGTTATTTGGTAGGCTCGAGTCTATTGGGAGATAGCGGAACGGACCAGAACGGGTCCCTTGGAATTGGGAATGTGGAGCCGTCTGGAAGCAAGACATAACCGGGGAAGATGTCTGAATAACAACATGGCATCAAGTCGAATCCAGTGAGACTCTCATGAAGAATCTGCAGTTGAAGAAGGGAAAAGAAGAGAAGAAGACGAGGTGGTGCACGGGGGGAGCACGGGGGGACCTGCAGAGGGGCTTGCCGAAATTACCGTACGGTGATAACGCCATAATACATGGACACCCGATTGTTTAGGCTGGCATTGGGCCTACAGTCAGCCAGACTAGAAAATAAGCGTAGACCATGATACAGAAGAGACATTATAGGAGAATGCTCGTTTCAAAGTTCATCATGATTCATATAAAGGGGTATTGAGCCCCGGGAATAGTATACTTCGCTGCAGAAATCGAATCCGCCCCTCGCCATCATCATCATCATCATCATCATCATCATCATCATCAAAGTCTCGCAGACTGTAATGCAGCCAATTCTGCATCTGCCCTTCGCTATTCTTATCTGACGATACACCGAAATCCCAAACACGATTCCGAGATGGAGGAATACAGCCTGATTCCTTCAAGAACTGGCCAATATCCAGCGGCTCCTCACGTACCATACTAGGGCTCTCCTCTAGAACCACGATAACTGCGACTACGTGAGCAGCAGGACCACACATGAAAAGTCCTTGGGCTGGCGGGGCTTCTTCCATCATGAGTCGAAGGGCTTGACGACGCAATTGGGGAAATCGACATTTGAGTGCCGTGATAAATAGCGGGAGAAAGACTCCCATTTCGAACATAAATGGTGGCTGTGTGCCGTCTGGGCTGCGGGTCGCTGCAATGGCGGTGGATGCATAATCGAGGATTTGTCTGAATTCGAGTTCGTATTCATCATATGCAGCTTGATCAGTGCAGAGGATTGTTTCGATCTCGACAAGAACACTCATGTAGGTCATGAGGAGAAGGGCACTTGCGCCATCGACGGTGCCAAGGACATCCTGAGGTCCCGGTGTATTTGAAGCCTTAAAGGACATGAAAAGTTGGTTCCAGCGGCCAAGTTCCTGTCTGAGTTGACCTCGTTTAACCTCGAGTGCTAGTGCTTCGTGCTCGCGACTCGCCGCTGCTTGCTTCCAATGTAACTTCGTGGCATTATCCAGAGTTTTCATTTCAGCAACAATCCCACAGAGCACGTTCCTAGCTTCGTCCATTGACGCAAAGCGGCTACCAGACGCGGTTATACTAAGTCCCCAAGCTTTATCAGGCGAGCCGTCGTTGATAAAGACCCATGTGCCCAGACGACGAAAGATTGGCGTGAGAATGGTGATCCATGGTCCACGGTCGGCATTGATTAACTGGGCTCCCTGTTTATACAATCCCAAAGCTGCTTTTCGATTGCCCTGAAGAAGCTCGATTGCAATAAACAAGATACAGCTGATCAGAGAGACACCAAGATTTGCAGTCCCTTGGTTGATGCGCTGCTGTAAGACTGCCAGGGAGCGCGAATACCAAACCAGTGCCTCGCGATGGGTTTGACTGCGTACCACTGCGGGAGAGTTGATCAGCAGGAATGGAGGTGTTTCGTGAAGAGGCGGACGTTCGTATAGTGCGCTGAGCGATATGATTGCATCCCACACCGCAGGCTCCATGCGACATGTCTGCAAGACGCAGCCTCTCCAGAAAGCAAGATCGAGGTCGCCAGATAATAGTGGACTGGCACGGTGAAAATAGAACTCAAAGGCACGTCTTTCTCGCCATCCTGCCTGTTGCTCACCCCATGGAGGACATGAAATTTGCGGGTGTGTGGAAAGATGACCCAAATGCGAAGTGGAAATGTTGGATGACTCTGCGGGGGCTGACTGAGATGCGCCGTAACTGCACAGTCGACCAGTGCTGGTGCATCTCATGCAATGAGGTTTTTCCTCTCCGCAGCGCACTCGTCGGATTCTGTTTTTGCATTATCAGATGCGGGTCCACTTGGGCAATAGCCGATTCCTCGAGATAGAATACTGACTTGCAGGTATGACAGCCAGTTTTTGACTTGGTCGTACCGATCCGGCCAGATCGCTTAGAGGAGGCAGACATGGCTGCGAGTGAGAACAGATTCCCTCAACTCCTGCAGTAACTCAATTGCATTCATGATTCATGACGAAGACGAAGACGTGGTGCTCATCCGTCAGCTGTGGGTTGGGGATCAGGAGAGAAGTTGTGTGGGGGCAGGCACCTTTAAATCCGCCACTAAACCCGGTCGTCGGCCATTGGCTGCCCGCGCAGTATCAGAATGGAACCGCATCTGATAACCCGACGTGCAAGAACACGAGCTACCTATGATTCGAGCTTATTGTCGTTTGATGCTTGGGAATATACTATTGATTGAATTGATTGGTCACGCCGCAGGTTTTCGACTAAGAGAATGTGCCTCCAGTATCATCAGAGCATCCTAGGGATAGTCAAGCCATGTCAGGATTCTCCATCGCTCCAGTAGGGATATCAACTCTCCTGGGTTCCCATGGCCGGACGGTATCATATTAAAGCCGGTGAAAAACGATGTAGAGACTAGGGCGTGCTGTGGCGTGCTGTGACCCACGACTGATGTGAGGAACTACTAGAAGACCTAGGAGGGGGCTTTGGGGTTGGGAAGAAGGGGGGGTCGGGGGTGACGGTAAAATCCTGATCATAGGGTAGAGGCGGAGGAGGATATTCTAGCGGATGCATCCTTACGGATGGTTCGTAAATAGGAATTCTATACGAAAACTCAGAAGTTGTTGCAGGCAAGTCTTGTATACTGGGCTCAATATCGGTCTGTATACAAGACGACGAGAGTTTATCTGTGAGGCAGGAGTAGTATATAGACTCTATGCTCCGAGCGAGGGCCCCATATAAGGGCTCTCAGCCTAGTTCACTGGTTTAGTTTTGTAAACATGAATTTGATGTGCCTCAGGGAGGTTCATGACCAAAACATCGGGGCACATAAGAGGTGCTATCTAGCAGAAGTAAGAAGTCCTCTATAGAAAATTATAGTAGGGTCTCATCAATTCTCATATCCTAAGGCAGCCACTCTATCTTGAGTCTATCTTCACTAGTCCTTCCATAGAGTTCTTAAGAACGCGGTGGCCGGGAAGTTTCCAGATGCGCGAAGGATTTGATAGATATCAATCTTTCGCCTGGGGGCCCCTGAGGATTCAAATCCACGAACCCGTTTAAATTATCTCTTTCTCACTGACTCCCTCTCTCTTCCTCGTATTCTTCGCCCACTACGACCACTGGTCACGGCTGTTTCCTTTCCTCATTATTCGACGCTCCTTGTTCACACCTCCAAGCATCTCCTCTGCCATTCTGGAAGACTAGTTGCCAAGACGTCACAACCAGCCGACATGAGAATCACGGGAAACCCGGCTATAATTGCCGACCCAACCCAGGTGAGTCAGGCATGTTACCTTCCCAATCAGGAAAGATATCACTGATGATATCTTCACAGCCACCAGGCACCACCCTCGTCTGTGTAGCAATTTACCCCACTTTGGTCACCGGAGAGCCTGCGATCTGGGCTCTTTACTTTCGCGACGCAGCCATTTCCAGAATCCTCCGACTGTCCGCCAGCTCTCAGGGCCAAGTGAACATCGTACATAGCGGTGTTGGCCCGGCCAGTGAGCTAGTTATCTGTGGCATGATGCCGAACCAGGATTTCCTACTCGCATGGCAAATCGTGCACAATCGCCCCTCGGGGCCCTTCAGCAATGAGAACACCCATCTTTGGGTTATGAATTGCCTTCAACAGATGAGCACTCGATGCAACCTAGAAATTCCTCCTACGGTCATGAAAAGCCTTCGGGAGAAACAACAGGAGCGACCTACTGGCTACATCCGTACCTTCGAATTCATTGCCTGATTATGCAGCCCTCAATTGTACCTATCGACGCCCTGCCGACACCCACAGCCGTCATGCGCCATCGGAGGATGTGCACCTATTGCCAGAACTGATCGACAATTCAATTGGATGCGACTTTTTCATGGTTGAATTTGTGCTTGCCATTTCGTATAAATTTCCGGTCTAGTAAGTAAGTACCAAATAGGCATTCGCTCACTTATCGATCTATCGACTGAAAATCCGGCTCGTAAGCACGGCTCATAGTAGAACTTATCTAGATAGAAGCAGTCTGCAGATTCATACCGGCCATAGTAAGAATTCATCCTTAGAAACGGATAGTAACCTTGAACCTATTCGAATATCCCAAAAAGCTGCTTGAACTCGAAAATATTTCCACCGAGACTTGCCATGGCATTCTCAATAACACAGATTCGAGGAAATTTCCGAATTGGGGTAGAATTGAATGGCTATCAATCGGGGCTCACCCAAGTATCTTTGGGGATTCAGATTGACCAACTCATTGGAAAGATCTCTTCCTCTCCCACCATCTTCCATTTCACTTGTCTTCACCAACCCCACACCTGCATACAACCGACGACGACCATCTCAGACTTCAACAAACATCTACGTCGTACCATCCTCCAGACAACTTCCTCCACAGAACTCATTCCACGCAACTCTCTCCACGCGACTCCCTCTACACGATTTCAGGAATACCCATCCTCCACCGTCGATCCAAGCTACAGCCGCCTGCTCAGAACCATGCAGATCGCCTATCACCCACTCATCCAACAGGACCCAAAAAAGGTGAGCCGGACAGATACATCCCCAATCAGGAAACATACCACTAATTCCATCTCCACAGCGACCCAACGTGACTCGCATCGGCATCAACATCTACCAACCCGCCTGGACCGGAGAACCCTGCAACTGGGGCATCATTATCGGAAACGATTCCAACGCGATGCTCATGCACCTTGCTGACCTCGACCACGACCCTTTTTACGCGTTACGCTGGGAGTCCAACAAGGTTCGCCATTTCGTCGACTGCGGGGCTATTCCGAACTTTCACTATGATCTGGCGTTGGAGTTGATTGATTTTTGCGCCAAGGGTGCTATGAATTGCCGGAACTCGCACTTTTGGGTATTCAGCAGCCTCTGCCAGTTGTCTAGTCGATGCAATATGGAGATTATCCCGCGAGTGAACGAGGTTCTTCGCCATAAGCGGAAGGAACGACCTGTCGGCTTTATGGACCAGCTTGGTTATACGAAGCCATGATCTGGGCAGCCAACAGTTTTTAACGACTGAATATTCTATCTACCGATGTCTGTGGCTGCCACTGTCCGCCTTCCGCCGAAAAGAATCTTTTCTGTCATATCCTCTTGCCCAACCAGTTAATACAATCAACTTGATATGGCTCCTTCATCGTTCAATTAATCCTTAATATCTTGCGTAATCATCTCGCATAGTAATTTGCGGACCAATCAGGCACCCGCCCACTTGCAGATCTATAAAACAAAAACCCAACCAATAAAACGGGCACATCTAGATCGTATTCGCCTGAACGCAGGCTGCATATTTTATACGAATCAGCTACACCGCGCCCTCTCCAATTCATCCCCAATTGCGAGACATTCGTCAAAACGGACACGCCGATCCCCCGCCAATATACACCAGCCCCATTGCCAAGCAATCCTCGGCCAGCTGGGTGGAGCAGCCACTGAGACATCTTCAGTCGGATGTTGCAGAAACAGGGTCCCGTGGCCGATCCTATAATTAGGGGTCCTGCATCATCACTGCAACACCGGTCTTGCCGGGCTATAAAGAAGTGGTGATCTTATCTCTACACTAATCTTCTTCCTAAAACTATTCTTCTTTGTCATTTCCAGGTACAAGAAAATATCGCACAATGAAGTTCACCGGTGCCATTGTTGCCTCGCTGCTCGCTACCAGTGCTGCTGCTTTCGACAAGTACCAACGTACGTTCATCATCCCATCTCGTATTCCACATCCCTCAACTCGATGACTTCAATACTAACCACATCTATCTAGCATGGGGTAAACGTGACTACGCCTGTGTCAACGTCTACCAAGGCATCCCGGACAACTCAACCGTAACAGCCGGACAAACCGTCCACCTCCGCTTCAACCGTGCCCCGACAACGCACTGCACAGACCCGCTGGCCCAGTACCCCGGCAGCAACTACACCGTCTTCCTGTACAATAACCCCGTGCGTAACCTGGACACCATCCACTTCGATGCGCAGATCAAGATTGCGGGCGATATCCCCGAGTCTGCGGGCAAGGTGGATGTTAAGATCCCTAAGAATCTGCCCCAGGTTCAGGATGGGTCTGTTTGGTATTTGAGATTGGGGACTTCGTTACCGACGGCTCCTCAGGTATGTAATATCGTTGCTTTTTGTCTGTTATTTTGGGGGGCATTGTGGATTGGACTAATGTTGGTTGATGATAGATGCCTACTCTGTACAATGCTGCGGGACCGTTCACGATTACTTCCGCTTAGACGACTTGAGTTGAGGATTTGAAAGGGTAGTAGCGAGAATTAGAATCTTGACTAGGACGTTGAACGCTACAAGTTATTCTTATTCGGTCTATTTCGTTCCAACAATCAATGTATATTGCGGGATCTCCTATAAAAATTGATTTTTCGTGATCGGCTTATGACACGACTTGTAGTCTCACAACTTCTGGCTACTAGGGCTTCGCACACCAGCAATACACTCAATCTCAACATCAGTACCCATGGGCAACGCCGCCACGCAGACGCACGTACGTGCCTAAACCACATAATTAGTCACATGTCAGACAATTCACCTCATAAGAGCCGTAGAACCTACCGGCATCGGGGCATTGAAGAAGGTAGTATACACCTCATTCACAGCACCAAAATCACTCATGCTAGTCAAGAAAATATTGCACTTGACCACGTTATCCAAACTGGTTCCTGCAGATTCCAGGACAGCGCGGAGATTGGACATGATTTGTCTCTGCGTTCAGTATCAGTAACTGTAGACGTGTGGGGAGGGGGGACTGGAATTAGGCAGCCGGGGTATATCTCACGGTTCGGTCTTGAATGGAACCTTGTACGAGGGCGCCGGTCTCGGGGTTACTGCCAATTTGACCGGAGCAGAAGACATAATCGCCCATCACGATGGCCTGGGAAAGGAATGGAGGAGGGGTAGGGGCATTGGGGGATTTGACGGCGGTCTTGGGGATAGACATTTTGAGATTGTGGTGGTGGGCTTGATGCTGGAGATGATGAAGAGAATGGAATTGAAGTCACAAGGAGGCCTTTATGAGAGTAAATAATCAGGGGTGGGAAGATTCGAGAATGGAGGTTATCCGATCTATTAGTCATGGCGATGTCCCCGCACGAGATGGTTATCACCGGGCTTCGTAGGGCGTGCTGATGAACACTGATAGTGATGACACACGGTATCCCACGTATCCCGCGAGAGAACCCCGCGCTTCCCCACGCCGATTGTTTTTGGTAGACATACTGTAGTTAGCCTTGATTATATACTTGTAATGAGTATAGATCAAATGGAACTATACCCAGTTATATACTAGCTCCTCACATTTTACTATTGTACAAGTCAAGTTACCTTCCCATAGTTACTCGACTCTTCGCCAGCACAAGCTGCATCAAACTCGTATTCGCCTCACACTCAATCCCCAATTCCCTCGCCCGTCTCAGAATCCAACCATTAATATACTCAATCTCAGTCGCCCGACCCTTCCGCAGATCCTCTCGCATACTACTCGAATTCCCCGCCGTCTTCTCAATAGTATCCATGACAAGAGCCTCCAGGGAAGGAACCGAAAATCGATCCTTCTGATCACGCGGCAAATCTCTGATTTCAGGTAAACTCCGAAATACCAGGGATATCTCCTGAAGGAGCCGCTGTATCAAGGGCTGTAAATCGGGATTCTCCTTGATCACCCCATTGCGAACGTCGAGGATAGCCGTGAGCGGATTCAACACGCAATTCGCCGCCAACTTGAACAGCTGATTTTGCAACAACTCCTTCCACACTAATTCCTCACAGCGCAGAATCGGCGATCTCAATAACGTGTCAAGCAGAAATCGTGGATCTGCCTGTCTCGAACTCGTATCCCCTTCATCTACAACCCCAATTGCAGCCCGCCCATTCAATCCGGACAAAATCGCCTCGGTCGACGACCGCAAATAGACACCATGCCTCATAATCCCAAACATATACTTCGGCCTTCGCGCTTTATCCGTGAACACTTTCTCATTCAAATCCTCAATCTGACCCATCCCATTCTGAAATAAACATATCGTCGACAGCGGACCTAATCGGTGTCGGATGGGTTGCAGGGCTGAGACCGTCGCGGAAGCCTTTACGGCGACGATTAGATTGTGGATTGGTTCTGAGGAAGAGGGTGATTGGGTGAGGAGTTCAGCGTCGAAGCCAGTTTGTTCTTGGAGGGAACCGTCATCGTTGACTCGTAGGCCTAGAGTCCAGTTTTTGGAGGCGAGTTCGTCGTAGAGGGTTTTGCGGTGGATGAGGAGGTGGACTCGGGGTGGGGAGGGAGGGGGAGCGGAGTGAGTGGGCGAGGAAGGAGCCGATGCTGCCGAGTCCGAGGATGTGGACGGACTGGGGTGAGGTGGGCATGGCGGAGGGTGACTTAATTGATGTAGTTCATTGACTGAGAGTGTAAGTAGGTAGGGTCGCTCAGGACATGGATTGGGGTGGGAGCTCTGACGCGGAGAAGTGAAGCTCGGAGTTCGCTGCGGGCGCCGATAAGATCCCGCCCCACTTGATCCAGGAACAAGATGTTTATGAAGAAAGATCAAAATTAGGAAAAGAAATATGATGACCTCTTTCATAATAGTCTATGAACCATAAGTAACTAGAAGATCAATGCCAAAATAGCTACGTTCATCTGTACTGGACCAACAAGCTCCTTACGGAGCGTGGAGGGTCATTCTTTTATGCTTGAGTGGACTGGACTACATCATGTTTGAATCCGTCATATGAATAACCTTCTCCATTTTTAGAGCAATCAACTCTCGTAATGCATAATTGCGCATCAAATTCATATCGTCAAGATAGCTCTGCCATGCAAATGAAACGCGAGAAAAAATCAGAAGAGTCACGCGCAATTGCAAATAATGCATGCCACCCATATGCATATCCTCTAAGTATGCAGGGATCATCATAAAAAGCGCTCTCCAGAGGACGATTCATCATTCTAAAAAATGAGATATCATGAAGCTCTGCTTCCGTCCTGTCAACCGAATTCATTAATCGTGATAGGTCACGCTCCAAAGCTTGAAGCCCCAGTCCGGCACGTGGTGCTGGGTCGCGATCTTGAGATGGCCGACTTGGTCCACGTCAATGTACTGGTTGCCATTGACGTACTGCACGGCATATCCCAGACCGTTACCCAAGAAGGTGATGCGCACGGGCGCGGCGTCCGAGGCCTGGTCGCTGTCCAGCAGGACACCGCGAGCACCCAGCCAGCGGCCGTCGAGGGCACTGGAGATGGTGAAGATCTCACTCTCGGGATCCGAAGTGTAGTGGATGACCCAGCGCTGGTGCTTGGACTCGTGGTTCTCGGTCGCTGGGGTCACAGTCACGTAGTTGCGCTTGCCAGAGTTGGTCAGCGCGGAGCCACCCTTCTCGGCGACAAGATAGCGGCCCTCCGTCAGATAGCCGACGACCTCCTTGTAACCGTCCTCGAACCAAAGGGCATTGGTGGAGTTTGCCACCTGCTGGCCGTAGGGGACTGGGGGACGAGGGTTACTGAACTTGGACTGGCACTGGGATGAGCCAACGTAGTCGCCGTTGCTGTTGGTGATGGGGGTCTCGGCCTCGGGGATGTAGGGAAGAGACAAGTCGGGCTATGCAGGTTAGTATCAAGTATCATATTTGCAGAACTAGAACTGTTACATACGTTGTCCAGATCCAGGGCATTGACCAGGTTGGACATGTGGGCACGTCGCCACGGAACCATCTGGTCAGTCTGGATGCCCTTGTACCCACGAGCTGTAAGCCACTGCTCAACGAAGAGGATCTGCGAGTTGTGATCGGCCCGCTCAGTAAAGACGCGGTTGCCCCGAGTCCAGGGAGAGATCATGTAGAAAGGAACCCGGAAACCTAAAACATCGAGCCAATCAGAGGTGTCCCTCGGGTAAATAGAACCATTGTTGACATACCAGGTCCCACAAAGACGTCACCGAACACGCCGTATGGATCCTTCATCCATTCTCCGGGGGTACCCTGGGGCGAGTGGAAAGGAGTGACGTGATCACCGAAACCACCGGTCTCTGTATTGGTCATTAGCATACTCCATCGGGAATGTATGCACGTGAGTATTCTTCATGCTTACCATCGAAGCTGATCATCAGCAGAGTAGACGAGTACTTGGGGCTGTTGATGACAGCATCAACGACCTGCTTCTGCAGCCAACCGCCGTCCTTGGGTTGGTAGGGCGGGTGCTCAGACAGCTCGGTCGGTCCAACAATGAAGCTAACTTCGGGGAGGGTGCCATTGGCAGCAGCGGCGTAGAAGGCATCGAGACCTACGTAGGACATGCCCTTCTGAGCAAGGGGAGAGTTCTTGCTGGCCTTCTGGTACTGCTGGAACCAGGCCAACGGGTTATCATCGAAGTTGTTAGTGTCTTGGTATAACTGCCACGAGACACCGGCCTCCTCGTAGAACTCGTAAACGGTCTTCCACTTCAGAGGGTAGCAGTTGATACCGAGGCTATCACAGCCTGCATGAAGAGCATTAGTTAGGAGGGAGTGATGAATAAGGGCACTGAAAGAATAACATACCGGGCGTCTCGTTGTTATCAATGTACACACCCCCCTCAGAGGAGTTTTGCGGGCTACCAGGCACATTGACAGAACCACTGACCAGAGTGACACGGTTAGGGTTGGTGGCAGTGATTTGAGATTCCTGGTGTTTGATTAGCACACTTGCTTGGTTTTAATTCTTGACGTTAAGAAATGGTGAAAGCGTACCTGGTACATGTCACCGGAGGTCCATCCCTCGGCAATGGCAAACTGAACGGGAATATCCTGGCGCTTGTAATAACCCCAGCTCCAGGGAGTGTTGTTACGGGCCCAGTGGTTGTTCAGACCATGATTGAGGGCGGCCTGGTTATCATGGTAGCCGTTATCACCGGCAGCCATGCACTGGATAGCCTCGTTCGAGTCACCTCCCCGGTAGCCCAGGTACCAGGGCAGAAGGGTGTTGGTAGCGGTAGACATGCTTGAGTCAACGACCCTATAGGAAGAGCGGGTAAGAGGAAATCCTCCAAGAGAGAGAGAAGAGATGAACATGTTCCCATGGAGGACTCACTGGTTCCAAACCGACTGGCCATCGGAGTTGACCTGGACATTGGGGTCATTGAAGCCACGGACACCGGCCATGGTACCAAAGTACTATTCGCCAAAGTTAGCCCTCATCCCTGGCTGGTACCATCACCCCTCATATTGGGGAGGGGATCATTCGGGAGAAGTGAGACTTACGGTATCCCACGCGCGATTCTCCTGCATGAAAATGACGACATGCTCGATATCGCGCAGGGAGCCCGCGGTGACGGGGGAGCTCCCCAGCAGCACGGCGAGGACAGTTCCGAGGAGCAACACCATGGTGATTGATGGTGAAGTTACCGTGCGGAGAGAGGGAGGAAGGTGAGGTGAAAAAAGAAGAGATGAAGAAATCGGAGAAGCAGGGGAAAACAAGCTCCTTCTTTTAAGAGCTCATCAGCAGGCCTAGTCCGGGGCGCATCGGGATAAACCGACTTAACCGATGGGCAAGGTTGCAGAAGAAGGATCTTCGCACTTCGCACCGCAGACTAGTTGGACTTGGATCTTCGGATCTCGCGGTGAGGTTGAAGAGAGCGAGTTAAGATACTAGGATTACATTCCTCGGGAGCTCCCCTTGAATCCAATCTGCGCTGCGGGGAGCCCCACGTGAGGGCGCGTTGGATGCTCATGACGCCGACCGGTTTGGGTCTAGTTTAAAGGTTGGAATACTCTAGTAGGGATTGGGAATAGGTTAAAGGGTTGTTTCAGGGGAGACTAGGCCGTGGTTGGCGTCAGGGTCAGCTTGTTTTTTGTTCCACGACGGCCGTTTCGAAGATGCGGTTGGCCGAGAGTTCTCCAAGTGGGGGGGGGAGAAGAGGAGAAGGAGGGGGGAGAAGATGATCGGAGGAGATCAGAGCGGATCGGGAAGGGACATCCAGAGTTGGACGAATCAAATGCGAGGGAAAAATAAGAAAAGAAGAATAGCCAAAGGCATAACTGGAAAATAATACTACCCATTTTCTATATCAGGAATGAATGACCTTCACAAATGATTATTACTATTGATAGTCTCTGGGCATATTCCAAGTTGAATCTATTTTATCAATACTACTACTATAGTACTGCTATGTTTACAGTACTCCCATTGTTGATCGTACGGCGGACGATAGAGGGGACTTCCCCAAAACCCTTAGTTAGCGATTTTCAAATCGGCAGAATCTCGATTTCAGCTATTCTTTGTTCTACATAATCTATACATTTCCTATATCCCCTATAGAAAAGCGATTAAAATAGATTTAAATCAACTAACTAATAAGATTACTTAAGCTGAAATTTGAATATAATCTATAATCTCATAGCTAATCTCAAGACCTAGAATCTTATAGTAATCTCCTAAATCACCCACGTTCGTATATAAGACTAGTAAATAGGGCAATTGATAACGCTTTAGTAACGAGCTATATAGTTGGACGTACCTACCTACCTAGGCAAGAGGATTTTGGGATATTCGGGTAGAGCGTATAGGATATCGTCCGCCGTATGATCGGCGGGTCTAAACAACAGTCGCTCCACTCCACCCTCTTTCTTCGCCAAGCACGTGGAGGACTGGGACATCGTGACTGCTTCTTCACTCCTCCACTCTTTTTTCTCAATCTCCCAATTTTCTGCGACAATTTCGCTTCGATCCGCTCTCAAAGTCACCCTACCGGCACCCTCCGGACACCTTCCAGCCATATCTTACTCCACCGGGCCCTCTCTATCGGCAAGGGCGCCGAAGGTCAGTGCGTTTGGGGTTTAAGCATCTCCCCCTACATTCTACAGATCTCATCGATCTTTATCCTAGTCCTTTACTCCGACTTGGACTCGTTCCCATTCAAACGAATTTCTGAATGCTATTTCTACCAATTTCCCACGATTAATCGTTTCGGTGAGCGATGGAGCGGCAAAACAGTCGCCGGCGGAGGTTACCCCGGACGCAGGAACCAGCCTCCAAGGAGCCCGTCATACCACATCAGAAGACCCGGTCGGTGCGGACATGGTTCCTGATGGGGTCCCTCATCGCGTGCCTGTTCATGATGGGAGTTTATATCTATCATCCTACCATTCATCTCCCTTGGTCCCACTGGATTTCGCCGCTCCAAACACCCCCTTCCCAAGATCTATCCGCTGCAAATCGTCCCCGCATAGAGCTTCACCCTGAAGATCATGTGTATCGCCAGCCAGTCACACACCATCTCAATTGGCGCATTACTTCGGGACAGCGCAGACCCGATGGTGTCTTGAAACAGATTTATTTGGTCAATGGTGTGTTCCTGAATATTGGTATTCGTTTCACATCCACGACTCTGACCCGTTCCATATAGATCTCTTCCCCGGCCCCACTATCGAGGCCCGCTCCGGGGATACCCTCCTCATTACCGTGACCAACGCGGTAGAGGAAGAATCAATTGCCCTGCATTGGCATGGCATCCATGTAACCAGTATGTACTTAATCTCTGTATTGACTGGCATCCTGTCATGATTTATACACACCCACCTGCTGACCCCTGACAGATGCCATGGATGGCGCCGCGGGGGTTTCACAATGTCCCATTGCGCCCGGAGCGCAATTTATCTATAATGTCACAATCCCTGCCGGTCAGAGCGGTACCTTTTGGTACCATGCCCATTCGGGCGTCTTGCGCGGGGATGGTCTCTACGGCGGACTGGTCGTTCATGCCCCGGTGGCCAAGAGTACCGTAAGAGGATTGATGTCGCGTGCTCGAGGCGACGCCCAGAAATTCAATTATGAAAAGGAGCTTCTGCTTCTTATTGGAGACTGGTATCACCGGCCAGCCAAGGATGTCTTGGCTTGGTACAAGCTTCCTGGAAATTTTGCGAATGAGGTGAGTTACCCTGGAGGAAGGGCAAATTCGAGGTGAGCTCTAAACGTCTATTATCTGTTCTAGCCGGTGCCAGACTCCTTGCTGGTCAATGGAGTGGGTCACTTCGAATGCTCCATGGCCGTTCCTGCTCGTCCTGTCGATTGTATTGAGCAGCTGGCCAACACCTCATTCCTGGATCTTGACCCAGACGCGGCCTATCGAATCCGTGTCGTAAACACTGGGTGCGTGAACTTCGGAACCATAAGTATGCCAATTACTGACCTAAACACAGCGCCCTGGCTGGCCTATCACTAGGATTTGACCAAGAGAGCATAGATCTCATTCAGGTGGACAGCGTTGACGTCAAGCGCTCCCAGCAGAAAGATAGCAACTCTGCAGGCGTCTTATACCCCGGCCAGCGCATGGACTTTGTCCTCCGTACTTCATCTCACCAACAATCATCTTCCATGATGGTGCAACTGGACCAAGGGTTGGACGCTCCGTCATTCCATGGTTACACATCAATTGCTAACATACTGTAGATGCTTCAAATACAGCAATCCTGCACTAACCCCAGACCAGACCTTCCCCATCTATTACCACTCCACATCTATCTCTAGTGCTGCGGAAATCCCAACACCTCAAGTACGAACCCATATCGACCTCAATGATGTTCCCTCAGCTCCCTCGATTCTGGAGCTCCTACCTCCCAGGGCCCAACAAACGCACGTCGTCTATACCAAGATCCAAAAGATGGCTCGTAATCACAATATCCCCGAGGGCTACTTCAACCAAACCACCTGGAAACCCCAAAGCGACCCGCCGGTGCCCTTGATCGGTCTCCCTCGAGAGCACTGGGACTCCAACCAGCTCGCCCTCTCGACCGGCCCTGAAGCTGTATGGGTAGACTTTGTTGTAAACAACCTCGACGAAGGCCCTCACCCCTTCCATCTAGTAAGTACTCACGCCGTCTCCCTGCCTCCAAACTCCCACTTATTAACAAACCCCAGCACGGCTACCACTTCTACATCCTAACAACCCATGAATCAACCTACGGCTGGGGCTCCTACGACCCCTTCACAGACCCCTACCCACCCGGCCTAGAACCAGATCCCGAATCCACCCCGGAAACAGACCCAACAACCCCAGCAGACCCATCATACCAACCCTACAATCTCTCCCGCGCCGCCCTCCGCGATACAGTCCAAATCCCGAGCCGAGGGTACGCGGTGCTGCGCTTCCGGGCTGATAATCCTGGCGTGTGGCTATTCCATTGTCATATCTTGTGGCATCTTGCGACGGGGATGGCGATGGTTGTTGATGTCATGGGAGATTCGGCGGGGAAGGTTGCGCATGATGTTTCTATGTTGCTTGGTGCTGGGGGTCGATTGTGTCTGGCCTAAGGGGTGGATTCCTTGTGGTATAGACTTATTGCATATGTTTGCATTCGCGTGGGCATGGAATGGAATAAAAGGATAGGTACAGCAACAGCCAATTTGCAGCAGAGTACACATGCTAAACCTGAATGTAGAATCTCTTCATATGCCCCAAGTAAACCTAGGAGTAAAAATGTAAGATTCCCAAATCTCTCCCCAAAGCCAAAAAGGAGGGTCCATTATCAAGTCATGTGAAGTAATAGGAAGCCAACGTACGCCACCATCGCCAATGCAATACCAAAACCCTGATAAGCATATTCGCAGGCCCTTAAAAACGCCCAAAGTGATTCCAGAGCCAATTGCGCTGCTGAGTGCGAGAATGTAAAAGAGCCCAAAAAATGAGTGGTAAAAAGGGAAGTCCAGCTTCGCCGGGTTCGTTGTTATACGAGTACATGATTTATGGGGTTAGTAAAGGGAAAAGGAAAGAGAACGGGTGCGTATGCGTGTCTTAAGTTGCCCATTCGAGGACTTCTAGGGCACACATGACCAGGATAAGAGTGGAGGGGAGAATCCTAGAGTATGGGTTAGTTTATGGTTGATAGTCATGAAGACAAGTAACAATGTGTAAACATACCAGACAACGTAGCTCTGGAACAGCAACTTCGACATCGCCCCAACATAAACATTATTGATCTGGCAAATCTGCGCCAATTGCAACGCCGACGGCGCGCCGGTAAGCAGGAAGCACACGATGATGAAAATCGGGTCATCCAGAATACTAATCGGCACAAATTTGGCCATCAGCGCCAACAGTGGTGCCATAATGACCGTCGGCAGGAGCATGCGCGCGACCAGCGAGGCGATAATCAGCTTACGCTCCGCACTGGGGTGTTCCACGTCAGCCAGGTTCTCCTCAGACAACGTGTTGCGCGCGAGGTTCGCGCCGAGAACAACTAGGATCAAGGGAACCGCGACTTGTGCGTTTTGGTCGATCGCACGAGTCACCGAGTTTCGGATAAAGGTGCCTTCGTCGAAGAAGAGGTGTTGAAGGGCGGGCACGGAGGCTACGATGACCGAAACGAGCATCGCCCACAGGGGCGGGTTCATAAAGTCCCATGCGCCGTGGAGGAATCGACCTACACCACGTGTCGTGGTCGAGAGACCCTTTTGGACCTTGGGTGGCAGACGTCCGTACAGCGCATCGGTCTTCTTCTCCCAGGCGCGACTAATATGCTCGCAGCGTCGACGGAGAGAGGACTTGCAGCGTTGAATGAAGGTCTTATCTGCAGCTTGAGATTGACGTGCGGTGGCTTCAACGTCGGGGAAGGAGAGAATGTCGACACCGGTGTTTTGACGAGGCAGGAATGGACCATCGGGAGGTGGCCCCAAGACTGATGGTGGTGCATCCGAGTCTTCGTCTTGATCCAGATCATCATGGGAATGGATCGATGATACCTTGGTGTATGAATAGGCACGAGTTGATACGGGCGTTTGATCCCCAGAGTGGAACCGGCTACTGCCGCCCGGAGAACGGTGGAGATCGTCGGAACTTCGTGTGCGAACCAATGGTTCATCTGGATCCGTCTGGTCTGGGTTGTCGCTATACCGTGCCTGACCTTGCTCAATGCGCGACTGGCCGGTTTCCTCGCGCTCTGCGTCCTCCAAGTATCGGTCCTTGGGAGCCAAGAGGATGTGATAACCCCAACTCCAGCGAACGAGCTGTCCTAGCTGTTGGAAGATGAGCAGATAGAGAATACCTCGAGCTGCCACTTCATCATCGTTATCGTTCGGGATGCGATCCCAGTGGAGGCCCTTGAGAGTTTGGGAGAGGGACATGACGAGGGAGATAGGAAGGGAGTTTGAGTTTCCAAACACCTATTGAATCGAAACCATTAGCATATATACCTTGCAAATTGAAGTCTACAAATAGACTGAACATACCGCCATCGCCGCCACAAAGTTCGACTGGCGCTTCTTGAAACGGAAGCATCCCGCAATCACAAAGGCGCAAAGATATGAGACGCCGGTCTGCACGATAAAGATCACGGGGATAATTGCCAAATCAGCGAGGGTTTCGGCCGTCAATTGAGAGCCCAACTTGATGAAAACTGTCGATAGCATTAGTTATCGCGACCGAAATGCTTATCGTCACTACTTTCAGCAGGTTGGGGCCCATACTCAGGCAGGGGGTAAACAGTGTCACGTTGAGATTCGCCACCAGTTTTTGCGCTTCGGCATCGAACATGCCCTGTCGGGCAGCAAAATAACCTGGCAAACTGACACAGATGACTTCGAGCACGGCTTCAAAAACTAGGAGCACGAGATGGAAAAATGGGGGGTGTTGTGAGGGAGCGCTGGCGATGAAGCTGGAGCTGGAGCCTGCGCCGCTCATGGCGGCGGATGCCATCGGGTTCTGGGGAGAAAAGGCATTGCTCTGGAATGATCGGGGCAGGGTAAAAATGGCCATCGAAAGGGGGACGATGGAGAGAAGAAGAGGAAGAGAAGAAGAGAGAGAAAGGACTGGGGCGCGTGGCGGGGGGAGGCGAAGAACAAAAAGAAGAGAAGGCTATCGATTCCGATTCTCGATTCCTCATTCCTTGGCCCAACTTGCGAGAGAAAGGACTGGGGCGCGTGGCGGGGGGAGGCGAAGAACAAAAAGAAGAGAAGGCTATCGATTCCGATTCTCGATTCCTCATTCCTTGGCCCAACTTGCGCGACCCGCTCCAACCAAGGTTTTGTCTTTTTTGACGCCCAGACCGGTCGGATTGGGGGTAGGTTTGAATTTTGAAGCTACTTCAAGTAAATGAATTGTAGTAGTAATTGTAGTAACTGCTATATGATTATTGTTTATGAGTACTGCTGTAGAGGTAATAGCTCCCGACCAGGTTTGCTAGAATGATAACATGATAACGTCGATCACGTCGGAGCTGACCAAGATTGGCAGCTCCTCGCATCACCCAGGATTATACTCATAGGCAGGCTTGCACTGCCAATAATAGTTAACAAAGTTCCCAGGTTCCCAAGTCTCTAGTTGCCAAGAAATCCCTAGTGACGTCGCTCCTTATCGCTAGCAAATCATTGCGGGTCCTTCGCACACGTTGAGTGGCCCGTGCAGCTGAATGGGGCTGAGTTGGTGGTTGATCGATTCCCGTAGTTTGTACTTTATATCTTCCTATCTTCATGTCTCTGGTATGGGTTGGGTTAGATGTTATCTGATGTATCATATCGGAAGAGTCTAGACTCGAATGTACAATGCTTTTATTATGCGACTAAGATACGAACATGGTACAATCCATGCGCGCCCTCGACAAACCTCACAAAATGGTATATTACAACAGAGATGTCTCTTCTTTCCAAAGAAGAGTTTCGATCAAAACAAATAAAAGAAAACAAAAAAGAAAGCACGACGCATCTTCTGTAACCCCAACCCGGTGTCACCTTGCCACCCTTGGCAGGCAGGCATTATTCACCTAGGATACGCCGAGCAGCCCTCTCTGTGCGACAGCTCAGTCTTCCCCAACAAAGCCTAGCTTCTCACCCATCTTGATCCGCTGGCCCTTCTCAATGGCCCAGTTCCAACCGTCTGGTCGCTCTTTGTCCGGCCAGCCAGCATCGAACGGTTTGCGACCGCTTAGGGGAGCCTCGAACACCAGCACTACCGTGCTGCCCAGCTGGAACCCGCCCATCTCCTCACCACGTCGCAGCGGGTGTCCGCCTAGCGTGCGGCTGGCATGAGCATAGGTAGCCTCGACGAATCCGGGGTCGGTTTCGCCCCGCTCCGCCGCCCGGGCTGCAGCCAAGTCCGCCGCAGTGTCAGTCAACAGGCTGTTGGTGCGCAGTTCCGAATCAAAGTTGATTTTGATCGAGCCCACATTGGTCGCGCCGACCGGGGTGTAACTGAAGAAGCCCCAACGCCAGCGGCCAAGCAGTGCCACACGCTCGTTCAAGGTGAAGAGCCCGGGCAGGGTTCGCTGCAGATAGGGCGAGACAGAGTAGAGTTCACCCGCAAAGTGGCGGCGGCTCTCCACCACCCACTCGGTGGGGGAGTGGAAACGGTGATAATCACCGGGGGCCAAGTAGATCACCACATAGAACAAGGCGTGGTTGACGGCCGCCTTGGGAGCAAACCATGAGGTCCCCTCCCCACGGGCCAACTCCTCTTGGACGACAACCTCGGACGTCGTCTTCGACGTGGTAGATGCATCAATCGATGCCCGTCTCTCGGCTGGGGCACCCGATTCACCGGACAGCAGCGACGGCAGAGTGTAGGAAATGCCGTTCACGCTGGCGAATTCCTCATCGGCCTTCATGTTCTCGATATCCTTGTGGGTATCTTTGATCGCGGGGTCAGACATGCGATTGCTGTGATCGGCAGTAGCAGGCGTAGCTGCGCCCAAAAGCGCATCCAGACTGTAGGTCATGCCCTTGACTTGTTCCACCTCACCCCGCTCGATCATACCGAATTGCAGAATGCGTCCATCCGAGGGCGATACGAGTGCACGCGGGTCGGGATCGAGAGGGCGAACACCGGGCTTCAACTTGCGATAAAAGAAGGCGGACAGGTTGGGGTAGACGTGGAGATCGGGTTCAGCAACCTCGCTGAGGTTTACACCAAAGATCCATGAGTAGAGCTTAAATCCAGGAACGCGGAAGTAGTAGGGCAATTCAATCTCGTTGAACCGACCCCATAAACGCGAGATGGCCTTCAGGGGCAGAGTCGACATGACCTGGACCTGCCAGGGGCCCGTCGGCACGATTCGCGGGCGTCGAGGCGGCCGTTTTCCATTCTCCCAGTCATCACTTGCATCATCCTGCGCATTACGGTCACGTTCGGCACGCTGCGACTTGTAGAAGTGTAGTACTCCGAGCAGACCGATTCCGAGACCGACGGGGATCGGGTACCATTCCACCTTGGTATTCCTCAGTGCAAACCGCAGCCTCGATCCAAACCCACCCCTTGCCTTTCCTTCATGGTTGTTTTCTTTGTTGTATTGTCTCCATGATTTGGACGAAAATTGGCGAACGCTGGCCTTGTGGCGGGCAGTTGCCCGAAACGAGAGGACCTCCATCGACGTAGCAACCCCACTCACAGGGGCAGCAGCACGGCACTGGAGAAATGTGGAGTGATTGAGAAGGCGCTTGGCCATCGTGCAGTTTAGTCCATCAGAGCTCCGTTGCGAGGGTAGTAGACCTCTTTGGAGCTTTTCCAAGGAGAACGTTTTTCGTCCGCCGAATCAGGAAATGCGTTTGGACCGACTGACCGCCCGGGAGGACACCCGGCAGAATGGCACGTGGATGCTTTGCGAATCGGGATTAAGCTGTCGCAATCGCATCAACTCATTTGTTTTCTCTTGGAGGGATTTGTTTGCTAGGGTAGAGTTGGCTTGCGCTAAATTTTGGCGTTTGCATATACCCTTGTGCTTTGCCGCTCTGAATATCCTTCGCCCATTGCATGACGTTGGGCTCCCCGCGAATAGCTTACTCTTATCGCCCTAATCTTGGCTTCCTGCCAGATCTCCAGATTGACCGTCACAACTAATGCGCCGACGGGCGTCGACTGATTTACGCAGAGATTGAACTCGGTTTGAGCAGGAATACTCGGTCCGGGCTTCCCCATCTTTCCTCCTACCGTCGAATTTCAGTCCTTCCTTCCGGGCCACCTCATCAACCCCGAGCAATCGCGACTTGATACTCCACTCGGACGATACAACAACCATCTTGTTCATCAGCACCCAAACACCAGAGTTGCGGTAGCCCAACCACCGGAAGCTTCGTCGCTCATCTCTTACCCTCATATATTTGCCTCCATCTCATACGACACGGCTTGACCTCGATCTCTGCACACATGGCATCCCACGAGACACCAGCTGCTGCTGCTGCTACAACTAGTCATGGAAATGACACGAGCGTACGGACCGTCACCATCCACATCCTGTCTCCTTCTCTTCCAGCTCCAAGTCGCTTTACACTTCGGGACTTGCCATTGGAAACAACCGTTGGACAATTGCGATCACGCATCACCCACTCCCTCCCGGGTCACCCTGCACCATCGACCCAGAGGTTGATTTATCGAGGACGGCCTTTGGCAAATAACAATGATACCATGGCAGATATTTTCCGCTCTGTTGAGGTAGGTTTTTAGCCATCGGAGCTCCAGCTTCCTTCATGTCTATCGGTTTGCGTCTGACCAAAACCTTTCTTAGGGAACCGAGCACTCGATACACATGGTCTTACCACCTCCTTCGGCCCCGGCACCCGCTAATAACAGGGCTTCTCTTTTCGGGTCCATGAGCCACACGGAGAGGTCGAGTCAACTTCCGGGTTCCCTCGCAGCCGGTAGTACTGCCTTGTCTCAAAGTGCGGGGGATGGCCTGCGATTCCGCGGCTTACCAACGCCGGCCACTACACACGAACGACACTTGGAGCATATTTCAAACATCCTGAATCGGGCCACGTCCGCCACGAGCCCATATTCACCTTTGAACATGAACATGCCCAACCCAACCGATCTTGGCGAGTACGAAGACTTGCGCAGGCAGGTTGAAAGCGCAGAACATAGTCTGGACCACAGCTTCGTTCCTTCACACGAGACCTTGTACCAACTACGATCTCGAGTAGAGCAATTGGTACAGCGTGAGGGACGTTTTACTCCTGCGTCTGCACAAGCATTGCTGCAGCGTATCATGGCCCTTTATCGGCGTGTTGACAGTCTGCCCTCCAATCGCGACGCACGTCCGGCAATGCCCGCGGGCTCTCTCCAATCACCACTACAAGTCTTCTTGGCCACCGGACCGGATGGCCGTCAGAGCTTGATTATGCCCATAAACACCGCGAATGTGTTTCCTCTGTCTACCCCCCTCCCACAGCCTGGAAATACCCATACAGTCCCCATCGACACTCACAATGTCCATCATGCAGCTCCGGCAGGTCAAAATCCGGCAGGTATGCAGGACATTGTCCGCCAGGCAGTCATCAATCAGCAGCGACGTCGTGAAGTTGAGAACATCCCTGCTGGACAATATCTGCGCAGAATCTGGCTCTTCATTCGACTGTACTTCTGCATCTACATGATCAGCAGTTCTGGCACTTGGGCACGTGTGTTCCTCGTCGCCGGTGCGGTACTGATTGCTCTGCTATCAGATACTGAAATCCCTCGCCGGCTGCAAGGAATGCTTGTTGAGCCTATCCAGCGCCATCTCGAAGGTCTCGCCCACATAGGCGGGCCAGCAGATCGAGCCACACAGGCAGCTGGAGATCAAAATTCAGTGGCCGGTGGTCATGCGGATAACACGATTCGTGGCGAATTGTGGAGCAGTATTCGCCGTATGGAACGAGCTATCGTGTTACTACTTGCGAGTCTTATTCCGGGCATTGGTGAACGGCAGGTGGAGGCACGGAACGCGGCCGAGGCGGAAGCTGAGCGTCTTCGTCAAGAGGAACAGCAGCGGCTACAGGAACAGCAGCAGCAAGAGGAAGCGCAGGCCGAGTCTCAGCCCGATACTGTGGCAGAGGGGGCAGTGGAAACTGACACCACCGTCGACAGCGGAGCCACCGAGCAACCGCAGCCAGAGCAAGCTGTTCCCGCATAGACTAGCCAAGAAGATACTAAAGTAGCATTATGAGAACAAAATATGACAACATTGTCGGCGCCGCAGCTCCACATATGAGTACACCCGCTGTATCATTTTATTTGCAGTATCGTATCTAGTATTTGGAGCGGTATCAACGCACTATTCTATTCGAATGGCTATTATACCGTCTTCTTGAGCCTGCGGTCTACTTTGATTCGAACCACAGCAGCCAAGACCGTAGCGGCCGTTGCCATCGAGCCAGCGTAGAAAATAGCTGGTCTGTACGCACCAACACCACCTTCTTGTCCACCAGAGGCATTGAGAATATAACCAGCAATGGGGGCACCCTACCAGTAAATAGCGATGTTAGTAATGGCCATGTTATAATAGACCCAAGAAATAGTAACTCACCAAGAGATATCCACCAAGCCACCCACTAACAATCATACCCACCGCAACAGACACTCTCGCCGAACCAAACACATTGCCCACAACCGTCGGCATCGTCGAAAAGAACCCACCATTCGCAGACCCATTGATAATCACAAACGCAATCAACGGCCCAATCGAACTAGACACGGGCCAAAGCACGAAAATACTCAACGCACTAAGCAACAACGACAAAAACAGCGTGTTCAACGAGCCGAGCTTATCACACGCAAACCCACACGACAGACGTCCAATGGCAGAGGAGAAGTTGAATGCCGCAACTAGACCTGCGCCAGCGCTGGATGGTAGACCCAGACTATTCGTGTACAGCGGGAGGAAGAAAGCTGGTACGAAGAGGGGGAATGTACCGATAGCACCGACGGCGAAGAGGACGGCGAAACGGACGTCTTTGAAGAGGCTCCATTCGACCATTTTGGTGGGTTTGATAGGGGCGCGTTCTTTAATTAGCCAGGCGGCTGGAAGGCCAGTGCCCATGATTAGGAAGCCGAGGATGCGGAAGGTCCAAGCTATGCCGACGCTTTGGAGGAGGGCGTCTAAGATGAAACTGATCACTGTTCCTCCGAGGCCTCCTCCAGCGTAGACGATGCCATTTGCGATGCCGCGCTTGGCTTTGAAGTATTGTGCTGGTGTCACGGAGACAACCTGTAGCCGTTGTCAGTTAAAAAGGAATATACTTCGAAAAAGGGCGTCAACTATATCTCACCATGAAACAGAGACTAGTACCAAGTCCACCAACAAACCCCCACGTCATGAACAATCCCACGACACTATCAGTGGCAAATCCACTCAGAATACTCCCCAATCCGAGCAAGAAAATACCCAACAACGCCGTAATCCTCGCCCCAATCTTCCGAATAACGGTAGCATTCGGCACCGCAAGCAACGAAATACAAGCCGGACACAACGATCCCACAAAAGCCAGAGTCGATGATGAATAACCCTTCACATCAACGAGTTCAGCTTGCATGACACCCCAAGTATAAGAAGCGCCGACAAACCACCAGGTCACGACGGCACATGCAAAGATGAGGACCCAGCCGTACCCTCCATCGGGTACTTGGGAATCTGCAATGAGCGATTGCTGCATCACATCGTCGACGACGATGGACCCCGGTGCTGAAGAAGTAATTGGATTACGCTGACGTTCTTCATTGGAGGTTTGGCCCAGAGTGGGGAGTTCAACTGCCGTGGTGGGCAGGGTCTGCGTGATGGTCGCCATGTGTGTGACTGCAGGGATGTTATGCAGCAACCTTAACTCGGTTGTAAAAAGAAATCAAGAAAGGATTTAAATTAAGCCCCAACCGCAGGGACTTTAGAGTTTCAGATTGTCAATCTCTTCCGATCGATTTTTTTTTGGATCTTCCATTCGTCATGGAAAGGGCGTGCACGTGACTGCGGTTACCCTCGGACTGCCTTTTTCGGAAAGTGATCGTAGATACTTCCAAGGTTAGAACATTCATGACCGAAGAACTGATCTGATTAGATTAGAGGGCTTATTCACCCAGAGAGTCGACGCCAAGATATGAGTTTGGTATGAAAGGATATATTCTCATAAAGATGTATCTCTATATATATTTGATGCGATATCTACTACTGATGTAATTGCTCACAACTTGGTTCCAGTTCTACCTCCCTCCGAAACAGATGATTCCGCAATAACAGGCGGCTCAGAAGACGGAGCCATGGGACCGGTATCGAAGGACTCTTCGCCATTGAAATGCCTGCAGCGATAAAGTACAATTAGCATAATCCAGAGAGAAGTAGAATGCAACGGCCTGAAGAGTACGCAACAAAGCCACGGGAGAAATGGGAAAATAACTCACCATCCACGCTCAGCACCATCACTCAAGAAAGTGCAATCTCCATTCTTCACACAATCCCATCCACCCCCAACACCCCGACCACCTTCCCAGGCCGGCACACCCCGAGAACGAACAAACTTGGTGCCCTCAGCCAATAAAGCCCGGGGACGACTCTCATCCCTCTCCCTAGACTCTCTCCGCTTGAAAGTGCTCATTCCAGCGGTGAACACATAGAAGTCCTCCTCAGAACTATCTTCGGGCATCCGTCCTGTCAAAACACGGCCCATCGCAATAAGAGGCGCGGCATGTGCGCAGATCAAAATGGATTTGACAGTGCGCTGCTCGGCGGGAAGAGTAGCCTCTAAAGCAGTAATTTCTGCATCCACGTCGGCGATGATACCTTCCAGGGCTGCGGCTACACGGTCGTGTAGTTGGGCAATGGTCTCGCCGCGGGTAGAGGGATGCAGAAGTGGTGTATACTTGGTCTCCGGGGAAGGTGGGACAATAGATGGGAAGTGTTCATGCACAGTGCTTGCGGTGGGGTGAGAAGGGTGGTCGAAGAAGGTTGTTGGACCGAACCATTCACTGTACATAGTGTCAATTGACGGACCAAAGATATTGGTGATTCGAGTCATCCTACCCTAGACCGTTCTCAATTCTCACATCGAGATCGGCAGCTGGGTCAATTCCACCAGCAAGAGCTGCATTGCTACCGGTAGCCTTTGACTCTTGGTGTATCTTCTTGAGTGCCTCTACGGACGGCTGAATGGTCTGAAGACATCGGTAGAAAGGACTCGAGTAGACTCGAAAGGGCTTTGGGTGGAAGTCTGGCCCGGCAATATGTACACCCAGCTCATGTGACTGACGCACACCGTGCGATGTCAGCGCTGGATCTGCTGGATTGCCCGTTGGAGTCGGGAATTGGGACTTGTAGGTGCCGGTGCGCACATCAATCGTCCAGTTGAGCCGATGCTGGTATTAGGTTAGCAAATGACCACACAAGGCAATCGAGAACAGCCAGGTAGATCCTGGGAACTCTCCCAGACACTGCTTACCCCATGGCGAGTAAGATATATCGTATCCAGCGGCATGGTGAGCGTGGGGAAGTAAAGACATGCCCAACTTGCGGGGAAATATACGGGCAGAATGGGGGAGGGAACCAAGGCGGTGAGCTACAGCCTCGGTCCAGCAAAGGATTTCTATCTTGGATCTAGGTTGGACTATTGAGGAATGATTTAATTGCAGACTAGAGTCGCCTGACATTTGGACGAGAACCTTGTACTCTGTAGACTATGAAATCGGGGTATACTCCGTTACTCGTAAGATTACATTCCCAGGGCCCAGCCCAAGTGACATGCGAAACCAGTCAAAACAACAACTTTTTTTTTTCGGATTGCTCTTTAGAGCGACTCCATCTAGTAGAAGAAGCCGAGGAGCTTGCCAGCAACGTGCTTGCGGCGAGCCTCCTCGTGGTCCATGATACCAGCGGAGGTGGTCAGGACGACGTAGCCGAACTGACGGGAGGGAAGGAGCTGGGTAGCCCACTTCTCGAGGTCACGGAGCTGGACGGGGTAGCGGGGGTTGATGACACCGCACTTGTTGAGACTGAAGGGAGAACATATCAGCATAATGCCCAAAGAGAGCAGACAAAGTCATAGGGAACTCACCGGCCGTTCAGCTGGATGACGATCTTGCCGGAGCGGTGGTCATCGACCTCCTCGAACTCGCCAATGTAGCCTGAAAAAAAGGATGTCAGTATGTCGCGAAAATTTAAAAGTCGCCAAATACTGAAGCATAAGCGCTTGGAAACATGTAAGATCTTCGCCAAGGGGTCAATCTATCGGGTACTTAAAAGGCAGACGTCGTAGGTGATTGAGACCGGCCGCCTAGTTATCAACCCGAATAACAAAGAGGGAAATTACAAGAACTCCTCTTGGCGAGACCACTTTCCAAACGAATATGCTAACAGTATTCCCAGCGCTAGGGATGGAAACGTACCGTGCTTCTGCATGACGGTGAGGAACTTGACGATGACCTTGGAAGAAGGCCGGATCAGAACCTGACGCTTGCCGGCCTTCTCGGCGTTGTTCATGGCGTTGAGGGCATCGTTGAGGACGGAAGTCTTGACCATTTTGGCGGTTGTGGAGAGTCGAGATTCTCAAATCGATCGGAAAGAGAGGATATGAGGTATCTGTTCGGCGAGGCGCAACAGAACCCCCTATCGCGACTGCGAACCTCACAAGTAAATGTGAAGCTCTGCGAGTCGAGAAGGGGTGTTCGATTGCAACTAAAGTCAGCCACCACTAGTCTTCGAGCGCAAAGAGTGCCCCTTCCTTGCAAAAGGAGTTCTTCAGCCCGTGCCGGGTTGGGAGATGCGTATCATCCTGCACGCCTGCTGCGACCACGCAGAAAAAAAATCTCGAGATCGTAGTGAGGACGACAAGATGATTGCATTCCCAGACTAGCTGAGAGGCTGGTGAGGGGGGGAGGGCGTACATACCTCGAGGGAATGGTCCTTCGGTGTAGCGGGTTGTCGAGAATGAAAATGTTGCGGCGGTCGGCGAAGTTTGGTTTTCGCTGACTGTGCGGCTGTCCCTGTAGGGTTTGAAAGCTCTGCAGCCCTTATCGACAAACTGTCACGTGTTGATACCACCAACGAAGTGCTTGGTGCCTCGATGCCTAAGGCACCATAACAACCCATCCTCGGTTTTATTACTTGGCTCAACTGTCACGTTTCCTGTTGCTTACAAAAGAAAGACTCCACGACAGTATAAAGTACAGATAAATCACCTACACACCATTCCAAGCAGAATAAGTTATCTCAATACAAGGGGATTTGAGAGGGTATCCTGTGCAATGGCATGGGCAGGGCTTATAGGGATCAGACCGGGATCAAGGTCGGAGTATACGAAAAAGAGGTGACGGATCAAAAAACAGCTTTTCATGACAGATCTTTTCCGGAAAAGGTTCAGACATGGTTCTGGGAGATACATGATTGGGAATACAAGATTGTGTCGAGGGGAGGAGGATACATGAATTCTTTGGGCTACATGAGGTGCAATGCTATAAGGATGCGAGGGGGTCTTGGTCTAATTAAAAAACAGGGTAGGGAATTTGAATGGGAAATATGATAAGAAGATGGGGTGATACGTGATACCAAGAAGAACGGACGAGGAGACGTGAGGGATAGGTGGGATAGGGTCATTGCATGGTGTCATCAGGGGAGCGATCGCACCTAGGGGAGCAAGTGCTGGTAGATGGGAGGGGATGGGGAGTGTAGATGATGATCAACAAGGGGAGAGAGAGGTGGATGAAATTGGGAATCTCATTGTCCAGTGTCGGGGATGGGTGCTATTGGGGATGGGAACGCACGGCAGGAAGATGTCCGCCAGCAATGGAGACAAGAATACTTACCGACCATCAAGGTCCCTAGTCCATGAGAGAGGTTCGGGTCGCCCCGTACCTTCATGTAAGACTGGTCCCTGAAGCCTGGGCTATCCCCAAAGTATCCGCTCCACTCGTACCAGCAGGACTGGGTCCTAATGGAACAGGAGCGGCTGGGGGACAGCGGGGGGTTCTGTTACCGATGGGATGAAACCAGGTGGTAACAATTTAAGCCATACCGGTGCTCATGTTGATCTGGCGCTTGACCTGCTCCCGGGTCCAGCGAGCGGTCTCAATGGTGCGATCGCTGTACTGACGGGTGGTGCGAGTCTCCCGAACCAGGGTGGTAACCCAGTCGTGGCGGAAGTAGGTGGCGAGCTCACCGTTAGGGAAAGCATCCGCGAGATCACCAATCACACCCATGGCAGAGCGCATCAAGCCCTCAGACCGGTTGCCTTCTTGGGAAATTATGTGGAGCAGCTGGAAGATGGACTCAACGAAGGGCTGGACTAGGGTAATCTGGGAGCTACCCTTGTAAGAGAGCAGAATGCCACCCCAAGCATCCATGATACCCTCACGCAGAGAGACGATGTAGTCAACCATGTCATAAGGAAGATCGGAGCTAGTGGTAACGGAAGAGGCCTGCTGAAGAACCTGACCAACGACGGGCAGGTAGTTATCGAAGTGGGGGGTTCCGATGGCCTGAGCGATATCTCCGAAGGTCTCCAAGATAGCGGGCTTGAGCTGGTTGGTGGAAGTCTAGTTGCACAATGTTAGCAAAACGATCACTAATCGTATCTAGTCGGAACGTTGGACGTACTCGGAGGATGTTGAGGAGGAGGTTCATGAAAGTGTCACAGAAAGGCTGGACCTTGTCGTTCAGAGCGCGAGCAATGTCGCTGACGAGGCCAATGGCCATGGAGCACAGACCAGCCTCCTCCTGGTGCTCAAGAGCATTGTACAGGAAGGGGCTGAAGGACTCCATGTACTTGGCAAAGTCCTCATCCAGAGCGCTGGCAACGGCACCAACGGTGGCGAAGATAACATCGGGAACACTGGACTTGGCGCCAACAGTCGTCAGAACGCTGAGCAGAACCTGCATGATGCGGTCGGCCTGAGGCTTGATCTCGAGTTCGAATCGTTGAACGATAGCCTGGGGTTAAAGTTAGTCGTGTGTTTGAAGATGTTAGGAAGCAAAAAGAAAAAAACCTACTAGAATGACACTGATCAAGCTAGTCTGCATCTCCTCGAGGAGAATACGGTCCTCCGTGCTCACAACCTGCTGCTGCATGGGGACGGTCTGCTCGAGACGTGCAAGAATGTGGTCCGACAGGCTGGCAACGGTGGGAAGACTGTCGTTGGCAGAGTTCATGACGAAGGAGTTGAGAACCTCATATCCAGCGGTACGGAGCTGGCTATCGGCATCCTGTCTATTCGGGGGTTAGTAAAGGTGCCTCGAGTTATTGGGTATGGGAAAAGAAGTCTACGTACCTCTCAGTCACCTGCATGAGAGACTTGACACTCTCATCGAAGTGCTTGGACAGAGGGTTGGTCTGGGAACCGGCATCACCGGCAAATCGGTCGGCAACGTTCATGAGAGCCCAGCAGCAAGAGCTGGCAATCTTGGGGCTGCTGGCAAGGCCATTGAAGAGGCAAGAAATGAGGGGCTGCAGGTGAACATCGGGGTCCAGGACCTCGGGGCAGCAGTCGCATACGCGACCCAGGGCGTAGGCAGTGGAATCCCGAACCTGGACGGAAGCGTCCTCCATCATACCCAGAAGAACGGGCAGAGCCTGCTTGATCAGGGGCTCCAGCACAGTCGGCTCGGGGCCCTCCATGATACCACCAAAGGCAGCGACAGCAGCATCCCGGCGGCGCCAGTCCTCGTTGCGAATGTTCTCTTCGACGAAAGTGACAACGGGTTGGATAACATCACCCTGCACGCACTGGGCGTACAGCTGGAGGGCCTGGTAAGCAGCACGCGACACGTTGTACTCGTTGTCATCAGCATCCTCATCCTGGCGGCACATGGCCTGCAAGAGGACAGGGATGACTTCACGAGCAGCCACGCGAGCGAATCCGTAGAACGGACGAGCCTCAACGCCTTCTTGTTGAGCCTTGGTAAAGAAACAGAAGTTAGCATGGGCAGTTCCAAGACTGAATCCCATTGCGCGAAAATGACTGACCTCGGCATTGTCGTCCTCAATAGCAATCTCCTCCTCGCAAACAGTGCACCAGAACTCGATGGCCAGCTTTGCGACATCCTCCTCCTCGCTCTTCATACCCATGATGCTGAGGCCAAAGAGAGCCTTCTCCATGTAGAAGCGCATCTTCTCATAGTATGCACCCATGATACGGTTCAGGCAGCCGAACGCACCAGCCTGCACGCGGACCTCATCGGCCTGGGTGGCCTCGCAGACCACTTGCATGATATAGTTGCGCTCGCCCTCGTTCTCCATGTTGGATCGCACACTATCAAACAATGTTAGCGAAGGTCGCAAGGAAAAACCTCGTAGGATGAAACTTACAAGTCAACGGCGTCACTAAGGGCAGCAATAGCGGCATAGCGAACGTCCATGTTCGGCTCCTCGCGCCGGGCACCCTGAACAACGGCAGTCAGGATGGCATTGGAGTGCGCAGTCAAGCTAGCGCGGAGGTCGGCATCTTGGGACTCGCAAATGAATCCAATAGTGGCAAGAGACGACTGCTTCAGGTTGTCGTTTCCACTGGCCACGTTCTGGACCAGGATGTTCATGAGGTCGGACCACTCATTTCGGGGCAGTTCGATCGCGGCGATCGAAACAATTAGCGTAGCGGCAGCATTCCCAGCTCGGGTATCGGATGCCAAGGTCTTGAGCGCGAGCTCCTTGACCTGTGTCTTGGTCTCGGGGGTAATTTGTTGGATCCATCGTGCCTGCACTTCACGGAGCTTGGTCTGGTCTCGGAAGGTGAAAGCGTTCTTCAAGGCGATACCGGCAGCAACACGGATGTGGGCAGGGCTCTCTTCGCTCGCCAGCTCCTGGCCTAGGGTAACAAGGTAGGTAGCCTAGGAAATCACACAAAGGATGTTAGTTTCGGGGGACCGGAGGAGCGAGATTTTCGATCGTGGCCGAAAGAAAGAAGAACGAGGGAATCAGAAGGGGTTGGGTTCACATACGAAGTCGACCTCCGCCGCATGGGCGAGCTGCTGCTCAGCATTGGTACGTTCCGCCGCATCTGCGGGAAGAAGAAAGACGGTCAGCGAGGGGCCACTACCACACCAGTCAAGCCCAAGGGGGCATGTGGGAAGGTCTCATCCAGAGCTTATCAATGAGAAGGGAAGACATACCGGGCGACAAGGTGCTCTGCAACACCTGACGGGCATCCATGTTGTTTGCTTAGAGCAACGCAAAAAAAAGATGGAAGATGTGGGGGTGAGGGAAAGAGAGAGGGAGAAGAGGGAGAAGGAAAAAAAAGGAAAGAAGACTGTAAAAAAAAGAAGAGAATCGAATCCCTCTTGGTGCCGCACGATCAACTGAAAGGGCGATAGGCACGCAAAAAAATACAGTCGACTAGCAGGGTGGGCGGTGGTTGCAGGAGAATCCCTGGAGTGGTCGGTAGGTGGGAAGGGACGGGGTGTTTTTGTGGATATGACGAGGCATGCACCAGGTCTTTCCGCGAAGAGTCACAGAGAGAGAAAGGTGCCTTGAATGCACGCCCAACGAAAGCTAGAAGAAGGAGGTCAGGAAAGGACACCGGATAGGCCCAGAGTGTCTTTTATGGCAAGTAAAGAAATGGTAGAAGGTAGATTTCGACGCCAGAAAGACAGAACGAAGTGAGGTTCAACTTGGGAGGGCGCGCTGATTGGCGGCGCGGGGGCCTCAGGCTGCACGTGAGAATTACAGCCTGAGGCAGAGATGTCTTAGGTCAGCTTTTGCTGAAATAAGCAGAAAGCTTTTTCCTTGTTTCACGCTGTTTTATTACAAGGAGACCTCCAATAATTTTAACCTTTAAAAAGGTCTATATGCTACTAATCACTCGTTATTTCCCTCTATATTTCTTTCTATAGCACTGGCCTTGGCTTCACTTGGGGTGTGGTGATGCTTTGTTTACGTTGACAGAGGGGCTCCCCTATTGTTTTTTTTGCCCCTCCGCTTTGCTTGTTTTGATTTTCCTTCTTGAAGAAGGCACCCACACAGTTCAGCGTGTGGCCCCAGCGACAGGCTCCATTTAGCCCTGACAAGTGGCCACACACACACTTTCGCGCCACTCATGAACTATTTTTTGCTGTGGAGACCACAATTTGATGTGTCAAAGTTGGTTCCTGCATGGAATCTCCCAGAAGATCCTGTTGGCTTGGGATTTTGCTACGGCCAACTCAGCAAGGGGCAGCGAATCTCAAATTATACCAAGAATCGAATCAGAATGCTAACTTGAACTTCTATTAGGAAGTCCGGACAAACGGCTTCTATTGTATGACTCCGAGCACGGAGAGTTGTAGGGTTTCAATCTTTGAAATTTTCCTGTTGAATTAAACAAGTAAAGAGCGCGTAAAAAGGTGCTATCCAGGACTTGCTATTGGTTAGGTCCACCCAATGCCGAGAAACCCCTATGCACCATACACACGCCTACTGGACAATAGCCATGATCACTAATCATATTCTCCGTCCTCTTCTTCATCTTCATCTTCATCGTCATCTTCCTCCTCGTTTTCTTCCTCTTCCAACTCCGCATCCAAATCCAACACCTCGTACCGCATCGTGTCGCCATACAATACGCAGATAGCCCGACGACCCTGCCGCCCATTGACGTCAATGTGCAGAGGGTTTGACTTCGGGCCCGATGATGCAAAGATATGTATGACAATATTTGTCTCTTCTAAGAGCGATCCGATGTCCATTGGCGTGGACTGAACGGTTGGTTTCGCCGTGGGAGGATGAGGATTATTCTCAACATAGGTCAATGGTACTGCGAGGGCTCCAGCTTCTTCAGACGTTGCCAGAACCGAGGCAGGCTGGAAGGGAAGGTTCAGAAGATATGTAGCTTCGCTGTAGGCGTAGAGAACCATGAGGGTATCATCCTCGACAAATTGTAGCTGACTAACCACTCCCTCCTTGAATGAAAGAGCAGCAATCGAGGTTTCCCGGGTTGAGCTTACTCCGTTGACCGAATCAAGGACAATGCGGTAAATGTAAACTAGAGCAATTGTCAACGACCAAGTAGAGTAAAGTAGAAACACGACATATCACAAACCTAGCGATTTCATACTGGCCGATCTCGCGGCCACATAAATAGAGCAAGGTCGCCGCTTCACCATGTCCTTTGAAAGCGGTTAGCCCCAGGTCCGCAGAAGACAAAAGCGAATTAGGGGCCTCCAAACGCGAACTTACCTCGTAGCAAATCTTGATATCAATAACATTCCGGTCACAGTCTTTGTGTAGTGTGATTGGAGACCGGTGCAAGATGCCCCGTCTTTGCGTTAGTGCAATCTCCGCGAACACTTTCTCAAATTGGATTCCTAGACGCCGCGTCAAATCATTCAGTTTTGGTGCGTCCACAGAAGTTCCATCTCCGCCCTCGGCCTGGACCTGCTTTTGCTGGTTCAGCAATGCCTTGAATGTGTCGTAGAAGGATCGATCGTGACCATCTGGCAGCCACTTATCCGTGACGGGGGTAGGCATCTGCGGTACTCCAATCATGGGGAGTTGACGGATGAAGTTATGCAAGACGCTCTTACGCAGTGCCCCGGTGATGTATTTCACGGTTGGAGGAACGTCAAAAAGATCTCGTTTCTCGAGGAGCTCATCCCATGTTTGTGAGAGGGGTTCGCTGCCCAATATCAAGATCTCGTGGCGGAGCCAGCGCGAAAATGCCGCAAACTGATCTAGCTCCTCGCTGGCGTGATTGAGGATGCGATGGGCGAGAAGGTGCAGACAGTCGAGTGTCTCGACAATGGCATTTAGTTTTGAAGTATCTAGACCAAGCACATCGTTGAGCTTGTGGAATTTGGATAGTCCAACAAGTCGGCTGAGGAGAACCTGACTTCGTTGCAGTGCTGGAAGCAGGGACTCATGGGTTAATCGTCGAATACTTTCATAGCCGCCCGACACAGCTTTGTCCCATCGCTTATGTCCCTAGACAATGTGTTAGCTATGGATTCGCATCGTGAGTCCCTGGCATACTGACTCTTTCTCCAACAATATCCACCAAGAACTCCTTCATCGGCTCAAAACAGTGACCAGTCACGACGAGATGGTATATAGCCGTGGTGAAATCACATTGACACTGTTCTTGTAAGTCCTGGTTCACACTTCGTAGGAATCTTGCCGGTAACTCTTGTGCGTTCTTCCATTCGACTTCGATCTGCTTCTGAACTTGACTGATATAACGCAACAAATTCTGAAGCTGTGTGGTTTTAGACGCAAGTAAAGACAGATAACGCCCGGACTTGGTGATGAATCGGAGATCCAAGGTGACGAGATTGATAGGCTCATCAGATTGGCCATTGGTAGGGGACACGAGCAAGGCGTGCGTTGAACTAAGCGGATGTGACGCGTGACAGAGAATATGGCATGACCCAGCGACACCCGCCGATTCCCCAATGGGGAACGAGCCAATCTCAAAACAGTCGAAAATCCTGAGGTGGACGCTACCATCGTCGAAGCCAACGAAAAGTACGTCTACCGAGTCGTTATTGTCTTTGGTTGATGAATGGAAGATAGCATCGATAGATGCACGCGAACTAAACAGGTCGTCCTCGGCGCCCGTCGCGGGTAGAGTGCTTAGCTTGGGCAGAGAGCTTTCAATGTCCAGCAGTGCTAGTTCTCGCGGCAAGTCCGCCTTGAGGATTGCGGCCGCCTTAGATGGATGGATCCCTGGCGTAAGGAGATCTTCAACGGAGATCTGGCCCGCGGCGCCTTGCAGGTGCTTTTGGGCAGCTTTGCTGTCGGTGAAATTCATGCCCCAGCCCAAGCAAGTCACCTTTGGAGATGGATTTTGATCAGTAACTGCGGGTTCTTCCTTCTTTTCTTCAAAGGCTTGATAGTGGTGGACAGTCTTGCCGCTGTAAGCACTGATGATGCGGACCGAACCATCTCCGCAGGCGACTGCGAGGAGACGACCTAGTGATATGGTTAGAGGTGCCTTCTTTGACGAGCATAATTCAAGACATATTTTGGGAATCTGGATGATATATTCCAGGGGCGTTGCCACTGTCAATACATGAAGGGAGAGATCGCACTCACCATTTCCCTTCCACGCTAACGCCCTCACCTCTCCATCCGCCTCATCCTCGCCAAGGTATGGGTCGCCCTTGAAGGAACCCCCAAAGACTCGTTGGCCATTGAGCCGGAACGCACATAACTCGTCATCATCAGTAGCCAGGGCAATCAGGTCCATCGAGGGACAGTATGCCAGGGTACTGGGTTTACATTTCGCCGGCAGGGACTTTTCCCCGACCGGGGTGAGTTGCGGGGCGTACGCTTCCATGATGAGAATGAGTGATGAGGATGAGCTGACCTAGCCCATCCTTAAGTGACGTGAAATGTCTCGAGCCAGTGCTTTCTCTTAGCTTGGAGATGTTGGAGGTCTCTTCGCGGTGAAGTGTTGATCGCGAGTGGGTCGCGGGATTCTCCTCGCGTGGTCTGTTTTGGGTGGGTGCGGCTGCTGGATCACCCTCGTTGTTTGGTAGACGCCAGCAGTGTACGGTGCCACTATGATGGCTTTTCATCGAGAAACAAAGTACGAGTAGCCTGATATTCCGAAGGAAGACCACATTGTCCTGCTGTGAGTTGATTATTCGGGGCTCAACATGTGACCGTGCTATACAATGCTGTAGAGCCTCGACCGCCCAGCACGCCAATCTCGCAACGCCATACTCTTAAATGGAAGATTTGTCCGAGACACAGGATATTAATTACGTTTGCTTCTCAATAAGCCTCGCTTCAAACTGCTTGAAGTGAATATTCTGGGTAAAAATGATGCATATGTTTAGATAGGCTTGTTGATGCCTAGTCTGTCAGGCAGCAAATGTGTTTCTATCTAGGCCTCTCTCCATCTCTGTCCATTATTCCCACAATTAAATAGACTCTCATTAATGGCTACTCTTTAATATCTTGGACATACTAGGGCATTCTCCACATTGAAGACACCGAGTCCACCAGGTTCTATATGCCTTCTGAAGGAACAGATACTCTTTAAAGACATTTAGAGAGGCGGCCCAAGCTAGGTAATTTCAGCCAGGCCTACCTTGGCTTTTCCTATAGGCTAAAGGCTAGCTGGCTGTTTAATTTAGCATATTGAACCAAGCGGTTTACAGCATAGATCGAGGCTTCTGTTGCGTCTATCGCCTGTTCTATGTGATGTCACCACGAGGGCCTTATTCCACCATGGAGAGCGGCAATCCATTGGCTGAGAGAGTTTGATCATAAGAAATTATTAGTGCTGATTGACGTGTCTCTCATAGCCACTGCCCAAGCACAATTAGCGCCTGCATAACACCTGCCACTTAAGAAAGATTCAGGTTAGCTCACGAGGCGCTTTTGCGACCCCGCCTACTCCGTACATATACCCCATGTCTGCCCTGCCCAGCTCAGCCGCATCGTCCTCCTTGGCGACCTTTCCCAAGATCGTTTCCCCCTTTCGAATATTCATATACACAACTTTCATGCGTGTTTCTACGCTCTGTGTATCATGCGCTCGCTATGGCTTTGGCACTAGCAACGGCCTCACGCTTGAAGGCCGAGGTTAGGCTAGGCCAGGCCATTTCCGAGTTCGTTGCGGATCTGTCCGATGAGCAAAAAGCACGATTCATTGCAAAGAGATCGCAAGCCCTGGCATCGCTACCGAGCATCCAAGATGTCAGAAGCCTCACTGCCGAGATTGACCGAGTCAGTGGTGGCCGATGTTTAGGTCCGAGGCTCATCAGAGTCCTTGAAACCGTGCAACGATTTGCTGCGATTGGTGATATCATGGTAGGAGGATCGCAAAATATCATCGCCTGTGGTGTTTGGTCCCTGGTGCGATTATCTCTCTTGGTAAGTCAATGTATTGGGATTCATCAAGAGCCGAGTGTTATTTCAGCTACTGACTGTGATGATCACCATTAGCTACTTACAAGCTCATCCTCACACCTCGAGAAACTTTCAGTTCTTTTCATGAATGTTGGTCGGTCGGCACCCAGATTTGAGAAGATTGCTGCTCTGTACTCGCGTTCTCCAGACTTGCAGTCATCCGTCTACGAATACTTTATCGTGGTGGTTCATCTATGCCACGACATACTGAGATTTACGAAACGATCGACCTTGCAAAAGTTCGGAGCTGCTTTATCAGATTCAAATCTAACGAAATATAACTCGGAGATTGACTCTTGGAGTAAGACAATCCAGGATGAAGTTCGCTATCTGATGGCTAGGCGAACCGAAGAGGAAGCTGAGGCCACTTCTCGATTTCGAAATGCGTCAAGCATATTCTTCAGATCTGCTTCAGCCCAGCAGAAAGCGCAAGCGCGACAACGAATCCTTGACTTCTGCTGCCAATTTGACTATATGGTGCCTTGGAAGCGGGCTAGAAAAGCCGGTAACACGAATCTATTTCGGGAATGCCAGCACTACAAATCATGGAAAAGTCGACCCGACCCAAGTACATTGATCTATACTGGGAAAGTAGGGGCTGGAAAGTCGGTTTTACTTGCAAACATGGTTGATGACTTGCATCTCCATACTGCAGGTAAGGACTTGGCCGTGGCTTTTTTCTTCGCGCGTCATGACATCCAGGAGACCTTGACAGCGCGAACTGTCATTGGATCTCTTGTTCAACAGCTTCTGGACCGAGTGACAGACTTCACTCAGGTTGCTGAAGCCTTCGAGATGACGTCCAGAAAGGAGCCCCTCGAACGGATGCTTCATCTGCTCAAGTCAGTCCTGCGGCCCGACTTCAAAGCCTTTGTTGTAATCGATGGCTTGGATGAATTAAGCAACAGCGAGGGAGAAGAGACCTTGCGACACCTCTTCGCTCTGCGAGATTTGATGAACTTGTCTCTCTGCTTATCCTACCGCCAGGAGCCCAATACATCGCTGAAGCTCAAGGCCGGCCTAGAACCATTTAATGCGGAGGTTTTCCCCATCCCCCACAACAGCTCCGAGATTGAGAGCTTCATCACGGATGAGCTGGGTAGGCGTGTTGAGAGCCAGAAGCTTACGATTAACGACCCATTGTTACCACTGGAAATCCGAGACGCTCTCGTGAAAGGCTCACAGGGAATGTTCCTGTGGGTGGCGTTGCAAATTGAGTCTTTGTGTACTATGGAGACGGATGAGGAGATACGCCATGCTATTAATGATCTCCCCAAAGATCTGTCCGAGACATTTTCGCGCATACTCCAGAGCTCAAATAAATCCAACTCTCCATACCAGAAGCGGATATTGGAACTGGTCACTGTTGCTCAACGTCCGTTGACAACCGAGGAGCTGCGTGAAGCCTTGAGTGTAACACCAGGTGAAACCAATTGGGATTCATCTAAGCTTCTAAACAACATCTACCACTCTTTGAAATACTGTGGGGGCCTCGTCATACTTGATGAAGAGGAGTTGACCCTTCACCTTGTTCACCATAGCTTCAAACAATACCTGATCAAAATGACCGAAGGCCCAACTGATAGGCTGGTTGATCTTGACCATGCTCATAAACGAATGTCCGATATCATCATCACCTATCTTCATACCCTGGAGATTACCAGAAAGGCGTTGACCAAAGAGGTTTTTCCTAAGCTGGACGCTGAATCTACAATGGCTGGCATCATTCGCTCCACTCGGTCCTCTATGCGCGGCAGCAATAAGTTGGCATTGAGGCTTCTTCGTTCAAAAGCTCCGCTCGAGCTCAACATGGGGAAGACTCTTGCCCAAGCGTGGAATCTCCGCAACCGACCAGAGGACCACTCTTTGTTTCGTGATTATGCGCATACATTCTGGCATCTTCATATTGCTTGGTCTTTGCCTCTTTCAAGCCAAGTTATGCCCCTTTTCCAGAAGTTATGCGAACAGAACATGCTTTCCCTCATCATAGCTTCTGGTGATCTTCAAGCTTTGTTTCTGAAAGCCGTGTCGACCCAATCCATGGAATTTACGAGATATCTCACGGAAAATTGAAACGTCGACGTCAACTGCAGGATGGAGCAAGGCCAAAGAACAGCTCTGCACGTGGCTGTCATGCATAAATTCAGTGACATATCGACCATTCTTCTGAATTCAAGAAATGTCAATGTCAATCTCACAGATGAAAACGATGAGACTCCCTTAGAAGTTGCAGCCAGAACAGGCCCATCATCAATAATCCTGCCATTCGTGATCGCTAATAAACTTGATCGTCGCCCCCATGTCTTATCTTCTCTCGTCAAGATGGCTGCAAAGGCAGGAGACGAATCCCTTGTCACCCGGCTCCTCAAAACTGACTTGTATGGTCCATTGTATGACGATCTGGTTTGGATTGCAATCAGTGCGGCAACTGTTCAGGGGCATGTGAGTATAGTTAAGCTTCTTGTTGAGGACCCTTCCACTCCCAAATACGAAAGCGTCATATACGGGACAAATGCGTTACATTTAGCTGTGGAATATGGGCAAGAGACTATCTTAAGATACTTGCTATATTCCAAGAAAGTTGATTTCGACAAGGTTGACGACGATGGATGGAGCTTGATTTGCCTCGCCATCTTCCACGGGAACAAATCCATCCTCAAGGTGCTGCTCACGGAGGTATCTCAACGGGAGGTGCCTTATGCTCAGAGAGGCTTAACTCTGCAAAAAATGCATAATGGTGTCCCACCTCTGCATTTGGCAGCTGCTATTGGTGACCTAAGCATGGTGGAAATGTTACTAGGTTCTGCCGGCAAGCACTTTCGGTTGTTAGATTTGTATAAAAACACACCTCTCCATCTGGCTGCTGCGGGTAGTTTGAGCTATATGATCGAGACCCTCTCGATCACAGATCCCAGTTTGAGATCAAAATATGCAGGGATGCCCGCGAATTTCGTCACTATACCTCAACATTTTGAGGTTGTACAGCTGTTGGCCTCCAGACTTTTTCCTTGGTTGAACGCAGAAAACCGCGAGGGAAACACAGCGTTGCACTTGGCTGCACAATTCGGTCACCTCAAAGTTGTTCAACTGTTGGCGCACGACCCCGGTGTGAATTTGAATGCCACCAATAACGTTGGAAAGACACCTTTGAATTTGGCGATTGAATACGAACGGTACGATATCGTGGTGTACCTGCTTCGTGTCTCCACTGATGATATTGCTGCACGCGCCAGCGTCTACAATCAGGTGCGCGAAGCACAAGCAAGCAAAGGGAATGCCAATTATGGGGCGTCTATCCGAGAGGAGAAATGTGATAATTTTGGAGACAACGAGGGTATTGAAGGAAGAGGAGATCAAAGATGATGGGTAAAGGTGGAAAACAGATTAAAAGTCCAGAAGCATCAGGCAGTGGTCACGTTTGACTTAATGACCATTGCCTAATAACTAAAATATCCACAATATCGGTTATTCGCAACTCTCTATTTCATCTGTTTAGATATTTCTCTTACTCGTGTATTTATATCAGACTCATCTCAATTAATCTATAAAGAGACCCACTGAACTGAGATCTTTTCTTACCAGATGCCATCCGACGGTTTGTCAAGCCTCACTTCGACTATACAATTCATAAATGGCCTTTTATATCTCCAACCACACTCCTCGGGGTATGATATGTTACATCCTGGGAGCGACCATCCTGCGATTGATCGTTTAACGATACTTCATACGCTGACCCAGTTCTGTGCTTAATCCGCGTGAGTGGAAACTCGCTATCCATCTCATTGATCTGTTTGAAGGTATTGTCCTTGCTCAGGATGGGACCACTCGCAGGCTGCGTGGAGTACCCAACCTTGACGCTTCCAAAGAGACTTGGGAAAGCAGCTTTGAAAATAGGTCACAGCATGGGTGCGCAGGCATTTGCAATTGCAATGGCGGGCTCGGTGACGCTCCAGAAGGCAGCCCAGATCATGGAGTAGGGGAGATCTGCGAAATCAACTGTAGTGAGGACGCGGATTCGGATGATCGTGATGGAGGAAATGCCAAGGGATCAACAGAATTAGCGTGTAAATTACCATAGAAGAAGAGAGAGAGAGAGAGAGAGAGAGAGAGAGAGACGTACAATGCTCCTAATCCAAAGATACCATATAATGCCATCTTGGTGCCGAGAGACATTTGTAATTTCCAGATAAAGCGTATCGGTAACAGAATGATCATGACATCAGTGAATAGATTTAAAGCTCCAATTGTTGAGAATGCCACATTCTGGTTTGCACAATGGCCAGGAAGAGTTGGATTCCAATTCTTCTCAAAAGGCGAGCAGATCAAAAACACCTGAAGCACACTCCCAACCCAATATGCACAAGCACAGCCCATGCACACCCACGAGGCAATTCGAAACTCCCTGCTCACGAAAATGCGTAGATAGAAAAAGAGATAAGTCAACTTCGCAAAGACCATGGCGTTATATTAGACCTATTAATAGACGATAAGCATTTTCAGCATCATCACTGTGTTGTCGGCTGGAATATCTTTGACATGATGCCGCATTCCAACACGAGCGTAGTGATACTGCATTGCCAGCATCCCGTACGTATGTAAAATCGACGCAATACAGCATACATCGTCCCACCATATCTCGGTTCCTCGAAGCCGCCGAGACACGAATCGTAATATCACTGTGAGTGTGGCTACCACGACGAGGACGGTGTTGGCGATGAGCAGGTCACGCACGACGGGGTATGTAAAAACATTATACAACTGCATCATGCCATATAGCCGCCGCACAATTGTAAATCATCAATCGATCAAAAAGAAAGATGAATTGGTTCCCCCTAAATGAACCAGACAGACGGGGCCGAGGTCACCAGCGGCTCGGAATAGATCCCACATCTATGCCATTCTCGTATTCAGCATCATAACATCCTGTCTACCGAGGGGATAGCTCTTCATTAAGGTTTTGAGATTGCTCTAGACTAAATTTATCTAAGCGACTACAGCACGAAGAGAAATGGCGATCGGCATGGCACCCCAAGGCTAAGTAGTATTTCAGCATTGAGCGGGCCAAAGGATCAGTTCGCGCCCGGTGAATAATGGGGTCAATATAGGGTGACAGCTCATCAGGAAAACCTCCTTATTGGAAGGAGACCAGACTCCAGTCAGGTCAGGGAAGATTGGCTATTTGTGAGCCGGATTGACCTGGGTGTGCTTTAGCTTGTTTAACTAGGGCTGTCCAGTGTCAACGCTCCAGTCATCTCACTCAATTCCTTCGTTCCTACAGAGCGGACATATCAGACGTCCTGTTAAAGCTCTTCAACAGAATCTCCTTGTGAAAAAATGCATTGCACATATCGTGCTAAATAGTCTATATAAATAGTACAGACATCACCGGGCGAACCAGCACCCGAATGAAGCAATATACAAAGCGAGCGTCAAGAAAAAGAAACGAAAGACATATCCCCCTGGAACCAACAACCTCCTAAAACGGCTCCCCGTCCATCTCAGCCTGAATCATATTCTTCAAATAACTCAGCTCATCCAAAATCTCCTGCATAGTGCTATTCCCCCGGAACGAAGCTTCACTAGCGCGCGAGAGAACGCGTCGATAGACTTCGTCGTCGGCATCGCTGCGCTCCGCGTCCGAGCGGCGCTGGATCTCGGGTAAGAGGATGGGGGAGCCGTCTGGGCTGCGGGAGAGGGAGAGGGATTCCATGGATTCGAGGGCGCTGAAGAGGGCGGCGTGGCGTTTGGGGTTGCTTTCTACTTCGTCCATTTGGTCGATGCCTAGGCCTGTGGGTAGGCCCGGGGAGGAGAGGGAGACGGTGAGTTGGGGGAGGGAGATGTTCAAGGAGGTCATGTTCCATGGTGGGATTTCGCCGGAGGCGGAGTTGGGGGAGGACGGTTTTGAGTGCACGGTTAGGTGAGGAGTGTTCGGATCGGTGTTTGTTGCGGCGTCGTTGGCCTGGGAGAGCTCTGGTGTACACCAGTCGTCCAGGGCTGGGGAGTCGGTGTATTCTTGATTGAATGTAGATGTGGAGATCATTGACTCGGGGGAGTTATCCTCGGTTTCGGTCTCGGTATCCGTGCTCCATTCTGAGAATCGGCTGCGTTCGGGGATGAAGTGAGAGTGGGTAGACTCGCCGGTTGTCGTGGTTAGACTCGAGAAGTAGCTGCGGGGAATTTGAGCGTTCATGGCTTTGTCGGTCTCGTCCATGGCGTGCACTGCCTCGTCCATGACTGAGGAAGGAGTGTTGGGTAGCGTGGGGAGTCGCTTGTCATGAATACTGCGTCCCTTTGGAGTTGTGAGATCACCGGAGCTTGCCAATGTGAGTGCATCTTTCAAAGCTTGTGTTTCATCGACCGTTCCCAAAGTAGGCCCCGCTGCGGCGCCTCTTGAAACGCTAGGCTTTCGGAAATGGGGACGGGTCTCTACCGTGAGTAGATTCCGTGTCTGTGCGACCTCATTGCCGTTTGTTTTCATCGCACGACGAGTTTGAATAGTGGGCGCAGCACACAATTCAGTGTGGTTCGCGCATGACGAAGCGGGCCCGGGAACAATCACATTGCCTGGGCGATCCTGCAGCCTTCCATCCACCGTGTTGGATCTTGATGGCACCTCGGTCCACTTCGGGCTCTTTGCTTCAGGAGGAGCTCGGAAAGTAGGGAGAGCCTGGTCTCTCGGGGGCGAAACAGAGCGAGCATCCTTGGCATGATGGTATTTTCGCGTGGCACTATTCGGCTGAGAGGCACTGCGATGAACCATACCCGGGGAAGTGCTGGTAGCAACAGACGGGTTAAGATTTTGAGGATAAGGCACAGAGGTCTGTAGGCGTGCCAAGTTGGGCTTTGGTGGCTTCCGCGGGTTCATGAACTTGTCTTCCGGGTTCATTGTTCGGTAGTCGGACTTTTGCGAGCTGTTGCTACTCGAACGTGCATGAGAGCGGCTGTCGGGGAGGATAATTGGCACATTCAAAATATTCACCGGCTGCCCTGGTAGAAAAGGACATTTGGTCGTGACAGGTTCGACTTGACTGAAGTATTCCACATCATTATCCAGTAGATACTGTTATCTTGTCAGTTTTATACACTCATCAGAACCTTCGGGTGACTTACATAGTACCAGTAGGTAGCACCCATCTTCAGAGCTCCCGTACGCCTTTGAGACTTGTCACCGGGAGGCCCATCTCCTATAATATCCGTAAATGTATGACATCCACGCCATTGACCGGGTCCCACGCGCCTATCCCTCTCCATGGGATAAGCCTTTGAGAAATTATCCCATGATCCGAGCAGCTTGACCGATCGGATCTCAGGGTTGGTCGTGCTGAATTGTGTTAGTGACCGCAATCAAGCCACGGGGAACTCGCAAGGAAATACTCACAGTAAGAAAGTCATGAGGGTGGTTGAGGTCATCGCAATGCAAGAGTCGCTGGAAAGGAAAAAGCCAGTTTCGAGAGGCTGGCAGATGCAAGGGATTGTATAACAATATGCAACGCGAAAGTAAAGAACAAAAAAAAAAAAACAGGCTGGTCAACAGTCAAAGAGAGGACGGGATGCAAGAGTAATGCTGGTAGAACGAAAGACCCAATGAAAGTATAGAGAGAACACCCCCAATATAGTACAAAAAGGAAAACGAATGTAAATGCAAGACAAAAGGAAACAAGGAAAAGGCCGAGTCAAGCTCTTTGTACAGAAAGAAACAACAACAATAAAGATAGAACACGGAAGACAGAAAAAAAAGTCCGGCGCAAAGATGAAATATAAGAAAGCACCGAGGAACAAGAGCCGCCGAGAGACCAGTCTAGACAAGCTAAAGCAGTCAACAACAACAATCAAAAGCACCTGTTTCTATAATTACAGCCGACGCACAGCGCTGGCGCTGCAGTACACGCCGTACCTGTTTCAGAAGGGGAGCCCCCGAAGCAAGCCCGAATCCAAAGTCCAATGACAGGTCTAAGAATAAAATCGCCGAGACGCGTTTCAGGTGGTCAACGCCTTTGGAAAAAAGAAAGGGCAATTACCACCATGCCATGGCCCCAAGTGAAGGGAGGCCGACTCGACGTGTGACAGTGGCCTGGAATAATAGGACCAGCTTCTAGCCCAAGGGGAACGGGGGGCGAGTCACAGTATCACAGTATTCAGTGCTGTCAGAGGCGGATGCTTCAGGAACCGCGGGCTCAATTTCCCAGGCAGACTGCAGAGCGACAAGGATAGCCAATGACGGAGGCGGGGGCGAGGGCGAAGCGCCGGCACGGTGCCTGGTACCTGCGTCAGGGCCCGGGCGCTTGGAGAGACCGGGGGCTTGTTGTTTGTTGTGGTTTTGGGGTGGCGCAGTTTGAAGCTACTGCGACCGCTAGAATTGGGTTGTAGAATTGATGTGTTGTGTAAGAGGAGGAGAAGGTATGGGAGGAGATGACGATGAGTTGTTTAAGTTGGCGTCGTGAGGGGGGCAGAATGAGCGGAGGCAAAGGTTTTTTTTTTCGGAGCGAAAGACGATCGGCGCTGCGGGGAATTATTGACGATGAAATTCAATGCCGATCGACGAGGGAACTGGCGATAACAGGCTAAGTGGAGTAGTAGGGCCCCGGGTGGGTTGCGATTGAAGGGATTCCTACTTTCACGGTCGGAGGAGAGAATAGGCGAGGTATTATTTTAGGGTGTAAGCAGAGTAATAGTCTGGTGGTGAAGTAGATAGTCGAGGCACCTCAAGTCACAAAAAAAGCAGAGAGAAGAAGTAAAGTCAAAAAAGAAAAAGGAGATGATTATCATCTCCGGCGGAACCGTGGTTCGCCCCTCTGCAAGGCACATGGTTCACGTCGTTTACTATTGATTGATCCATCATTAACATTTCCTTTTCTACATCCAATTGACCAATTCTCTTCCGTACTCCATACTCAATCCCATCATCATGTCCTCTCTACTCTAACTCTAACCACCTCCGGTTCCTAAATCCCAAAGCCCTCCAAGTAGTGCGACACGTCATGAAACACATCATATTTCCCCTTCTGCAAGTAATCGGCACCCTCCGTACTGGCATCAGCTCGTACTATGTAATTGGATATCCAACGAGGATATCACATCACCAGCACTCTCTGCGAATGAACGAGCCGCTTGGCCCCCTGACGCAAGAAAGGGACGGAGATCGGCCATTACAACGCGTTGATTGGGTGGAATGGGATGTTGGGAAATTTAGCTCGCCCAGGTGGACTCCACTTTGGCGGTTCCTGAGTGGCTCTCGAGAGGGATAAATCTGCAGTATCGAAATGATTTTAATGATACGTCGGATCTTACCTGGAGCTGAACATTTTACCATCAGCAGGTGCTTAGTAGGAAGTCGAATATCGAGACTTGGGAACCGATCCAATCATACATGGGAAGCTCGTTTGGATATTACCAAATTAACATTTATCTATCTCATTGGCGGTCATCCAAGTTACCTCCCAAGCATAGAAACCATCAATATTGCCATCCAACGCCATCCCATACCCCCAACAACAATAAAACCCTCTGAAATATAAAGACATTCAAGAAGTAAAAACCCAATCTCCAAAGGATCAAACACTCCTCCGATCATACTTCTTATTAACCGCCCCCAAAACACACTTCAAAATCCCCTCCGCATCCAAAACTCCCCCACTCTTCCCCCTCCACGGCACCGTATCAACAATATCCCTAACCTTCTCATCCCGACACCACTTGCCCAAATCATCATCCAACTCCTGCAGATACCGCCTTACCCTCTCATCCTCGCCAATCTGGAAGAATTGAATCCCCACCTGCCACGGCAACGCTCCACATCCCGCACTATCCAGCGTCCGCGCAACCTGCACGATGACACTCTCCGCGTCGTCGGTGAACTCGCCGTCCGTGATGGCGATGATATTCACCGGTTTCACGTAGAGGGATGGGTCGGAGAGGTAACCTTCCGCGGTGCGGGCGGCTTGCATGGCTTGGACGCGGTGTAGGTATGGCTGGAGGATTTGGAGGAGACGTCGGCCGACGGGGGTGGATCCCCGGGGGCGCACGCTGTGGAAGATTTCCCGGACGTCGGCGGCTGTGGTTATGTTGCTGTAGACACCGGTTGTGGAGGCTGTTGAGGCACGGCGGTGGTTGAGGAAGTAGATATCGATACCGTCGGCGTCGTGTTGGGTGCAGATTGGGGCGATGGCTGAAATAGCTTTTTCGGCCTCCGCCCAGCGGGGGCCACTCATGCTAGAACTGTCGTCGACAAGGAAGATGGTGTCGAAGTCTTTTAGGAAGGAGAACCGAGAGTCCGAGTCTGATTCGGTGGAGAGTCTTGGAGAGGTTGGAGATACTTTGGGGTGGGATTGGGATTCTTCGTAGGTTGGGGGATCCCATGTGGAGGACTGCTTCTTCCTGAATGATGCTCCTCGGCAGAATTTGATAAGAGAGGAGCCGGTGCGACTCCGGGGTTGAGAGTGAGTAGATCCCATGATTGGAACGGGACTGGGTAGTGAAGTAGGGAAGTTGGGTTGGGCAGATTCGCGATGGTGACTATCTAGTCGACTGGTGGGGAAGGAAGACCACATGGGTGGTGGGATTGTTCGTTCGAACATGGGCATATTGGCGGATAGTTTGGAGATGATGCAAAGAATATGCAATGATTCAATGGGTCAATGGATGGTTGCAAAGTAGAGTTTGCTGGTTCCAGAGAAGGTAACCTGGGTGATGTTGTTTATACCCCTAAGGGCCAGGCGAGAAACCCCATCTTATAGTCCATTTGCATACATTCCATGAATGAATGTCGCCCGCGCTTTGGGTGGAGGCGTAGGGCAGACTTCCGAAACACAAGGCTGACGCAAGGCGTTTGTTGGCAGCGTCGAGAATCCATGGAAGGAGTGCCTAACCTTCAAAGAGGGGTACATTCAGGGGACTAGCAATGCCAATGACACACTAGCATGCGGGGTCAGCATTTGTTTGACTGTTCGAATGAAAGGGTCAAGGCAGATTGCCGCTGTGGATGAAGCTGGTAAGGTTGGCGCCAAAGAGGGGCAGTGGGGTCCATGCCTAAGGCTCCCAAGGCAGTGAATGCGGCTCTCCTTCGTGATAGGGTTGATCTACAGATTGCGCCTTTAATTTAATGAAAACAGAGACTGCATTAATGAACAACGTGATACTTTGCTAGTCTAGTTTTTCTAGTCTCACCGCAGGTTTTTACTTACCGCCATATGTTAATGATTGGTGGTGGCAGCGCTTAAGCCACTGTCAGGCGGGCGGAGCAGCAACATGCATAGCCTCACTACTGCCCGGACAAGGGTATCAACCAGTCGTATTCATTCCGGATAGTCAGGGTGTCATGATGGCAAATAAATTATTTAAAAAGATCCTATCGGAATTACCCTAGTTCTCCCCGTGTAAAAAGGTGTCATGATTCATTGATCGTGATGTAGAGTCCGAGCCCCCTCTACCCTAAATCCCAGTCCCTGTACCCGACTGCGCTAACTACATAGAGTATGCAAGTCACCCAATACATGCATCGTGGCCAAGTAAACTCAGATGCCAATCCAAGGGTACCCCAGTGTTGACTCAGAAAATCGTATCCTCCGACTGAGGAATCTGGCTATAGTGGAGATCAGGCAGAATCGCGGGGCTCAGAGTCTTTTCGGGCGAGGGATATTCTTCTGTCACAGCTTGTGCCTCAGCCTCGTGAAGTATACCCGGGTCAGCAGCCACGATATCCATGATTGCCAAAGCCTGGTCAAATCCATAGCTATGGCCCACCATTTTCAGACATTGTATGACCCATCGGCGGAGCGCATGATTCGGATTCTCAACAATGCCTGCCAAAAACAAAGGCCAGAGCAGCATAAGACCTCCCATATAGCTTTCTGGGGGTGGGAAATTGGGCGAGGCATGCTTCAAATGTGCACCCAGGTGATATGGCACGCTACGGCAGATATCGACTGCGAGTCGCTGGGTAGTAGCCCATATGGTCTTGCAGTGCTGTCGGAACTCATCAGAGAGTAGTCGAGTAGAGGATGAATCGGATAGCTTTCTGATATGAGAGAGGATGATCTCGCTGACCAAGATCCGGGCGCAACGGTACTGATTCCAAGTATTGCAGACCCAGAGACTAGGGTACTCGTGATATTTGTCGTCGTATAGAGACAGCCCACGACAACGTTCTTGGAACATGAAATCATATGGGGACTTGGTATGGGTTTCGTATGTGAAATCAGATGGCAGTACCGCTAGCCAGGCAATCAAATCAGCCTCGATACTAGAAGCGACCGATATAATCTCTCGGTGGTCGGTAAGGATCTTCTCTCGGATATCCACGCGAAGGTTGGATAGTCGGCCGATGATCATGATCAAGCGGTTGCCGTGTGCTTCGCCTGGTCGGAGAAACATGGCGTACTCTGTGCAGTCAAGTAAGGACTGTGGTACCCGCGCATCCCGTTGGATACAGCTAATGATCTGTACGATGTTAGAGGAGAGGTCTGGCATCGGCGCCATGATGCAGACAGGGGGAGAAACACACAATCTGATAACGAAGATGTAGGAATAGACGGAGGCCGATCTCTGTTTTTAACTGCTCAGGACCCCGCAAATCTAAAAGGGCGGTGGCTCCAGTGATATGGTTCGTCCACTGGTCAATGTCCCGTGGAGCTCGCGATGTGACAACCTAAGCAGACCCCAGTCAGAGATCCGCAAGCCTATTGAAATTCTCCACAATGCAAGGGTGACAGCTTGGGGAGCCGAAACTTACTTCATAAACAGCAAGCAGTACGACAGCCCCCAATGCTTGATTCGTCTTGGCCTCCTCCGCATCCGCCAATGCCGTGTTCAGTAGATTCAAAGCCGAAACATATTCCTTTTGCGCCAGGTCTTTTAGCGACGTCATCTTCCGAACACGGCATAGCATAGCCGACGAGACGGCAAGTACACTAGATTGCATGGCTTTCTGGCTAGATGTGGCCCCGGGTTCAGCCAAGAACCGGGTGACAAAGTCCCCCATCCATGAGCTACCGGGAATAGCATTGCCTCGTAAAAAGTAACAGATGGCTTCTTGTTTAGATGCATCAGGCGGGGGTTGGACTTCAAGCGGTAATGACCAAGGGTTTGGCATGGCAAAGTCCACTGGTGGACCCATGTCGAAGATGAAGTTGAACGCCGGGTCCACTAGGGCCAGGGTCCGCTCAGACGGCAGATTCTCAGTGGCAGTCCCATCTGGGGATGCAATGCGAGACGATCGCGTTAACGACCGCTTCTGTCTAGATCGGGCTGACGACGCAGAAGACGCAGGACTAGCAGAGGAGCCCGCCTCCGCCTTGGCTTTGCGCACGACTGATTTGCTCTCGTCTCGAAACATTAAAGATAGCTGGTCCCGATATCCGGGGCAGTCCCGCTTAGCCCGGATACATTGTGAACAAGCGGGCCTAGCTTGATCGCATCGGATCTTTCTGGAACGACACTGGCCGCAACCTTTGCTGGGTTTGCCACAGTATACCATGATATTTGGAGATGGCTTGATGACTTGTGGACTTTCTCTCTCTGTTCGGGTTCCCCGTTCACCTTGTACAAAAGGGTAGCCTAATGACGGCCAAGAGGGGGCGTCATCACGTTGGGAGTTGCCGAGTGCACCGCCTCTCGAGGTTTCTGCCCAATCGGGTAATCAGTGAGACGCTAGTCCCAACGTGGCAACCATTGCGATCGTGGTCACTGAAAAGCTTGTCGACTTTAAGCCATTCTCAGGGGGGCATGTAGGGCTGAAAGATGATTTGGTCACCTTGTATAGATTGGATGGAGCTAGTGGCTGGATTTTCCCTGGCGCCCCTCAATAATTTTCCTTTGGTTTAATCAAGCCCCATTCTAGAAGACTGCTACCATTCTCAATAGAGTAGAATCTGCGACGAACCCACTAGCCTATCCATATGGATTTTGTCAACACAGCCTCAGATCATTCTTCATCCCAAAAGGGTATACAGGACGACAAGAAAACAATATATAGGACATTCAATCCTCCCATAACTTGATATTCTCATCATCATCAACGATCTTAATACCCATTCACTTGCCAACACACAACAAGCCTACTCGCATTATACCTTCGACACTCTCTATACCTTCCCATATCCCTTATACTCGACAAAACCACACACAACCTCAAAAATGGCCGTCACCTACCGCCACGGAATTTCAATCCTCCAATTAATCATCTACTTCCCCTCCCTATTACTCTCCATCTTCCTCGTCATCCGCCATGGCCTCCGCACAAACAGTGGCTTCCTCTTCCTCACGACATTCGCCCTAGCCCGAATCGTGGGCGCATGCTGCGATCTCGCAACAATCAACAATTTCTCCGTGAGCCTCTACATTGCAGCCGCAATCTGTAGCTCCATCGGTCTTTCACCACTGATGCTCGCCTGCACTGGCCTCCTATCCCGAGCGTGAGCATCCACCCACCCAAGCCCTAACCCGACCAAGCCACAACCTTAATATACTAACGATCTTCCAACAGTAATGAATCCATTGAGAAACTCACCGGTCGCGCGGCACTTCCAAGTCTTTCCTTCCATTTCTTCCGCATTCTCACGGTCGTCGCCATGGTTCTGAGCATCGTGGGCCTCACGGCTAACATGAGCGCCGAAGGCCTCCAACACCCCGACATCAAGGTCAAGATCGGTATGATCCTGTACATTGTCAGCTGGGGAGTTATGGTCGCTATGATTGCACTCGTTGCTCTGCGAAAGAGCTCCGTCGAGCGCGGCGAGAAGCGTACCATCCTGGCTCCTGCCCTGTCCAGCCCGTTCATTTTGGTCCGGGTGCTGTACGCCTTGTTCGTCTGGTTCCTGCACGACTCCAAGTTCAGCCTCCTCAATGGTAATGTGACCATCCAGCTGGTTATGTCCGTGCTTGAGGAGTTTGCTGTCGTTATCATTTGTCTTGGAGTGGGTATGACTCTGCGTGTGCGAAGCAAGGAGTCTCAACGAGGTGAGGAGGAGGCTTTGGAGCCTCAGCCTTCATATAAGCCCTAGATCTTCGCTTTTGCATGGAAGGAGTTTGGGTCTGTTTGGTGGGTTGTGGGATGGGGATTTTAGACATGCTTAATACTTTTCTTTGATGTTTTCTCAGGTCGCGGTTCATTTTGTATAGAGAGAGCGTGCGTGCGAGCGTCCTTATTACAGTTTTTATAATTTTCTTTGCAAATATTCAAAAGCCATTTCAATTTATGTATACGAAGGTACATGAAAGGTTCCCAAGAGATGCTTAGATGTTATTCGGGGAAGATGACGTAGTACTACAACCTGCGGGATTTCGTGGAATCTCGAAATGATCGCAACCCAGTGGTTTCAAGATTTGATTATCTTTTCGATTCTCTCGAAATCTTCTCCGTTCGTCCTCGAATATTGGAATCTATCATGGGATAAAGGCAGAATCTACAGAGCAGTCTTTGGAACTGCTGGAGAAAACTCTCGCCGAGTCTGTTGTGATCGGCAAGCTTAAAGATGGCAGACAACCTTGATGCATCTACATCTAGATAACCCAACGAGTTAACCTAATAATGGTAATGAGTAAAAGGATGTGGTAAAATCCTCTTTTTCAAGTCGGTTATTCTCTGGTCTACAGAATCTATCTCGACGAATACGGTTTCACTTTCTGTCCTAATCCATTATGTCCCAGACTCTGCGTTTCCTGGTACAATTAATTATGTGGTCACAATTCTGAACTAAACCATTTCTGAATATACTCGATGTGGTTCCTCGCCTCATCCCTAACAGGTCAAGAAACGTCCCGAATCCGTCTAGTGCCATGAAGCCGCTACCCGATCGAGAAATGGCTATGTCACCCCACAGCTTCAACTTAGTGTCGAGCTTCCCATGGTCAATTCACTCTTCAATCTGCTCTCTTTTCTCCCAATCCTTCCAATATCTATAACATCTGCAAAATCAATCCCCTCTCAAAATGTTCGGCTGCCTACTCAACGCCATCTACGGGCTAATCGATACCTTGATGGAAAGACATGGCGACTTTAACTCCTTACAAAGATTACGTCTTTTCACCGCGAATCACAACTTGAAACACAATCGCAATGTCAACGAGAACCTTGATCCTGAGGTGCTATTCGAGAAAATCTTCGAGTATGAACTGTCACTCCGGTATTATGCACAAAAAGAAGAGTCCTTCATACGAGACTACCAGTCTCTGAAAGTCAATGCAAGTGGCGAGGAAAATAAGAAAATACTTGCAATCTGTCTCGAGAAATTGAAAAATGGTTCAAGGAGCTATAAGTTCCACGAAAGATACCTCCAAGCATTGGAAGCCTTGCTTCCACCTGGCCCATTACGCAGGGCATATGATGCCTGGAGATCCAATCCAAAGTGGTATCTCCATCCTCACCTTGTGAAAGATTGTGCAGACAACGGCGGATGTTGCAGTCGCCAATGTGGATGTTGTCAGAGACGCGAGTCGGGCCCCAGAAGGCCTCGCGGTCAAGGTCACTGTACGATCGATTGCTCCTGCTGCTCTAAAGCGCGGGTATATGAGCTGAACGATTCGGAGCGAAGGAGAATTGTAAAGGCAAGCTTTGAGAGATTGGACAAGGCGGTTAATGAACAGGTAGAGAGTGATTTTCAGAGACGCGCATTGAAACCCCAAAGACGTCGTGATATAGATTACTGTACGATCGATTGCTCGAAAGTGCGGCGGGGATTTGAGCTAGACGATTCGCAGCGAAAGCAGATTATAAATTCAAGCTTTGCGGATTCTGAGAAGGTGGGTGACGAAGAGATTGAGAGTGATTTAAACAAAACCTACCACTCTCGTTTCGGACGTGCTTACTTCTTTGGTATTGAGTCGAAGATGGACAAATTATCGCGATGGACTTGATCAAGACTTGGGAAGTCTGCCAGTATCATTTTTGGTGGATTGTCTTAGCTTTTAGTGAGTTTCAATGAGGGTTTTAATTTGTCATAGTCAATGAATGTGTTTATACAGGCTCCATTACGTCCTTCTCTTCATATCGGCTTTTAAGAGGTCTTTCGAGCGCTTCTTCGAGTCATTTTATAAACCAAGACTGTCTTAATACTAATAGCATATCTATTACCTCGTGGACAGACACCCTGATTACTGAGTACTTATGCTATTACAAAATAGCCTCCCTATCTCTCGTCTAGTTAGGGCGATGTCAATCACGTGATCATATTTGTTCAACCGTGTAACTTGTGTAGTTCGGTGTTTGCTCAAGTTTGAAAACAGAAATATCGATTTCCTTATCATGCGCCAACTAGAGAAATTCTCCGTGTAGAAGGAAAAGAAATGGACAGTCTAACCTACTCAAAAGTGTGAAAAGCAGCAACAAACTCTCCAGGTACTGGCGAGTTTGATCAATGTGTGGTACAGAGACCACAAACACTGCTCGAATCTATACTCATACAGTAAGAATAGAAAACGAGAAAAGAAAAACGCCAGAGAACAAAAGGAAAGAGAAAATAACAATTGGGAGGGGATCCAGCTTCCAGCGCAAGAGAAAGAAAAGAAACGCCAGCACCATGAAAACGGGAATATCATAACCAGCTGGAAGACTGGAGCCCACTCCCCCACGAACCACACCCGCACGGACACGACCCACCCCCGACTTCATCCTCCACAAGGGGCCACACGACGACAAGAACACCAGCCGACTACCACTCCGTGACGATCCGATCAGTCGGCACCTCCTCGTTGAGGAGGCTCCCATCCTCTTGGTAGAGGGTGAGAGCCCGCATAGACGCCATCCCATGACGTCTACGGGACTCCGCACCCATCACCACGAGAGCGGTCGCCTGCTCGGCAAGAAGGGCCTCCTGGCTCATCACGTCGGCGCGGAGGGAGACCAGACGAACCAAGTCCTATCAAATGAAAAGAGAGTATTAGTTAGATTCGGCTCATTTCTCATCAAAGATGCAGACGATGGTAAGCTCAACTTACTGCGTACAGCTTCTTTTGCTGCTCGACGTCGTTCTCCTTGACCAACCGCTTTCCCAGCCGGTTGACGCACTGGGTGATTTCCGCCGACGACAGGGAAGTTGAATTCCCATGCCCGCCTTGCGGCTGGGCAATTGTCGCGGGGCTCACCGGGTCGTTTGCCGGAGGCTGGTTGGCGGACGGGGCAGGCACCGGGGCCAAAGGGTCGACTGGCCGTGCCTTTGTCAAATTGGCCGGCCTGGGGGTCGTAGGCTTGACCAGCCTGGGGATTTAGGACTGTGGCTTCAGTCCTTGGCTGGCGGTCGGGAGACCTGACATACGACCCTCAGGTCGGCTTGCCTTGACTAGGCCTGCTTGGCTGCCGATGGGGGTCGAAGCCAGCGAGGATGACTGGCGCAGCGGGGAGGAGATCCGCAGCGAGTACGGAGAGCGCACATATGGCGCAGAGGGAAACGAAGGCAGAGAGGCAATCTGATCATCGTCGTTCGGGGAACCCACGAGGAACCTGCCTGCAGCTGGTGAAATCCGCAGAACAGGACCGTGGCGTTCCCGTGGCGTCTGGTCAAGGCGGCGCAGACGGTCGTTGCTGGCAGCCTCTATCTCGGTGGGGGTTGTTGAAACCCCCGGGCGAAGAACATCCGGCACCTGTTCTTCGGGTTTGGTATCATTGCTGATACCCAGCTCTGGCAGGGTTGTGAAGACCTGGCCCAGAGGACGAGGACGAGGGATCCGAGAATGAGGCCGCAAGCGCTGAACGGCTGTTGGCTGATCAGATAGCATCATGCCATCGTAAAGGGAGGCTATCAGATATCGGTCAGATCATGTTCATCGAAACGTTTAATCTTATTTAGGAATACATACTGTCAGCTTGAGGCTGACCCTCTTGACGGGCTCTTCCCGTAAGCATTTCAAAACGAGTGCCTGAATGCACTTCGTAACGAGGCCGAGCCTCGGCGGTTGGCTGCGACAAGCCAGAGGGCTGAGACAACGCAGCTTCTGATTCGAATGTCAGCTCAAGCTCGGGAGATGTGATTATCTAGACTCGGGGCATCACTAGTCACCTTTTACTTCGGTCTGCTCCGAAGGAAGACCCTGGTCTCGATGCGGAGGGGCAGAGGGAGGGACAGGAGAAGACATCTCGCGATGTCCAGAAAGAGGGAGGGAGGGAGGAGATGATGGGGAGAGGGGCAGAGCACAGAGACAACGCATCGTGATATCAGCTGTCGAGCTCAGGCACCATCGAGGATGAGTATTGACTGCAAGACGTACCTTTTTCTTCGGTTTGCTCCGAAGTTGTGCTCTGTCCCGGGGACGGGACTGGACGCCTGCTCGAGCGTAAGTGGATGGTTGGGAGGGAAAGGTGATGCGTCTCGTGGGGAGAAAGCGAGAACGACAACGAGAGAGGAGGCGAGGAAGAAAGAAAACGAGGAGCGAGGAGAACGGGTAAACAAGAGAAGCATGCGTCGCGAGGGGTCTATAACTTACTCCGATTAGTCGTCGTCGAGGAATTGACGGCCCTAAAGGGCAGGTAAACTGCTCGCCAGCGTGCTGGCTTCCTCGTTCGGCGGCAAATGTATATCAACCGTCGAGGGCGATGGCGGGCGCCTCTGAGGCGGAAGGTAGACCACCTGCTGAGTTGGCTCGCGCAGGGAGCGGACGGCATGGCGGCTTGAAGTAGGGACCCTTGCCACAGTGCGACTATCGGCATTGTCTTGCGAGGACTCGACAGCAACCTGTGCAGGGTCTTGGCCGACTAGAACGGGAAGCCCGGCGATGTCATGCGCCCAGTTGTCAGGGCTGGTGCGGCCCATGAAGCGCTCGCTCAACTCATCGTTGCCGTCCTCCTCATCCTCCTCCTCTCCACCGGTCGTCACTCCGGACAGGGACGAACTTGAACGAGGCCGCTGAGGCGGCTCGTGGGGGTAGACCTGGTTGAACCCCCAGGTCTCCTTCTTGCCCTTGCGCTAGAACATATGCAAGTATATAGAGTACAGAGATTGCACCATGGATAGAGCTAACTTACCCAGGTCGAAATGCGACGGCGCACTTTCTTAGCGGCGTTTTTTACGCCGTTGGCAATCTTCTTCTGTTAAAGATGAGATATATTAGTATCACTTCTCGCAGATTGTACCATGAGAGGCAAATGCTGATGCAATCACAGTTGACATGATATACGGTCATTATCGACGGCTACATGCATCAGAACTGCAAGGTATCAATCCCAACTGACCTTACCCACTGCAAGTGGGTGAGAGATGCTGGCCTTGCGGCCCTTGACAACTTCCCAACCCTTCTGAAAGCCCTTCATCGCTGCTGGGTTCAACCATCAATCGTGTATGCTCAAAAACGGATTTCCATCGAATGCCGACGTCATACAAGGCTGTGAGATCGTGGAGAGGGCTTACCGAGTGGTAGACGGGCGGACGGGGACTTGGAATGAAGGGTTTCGAAGGTGTTTGGGCTGTGGGGGGAGAAGGAAAGGAAGAGAGTGAAGAGCAGGGTCGAAGCTATTCGCACGCGCGTGGATACGCGCTAGGCGAACACGCGACCCTGGCGTTTATTCTTCGATGGATATGGTAGTCGCGACGGGCTCGTGATGTTATCCCAAGATCCTTCGGGCCTTCCTTTTCGACTAGTCTTTATTCGATGATAGAGTCCAATATACGAGCGCGATCTCTACATGGTCATTTCGACTGATTTCCATCGAAACTTGGCAGTCCATGATAAGAACCTGGAAGGAAAGGCCAAACTGTGGATATGAGCGAGACAATTGCTCGAAGAAGATCTAAATAGTCATGATTCTTGTGTTCTGCAATGGGATATCAAATACGTGGTTGATATTAACGTGTCCGAAGTATAGGCTAGCTCGGGAACGGGACGGGAGCGGGAGCGGGAGCGCCTCGAATACTGAGGATATTTAAGATATACGGGATTGAGAAATACGAATTGAACAAACGTTTTGATTTCATGACCTACCCCTCGCTAAGTCAGCGATTGCCTAGCCCACGCGTGTCCATCACGCCCGTTTGGGCGAGGGCTCCACGTCTACGTGACGGTCTCTCTTCCTCTTCCCCGTAGCCTGCCCATTAGAATCATCACTATCCTTCCCAAGCGCGCCAGAACCATCACCCTGCCATTCGCTGATCTCCCATTCGATAGAGGTCGATTTGTCGTGACTAACACCCATCCCGCGACGTTGGCGCATCAAACGACCCAGCCGACTTCCCTCCACCATTTCCTCAAACCACGGGATGCCATCAAAAGTGCCGTGGTGAACAGTTCCAGAGATATCAGATTCACCAAGAATGGGAACCACAATTGCAGAGGCTCGAATGTCGGACCCAGCTGTGGCAGCCGAGGACTTTACCAGTCCGGCCACAGACTTTTCTTCGCCGACCACCTCCGGAAGCAAATCAAGATCTTCCAAGGCACGTTGATGCTCACGGGACAAACTGCCAATTGAGATGGACATGAAATTGGCTTCTTCTTTGGGTTCCTCCGTCCAGAAGGTCAAGGGTGTCCCGCAGAAACCACAAAAGATGCGACGAGTCTGTGGCGCATGGGGAGGTGTGAATACGCGACGGATCGACGTGTGAGTCTCGTCTGGGAAGAAGGATAGAGTATGCGACTGATACCACTCTAGAGGGACCCGCAGCCAGGATGCGAGGAATTGACCTATAAGATCCCAGTTAGCGCGGCTCATCGAAACTAAGGTTTCAACTTTATACTAACGGCTGTCTCTACCAGTGTCGAAATAGATTTGAGCGTGATCGGCGACATCGTCAGGGATATGGATGGTGTATTCGTTCCGGCCACAGGAACATGATCCATGCAAAGGCTCGTGGGCCATGGTGGCACGATCGTACAACACAAGGCGAGAGCTACCGGGCCGGGCGAGACCACTGGTTTTGGGGTCAAGATGGTATGAGGAGAAGATTGTTGGCCAATGGCAGATGAGATTGGCATGAAAGGATCAGAGAGCTTCACGCAGCCTCAGTAAGCCACCCCTACTACGATACAGAGAGAGAAAAGGAAAAAAAGGCAGAGTGCAGAAGTGCAGGGTGGAGCACCTTCTATGACGTTTGAACGCCGCCAAGGCCCAAGTTCCCGAGTCGGTTTCTCCGCATCGTCTTATCGGTCCTATCGGTTTCCTTCCTCTCCAACCGTCTTCCCCGATCTTTCTTTTCCACCTCCGCACCGTCGCTTTCGATCGCTTTTACAACTACGCCTGCGATCTCAGTCGCGATCGAGAGAAACTACCCTTGCGAACAACTTATTCACGTCTGCGCAGACCCTTGCCACGTCGCCGCCTCCTTCCATCATCCTCCCATCCATCCGAGTTCCTCCAACCCCATCGCACGATGAACCCCGACGGCGATGATGACCGGTCATCCTCGACCCCAACCGCCACATCCAAGTCCGCCTCTGGGCAGGAGAAGGAGAAGCCTCGTCTGACTGACCAGGAGAAGAAGAATAACCACATTGCCTCCGAGCAGAAGCGACGAGCAGCGATCCGGGAGGGTTTCGATCGACTCACAGAATTGGTGCCTGGACTGGAGGGGCAAGGACGCAGTGAAAGCATCGTCCTACAAAAGACTGTGGACTTCATTCATTTGAAGCTCCAGGAACGGCAGAACCTGATCGCAGAGATTGAGAACAAGGGCGGCCGGGTGGATGATTCTTTCCGGCCATCATAAAAATGCTGGATTGTCGCTCGATCGACCATCTTGCATATTCCATGGCCTCTTTGCATTCTCCCCTGTACCTGCGCCGACCTTGTTCTGATGGCTTGCGGTCTACCCCATGGGCAGAGAGGGGACATGGAGATGTACCGAGGTCCCGACGCGGCTTCTTCCCACACGAAAAATGAAATTATGCATCCGTGACGAGTCTCTTTTCATTTCTACTCTGTTTCTCAATGTCCTATGCTGGTTCAATGAGAATGATCGACATATCGGGATTTGGCCTTGACGGTTTCTCCCGTCTGACACAATTTCAGTCCAGGGTATTCTTTTCTGCTGTTCTATTTCACTCAATGTTCCTTTCTCCCGATGCCCCGCGGTTATATTCCCCCCACATTCGCGAGTGGCTTTCTGGGGAAATTCAATGTTTCAAGATCGGGGGATCGCCCTCGGTCACATGCTGCATTTATCTTCTTTGTACATCTTTTTTCCCGGGGCCCAGAATGTATGCTACGGGTTGTGACTACGGTGTTGTTGGGGCGTTATATGTACTGGCTGGTTATTTCCAATGAGATATATCCCATCCAATTGTTCATCATTTTGTGCCTCCTTGTATTCCCAAATTCATATTGGCCCATTCAGGGGGTGTGGCGGTTCGGTCGAAGTCGCAGTCTTGGACAGTATCACGTGTGGAGAACCACCCAGCACCAACAGCGATCTATTACTATGGAACATCACGTAGGATAATATGGCGCGTCTGAACTCTCTAATTATGCGTAGCTGAAACTAGCTGCATTCCTAACCGACCTACCCTTACATTGATTGTCATCCATTGACTTGATTCTAGTCAGCTAAGACTCGTCTGGCCTCTGAAGTTCTCTTCCAAGCATGTGAAAGTGTCCACGACTAGATTCCACCAAGTTAGCCGGAGGTTGTGTTCCAGTTGTCTGGTAGATTTTATGTCCATGTCTAGCTGTGTCTTTATTCCTCTGCAAGATTGTAATCAAATTATAGGGATCTTTATGATCGAAATGGCCAGGAAAGCTGTTAGGTCAATTGCACGTGAGAATATATATTTGTGGGGTGAAGATGGTGCCACTTTTCCGCGATCAGCTACCAAAGGGTTTAAACTTTACACCTATTTTATGATTTCTAGGCTGAAATAGATATTATGTAGTTAGCTACTCGGTACACGGTCAAGATAAATCATTATAACCTAGATTGCAATAAAAAAGATGACTGAAATGTTGGAACACGGCGATATGAGTTCCCGAACTTGGTCCAGGCATGACGTTGTTTGCCCTACTTTCTATTCGGCCCCAGTCCGTACCATGAAAAAAAAGCTATGCTTTAGCATACTTGATATACTGTCTCCTCCTAGTATATTCGAGGTCAATTGCGCATATATATCTCAAAAACAATGACTCATATATCGCAAGGTCAGTCGTAAACCCCCACCAATGATAAGATCAGCGGGGACCGCATTGGTATAAACCCGTGCGGGCAGCAATCAGCCCAAAACCTGCAGCTCCGACTCATCCATCTTCATCCACCTCCACCTCCACCTCCCACATTCTCTCTCCAAAACAACCCAAAACAAACCACATACCTGCAAAAATGACCGACTCAAAAACAAACCTCCTGGGCAATGAAGACCCAATCGACCCTCCACCAGCCTACGACCCTCCCAAACCAACCCGAGGCACCCTCCCCCGCCCACCACCCCTCGCCCTCCCAGTCCTCAACGCCCTCCGCAACAAACGCGTAATCCTAGCCTCCCAATCCCCCCGCCGCCGCCAAATAATCTCCTACCTGGGCCTACCAAACATCGAAATCATCCCGTCCAACGCAGAGGAAAACCTTCCCAAAACCCTAACCCCATTCGAATACGTCCTCGGCACAGCGACAAAGAAAGCGCAAGCCGTCTACGAGCAGGAAATCGACAACGAAGTCGCCGGCGAACCAGCCCTTATTCTCGCCGCAGACACGATCGTCGTCGACGTCGCGTCGGGGAGTATCCTGGAGAAACCGCGCTCGGAGGCACACCATGTAAGCATGTTGCGGTCGCTACGGGATGTGCGCGATCACAAGGTTTACACTGCGCTTGTGGCGATGGCGCCGTTGGCGAGTGCGCGGCAGCCTGGGTATGCGATGGAGTCTGTTGTTGAGGAGACGAATGTTAGGTTTGATGGGGATGTTACGGATGAGTTGATACTGGCTTATGTGCGGACGAGGGAGGGGGTGGATAAGGCTGGTGGGTATGGATTGCAGGGGCTGGGGTCCATTTTGGTGGAGAAGATTGAGGGGACGGCAGATAATGTTATTGGGATGCCGCTTAAGGCGACGTTGAAGTTGATTGAGACTGTTATGGCTAAGGCTGATGATGAGGATCGGTTGCCGGATGATCCGGTTTTGGAGGATGAGGAGGCGGATGAGGGATTGGAGTGAAGGATGTGTGTTTTAAAATGAAAATGGGGCATAGGTATATAGAGGGTGGTTTACATTATGTCTTTTATGAGCATTGGCATGATACCTTTTTCAAGTCAGAGCGAGGTTTGGGTTCGGGTCTGCTTTTCGAGTTTATGTTGTTGTAGATAGAGGAACAGCTTTTACCTTTTTACCTTTCAGGTCAGTCAACTGGTACACAGGTTTATATTTTCTTACTCTGAAGACCGTAGTCAAGAGAATGATGTAGCACCGAACAAACGTCGGAGACAAGACAAATGAAAAAAGAAGAAGCTTTCGACATATACAAAGGCGGAACGCCTAGACCTGGGAACAAAAGAAAACAACCAAAACGACCCTTTTCAAACAACTACTCCACTCTATGCGTTCCAGATCCGGCGCAGAGCCTCGGTGACACCAACGTCGTTCGTCTCAAACTCGTACAGGCCGACCGCGGTGGTCAGGGTGAAGGCGCGCAGGAGCCAGTTGCACACGGAGTTGAACTTGGGCACACGCTGAGGGCGGAAGTAATCGATGATGGCGGCCCTAATCGCAAACGTTAGGGTCTGTATGGCATTGAATTTAGACTGGGAACAGCGGAGCTGCTTACTGGAAACCAATGTGGGAGTGAGCAACCAAGAGGGAGCAGAGGATGGCATCCATGATGGGGTTGAGGGAGCCGGCGGCGAAGGGAGCGATGCTGAGGGGGATCAGGCCGACGCAGACAGCTCTGTAGATAAACTAATTAGTGCACATTCGCGCAAGTGGCCAGGGTTTCGTGTCGAACCTCTCGAAAGTCCAGTGGTAGCTACCCTCCATGGGGTGAGGGCTGGGAACGGGAACGGGGTCGTTCACTATCGAAGCCGGTTAGAATGGGGTTCAATGGCCGGCTCGTCCATGCAATTTCTCCTCGCATTCCTCCAATTTTCGACCCTCGGGGATTCCTGGAGGGTGTTGATAGGAGCCGATGCGAGGCTAGAGCAAGACTAAAGATCCGGGGAAGTTTCGGGTATTCAAGACATACTGGTTCCTTCGATCGCCTCTGTACAACGAAAAACCATTAGCACACGCATCCCATGTAAATGCACCATATATCACGCTCGGCTAGAAGCCATATCTTCCGACCAAGACAGAGGCTCTACTCACGAGGCAACGGGGGCAGGATCTGCTTCCGGGCAGAGGCGTGGAAAGCGACGACCTGCGAGACGCCGACATTCTGGCGCAGGAGGGGCGACCGGGTGGTCGCAAGAGTCTGTCGGAGCAGCGACGGGCGCGCAAAGGAAGCCATTGTAGCGGGTTGAATGGAGGGAAGGACGAAGAGGTTCAACTCGCACAAGGATGAGGTTGAAGTGCCTCGGGAGTCCGACTCGGTATGTCATCCTATTGCGGGTCAGGTGATTGGTCGACGGCTTTCCGCCCAGCCGAAATTGGCCGATGCGGGCACCTTAAATGTTTAGCCCGGCTATACAGAGTGCCTGTTGCTCTGGAAAGATGGCTCATAGCTACAATATTTGGTCGATCCTTTCAATTCTTAGGGTTTTATATTTACTTTGATGAGCTGGTTATTTTGATGCAATTATTCAAATTATGCCAATAGCTATCTACCTCTCGTTATATTCCCAGATCTTGATAACCGAGGCCTTCCCGAGTGAATAAAATTGCAGGTATTCGTGGCGGGCATCTCGTCATTTCAATTTATTTTCATCTTTCCATTCTCCCAAGTCATATAATAAAAGCTAGAGGATGGTATATGACTCCAGTTTCTTAGAACTTCAGAACGGCCTTGCCCTTGTTCTTGCCGTAGAAGATACCGATCAGACCTTCGGCAGCGTTGTCAATGCCCTCAGTCTCGTGGATGAGCACCTTGAACGAGCCCTCCTTGATCCACTTCTGCACACGCTCCTGGTGCTCCTTGGTGTAGATGGGACCCATGTCGGCGTCACCGACGATGAAGCCGCGCATCGTGATACGCTTGACGAGAACGTTGTGGATGTTGGTGATGGGGTAGGGAGCAGAGTTGTACTGCGAGATCAGGCCGCAGACGACGACACGACCGAAGTTCTTCATCGCGTTCAGAGCAGCCTCGAGGTGCTCACCACCGACGTTTTCGTAGTAGATATCAATACCCTCGGGGGCAAGACGGGCCAGCGCATCGGCGGGCTTCTCGTTCTTATAGTTGAAGCCACCGTCGAAGCCGAGCTCGTTGATGATGAAGTCGAGCTTCTCGTCAGAGCCGACGGAGCCGATAACGCGCAGACCCTCGTGCTTGGCGAGCTGGCCGACAATCTGGCCGACGGCACCGCTGGCAGCGGAGACGAAGATGGTCTCACCCTTCTTGGGCTTACCGATCGCGTACAGGGAGGAGTAAGCGGTCAGACCAGGCATGCCGAGAGCACCCAGGAAGACACGGATATCCTCAATTCCGAGAGGGTTCTCCAGCTTGCGAATGCGCGCAAGGTTCTGGGCATCAAGGGAGATATACTCCTGGACGGGGACATGGCCAATGATGAGGTCGCCCTCCTTGTAGGAATCGGTGTTGGAGCGGAGGACCTTGGCAATGCTGGCGCTCTCAATGGGCTTGTTCAAGTCGAAAGCAGGGGAGTAGGACTTGACCTCCGCGGGGCGCATGCGGCCGCGCATGTAGGGGTCGAAGCTTGTGTAGAGGGACTGGAGAACGACACCGTCGGCGGGAGCGGCAACGTTGGCGTCATAGGCGGCGGCCTCGATAGTCAAGTCCTTGCCGGGGACGGGGTATCCCTGAGGGATCTCCTTGAAGATGAGCGCCTTGTTGGACATGATGTTGATTGTATGGAATGTGGGCGGGATAAGAGGAAGAGGTGATTGTTGAATTGTTGAATTGGAGGGTTGGTGAGAGTGAATTGGCGAGATAAACGTTTGTTGAGTTGTACAGGTGAGCACCGGGCGATTCAAGCTCTTTTATAAGGAAGAGAAAAGCTGTACGACGGTCAAAGACGGTCAAGCGGGGCAAGGAGGGGACCGAGGCAGAAATGGAGATTCTGGTTGCGATTCTACTGTCATATTATAAAGCAACTTGCCGTTTGCCGATGGGTCCCGGAGAAGCTTCTGGAGAGGGTAATAGACTAACTGAGTGTATACAATATCAGAGTTCATACTCCGTCGGAGTTTCTATGGTTAGTACTAACTTACCAAGTCAATGTTTGTAACTAGTTAACTACTGGATTTTCAGCCTTTGAAAGTGCTGACGGCTCCACTTTGCTGCACACCATAATCCAGCTTGATTACTATCTATGATCAGATAGATGAAAAAAATCCTCAGAATGGTCAGCTTTACATCAGTTTCAGGTTTCTACCGTAACACTCTCTACCGAGGTCCGATAATCCTAAACATCGCAATGTTGTGCAAGCTATCGCGAAGACTTTTTCGCAGTCGAGTCCACCTTCAGTGGCGGTGGAGCTTCGGAGGAACTCAAGACGCCCCAGACCGACGGGAGTCAACCATTCTGGGTAAGAGGACCGCGCCGGTTGGTGGCTACGCTTTGCGTTATGGGTTGCAATGTCTGCGTAATGAATAATCTGAAATTCGAGGGTTCTATTTCTCATCACGGAGGAAGCTTACCAATTCAGGGTTGGTTTAGCAGCGGGGGGAACGGTCGGTGCATCGAATTTGCAGGGATTGAAAGGGTCCATAGATCTCGATTAGCCTTGGCCCCCTGCCTTTGAGGCGAACAAGGTACTATCATTGGCTCCCTAGCCGCGATTTAATGGTTGGTAAGTTCAGCCATCGCAATCGGTATGCACGACTCTGAATTATTCTGTTTCAATTTATGTCTCCCCAAGTCCGCACCACGGGGTTACTGTATCGTCCGCGATCTGATGAATTTCTAATGACTTCATAACGGGCGGTTGGAACGTCAGGATCCACAACGAATGCCGTGGGAGCATGTCTTAGTCAGGTCTTGGCTTCAGCTGGGATCTCAAAAGGTATAAACATTAAAAACTATCCATTATTTCTAATCAAAAGTCACTTTCGTACCGACCGACCCTGGTAACTATCCCCTCTCATATTTTATTCTTAAGCCTTGCCGGCTAGGTACTGTGGCGCCTTGGACACAAAGTAGTCCTTGCCTTTGACCATCTTCACCATGAAGCTGAACGGTGTCATTCCAAAGAGTTGACCGGTGCCGCCAGCCTCCCCGACAGGCACCATCATCATGACGCTATCACCCTGATCGAAGGACTTGCGCTCGCCCTTGCCCAAGATATCTGCCTTGATGTTGGCAACGGCAACCCTCGCCTGTTCGGTAGCCTTGAAGCTAAGACGCATGTTGTTGGTGTTGATGTCGCCGACGGCATAGATGGGCAGAGCAGAGCCGCCGGAGGACTGTACGCGCAGCTCCTTGTCGACCTTGACCCAACCATTGCTGTCGAGGAATTCGGCAGGGATAAAGCTGCTGTTCGGGATGGCGCCCGTCGTGGGAATGTACACGTCGGCCGACAATTTCTTTCCATTGTCCAGAGTGACAGTCCAGGACTTGGTACCATCGGTCGAGGCATCGGCACCAGTCACCTTGGCAGAGGTAATGATCTTGACATTCTTCTCCTGGAGCTTCTTCGCACCCACAGCGCTAGCAGAGGGCTTGATCATAGGGAGCACACGGTCTGCAGAAGAGATCAAGGTGACTGTTGCTTTGCTACCAAGGCTCTCAGCAAGCTCACCCGCTAACTCGACACCAACTGGACCGGCACCACCAATCACGATCTCCTTGGCATTAGCGATCTGCTGTTGAGCGGCCTCGACAATCTGTTTTATATCATCCCGGTTGGATGGCTTGAAAGGGATCGAGGTTCCGGTGACTGCACCGGTGGCGGACGGGTTGGTGCTTCCGGATGCGATCACGAGATGATCGTAAGACAAATCCTTGGATTCACCGCTGCCATTGAGCGTGATGGCCACAGTCTTTGCTGCGACGTTGATGGCGGTTGCAGTTCCTGCGACAAATTCGAAGGCATTGGTTGAGTATTGTGCGAAGGCTTCCTTGATTGGAAGTAAGTACTGCTCGGGCTTGAAGGCCTTGGGTTTGGCGAGGATGCGTGGAGAGGCAATGTTCCAGTAGAACGTCTGGGAAGGGTTGACCAGGACGATCTTGGCATCAGGAACCCCTTGGAGCAACGAGTGGGCAATGACGAGACCGGCAATTCCAGCCCCAACAATCACGACGTTGACAGGTGCCATGGTGTTTGAACCAGCGGATGCGATGAGAAACAAGGAAGATTGATCTGATCAGAATGCATTCTCGGCGTGGGGGGCATGTTGATCTTATAGGATCGGGGCAGGACTATCGCAAGGCATGCTTGCATGGATTGCCAGTCCACTTTTGAACAGCAAAATTGTCGTGTTTGCATAGAACAACCATGGATGCAAACTAATTAACTATTCAGGGACCAGTTTGTCAGCGCCATAGTGTATCGCAGCAGTGCTTAGCAATCCCCAGTCTTTCAACCTTAATCGCACTAACCTTCCTCAATTTGATTTGTTATTGCGCGAATTTTGCCGGTCCCACTGCCCCGAACTTCCGCTGACTCAGCGCATTTAAGACCTGGACACCGTCTGATTGGATCGTGCATCTGTAATCGGTCAAGAACTCGAGATTGTGCATTATATTCGGATACAGGGTCTCCATATTGATCATAAGGGTCTTACAAACTATATCTTGTAACTATATTATGCAGCACCCCAGCACTAAGCCACGCCACTTCGTATTGCGCAAGTAAGCATGACCTTTGATGCCTCAGGCATACATTATCAAGGGGCAAATCTTATCGATAAGAATCATGTGATCTAAATTTTCGTTTTGCCTTTTCCCGTCGCGCGCCGATTGCCACGACAGACTACATCACCACGTCTGCTTCATCCATTTAATTCATCATGCTTGGTGCTGTTCGCCGATTTGGTGTCTCCCAGGCCCTGCGGGCATCTGCCCCGCGCTCTCTGTCTGCTCGATGGGCTCCTCAATTGCTCAAATGGCAGGCCCCGAGCAGCCAGTTTCCTGTCCTGGCTAAATCCCTTCACACCTCGTTCCCTGCGCTGAATGCCGCTTCAGCAGAGGCGACAGCGGCTCTGGAGAATGTGTCGGAGGCGCAAGAACCTCAATTCATCACTGAGTTTGCGGATCTCAAGACCAAGGGACTGATTGATCCTTCAATTATTCGGAACATCACTCATCCCGGCCGCATGGCCTTGACGACCATGACCGACGTGCAGAGCCAGACCATCAACCAGATGCTTGGCGGTGTCGATGTGTGAGTATTATTGCATCCTCATATTTACTTGAAATGAGTCGTTGGGGCAAATTTACTAACAATTTTCTTCCAGCCTGGCCCAGGCAAAGACCGGAACAGGCAAAACCCTCGCCTTCCTCATCCCTACCATGCAAAACATTCTTAGCGACCCTACTCTCAAGCGAGCCCAGCCTCAGGGACGTCACCGCTCCTCTGGTGCTGGCTCATCCGACATTCGGGCCTTGATCATCTCCCCTACCCGCGAACTTGCTGAGCAAATCGCCGCCGAGGCCATCAAGGTTGCGCAGGGCACTGGTCTCGTGGTGCAGACCGCTGTCGGCGGTACACACAAGAAGTCGGGTCTGATGCGGATTCAGCGTGATGGTTGCCATCTGCTGGTTGGCACGCCTGGCCGTATCAAGGATATCCTCTCGGACCCCTCTAGCGGTGTCTCGGCTCCCAAGCTGAACACTTTGATTCTGGACGAGGCCGATCGTCTTCTCGATCAGGGTTTCTCACAGGAGATCAATGAGATCAAGGATCTGCTTCCGGACCCGTTCAAGGTTGACCGTCAGACTCTCATGCTTTCCGCCACCGTCCCCAAGGAGGTGATGACTATGGTTAAGCGCACTATGAAGCCGGACTTCAAGTTTATCAAGACTGTGCGTGATGACGAGGTCCCTACCCACATCCGTGTGCCCCAAAAGACCGTCTACCTGCACGGTTATGAGAACGCTCTCCCGGCAGTCCTCGAGCTGGCCAAGACCTACCAGGCTCGCCAAGCAGAGGACCGCAACCTGCGCCCCTTCAAGGCCATTGTCTACTTTAACTCGACCAACGAGGTCAACCTTGCTGCCGAGGCTTTCATGGCCCTCCGCGGAATTCCCGGTGATGGACGGAGCCGGTCTCCTCTGGGCCGCATGCGTGTGCACCAAATCCACTCGCGCCTTACCCAAGCTGCGCGAACCAACAGTGCGAACAACTTCCGCCGTGCTGAGGAGGCCATCCTCTTCTCGTCGGACGTCACTGCCCGTGGTATGGACTTCCCTGAGGTCACTCATGTCATCCAAGTGGGTCCTCCTCGTGACCGTGAGACCTATATTCACCGCATTGGCCGCACTGGTCGTGCCGGCAAGGAGGGCGAAGGCTATCTGTTCCTGCACGATGGTGAATACGAGTTCTACCAGGACAAGCTTGGTGATTTGCCCCTCACTGAGGACACCACCCTCTCCACTGCTGCGCTGAACATGACTCGGGACCTGGCAACAGCATCCCCGGCGGCGGCTGAGACCATTGACCAAATCAAGGAGGCGATGAGCGAAGTTTCTCCGATCATGAAGGAGAGCACTTACCGCTCTCAGTTGGGTGTTATGTCCCAGAGCTTCACCAAGCGACGCAATGCCATCCTGGCGCTCAACAACCTGGCCATTCACGGCTACGGTTTGGCCGAGCCCCCAGCTGTTAAGGCTAGCATCGCCCGCAACCTTGGCCTTGACCGCATCAAGGAGTTGAAGATCGAGGAGGGCGGCTCCTACGGCCGCCGCGCCATTGATCCCTTTGACTCTGGACGACGTGGCCGCAGCTTCGATGACTCTCCCTTTGGAGGCCGTCGATCCAACCGTGGCCGATCCAGCTACGGTCGCTCTGACTTTGGCGAGTCTCGCTCGTCGAACCGCAACGGTGGCGGCCTGTACGGTGCTCGTCCCCGTTATTGATCAAGCCCCATGCTGGGACCAGCGGGGCCGTTGAAAGGAAGTTGCTGGCCATCTGAGTCTGTCTTTGTCTGATTTACGACAAAAGAAGAAAATCGATAGAGTTATACCATCCTTGCATTGGGCGGCGTTCTTTGTCTTTCCATTCTTGACATCTTTGTACTATACTCCCCCTTTTCTCCATGACATTCTCAACCTTCTCTCCTCATGTGTTATATACTGTTCTCTGTGGGAAAATATTTGAATTTAATTGACAATTATTTCATGCACTATTGTACACTCGAGTAAAGTCGAGTCTTTCTATAAGTTGTCAATCTTCAGTAATCATTCACTGGTTCGGTGCCCAAGAAAAAGGTGGAGGTTGTCAACAAAGAACAAAGGTTCAATGCATTCCCTAACTTGAAACCATTGACTCCCCTCCACAATTCGTTTGCTTCGACATGCACGCCTTCTCTATTCTTGGAGCTGGTGCTATCTTTAGAACCATCTACTCAGTATCAAAGAAAACCTCTTCTCTGCCAGTCATTTTCCCACCTAGCTAGATGTACAGACCGCATATCAAACTCCCTCCCAAGCATATCTCCCTTGTCCCTGTGTAATCTATATAGCCTGCATAGAACTCTCCGGAAAATAGCATCTGTTTCCAAGCTCAAACAGTTTGCTACACGCACCAAACACTTCCACCCGACATTCAAACCCTATCTTATATAACTCCCGATTTCATCATGGACCCTGAGGAGCCCAGAAATCCCCGCTACAACCTCCGTCCCCGGAAACCCAAGCCACAATCTCCGGAAGCCCCTCGTTCTATCAAAGATCAGCTTTTGCGGAAAAGATTCACACCAAAACTCTTCACGAGAAGCAAGAAAGATAAAGGCAAAGGTAAAGGAAAAGGTAAAAAATCCAAAGGTGGAAAAGCTGCAGACGAAGAGGAGATGTATAGCTTCGGGGGCGGCCGTTTCCAGCGGCCAAAGGAAAGAGTGGTTACTTGGCAGCATGATGGGTCCCGGATTGATGATCCAGCTTACTTGCCGGCTCAATGGGATGCTAATTAGTATGATCTTGATGAGAAGTAAGTTGATCAAAATGTGTCTCGCTCAGATATTATTCATGACTTACTAACCTCCCTTTTAGTGATATCGATGGCAACATTGCTCGATGCCATCTGAGAATCGAGGAGAACATTCTACCAAAAATGTTCCAAGCCCGCTTAGAGAGATACATGGAAAGTAAAGCAGAGCGCGAGTATGTTGAAATCCCTATCATTTCTTACATTCACTATTAATCATCAATCATTCACAGTGCAATCATTGCCGCTGCACCGGGCCTACCTGCGAGAGTCGCCCAACGCCTGGACGATCTTGGAGCCATCCAGCAGGACTTGCTCAAGAACGACCCGCAAGCACAAATGGTCAATGTTCAAGCCATCATTGCCGCCTACCTCGACAAATCGCTTGTATGGACCCGGGGCACTGTCACCTTCTGGTCTTACGGTAAGATGGTCTGGGGTCCTGGCAAGTTTGACTGGAAGACTTTCGAAGCTGTCAACAGTGAGCACCAGGGACATAAGTCATTCTGGGTTGAAGAGGTGAGTCTATATCTAAGATGCTTCTACAGTCCCGAATCTTGGCTAATGGTTCGTTCGGTGCACTAGTGCAATCCAAGTTCTGGAACTCTTTATACAGGTTGGGCGGAGCCCCCATCTAGCACCAACTACATGCATAACGTACGTGCATCTAGGAAACCTCTCAAAGATTTAGTGGAAAACTAACTTAATCTACTACAGATGAGAATGCGCTTCCGAATCCCAGGCATCGCCAACCCGTTCGCCACCCGCGTCTGGAAATTCCTGGACGACACCGGCGCCTCCTCCACGGGCATCTTCCAATGCGACATCGAAGACCTGCAAAAGGCAGCTCAAGTCGAAATCAAGGCCTTCGGCCACGAGCGAGTCGCAACGGCCAACGGCAAAATCTGCGTTCCAGCATACCACCTGCAAGCCCGCTTACTCGCCAACAATGACTCCATGATGTTGATCCCCTGGACTGACATCAAAGTCTGGGTTATGCCCGGAAAGCCAACGGCCAAGGTCCGGAGACTTTCCGGGATCTGGCCTCGCCATTTGTTGTATTTTGCTAACGTCCCAGATAATCAAGGTAATCTATATATGTGTTCTAGTATGGGTGAGTTGTGTGCGAACTTGCCTGATGTTGATGCGACACAGGCGAATCCCCCGCAATGGGATGTTCTTGAACCCATGAGCAGCGACGAAGATGAAATGGATTTTATCATGTAGAATTTGGCTTATGATGAGTACCGGCTTGGGATGTGGGAGGTAGGTTTCTCCCTCCGTCTGCAGCTCGGCTTGTATAAGACTTTTTCGATCATGTCTCTGACCCATCCTCTCTTGGATACCTGAAGCTGCCACGCTGATGGGAAGTCACCGGAGGGACAGGTCTGATCACTTTTTATGGCATGGGGAGATTTGGTTGGTTCTGGAGTTTGGGGACTTTATTTACTTGGATTTAGATCGGTTTATTCGGGGATTGAGATTGTTGTTAGTTTGATGACTTGACTACCTAGTTTGATTTTGATTTAAAGTTTAGAGTTTATTTTTGACGGCTGTTATCGTAATTTACAAAGTTGCCAATTTTCACGAGAGCTAAATCTCATAAATATCTCAATGAGTTTTGCCTACAGAGATAGCTCAAATTCTTTTTGGTCCTCATATATGCCTTTGGGAGTCTAGAGTGGGATTCCAGCTGCTAGCCATGAAAGAAAATGGCTCTAGGTAACGAGTTCTCTTGATATTTTCGAATGGCCACGAAAATCGCTTGAATCATATTGATATTCGGATATGTGCACATTAACCGGTTAGTCATCTCTAATAATCCGCTCTTCTAGCGTAGAATCAATATCTAAACTATCTTCATATAGCTTCGCACCTAGCAAGCCAAATCGAGACGCAAATCATCCCTAACGCAACCGATCTTTTGTGGGGAGAATAAGTAAACACATCACTCGTGGCGGGATAAGGTATCAGAACAAATAAGGTCGAAACCGTGTATGATTCAATCAAAATATCCCAATATACTGCAATACGAAGGGAAGAAAAAAAGGGAAACAACCGAACAAGAGGTCTAAAGTACCCCGGGGAAACAAGAAATCTACCACAGGCAGATACTTACTATCAACTACCTCGAAATCATAGACACATCAAAGACACTATTTTACTCGCGGGCGATCATGTGCTCGCGGGCAGGGCCGGTACCGATCCACTTGATGGGGACACCGCCGATCTCACGCTCGATGAACTCGATGTAGGCACGAGCGTTGGCGGGCAGGTCCTCGTAGCGGGTGACACCCATGGTGTTGGACTTCCAGCCGGGAAGCGTAACGTACTCAACCTTGATCTTCTCGATAACGTTGGGGTCGGCGGGGAAAGTACCGGTGGTGCGCTTGCCGTCAGGCAGGATGTAAGCGACACCGACCTTGATCTCGTCGAAGTCGTCCAGGACGTCGAGCTTGGTCAGGTTGAGCGCGGTGTAGTGGTTGATGGCGTGCGAGTAGCGGCACAGGACCAGGTCGAGCCAGCCGCAGCGACGGCGACGGCCAGTGGTAACACCGAACTCGCGGCCAACGCTCTGGAGCTTGTCACCGTCCTCATTGAGCTGCTCGCTAGGGAAGGGACCGGAGCCGACACGGGTGGTGTAGGCCTTGACAACACCAATGACGTTCTTGATGCTGGCGGGGTTGAGGGCCAGAGCCTGGACGGCACCACCGAGACCCGTTGAGGAGGAAGTGACGAAGGGATATGTGCCGTGGTCCAGGTCGAGCATCAGGGCGTTGGCGCCCTCGACAAGGGTGTTGGGAGAGTTCTTGTGCTCCTGGAGGAACTCAAGCTGATCGACAATGTACGGCTTGAGCATGGTGCGGTATTCCTAGTGCGGGTGCGGGTCAGTTCTATATCTCTTCCGCACATGGAATATTTTCTTCCTCCGCGATAAAAAAAACATACCTTAAAGCGAGCGATTTCCTCCTCAACATCGTAGGCAATGTCACCGAAACGCGCGCGGTAGGCAGTGTCCAAAGTGCGCAGCTTGCGCTCAAAGGTCTCCTCATCCAGGATCTCGCCGACGCGGACACCACGGCGAGCAGCCTTGTCACTGTAGCAAGGACCAATGCCCTTACCGGTAGTACCGACCTTGCGGCCACCAAGACCAGCCTCCTCCAGGCCATCAACGACGGAGTGCAGGTCGAAGCAGACGTGCGCGCGGTCGGAGACGAAGATGCGCTTGCTGGCAGATGAGAGGCCCTTCTCCTGGATGGCCTTCAGCTCCTTGAAGAAGCTGGGGACGTGGAAGACGGTACCAGCACCGATCAAGTTGATACATGAGGGCGAGACAAGGCCGGAGGGCAGGATGTGGAAGTCGTAGGTGACATTTTCGTGAACAATGGTGTGGCCGGCATCTATTTCACGAGCCCAAATGGTCAGTCAACCTGGAACGTGGGAAAATGACTCGCAATGCTTCGAGGAAGTGCGCTGCGTATGTTTTAAATCAACGATGAGTCCCTGGGGTCACTTACTGTGGCCACCAGCAGCACGACAGCAAAGCGTCGCCTGCTGCGACAGCATATCTGTGATCTTTCCCTTGCCTGTACATCCCGCATCAGCGCTGCGAATTCCTCCACTTCCGGCTTCATGAGTCCGGGCAAGGCCCACCTTCATCTCCCCATTGACTGCCTAAAACGATGGAGACCATGATGTATTCGCACGGTCGGTAAGATTCTCGATCGTGAGGTTCGGGTTTGATATTGAATTGGGGGATCAATTGGTCCTAGTGGCGGGGGTTTGGAGAAGAAAGAGAAGTACGTCCGGCTTCGGATGGCGGGGCAAAGGTCTGGCTCGGGTCAGTTTCGGTGTGCCTTGGGGCGGCGCAATCGGCGCTCTCCGGTAGAATTGATGAAACGTACCAATTATCCCTGAGGATAATTAGGAGAAGAGAGAAGGAAAGAGAGTCTTCTTGGAATTGACTTTGCTTTTAGTTGAGTGACTCATGCCGACTTTTTTCTTCCCGCATTGTCACCGTGTAATTTTGGTATTCTTTTTGGTATCCGCAGTACGCGCTTCCGCGGGTTGTCACGTTGATGCCTTGGTGCCTTGGTGCCTTAATGCCTCAGGCTTATAGGGCAGGGTTTTCCTTTAGAACTATAACGAAGTACTCAATGCTAGCACAACTAAGAAAAGGAACATGGAGGATTGAGCCAGGATTAAATCTATTAGATGCAATTCAAGTGCAGGGTATTTCACCAAAGACACCATGACCCCTTGATGCAGGCGGTAAATAGCGCAGCAACAAGTAAAACGCCTACCCCCAAACCTCTCTACCGATGCTATACGCATCCAACGCCGACTTCGTCCGTAAATCATTTCTCATATCCGAATAACAAGAGAAAAAAAGAAAGTAGACACTTTGAGCAACTCTCTTCTCAAGCAACCTTGCCCCCGTTGCGAATCCATTCGCGTAACCGCCCAAGCTCAAGAATACAATCACGGTGCATCTCACAGGCCACTTCCCAGTGCTTGCGTACCCTAATATCCTCTTCAATGCCACGCAAGTACGCACTGAAACCGCCCTTGCCACTGCCTGGCACAAGGTACTCGTCGGGCTCAGTAGGCTCGAGATCACCCCGAGCCCCGTTACGGTCACCATTGCTATCGTCATCAACCCCATTCATCTTCAATCGGGTTGTATCGCCAACGGCACTGATCCAGCCGGGCGCAAGGCCACTCTCAACTGCATCTTGGCGGGTATTGAAGTGGAGGAGCATGCGGCGGTTAAAGATTTTCCACTCATGCATGTAGGTACCCATCGCGGATACATACCAGTTCCATTTCTCGCGCGAGAGAACCGTTCTATGTGAACCTGGCGCAATGGGAATTGGAGCAGGTGCTGTAGGTCGCTTAGGAGGGTTCGGCAACTGGAGATCTCGGGGGCGAATATCGTCCCTGGTGGTGGTTTGGACTTTGGCTCTTGACTCGAACGGTAGCGTAGCCGAGACATCTCCGAGATTTTCAATACCCCCGCTGTTGGTGCCAGTAAAGGGTGCAAGATTTCCAAAGTTGCCAAGATCATAGAGTGGAGAGCGTAAACCGTTTTGAGACGGGATACGCTCTTTTTGCGTAGGTGGTTGAGGTCTCTGCGAGGCACCAGGGTGAGTCGGTGCAGTATGCGCAGAGAGATCGGGGTATTTGGCGGTTCTTGCGCTACCAGTGGGTATGTTCGGTGGCACAGGCGCAGCTGGTGGTATGGACGGCGAGTCATCGTCAAGGTCCATTGGCTCTTCACCAACAGGCATGGAGGGATTGTGCTCGGGAAGACTGTCTCCACTGACAGTCTCCTCAGCCTCTTCAACTTCGCTCGCCACTCTGACGGGCTTCGGTGTGCTCCGAACTTTAGTACCTGACCGCGGCGGCTTCTTAGGGCTTCGGGAGGAAGAGACATTGTCTGATTGTCCTGACTTTTCTGCAGCTGTCCATGATATATTGTGTAGGTCTTTGGACCACTTGTCCGCAGAGAACTTGGCCTGTGCAAAAGGGGTAGGTGCTTGCTGTGTCTGCGGTTCAAAAGAGCCCGCCCTAGAAGCGAACGCGTTCAACCCAGAGATGCCCGATGGTGTTGATGATTGTGTTGGGCTAGTGCGAGTGCTGGCCCGTGGCCGGGAATTCGGAGTCGCTGATCCTGCCTTGCCGAGAGGAAACCGGTCTTTCAAAGAAGCACCAAGGAAGTTGACTTCATCGAGGTGTATCCGCCAATCTTCGGCAGAGAACTTTTTGTGAAGATTATTGGTATTATGGCGAGTGTATGCAGCAGGATCTGTCTTATCCTGGGTGGAGTTGATACTATGAGAGAAAAAGTAAGCGATGAACTGTAGAGTTGTGAGCCCAACATAAATCAACATACCTAGAATTCGATTCCTGTTGCTCAGGGCGGTAGGATCCTTTCGCGAATGCAGCGCTGTCCGAGTTGTGGCCTTTGTTATCGTCACTGTCAGCGGTCAAGTCAATATAGGTGGGAGCCCCTCGAGGTTTCCGGGTTTCTTGCGTGGCTGACGAATGTCGATGGCCTTGGGTGTCTGGCCGGGCAGAGGCGTCCTCACCAGTTCCGGGGCTAGAGTCCCTCGTTCGATAGAAGTCGCCGAACTTTTGATTGGGTCTGAGTCGACTCTTAGGAACGGCCATAGGTTTGAAACCGTTGGGTCGGCGCACTTCTTCTTCGATAACATCGTCATCGAGATCACTTGAAGTTGTCGACGAAAATGAATAAGATCGGTCTCGTCTGGTCTTGGGGCTGGCGCTGCGATGTCTCTCCGGTTGAGCATGGTCAGGGCTCGAAGGGTTGGTGCGGGCATTTGATGCTCGGTATGAAGACGTAGGTGTACGCATGGTCGATGAACGTCCTAGACCCGGATTTGCGAAAAAGGTCTTCTCGCCTCCTGTCGTAGCATAGCGACTGCTAGTTCGCTCGAATTCCTGTGCCAATGGTGGAGATGGGGGTTCTGCTGATCCTGACTGCCAGTTTGGAGACACGGGTCTTGTTGACTTTTTGGCTGTGGGGGGCGGTGCAGAGTCAAAATACATGGTACTTGGCCGTTCGCTTCTGTTGCTGGTATAAGCACTGGTATTCGGAGCCATGGGCTCATCTCCAGCCGCGGTTCCAGGCGCGTAGCCATGCCTCTTCTTGGGTGAATTCGTGTTCGCGGAGTTCTTGGCCTGAACATTCTCCTTGAATTGCTCATACGCAGACTTGGGCTTAGGGTTACCAAAAGGCGCGTTCTGCTGCCGTGGCGTAGCGCCTGATGTAGGGTCAAATCCTCTCCAGTTCTGACCTCTCATATTATGGAAACCCTTGAATGCATCCGCTCTTGTCTGAGCCTCATCCTGTGGCTTCTGCCATTGTTGGGGTCCAGCACGCGCATGAGTAGCATACCGTGAAGCACCAGCTGAGGGTCCCCTGGACGCGCCTTGTGATCGACTATCAAAGGAAGATTTCGGAGCTTGTGGCCTGTTAGGGGACGTGGTATTCCAGGGAGGGGAAGGGGAGTCGTCCGAGGGGATTGGACCTGGGGGAGGACCTCCGGAAGAAGCGGGGTGGTGCGAACCTTGTGTTTTGGGAGGAGTGGCCGTAGTGTAATTCTGGGAGTAACTGGGCTGGGTCTTGCGTGGAGCAGTCTTGGACGGTCCGTATACTTTGCCATATCCTGCGCGGAGGCGCTCTGTGTCGTACTTCAGCCGTTGTTGGGAGTCGCTGAGGATCTCGTGCGCTGCTTGGATGGCCTGGAACTTGGCGATGACCTCTTGTTCACGCCCTTGGTTCCTATCAGGGTGGAATTTGAGTGCTAGACATCCCGGTCAGTTTTCCCTCCCCCCACCAAAGAGATCGTTGAAGAGCGTCAAAACTCACCCAACCTCCTGAACTGCTTTTTGATGTCCTCAGCCTCCGCGTTGGGTTGCAAACCCAGGTCCGCATAGTAGTCCCTTCGGACGTCCGCTTTCACCATATTGATCCAGTTGTTAAGGCGGTATTAGAGGCCCAGTCGGTGGTCAAGTTGCATTATCAACCGCGTTGTAAGGAATAGGCGCTGTCGGGCATGTCCAGCCATAAAAAAAGTTCTCCTCAAGTTTCCCGGCTCAAGGGCGTCGCATAGATGCGCAAGCGAAATGAGTATATGTTGTCGCCGTCGACAGATAAACCAAGGTGAAGCCTGCAGGATATCTAACTAGGGACGTGTTATAGTCGTCTAGGCAGTCGTTCCTCTATCTCAAAATGAAAGTGGAGGCTGGCGATGAGGGTCGGCGGAAGTCAGTTGCCTGCAGGACCCACGCTCCGGCAGGGCTGAGCGGGATAGAATCAAGCGAGTGTTCGGTTCAAGGGTTCGCGGAAAAGGGGCATATTACTGCGTTCAGTGGGAAGAGTCGCGGCGTCGATCGTAGATAGGAGGAAGGACGGGGAAGCCTGGCTTTGCGTCTAGATTTGGTGGTTGCGGTAAGCGGTTGCGGGCAGAATCGCAAATCGTGAGATCGTGAGCACTGGGCACCTGATGAGGTTGATGTTAGGCAGATTTGGGTCTGAGCGCAGATCGCGCCGGATCGCTAGGCAAAGCAACCAACGAGACGCGACCAAGCAGGCTGTCAGCCAGTCCCCTGAGTAGCCTAGAAGGTTTATGAGTTGGCGAGGAGAAAAAGGTGAAGTGTTTGTTTTGGCTTGGGAGGAGGGAGTTGCGGCCCAAGGCATTCACGGAGCCTTTGGTCATCTCTCATGTTGTTTCTCAGGCCACCCCCATGCATTGATTCATTGGCCTTTCACTTATCCCCCCCCTTACGACTCGACAGGAATCCCTTTATGTACCTAATTTACCCGGTCAAGCTATCTAATAGTGCTATTTATATAATTAGTTGACATTTAAATTTTGCAGTTAACACTCGACGGTTGGTCATTAGATCCGGTCTTTTGATATGTGTGATATAGTGTATATAGTATATGGTATCGCGAAACGGACAAAAAGAGGTACAAGAACAAAACAAGAAGAGGGGTTGAGAATAAAATCCGGAACCCCTTAGCCCGCAAAACCAGTCCTTTTCACCTGAAATCCTCTTTGACTATATGGTCCCAAACAAAACAAGCAGGTCGTGGTAGAAGACGGGAGAGACGGGGGTGGGTAGCGGAACGCGGAAAGTACAAAGAAAGAGACGAGGATGCAAACAAAGAAGTAACGCACAATTCAAAAACGCCCGTACCATCATGGGAGCAAGTAGAAAAGGCAAAGCAGAGGAATCCTTTACGCATCCCCGCCAGGTGCGCCGGCTCCGGAACCACCAAAGAAATATCCCTCGAGGATATCGTAGTTGGGATTTTCGCTCCAATCATGCTGGAAGTCCATGGCCATGCCGAATCCAAGGTCAATACCCACGTTTTGACCGAGGGTAGGCATGCCTGCAAGATTATACTCGGCATTAGGGTCTTGCCCCATAGTCTGGTTCTCAGGATCGCCGGACGCAAAGTCCAAAAAGTCCAAGCTAACGCCTTGCTGATTCTCCATTTCTGTGTGTGGTAGACCATGGGGTCCACCGGCCGAATGAGCAACGCTGCCTGGAGAGCCACTCTGTGGTGGGGAGTTGCCATAGTAGAACTGGGGATGGGCCTGGGCTTGGGCTTGTGGGGATGTTTGACCTTCGTATTTCATAAAGTACTCCATGGATGGAGTGCGTTGCGCGAATGGTCGCGTTAGACCGGGTGCAATAGCCTCTGCAGTCTCTGGTCGAACAGCGTAGTTGGTACCTAGGGGCCTGCTGTCGGTTCGAGACCTGTCGGCCAGAGGTGTGTTGGTGTCACTGAACAGATCGGCCAAATTCATGTCGAACTTGGGCACCGGTCGTGCTGTCCGAGATTGATTCGAGCGTCGGCCCTGCCCTCCCTGGTGTCTCTGGTTCATTGCCTGGCGCCGGCCTGAATACAGATTACCTGCACCGTGGGCAGCCGCTTGGATTCGGGACATATCAACCTGTGATCCAAAGCCAGTGGTTGACAGGCACATTTGGACGGTAGCCTTGCTCATACGCTCAAAGGCATCCCGGCAATTCTCGGCGGGGGGACACTTGTGCATCAAGTCACCGAGAACAGAGGTCGCTGCAAGCACAGTAAAATCAACCTCGTCAAGTGTCTAGGGGAAGAAGGGTCGTTAGCATCAAGCAAGGCATGAAAGCGGAGCAATACATACTAATCGACTGCGAACCAACGGCGAATGCCAGATAGCATATAGGAAGGATATTCCTAGATATCAAAATCAGCAACTAGATCAAATAAGCCGGAATTAAGACCAAAAGTTCATACCAGCCATGAAGATATGATGCGTAGCAAGATAAGTGTAGTTCACCAATCGCACACGGTGCAACTGTCGATAGATTCGAATGACTTTCTGACCCGCCTCTGCAACATTCAAGTAGACATGGTCCTCATCATCGCCCTCCTCAGGATTGGAGAAAGACGGACTAGACACGTCATCCGCGGGTGTCAGCTCTGAAGCCAACTCTGCAGGCACCGTCAAACTCTGTTGATACAACAAAATAATCGCCTGCCAGTAATTCAGCTCCAAAAGCTCAATAGAAAAGCGTACACCCGTATCAGGACGCGTTGGCGCAGACTCATTCCACTCCACCAAGCGACGATGTACATCATGACGCCATGAACGGAATGAATCGAAGCCTTGGAGGAAAGGTGATGTTAGTTCGGCGTGGGGAAGAATCGTAGCACTTTCAGATGCTCGCCTGCGAACAGCACGGGCCTGTTGATATTGAAGGACGTCGTGAATTTCGGATTGGAGAAGGCGTAATTTGAAGTAGTGGAAAGCGACGTGCTTGTACGTTGGAGCTCCGTCGGGAGGCGTCACGAGGCCGGATTTGGTGATGTACTTGTCATCCATCATGGATGGGAATTCCGTGCTGATAGCCTGATCGCTGATGCCGAATGGTCGACCAACGCACGTGGCTACCAGACGGTCGAAGCTGTATGTACACCACCACAAACGGCGCCGTAGATCACGCACCCATTCGCGCCGGCCTCGCTCACGGGCATCGATGCGGGGCTGGACTTGGTTTCCGTCTTTAGTGGTCAACCCAACGCCATCTTCATAATGAAGTCCGAGGTCAACAGCCAAGCGCATTGCAACACCGACAATATACCACAAACCAGGGGCAACCGGACGAAGCAAGGCAAAGCTGGCCAGCAGAAGCACTGCCTGAAGCTCTTCCAAGCCACCAAAACCTTCGCTAGATGATGAGCCAAGGAAAGATTCCAGATGAACGATTGCAGAGGCATGGTACTCCTCGGGCTGATACTGGTGATTCGACAATCGTAACCTCTTCGTCGTTGATGAAGCTCGGTCACGGCCTGCGTGGTCCTCTTCATCCGAACCCTGAGGCTTGTCCTCAAAAATGATACCTGCACCAATGGCAAACACGATGTTGAGGACATATAGGGCGCGAGGAGAACGATTTTTCTCTTCCAAGAGGTATGTGCGGTCGAGAAGTTCCATGAAATCTCCACGATGGAGGATGGGCATTTGAGGGTTTGCGTGTTCAAAGTAAAGGTCCACCAGACGCTCAGCAAGCTCGCGATCTGGGAAAGCAGCGCGTTTCATCATCGGCCTCGTTTGGAGTCCGAAGAATGAGTCGCGCATGCTACCTCCAGCAGGACCAGCAGCCGTCTGCGGCAGACGCTCACTGGGACGGATCGGAGCACGCTCGGGCACATTTCCTGGGAGCGAACTTCGTACCGCAGCAAAGACAACTCGGGCAAATGAGATACCCGAAGTTGAGCCGAGATATCGAGGATCAGAGGTTCCCTGCACGGAAACCATACCAATATTTGACACCAGATTATGCAGTCGCCAGTTGTCCTCGTTTGCAGCATCGCGATTCCCGTCCGTATCTCGGCCTTGATCTCCATCTGCTCTCTGAACCGATCCTTCAGCCTCCTCCTTGATCGCCGAGCCCTTCCATGACTTATCTGCACCCTCGGTACCTGGGCCATCGGCGGCAGAACCAGTTTGCGCCGTATCGCCTTCGGTCTCCGTCTTGACGGCTTCCTCTTCGTCGAAAGCAACGGCTTTTTTGAACTCAATATTGTGCTCTGCTAGTTGCTTCTCCAGATAGGCGACCCGAGTCTCTAGAAAATATACATAGCTACGCGGGATCTCCCGCTTCGTGATAGGGTCGTATCCGACGCAGCGAACTCCAGCTTTTTCACAAGACTGGCATCGCGGAAGCCGCTGGTCGCAACGGTTCTTGCGCAGCCGGCAGCGATTACAGGCCGAGACATTTCGGAAGGATGAGGAAGAAGCAGTCGAAGCCACGGTGGCGGTCGAATGTGTGGTTGAGAGGGCGGGTGATGTGGAGGGGACGGCGGCTGAGGTAGAGGGGTTATCTCGCGAGGCGTTCGCAGGATCGGATTGAGTGGGTGGCGTCTCGCTGGATGGATGAGGTCTCTTCTTGCCCGAAGAGACGGGCGAGGGCGGGGAGGGGAGGTTAGGCATGGTGAAGAGCGAGGGGCGAAGGCCGCAGACCTGCGATCATCTCTTGACGGTGGAGTTCTGCGGAGACGGCGGTCGGGAACAGCGGCTGGACTCCCCGGGTTAGATCAGCATTCATGATCCCAAGTCCAGGAACGGGCGATGCAGGTTCGGCTCAGCGTAAAGCGGCGGTTCTTGCGAAGCGAAACGAAAGAAAAAGAGGCGGCCCGCACTCGACAAAAGTGGACGGCGAGCCAAACCTGCTCTCCGCGGCGCAAGTGCACGCGACGGAGGGAGATTAATCTCCGAGGTAGGGAATGAGGTTCGCTGGATAGCGTGAGAGGAGCGCAATCCCAAAAAGCAAATGGCCGCCGTCTTTGAGCGAAGTGCAAGGGCAACGCGTAGCTGCAGAATGAGGAGAGAGAGGAGAGAAGTTGCGTCGCATGGCTACGACGATAGGGCTCTGGTGGAGTTCGGACCAATGACCATTCCCAGTCACGGAGAAATTTAAGTTGCCCTCGGGAATGGAGCACTCGGCACTTTCGGTACCCCAGATTTTTAGGGCGGTTGGGAACTAACTGGGGCAGGTCACAGCGAGGGGGAGATCTGTAAGAATGGGGGAGGGATTTCGGCTTCTGGAGTCAAGTGTCAGCGCCGGTCTCGATATGTCCATTGGCCCTACATGAATGCCGCAGCGCTTGATAGAATGTATCCGACTGTCGAGTCGTGCCAAGTGGATCTCCCCGGGAATCGTCTGCTGCCATTGGCGGAGCGGCAGAGTAGTGGCCATTGGGGTTGGATAGGGTCACAATGAGTCTGTAGGGGAGATCTTTGAAAGAGTTGCGAAAAGGATGGTGGGACGAGTTACGGAGGTATATACTGTAGCCTACACTCCAGTCATATGATCGGACTCGACTTGTCTGATGCAGACAAGGTAGCAATGAGGGATATACTGAGTGGATATTCTTCTTGGCTTGCAGTCCAAACTGAAACTGGCCCCTGAGTCTTCAGCGTTAGGCGCTAGTGTGGGCCCTGAAGAAGGATGTTTTACACTTGAGTCTAAGGAAAGTCTAAGCAGTAAAGTTGTGCAGAGCAATGAGGTTAAACCGTGTATTGTGCCAAAAGTCCGTGACGGGAAAATCTATCGAGGATCCGCAATGGTTGTTTCTTGACAAGAGGCAAATGTAGAAACAGGCAAAGAATCGCAGACGCAAAATCACAGAGAACCTCCCAGATGCATGAGTATCATCATAATATAATCCCGTTTCAATGCTCCCAAAGACAGAAGGAAAAACAAAAGAAAACATCGTCTCATGACGATGGAAGAAAGAAAACCAAACCCGAAGAAAGTAAACCCAAGGTTTATGCTTTTTCTGTCGCATATGCATCCACTCTATGTCAGTTGCGCCATTCCCTGATCTTGATGAAGCGAGAAGAAAAAGGTAACCAAAGCACACGCGAAAAGACAGAAATGTTTAAAAAAGAAACGAGAATCATGGGGCAAATAAGAAAGGTATCATGGCTAGAAATGAAGAGAAGAAAAAGAAAAGCCCTCCGTAGAAAAAAAAAAGTGGGAGCGCAGAAGAACGTTTTGTGGTGATGGATGTCCTTCCCAGAAGGACAGAGTGAAGAGGACAAGGGTGTGTTCGTGGGGTGGCATACACCGGTCTCAACTTCTTAGAGGCGAGGAGTAGAAGACAAGTCGGTCTCCGGGGGAGTAGAGAAATCGTGGATCGGGTTCAAGCTCAAGGTGGAAACGTCGAATTCCTGATCAAGGCTGGAGCGCAAAGAGAGCAGGCGTTGCTCTTCCTGGGAAATAGAATCTCTGCCAGCATAGGAATCATTCGACATGGTTTCATGTTTGAGCTCCGCCTCGCTGACATCGGAGTCCTGATCCTTGAAGCGCTCAGGCTCGGGCGACTCCTCCATCCAGAAACTTTGGATGGCACCAACAACGCAGACTAGTCCGCAGGCCCACCATGCCAGCACGGAGTAACCGCTCAGCAGACCCCTTGAGTGCAGTAGTCCCGTCACCGTCGGCCCAAAGGCACGACTGAGACTAGCGGTAGAGGCAGCAGCGCCGTTGATGGAACCGAGGACCTTTGACGTGGGAGCAGCGTTGGCCAGCAAGATGGCGATAGCGGGGAAGGCGATCACGTGGAAGGTAATCTTGCTGATCAGGGCGACGTAGACGGCGGGCATCTGGAGTTTAGCGGGGAGTAGGATGAGATAGGGCACGGCCAGGTAGAGCGGCGGCCATGCCAGCAGGACGAAGCGGAACGTGCGCAAGGTGCCAAAGTGCTTGACGACGAATGGGAAGAGCCAGAGTTGAGCGATCATGGAATAAACTCCTTGGACGGCCAACATGAAGCCGATAGTCTTCGTTGGCAGACCAAGACCACCGGTAAACTTGAGGGGCAGGACGATCGCATCGTCGGACTTGGGCGTACTGAGGAAGACCGGCATCAGCTGATCGAAGGACACGCTGTGACTGTTGGGAGATTAATGTCAGCAATTATGCAGGGCTGCAGGAGGGGAGCAAGAGTGTGGCATGCAGATGGGAGGTCATTGGGGCCAACTCACTAGGCGAGAATGCCGTAAGCAACGATGGTGAAGATGACTTGTCGAGTGAACGCCTTGGGCGCGGCCGGTTTCTGTCCCTCGACGTCGACGTCGCACTCTGTTGCTCCCACGCTCACGGTCACGGGGCGCAGGCAGGGCGATGATTCGGCACTTTCGTATTCGGGCGGGACATCGCCATACACAAAGTACTTGGTCTCCTCCACCCCCACGTCGGAATCGTCGGGGAGCTGCACACGCGAGCCACAGCACAGGCTGATCAACCAGTGGCCCAACTCACGGCCGGGATCTCTTCGGTGCTTCTTTTCGGGGTGCGTCTCCTCCAAAAACAGGAATCCGACCACAATCCCGCACACAAGCACGACAATGCACACCAGGTTGGGCAGCAGGAACGGGAACCGGTCGAAGAGCGTGTTACGCGAGAACAGCCACGGGTAGTTGTCGCAGGGTTGGGCCAATGCACCGCCCATAGCCGGCCCAATGATCGAGCCCAGGCACCACACGAACGGCATGATCGAGTATGCTCGGGGCTGGTGCTCCTTGACCGTCACAATCTCCGCCACCGTCGTTTGAAGCACTCCGATATTCCCGTTCAACAGTCCACCCAGGGCTCGCGCAATCATCGCCGTCGCCAGGTTGGGCGCAAATCCAAAGGCGACCATGCTAATAGCCGTGCCAATGAGACCCATGACGAGCACCGGCTTGCGGCCGATCCGGTCACTCATCCGGCCCCAGAACATGCCAGCGGAGAATTCAGCAAAGGTGAAGGACGAGGTGATCATGCCGGCGTAAAACGCAATTTTTTGATCATTGTCCGTTACATGGAACGATTCCACCATGTGATACACATAGGGAAAAATCGACATGAAAGCAATGGGCTCGCAAATTCGAACAAGTGCTGTAAGGAGATGGTCAGTTTTCTGGATTTGGCAGGCTGCGACTGTTTTCTTCCAACAGAGCATTCAATTGTATAGCTCTTGGGCCCATTTGATCACACCTCTTTCTTCATCATTTCTTCAAACAACAGCCGCATAGTTCGCAATGCACAACAAAAGTACCACACTTACCTAAGACGAATAATTGCCGAATGGGAAATGCAGACCAATCCTCGGCCGCGCGATTGCGCTGTCGTCGGCCTTGCAAACAAGCTGGTCGTTGAAACATGTTGTGTGATGTATCGAAATCACCCCGAGGGCGGGAAGCCAAGAAAAAGAAAAGATGTATATGAACAATACAAAGTCAGGGAGCAGAAAATGGACTCCCCGCTTTCAACCTTCCGAGAGAATAGTTCGTGAGGGTGGGGGAAAAAGTACCAAAGAGCGGTGCTTTTGATTTCCCCCTAAAAGAGGCGAAATTACCCCAGGTTAATGCGTCAGGGCTCGAAAGGGAGCGAGGAATGTAATTCGGTGTGGAGACTGATGATATCGGAGCAAGGAGCGGGCGTGGTGGTTTTAGGGCTTCAGCATTGCTCCCCCTGCGGTTGGGTAATTTCTATCGTGAATCCGATCAGGCGGTAGATCCTCGGGACCCAGCAATTGAAAAAGAGTATGAGACTCGCTGCAAGGGAGTTTTGACACAGATCGGTGAGAAAGGGAGAACCACCGTAGGATAAGGAGAGCGCGAGGGGAGAGTGTCGGAGATTTTGGTTTCAAGTCGATCCCCAAAAAGATTGGAAATCAATTGAAAAAAAAAGTGTCGTAAAACCGGACTTTGGAGTATTCTTGAATGTAGAATAGACAAAGTTCAATGGGAAGACGGAGAGTCAAAAGGGCGGTAGGAAGAATGGGGAAGGGATCTATGAAGAATCTCGGCGGATTGATGAAAGGAGTAGAGTTGCAACTTGAGTTTCAAGAAGCAAAGACAATGAGCAAGAAGGAGAGAAAGGGAGTCATTCCATGGAGCCGGAGGGGAAAGGGGAGAACTATTATATGAAAAAGCGCGGGTGTCGTGGAAGTGGATAGCTCCATCTATAGAAGACCGATGTGATCAGGCGCCAAAAGGGAACCGAACATCAACCGTTCAGCATCACCGCTTGGGAATTTCGGTTACAGCTGTACAAGAAGCCGCAGGATGCAGATTGGAGCAAGCAAACATCACAGTTGGATCAGGACAAGACGGAAAAAGCGAGTGGGTCCAGGTGGGATTTTGGGGGGGGAAGAAAAATATTTTTTTTTTTATTATTTCTATAATTTTTTGGGTTTTATTTTCTGTTCTGCTTCCTAGAAGCTCTGTGTAATAATTTGACTTGCAATAATAATCGAAGGGCGGATCGGGACCATCCGACTGGGGAGAGAGGAGCCGTCTAGCCACTTAGAAGAAAATGATATGTCCCATATTTCATAGAGGGGGCGAGCAGAATTAAGCAGGGCCCGAAAAAAAATTTAAAATTAAAACTAACGGATAATTTAAAACTCAACAGACAAGAAAATAAAAAACAAGAAATCGAGGTTAATGAGCCTGAAAGGGAAAGAAAGAAGATGGGAGGCGAAAAAAATAACATTGGAAAATACACACTCCGTAGGGGTCATGGAAAAGACAAGGGAAAATAGTATACTAGAGACCCGATAGATGGGTCGGTCAGAGATTGTAATCGCAGTGGGGGATAGTAGTTAGGGAAAGACAACGCTAAACTAGACTTCGTCATCGTTGAGACTGTGACTGAATCATAGTCACAATATAATTAAAATAATAAATACAATCATAATCATCATCATCATTAGACGAAAGAAATCAAAACCTCTCAACCCTAGAGCCAATCATCAATACCGAATGACGAGTCCTCCGTCCGGGAGGGATTGCTGGTAAAGAACCCGATTGTCACGATTTCCATTCCTGCCCAGAGATCAAAAGGTCAATCAGATCAATCAGATCAGATCATTGGCCTCCGAGAAGGGGGCAGGGCCAGGTTTTTCCTTTAACCCCCGGTTCCCATTTTGGACAAAATCCTCCTTCTAGTTGATTTCCCTTTCTTCGTAGGGCCCCTTCGATCCGCGATGTAGCTCTCTTATTCGACGGATCCATTTTCACTCCCCAGATACAGGAGGGTTATAAAATACATCACTAACGTTTAATAGTCAGTGAATTTATGGTCTCAGAAAAAGAAACCAAAAAAAGGTTGATACCTACCGGATTCTGGCTAGTCTCTTACGTCCGTACTTTCTTCCCGCCCAACCCGACTCAAGCTAAACCTACCGAGTGTATGGAGTCATACGGCTAGTACTTGTTTATAATACTGTACCTGCCGTGATGGATCATCGATCATGGATCATAGACCGGTAGACCCGCGGCCCTGACCCCCGGGCCCCGGGGAACAGCAGGAGGCGACTCCTTAGTGTGCCCCTCTCTTCCCCCTTGAGCCCTAGAGCCTAGAGCATAAGGACGGGGGGGCAAGACCGGCTCACTAAAGTCGCGCTAAGAGGATTCTCCCCCCTCTCCGTATGGCGTAAGGCAAGGATGATCGGCTTACCTTACACTCCGTCTTTTTTGACTCCCGGAGCTTTGGATTTTTTTTAGCGCGCTTTTAGTGAGATGATAGATCTCAACTGCCCATTCCATTCTTTAGGAACTAGATAAATCATTAAAATTTGTTTTAGTTTATTTAATCTATTCATGCCAGATGCGCCTCTCCGAGACTTGGCTTAACTTGAAAAAGTAGACCATGAAAGGTGATAACCAGGGCCCCGGGGAGAGCCACCCGAAAGACTACTGTACAGTAGTCCATCGGGACAAAAATGAGCCACATTGATTCTTTTGCATGCTTTTGAAGATTCCCTATCACTTGTGAGGCACATTCTGTATCGCTTTCGCGGTAAATGGAACTATAGACGCATGGCACTAAACGCTAGCGTCATCGATTCAATTAGATCTCTCCAAGCTGTCACGGAATTATCGGATTGCCTCGATTGCCTTTGGAGTAATGCTCCGCTAGCCACGAAGCCCTTCGGACCCGATGCACCTACGGATGGGAGATAAATGAACTCTATTATCCCGTCTTGTCGGGTATGAAGGATCGCCTTCCCCGGCGTTGACGATGGCCACCCCCAGCTGAGACTGGGGGGCGCGACGCGTTAAAGAGGAATGGAAGGGGGGCCAAGTGGAGCCAGATGGGAGGAGTGACAGGGGGGGCAAGGCACCCTCTTGTTTCCTTCTCGATGCAATCCGAAGACGTAAACCGTTGAACGATACAATAGCAACCGCGTGTTTCGCATTGATTTGACCTACTAATGAATTAGGCGGAGAGCTGAGAGCTGCTGTACGATACAGAAGTATACACTTCAGATACACTTCAAGGCAACGCGTGGGTAATGCGCATCGCTCCCCAAAGCCTCAAAAGACGTACAGAGTACAGCACATTCAAGGGAGGCGCCCAATCGTGATTGTCGCCAACATTCCAAGGCGCTGTCGATGTGCACTTTGATCGGGTTTTTCGGATTTGTCGGGTCTGCCACACCCCTTTAGACCGTTGTGGCCCTGCCTATCATCCAGATGTTTGGGACCATTGGACCGTCGTCATAGGTTCAACGCCGCAGAATCGCACAGTGTATCCAAAGCTCTGGGTCGGTTAGCATGCCTGATGACTCCAGACAATGCGAATGGATCGCTTTGGATGGATGGATCATAATGAGCGAAAAAGGAAGATAGCTATGTATGGTGTTAGTTATCTATCGCTTGAAGCCTTTCGTATCGAGTTCAGACTTGATATTCACATCATCGTCTAACTAGAAGCCGTATAATGATGCCATTGCAGAGTAAACCCAAAATTTCAGGTCCGATTTTCATCTCAGCCTTCTTAGCCTCTCATGTCTGAATATCAGGGCTGGTCATGGACAACGGAAAAAGAGGGTACTATTGACTCTTTGCAAGTCTCAACTGTGGAGCCCAACGGGTTGTTATGTAAACGGGGGGTTGACGATCATCCTGTCAACAGTTGGGGGAAGTTACATACGAAGAACAAATTATTCAATAATACGGAGTGATATAGGGGCGGCCACCGTCTGTCGCAATTACAGTAGGGCCACCCCACTCTCACGGCATAGATATTATTTTTGGCGCGGCTGTCCTTCTCGAAAACTCCAGCCTTGAGCTTCGAGTCCATCATCAGCTGATCTTGTCACAAAATTCACCGACACTCCGGCACCTCAACCTGGGACCCGCTCTAAAGGGTGGGGATAGATAGGGCGATCGCTTCAGAAGGCCCCCTGTTCCAGCGTGCCCCGCGACAGAGGCGGCAAAAACAAGATTTTAGGAAAGAAAAAAAGAAAACGGGGGCAAAAAAAGAAATGGGATCAGAATCTAAATTCAGGATCTAAAATCTAAAATCTAAACTGGAAATGTTTTGCAACATTTGATTTCGGAATACGCCACGGGGTCGATCATGATTCCTCTACTGGATAAACAAGATAGCTCCGATAGAAATTGGCAGGCGATCTGGACAGTAGGCAGTTCGATCAGGCTGAAGAAGGAACATTCTTTACACGGCGAGGGCTTGCATATAGAAATATCGAATTTGACACGAACATCGAATCTATCGAAAAGTCGGTAAAGTGCCGACCCAGCAGAAAGGGCCAACGCAGCGGCGACCCAAGGGGCTGGAAAACTTTCCTGCAAGTGGGACCATTATTGTATCACACGGCCTTATACTACTCCTTCCGTACAGGAACGTTACAGATGGTTATGTACGAAACGCCCGTGTTTCCAGATTGTATGACGAGGCAGAAAGGTGGACTGTGCTAGTTTCACAAACTCCGGACGGTTGAAGGCGACCTTGTAATTATTCAATATTAATTATTTAATATATTTTCCTCGGCCACGCGAGCCCAAAGGCGGGGCATTAAGAAAAGCCGGTGAGACCCTCCGAGGAATGGGGTCCTTCTTCCCTGAGGAGTCGACGTCATTGTACTTGGGCAACAATCTCCAGAGCCCTGAGCCTCTTGAACTACGACTACGGCATCCTATAGGAGCATGAAATGGAGGTGAAATGGGGGGTAGTAGGGAGAGGAGAGGGCTGTGCTCTGCACAATGAGCGGGGGCCACTACTGCATGAAGCGAAAGCTACGATGGACGTGACGATTTTGAGGATGGGGAGATGTCGCCGAGGTTGACACCCTGAAAGGATGCAAGACTCACCGTGTGCAATATTGACTGGCGATGGAAGGACTCGGTCA